CTGGAGTACTTGTCTTCTGGAGTACTTGTCTTCTGGAGTACTTGTCTTCTGGAGTACTTGTCTTCTGGAGTACTTGTCTTCTGGAGTACTTGTTTTCTAGAGTAGACGTCTTTCTGAATAACTGTATGAGGGTGATGTTGGGGATGAACAGTTTAGGAACTCTGGTAAACCCTCTTCAAATCGAGAGCCCCACAGGGAAAGAGAGGGAAGTCCCTGATTTTAAGAGAAGTCTCTAAGTACAAGAAAAACCTTGGAAGTCCCTAGGTACCAGAGAAATCCCTAAGTACCAGAGAAGTCCCTAAGTACCAGACAAGTCCCTAAGTACCAGACAAGTCCCTAAGTACCAGATAATCCCCCAAGACCAGTCCCCGCAAGAAAATCCTATCGCTTATCTATTATACAATGCTAATGCTAATTACTTTCATTATAAATGTTAATCAATTCCACATAATTCTTAACCTGGTCATCGAAATTCCAGTAATCATGGAATACTTTGAACATAAATGGATCAACTTTCATTGGACTAAACTTATCAACTGTGCTAACCAAAATTGATGTTGATTTCCCAAATAATAATCTCATAATCTCTTCTTCATGGAATGATGTAAAGTCTCTGGTGGTTATATAACTCATAAGAATTTCATCTTTGTTCAATAATTCCACGAGTTCGTCATGGGAGAAATTTAAGATCAAATTTGTATCTTCATTATTCAAATTTGTCTTATATTCATTATCAGGAAGTTTTTCTTCACCATTTTTTTCCCTTAATTTGGATTCCAATTCTAATTGTTTCCTCTGTTCGTCAGTTAATTCATAATTAGATCCATCAAATTGGAAATCATCCGATGTTTTGAAATTATTGTAGTATTCATTGAAATTATGATACTCATTCCATTTTTGTTTGTCCTTTAAGAAGTAAAATAAATCAGTTTCTGAAATCCATAATCTTAATTGTTGTAAGAAAACATGTCTGCTGAATTTCTTCTCTTTTAAACCTTTTGAATATTCAACATTCAAAATTTCAGTATATTTCTTAGGAACATATCCCATTTCTCCTTCAATGAATGTCTTGACTAATGGATTGATCTCTTCGAATAATGTAAAATGATTGTTACGACAATTGTACACCTGTAACTTTTCATTGACTATCTCCCAATTAGTATCTTTATTATCGTTATCGACATTCCATTCTTTTGGAATTTTGTCAAGATATCTGTTGCTAGGTTTCTGGTTACTGACAGATAATCCGGTGATATCGATATATAAACCGGTATCAACATCAATGAATCTAGCATCAATGTTATTCTTTCCATTGCCTTTGTTTCTTAAAGTAATGAAACTTCCACTATCTAAGAAATATCTACCTAAACCATCTTCAACATCTTCAACGATTAAACTTTGGTTGAAGTCACGTGATAAGATATGTAAATCTTCAATTGGCATTTGAACATCAATATCATTATCCCAAGGGAAAGCAATCCCATTCCAATACCATGATAATAATGAACCATGAGCAACCCAAGTATTCAATCCATTCTTTCTACAGAAATTCAAGAAAGTTCTCACCAATCTATGTAATGTTAAGGTTTGCTCATAAGTACCAAAAATCATCCCATTGAAAAATCTAAAATCATAATGATCACCTAAAGCAGTTTTCAAAATTCTGGCCTCAGAGAAATATTTTGGTGGTCCACCATTTTCAACTTGTTGTTTTGAATATTTCAATGATTCATAGTATTTTTGTTCATTAGATGGTAATTCAATTCCTTTGTTGATTTTCTCTTCATAATTGGTGATGATTTGATCAAAATCGACTTTGAAATTTCCTGGTTTAAGAGTTTTCTCATAATCGTTGATAACCTTTTGGATATTTGGTTGATGTTTTGATCTTAAGGATTTCATTTCGTCTCTTAAATTGATAGTGGACTTTCCTCCGTCTTGAATGTAATTTTCAACCAACTTATTATCTAATAATTTAGATCTTCTCTTATTTACTGTGACATTATACGAACCATCATCAACAAGGAAAATGATAGAATCTGGACTTGGAGCAAATGTATACAAATATGATTTACCTGTAAGAATGGCAATATCAACAGTAAGTTTACTTGGAGGTTTGAACACATTGAATCCAGGATTAACCTTGTTACCATTATCGAGACTTAAGGAGAGTTCATCATTGTTTAAACAGAATTCTTTTGGATCATGGGCGTCTCTTCTCTTGGTGAGTTCTCTTTTTTCCTTCTTATCTTCTTTGTTTTCTTCTTTGTTTTCTTCTTTGTTGTCTTCTTTCTGTTCTCCTTCTTTCTGTTCTCCTTCTTTCTGTTCTCCTTCTTTCTGTTCTCCTTCTTTCTGTTCTCCCTCCTTCTGTTCTCCTTCTTTCTTTTCCTCCCCCTTCTGTTCTTCTTTATTCTCTTCTTTATTCTCTTCCTCCTTCTTATCTTCTTCTGGTGGATCTTCTTTCAACTCCTTACCTTGAGAAGCAGCATAATCCATCAATTCCTGCTTTTCCTTTTCTTCCTTTTGTTCCTTCTCCTTATTCAATCTATCTTCATCTTCTCTGGCATCCAAGATATCACAAGTTGGCTTAATATCATCGGGTGCTAATAAATGTTTATTCAAATTGGATAAATCTACCCAATCATACCAATGGAAAGGTACTGAAATTTCTTCAATAACACCATTCTTATAATCAGTCAACTGCTTGTTTAAATGATTTATGTAGATGGCTAAAGTAAACCTTGGATCAAATGGTTGTAAAATAGGATTTTCTCCTTCATCATAATAATATCCTGGAATGTTAATATCATATTTACTAGTTTCAATCTTCTTGTTGATTAACCAATATTTGTTTTCAACATCGTGTTTCAACTTATTCTCCAAGATGTTATCCACTTTCTGGTTGAACTTAGATTCATTATCCAAGGTATTGATATTAAATTTTTTGGAACTATACCAATATCTTGAATAAACATTATCAAAAAAGTTCAAATTATACTTCTTCATTTGTTCTTCATTCAAGATCCTTGAAGTAGAAAGGAATGTTATCGATATGAATAACATTATCACTGCTATGAAGATCGTCTTTATTATCCTTGGACGAATCATAATCAATGTCAATCAAAATATAAATAAAATGTTATAATCTATAATATTAGATAAAAAATTAAACTTTCAAACTACGATAACTTTACGTCTGTGTCGACAATTTGACACCTAACAGCTTCCGAATACTGGGGAAACGTTTCCTTAAAGCAAGAACTAAAAAAAATCTATAATGTAAAGTTGTTCACTTCCAAAAACAAATCGTAAATGACGGGATTCGGGAAAAAGCAATATCGAAATCTGGGTTTTAAATAACTAATATTGATTTTTGAACGTGAAATGTTTAGGTCAATGTGTTTGGTTTTCAGTACTTGCAAAAGTATGCCTAATGTTGTTGTAACGTCCTAAATAATTTGACGTAGATAAAAATGGTTATTTATCGTGTGCTTGATGGAGAAAATCTTCATGAAGGGAGCTATTGTCGTGTGCATGGTAGGAAACTAAAAAATTTAGATGAACTTTTAGGAAAAAAGAAATTCTGAAACTCCTTGGTAACATGGCTCCTAACGAATTCCCTATTTGGGACGATTGTTTAGTTGCTGACAGCCTATTATTGAACGCGAAATCCAGGGGAGAAAAACGTTACAACCCCGGTGCCAAGATGAGAAATCTTTCCGTGGCACATTAGTAATGGCACATAAAACTTGTTATTAGGCGAGTTAGCATGCAAAGTATCCGGGTAAGTTCAAAAAAGCTGTTAGATCGTTATTATGAAGGTTGATCTATGATATCGGTATCACTTTGTTAGTAGTAAGAATCGGAGATTCGGGATATTGATTAAATGGAGAAGGCGGAAGAAGCCAGAGTTCAAAAAGGGAACCTTCCCTGCAAGGGAGAATCGAAGATTCTTTAAAGTTAAAATGTTGGCTTAGGATAGACAATGAATTGCAAGATCAATGACCTAACTCAGAGGTTGGTATTGAATCAAATCTTATGATTCAAATCAAATGATGATAACTCGGAGTTTCAATGGTGATCATTTTCCCCAAACAAACCCCGGTCCGGAATATATTTTAGTCGCATTTGGCTGCGGACCATTTTCACACTATCTTTCGAAATAATAGTCGCTCAATCCCCATATATTGGCCATTCAGTATATCGTTACCCAATCTGAACTTCCACATATCTTTTGACACTTTGAAAATAAAATGTCATCTCATCACGTGATCCAACTAGAAGGCCCGCGATAAATAGACGAGATAATGATAATCATCTTTAATGACTTCAATCAAGATAAATGATACTTCCACAAACAATAAAATCACATATTACCATATAGATATAAAACTTCCACTCCGTTCACACACAGTTTATAAACGATATAATGAATTTGTGAATTTAATCGCCGATTTGACTCAAGATTTAGGTATTGACCATAACGATTTCCCTTATCATTTACCACCCAAGACATCTTTTTTCAATAAAAATTCCGAATCCATCATATCACAAAGAAAACAAGGGTTAAGTAAGTTTTTGAATGAACTCGTCAATGATTCTGAACTCATGAATAATCCTATATTCCATGATTTCTTACAATTACCCCCTAACTTCAAATTCTCCAAGAGTACCAATAATTTAAATGACTTGAATATCACCAATGATTTGGATCCAAACCAATGGCTAGATTATATACGACTTTTCAAAACTAAATTGTCGTCGGTAGATAAAACCAAATTGAACTATAAGAAAGATTTGAACACCTATTTTAAACCTAATCTTCATAAATTGATCAAGTCATTGGATGATCTTAAATCACAACTTGACGACAAGGAATTAGATAGAAGGAAAGTCTTGGTTTCAGACTTATCATCACAAATTCTCAATTTGGAACAAGATACTAAAATGCCAGGATCATTTATTAATACCACATCAAAAAGAGTTATTGGTAAAATTGAAGAGACCAAGGATACCTTACCACTTTCTAATCAAGAACTTCTCCAATATCAACAACAAATTCACAAGAATCAAGATCAAGAAATAGGTGAATTAAGGAAAATTATAGAACGTCAGAAACAAATAGGAATGGTTATCAATCAAGAAGTTGAAGAACAAAATGAAATGTTGGATGAACTCAATGATCAGGTAGATATCACAACCAACAAATTAAGAGGAGCTAGAAGGAAAGCAAAGAAAATCTTGTAATTACACTAAATCGTTGAATATCTTTATGTTGGTATCGAGATCTAAAAATTCAATTAATGGAACTGGATTATCTAATTTTCGCCAAACTTCTTCACAATTCAAATTTCGTTCATTGAAGGACCCAGTTTCATCCTTGAATTTCCAGAATCCACCAACCTCCCTTAGATATTTAGATACCCCTAATCTTCGAGGTGGATATGCTCTTCCTCCATTTTCAAGATCCAAAACACTCGGGAAGTATTGTAAATAGAACCATGATCCAATATATATCCCAATAATAGATCCCCCAATAACATCTCTTAAGAAATGTCTGTTATCACTTATTCGTGTACAGGCTATAAAACAAGCTATCATCAACGGTACAATCGATATTAAAACTTTCAACGATATACCTCTTTTGTCGAAAACTTGCAATTTCCCTGATATGTTCAATGAGGTTATCACCATTCCACAGAAAATCGTTGACAGGTGACCTGAAGGAAAAGATCTGAATCCTTCATCAATAAACTGCTGATTACCATTACAAATAGCGATATTACTTAATTCGTAAATTGGTGCTATTTGATCATCGGGCTGGCATCTAGAAATCAAGTCAGGTCGAGGAAGTCCACATATGTTCTTTAATATACAAGTGACCATTAGTTGACTACTCATGGCTCCTGTTAATGATAGTAATCCCGCATGGATATCCCACAATTTCCTGGTTGTAGATACATTTCCTCTATATAGAGAAAATGCTATGAACTGGATCACTGGCAACCCTACACCAAGACCTATCAACACATTAACAGGCACTGTTACCTCATCCTCGGGTCGATAACTATACATCAAAGAAATATCATTTAGGGAGAATTCATGATAGTTAGGAGGAACCATCGATCCATACACAATAAAAGTAATTAGAATGACAATATAGAAGAGCCAGTCAAATATATATGAATTTAATGACAATGCTGATATCCTATGATTATTTATTCTATATGTAAAATCCTTCATGTGACCTTGATGTATTTGTGATCCTCAAAAAGCTCTGACCAGATCTTGAATCCTTCTACGATCTGCTCACTAGTTAAAAAACTCAAACATAATCTAATACAATTGTTCCACCCTTGGGTATTATTATAAACTTCGAAATTATTACCTCCAGCTAAGATCACTCCTTTCTCACCTAAATCATCGATCATCTTCGGTATATCGTACTTATCGTTGAATTGAGTCCAAACAAAGTAACCACCGCCTCCTCCGTAGTATTTGGTATCTTCAGGTAAATATTTAAGAATACAATCTATCATTACTTTAGCTCTTTCATTATAATGAGATTTATAGTTATCAACAATCTTACTTAATTCTCCTGTGGCCATAAGATTTTCCACTACACAAGAATTTAATTGACTTGGTGTACCACCTGACTTTACACAACCTTCTTGACTTAACTGAGTAGCTAACTTTGGTGTAGCAGTTTCATGCCATCCAAATCTCAATCCTGGTGCAAGTATCTTAGATGTGGAAGAATTTGACACAACGTTTCCATATTCATCGTTGGTTGTGTCTCTATCCATATAAACCAATCTAGGTAATACAACATTGTCATATGTAAGTAAATCATAGACATCGTCACAGATTATCAACATGTTATACTTCCTAGCCAATTCGATTAATTTGGTTCTGGTTTTCATACTATAAGTCAAACCTCCGGGATTAGAATAACTTGGTACAATATAAATGATACTCTTGTAGATTCTTTCCTTACCTCTCAATGGATCATGATAAAACTCTTCACCAAATTCACCTACAACTTTCAATTCGTTTTCTAAGGCTTTCAAATCGATTTCGTATTCACCACCTGGAGTTTCATTGATGGATTTGATTTGATCTTTATAGCCATAATCTAAGAAACAAAAGTTGGCTAAATAGTAACATGGTGAGACAATGAACACTCTTTCAGTATATTCTTTCTTGGTACATTTATTCAAGATCATCCCCATACCGAAGGACGCACCATTTGTTAAATTGAAACAGTCAGGATCTGAAGCAGGTCTATCGAAATATTGATTCATGAATTTACTGATTTCCTTACGTGTGGTTAAATTACCAGGATCAGTACCATAATTCAAAGGATTCTGATTATTCTTATCATCATCAAAAGGTTTTAAATCCACATGGATGACTTTTTTATAACTCTCCTCCATTTCCTTAGTTGGAAAGAGTTCATTAGAAGCATACCCTTTGAAAAAATTTATCGACATCTACGAATGAACAGAAGAAGTGAAAGATTTGATGGATTTATATCAATTATGAGAAACGGAATTGAAACGGAATTTCACTACTGGAAATAATCCGATATCTCTAATTTCTGGACGAAATCCGCCATTACCTTCTGAACTTGGACTTCCATGGAAAAGCTATCTATTTGGTTGGTTGAGAGATTGATAAATAGGGAGGAAGAATTAGAGATTCAAGATTAGGTGATGATTATAATGTTGAACGTACTATCGCAACATAGATAAGAACTATATCTCACTTTGATATTAGCGGAATCGGGATTTCATGACAATTTTTTCACACCAGTACCTTTATTTTGAGTATTCTAAACATGTCCCAAATACCCGAGTAGGTCAAATTGCTTGCTTAATACTCCAGTAAATTTAAGTCCCAAGTGATCCTAAATCAACATAATGTCCCATAGTCTCACACCCTCTGAAAATTTTCGCACAAAAATTTTAACCAATAATAATGGTAACAATTGGAGGTTTTATATTATCTGGATCCCTTGGATTACTCGCCAGAAGAATTCAAGTATCATTAATTGGTAAAACATTCCCATTCTCCTATCAAAGATTAGTAGGATATGGTTTATCCTCAGGATTTTTCATGACTTCATATTATTTCTTCAGTGGTGTAGTAGATGGTAACAGAGAATTATTAGACAGAAGATTACAAGTATTAAGAGAACAAAGAGCCAAAGTTGAAGCTTTCAGTGAATTAACTGAATTGGGAGACCAAAGAGCCACTGCTCCTGCCATGCAAGGTAGATTCTTTAAATTATTGGATAAATATGGTGCTCCTTACAAGTAAAGAGAGTCAGAGTTTCTGAATAACGTCCTTAGCATACTGTATATTACAGATAATTATACATTTTATTGATATGTTGAACTTTTACATTGTTTATTGTTCACCTGCCTCTTCTCCGCCCTCTTCTCCTTCATCTCCTTCATCACCACTATCTTCAACATTACTATCAAACTCTTCAGCAACATCGTCTTCATCGTCTTCCTCTTCACCTCCTTGATAATTATCATCTTCCTCTTCATCATCTTCATCAGCTTCAGTAGGTGCAGTTACAGGTTGGCCAGACCCTTCAGTTTCAGGTTTCTTGTCAGTCTTCTCTTTCAAACTTTCATCATAAGAATTATCCAAGACACTTTGTAATTTGAAGAAATCATCTAAAATATTATGGTAATTTTGATCAATCATACTGAATTCCAAAGTCTTTCCACTCTTGAATTTAACATTCAAAGAGAACGTAACTCTAGTAATATCACTATATGATATATTATCCACTTCATCCAAATCGAAGATAAGTATAGGTTTCTTAAATCCAAAAATAAGGAATGATGGGTTGAATTCGTTTTTGTTGGTCACTAAAATAGCTCCATCTTTAGATCCTTTGTAAGCTTGAACCATGACCATATCATTTATAGTATTACTTTTGGAACTTAAGGCAATGGCATTGTCAGTATTAATGTTGAAAGTGTTCTTATTGGAATATAATGGTAAATAATTTATCAAATTAATACCACATAATTTGAATTGTCTTTGTAAGAATTGGAAGATAGCTTCATGAATTAATTTTATTCCTGGGTTTTCGGCAGGTTCTTGGAATTGATTTTCAATATCTGGAGGAATCTTCCCAGTTTTAATCAAATGTTTCTTCAATAAATCCAAGTTAACTTGACAAATAATTGGATCATTCTTATTATCAACATAAGCAGAGTCATTCAACCAGAAACATAAGGAAGCAATGTTTTTCTTACTTTCTATGGTACTCATACCCAATATTGGTAACACACAGCAAAATCTAACTGATTCAGATAATTTTGTAAGGGATAATTCAGGTATGGAAGTTGATGGATTGACAATGGATAATATTGGAACTGGGCCATTATCGGCGAGTAAATGTAAAATTAAATTCATTTTCTTACGGATTGGTGATTGGAAGGATATCATAGGGATTTCAAAGATGATTTCATCTTCATTCAACTTGTTAGAAATCTTTAAATTATAATCGTTTATGAAACTTACTGAAGATTCTGGGTTATCCACTTTTTGTCTTTTAGGAGAAGGATTGAAATGATCATGTAATTGGTCTAATATTTTAATGGAAGTAGGGTCCCGTTGTATCAATGAAACGACATTCTCCTTCAAAGGAGATGGTAATTCATCTACCCATAATGAGTTAGTTGACATGGATAGTTTTCGCGTCTTTAGATTTTATGGAAAACCTAGATAATGAAGATATTGAAGATGTTGATTCTGAGGTTTTAGAAAATGATGACAGTTTTATGGGCGAAGAGGATGAAGAATTGGATGATCTTTTATTTGGTAGTTCTATAAATTTGATTCCACTGTTAATTGATTTATACGAAGAGATACCGATGATGGGATCCATTACTGAATATTTATCAGTACAGATATCCCGGTTTCAACCTTCAGTATTTAAGACTTTTTTAACTGAATTGTATAACCAATGGAATACACTTGTTGAAATTGGAAAAATTGATAGGGAAATCAGAACCCAACGTCTAAATAATTCCAAATCTATCATTTTATCCCTGATTTTTGGGTCTTTTTTCACCGATGCTTTATCGATAATATCCCATAAAGGGGTGGGTATGAATAAAGGAATGGTGGTGGTTACAGAAACGTCACATGAGTATAAATTAGATAGGAAAAGTGAAGAAAAATTGATTGAATTCGATTTTAATGAATTATTATCACCATTTGATCTCGTGGTGAACCAAGGTCAGATCGTCCCATTGACTGCAGATATTCAACTGGAGAAGAAACCTCACATCCTGGGAGAGATCAATCAGAGATCATACTTTGTTCAATTGGAAAATTGGTATTGTAGTTGTGAGGGTTATCAGAGATGTTATACCAGATCATGGTTAGACTCATCTTCCACTGTTGATCATCGTCTTGATTTTCAAATGGATGAATTGAAGTTCATAAAGTTTGATGATCTAGATCCTATTCCGATGTGTTCCCATTTAATGGCAACACTAATAGTTCGTCTTAATAATCTCCCACTCAATGAGATCAACCATTTACCTTCACAAATCACCTGATAAACTCCAAATTTCCCTTCATTCACCTAATCAACATATATACTTTCCAACCCACCACCGACATACTCCCATTGTAATCATCCCACCCCCAGGATTTCGTAGATAAGAATGGCTGCAAAGAATCGTCATTCCACGACCTTGAAAATTTTTTCCTCAGTGAAAAATCTCAGAGAATCGACATCCTCAAACTTCATGTATTAATGAGTAAACCAAATCGTTATAAATTCAATAAAGATTCCAAAAGTTTTACACCGTCAAGACATCATGAACCAATAGCAATGATGAACAGCATGCCGGTAGGCGTACCAACCCCCATGATGCCTATGCCTGGAATGATGCCTATGCATATGAATCCTATGATGATTAATCAAATGAATCAAATGAATATGAATATACCCGTAATGAATGGAGGTTATGATTATCAAAACATTTATGGAGGTCCACAATATAATTATTATCAATATTATCCACAACCAGTTGAATTTGATCCTTATCAAGCACCATATCCTTATCCTCAAAGTCCTATGAACAATAATTCCCAATCTTCTCAACAAGACAATTTATCACCTGAACCTCAACCAATATCTGAACCTTCAGAAACTGTTGGAACTCCAGAAACTGAATTAATCCAAGATAGTGAAAAATCCACTCCCGATAAGGTTTTTGATATAGGGACAAACTCCGAAGAATCCCCTCAAGATCCAATTTCAATTCAACAATCTGAAGATTCTAAAGATGAAATACTACATTCACCTATTTATATTAACACTAGTTATGAAGACTTCAAATCTCAAGATTTCTCCCATCGTCAAGAATCATTCATTAGCAAGCAATATACTCCTGAGAAGTCCATTACTATAAATCCTTATAATTATGAAATCACCGATTATAGTAAATCATCACAAAAACCAAAATCCAATTGGGCAAGCATCCTTCATCACAATGTTGATAAACCGGTCCAGAAGAAACCTATAACGAAACCACCTCCAAAAATTGAACCTCCAAAAATTCAAGAAGAAGAAATCGAAAGTGTTGGGAAATTAAGTTTAAAAACCATGTTTGATGAAGATTTCTCCATCATTAATAAAGGTGAACCTTTCAAAATTTCACCTCGAGGTTTAACTAATACAGGAAATATCTGTTATATGAATAGTATCTTACAAGTATTGATTTATTGTGAACCATTCAATAAATTAATCAAATTAATGACAAAAACTCAAGGTTCATTAACCAAATCCACCACACCATTAATTGATTCTTTAATTCAGTTACTCAATGATTTTAATTCTGGTAATTTAAAATCTTTAAGTCCTGAACCTTTTTATCATAATTTAACATCATTAAAAAAGTTTCAACATTTAAAATGGGGTCAACAAGAAGATGCTGAAGAATTCTTAGGTTATTTATTAGATGGTTTACATGAAGAATTCATTGAAAATATTAAAAATTTATCAAATGAAGAGATTGTTAAAGTCGTCAATAAATACCAAGGAGAAACAAAATTAAAGATTCAACAAGCAATCAAATTGATTAATAATGATTATAACTATGATAATGATGATAATGATAATGAAGGATGGAATGAAGTTGGTAAGAAAAATGAATCAAGTTTAAAAAGAACCGTTGAAATTGAACCCTCACCAATTAAAACCATATTTGGAGGTACTTTCAGAAGTGTTTTGAAGATTGGGAAAAATCAATCAATTACATTGGATCCTTATCAATGTATCCAATTAGATATTAAAGATGATAATATCTTAACTATTGAGCAAGCATTCCAACATTTAAATGAACCTGAACAAATTCATGTTAATGGTGATAAAGATATTGCTAAAAAACAAACATTCATTGATAATTTACCACCAATTTTAATCATCCATTTGAAACGTTTTAGTTTCTTAAATGATGGTAATGTTGAAAAAATTCTTAAAAAGATTAAATATGATCATACTTTAAATATTCCTTTGGAAGTATTTTCTTTCAAAAATCCTAATATTAAAAATAGTTACCAATTAACAGGAGTGGTTTATCATCATGGTATAAGTGCTGAAGGGGGACATTATACTGTAGATGTATTGAAAAAATCAAAATTAATGAATTCTAATGGATCCCTTAATAATAATGATAATGATGAATGGATAAGAATTGACGATACTTTAGTTAATCAAATAGATAAAGATGAAGTTTTGAATGGTGATGATGACAGCAAAAATGCATATATATTGTTTTATCAACAATTGTAAATATATAATTTAACATTGATCAAACTCTTTTAATTGATTAAATAATGATTCATCGCTTGGTTTATTACATACAATATCTACTTTAATATCTCTTTCTTGTAACCAAGAGTTTGTGGTAGGTCCAATTACAGCCTTTTTGAAATGTTGGACTTTGCTAAGTAATGGTTCAACACCTTGACTACTGAAAAAAACTACCCAATCAGTTGCACTACCATTACTAAGTAATTCAAGATTTTGTTTGAAAATTTCCGAATCTTCATCGTTGGTTATGGTCTCATAGGTAGCTGTTTCTTCCCAGTTCTTACCAGCTTTGGTCAAAGCATTAGGAATGATATCCTTTCTGATTTCTCCAGTAAAATAAATAATCTTCTCATCACCAATCTCATCAATCATTAACTTACTCAACTCATTCCCATTTCCTGTTTTACCACCTCTTACGTCACTAAACCCAAGACTAACAAGGTACCTAGAAGTTGCAGGCCCCACGGTATATGTTGGGGTATTCATAACTTTGGTTCGTATATCTTGGGATATTAATTGTAAGGCTTTCTCAAGACATTCAACTGATCTTTGAGATGTGATTAAGATTATATCATGACTAAATGAACTAAGGTAATTGGATAATTTCTCAACATGTAATGTATGAGTTATCAATGGGATGAATGTTGGGTCATAAGTCGGCGATAATGTGGATTTATAAGTATCTTTATTATTTTCGTTCTTGAGTAAGAATACCTTCATTTTGTGAGGATTCCAATTTGGGAAGTTCTCAAGATTAAGAACTTAAGATTTTATAGGAATCGGATAAGAGGCGAAAACTTTGTTAAGAATAGAGCTAAAGACTAGAGAAACCTCAAAATCAAGTAAATAAATAATAATAACAAAATAAATACTTGTGAATCAATCACAGAATTAAAATCTTACTTCTTGGAAGATTTAACAACATTGATAATTTGTTCAACCACTGCAGGATTAGATAAGGTACTGATATCACCTAAACTATCTTCTTCACCTGCTAAAACTTTTCTTAAAATTCTTCTCATAATCTTACCTGATCTAGTTTTTGGTAAATCATCAACTAATAAGATCAATTTTGGTGCAGCGAATGGACCAATTTCTTTACGAACAGTTAAAATCAATTCTTTCTTGACAGCATCGGCATCATCAACTTTAACGGTATCTTTCAATGATACATAAGCAGCAACAGCTTGACCGGTTAAATCATCGGCATATCCAACAACTGCACTTTCACCGACTAATTCATGTTCAATTAAAGCGGCTTCAATTTCAGCTGTTGATAATCTATGACCTGAAACATTAACGACATCATCAACTCTACCTAAAATCCAGAAGAATCCATCTTTATCTCTAGCAGCACCATCACCACTGAAATAATGATTTGGATAAGGTTTTAAGTAAGTATCGATATAACGATTATAATCATTATAAATACCTCTAGTAATTGATGGCCAAGCATTCTTAATAGCTAAAACCCCTTCAACATCATTTTCAGTTAATTCATGACCATTAACGGGATCTAAGATTTTTGGTAAAATACCGAAAAATGGTAATGAACATGAACCTGGTTTAGTAGGTGTAATACCAGCTAATGGAGTCAATAAATGAGATCCTGATTCAGTTTGCCAATAAGTATCGACAATATGAGCTTTACCTCTACCAATATTATCATTATACCAATGCCAAACTTCTGCAGCAATTGGTTCACCAACTGAACCTAAAACTCTAAGAGAATCTAATTTATAATTTTCAATAAATTTAGTACCAGCTCTTTTTAATAATCTTAAAGCTGTTGGTGCAACATAGAAAATGTTAACCTTATATTTGTCAACAATTTCCCAGTAACGTGAATAATTTGGATAAGCTGGGGTACCTTCAAAAACAACTGTAGTGGCACCATTCAATAATGGACCATAAACAACATAAGTATGACCAGTAATCCAACCAATATCACCAGCGGTGAAAATAATATCTGATTCATGAACATCAAATACATATTTAGTTGTTAACATAGCACCTAATAAGTAACCAGCAGTATTATGTTGAACACCTTTTGGTTTACCGGTAGAACCTGAAGTATATAAAAGGAAAAGAGGATCTTCACTATCAACAGGAACTGGCGGGAAGTATGGACCAAATTTATCCATTTCTTCATGCCACCATAAATCTCTTTCTTTATTGAAAGGAACGTGAGAATTACCTGTTCTTTTATAAACTAAAACATTAGAAACATCAGGACATTGTTTTAAAGCATCATCAACGATTTTTTTGGTTTCAATAGTTTTACCACCTCTTTTAGATTCATCAGCAGTGATAACAATCTTGGAATTAGCATCAAGAATACGATCTCTTAAGGAAGTTGAAGAAAACCCAGCGAAAACAACTGAATGCATAGCACCAATTCTTACAATAGCTAATAAGGTAACAATAGCTTCAGGAATCATTGGTAAATACACAGCCACTGAATCACCTTTCTTAACACCTAATTTGGTTAAACATTGAGCTAATTTACAAATCTTTTTCAATAATTCACCGTAAGTGATAATTTCTGAACTATCAGGTTCATCACCTTCATAGATAATAGCAGGTTTATCAGGATTTTTGAAAGCCCATCTATCAACAGCATTATAACAAGCATTCAATTGACCATTAACAAACCAATTTGGAATATCACCATCCTTGAAATCATCTTTAGTATCATAAGGATATCTTGGTAAATCAAAAGGTTTTTGCCAATCTAAAAATTTAGTAGCCATATCACCGAAGAATTGACCAGGATCCTTAATTGATTGTTCATACATTGATTTATATTCGTCAAATGATGACAAGTTTGGCTTTTCAGTCAGTCTTTCTTTGAATCCATCAGGTGGATATTGCATCTTTTCATGATCTAATGTAACATGAGATTCAACCATTGTTATTCAATTGTTTTCAATAAATAATTAATTACTTTGATTAAAAAGTACGGTTTTTCAAAAAGGATTTTTGGCGATATTTATAGTGAGTTCGGAGTTTTAATTATCGTTATAATGACCCCACAAAATTTTTTAGTTTTTTGTTGAGTGTGGGTCGTGTGTGGCCGATAGTTATCCTTAGGGATCGAAGGAAGTTTTATTTTTTTGTGGTGGCAGTTGATGTTAGAGGTAGGTTTATGTATGCAAAGGGGGTTTATTTGCAGTACTGGGGTCGAATAGGTGATCAGGATTAGAGGCTGAGGTGATCAATTGAGTTTTAATTGATATTGAGGTTACCGTAATTTCTCAATTAACGTATATTGGCTAAAAATTGTCTTTATCCTGCTGGAGGAACGTAGTTGATATGTGAATAATAAGAAAATTCACCTTATGATATCATTGATTCCGTTCACTTTTTTTTCATCCAATTGTTGGCCAATTGCTGGAATCTATCATCTCTCCTAATTAGCTACGTTCCTTTTTTTCTTGACCTGATTATGTAAGCTCGTAACCACCGAAATCTGGGGTAACAAAATTTTAAAGCCCGATTCACCAGAATTAGCCTATCAGAAAAGATCGTAGCTATGAGAGGAACGATAAAGGAAGGTCTTTCCTTTTTTTTTTCAACAGTTTTGAATCACATGATCGAGATATCTGAAATACAATCAATTAACTACACAAATTATAAATTATATTCTTCAAAGAAAGCTAAAATGTTTTCAGCGAGTTTTGAAGCATGGTTAACACTAACAAAGTGACCAGCATCTAATTCAACGACTTTGACATTTTTAGAATCTCTTGTGAAAGCTTCTTGTCCTTCTTTAGGGAAAATAAAATCATTGACACCCCAAATTGCTAAAATAGGGACATTGGATTCTCTAAAGTATTCTTGGAATTTTGGGTATAACGGTAAGTTTTTTCTGTAATCAGTAAATAAAGCCAATTGATTATGTCTGGTGTTTGGATAATTCATCAATAATTCAAAATCAACCTTAGCATCTTCAGGGTTAACAATTGTTCCATCTGGTTCTCCATTGAAATATTGCCAAGTATAAGGTTTCAAGTTCATGAATAAACTTTGAGCTAAATTTTCTCTTTCAATCTCTAATTGTTCTTTTTCAGCTGGTGTTAATTCTGATTTATCAACCAAATCCCAAACTTTTCTAATAGGATCCCAAAACTCTTGAATACCTTCAATATAAGCATTACCATTTTGGGAAACAATGGCTTTAACGGTGAATTGATCTTCCAAAGCTAATCTTAAACCAGTTGGTGCACCATAATCGAAAATATAAACTGAAAAAGTTGAAATTTTCAATTCGTTCAATAATAAACCCACGGATTTTGAAAGGTTATCGAAGGTAACTTCGAAATCTTCAGGAATTTTGGTTTCCCCAAAAGCTGGCAAGTCTGGAGCAACAACATGGAATTTGTTGCTCAATAAAGGAATCAAATGGCTAAATTGTCTGGAGGAAGTAGGAAATCCATGTAATAATAATAAAGTCTCATTATTCGATTTACCACTTTCTCTGTAAAACATTTCTACACCATTTTTTAAGGTTAAAGTATTATAAGTAACTGACATTTTTAAGCTGATAATTATTGTTTGTTGTTGTTGTTGAATTGTGTTTGCAATTGAACTGATGATTAAAAGAAGCTTCCAAGCTATCTTTATATAGTATTTCTTTTCGCAGCCAAATTTGTCAACCTGCTGCTTACTCAGAAAATTTCGGGGTTTGGAACTGCTTACAAAATCATCTATAGCGAAAGAATTGATAATCAATTCGGGGTTTAAAGAACAGTGGTAGTTCAAGCGAGAGTTGATTGGTAAGTTTAATGGTCAATTGAATATATGATGGATATGATGGGTTATAGGCATTAAAGTTTCGGGCAAGACCTGAAATTGTGGAGGATTTATGACTAAAAATTAACAATTTCGGTCTTTAAAGATTCGTGTGTTATTGTTCATACTTTGTAGGTCGCTAATTCATGATGTGCAGTGAGTTTCGTGGTTTTGAGTTTGTTCGGTTCTCGTAAATATTGATTAGTGTTTCACAATTACTTATTTTAAGCCGTCCAGCATGATTTAGGTCGAAGTTGAGGACGCTGGTATAGATTCTTGAGTTTAAGACTCTATTTGATTGTGCATATGGTCCATGTTGTTCAGATTTGATGCCTTCTGTTATGAGAGATATTTGCCCCACCGGCTGCTCCTCTTCACTGATCTCTTCATTGACCTTTCAGCTGACCCTTTCACTGGAATCTTCATTGATCCGTGAATCTAGTCAGAGATTTTCCCGTTAGTTCCACATTTTAGGTACCGATTATTGCACATTATACTTTCATCAATTTGGTAATGTTCTTAGAATTGGTGGTTCGTTTATGTTGAAATTCTCCTCTCACGATTCTATACCTCCAAGGTATATTCACCAGCTGTGCTTACCAGTGTGTTTCCCGATGATAACAAATCTACCATTGATCAAACATGACCCCAGGGCTTAACCACGGAAACATGTTCATCACAGAGTGAGAAATTCAGATCACGAAAGTTTCGATGAGTGGAGTTATCACGTTCAAAGTAACCAGTCTTCTCATAAAAACATTATCCAAACCCATAGCTAATGCCATCAAACGTCAAACGAGGCAAAGTGAATTCTTCAAATCCAATTTTGTTAAATTCGGACAGTTCATCAATAGGATCGATTTGAGGTTAAGAAACAACAACTCAAATATCAAAGTAAGACCATTAAATGACAATAAAGCCATTGAAACTGGGAGTAACTTCTTGAGTGAAGTATTTGTATTCAGTATAGGAGCAGGATTAATCATTTATGAGAGTACCAAACCTAAGAAATCGCCACCAAAAGAAGAATCTAAAGAAATACCTCCATCAAACATCAACCAAAATGACCTTATCAAAGTCATTGACGAATTAAATGAATTGAAACATCAAAACCAAGTCATATTGAAAGAAATCGATAACCTAAAGTATAAAATGTACATCAAAGATCATCCCCAACATCCACCTACAATATCATCAAAATCAATCAATATTAATGAAGCCAAACAATCCGTGTAAATAGGACATGAATCGAAATAGAAATAGAAAATATAATTCAAAAATGTATATATAATACACTAAAATACACAAACAATAATCTATCTAATCTTATAGATAAAACTTATTAAAAATATTGAAAAGAGGTAATGGACCAAATCTTAGAACAGGATTTACCCAATTAACTCAATTAAGTTATTTATTTCTTGATTGGTTGTTTCTTTTCAACTTTTAATAATAAAGCTTTATTAATATGAGGTAAGACCCCACCAAAAGCAATGGTAGCTTTAATTAAGTTATCTAATTCTTCATCACCTCTAATAGCTAATTGTAAATGTCTTGGAGTAATTCTCTTGACTTTTAAATCTTTAGCAGCATTACCAGCTAATTCTAAAACTTCAGCAGTTAAATATTCTAAAACAGCAGTTAAATAGATAGCAGATTTGGAACCAACTCTGATTTTATTTTGAGCAGTCTTTTTCAAATATCTTTTAACTCTACCAACTGGGAATTGTAAACCAGCTCTAGCTGAGTGAGAAGTTGTATTCTTAGCGGATTCTGAGGATTTACCTTTACCTCCATGGACTTTACCTTTTCCTGACATTGTAAGTTGTTGTTTATTTTTGCGATTTTGAGATTTGTTTATTTTAAACTCCTTCGGTGTGCGCTAACCATTTTACCTACTGACGCTTACCCGCACAAATGCTTATGTCAGCTGATAAGAATTTTATGAATTTATGAATCCATTCAGTCCTAATTTATCCAACATTTCTTCAACTTCGAATCTACTTTTCAGTAATTCTGTACAAATGGAATCAATATTTTGAAATCCTTTGACTAATTTAACTAATTTGATAAGTTCATTCATTTCTTCAGAACTTACTTTACTTTGAGTTGTATCGATCTTGGTATCATCTTCTACATCATAACTAAAACTGATTCTTCGTTGGTAACTGTTTTCATTGACAATGGATTTAATATGACTACTTTCCTCTGATTTGATGCCTAATCCAGTAGTAGGTATGTTGATATTAGTATTGGCAGTATTAATGTTAACATCAGGCTTGGTTTTCAAATTCAAATCATCTATCAATTTGTTGATATCATCATTACTTATTTCAATTGATTTGGTTACTGCCGATAGTATGGGGAAAGAATTGACTCTATAAATTAGTTCATTCAAGATCCCGAAGTTCACGAATCGCCTTATATCGATATTTTTCAAATGTTTCTTATGCTGTATATACCATTGTTTGATGGTCTGTCCTTGATTTAATGATCTGTACAAGTAGAAAAGTAAAGTCTTACTTGGTACTTTGATAACTTTTGTATCCTTGGTATTACTTGGTGATACAGCGAGAGAGAATTTCTTCTTGAATGACGATGAAGGTACCATGGATGAATTTTGTACTGAATGGTTCTGTGATGGATTGTTTGATTGATTCTGGGAAAGGTTAGTTGATTGTGGTGTGGAACTTGGTAAAGGAGCTGCAAATCCATCATTAACAACATAACTTTGACACCTCTCTCCCAAACCTGGGATCTTCAAGAAGTTATCAATATTGTTGGTTGAAGCATAAATATTGGAGAATTGAAAAATGTCAATGATTTGGATACACTTATAATGCATTAAGTGTTGAATACATTGTTTAGTTAAAAGATAATCTGAATCAGAGAGTTCACTTATCTTCTTGATGGAATTGATCCCATTTATATAAGGTAATATTTTAATCATTGTGGGATCCCAATTCACATCAACCAAAGAACTCAAATTGACCAACAAAATCGGTACTTGGAAGGCTTTGATATTCAATGGAGGTGGTAATATAGGGAAAAGTTTGATATCAATGGAATTAGAAGAATCTAATGGAATACAACATTCACTATAATTGTTCAAATCTTGGTAGATTTGATTTATCAAACTCTCAATACTACTTAAACTGATTTGTTTGAAATTCTTGAAACCAGGGATTTCATTGATCATGTTGATTTGCTGGAACTTTTCACTTTTGATAAACATTTCGGCATTCAATCTCGACAAAAGGAAATTCTGTTCTTCTAACACTTTAAACATTTTACCAATTCTCTTGATAGTTAACTCGTAACTGATAGTTTCACTATTATAGGGGAACACAAAACATAAATTGAACTTGAATGTATTACGTAAGTAGGAATCGTTTTGAACATTAACTGGGTAACCAATGACTTTATATTTCCCTACTTTAAACGATATCAATTTATTACACAATTGAGGTTTCGGTATAACATAATTTTTTATAGTGTTGAAATTGAATAATGATTTGGGACCTGAATTGATAGCGTTCTCTGGAACTTGGTTGATGATCTTAGTACCTTCGGTGGAATGAAATATGGCATAGAATATCGCCGTTATGGGTGTAAAACCATCACTAGTTTCCATCCTCAGTGAATTTTCGCAGATCAAGTTCCCATATTGAGAGAAACAATAAGAGAATATTGAACATCGGGAGAATTGTAAGAGAACATTGGATGCCGAGAGAACTTTAAGGGAACATCAGACACTGAGAGAACTATAAAATAACACTGAATATCTATTTGTTTAGTTTATCTAAGAGTTTGATTATTTCAATGACTCTTTCCTCGTCGTACCTTTTACCCACCACTTGTACCAGTACGGGAGCTCCTTTCAATCTAGAAATATTGAATCTCTTGAAAAGCTCTTCATTGGCTTCCCCTTCAGGAACATAATCCTTGGGCCATACATCAGTTTCTTTGGCATGACCTAAAGGTAATGTCATGGCAGTGAAATCTAAAACATTTACAAAAGCACTGTTCAGTGAAGCAAATCTATAAGTACCAGATTCATAGGATGTTTCACAGAAAGTAGGGGTAACCAAACAATCATAATGTTTAAAGAACTCATAAAATTTCAATTGGAACTCTCTTTTAAGTTTGTTCAATTCCCATTCGTCATCCAAGCTCAAACTACTGAACAATGACATGTACTCAAGAAATTCAACCTTTTCGCCTGATTCTTCGAGTTTGGCTTTGATGTCATTGTATCCATTGACACCGTATAACTTTCCTGAAACCTGGGAAATCTTATCGTAGTCGACAGGGAATTTATCATCGATGATCTCAACCTCATGGTCCTTCAATTTCTCTATTAATTCTAAAATACTTCTCCGGATTGATGGTTGACATTTAAGATTTGGTTTATCAATGAAAACTGCAATTTTCAATTTGTCTTTCAACTTGACTTCTTTCCATGGGATTGGAGGTACTTTAGCGTCATTTTCCCAAGGTTGATGGTCAATCAAAATCTTGGTAACATACTCTAAATCTTCAACACTTTTACACATAGGACCAACACTGGAACTTATGACTGGATGATCCATCAAAGTGTTGGTAAGTCCAGTATAACTAAGTCTATCAGAGCTAGGTTTCAAACCGTAAATCCCTGTGAACGATGATGGATTACGAATTGATCCTCCAATATCTGTTCCAAACCCAATCAATGATCCTTTTCCAGCTACAACAGTTGCCTCACCACCACTACTTCCACCACAGGACAAATATCTGTTGACAGCGTTCAATGTACTTCCATGAAGATTGGAATAACAATCTCCAGACATCAATGATGTGGGAACAGCAGTTTTGACGAAAAAAATACATCCTTCAGAATATAAGTCTTGAGCAAGTAATGACATTTCTTCTTGGGTCTTAGGTTTACCGACATTAGCTACAAATCCCAAACAAGAATCTATACCTGGAAGGTTGAATTGGTCTTTAAGGGAAATAGGAATTCCATGAAGTTTACCCCTTAATTTTTTGTTCTCTTCGAAGTAATCATCTAATTCTTTAGCTCTTTCAAAAGCTTCATCGAAGAATATCTCAGAAAGACAATTACATAATTGATGTAAAATAGCTACTCTATGACAAAAAGCTTCAATGACATCTAAAGCTTTCATTTCTCCTGTTGATAACTTATCGAGGGTGGAAGATATGGTGCCATTTGTGATTTCTAGTTCTTTTTCAGTCAAAATGGATTCAATATAATCATTTGCATTAGGGAATGATTCGATTGAGGGGACTTCTATGATCCATTTCAGTGGGATCTTTCCAAATACCTCCTGTTTCTTGTTTTTTGCAATCTCTTCCCAAGTCATAAAGTTTCGCAGTATCCTCTAACTTTAAATATTAGTCATTTCAGGCAGCCGTTCGAAATCGCTTTACAGAAGTGATTCTACCGAACAGAAAGATGATTTGGGCCTAGATTCTTATTCAGAAATATTTTGCTATTGTGAAGGGGGAGGGAAGATCTATTCGCAAGTAGTAAATATTCACTAGGAAATGATCAACAAATATTCACTCTTATTTCGATCCCCTAGCATATGGAACTCAAGGATATTGATCTTCATTGGGGAAAGTTGAATCACTCTCGTGTTTACCATGACAACTAAGTTTTTCGTTTGGAACTCAAGATCTCCTTTCACTAATTCCAAATGATTTCATACTTTATACAGCAGAACCCTTAGAGATTGTAAATACTGCAAAAATTGAAAAAAAACATGAATTAAGAAAACACTTCAGATCCACCAAATTACACCATATACAGACAATTGGCCATTCTAACATCCCTTGAACTCGAAAAATTAATCCTTCAACTCCAAAATTCAACCTATCCACTTCCTTTGAATGGTTGCGAAATTAGTAATCCCCAGATTTCAATGAGTGTTTCAGATAACCCCATTTATGTCTCATGTTTGTTACCGTATAACCGTCAACAGTACCAAAACCTCCCACCATTACTCCGAAATATAAATTCAATTCCGATAACTCCTTTCCTATCAAATCTTCTTTAAACACCGATATTGTTCATCTTCTATCTAAAAAGGCGTGTGTGTCACAGAAACTTCTGGAAATTGTTCTCGAAAATTTTTCAGTATAAATTTAATCTGAATTAACTTCTTCATTAATTATGTTAAGAACATCAAACCCAATTAGAAATCAAACTTTACGTTTAGTTCGTAATTTATCACACAAAGAATTAAAATTCGGTGTTGAAGGTAGAGCTGCTTTATTAAAAGGGGTAAACCTTTTAGCTGATGCAGTTTCTGTCACTTTAGGACCAAAAGGTAGAAATGTTTTAATTGAACAACAATTTGGTGCTCCAAAAATCACCAAAGATGGGGTAACTGTTGCCAAATCAATTACTTTAGAAGATAAATTCGAAGATATGGGTGCTAAATTATTACAAGAAGTTGCTTCCAAAACTAACGAAAGTGCTGGTGATGGTACTACTTCTGCCACTATTTTAGGTAGATCAATCTTCACTGAATCCGTTAAGAATGTTGCAGCTGGTTGTAACCCTATGGATTTAAGAAGAGGTTCTCAAGCTGCCGTTGAAGCCGTTGTTGAATTCTTACAAGCCAACAAAAAGGAAATCACTACTTCCGAAGAAATCGCTCAAGTTGCAACTATTTCAGCTAATGGTGATACTCACATTGGTAACTTATTAGCTTCTGCCATGGAAAAAGTTGGTAAAGAAGGTGTTATTACCGTCAAAGAAGGTAAAACTTTAGAAGATGAATTAGAAGTTACTGAAGGTATGAGATTTGACAGAGGTTTCATCTCTCCTTACTTCATTACTGATACCAAATCAGGTAAAGTTGAATTTGAAAATCCATTAATCTTATTAAGTGAAAAGAAAATCAGTACTATTCAAGATATCTTACCATCATTAGAATTATCAAACCAACAAAGAAGACCTTTATTGATCTTAGCTGAAGATATCGATGGTGAAGCTTTAGCTGCTTGTATTTTAAACAAATTAAGAGGTCAAGTTCAAGTTTGTGCTGTTAAAGCTCCAGGTTTCGGTGATAACAGAAAAAACATCTTAGGTGATATTGCTATCTTATCAGGTGGTACTGTCTTCACTGAAGAATTAGACATCAAACCAGAAAACGCTACTGTTGATTTATTAGGTAGCTGTGGTTCAATTACCATCACCAAAGAAGACACCGTTATCTTAAACGGTGAAGGTTTAAAAGATAACATCCAAAGTAGATGTGAACAAATCAGACAAGCTATTGGTGATTCACAAACTACTGAATACGAAAAAGAAAAATTACAAGAAAGATTAGCTAAATTATCAGGTGGTGTCGCTGTTGTCAGAGTTGGTGGTTCATCAGAAGTTGAAGTTGGTGAAAAGAAAGATAGATATGATGATGCTTTAAATGCCACTAGAGCTGCCGTTCAAGAAGGTATCTTACCAGGTGGTGGTACTGCTTTAATCAAAGCTTCTAAAATTTTAGATCAAGTTAAAGAAAAAGCTGAAAACTTTGATCAAAAATTAGGTGTTGATATTATCAAATCAGCTATTACTAAACCAGCTAGAAGAATTATTGAAAATGCTGGTGAAGAAGGTGCTGTTATTGTTGGTAAAATCTACGATGAACCAGATTTCAACAAAGGTTATGATTCATCTAAAGGTGAATTCACCGATATGATTGCCAGTGGTATCATTGATCCATTCAAAGTTGTTAAAAATGGTTTAGTTGATGCTAGTGGTGTTGCTTCATTATTAGCTACTACTGAATGTGCTATTGTTGAAGCTCCTCAAGGTCCAGCTCCTGCTGCCCCAGCCGGTGGTATGGGTGGTATGGGTGGTATGCCAGGTATGGGATTCTAATCCAACCTGATTGTCCGTTCTTTAGACACTCCTCTGTAAATAGTTTTAATCCAGGAGTTTACTTTTTCCTTATCTGATTCGCATCTCAAATCAAATTCTAAAAACTCTCATCTCAATGTTTGAGGACATAACCACAAATTATTACCAGAAATGTGGAGAGGATGGGTCTGCTTTGACCGAAGACTTGCTACGATTTCGTGAGATTAATCTAAGGCTATCCAAATTAAAGGAGCAAAAAATGCTTCCCCGAGAGATCACCACCAAGATTACAAAACCGAAACATAAAAGACATTTTTTAAGGAGGTTAAGAGATGAGTTCAGAGATTTAGTTCGACCAGAAGAAACATTCGAAATATGGAATCAAGAGAACCTTAGAACTTATAGAGTTCATTCCGAAGTTAAAGAATTAAATGACGATTTAATGATAGATATATTAACACAAGCACTCGATGAAGACTTTGATGATTATGATAATCATAGGATAAAAGAATTACAGGACAAACTCATGGATATTGGGAAGCGGAAATTAGTTGACTCACTGTCTTCAGAATATTTACTTAGAACTAATGGATTTGAAATAATACCCCATCAAAGAAATATTACGGACCATTATAGATATCACTTACACAACTTGACCATCTTCCTACATTTGTCAATGGCCAAAGATAATTGGGACGTAGCATATAAAATATTCTGTTTGATTCTAAGAATGCCTGATTTAGATATACGGAATTTTTGGTCTTTAGGAGTGGAAATTTTGAAACAAAAGGCAATGAGATCGAATTTTAAATTATTTACTTCAAAACAGCAAAGGTTTTTCACTTGGTTAGTTTCATTTTATGTTTTGAAATTCAAAAATCCATCATACAATTCCTTGGCTCCGATATACAAGTCAGGAAGTTTGACAAGGGTACCAATTTATTTCATTACTTCCTTGTGGTCACTTTTATCACAAAATGACTACAAGAAAGTCATTGATGACGTTGAAGGTTTAATACTTATTCGTCCGTATGATACCGATGGTACTTTACATTTCATTTTGACTGTGAGTTATTTAATGCAAACGACAAAACTTTCATCGGACTATGAAATGGCCAATAACTCCTCTCGAAGTGATTTGTATCTCAAGATCACCAAGAATTTCAGAACCATAGAAAAATATTTGGAGAAATGTGACAAACTAGATTTTCAATACCCTAGAGACTTAATTGACGAGCAAATTAAGTATATAACGGATACTCTTGCCAGAGCAGATAATCAAGATAATGAAAACAGCTTAGATTCAACAGACGATTACGACAATGAAAGCGATGAAGATACGAATGATAACGAAATTGACATGGATGAAACTAGAATAATTGATAATGACTTCATACCAACACAGGTAGATCAAAACAGCTCACAACTTTCAGCTAAGAAAGGAGTAAGGTTTGCAGAGCATCCAATGACACCACCACGAATGAAAGCAGGTGAATTCTCCGATGAAGAAGCATTGAAACCTTCACAGGTTCCAAGCGATGAGGAGATCGAGTTCACTGATGACGAAGACCAATTCAAACCCTCACAGATTCCTAGTGACGAAGAGATCCAGTTCTCTGAAGATGAGATGAAACCATCACAAATACCTAGCGACGAGGAAATTGAATTCTCTGATGACGACATGAAACCTTCACAAATACCAAGTGATGAAGAAATAGTGTTTTATGAAGATGACACCAAAGTTCAAGTACCACAATCATCCCAAATAGAAGAAATCGATTTTGATTTCGATTAATAGCATAATGTACAATACTTTATTTCTTTCTCACATTTAATATATGTACGGATTTGTATGACAAATACGAAGCATGCACGGAATTAAAAATAGGTCCTAGACCATGATTAGCTGATGAACGAAGACAGGTCATAGGGAGAGAGGTTAACGGAAATTATGCCCAACCAATCACAATGCTCAGCTGGTTGATTTGAAAGGCATATCCCGTATAATAAACCCGCAGCATTTGTCAAACATTCCATCCCAAGGTACGCTAATTCGAGAAGGAAAAAAGGTCAATTTTTGACATCCCCTCAAAGTTCATACAAATGTCTGTCATAAACCTTCAAAGATGTTTTCCAAGCATATCAATCTGAAAATATGACCAAGAAGAAATGGTCTGTAGGATTTGAGGATTGCGTGTTGAGAATCGGCTAACAAATTCCTAATTGGGAACCTTTAATTCCGTCCAACAAGCCCGTTCAAAAAAAATGATTACAAATTATTTAACCATGGATGCGGCTTATAGGAGGAGGTACTATGGAAATATGTTCAAACAATTTTCTCTATAAATGGCTCCCAAATACCATGTATCTTAGTATAAATATCCAGCTATACCTCTAAGAATTTTCAAGATTAAAAAGCAATGGGTATAAGCATTTTTGTAAGAGACAGTTTTTGGGGTAGGCTCATCTACCACTTATCTAGTCACAAGTATTTCTACCACAAGGAAGAAAGTCTCGATTATGTCATCCCAGATAAATATCTTCAAAAAGTGATGTCAGTAGAATCTGACAACAATAAAGCTGAAGTCAACAACGAACAAGGCGTCCAACTTGAATCCGATAATTCTGGGACGACTTCTTCAGATGAAAGAATCATCGTAACTTGGGATGGAGAAGATGATCCAAACAATCCAAAGAACTGGCCAATGTATTTAAAAGTGTTGATCATAATACAAGTTTGCTTTTTGACAATTGTGGTGTACATGTCATCAGCTATCTTCACCCCGGGAATTGAAGTTATGATGGAGGATTTAAAAATTTCACGAGTTGAAGCAACTTTGCCCATGACTATGTTCGTTATTGGTTACGGTATCGGACCAATGTTCTTGAGCCCAATGAGTGAAAGTGCAGTCTTCGGCAGAACCAACATTTATATCATCACTTTGTTCTTATTTTTCATTTTACAGATCCCTATTTCGATTGTCAATAACATAGGAGGATTGGCTGTTTTGAGATTCTTCAGTGGAATTGTTGCTAGTCCTTCATTAGCAACCGGTGCGGCTTCTATGGGAGACATTACCAAGATGCCATATTTGCCCATCACCATTGCTATTTGGTCGGTATCAGCAGTTTGTGGGCCATCACTAGGCCCAATATTTGGATCGGTTTTGGTCATCAAGAGGGATTGGCATTGGACTTTCTGGTTGATTGCAATGACTTCGGGGATTTCTTTGATTATATTCAGCATATGCTTACCCGAAACCTTTGAAAAGACCTTACTCTTAAGGAAAGCCAGAAGGTTAAGGAAAGTCACAGGTAATCCAAATATAGTCAGTGAAGGAGAATTGGAAAACGAAAACCTCAATATCAGGGAAATGACTGTTGACATTTTATGGAGACCTTTTGAAATTAGTTTCTTTGAGCCTGTGGTATTGTTGATTAACATCTACATTGCCTTGATATACTCCATGATCTATCTTTGGTTCGAAGCTTTCCCCATCGCCTATTTGGAAACTTACCATTTCACTTTGGTCACCATGGGAGTTGCATACATGAGTGTAGCAGTAGGAGTCTTTGTGGGTGCTTCAATCTATGTCGTTTTGATCTACAAAAAATTTATCATCCCATTCTTCGAACAGAAACCAATTTCTCCCGAGACATTCATTCCTATCATGATTGTTGGCTCTATTATTATGCCAATGGGGATTTTTGTATTCGGCTGGACTGTCAGTCCAGATACCCATTGGATTGGATCCATGATAGGAGCTGGGTTATTTTCTGTTGGATCATTTATCACTTTCCAATCTTCATTCTTGTACTTGGCTAATTCTTTTCCTAGATACTTAGCTTCAGTATTCGCCGGTAATGCATTATTCAGATCAGACATTGCTGCCGTTTTCCCCTTATTTGGTGATGCATTATTCAACAATTTAGCCACTGAAAAGTTCCCTGTTGGTTGGGGTTCTTCTGTTATTGCTTTCATTTGTGTGGGTATGATCTTGGTACCTGTTTTGTTCTACTTGAACGGACCGAAGTTAAGAGCCAGATCTAAATATTCAGGTTTTCACCATCGTTAATACCCAACATTTAGTATTGTAATAGTTTGTAATTTTAATAAATATCGTGATTCACCAAGAGATAACTCATGTAGAAGCTTAATAAGCAGCCTAACGTTTTACTAAATATTTTAGTCTCCGTGCTTTAAAGCCTTACGTCGCCCGAATGAGATCTTCGCATAAACTGAAAAAGGTAATATCGTGTACAAGCCCCTCAAGATGACAAATATTTTTGGCACACCCACCATGTTATAACGGAACTTAAGTTGATTCCGAAAGGACTATGATTCATGATTTGGCATTCAACCCTATCGATTCAGAAAGTTACGTAAAATCATATTGCCCGTGGAGTGCAGCGGTGATATTAAAACCCTTTGCAGATTTCCTTGCCCTTATAATTGAATATCTCTCGAACGATAGAATGAATTTTACATATTCAATTTCGGAGGGCAATTTTTCCTCCGTTTCCATCTCTCGGAGCCCCTTGGAAATCTAATTAAATTTAGTTAGCCTTGTTACCCCATTGAGAATTTTCCGAATCTCACCAATGCACGATTGCAAATGATTACAAATGTTTCTTCTCATCCATGTCAGCCGCAACTCGATTGTTGCGCTGAATTTGGGAATTTACCTGTATGTAGACAATTATAAGCTATGAACTACCTTTGATGATTTATAATACAAAACACTATAAATATGTTTGGATTTCCCCCTAAAATTATCATAGCATGAGTAACTTAAATAGATTTGTAAGAGACAGTTTTTGGGGTAGAATTGTCTACCATATATCGGGACATAAATTCTTTTATCACCAAGAAGAAAGTCCAGATTATGTAATTCCTGATAAGTATTTGGAAGAATTAAAGAAAGTTGATACTAATAATAGCAAACCTGAAGCTGTTATACCTGAACGTAATGATTCTACTGAAACGACTAACTCCGATGATAAGACCTTATACAACGATAATAGAATAATAGTAGGATGGGATGGCGATGATGATCCAGAAAATCCAAAGAATTGGCCAATATTCGAAAAATCCTTGGTTATATTTCAAATTTGTTTTTTAACTACTGTTGTGTACATGTCATCAGCTATTTTCACTCCTGGTATTGAAAGTATGATTGAAGATTTACAAGTGACAAGAGTCAAAGCAACCTTACCGTTAACCATGTTTGTTATTGGTTATGGTATAGGACCAATGTTCTTAAGTCCTTTAAGTGAAAACGCTGTTTTCGGAAGAACCTACATCTACATTATCACATTGTTCATCTTTTTCATTTTGCAAATTCCAATTTCCTTGGTGAACAACCTTCCTGCTTTAGCAACTTTGAGATTTTTCAGTGGTTTAGCTGCAAGTCCATGTTTAGCAACCGGTGGAGCTTCAATGGGGGATATAACAAACATGCCTTACTTACCATTAACAATTGCTTTATGGTCAATTTCCGCTGTTTGTGGACCTTCTTTAGGGCCTTTGGTTGGAAGTGTCTTGGTGATCAAAAGAGACTGGCATTGGACTTTCTGGTTAGTTGCAATGACTTCCGGTATTGCTTTGACTGTTTTTAGTTTCTGTTTACCAGAAATGTTCGAAAAAACCTTACTTTTAAGAAAAGCTAAAAGATTGAGAAAGGTTACTGGAAACCCAAACATTGTCAGTGAAGGTGAATTAGAAAATGAAGGTTTAACCGTTAGACAGTTAGCTGTTGATACTTTATGGAGACCAATCGAGATAACACTCTTTGAACCTGTTGTTTTAATGATCAACGTTTACATTGCGTTAGTTTACTCGATCATGTATCTTTGGTTTGAAGCTTTCCCAATCGCATACATAGGCACATACCACTTTAGTTTGATTGCTATGGGTACAACTTATTTAAGCGTTGCTGTTGGTGTTTTGCTTGGTGCAGTCATCTACATGTTTTACATCTACAAAAAGTTTGTTATTCCTTTCCGTAATAATGAACCTATTTTACCTGAAGTTTTCATTCCAATTATGATTGTTGGTTCAGTATTCATGCCAATCGGTGTTTTCATCTTCGGTTGGAGTGTCAGTACTGAGACACATTGGTTTGGATCATTGGTAGGTGGTGCTTTATTTGCTGTTGGTGCCTTCATCATTTTCCAATCATCATTTTTATACTTAGCTAATTCTTTCCCAAGATACTTAGCTTCTGTATTTGCCGGTAATGCCTTATTTAGATCAGACATCGCTGCCGTTTTCCCATTATTCGGTGATGCATTATTTAATAATTTAGCCACAGAAAAGTTCCCAGTTGGTTGGGGTTCATCCATCTTGGGATTTATCAGTGTTGGGATGATCGCTATCCCAGTACTATTTTATTTAAATGGTCCTAAGTTAAGGGCAAGATCAAAATATTCTGGCTACACCTAATAAACATCCAATAGGAAAAAGGTTCACGACTAAAGTTTTAACAACATGGTGATTAATTTTTGAATCCTTCATATGGGAGATTGATGAGCACAGCCAAGGATTTAGTAAATATTTAGTCGTCGGGGTTTAAAGCCTTACATGAGCCGGCACCATATGTGATTTACTTGCAAACAGGGTGCAGGATTATCGTATATATACCCCTTAAGACCTCTTTTATTGTTAGTGATCCGACCATATGTCCATATCACAAACTGAGATAGGTTACTTAGTAGATTTAATAGACAAGTTTTTCTGGCATCTAATATCTTAATTCACTGAAACCTAGCATTAAATTTTCAGCATTTTCGTCTAGAAATAGTGACATCAAGTATGCTTGCACCGAAGATTAAGTGCCCTTTTCTTCGATAGGACTTTTTTAGCGGCGAATTCACCTTCACCTTCGGTTCACAATCTATTAATCGACAATCTAGATCACTAAATTTAAGTTAAGCTTGTTTCACTTTTGTGATTTTTTCCCCAATATCTGCCATTTACGATTACAAATGATTACAAATGCTTATTTTAGTCTTTCTAAGTCACGATTGACTGTGTATAGCCAGCTCACAAGCTATTTGATACCGTTCATGATTTACCATCTAAATCAGTATAAATTCAATTTCGATTGCCTGTAAAGTAAATCGAATAATGACTTATTGTAATAGATTTGCAAGAGACTGTTCTTGAGGTAGAATTATCTACGCTAAATCGCGACAAGAATTCTTTTATCAAGAAGGGAACCCCGATTATGTAATTCCTGAAAAGTATTTGGAAGAATTGAAGAAAGTTGATACTAATAACGTAATCCGAGTATGTGATTGTAAGTCCTTAGCGTAATCATTTAACTGGCACAAGTTCTGACGATGATGATTCCTGCGAAAAATTAGTAGAATAGTTGTAGAAGGATATGAATCCACAAAACTCAAAGAACTGGTGGATGCCATAGAAATCCTTGGTTTATTTGCAACTTTTGTTTCTTAACTGCCGTTGTGCAAATCTTTTCGGTCATTTCCACTCCCGAGATTGGAAGTATTAGAAATGTTCACAGATATTGAGAATCGAAGCAACATTATCTTTAACTAGGTTCATTATGGGCTATGAAATCGGACCAATATTCTTGAGCCCCATGAGCAAGAATGCTATCTTTAGGAGAACATAAATTCACATGATTACATTGTTCATCTTTTTCATTTTTCACATTCCAATTTCTTCAGTGAACAACTGACCCGCTCCAGCTACTAGGAGGTTCTTCAGTGGATTAATCGCCAATCCATGTTCAACCATTGGGGGTGCTTCAATGGGGGATGACACGAACATGCTTTATTTGTAATTAACAATTGATTTGTGGTCGACTTTGTATTCAGTTTCTGTTTACCCAAACTTTCAAGAACTCCTTGCTTTTAAGAAAAGGCAAAATATAAACGTAGGCTACCGGTGACACAAACTCATTCAGCGAAGTTGAATTAAAATACAAGGAATGGAATTTCAGATATTTAACTGTTGACACCTTATGAAGATCAATCCAGATAACGGCTTTTGAACCTGTTGACTTATTAATCAACCTTTAAATTTCGTTGATTTAGTCAATCAAGTTCGAAGCTTGCCCAATTGCATACATATGAACCAACGTTTCCAGTCTAATCGCTATGGGTGCTGCCTATTTGAGCGTGTTTGTTGGTGTGTTGATTGGTGCATCCATTTGCATGTTCTACACTCACAAACAACTTTTTATGCCATTTCCCAAGAACAAATCTAGTATTCCTGAGGTTTACACCTCAATTATAAATATAGGCGCTATTATTATGTTAATGGTTGTGTTTGTTTTGGCAGGAATGTCATTATTGAAACTCATTGGTTTGGATTATTAGTAGGTGGAGCTTTATTTGCTTTTGATGCCTTCATTAACTTCAAATCTTAATTCTTATACCTTGCTGACTCATTCCCAAGGTACATGGCGTCAGTATATGCCTTGTTCATATCGGACATTGCTGCCGTTTTCCCCTCATTAGGTGATGCTCAATTAAGCTATCGAAAAGCTTTTTGTTGCCTGTGGTACATCTGTTCTAGGATTTATCAGTGTTGGGTTCATATCTATACCACTGTTATTATACTCGAAAGATCTTAAATTAAGAGCCAGATTCAAATACTTCGGTCTCACTCAATAAACTTTTAGAACGAGGAGAGTGATTTATAGCTCAAAATATCACAGCAAGTCGTGAGTAACCTCGAAGTTACTAATGGAAATAGTTAGTAAGCAGTTTGAAGGCTTTTTCTACATAAGTGTATCTCCGTGATTTAAGGCCTTTTACAGACGGTGCTAATTGAGGTGTGCATATATACGGTTGACATAGGGTAGGAGCCCCTGAAGATGACAAACCTTTGATTGACCCGTCATAAAACCGTGGAGTAAACTGAGAGGGTACCAAAAATATCAAATAATATGAATTACAATTTGGTTTTCATTATTTTCAGTTTAGAACGCATATGCTACTAAATTCCTCGCTTTACTAAGCATATAGGTTAAAGATTTTACATATGCTACATTAGTTGAACCGACAACGAGAAACCTCCCATTTCCGACACACGAAACCGACTAATTTGACACATTTCAGTAGCCTTGTTAGTCCCAAGCACGATTACAAATACTTGTTTCCGTCCGCATTTATTTTTTCTTCCCTAATTGGGAATTTACCTGTATGTAGACAATTTATAAGCTATGAACTACCTTTGATGATTTATAATACAAAACACTATAAATATTTTGAATTGCCCCTAAAATTATCATAGCATGAGTAACTTAAATAGATTTGTAAGAGACAGTTTTTGGGGTAGAATTGTCTACCATATATCGGGACATAAATTCTTTTATCACCAAGAAGAAAGTCCAGATTATGTAATTCCTGAAAAGTATTTGGAAGAGTTGAATAAAGTTGATACTAATAATAGCAAACCTGAAGCTATTATACCTGAACGTAATGATTCTACTGAAACGACTAATCCCGACGATAATACTTTATACAACAATAATAGAATAATAGTAGGATGGGATGGTGATGATGATCCAGAAAATCCAAAGAATTGGCCAATATTTGAAAAATCATTGGTTACATTTCAAATCTGTTTTTTGACTACTGTTGTATACATGTCATCAGCTATTTTCACTCCTGGTATTGAAAGTATGACCGAGGACTTGGGGGTTACAAGAGTCAAAGCCACTTTACCTTTAACTATGTTTGTCATCGGATATGGTATAGGACCAATGTTCTTAAGTCCTTTAAGTGAGAACGCTGTTTTCGGAAGAACCTACATCTACATTATCACATTGTTCATCTTTTTCATTTTGCAAATTCCAATCTCCTTGGTGAACAATCTTCCTGCTTTAGCAACTTTGAGATTTTTCAGTGGTTTAGCTGCAAGTCCATGTTTAGCAACCGGTGGGGCTTCAATGGGAGATATCACAAACATGCCTTACTTACCATTAACAATTGCTTTATGGTCAATTTCCGCTGTTTGTGGACCTTCTTTAGGACCTTTAGTAGGAAGTGTTTTGGTAGTTAAGAGAGACTGGCACTGGACCTTTTGGCTAGTTACTATGACCTCCGGTATTGCTTTGACTGTTTTTAGTTTCTGTTTACCAGAAACGTTTGAAAAAACCTTACTTTTAAGAAAAGCTAAAAGATTGAGAAAGGTTACTGGAAACCCAAACATTGTCAGTGAAGGTGAATTAGAAAATGAAGGTTTGAGCGTCAGGCAATTAGCTATTGACACATTTTGGAGACCAATCGAGATAACGCTTTTCGAACCTGTTGTGTTGTTAATCAATCTTTATATTGCATTGATTTACTCAATCATGTACCTTTGGTTTGAAGCTTTCCCAATCGCATACGTAGTGACCTACCACTTCAGTTTGATTGCTCTGGGTACCACTTATTTAAGTACTGCAGTTGGTGTTTTGTTCGGGGCAGTCATTTACCTGTTCTACATTTACAAAAAGTTTGTTATTCCTTTCCGTAATAACGATCCTATTGTTCCTGAAGTTTTCATTCCAATCATGATTGTTGGTTCGGTCTTCATGCCAGTTGGTATATTCATCTTTGGATGGACTGTCAGTACTGAGACCCATTGGTTTGGATCATTGGTAGGCGGTGCTTTATTTGCAGTTGGTGCCTTCACCATCTCCCAATCAGCGTTCTTATACTTAGCTAATTCTTTCCCAAGATACTTAGCTTCTGTATTTGCCGGTACTGCCTTATTTAGGTCGATTATCGCTGCCGTTTTCCCATTATTCGGTGATGCATTATTCAATAATTTAGCTACTAAGAAGTTTCCAATCGGTTGGGGTTCATCTGTCTTAGGATTTATCAGTGTTGGAATGATCGCAATCCCCGTATTGTTCTACTTGAATGGACCTAAATTAAGAGCCAGATCTAAATACTCCGGTTTCGCTTAATAGACACCCAGCATCGGGAGAGTGTTTAAATAGCTCAAAATGTCACCGTAAGTCGTTAACAACCTTTAAGTTACTAATGTGAAAATTTAGTAAGCAGGTTAAAGGGTTTTTATAGATAAGTGTATCTCCGTGATTAAAAAGCCTTTAACAGGCGGTGTTAACTGAGGTTTGCATAATTGTGAGGAGTATCGGACATGAGCCCCTGAAGATGACAAACCTTTTTGGTGATCCTGCCACACATCCATAGAACGGGCTGACAGAGCACTTAATAGAATATTTAATAACATTAATCTACAATTTAACTTTCATGCTTCTATCTTCAGAAATCTGCTTAAAATATTTCTTTGCTCAGGGCCTCTTTATCAGCAAATTCTTCGCTTCAATAAGCATCTTTGTGCTATATTCTTAGAACGATACGGACAAACTTCACATTCCTGACATCCGAAGCTGACCAAATCGATATACTTCGGTAGCCTTGTTAGTGCCAAGTACGATTACAAATGCTTATTTTAGCCCGCATTTATTTTGTTCTTCTCTAATTGGTAAGTTGAATAATCCCGCCTATGATTTATAATACAGAGCACTATAAATACATTTGAATTTCCACCTAGAACTACTATAGCATAATGAGCAATTTGAATAGATTTGTTAGGGATAGTTTCTGGGGTAGGGTTATCTATCATTTATCAGGTCATAAACTTTTCCACCATCCATAAGAAAGTCCGGATTATGTAATTCCTGAAAAGTATTTGGAAGATTTGAAGAAAGTTGATACTAATAATAGTAAATCTGAGGTTTTTGTTCCTGAACGTGATGATTCTACCAACGCAAGTAATTCTGACGATAAAACCCAGCACAATGACGAGAGAATAATTGTAGGATGGGGTGGTGATGATTATCCAGAAAATCCAAAGAATTGGCCATTACCAGAAAAAATATTCGTTATTTTCCAAATTTGTTTCTTAACTACTGTTGTTTATATGGCTTCTGCTATATTCAGTCCCGGTATTGAAAGTATGATGGAAGACTTGCAGGTATCTAGGGCCAAAGCAACATTCCTTTAACTATGTTCGTTGTCGGATACGGTATAGGGCCAATGTTCTGAAGTCCAATGAGTGAAAATGCTATCTTTGGGAGAACTTACATTTATATAATTACAACATTCATCATCTTTATTTTACAAATTCCGATTTCTTTAGTCAACGACCTTCCTGCTTTAGCAACTTTGAGGTTCTTCAGTGGATTGGCAGCCAGTCCCTGTTTGGCTACTGGTGGAGCTTCTATGGGGGATATCACTGATATGCCTTATTTGCCATTAACCATAGCCTTATGGTCGATTTCAGCTGTTTGTGGTCCATCATTAGGACCCTTAGTCGGAAGTATTTTAGTAATTAAGAGAGACTGGCATTGGACCTTTTGGCTAGTGGCCATGACAACAGGTATTGCTTTGACTGTTTTCAGTTTCTGTTTGCCGAAGACTTTCGAAAAGACTTTGCTTTTAAGGAAAGCCAAAAGATTAAGAAAAGTCACTGGAAATCCAAAGTGATGCATTATTCAATAATTTAGCCACTGAAAAGTTCCCTGTTGGTTGTGGCACATCGATTCTAGGATTTATTAGCGTTGGCATGATCGCTATACCGGTTTTATTTCACTTGAATGGTCCTAGATTAAGAGCCAGATCAAAATACGCTGATGTTCGCCAATAAGAGAGAAACTTGAGGATGGTCATATAATTCAAGTTGATAGATTCACTGTTTTACATCTCGGAAGATGCACATATTCACTGGTTAGCTTCTTAGTGTATAGATTAAAATTAATGTCATATATTCATAATTAAAACGTTCAATCCTCACTATTTGATTGATTTTGGTGGAAATTAGGGTCAATTATGTTGAGTTCACGTCCTGGTTCTCTTGTTCTCATGACCATATTAATGGTAGTATGATGATTGATTCTTATCTCATAGTTAGAACCGGGTATAATTGCTCTGGAAATTGGGAGAATAGTTGATCCTGGTGGGATAATAGCTGTGGTGGGTAAATTGATGTGGTGAAAGCCATCAGTGTTGGATGGCTGTTCTTGAGGTCTTGAGTTTTGATTTGAGTTTTGATTGGAAGATTGTTCATTAGAGGTTTGAGTATCCTCTTCTCTTACAGCCTCTGGTATTGGAGGACTTTCGGGACGTTCTTGGGGTGTTTCGTTATTTACTGGAGTTTCATTAGGTGGTGGGTTGGCAATATTATTGGGATCTCCGTCAATATTGAATCTTTCTCTTCTTTCAGGGATTCTTGTTTCTCTCATATTTCTCATATTTCTTAAAGTTTCTTCAAAAGTGTTCAAAGGAGGTTGCCCTAAAGGTGGAGGTGGAAGTGGAGGTGGAGGATGATGGATTCCATTTGGAGCAACGGGAGGTTCAGGAGGTGAAGATGACGACACATTAGGTTGATCTTCTGGGAAAACAGGTTGTCTACACATCGTACAGTTACCATGAGTCTCGAACCAAGGTTTAAAACAATCTAAGTGAACCATATGTTTACAAGGTAAGACTTTGACCTTTTTGGAATTGGGTAATTTCTTTTTATACTTCCTTTCGAATTGTTTGGCAGTAATCATTCTGTCTCTACAAACTGTACAAGTATCATTACCATTTCTTAAGTCATCTTCAGTAGCATCAGGTAAATGAGTTGATAATTTCGATAAACTTTGCATAATAAGTTTCAATTGCTTGAACTCATTGAAAGCATTAGCAGCACTACCAATAATACCTTGAATGACATTGAAAGGTAAAATCATTGAACTATGATAAATCAACAAATAAAGGAATCCAAGATACGATACACATCTTAAACAAGCACTGATGAAATCAATCCCTTTACTATATATAGGTTTAGACTCCCAAATTTTATCATGAATTTGTTCAAGATTATCAGAATCAACTTCTTCATCTTGTTCATCTTCCCCATCCTCATTGAGTTCCACATCAGAATCAAATTCAAAATCTTCATCGTTGTTAGGATAGACAACTTGTTCGTAAACAGTTAAAATGGTTTGACAGAGAGTAGTTAAACATTTCAAACCCAACATAGCAAATTCGAAACCAAATAAAAGACAAATAACGGAATTAATACCTTGGAAAACATCAAAAAATAAGAATTTAGCCATTAACAAATCCATGGAGAAGAAGATGATATTGATATAATATATCTTACTTTTCAAATATAACAATGATACCTCCCATTTAGTGTGTGAACCATCAATCAATGTATTGGCTATAGTAACGTTAATGTGATCGATTCTATCGAAAAGAATCGAATGGAGGATTTTAGACAATAAACTTGTCATGAACAAAAAACACTTCAACATCAAATTTTTATCTTGGACTGTGAAAGTAAGAAGCAAGTTGATGATGAATTGTACTAACCTTTCATAGATATGGGTCTTTTCGATGTTCCTAAGCTCACCAAATAATAAATATTGGAGGAATAAACCAACCATAATGAAGCCACATAATATAGTATTAAAAACTACCCCTAAATTAAATCCTTCAGTTAATCTAAATAACAAAGTGAAATAATTATTGGAATTATTCCTAGCATCATAGATCGTATACCCTAGAGCAATTGATGACAACAACCCATAAGCGGATAGATACTTAACAGGTGAATCCATGGGATCTTGTGAGTGAAAAGTGCGGTTGAGATCTAAAAAGTGCGGGACCGATTAAGGGTAATACATCTATTATACATACTATACATTTTGTAGTCATGATGGTGAACTTGTCATAGTAGATAGCCCCATTGACTACTCGATTCGTTGTCTTTTATCAGACAAGTTCTCCTTATCTTCATAACTTCCCTTTTTGGAAGGACTCTTATCTTTTGGGAATTTCCTTTTCAAACTTCTTAAGTCTATACCTTCATTCTCTGCCAATTTAGAATTAATCTGATTAATATCGTTGAATAATGGCACAATCTCACTCAAATTTTCCATGTCTTTGGAAAAATCCTTTGATAAATTAGTTAAATTCTCAACAATTGTATTATTGATGGAATTCTTCAAATCAGTAGAAGTTTTGGTGATTGAAAGTTGATTATTTTCAGTAAGAACATTAAAGTTTTCTTTGAATTCTTGGAAATTATTGAACACTTTGTCAATCAAATGATGACTATTTGAATTCCAATTATTTGTTTTAGCAATTATAGTGGATTTATTCTCTTGCATGAATTTTGATGAATAATCAATCATTTCATTCTCTATTAATTTACCCATCATACCAAATTCATTATTCAAAAGGTTTTGGAACTTCCCGAGAAATTCTTGTTTGAAATCTTGTAGTTTCTTATTCACTGATTGGTCGATGAATTTAGATATTAATGAATTATAGTCAATTGAATAATTGATCAAAAATTCATTCAAATTTTTATTTATACCAGCAATCCTTTCGAGATTCTTTGTTTGTTGATCGGAGAATTGTTTAAACGTTTCATCATTATTATTCAAATCATTTATCAATTCAATTAAATAATTAGGTAAGTCTTTCAAACTATTATTTATCTCTTCACTAATCTTACCATGATTATTATTAAAGTTTAACTTCAACATCATTAAATTATCTTTCAATGATCTGTTCAATTCATGTAGTTTACTATTATTTGACATGTTAGTAGAGTTATCATCTAATAATTTTTCGATTAGATTGAGTGAATTCAAAGCATCATCCTTTTGTTGATTGATTTTCTTCTGTAGAATCAAATTCTTATCATTTAAATCATGGAGTTGGTCATTAGTGGCTATTTCTTTGGTCTTCAATTGATTATTTTCATCTTCAAGTATGTTGATTTTGCTTTCAAACAGTTTAACTTTCAGTTTCAATTCTAATATTTCGTTTCTATTGGAATTATTCTCCTCTACTAACTTGTTGTAGTTATTTTCATTCATATAAATACCATTTTTATTTCTGGTAGAGATCAAATCATTATTTAACTTAATAATCTCATTAGATAAATCTTTGATTAACGTTTGTTTCATAATCACAGAGAAATCTTTACCTAATTGAGGTTTATTTTCGATATTTCTGACTTTCAAAGAATATTCTAAGGTTGATAAAGTTTCTTCACAATTAATTTTTGCTGGAGATATCGTTGAAATCAATAAGGTTTTGGTCTTCCCACCTAATGAATCTTGTAGGAATCTTGTTAACTTACTCTCTCTATAAGGTATATGATTAGTGGATATTTTATTACTCAATGAATTGATAACTCTTCCTAGGGTCAATAAACTTTGATTAATTGAACCCGCTTCTTTGGCTCTTTGATTTATTGATCCTGACTTATTAATATTTTCCAGTCCTGCCAAATCTACCAAATTTATCTTTGAGTATCGGAAGAATTCATGATCCTTTGTTTTCTTAAATAAATGAATTGTGAATATCGTATGTGATCTTGAAGAAAAATTATTAAGTTTTGTTGATGCAACTTTCCTTTTATTCAAACCTGACTTCAAAACATTGAATCCTGAAGTTAAATCGTTGATACAAACTTCTTTCAAATTCGATATGGTGATAGATTGTGAAGAATTATTTTTATTCTCGAATATCTTTAAACTCTTTTCATCATCATCTAACAAATCCTTAAGGTTTTCATTATATAATTCAATAAAGGAGCATTTGATCATGAAATCTTCGTTATCGTTGATTTTCTCGAACAAATCACTAATTATTCTCGGTATTATCCCACTATTCTTATGTATAAATCCAGAATCATTGATTTCGTCATCTTCTTTTCCATACATGGTATATGTTTTACCAGTTCCTGTTTGTCCATAGGCCAAAATGGTGACATTAAATCCATTTAAGAAATCTTTGAATAAGGGAGTTACTACTTTTTCGAATATCAACCCTTGATCAGCCAATGGACCATAAATCTGATCGAAATTATAAGTTTTAGAATCAATAGAATTGATAATCTTTTGACTCAATTGACTGGAGGTGTTTTGATTTATAGTGATGGTGGGATGAGCAATTGAATAAGTATCTGACGGTAACTCCACTATAACTTGGGATTTGGCGTTCAATTCTCGTGCATTTCGTCCCCTACACCGTACAACCACTTGGATGTTGGACATGTTTGATAAGATTTATTTGTTTACAAAAAATGCGCGATCCTGATGAGATCAGATAATGGGGTTATGAGGTCGGGATGGTGATAGAGGGAGAGTGGAGGTTTGGGTTGGGTAGTTAGGGGAGTGGAACCAGTGGCGGAGGAAGGGTAGATGGAAGTTCACGAAGGTGGAGATTTGAGATTTGGTTGGTGTAGTTCCGTATATGTAGGGTTAATTGAAGTCTTGACGTGTAAATGTCATTTGACGTGATGCCTGGACTCTTGTTTTGCCTGGTATAACAGTTTGACTACTGACAGGTCCTTCAGTCATCCGAAACCCCAAAAACCTTATAAACAAACTATTCACCTTCAAAAAATCCCCTAAATGTAGCACCATCCATCATTGCATCCCTTTAACCCAGAATGGACCGCATTCAGCCTACTTTATACTCCGGAATTCTCAAGTGTATCTGTAATAACCTCATATCTCATAATCTAAAGTGTATCGTACATTACTCTATTACATTAATCGAAGAAATCATCTTCATCATCACTTAATTCTCTTCTATTGAAAACAATCTTGGACTCGTTCTTCTTTTCGTCTCTGGATAAACTATTCAAGATCTCTACAATATCATTCTCACTTAACTTCTTGGAAATAGATCCCATGGAAATCAATTTGATGATATAGTTTTCAACTGCCTCAGCTCTATCAGGTCTAACGATTCTGACTCTACTTAATCTTTCTCTAGCACTAATATCTAATGCTTGATTCAACATAGTTATTTTCATATCATTTTGAGGAGTTTGTTGTTGGTTTTGTAACTCTTTTAATCTAGCTTCTCTTATAGCTTGTAATTCATTATCTTCCATGATGATTCTATGGTACCGCACAGAATTTTTCAGTCTTTTAGCTGGTAACAGTACACGACCCGTAAATTCCTATCAATCATAAAATGAAGGATATCGATAGGAAAGAAGAGAATAGAGCAGGTGGTGGGTATTTATAGGTGATCAAGAGAATATGGGGATTCCCACGAATTAAAATAAAGGAAATCAAAGATGCAGCGTAGAAAAACGTTGATATCTCATGAATAACCACGGAAGAAAAGTTCTAAATCACCATCCAATCTCTTATACTTTGCCATCATTCAAGACCGAACCCAATTCACTGATTGTGATCTTAGTCAAACAATTCAGGGAAAATGGTAAAAGTCTGGGGTCCGGGGTAGTGAGAAGAACCTAAAGCCGATCAGGGATTAATTGGAACTATTGATGCAATCGATCGATGCATCCAACAACGCATCCCACAAAGCATACAACAAGGTACCCGACAAAGAAACTTTTTTGCCGGAACCCTTTACAACTGAGACAAACCACCCAATCGTCACTACATTGAAGAGACATAGAAATAACTGGCAAACATGTATTACGACGTAACGTTACTAGAACCAACTAAATACAGAACATCAAGAAAAACCTATTTTTCCATTGATTTGATTTCTTCAGATAATTTATCAATGGTTTCCTTTTGTTTAGCTAATTGCTCTTTTAAAGCTTTTAATTGTTCAGCTTCGTGTTTTTTGATATAAGCAGTTTCTTGAGCTTTTTCTCTGTCACTGAATTCTTTGGATGAAGCAGTAGCACCTTCACTGTTGGATAACAATGATCTTGAAGTGGAGATTGATCTAATTGATCTAATTGATGAAGTTTTAATGGATGATAATCTTAACATGATTGAATATTTAGGTGAGAGTGAGGTGAGAAAAAGATTGGTTGGAAAATTTATTTTATATACAGGGATATGACCTTTGGGCTTTACACATAAATTTACGATCAGCTGGTGGGAAGTAGCAGGGTAGGGAGTTGGAAAGTTACGGTGGACGTCTAATGCAATGTCTATTTCTGGTGTGCTATGGTTGGTGTAGTTCCGAAGATTTCTATTGAGGTTTTTGGACTTAAATATTTCTGGCAGGTAAATAATTAGTATCTTTATGAACATAACTCAATAATCCACACACTCTAGCTCTTTTGATTGCTATAGATAATTTCTTTTGATTCTTAGCTGAACATCCAGTTATTGATCTTGGTAATATCTGTCCTGTGGTAGTTAAAAATCTTGATAATATAAATGGCATGGTATATAAATCTAAAGGATTTATACCACTAACTTCAAATGGATCGATTTTTTTATTTTTTTCATATTTAATAGCCAAACTATCGATGTTTAACTTGTTCATTGAAAAATCGAAAGGATTATAATTATTACCATGTTTAAACTTCTTTGTAAATATATTTTCAATTTGTAATGAAGATTTTTGATCTTTGAAATTTGAAGAAAATTCAAATAATGAATCTAAAGATTTTTTATCAACTTTTTTAATGTTGAATTGTTGTTTCATTTCAGGAGTTGAAGGTAAAGGATTTTGAAATATCCTTTTACTGGTCGATATGAATCTTCTACCAATCATTATAATTTCACAAATTCTTCACGATGAAAATTTTCAACTTCGCACTCAACATCGAATCAGGATAACGGTGTGTTAACCATAGAAGTGAATTTATATTCCCCGTTTACCATTAAAACTTTAGTCAGAAGATAAAAGGCTAACATTCAAAATCATTCAAAAAAAAATATTAGCATTATAGAAACTTTTAAAAATGTCAGAGAGAGGACCCGACCAATGGTTAGAACAAATTAAAAAATGTATCGCTTTAACAGAGAATGATATGAAGCAATTATGTGAATTAACTAAAGAATTACTTATGGAAGAATCTAATATTCAACCAGTTTATAGTCCAGTAACTGTTTGTGGAGATATTCATGGGCAATTTCATGATTTATTAGAATTATTTAGAATCAGTGGAGGGTTACCAACCGAAGATAACAACAATAAATATATCTTTTTAGGAGATTATGTTGACAGAGGATATTTTTCATTGGAAACATTTACATTATTAATGGTTTTAAAAGTCAAATATCCCGATAGAATTACCATGGTCAGAGGTAATCATGAATCAAGACAAATTACTCAAGTTTATGGATTTTACGAAGAATGTTTAACTAAATATGGTTCAACAACTGTTTGGAAATATTGTTGTCAAGTGTTTGATTTCTTAACCTTGGCAGCAATTATTGATGGTACAGTTTTATGTGTTCATGGAGGATTATCACCAGAAATAAGAATGATGGATCAAATTAGAGTTTTAAGTAGAGCTCAAGAAGTTCCTCATGAAGGTGGATTCTGTGATTTGGTTTGGAGTGATCCAGAAAATGTTGATACTTGGGCAGTTTCTCCAAGAGGTGCTGGTTGGTTATTTGGTTCAAAAGTTTCTAGAGAATTCAATCATATTAATAATTTAAGTTTAATTGCCAGAGCTCATCAATTAGTAATGGAAGGTTTCCGTTATCATTTTGCTGATAAAGATGTTGTCACCGTCTGGTCAGCTCCAAATTATTGTTACAGATGTGGTAATGTTGCATCTGTAATGCAAATTAATGATCAATCTGAACCTGATTTTAAAATCTTTGCTGCTGTTGATGGTGATTTAGCTTTCAAACCAAATAATAATAAACAAAGTAGAGGGGATTATTTCTTATAATCCATTATTTATAATGAACAATTTAATAAGAGAATTATGCATGATGATTTAATGATTTGTATAGTTTAATAATGTTATGATTAGATGTTTAAAGTTTCTCTTAAACTTACATTTCTATGTAAATGGTCTTTTCATTGATATTGAGGGTCAGGTAAATGATGCATTAAAGGGGTTGATAATTCATGGAACCATGGATGTTGTAAAGCTTGTCTAGCAGTAATTCTTGATTCTGGTCTCATTTGTAATAAACTATTTAATAAATTTAATCCCATATTATCTAAATTTGGAATTAAAAGTCTTAAATCTTGAGGAACAAAAATTTGCCAATTATTCTTAAAATTTGGATATGATGAAACTCCTGGCCATGTTCTTTCATTAGGAGTCCCCATTAATCTAAAGATTTTCAATAATTGATCATCATTAGCAGCTCCAGGAAATAATGGTTTACCAGTACACATTTCTGCGAATATACAACCTGCTGACCAAATATCAATAGATGTGGTATAAGCTCTTGAACCTAATAAAACATCTGGTGCCCTATACCACAAAGTAACCACTTCATTTGAGAATGTATTAAAAGGGATTCCATAGGCCCTAGCTAAACCAAAATCTCCTAATTTTAATTCACCTTTATGACTTATCAATAAATTTTGAGGTTTTAAATCTCTATGTAAAACCCTATTATCATGACAAAACATTATTCCTTTTAATAATTGAAACATGAATGATTTAACGGTTTTCAAATCTAAAGCTCCATTTTTACCATGAATTTCCATATAATTCTTCAAATCTTTATCTAAATGTTCAAACACTAAAGTTAATTTATTTTCAGTATGAATAACATCGTATAAAGTAACAATATTTTCACAATCCAATTCTTTCATTAATGAAATTTCTCTAATGGCTGTTGATGGAGTCCCTTCTTCAGAATCTAAATTGATTTCTTTCAAAGCTACCAACGCACCTGTTGTACGATTTCTACCTTTATAAACTGTAGCATAAGTTCCTTCTCCCAATTTTTCAAGTTGTTGAAATCTAAATGTTAGTATCGATAACAATCTTTATTTACTGGTGATGCATTCTCCGTGTGTATAATTTACTTACTGTGACGATGATCCAACCATGGTGATAGATATCTCCTGAGAGCGCGCGAAATTTCTATTATTCTATGTAGTAAGTTAATGATCTCGAGGTGATGATTTCATAAGATTTAAAGAATTTTCTACCCAAGCATCGCCTCCACCTTCTCGTTGTAGAATATCTTTAACTTTATTATTGAATTGTTCGGGAGTGTCATCTTTAAATTTGGAATGTTTGTTGAATCCAATGATAGCTACATTTCTAGTACTAGGGATTCTTAAATATTCTTTTTCAACTATCCAGCCCATTGATTTGGTTAATTCTTCAACGTGGTCTACTAACGCAGCATAAGTTGAAGTACTATGACTATACCGTTTCTTTATACCGGATAATGCATGGGAACAACAAGGAATTACCATGAATGGGAATCCTAAAAGTGGTATCCAACAGGTTAATTCATCTGAATGATTACCGATTATGAAAGTATTCGATGGCAAATCGGTGGTGAACACATGATCTGCTGTTGATAATTTCTCTGATGAATGGAATGTCATTAAATTCTTATCATTAGCATCAGGAATTTGGAAATATTTATCTTTATCTTGTAATAAGATTGAAGGAATAATGATTTTTTCAAATAAATTATCCTTGGTTTGTTGGGGATATTGATCCCATGATTTACGTTTCCTTGCATCGATTCCTTTACCTGTAAAACCTTCCATGTGTAAAATATAAACCAATAATCCATTACCACAACCTACATCCAAGAACTCAAAATCTTTCTTGGGATACCTTGAATGCCAGAATTCTATTAAAAATGCTGCAATGGCTAAATCTTCAAAAACATGTTTTTTAGGATCAGTCTTTTCTTTCCATTCATTAACTAAATTAGATGAATATTTCTTCTTTAGACTGATATATCTGTTTTGAAATGATTCTTTGGATATAATCAAATCATGATAAACTCTCTTTTCATAACCATCCTTAGTTCCTTGAGAATGTTTAGTAGATGTTTGAATTAATCTTTGAGCTATTCTTATATCTCTATCATTAGGATCCATACTTTTAAGATTCAAAATGGATTGGTTGTTCTCATAATTGAAAGGTAAATAATGGATGGACAATTTCTTTTCATGGTACAAAATACCTATTCCAAGAACTGAAGGTAAATAGAAAGGGATCTCATCTTCAGTTTTAATATGAGGAATGTATACCACTAAAATGGATTCTCCACTAGTTAGTATGACTGATGTTTGATTGATAATGTAATCCTTGAATGGGTTTCTAGGTATAATCCTTCTTACGATTTCACATTTGGGTTTAAATGATAGTTTACTATTGTCTAAAGGTATATCTCTTAATTTTGCATCTTGATGATATCTACACAAAACTGGTTCTTCACTTTCTGGGAACTCTGGCAAAGTATCTATATGTTTACTGGTGAATTTCCTATCACCTTGAGGACCATAAGAGTTTTCAATCAAGATATCTGCTCGCATGATAACTGTAGAATTAATATTTGGTTCTTTTATGATATTTGACATTGCACTTTCATAATGATGCTTTTCGAATTCAACTTCATTTTCAAATATTGGAACCCAAGGAGATCCCAATATCGAATCTTCTTTTATGATAAGATTGGTGTTGAACTGGTTCTTTGATTTCTTCATGGAAAAGTTCTCAATAGTGAGACTGAGAGATGAGATATTCACTTTCCTATACATTTACATAAACCCCCCTAAAATGATGCCAATGACTTTAAGTATCCAACCTTAAGTTTAAAGGTCAATGAAATATGCTTCACTAACTTCAGAAAATTTATGTTTCTTATAACAATAATGACACTTGAATACTTCAGCTCCTCTACGAGATAATTGCCAAATACTCTCTTTTAATGCTACATGATGACAATATTTCAATACTACGACTGGATTATGAGGTCTAGAAGGTTCTAGTCTTGGTTTCTTGGTTTTCTTTTCTTCGATTTCCTGAGTCAAAGGTATTAATTGTTCTTTAGAAACTGGACAAATGAATACTGGATGATATTCAAATAAGAATCTATTGGTATCTGATAATTGGAACGGTAAATCAAAGGTGAAAGGAGCAATGATCTTATTATAGTTGATGGTTTCTGAACTCAATGTTTCATTATCTTCTAAGTTTGGTCTTTCTTCTTGAGTAAATGACATACTCACTCTACTTAATTTTCTTTGGATCTTATTATATTTATAGAATGGTGGGAGATTTATGAACCCAGCTAAGATTCCTTGGAATAATGATGAATCATTAGATAATTTCATATCTTTACAATAATAAGATATGAATTCGCTTGCCAAATTGGTGAATATAGATGAATTTTCATTAATGGTCTCAAAGTTATTCAATACATCTTGAACGAATCTAGATTCATTAGACTTATTATCTTCCCAATCTTTTGAAAATGTTAACTTCATCTTATTGTAAAATTCAGAAAGTAAGTTAATCATATGTTTACGAGCATAATCGTCAGGATTAGTACTTTCCTTATCATCGATGGTTTTGAATAACAATAGTGACATTAATGGTGATAATTCATGTAAATAAGTCTTAAAGAATCTTGGGAAGTTTTCTTTTGAATAAAGGTACGCTTCCAAAGCATTATCCAAGGAAAATTCATTATTCCCATTCAATAAAAGTACAAATTTAAGAATATGCAATTTGAATTCAATCTCTTCATACTCAACTCCCTTTTTCAAGACATTACTATTATATTTATGTTTGAACCATGCCAAAGCTTTGGTAAGATCATGTCTTATGGTGATATCATCTACAATTTCATTCAAGAATTTGAACTGCTGTAATAGTTCAGAATTTATCTGGAAATCATAATCTTTATTATCAATGATATCTTCGATGATATCGCTCTGACCAATTTTAAGTAAGTGCAAAATAATAGCCTTGATAAGTTCTTGCTGATTTTCTTTCTTAACCTCTTTCAAAGCAGCTTCTTCTTCATTCAAATTTTGATTCAAACTTATGGGTAAACTCTCTATATTCAAAGGATAAGTATATGCATCGTCCAAATCAATTGTGTATTGAGGATTAGTAAGGATATTCTTCAGAAACTTATTAATCTGACTATTATAACTCTTTAAAGATGAGATTGACTTATCATACCATTTATTCACTTTACCTACAGAGCTGATATCTATGGATTCTTCAGACTCAATTGCCAATTCAAGATCTTTTTCTAAAGATTTCAAATCTTTGATGAAATCATCTGTCGATTCTAGGATATCATTCAAGTTGGTGTCACCTGCTTTGGAGAATAGGTTCAACTCCTTATTCAAATTATTCAATAAGGATGTCATGATCCTTAGTGCGACTCCCCGGATTTTCTATTCACATTTTTCTAGATTTTCCCGTTCCAAGATTTTCCCGTCTCTCTTCAAAAGTACTGGTATTTGAGTCCCAAAATTTATATATTCCCTAATCTAACATTTCACCCTTCAGTGGGGCTAGTTCTATATATCTAAATAATCAGCTTTAACTAGAAGTTCCAATGCTAAATGAGTAGGGATATTAAACTCCGGAATATTCCCCGTCTCGGCTTGTTCTCTATACTTATAATGATAATATAAATATTCCACCACACATTCCAAGATATCACCGTCCATATCCAAGTTTATCTTCCCAGTTTTACTTTCTTCAAATCCTTGAGTATTTTTCAATACTGATGAGATCAGTGCTACTTCTTTCAGAATGATAAATCGGTGATTATCTGCTGATACTAATGTTACAAAATCTTCACTACTCATCCTTGTTGTCGGTTTGTTCTTCTCACGTATCTGATGTCAAGTTCTGTCTTACGCGTACTTTATGTGTGTTAACTTCAGATGTGTTTAGGTGAAAGTTGAGATTCTCAAACTTCGCGATATCACCATGACATCTAATCCTAGTCTAAGTTGGCAAGAGATTCAAGATGTTTACTATAGTTTGAGATCTTGCTATGACACATTGAATTGGTCAATTGGAAACCTTCATTCTGATCATAAGGTTAAAATATCTTCCAATTCAACCTTGGTGGCATTATCATCAAAACATGCTAAATACCCTAGTCTAATAGAAATCTATTCCATCAGTGGTAATAAATTATGGTCAATTATCTTCAATTCAACACCCACAGAGCATATAATTGATTATGAATTCCGAGGAGAAGACTTGTATGTGGTATTATCTAATCAAAAAATCAGACATTATAGAGATTTGAAAGGTAACTTTAACGAGTATAGTTATACAGATAAGTTGATTAAACTTGATGATTTCGGAGATTCAAACATTCTTTTACCTAAAAATGAAGAATTCAAAACCATCACTAATCTTGAAAGTAATGATATAGAAGAAATTTATAAAGTTGAAGAGATTTATAATTGGGGACCCTACTTATTCTTAAGGTTGACTAATAGATTCATTATCACCGATTTGAATACCTGGAAGAACTATGAGATCCCTATTTCTGATCAATTATCCGATAAAATTCATTGTATGAGTTTGGTAACGATATCCAATGATGATAAAGAGATTTTGACTGTGATATGTTTTAACAATACGGTGATTTCATTGAAAGTAGATTTAAATTCCAGCAGTTATGAGTTCATTGATTATGGATTAACTGATGGACCATTCAATAAGGTGGCAGTATCGCCAAATGGTCAGTTGATAGCGTTATTGAATAGTGAGCTTTCAACTATATTTGTCATTAATAACACTTTCAACCAAGTTCTTTTGGAATACGATACTTCAAATGATTCAAGTTTACCTTACCAAATCCAATGGTGTAGCAATGATGCTTTAGTATTGGCATTAAGAGACGAAATCAAATTATTAGGTCCCAATCAAGCATCTATATCGTTTTTTTATGACGTTTTAGAAGAAGATTTCGATTTTGATAGTGTTTTGAAGAATAATGGGGTTGATGAATTATCATTCACTATTCCTATATTGAAATCTGAAGTTGATGGGTTGAAGATTTTAACTACAAATAAACTTGAATTCTTATCTAGAGTACCCATTGAAAATGTTAACTTATATCAAATAGGTTCATCCCATCCAAGTTCTATTTTACTTGATTCCATTGATAAATTATCCTTACATTCTTCCAAAGCCGATGCTAATATCTCATTATTGAAATCAGATCATTCTTTACTTCTTGCTATTGATGAAAGTTTGAAAGCTGCATTATATGAATTCAATCCATTCTGGCAGAAAAAGATCTTATCGTCAGTATCATTTGGTAAAACGTATTGTGATCAGTCATTCAATGGAGAAGAATATGTGAAAGTGGTCAACTTGTTAAAAGTATTGAATCAATTAAGGTCATCAGAAATAGCTATCTTTTTAACTTCCAACGAAGTCGAAACTATAGGTTGGTCCAGCATTATTGATATGTTACTAAAAAGAGATGAATATCTTTTATCGATCAAAATCATTGACTTATTGGGATTGAATCATTTGAAAGATAAAATCTATATAAATTGGTGTTGTTATAAGATCAAGAAAGAAATAGATCTAGAAGATCATGAACTATTCAAGATCATATCCAAAAAATTGAAGTCGGCAAGAAATAATCTTCCTTTCAATGAAGATACGAATTATATTTCCATATCCGAGATTTCAGAAATTGCCTATGAAGAGGGTAGAATTGACTTATGTAAATTATTGATAGATCTTGAACCTTCTATGAACAAGAAAATTCAACAATATATCAATTTCGAAGAATTGGAATTGGGGTTGATCAAGAGTTTTCAATCAAATGAGTATGACTTATGTAAGTTGATACTTTTGTATTTATATGACACCCTTTCGATATCCCAATTTTTCAAGATTTTACATCAAAATGAACAGAAATCAGATACAATTTCAGGTGATGCCGTAGAACATTTCTGGATCGAAATTATCGGTAAAAACGAATCAACTTCTGCATTATTAGAGAAATACTATAAACAAGAAGATATGAAGATGGATTTGACTATACTAAAATTCAAGACATTCCTCAAACAGTTCAATGAAGATTTGATCAAAGAAACAGTTGATGATGATTTTTACGATAATTATAAAAGCCAATTGAAAAATCTTTCAGGTTTTTCGGGTGATAGAAGAAATAGTAAATACTATCAATTAGAATTGGAAATCCTTGAAGCCAAGAAACGATTATCTGACACCTATCAAGTTGATTTCTTCAAATATAAATCCTTGAATGATATCATCACCAAATTGATACAAATGAATCAACTCAAACAATGTCAAAAACTCACTAAAGAATTTAAAATCCCCCAAGAGAAATTCTGGTTCATTTTGATAGAAACTTATGCAAGCACAGGAGAATTCGAAAGATTACACCAATTCATTTTATCCACATCTGCCGATAAACATAATTTGAAGTCTCCTATCAGCTTCCAAAACATAGTCGATACCTGTTTGGCTTATAATGGACCATCAGAGAATATTTCCATTTATATCGATAATTGTAAAGATATCCATTATTCTGAGAAGATTCAAATGTACATTAAGAATAATGATTTAGTACTGGCTGCTAATGAATCTTATTATTACAAAGATATAGAGTTTTTAAGATCCATCCTTGAAAGAGCTAATAAGTTAGCTAATGATTCTACCATAGAGTCAATTAAAAGTTTAATCAATAAGTTAGGTTATTAAGTATATTCATTAATCATTAAATGTCTGTAATCTATACAGTTAATTCTTATAATACAAGCCATCTCTGACTGTTCCATGACTACGTCCTTCCTCACCTGTTAACCATGATGGCATTTCACTGGGATCAAGGATCATTAATTCCTTCTCTTCAGCTTGAACTGATAGTTCATGAAGCCCACCGAAAACGTCTGCACCTGAAAGTTTGAGAGTAATGTTGGAATATTCATCTCCATGATTCTGTTGAATGAGAAACTCGGCATTCTGAACAGGTGCAAGAGAAGAAAATTCATCTTTAATTATCTCTTCTTCTTCCTTATCCTCAAATTGTGTGGTTTTCCTTTTCTTCCTTCTAGGTGATTCATTAAATAAGAAGTCCGATGTTATTTTCCCTTCATAATTTCCCTTAAAACGGAGGTTGGCGATGGATTTGATATCATGCTGATTCTCTTTGTCTTCATTCAAAAGCTTATGATTGTCAATGTCATTCAAAGGAGAAATATCAATAGTCGAATCAGCATATGATGTCCAGGCACCTAAACTGTTGCTGAATCTTGAATTACCATACAACACATTCATAGCTTCTAAAGACTTCACAGGATGTTGCTTGTAGTCAGTGTCTATGGTTATTAAATTATTTGGTACTTGTGGTAAATTGCGTTCAACTACTTGCATCACTATTTCACTTACCAAATCTTTCCCTGGAGAATGTATGATATAAGGAGAGCCAATAGGAATGGCCAAAAAGTAAGGCCTATTGGATGAAATGTGTGGTCTATTTGAATTCTTCGATGAAGATACTGTTTGTAAGTCAAATACTTGGATTCTGATCAAAATCAATGGTAATTTGGGATGTTTACACACATAGATATGGGTCATGAATATGAAATTTAAATCTCGGGATAACATATCAAGGAATTTCTTGGGATCCAACAACAATGGGATCTCTTTACCCTTTGAATCTTTGACTATTGACAGAATCCAAGAATAACTATTGGGTTTATCAACAATCAATTGACAATCTATTTGTGATAATTGTAACAAATTCAATCCGTTTGACCAGAATTCGAATACTTTCTCTATAATCTTCCTTTTATTGGCCTTATTGTCCCTGAACTTACTAACTTCCAACAAAACAAGTTTATTCCATTGTCGCTGGTGTAAATCTTTAGTTAAATGAGGTTGAGTATTGATGATTTTTGGCCATTTATTCATTAACTCAACTAAGGTATACCTCGGCAATCTCTGTAGAATATTAATTGTGACACTGTTGGCCATCACAGGTATATAGGTGTTGGGTAAGATATTCTTTTTATACTTCTCCATAATTCTTCTGTTTACAAATATCGCGAACAACCTCCAGAGATCTCGCATCAAATTTTTTGAGAAGAGCATCGCACATTATGTCCCAAGATACTAATGAACCAAAGGTTAACAATAATGACGGTGAAGGTTTAGATAGAAAAACATTATTCGTACGTTCTATACCGTTTGAATCAACATCAGAAGAATTATCTGAATATTTTTCCCAATTCGTTCCTGTTAAACATGCAGTTATTGTAACTGATGATGAGCAGAAATCAAGAGGTTTTGGATTTGTTTCATTTACTGAAGAAGAAGATACTTTAAATGCTTTAGTTAAGTCTAAAACCACTAAATTTAAGGGAAGACTCTTGAGAGTCGATATTGCCAAAAGAAGAGACCGTAAAACCGATAATAAAGAAAAGAAAGAAGGCTCAACTATTGAAAAAAGAAGATCAAGATTAATTATCCGTAATTTACCATGGTCATGTAAGAAACCTGACCAATTGAAAACAATCTTTTCCAAATATGGTGCTGTTTTCGATGCTTATATTCCTAAAAAGAAGAATGGTCAAATGTTAGGGTTTGCATTTGTCGTGATGAAGAAGAAAATTGCTGCTGAAAAGGCTGTCAAGGAATCAGTTGGATTGAAAATTGATGGTAGAGAAGTTGCTGTTGATTTAGCTGTCGAAAAGTCTAAATGGGAAGAAGATAAAGTAGAAGAAGAGGAAGAAAGTGAAGAAAGTGGAGATGAGGACGATAAAGAAGAAGAAGATGAAGACGAGGAAGATGATGAAGAAAATGATGAAGAGGACGAAGAAGATGAAGATGAAGAAGATGAAGACGATATGGAAGAAGATGACGAAGATGATGAAGCTGAAAAAGCCGAAGAAGAACAAAAACCAAAGAAGAATAAACAAGAAGCATTTTCCATCTTCATAAGAAACATACCGTATGATACTACTGCTGAAGATTTGAAAGAGCATTTCCAAAAATTTGGACCTGTCAAATACGCTTTACCTGTTGTTGATCGTCAAACAGGTCTCGCTAAAGGATCAGCTTTCGTTGCTTTCTTCAAAGAACAACCATATGCTAAATGTTTGGATAATGCTCCGAAAGTTGATAACACTACATTATTGATCTCTGATGATGTTTTACCTGAATATGTATTCCAAGGAAGAGTTTTAAATATTTCTAGTGCTGTTGATAGAAGATCAGCCAATCTTTTAGCTGAAAGAAACTCCGAAAAGAGAAAGGAAGCTTTAGGAAAAGAAGTAGGTGATAAAGATAGAAGAAACATGTTCTTGTTAAATGAAGGTAGAATCACTGAAAATTCCAAATTAGCTCAATATATCACTAAAACTGATATGGAATTAAGAGAAAAATCTTATAAATTAAGACATCAACAATTACAAAAGAATCCTTCTTTACATTTATCATTAACCAGATTGGCTATTAGAAATTTACCAAGAGCAATGAATTCCAAAGCTTTAAAAGCTTTAGGACGTAAAGCTGTTGTTGGATTTGCTACTGATGTTAAGAATGGTGATAGACAACCATTATCAAAAGAAGAAATCAGCAGATCTATCAAATTGAAACATGACGATAAAGAAGTTGAAGAAGTTAAAACCAAGAAATCCAAACATGCCGGGGTTGTCAAACAAGCTAAAGTTATTAATGAAGTTAAAGGTTCAGGAGAAACTGGTAGAAGTAGAGGTTATGGGTTCGTTGAATTCAGAGATCATAAATCTGCATTAATGGGATTAAGATGGTTAAATGCCCATGAAGTTACTCCAGAAGAAATTTTAGAAGGTTTGAATGATGAGGAAAAGAAGTTAGCTGAATTGACTGGATTAAATAAAAGAAGATTAATTGTAGAATTTGCCGTTGAAAATGCTCAAGTGGTTAAGAGAAGAAAAGATAAAGTATTCCAAGCCCGTACCAATGGAAAACGTAAATTTGAAGGAGAAGAAGGAGAAAGAGACGAAAAGAATAAAAAATTTAAAGGTAAAAAGGGTAAGCAAGGAAATATGAATAAAGGCCCCAAACCTCAAGAAAAACCGGAAAAACCTTCTTCTTCCACAGATGATAATATCAAAAGAATTATCGGTAAAAAGAGAAAGCAAAGAAAGAACAAAAAGTAGATTTAAGGATTTGAAAGATAAATTTTATGTAGCATAATAAAAAGGTGTACTTGCAGCCCTGGTGCATGAGATGTACCCGTCTTTTACAGTAAACGAACCGAACGTTCACCGCGATGATTTAATGCTGAAATGAGTGATAATTTCGAAAACTACATTCAATTCTCAACTCATCGGTATATAACACCTCTGTGAAAACCTCAAGATGACCCCTTTTCCATTATTGGACCAAAAGTAGACCTTTTTGAGGGTTCTCATTATTTTTCGCGACGTGTGATTACCGAAGTCTCGTTATGCGTATTTTTTTCAAGTTGAAGCATTTAGTTTCATCCGATCTCGTCGATAACATTATTTACTTTACTAGATTAACGTGGTTTTCAAAAGGACATTATTGATCTCGTGACATAAGGTTTAGAGTTAATATAGACGAGGTATTGTGAATAGTTAAATTTCAATCAAAAGAAAGTCGGAAAAATGGTGTTATATAAAAGAAAACAAGTGCAAATAGTTACACCAAAGGAAATACCTCAAGATTTGAATACTGAAGTATATTTCATTCCTCAAACGAAAGAATGGTTTGTGGACTATGAAGATTATCTCGATAGAATGGATTATTACCTTGAACAGAAATTCGTTTGTGAAATCACTGGTAATTCATGTTTAACATTTTTTGAAGCATTAAAGAGTGAAATCAAAGAGATAAAGGATGTAGAGAATAATTTCCCTGAAGCTTTGAAAGTACATATCTTGAGATTCATTCAATTTAGTAAGATTAGTAGATTGGATATGTTAGTTGATCATGTTTATCTGAAATTTAAGAATAATTATTTCCCGGGAGAATCAGTATTATTGAAAGGTATAGAGAATGAAATACCTTTAGGTGAATTACAAACTATCAAACAACGAGGAGTTGTTCGGGAAAAAGTAGAAATGGCTGATAAAGAAACCCAATATTTAGTTGTTAGAGAAACTGATGGTAGACAAGGTATTATTACTAGTGATAAGATTTCACGAGACAGAAATTATTTCACCAAGTATCTTGTTAAAACGTTCATCAAGTTAACTATGACCAGATCAAATAAATTAGGGGCTCCATGGGTTTTAAAGGATAAATATGCTGCTAAATATAATATCTCACAAGAATATCCACCAGATTTGAAACAATTCAAATCTTCTACCAATACTACCAATGAATCAGACCCAACATCAATCCGTCATTTCCTTACCAATGAACCTATCTTAAGTGTTAAAGAAGAATCAATACCTGTACCACAAAACAATCAACCTTTCAATTACAGTGTTATTCCTTCGATGCCAACTTTTAACCAAGGTATTATGCCAATGAACAATAGCTTACAGTTACCTGTACCTTTGCAAGTATCTATGAACAATGAAGGGGTATACAATCCTTTACCAACAGTCGATAGTAGAATTCAAGATATTTATAGATCCACTCCAGTGTATGGTGATGCTATTGAAACCAATTATAATTCCATCGAAAGAATATCCACTCCTGAGAAGATAGCTTATCATAGGAATCAAAAGAAATTGAATCCTCATTATTTACCTTTCCCATTAAGGAAAAGAGCTAATTATCCTGAAGAATCAGTTGATGCTGATAAACCAAGTGCCAGTACAGTTTTATCAAGTGCTGGGATTTCTTATGCTAAAAGAAATATGGACAGTGATTTGAATATCAAATTTGACCTTCAAACTTCTAGACCTTTGGGTAAAAAATTGAAATTACCTGATAATGCTTCAAGAATGAATAAAAAATTATTAAAATTAATTAATCTTAAAACCTACCAACCTCAAGAAAACATTAAAGAAGAAGATATAGATGCAGTTTCAGTGAATTCAGTATCAAGTGATAGTGAAGATGAAGCTCCTTCTGAGAAACCAGAAGATGTCGATGAACCAAGTTCAGAAATTGATGAACCTTCTTTAACTGAGGATCTTTTGAATGTTAATAAATCCAACTTGATTCCTAAACATCTTATTAACGTGGGAGAGGCATTAGAATGTTGGATTTTCATTAACATTTATCATAATGTGTTGAAAATTGATACTTTTACATTTGATGATTTCTTATATGCCATGGGATGGAATTCTTCTCAATATGATGAACATGGTAGATGTGAATTACTTGATGAAATTTGGTGTAGTTTATTAGGAGCTATGGTTTCCAATGAAATTCCAAAGAATAGTGAATCGAAGAATGGTGACATTTTTGGACTTCAAATCAAGATTCCTTCCAAAGTTTCTTTTTTAAACCCTAAATTGGATGACGAACTAGTCGATGGTTCAGATAGTGAAGATGAAGGATTGAAGACATTGGCCAGTGAAGATGAAAGTGAATCTGACACCGAATCCACTAAACCCAAAACCAAACCTGAAACTAATGGGGAGAAATCCTCTGAAGTAGAAGATGAAGGTGAAGAAGCCGATGATGAAGATGGTGATGTGGAGGTGATAAAAGATGAGGATGAAGATGAACAGGAAGATAGAGAACATAATGCTTATCAAATAATGGATCATCGTGGTGTACCATGGCATGATAGATTACGTAAACGTAATTTTAGAGATGGAAATTGGCAAACAATTTTATTAGGAGTTTTATCATTAGTTGAACATCTTGATGAATTCAAATCAACTGTTGAACAAACTTACAAATTGTTAGCTCCACGTGATGAACCAGCTACTGCTACTACCGCATTGAATCAATTCTATTCCAAAATTGATATCAATTTAAGATTTTCTATTCTTGTGATTTTGTGTAGATTATTAGGAACAAGTGATATGATAAGAGATTATATTGATTTGGGGATCAATGAATCAAGTAAATTAAGAAAGGATAGATTGGAAGTGATGAAATTAGAAAGATTAGAAGCTGAAAAGGCTCAACAAATCCATGATTCCATCATCAAAATCTTATTTACAGCCCTTCGAATTCAACCTGATGCTGAAGAATATATGAGAAAGAAGATGAAATTGAATTTCCTGTCAAATCAAACCACCCAGGATGAACGTCAAGTAGCGGAAAGTAATCTCGAACTTCAAGACTATCTTGTAAAGAGAGAAGACTCCATAATTGAATATAATAAACATAAAATGAATAGAAGAGAAATTGAGAAGAAATTGGCGGAATTCGATTGTCAAAGACTTCGTTGTCTTGGTAAGGATAGATTGTATAATAGATATTGGTGGTTTGAAAATAATGGTGTTCCTACAGTTCATGGAAATGCTGAAGATGATGATAATGATGAAGATAATCATGATACTGCAGATTCTGATGATGAGCCACTCGAAGAAACATATCTTATGGGAAAATTATGGATTCAAGGGCCTGCAATTGAAGATATTCAACAGAATTTGAAATGTGAAGAGTTCAAAGATTACACAAATGATTCCAATGTCAAAGGAATCGATAAAATTCCATCAATGGAATTTCCAAGAATCAAACAATTAGATTTTTCAAACTTCCCTAAGGATTTCAATAAATTAATCAACCAAAAATTTCAAATTGATTTCAAGAAGAATGAAGTTACCAAAGTCATTGACGGTCAAGAAGTTACTATTATCAATAGATTTGGAGAATTAATGAGTGACGATTTAGTTCCAAAATTATCCCCTATTGAACGTAAGTTCCTCGAAGAAAGTCCCGACCCTTTATTAAATGGTAACAATTGGAGATATTTTGATCAAAAAGAGGATATAGAAGCTATAATAAGGTGGTTGAATCCTTACGGTACTCGAGAATCACAATTGAAGAAATCTTTAATTGCTACTAAAGACGCTATTATCAATAGTATAGAATCTAGAAATAAGACGTTAGCTAACAAAGAAAGAATCTTAGAAGGTGAAAAAATCGTGCAAAAAATCCAACAAATCGATGAAAAGCTCAACAGTGCTCAATCCATAGATATTGATGGTGAAGATGAAGATGAAGACGATGATGATGTGGTGGAAATCAAGAATGGTAGAAAGAGAAATTTGAGAAACAAAAACTCCTCCAATAAACGTAGTAACAATAAGAAAGATTTCGAAGAGACTTTGAGTCATGGGAACCATGAAGAGTTAATGGATTTCAAATCAGATTTACAAGAAAAGTTACTGGAATTATCAAGACCTTTAGAATTCATCAGAGTTAGTGAATGGGTGAATAGTCAAGCTACCAATGAATTTGGTAAGAGTTTATATGATGGTGGAGATAAGTTGAAAGAAAAGAAAAGAAGACTTTAATGTACATTTATAATCGTTTAATCATTAGTTTTATTCTCTCCTTCGTTTGTTATATCTATCATCTCCATGATACTTCCGTTTATTGGACAATTCTGCTAATTCTTGTAATTTCAAATCTTTTTGTCTTTGTTGATCATCTGCCAACTTCTTTCTTTCTTCATTTCTAGATTTGATGTCTTCCCTTGCTTGTTTGTCTGCTTGGTCCAAAGCTGATGATAAGTTACTTAATTTTTCAATATTAATGGAGGCATCAGGTTTATTGGTAGTCATTACTCTTTTATCTAATGAAATAATAAACCCTTTATCATTCTTCCAGTTCGACACTAAACTAGGAATCTTCCACTTATCTTGATCTTCTTTGGTGGCCTTGACATCAGAGGTTTTCAAAATTGGTGGTGGAGGTGAAGTTTCTTGTCGTTTGTTCTTTCTCAATTTGTGTTTAGGTGGTAACATTGGATCAATAGATTTCTGTTTAATTTGAATAGTTCTTTCTCTACCTCTTTCCTCAACATTATTTGTTTCATATTTAATGACGTCTTCGTCAACCTCCTCACCATTACCCATTTTCTCCTGTAAAATTTTATTGATAATAGCTTTTGTATCTTCTATACAAGTTTTCACCGAGTCATCAGAACTGTTAGTGAGATGATATTTAGGAAAACTGTGCTTGAGGTTAGGAAACTTTTTCTTCAAAGGTATGGTGTCATCATAACTGCTATGAAATTTTCTATCGTTGTTGGCAGAAGATATTGTTAGATTGTAATTCAATGTTCCATCATCATTGAGATAATATTTCGATATGGTTTTAGTTGATTGATTATCAATAGTTTGAGTTTGTTTTGAAGTATTCGGTACCACTATGACCTTGGAATTGGTGTTCTTCTTTGTATCTAGTTGTATGGATTTGGTATAAACGGAGTGTTTTGGTTTAGATAGTAATGAGCTAAACATCTGCGAAATTCTATAATTTGCGATGGTTCAATCAGAAAACACAAGAGAGTAGGGAATTAAGATCAAAGCGAAAATTTAAGATGTATATTGTACTTTAGTCACTCATGAATTCACGAGCCATATAATTAGGAAGACTATGATAATTATGAAACCTACAGCAAGCAACATTTCCCAACTATCTGCGGTAAATCCTAGTTTCTTACCTAACGCATATAACTTCAGCTTTTTGGATAATTCAATCGTCTGAGCTTCCTTATAAGTGTCATAGACTTCCTTTCTGTAAAGAGTAATGTTCAACAACAAAGTTTTCAACTGTATTTCAAAGGGCATGGTTTCGAAATCTAAAATATATGGGTGTTGAGGATCTGAAGGATTGAATTGCAATAATGCATCATAGATAAGAAGGTATTTATTCCTCAAATACTTTAGAACCTTCAAGTTAGCTTTCTTAACACGGATTGAGTTCAAATTCAGTTCCAATTGTTCCATTGAATAGGGACCTTGTCCGAAATTTAAAGATCTCAAAATATCAATCAACTCATCATCTACTTCCTCCATTTCTATGTGGAAGCCAATTTGGGCTTCACTATCAAGTAACCTTTCCTTATCCATCCTCTAAAAATATGTCAAACTCCAAAAATGACCCAAATTTTGTGAAGGATTGTTTTATCCCTTTTCTATTGTGAGATAAAGTTTCGCATCAATAATTCTTTCATATACACTACAAATAGTTACACAATTGATAAGGAAGAAGTAACATCCTGTCAATAACTATGGACAACTGCCGTCGAATCAACTGCCGTTGAATCAACTGCCTTCGAATCAACTGCCTTCGAATCAACTGCCTGTTGCAAACTACGTCTGAACTGATATTCAAACCTTGCAATAAAACTGTATAGATACTTACCCTTTCAGGAGTCTGTAGTAATTCTCTAAATATTCTCTAAAAACAAACCATTTCCAGGTTTTATTATCACAGGAAACATTAATTTAAATAAAATCTGGCCATGCTGCCTCATCGTAGATACATCATTTAAATTTATCGTAAGCCGCTAATATCTCTAAGTGTGGCACTTAGAAAATACCTAATCTTTGACAGATTTGGAAGATATACATACCAACTTTACTTGGAGGTTTCTTCATAGCACGTTCATCACCATTAACAATAGACTTATAGTCTGGTTGTTTCAAAGGTAAGAGTTTCAAGAATTGGCTGAAGAGCCAATTACTTAATTGCTGTGATAATGTAACAACAACCCTACCGTCAAGCTTATCGTGAGACTTATCTTTATGAGCTTGCATGATACTTGGATCGTCACTGATTAATCCATAATGTTCTATACCAGCATTTTTACTAACTTTGACGAAATATTCATATTGGAATACATTATTTATAGTCCAATTATAAATGGAAAGTCCTTCAGCTTTGGCAAAAGGTATGAATTTTTCCAAATAATCTGTTGACCATGTAGCCAAATATAATAATGAAACCCCAGTAAACTTGAATAATTTTCTTTCTTTGCCATATGTTGCATCTAAATAATGATTATATCCTATGTATGCCATTGATAATTTCCAATTACCTGTGATATGATAAATTTGGAACTTTTCTGTTATGTCATATTTATCATATAATTCTTGAAAGTATTCATTTTGGTTAATATACTTAACAAATTCAATATCCCAATAACCGAATTGAAATCTTTGTAACCAATAATTTATATCATCTCTTATTGTTAAAGCTTCCAGGACAATATATTTGGTAATTTTTTTAACATTTGTACCTTTAACATCCAACATGATTATCTTTGGATCATTTTCTTCTAAATCATAACTACTAAACCATTTCAATAAATGTTTAAACGTCAACAATTTATCACCACTTTTTATATTGACTAAATCTTTCAAATCTTTTTCATAAGAAGATTGAGTTATTATGAAATCAGCTTCATCACCATTTTCATACTGGTAAGTTCTCTTAGTGTTAGCATCATGACAGACGACCAAAACTTCATCAGTAGTCAAATATAAGTCAGTTTCAAAACTACTAGCTCCTGATGCGAAACATTTGTCAAAACCTCCAATGGTATTTTCAGGGTATTGGGCCTTGAAACCTCGGTGACCAGCAATAATTGGCATAAACATCGACATTCTTGATAATTTTCTTATATCAGAAAGCCGTTGTGCTGAAGGAATAACGATTAGCTAAATACTTAAAGTCAACGGAGACGGAATATCAACACGTTTTTCTGTGCAAATAAATAAGGCAAGAAGTCTAGTGACAGAAAATGCGATTTTTTTGCAGCAAGATGATGCGGACCACACGGAAATTTTTTGCAGCCGTTGAGTTTAAAGAGATGAATATATCTATAAATATCTATAATTTAGATTTATCTGCTTGATCAACCACCATTTTGATTAATTGATAAGCAATGGATTCACCCATTGGGATGAGAATTCCTTCAGGATTGTTTTCGACATTATTACCATCATCATAAACAAGATTTTTAACAAATTTTGTATCAAACCATCTGGCATCTTTGATTTCATTATCATGACCCAAATCAATAATTTCATTGACACCATTGAAATCTACTTCGGCAATACAACCAATCATCAAATTCCCAGGGAAGGGCCATGGTTGAGTTGATACTAAATTGATCTTTGAACATACAACACCAACTTCTTCCCAAATTTCTCTTTTGGTTGCAACTTCTACAGTTTCACTGGGTTCCATGAATCCTGAAGTACAAGTGTACATGTTAGTCATAGCGTGTCTTCTGTTTAATGACAATAAGATTTTTGACCTATCAGAATTGGTTATAGCAGTTATAACTACCGCATCTGTTCGAGGGAATGAAACATTCGATACTGAAGTATTTTTAACAGGACATTCATATTTCTTTTTACCTGAAGTTTCATCAACTGATAATACTTTATCATTGGTACATTGGATTTTACCTCCAGCATGAATTGGAATTACTTTTGATCCACAACCTGGACAAAATCTATTACGATTTAACCAATCAAGGTACATTTTCCCATGAGAGAATATTGATGCTTCCGTATTATTGAATCCAAGATGATGTTTTCTAGAAGTGGAAAAGAATATATGGTTATCAACTTCGATACCACTATTATCACTCAAGAATTTAAGGATATCGTTAGTTAAATCCGGGGAATCAGTTAAATCCACAGCAAAATATGGGATACCTTTATACCTATTTTCATGATTCAAATGATCCACATTGGACAAATCAATTCCTACACTTTCATCTTCAATTCCTAAAAATAAAATTGTTGGTTGCTGATTATCTCTCAATTCATGATGATGAGTTTCATTGCTTTCACACCATTTTTCAATGGTTTTATTCCAAGAAGGTAAATTCTTGATACCTTTGGATATTTTGTTGGTTAAAATGTTATCACCGTTAGTTAAAAGTACTAATTTATCATCCCAATCTTTAATCACTAAAGGTTCAGTATTCTTAAAGAATAAAAATCTAGTGCTTGAATGATTTACTGCATTATTGATAAAACTCGAATTTTCTCTTAAGAAAGATACTCTATTAAGAGCTTCCTTACCAAAATAAACAGAATTGTCTGCTTCTATACCTGAAAAGTTCACCATTTTAAAATAATTGGAAAATGACTTGAACCTTTTGATTATCATAGGATGAATTATCGGTGCGAAGATAATCAGGCCGGCAGTCCAGGGGATCGATAGTGGGGGATGATTGCGCGTAATTAGCGATAGAGAATCTGCGGTAATGAACTTCCACTATATTAAAACTATTTACTTTTTACCCTTTTTCTTCTTCTTAGTAGCTTTTTTGGTAGTAGAAGGTGGATTAGAAGGTGGAGCTGGGGATTGAGTTGGAGTTGGAGTTTCTACTACCCCTTGATGACCAGTCATTTTCTTCTTAGATTTCTTTGGTTTATAATATGATCTAACTGTCATAGGTAACCATCTTTCTTCATCAAGAGTAACTTCATCAATTGGTTTGATGACTTTATTTTTACCAAATTTGGGTTTAGTAACTCTCCTTTTATCTGATCTTGGTTTAATTGATGGAATAGTATCAACAGTTGTAGGAACTAATGAATTTATATCGGTTGATATGATACTTTCATCTATTGAATTGGATAATGTTTCAATAGAAACCAATCCTTGGTTATCGTTATTCAAGATATTCTTAATTAAAGTATCTGAAGGATTGACCTCATTCAATTTAATGAATATCTTATTACTCAATTCAATATTACCCAAATTCAATAATTTGAAAGCTGATACTTTGTAGAAATCAAATAATTCGATATCTGAAGGTTTGAACATTTCATATAACTTTTCGAATAAATTATTCAACTTATCATTGAGATCTAACTTCTCATATAAATTTATTAAAGAACCCACTAATGCTGGTAATATTTCATTATTTGAGAGGTTGAAATCCACCAACTTTTCCAAACTTATTAATGATTGATTATATTTTTGTTGTTTTAAGTTTTGTGATAATAAACTAAAGGCAATAGCTGTTAATTGTTGGAAGTTTTCTTTAGTAACTTCAGTATTATTGATAGATTTAAATAATTTCCTACTAGTAGCATCTGAATTATAAATCAAATCTTCATTAGTTATACCTAATTTGATCAAGGTTTTGAAATTTAATAATGAAAAATCTCCATTGGTAAGGAACTTCTTTACAATAGCATTCTTCAAATAATTAGATGATGGTGATAAAGTATTGGATAAATATGATAATAATAAATTATTCTTAACAAAGGAAGCATTTTGTATGAAAGATAATTTATCACTTAATTTACTGATATTTGGTTGATAATTCAAATCTCTATGAACCAAATTATATTCTTTTGAAATTAAAACTTCACTAAATGAATAGGAATTATTCTTGATAATCAAATTAAGTAATAAATCATCGAAATTTTTAGATTTCAAATCATCTAAAATGGATAAACTTTGATCTTTTTCACCTTGAGCATTCAAAATAATTGATTTAGCTAATAATAATGGAGCTCTTTCACCATCTAACTCTTCACCTTCTAAACCACTTGATTGAAGAATTTCTATTGAATTGTCAATAAGTTCATTGGCTGATAATAAATTACCATTACTTATTTCAATCAATGCTTTATTGAACAAATAATCATAATTATTCAAATCTTCAGTATCACTAGCAGGTTGAGCGATTTCATTTTTAAGGAATTTGATTTGACTGATAATAGCTAATTCGTTGGTAGCTAAGTCCAAATTGTTATCGATTTCATTACTACTGATCAATTCTTCATATAATTCCAAAGCTTTCTTATTCTCTCCAATCTTATAGTAATCTTGAGCTAAAATATGTTTCAAACCTCTGATTAAATATTTAGATGATTTACCGTTGATTTTCTCATATAATTGTTGTAAGCGGAGGGATTCATTGGTTTTATAGAATATGTAAGCCACTTCGATGGAAAATTCTTCAATTATATCATCATCTTTGATTTTATTGATAAGATCTAATGCTTTTTGGTATTTTTCCAAGTTGATTAATGCTACTATACAGTTGTTGAAAGATTTGATATCATTGAATTTCTTTACTTTAGACAAATATTGATATGATATCTCATAGATATTCTCATGATCCTGTGAATTAGTTGAAACGTTTAAGCTTTTAAACGCTTGACTGATTGAAGTAGACATAGTGATTTTTCAGCGTCGATCGATTTTCGCAAAAAATTTGCAAGATGTCGCGCGACATTGTCTGTCCAAACAGTTATTGAAGCTTTGAAGCCAGGCAAGATATGAGTGAAGATATAAATGAAGGATGTATAGGTATGTGGTATTCTGTTAAGTGTTTTATGAGTTTTGGATTTGAATTATTAAGAGCCCAGAAACCATACATCTCCCCAGTGTCCTTCGATCTCTCCGAGTCACCGTTTCGTCTCCCCGTTGTCCTTCAATCGCCTGATATTCTCTTATTTCACCCCCTCCCCCCTCCCCATTACCCTATTGTACCTCCGTTCTCTTTTCTCTTCTCCTTTCTTTTTAGTTTTTACTTTCCGTTGTTCTTCTGTCGACCAGCACCATCAACTAATTTTGCAACTTTCGCAATTTGCAGCCATTTTCCCAGTTGCAAAAAATACTAACCAGAACTTTTCCTTGAAGAATTAAATAAGAGAATAATCATTAGTCTATTCATTAATACATAATACGAAATTTAACGGGCGAATCTAGTTGGATAAAATAGTAAAATCATTTTTCTTGATTAAGCTTAACTTCAAGTCATTCTTACCAAGACTTAAAGATCTTTTACGTCTAATTAACACGGATTTTTTAAATAAATCTTGTTCCAAAGCGTCATCTTCATTGAATTCATTGGATTCAACAGATTTGAATAAAAATTTATTATTTGATTTCATTGGAGAAATATATGATGGATAATTATTATAAAATTTATGAATCGAATTGGATTCATTTTTGAAATTTTTAGGTATGAAAGGTTCGTTTAATTGTTGGGGTTTTGAAAAATTATCAAAATTTATAAAACCTGGGTATTCATTAATTGATAAATTACTTAAAGGAGATCTAAAAGTATTATTAGTTTGAGGTAAATGTTTTAATTTTGGTTGTAAAATGTTTTCTTGTTCATTAAAGTCATTAGTTTGGGATTTAGAATCTTTGGTTTGAAGGTTTTCTTTACCATCAACTTCTAAATCATTGAAATGATCAACAGTATTGGAAACTATTGGATCTTCAAAAATTTTGAATTGTAATTTGTTTGGGGATGCAGTGGATAATGATGAAGATTTCTTATGACTTCTAATAGGTGATCCATTATATCTAATTCTTTTTGATGGAGAGTCTTTTAAAGGTGAAGCTGAGCTTGATCTTGATTTAGATTTAATTGGAGAAATAATATTTGAATCTCTTGAAGTTAAAACTGGTCTTGACATAATGCAATTGTGATATATGATATGGGGTAATGGAATGAATCAAAAGAATCAGAAAAAACTTCAAAATTATTACAACTTTTTTTTTCCTTGGGGGATAACTTCCTTTTATAAAGTTCAATAGACGAAAGGGATATAGGTGTATTTTTTTTTAACAACAAGGATTTAAAAAAAAAGGTAGTGTGACAAGGGCTATTTTGAGAATCGAATAAAAGTTTACGCGGTGCGGAAGGAGGAAAAGAGCGAAATTTCGTGGATTTGAGTTTATTCGTTTAAGCTGATTGAAATTTTCAATTGTTTCAATTATGGTGATGCTGTAAATAATGTAAAATTGGTGAACTGAAGGTGTTTTATCCAAATTGATACTGTTTAAAATTAATGATTAAAATTGAATAAAACTCTAATAATTCCAGATCTACAATCAATTCTAGTCTTTAGTACCAACAAGGCATGAAGAAGGGGTTAGATTTAAACTTAAAGTTGGTTGTTAAGACAATTTTAATCAACTGTACTTGAGTTGAAATCGCAAGGATTGAGTCCCCTTTGGATTGAAAATATCACCTTTTGGGACAGGTTGACTTTCGTCGCATGTTCAAAAAGGGGAGTTTTCCATCCAAGAACGATTTTTTTCGTCCTAAAACAGAATCGCGGTCGTAAAAATCGTGTTGCAGATTTTGGCCAATCTAACAATGCATCGCTCTACCAAAAAATATCCTCTTCCTCGAGTAACTGGGTGTACACTACTTTTTCAAAGATATTTATTGGTTGATGAATTTATACAAATTAGGATAATATTCTAAAAAGATCGTATTGTTGTATTGCAATGGAGCAATGGGATTGGTAATTGTACTAACTATTGTCTAGTCATTGACCATTATATTCATCAGGGGAAAATCTTATTATTAAAAAACTACTATCAACTTTTTAAATTTTCAACCACTGAAACTAATTAAATGTCCCATTTGTTTCAGATATTTAAAGTTGATCTAATTTTTATTTTTAGCCATCAATTCTGAAACCCTTGAAGATTCATTTCGGAAACCTAAAAAAAAACCCAAATCGCGATAAGGAGTTGTAAGGAGTGTGAGGCAATTTAAACATTTTTTTTCATAGTGGAATGTCAAAGGCATTCAGAAAACCGTTATTTGGGAAGTTCTCTCGCATATTTAGGATATCAATGAATTAATTAAACCCTTCTTGGTAATGTTTTCGTAATTACAAAATTATTTTTTATCCCTATCACCTGAGGTTTTAAGTATCAAGATAAAATGATTATAGGGGTTTAATCTGAAGGGGTCCTATAATAATAATTTAACGGTAAAGGGTTAAAAAGAGTGAAATTAAGGATGGAATAATAACCTAGTTAGAGTTATGCGCTAGATGTGTTTATTTAAAGAAGTTATTTGCAACAAAAGGTAATTTGGTAATGGTACCTTCTCTCTTTTTACCTCTTACTTCAATGTTAACTGGAGATCCAATTTTGAATTTTTTATCGATGTATGCTTGTCCGATATTGTAACCCAAAATAGGAGATAATAAACCCGAACTTACGTAACCAATAACTTCATCGGTTTCTGGATTTAAGATTTTAGATCCTGATCTTGGAGCTGGTCCTTTTGAAGTAACACCAATTCTTCTAGTTTTGAATGATGATTTATTATTGATTTGCTCAATGATTTTATCATAACCATTAAATCTTAAATCTTTTGATTCGATGTTTCTTCTGGTTTTTGGAATTAACCAACTTAACGAACTTTCAACTGGGGTGATTTCTTCATTTAAGTCATTTCCATAAAGACACATACCTGCTTCTAATCTTAAAGAATCTCTTGCGGCCAAACCAATTGGTTGAACTAATTCCGGTTGTTCATCAACTAAAGTTTGGAAAAATTCATTACTTTGTTTGATTTCTTCAACATTATTTGATGGTATACTCAATTCAAATCCATCTTCCCCAGTATAACCAGTTCTTGAGATTTGAATTTCATTATCTATGATGGATTTAATATTAGTTCTTAAGATAGATCCGAATTTTAAGTTATTCAAATCTTCATTAACAAATTTTGATAACAATTCTGAAGATTTTGGTCCTTGAATAGCTAATAAGGTACCATCAAAATTCTTATAGTCGAGATCTTCAAATTTGGATAAATTTCTTTCAATGAAAGAAATGTCTTTTTCTCTACATCCAGCATTGGTGACCATATAATATTCATCGTCTTTGATCTTAGTAATAATACAATCATCAATTATACCACCTTGATCATTCAATAAAACACTCAAACTTGAAGTATTTGGTTTTAATAATGATAAGTCAATTGGAGTTAATTTTTGTAATAATCCAACTGATCCTTTACCTTTGAAGGTGTGTTGTAACATATGACTGACATCAAATAACCCAACTTTTGATCTGACCCATTTATGTGATTCTATATGTGATAATCCTTTATACATGATAGGCATTTCATATCCAGCATATGGAACAAATTTAGCTTCATATTTCAAATGACTATCATATAATGGTGTCTTGATTAACTTTGTAGTAGTGGAATTGTTTCTTATGAATCTGTTCATTTTCAATTTTAATTTATTCTAGAATTATCAGATGTTTTAAATGGAGTAGCCTTTGACTCTAAATTGACTCCGCGAGACCAGAGTCGAGTTGCTGCAAAAAAAAGTGAGAGTTAACTGCACAGCGTATATTCAATGGTCTATGAGTTCGTAGTAACACTTATTAGGATCGAATCTTTTAACAAGATGATTGGAGACTTCACTAGCGTGCTTGTCTAATGGATAAATAATTGGGATCACTAAAAACGAAATCAATACAATATAAATGAAAAATCCAATTATAGTATAACTCAAATATCTCTTGACACGAGAAAAGTTACTGCCATGATCTTTGGGATTATTGGTATTTTGAATACCTCTAAAGTCTAAAACTTGAATCAGAAGCATGATAAGGGGAACAGCCCAAAAAATAGGTAATAAAATTGAAATAATCAATGATAATCCATAAAGTGGGAAATACTTTCTTTGGTAGGAACAAGCCTTACATTGACATTCATATTTGGAATTTTCCAAATCTAATTCGTACTTGATATTGTTCATTGTATGATAAGCAACCAAGGAACTAACACTAGACTTTATAGTAAATTTAGACTGTAAAATCACTTGTTTCAAGTTGAACCAAAATTACCTATTTAGGACGGTTCAATGGATTTATGAAATATTTTTTTCAAGAGCCGAAACAAGATTGATTCGTACTTTCCAAGTAATATCTCTTATCACCATGCGTGGGCAATGTACACCAACCATTCAATCCGCCCCAAAAAGAACACCATGTTGAATACCTAACACTCTCATCTTAAGTATAGGTGTACGGAAGTGATGCCAGTTTTCTGATTGTCTAACGCGATTGCATCTGTATGAGACTAGATATAGGTGATACGCTTGTATTACTAGAGTCATCAAAGATCCGAGACAAGAACGATGGTCTCGAGAGGATAGAGTCTTTAGATTTTCGAGGCTTGAGTTTCAAACAGTGTAATGATATCATCAAATCATTAATACGATTGATAGAGAACGAGAAATCTAATGATAAAGCAGGTACTGCTGCCACTAGAAAGAACAAAGCAAGTTCTCTAATAAGGTCAGTGATAGATCAATGCATATATAAGAAACCCAAATATTCATCATTCATCAATCACATTTTGGAATTGGCTAATTTATGTGACGAATCAGTTTTAACAGACATCATCAAATCTATCACTTTGATCTTGAACCAACAATACATAAGGGATCATTTGAATGCAGATAATTGGCTCCAGATATTCAAGTTTTTGACAGGATTGATTTGTGATCGGCCCAGTTCCCAATTGGTTGACATATTCATAGCTATCAACACTTTAGTATGTAAGAACTCCATCAATTATATTCCCATTTATAACATAGATAGCGATCGTTTGCTTACCAAACTTGAATCCATACGACTAGAATATGCTCCATTGCTAGCCAATCAGTACATGATATTTGTAAATAGACTTCTTATCGTGTTTTCGTGTACGAACTTCCATTTCACCAAACGCTTAACTATATTGGTTTTCAAGGCTTTACAAACTACCGGGTATAATTTCAACAGCACCAACCCTATTAATTCACAAATTGGAATTTTCCTCAACATTGATGTGATCCATGGATCTTTATGTAATTATTGGTCTGTTGACGATACCCTATACGAATCAATTCAGTCATTTCTTCAAACAACTTTGCATGGGTTTTTGAATTCCACCAAGACCTTGATTCCAAATTATATAGGATTCCAAGAACCTGGGTTGGGCGTAAAAAATCACACATGGTTTCGCCAACCCACCATTTATCTAAGAGAAACTGATCCCTCATTATACTTACTATTAATGGGATGTTCTAAATTACTTCACACGTATTTCACGTTAGACTGCAGCTCACAAGCAGACACGGCCAAGAGGATAAGGCTGGACCACAATTTCCACTTAAGCACCTTTGAAGATTTCACAGAATTAGTTCATCATCTACTACGCCAAAATACCAGAACCAGCACGTTAGCCCTTTATTTATTAACGTTCTATAGTGAAGTTTACCCATTAAAGCTCGACCATTATGAATCTGATACTGACTTTGATATGAGTAGTTCGTTACTTTTCGTTCAGCAAGACCGATCACCTATTCTTGACTCGATTTTGTCATGTACCAGCAACCCTTCCTTGGGTTACTGGTCTTTGTTGTGTATGAACCTGCTTGTAGTGAATGCTTTAGCATTTCCCGGGACTGGGGCACAGCTTTCGCCTTCTGTTTGTATTCAAACCTTCAAGTTAATCCTCCCACTTGTGAAATCCAAAGACTCCAATGATATTGCCAGTGTGTTATTGTACAACTTGGTGGTGACTATCATTTCACAGGGGATAGCTTTGGAAAGAGACGAACCTCTCATCAATCAGATCAACAATATAATTGAGCTTTCATATATTTCAGGTCCAGCTAAATTGAATAACATGGGGATGGTTTTCTGGTTAGCATTCACCAAATTGATGTCCATTCAAGGGTTGAATATTGAGGTTTCGAAGATACATATAATAAATTGGGCTGAATCCAAATGGGATGAAGTTTTCAATAGTTCTGATAACTATAGCTTAAAGGAAGCAGAGCTCATTAATCGGTTCATCGATTGGTTAGAGAATGGTGATGATTTTGATATCCGAAGACATGGCGATATAAGTTCTTATCAAGGATCGGAGTTTGTATCGGTCGATTTATTAGCTCAAACGTTTACCCCGATGTTCGAGTTCATGAATGACAATGCACGTAGTAGTCATCAACCATCATTTTTGGTTAGGTTTTCTGTCAGTGCCGTAAAGAAACTTCATCAAAAGCTCGAGCTATCAGCGCAGGAGTTATCCAAAAGAGATACCCTCAGGAAGATCGAATTCAATTCAATCGTAAACGAATCCTTCCAAATCGACGTGAATGTCACAAAAGACGATATGGCCAAACTTTTGGACTCCGGTGATTTATACAAATTGAAAAATACCAATACGTTCCATCCAGAATTCTTAACTGATATAATCAATCCCCCACAAAAGAATGAGTTCTTGATAGATGAATTTGCAACTCAAAACAAACACCACACCATCTTTACTCAATATGAGATCCTCTTATCGACAAATCCTGAAATAGTTAAGTTGACTCAGATTATGCAATTACCAGATTGGGACAAATATTTCGATCAAATTATCAAAGGGTCTTCAGATGAAGAGATCATTTTGTATAGTTTATTCTTAATGTCTTACAAATCTCAATTGGAAGGTGGAAATGGGATCAACAATGGATTCTTGTATGCATTGGGTACGGGTCCGTTGAGTAAAGTGGTGTTCGAAAGAAACGAATTGGTAACATTGACTGTGAGCCAAGCCATCTGTAAGTGTGAAGCAAAAATATTGAAAGACGCTTTCCAAATGGTGAATTGGTTGTCCATGGCAGCTTCAAAGAAATTGATTCTAACGAGCGTTTCAGCTAAAAGCTACTTGAAGATGCTTCTTAGAATTCTTTCCATGGTGGAACAAGGATTGTTACAGCCTTGGGGACCAGATTTCTCTCTGGTTAATGATCAATTTTTTCAATATTTCAATTTTGTCTCGTCAGATATAAGAATTCTGTTGATGGAGGATATTGGAGAGTTCTTCAGGAATGAGTCTATATCTTTAGAAAGAAAACATTCCTTCTACAAATCATTGATTGGATCTTTCGATTTACAGACGTTAGAATCTGTCATAGAATACTGCATGATCCTCGGATCAATAGAAACTACAGACCTACAAATCTCCAAAATGATAGTTTTCAATCTACTTGAATGTGCTTCAGCTGATTCGGATTATTTAAGATTTGTAGCTAAAGCTGCATCTTGGAATAAAACTTCAAGTTTCATTAGTATCTTCGATATTGTAAGAGAGGATATCCTCAGATCATGGTGGTTGAATCATGGAACTTTCCTTGATTTTCCTTTCCAACTATTACACTTCCAATCACTTAAAGAATTTTTGAATTGTTATTCGGCAGAGATAATCTCAGTAATATTAGTTTTCAAAAACGATTCATCTACCATTGATAGGTTCTTCACCAAAGAACAGATTATTCGATCCATTCCCACAGCCATTCCTTTAGCATATGTTGGACCAGGAAACAAACATCTTATTGATGAAGTTTACAAAGGTATTTTGGGTGACAGATTTAAGATAGAACGATCTATTCACTTAGATAGTCTCATAATCCAATGTTTTAGATTATTGGATGTTTCCAATATGTCTCTCTTATTGGATTGTTTTGGTCAAGTGCCAATGTATGATTTAAAAGAACTTAATGATCCATCATCATTACATTTATCTGCTAAAACAGGAGTCAATTTGATTCAAGGATTGATAAAGAAACTTGCTCCTGATGGATATTGGACAACCAGCAGAGTTTACTTCCTTGTATCACGTTTAATAGTTGATCTTGAACAATCAAATGATTTTCTTCAGAAGACTAGAGTCTTGAGAAGGATCCTCATGGTGATGATTTTAGGTAAAGAACATTTGACGAACATGAAACTAATCAAGTTGATTTACTATGATATCCTTGTTAATGATCTTGAGACCGTTGAATTTAAACGGAGCAGTGAAATGGATTATATGTGTAAATTGGTTGATTTGCATAAGTTAAGTACAGTGGTTACAGATTCAACTTTCAATCAATTAATGCTTATTTTCAGTCATTTGTTCATGAAGCTAGGGTATGGTGGGAATGAGTTGGATTATTTGTTTGATCATGATGGTGATAATGCTCAATTTTTTGATGTGTTGAATAAATTGTTCAAAGGTCAAACTCCGGAACAAGGAAGTGTCAGGATCAAAGATTTCAATGGATTTAAAATCAATGGAAGTTTCACGTTGGTCTTCCAATTGATCCAGAAATGTATCTCTGAAGGTATTGACATAACCCATGATAAAGATATGGTGAAAGCATTAATCCATGAAAAATCTCATAAACTCGATTCAATCAAGTATCCTGGTGAAGATTATGAGAATGTTATGAAATCTTGGTCATTAAGAACAATAGCCAATGATATTATTGACTATGGGTTCCTGATAGATGAAAGTTACATCAGAAACCAAGAATTTGAGGACATATCGGACTTCGAGTCCTCCCTGCATGCATTATTTGAAACTATCTATGAGCTTAGAAATAGTCCTAAAGCTTCAATATCGTGGATTTCAAATGTCTTCATTGGTATTATACTTGGAAAGACTCGTGACTTTGATCACTTAGATTATAATTTTGATGAAATCTTAGTGTTCAACCATGGATATGAAGTATTTTTCAAACCTGACCTTGAAAGTAGGATTAGTCCTGGAACTATAAGATCCAAAGTTATTGAAGATTTTGGTGTTAAGGAATGGATCAATCATTCATTCATAGAGATGATTGATCATATTTCAGTTGTTCAACAATCACCACTACTTCTTGTGTTAAAACAAGCGACCTTCCATGTAGACGGGATAGCACTCAAATGTTTCCCTTATATGGTATGTTATTACTTGGAGAACTTGCCTAAAAGAACCGATTATGTAACAGATTTGGTTAAAGAAATGATATTCAATGTAGATTGTCAGAAGTTCGAAATCATCAAGATTCTTATAAAAACCATGCTTCTAATAAGAACTTCAAGCACCTTAGGTAATCCGCCATTCAAGTTGGTATACAGTAATACCAATGTGGTGGAACTATGTAACCTTGCATCGAAATTCGGATTCTTTGAAACTGCGTTGATGCTATTGGAAGAATCCATAACTCATAATGTAGTGGGGCCCAAATGGCATCAACTAGATTTTGTAAGTGACATCTATGAATCCATTAATGATGAAGATTTATTGGAAGGATTACCTCAAGAACCTAATTTGGATATAATGTTCAAGAGAATTACAAGAGACCCCCAATCCGACGAAAAATTGAAATACCAATTTGCTGACTTTGACTCCAATCTCACGTTTAACCTCAACAGTGATAAGACTTCATTACTTAAGTCGATGACTGAAGAAGGTTTAGCTGGAATCTCATCCATTTTAAGTAAAACCTCTAATGGTTCTGATGATAATGGTACTTATGATTGGTCGTGGAAACTCCAGAATTGGGATATACCCATTGCTAGACAAGTGAAGAATTCCAATCAATTCATATATAAAACTTTGAAGAGTTTACATGACGGTTCCCCCATTGAAGTGGAGGATATTCATGCTATGAGAATTGAAGCATTGACAAAGTATAATCCAAAAGATACTGATGAAGAGATGAAGGAATTCTACCAATCTTTGATAGTTTCAACTCAATTTTGTAGAGATCCCTGGTCAAACAAATCATTCAAGAGTCCTGATGACTACAATATTTCATTTGACTTAATTGAAAATGTCTTGTTGGCTCGAAGCATTGGTTTCCAGATTACTGCCAATAAATTACTGGGTGAAGACAGAGACTTGAAAACTTCTGAAGCTGTTCATGAATTGGTGAAGTATAATAACTTTGCTATCAAAAACCACCAGCCCCAAAAGATAATGAATTCCATTTTGACCATTAACAAACTTGTTAACCAACAATTTTATTCGATCCGGATCCAAGACAAGTTGAAAGAATTATCTAAATTCCAAGCTGCCCAATCATTGTGGAGTCAAAAGCATTTCAGCAAGGCCATAAGTATGATGAAAAGCGTTAAAGGGTCAGAGAATTGGGATGATAAAGTAATGAATCAAACGCAAAATTCGATTGACTCGATCTTAGTAGGATGGTTAGCTGACTCCAGGCAAGAATTGTCTCATACGATCATGGGATCTTATGTACTTCCTGTAGACAAAGAACAAAGTCTTCAAGAACCCAATCCTTTAACACCGGTTATCTACAGAAGACTTGCTGAATTCTGTGAGAAACAAAGTAAGAGTGACGACTTAGCTAACGATATCACTAAACTAGAAAAACAAACCATCTCCAAAAGAAAAGAATTGGATAAAATCAAGTCTTATTTCAGTGGAACCAAACTACAAGGAAGCGAAAAGAAACAGGTTGAGGATTATTACAAGAAATTGAAGAAAAGGATGCATGTTGAAACTGAAGATTTGAATGAAATACGTCAAAATCAAAGTGAATTCAAGAACAAGGCCGTAGAATATTACCTCAAGAGTTTTGAGTTGGACGATGAAAGTATTGACAAATTCTTCTCCCTATGGTTACAAGATACTACTAATGATGAATTGAATTCTAAGGTAAATCAGATCTTGAAAACCGTTCCTAGTCATAAGTTAGTTGGTTGGGTATCACAATTGATTTCTCGATTGTTGGACGAGAACAATACTTTCCAAATAATGCTACACAAATTGATCAGGACCATTTGTATTGACCATCCACTTCATTCATTATACTCCTTGTTTTCTTTACACTATCATAGTAATTATATCAATAGTAAGTCCAACTTGTTCATGTTATCAAAGATCAAAGCCGCAAGTAAAATCATAACGGCATTGTCTATGGAACCTGATTTGAAATATCTCGAAAGATTTTTCAATCCTATCAGAGAATTTTGTGACGAGTCTGTAAATTTGGCAAAGTACAAACAACAATCAAGAACCAAATTCATTACCATAGGTAAGATTCCTGAATTGAAAGGTTACTGGATTGATAAGCTTTATCATGCCAAAGTAGTATCTCCCACCATATCCATTCCAATCTCCCCCACCAGAAATTACTATGAAACCCTCCCGTACATCACCAGTATAAACCCCATTATCACAATTGCCAATACTGGTTTGAGTTTACCGAAAATTATCAAGTTCAAGTTAAGTAATGGTATAGAGCAGAAAAATCTTTACAAACATGGTACTGACGATTTAAGACAAGACACTATCATGGAACAAGTATTTGAAAAAGTGAACTCTTTCTTCCAGAAGGATAAAGATAGTTTGAAAAGACATCTTCGGGTGAGAACGTATAAGATAGTACCAATTGGACCTCAGAGTGGGATAATTGAATTCGTTCCTAATTCCATGGCATTGAATGATATCATCAAACCTTATCATTCCAAAGACACACTCAGTGGTGAAAAGGCTAGAACGATGATGAAGTCATGTCAAACTGAAGATAAAGAAGAAAGGATCAGAGTATTTAAAAAGATCATTAATCAGATCAATCCTGTTTTAAGGTTGTTTTTCTTCGAAACCTTCTTGAAACCTAATGATTGGTTCCATAGTAAGTTGGTTTATTCACGAGGTTTAGCCACATCTTCTATTGTGGGACACATTCTAGGTTTAGGTGATAGACATTGTAATAATATCATGTTGGATAAATTAACAGGTGAACCTATTCATATCGATTTGGGAGTAGCTTTCGATCATGGGAAAAGATTACCCATTCCAGAAACAATACCATTCAGGTTAACAAGAGATCTTATTGATGGGTTAGGTGTTACAGGTGTGGATGGAATATTTAGGAAAAATAGTGAATTAACTTTGAAAGTATTAAGAGAGAATCAAGATCATATTATGAGTATCTTAGAGATCTTGAGATTTGATCCATTATATTCATGGAGTCTTTCACCGTTAAAGAAAGCACAAATTCAAAATGATCAAGATGATATCAATAATCAAGAAGTTGAAAACGATGCCAGTGAAGCTGGACAAGCTGTTCAAAATGTTAGTAATAAATTACAAGCCAATGGATTGAGTGCTGAAACCGTAGTAAGAGAATTAATCAATAGTGCTAGTAACATTGACAATTTAGCTTTAATCTATTGTGGATGGTGCCCTTTCTATTGAAAAAATATACGAGAAAGCTTCTTATACTAGTGAAAAGTCTCAGTGCGCGACATTTGACCCCAATGTTCGATAACACCATATCTATACCATTAGTGATAGAGGATAAGAATGGTAAAACCATTAAAGAATCTTATTTGAATCTAGGAATAAAATCTAATGGAGGATTTGATAGAATTGTCACTGGAGCTATTCACGAAGGGACTTATAGATTCGAATTGAGTAAATCAATTGTACCATCGATACGAAGTTATAAAGATGAGAAATATGATGATACAAAATGGGAAGAAGCGGTGGATCAGCTTCTACTGTACGACAAGTATCAATGTAAACGGGAGGATTTGATAATGACAGCAAAATTTGTCAGCGAACAGAAGAATTATGATGAAGATGGTGATTTGGTAGAAGATTTTGAAACAATTAACGATTATATAACTATCGATATCAAGACCAAGGGGACTTTGAGTAGATTATATGGAAGTTTCCAATTGAAAGAAGTCGATGATGCTACAGATTTACTTTACTGGTTAAAGGAAATTGTGGACATTAAAGATGAAATGTTAAAGATGTATACTAAAATCAATGATCAATATGAATCCCTAGTTCAAGAGCGTGATGATTATAAGAAGGCTTTGGATGACAACATTCTTAATCATGATAAGATCATCAGTGATTTGGAGAGAAAATTCTATCTTGTTTTGGATAGTAAGAAGAAAAAGATAATACAGTTGACACTGGAGTTAAGGAAAGATGGAAGTATTGATGGATTGAATGAAATTTATGAGGAATCACAAAAGCACAATCTAGAGAATCTTTTGAAAAATAAGGATAAATTACCCACTAAACTTGATGATATATATGTATCCCCACGAAAGAGGAAAGCAAAGATGGAATCTTCACCCAGGAAAAAGAATCGAAATCTTACTGATGGTGAGTTGACAAAAAAGATCTTGGGTAAGAATCTGGAAGATGATGAAATGGACAGTTCCGAATATGAAGACGATGAAGTGAATGAAGAATTGGATGAAAAAGAGACTGAAGATAAAGTAAAGGAAGAAAATTCAGATGAAGGGTCACAAATGAAAATTAAACAAGAGAATGAAGAGAGTCTAACACAAATGAAAGACGAAAATGATTCTGGTGATACAATCTATAGTACATCAGAAGATGAAGCTAACATTAAGTCTGATAATATTGAAGTTCAGGAAGAGATACCATCCGACAATATTGAAGTTAAAGATGAGTCCCTATCGGATAATACCATATATAGTGAATCAGATTAAATATTATCAGAGTCAGGTGCCCTTATGAACGTTATGAAACGTTTTACCCGAGATTCATATATATTTCTCATAACTGGACAAAACCAAAAACCCCTATACCATGTCTACTCGTCAAAGCACACTGCCATGACTCATGGCCAAAATCTTAGTGTCAGATAAAAGAATGTCAACAGAAAGGAATATTTATAGTCAATCATTTAAGATCGCCAACCTCCCACTATTGAAAGAATAGAAGGAAAAGAGAATTATATCCAGAAAGCATTTGACATTAAAAATGCAAGTTAACGAATAAAACATGCAATCTGCAAGGCGAGCAAATGCCTTCCACCAAATAGGCAATACCGAGAACTAGAGATCAGAATATTATGTTGACCCTTGATGCATTGGATGAAATTGAATGAGATTGAATGAAAATCACCCATTCAAAAGCAGTAACAAGCGTGAAGAAGATTTTCAATTTAGGCCCAGCATTTAGAGTCTCATTCTATTTATAGCATCTCATGGTACAACCGGGTTCTAAGCTAGATCCTAAATATCCAAAGTAAGTAATGTTATATCGGCTGGAAACCTCGAAAAATCCCGAAACGCCAAAATTTCAAATTCCTTATTTTGATTTACTATAAGATTAACCATTTAAACTTAATTCCCATCAGGTTATAACCTTAAAACACGTCCTCAATCACCAATGCATCTCCACCCTCTTCCCAAGTATCTCCCAACATGTGGAACAATAAACCCTACCTTCTCTTTACATTTAACCTTCTTCGAATTTAAACTATTTTACGAATCGGAAACAGTAATTGGGAACGATAATAGTCGTGTACAGAGAACCTCATCAGATCAAATTAAAAATTTTCCATTGCAGGAAGAAATCATTGGAAATTATCATTTTCCTTTAACTATCATTCATTGATTCCACCATAAAAATTGTCCCCTAAAGGAACATTAATTATAAATAAAGTTAAAAATTTCATCTGATTTTAAGTTCTTAGTGAAATTTAATATTTGGCTAAACCTGCTGCAAATAAAAGTTTTTGAGAACACCTCAAATTGAGAAAAATTTCATTACCATCTTAAAACGAACCAGGAAAAAAAAAGTTTTCCCATCAACCATAAAGCTTTTTAACATACTTTAACAGTATAAATCTTCTTATTAAATTATTTTAGCATTAAAGAAAGTTACTAAATAAATAATTTGAGAATTAAGTTAAAAGATTTCAATTTAATTTAAAGGAGAAGTTGTTGAAGAAAAAGGATTGATATCCTACAGTTAAAAAGATTTTTTTTTGTATCATAAAGTAATAGTTATAGAATCTACGCGTATTAATAAGGGTAAGATTCATTTAATTCATAGATTTAATATTTTTTTGTTTTTTTTTTTATTTGTAAATAATTTAAAAGGGTTTTTTTCAATTTTACTTCAAACAATGTCATATTACGGACCATATCAAGGAATGCCTCAACAGTATATCCAAGGGTATTATTATCAAGAATCTAATGAAAATTTACATTTAAATAATGGAGGATATGATTTATATAGAGATCCCCATTATATAAATTCCGATGACCAACCATCAAATTCTCAAAATAGTAATAATCAAAGTAGTTCAGGAGGACCCGATTCATTATCACCAAATGGTAATGAATTTTATGGAGATGATGGAAGTTATTTAAGTAGTAATGGAATGAGTTCAAATTTAAATCATTTAATGTATCCACCACCAATTAATAATCAATCACAATTTGATCAATATTATCATAATCCTTCACAAATTTTAGATTTAAGTTCATTAAGTAATGAATTATCCCAAATTAATTCTGATCCTTCAATGCATCAATTACTGTTACCAACAAATACTTCATCATTATCACAATTTAATAATTTGAATTTATCGAATAATCATATACCTTCACCAATAACTAATAATTCAAATTCAGTAGCTCCTTCAAGAACTGTTTATTTAGGTAATATACCTAATGATATTGAACCTCATGAATTATTAGATTATGTTAGATCAGGGATTTTAGAAAATGTTAAAATTTTACCTTCAAAGAATTGTGCATTTATTTCATTTATTGATCATCAACTGGCATTATTATTTCATTCTGATTGTATATTAAAAAAATTAAATATTAAAGGTCATGATATTAAAATTGGTTGGGGTAAAGATTCACCAATTTTACCTGCAGTTTTAGAAAGTATTCAAAGAGATGGTGCTACAAGAAATGTTTATCTTGGTAATTTAAATAATCCAATAACTGGTAATTTGATTACTGAAAATGAATTAAGAGATGATTTAAGTTGTTATGGAATTATTGATAGTATTAAAATCATTCCTGATAAAGGTATTGCATTTATTCATTTCTTATCAATTTTATCAGCAATTAGATGTGTTGGTAATTTACCATTAAAAGAGAAATATTTAGGTAAGAAATGTTTTTATGGTAAAGATAGATGTGCTTTTATTACCAAAACTCAACAACATAATGCTGCACAATATTTAGGTTTAGCTCCTGGTATGGAACATATTGTTACTGCTGCTGATAGAGAATTTATTTCATCAGCTTTAGTTCAACAAAGCGCGGCTGCTGCTCAAATTGCAACTCATGCTGGTGGAGCCAATAATTTAGGTAACAGAACTGTTTATTTAGGTAATTTACATCAAGATTCATCAGTTGAAGAAATATGTAATGTTGTTAGAGGTGGATTATTACAAAGCATTAGATATTTAAAAGAACGTCATGTTTGTTTTATAACATTTATTGATCCAATAGCTGCTGCACAATTTTTCGCCATGTGTCAATTACATGGTTTAACCATTCATAATAGAAGAATTAAAGTTGGTTGGGGTAAACATTCTGGTCCTTTATCAAATGCTTTAAGTCTTGCAGTTTCCAATGGTGCTAGTAGAAATATTTATGTTGGTAATATCAATGATTTTAATTATTATAATCAAGATAAGTTAAGACAAGATTTTTCAACATTTGGTGATATTGAACAAATTAATTATTTACAAGAAAAGAATTGTGCATTTATAAATTTCATCAATATTTCTAATGCTATCAAAGCCATTGATGGTATTAAATCTTTCAATGATTATAAAGATTTAAAGATTAATTTCGGTAAAGATAGATGTGGTAATTTACCCAGACAATTCCAACAACAGCAACAACAAAACCATCAACATCCCCATAATCACCACCAAAACGATGATAAAAGTTTGAAATCTCCTCAACATTCATCAGAACCTGAAAACTCCTAGTAACTGAATATAGGATTAACGAAACTAACGAAATAAGATTTCCACAGTTATTTATTTATGAGTTATGTAGTTTGTATATTATTTTTATATACACTTTTTTTACTTTTGTAGCGTCTCTTACTTCTCCAGCTTCTCCTGCATCTTTGGTCTTTGGTCTTCTTTGGTCTTCTTTGGTCTATGGTGAGATCATTACATCTTGGGTAAGATCTTTATTATTATAATCATCATTAAGAATGCAACAAATATCAGTAACATGGTCTTAACCAAGAACCAAAATGATATTTTACCTCCTGACTTATTCATTACATAGGAATTCAAGTTTGTACCAACAATAGACATAAAGTTTTCATTACTATGCAAATTCTCTTGAGTCTTAGACATTAATTTTTCATCTTCCACTAATTTGTATGATAATTGAATAGCCCCATTCTTTAAATCACTGGCTAAATTACTAAGATCTTGTAAAATATCTTCTTGTAAGTTTTCATGGTAGTCATTAGAATTGTTTGTTCGTTCAAGAACTGTTGAACTTGATAATAATCGTTGTCGTAATTCATTATAATCGTCTTTCGTCTCAGGGATAGGTACGGATTCTACCTTTTCTTGAGTAACTTCGGGTGTTGGTTCCTTAATGGTTTTCTTCAATTCGTGACTCTTTTGATCAATTATGAACTGTAATCCACTAAGCTTCTCATTGATTGAAGTATACTTTTTATTGGACTTGAAATGATTCAATTGAAGTTTTATATCGATTATATCATGTTTTATCTTCTTGATTTCGTATCCTGTTATTATGGGATCTTTGGATTCGTTCAAATTTGAAGTATATTGGTCGATTAAGTTTTCAATACCTGTTATTGAAATCATGCTCGATTTTTGCTGCTGATCAGAGCACAAAATGGTTGAACTTAGAAATACCACACGAACTTGAAATATCAGTTTAAGCTTGAATATTTCGAGTTGATATGAAGTGGATGCTATTCGATTTGACTTTCAATGTGGCTTTCATAAACTTCCTTTGAAATCATCGTAAGTCATTTTCATCATGATTTTCATCATGATTTTCACCTAGTTCAATTCAAGAGTATCAGAGAATGTACGCCCAACTACTATCAAACAACGATCTACGAAAAAATGATCGTGGTTAGCGAAAAAGGCTGGAATCTATCTATGAATTACTTAACCAATCTAATAATATAAACATTAAACTATCATTAACTAATTCACATTGACATAAAAATTTTTTCGATGCGAAGATTCCTTTAAATAATGTTCATTTTCAGAGAATTTTTGGCTTTGGACGATGTGTAGTGGAGATTTGAATCACTTGTTAACGATCAACGTTTTGTTACTGGTTTTTATACTCTTTCCATCACCTATTTGATTTCAAATGGTTAAATTGTTAATCGCACGACTTTTGAGCTTTATGGTGCTCAATTTCGAATTGTTTTTCGAACGACTCCTGGTAGCTTAGCTGGTTTAAAGCGCGAGACTGTAAAGTAACACACCTCAGTTATCTTGAGATCGGGTGTTCGACTCACCCCCGGGAGACGCTTTTTTTTTTTTGGTTTAAAGTACTTATATCTAGATTCTTGACAGGTTTTTGGATTTGAGTTGCATGCTTTGACTCAAACAAGGTTTCAAATCATGAAAACCTAAAATTTTCTTCATCTCCATGGATATGATCACTGTGTGATCACCCAGATGATATCAACGATACATGTGTAGAGGAATTGGTCTGGTGTTCAAATAGTATCACTAGCACGCTCTGATACCAAAGATATGTTAGAAACACTGAAAAAATAATCTTTCCCCTATACCCCTATTTGACCCGAAAAGTTATTGTACGATGTTTACTTATAATCACTCGATCAAATCTGAGGGCCAATCTCCGAGGATTTTTGTTTAATATTGTAACAAATGTATTATTACCCCTTTAAAATTATAAACAGGCCAAAATCAGGACTCTTTCTAGCCGTTTAGCGAACTACTAAAAATTTCCCCATACAAAGATAGGGGAAATAGATCAAATTCAAGTGGAAACATCGAAACAACCAAGGTTAAAGCAGCTAAGATTCAGAACACCAAGAGGATATGAATAAACATTATATATTAACACAGTAACAATCGAGAAGTAACTTCAACTCTCTTTAAATTTAATCTTTTAATACAACATATAAAGCGTGTAAAATAGCTGGGAACCAGAAGAAAAGACAACAGATCAAGTTAATCCATAAAGGAGTGGTAGCACCGACAGCAGCAAAGACAGCTAATGGAGGAAGGAAGATAGCTATAAAGGTTAGTAACTGACACTTCAATTGAAGATACTTTCATCGAACGGCTTATCAATAAGATAAAGCTCGTCAACCGGATTAAACATGGGTGAATTGAACGATTCACTGAGATTCTAACTCACTATTCAAACAATTGGCTCTTTAATAGATATCCCCATCATCAATTATGTACATACCAAGAATAACTTGAACGATTTTATCGGAGTTCATTTTGAATAAGTGTTAGATATTTGGATTTTTTTACTCGTCTTCGCGAACAGAAAACTAGCCAGCCGAAGAGTGACTTAATTAATCGGGAATTTGGGGAAGATCGTCAGGAATTTTAGGGAAGATTATTAATCCCTACCGGAGGCTGAAATATTCATCAATCATAAGAGTTTCCCAAAAAACCGTTTCAACCATAAGTCACATGACTTTCAAAGTCTTTCTAAGGGAATATTTTTTACGAAATTTAGACTTACCATATTTTTTCAGGATTCGCCTTTGCTTTGATATGGAGTGATAGTTCTAATTTGCCACAAGAGTAGTCATCGATAGTCACTGGGCTGAGGAAATATGAACGGCTTGGAAGTTATGATATGCCAAGTCTTTTTGGTATTCATGTTATAACACATTAACACCAGGACCACACCTAATCTTTCGGGGTTAGCATTATCTCTTCTTGTAAGCTATCAATTACCCTTTTCAAGATTTATGGCTTCTTAACCTTTACAGGAAAATATTCCTGCAAATTTCAGTCCCTCTACAAACCTATTGTTAAATTTAGGAAAAGCGGAAGGAAATCCCTAGTTTATAAATCCGCTTGACAATAAGTCTACCAAAATTTCATGTTCAACAGGTTAAAACTAGATTCCCACCAATGTTAAAGTCTCTTCTTTTATTCATGCCTTTGATAACTTCATTTGACCTTCTTCGTCAAAGAAAATTGTTAAAACTTTATCTCATGGTTATACACCTAGATCAAAAAGTCAGGGTATTATCCAACCAATCACATTAGCCGAAAGCTTTTATTTCGCAGGAACCTGAAAGTTTTATTAAAAAGGGAAATCTTGGTCCATATACAGGATATCTCAAGGGAGAATTCAAATATAGAGCAAATTACTCTGATTTAATTATAAAGCAAGATAAGGTTGAAACTTAGGAAGTTGAACATTTAAAGGTTAAGAAAGTGAAAGTAAGAAAGTGAAAGTACCGTAAAGAAGAAGAAATCCTTGTAACGAACTGTTCCAACAAGAAATCAAAAGAAATTAAGAGAAATCTTTATTAGAAATCATAATGTCTGAAGAAGTTGCCTTTTCTTTCAAGAAGAAACCTATACAAGATTTACCTAAACATTCATCGATATCAGAGATTTTACCTGCTACTGATAAGCTCAAGTCCAAAATCGAAAGTTTTGATGGCAATAATTTGAATAATGTTAATTATGACGAACAGATTAGAGCTCCTCGAATAAACTTCAAAACTTATGATATTAAATTTCCTAATGATATCAAGGAGACTGAAGAAGAATCTGAAATAACAAAATCAACCTCACCTAATTTGGAAGATTCAGGTTTACAATCAAAAGAATCATTTGAAAAGAATTTCCAAAATAAATACGAAATTTTCGAAAATAAGTTGGACTATAAACCAGCAAATTTCGATTTAAATCATAATAATTATACCTATTCATCAAGTGAAATCAACTTATCCAATGATAAATTAGATGCCATCAAAAATTTGACCAATAACTTAACTACTGAAGAAAGAACACAAAATCCATATAAATTGAAGAAACCTTTAAGCATACCTGCAGTATTAAGACCAAATGTCGATTCCAGTCCTGAAACTAACAACAGTCCAACATCATTATCATCATCATTATCTCTTGGACTCAATATCACAAACACGAATTTAAGCAGCAATATCCGAGCAAGCAATGGTAATAGTGGAAGTTTCAGTAGTAGCGGATCTGGCAGGGCCGGTAGAAGTGCAAGCATTTCAGCTATTAATAATTTGAATGAGATTGAGGATTTCGAACCTATTGAACCAACTCATGAACATTGGAAACCTAATAATTTCTCAACAAGTTGTATGAAATGTTTTTCAAATTTTTCAATCTTTAATAGTCGTAGACGTCATCATTGTAGATTTTGTGGATTTATAATATGTTCAAATTGTTTATTCAATTCGAACTTATACCTTCAGAACTCGGAATCTAATGAGTCTAATGATTTGATTTATATTGATAAGAATTCCCGATTAATTATCCCTATTTTCAAAAACTTGAATGATTTACAATTATCAAAGTATTTTAAACTTTGTAAGATCTGTAAGAATTGTGGGAATAATTATCTTAACCTTTTGTTCCAATTAAATCAAATAAATGCCATTGATTTACCCTTTATATTTATCGAAAATCCTTTCATTAATAAAGATAAAAAGACTGTAGCCATAGAAGAAAGGAAAAATAGTTTTGTTAATAATTCAGATTGGAATTGGAGCTCCTTCTAGCGGTGGCCCTTCAAGTGGTGCCCCTTCCACTGGTGCCTTATCCAAATCTAAATCTTTTGTAGAGTGTTTTTAATTCTTGTTGTATTAATCTTGAATATATTATTTTCTTGTAATCTGCTTATTCTTTATCTTGTCGTGATTTTTTTGCCCTTCTTGGAAAGGAGAGTTATCTTTAATCGAAAGCCTCTATTTTCCACTTGTTTCTTATCTTGTCTTATCTTCAATCGATCAATGGGGGAATTTATGAAAACAACGCTTAGGTCCCAATTTGGAAATAATGTCGCATGGTTACATTGCAAACTGTTAGTTGAAACGCACAGGTTAATTGACATTTGAAGTTTGATTGAAATGTCGCGCTTATCAGTAGGTATTTACTCAATTAGGTTGTCGAATCGCATCGGATTGATAAGTACCATATAAATAGACTTGGTTGAGTGTGGTAAAAAGTTAAATTGTAAAACTCTATAATTAATTAATTAATTAAATGAAGAACTTGAAACTTTTTGGTGATACTGAATTAGTTCCTGGAACCGTTCATTTGGTGGATGTTGAAGGAAACTTACATGTGAAGAAAAATAAAGGTGGTAATGAGAAGATCATCTTGAGACCACCACCATCTTCAGATCCAAATGATCCATTGAGATGGTCAAGGAAGAAAAAATTATTCCAATTCTTCTTATTATTTTGGTTAGGGGTATTTTTAGCTATTACTGTTGCTTGGAGTTCACCTTCATGGCTTATTATTAGTAGTGATCTTGATACTACTGTGGCTAGAATGAATGATGCCATGGCTTTAACTTTCTGTGGTCTTGGTCTCGGTTGTGTTTTCTTACAACCAACTGCTTTGAAATTGGGTAGAAGATTTGTCTATTTATTCTGTTGTGTTTTGATGATGGTTGGTAATTTAGTTGGTTCTCAAGCTAAGGGTATTAGTTATATTTTTGGTGCCTTCTTCATAACTGGTTTTGCCGCTGCCCCTTGTGATAGTTTATTGGAAATTTCAAGTTGTGATGTTTTCTTCCAACATGAAAGAGCAAGTTTCTTATCACTTTTCATTCTTGCGTTATATTTCGGTAATTATATTGCCCCAGCTATTAGTGGTTACGTTGTTGAATCTTTAGGCTGGAAATGGTCTTATTATTTACAGATCATTTTATTCGGAGCTTCATTTGTTCTTTTGTTCCTTTTCATGGAAGATAGTACTTTCAGAAGAACTGAAGACGATGAAACTTTTGAAGAAAATATCATGGAACAAATAAAGTCAAGAGAATCAACCAAGGAGCACAACAACGTTGCCATTACTGACGGAACTAGTGATAATTATGATGAGGATAGTGATTATACTGATCCTTCAATTCCTGTCAGAAGTATTTGGCAAAGAAGACAAATCATTCAATTAACTTACAATGATACCAGATCCTGGTTATGTATTTGGTATAGACCTTTCTTCTTGGTCACTTTACCTCCAGTTGTTTGGGGTGGTTTGATCTATGGTGCTCAAATGATGTGGTTGTCATTGATTGCTGTCACTCAAGCTACAATTTATCAATCTCCACCTTACAACTTTTCTCCATCTACCACAGGTTTAATCAATTTCTCACCTTTAGTGGGGAACATCTTTGGTATGATGTACGGAGGTAAGTTTGTTGATTGGTTAAGTATTAAATTATCACAAAGAAATAACGGTATCATGGAACCTGAATTCAGATTATATGCCATGATCGTACCAACCATTTTAAACGCTATAGGTTTGATGACTTATGGTATCGCCAATCATAACGGTGCTCCATGGCCTATTTCAGTTATCATTGGTATTGGTTGTTTAGGTTTCGCTATGACCTCTACCGGTGCTATCACTTTAACTTATGCCATTGATTGCTATCCAAAATTACAAAGTGAAAGTATGGTGCTTATGTTGTTCATCAGAAACATGATTGGTATGGTGTTCACTTTGATCTTCCTGTACTGGTTAGCTGCTTCCGGTTTGAAGCAATTAACTTGGTTGTTATTCATGTTGTCACTTCTTATAAATGGTTCTTTTATCATTTTCATCTTCTATGGTAAAAGAATCAGAAGATGGACCAGTGAAACTTACTTTAGAGTCAGTGACCCTAACTATGGTGAGTTATTCAAGAACTAAGTCGTGTGTAGATAATATGGATATGGTAAATTCAATCTCTTAACCCTGGAAATTTAGAGCATTGTGGCCGGCTGCAACTCTACCGCCATTCTTTTGACGAAAGATCAATTATAAAGACATGCTAGATAAATTTTAATTCCAAGGTTTTCATCATTGAAATCTTAGCTCAAGTGTCTTTTGTGTTCAATGATATGCAAAAGTCCAGTTTGAGAGGTTTGAATGAACAAATTAGTTGATTTTTCTTAATATCTCCTTATCAGTGATATCTATTCACTCTCCAACCGTCGGCTTGTGATGAGAATCTTCAGTGCTGCTAACTCGTGCTATTACCTTTATATGAATATCCTTAACTTTATTCCCATGTCGTATCAATACACGACATGTCGGGTTATCCTATCTTGAAAAGTTGGTTAATAGTTTTTAACCAATTTCGAACCTAACTTCTTCTATGCGGGACGATTATTCGACAATCATTCCCGATGAAAGTTGTGGATCTCATAGGTGTAATCTTCAGTAGACTACGAGTGACTTTTATTAGTCCAGTATGTACATAAAATTCTCTCTTGAAGAGATATCTCATATACATTTCAAAAGGACCTCATCTTAAATCTATTTTAAAACGGTAAAACACCGTGACCAAATTTAGGACTTTCCCGGTTTTTCTATCCTTAACACTTCCCAGTGATCCTCTCACATTATAGGCAGTTAAAGCGAGCCTCCGGTTAAAAGAAACGTGGTATCCTGGTAAAGTTAGAATCCCAAGTTACAAATTTCCGCATTGAGTAAGTGACCCTTTCATAGAATAAATTACATTTCCTTTTCGAGAAGCCCTCAAAAGTTGATTTCCACATCCCTAGGCTAACATTTACAAGAATGTGCTCGATAGAACCTGATTACGCCCGGTGAATGGAGTGGTGTGCTTCTCAAGTGATATTTGTTGTACCACTAATATGATTTTTTTGCAGTAGCAGTTTTTATTGACAAAATTGGATAAGAGCATTCGCAAATCGAGTACGGTAGGTGCTGAAATGTAGGACAGATGACAATAATGTCAAACCTCTAGATGAAATTCAATCAACAGTGTGTTGGATTTTACAGTTGTTCAGGAGTGTATTTTGTTAAGCATGTTGGCTTTGTTGGAATGGTTTTGACATTTTGAAACAGAAAAAGATCTTTGTCCTGATTCAGGGTGTACTGAATTTATAGGTTAACTAAAAAATTCGTTGATACATAGACCTACGTATATTTCTGGATATTTAAGGACACGAATTGAGATTTTGAGTAAGACACTTTGTTTCGAATGTTCACAATATTTTATCTTTCAGAGTATACCCTCAGGTATCCTTGGGTAGAATATAATAGGTTGGATCCAAGATTATGAGTAATTTCAGACATCTCTGTAATCAGGCATAAGGGTTTTCTAGTATACGTTGCATTACCGTGCCAAAGCAATATTGAAGTCTAATACTAGAAGGTTACCCCTGCATATCCTGTCGAAAGTGCTGCCACACGTACAGCGGATATAGGATCTACCTACGTCAATATTCCTACCTTACTCGTCCATCTAACTCTCTGGATACCCTGACCCTTGACTCTTATTGACCTTAACATTCTCGATCCCTCGAATGCCCTTTTAAACTAATGGATTTCGACGAACATGATTTTTAAATGTTTTGGAAAATAATTCCGTGCAAATAAACTTTGCTAAAAATGTGACTGCAAGCAGCTTTTTTCCAACCATGTTTTATCGGGAGCTTAAATATTTCATTCTTTAGATGAAAAAAACCAACCATCTCTGATTGTTCTTCAGTATTCTATAAACCGCTTTTGTATGAGGTTTTATGGGCAAAATCACATGGCTGTCTCGATATTTTAGGATTAATCATCTGCGATAATGCAGGTTTTGTCTCTCTCACATACGCCAGATAGTCTGCGATACCTCTTAGAAATCAACTTATTTTTTGGGCTGCCAGATGAAAAGTAGAAAATTCCCCAATAGACTTTTCCAGGCTCTGGGAGTAACTTTTGTTAATGTACCATAATTCGATTTCCAGGAACGAGGTTGAAGAAAGCAGTTTCAAAATAATGCCATTAGACGTAATATTGGTTTCGCCCTTTATGAACTAATGAAAAAGTAACGAGTACTTCAACTAGGCTCCATACATAGAGGTCTTCTTTCCCTTCCAGATGCGTTTTTTGGTTTCGAAGCTTTAAACTTCTTTCACAATATTATTGGGTCCCGGAAATTTTTATCAAGTCTCCCTAAGACGATCTTTCCTCTCCCTAACAACAAGAATCTTCGTCAATTTTTATATTTTCGATAACCCCCTGACACGAACTTTTACCCATCATGAAGGTTGTCATTATTTGGTTGAAAGTGGTCGAAGAATCTACTTCCTGATAACTTTTGGTTTCTCTGCATTAGTATCCAGGGGCATCAAATCTTCTTGGATCTCATCACACGTCACCCCTCCCAACCTTGCATGCATTATTTTTGACCTGCAGTTTTGCCTACTATAGTTGAAATTTACTGGAAGAAGTCTTTTATTGATATCAAATATGATATTCTGTGATATCTGGTTTTTTTGCAAAATCCATAAATTTGACAAATAATCAAAAAAAACAATTTATGAAAATTAAAGTTCAAACTTAAAAAATAAAATAAAAAAACTTATCAAACAATCGACTTTAAAGATGTTTGTACTTGTTATTGATATGGATTGTTGATACTGTTAGAGCAAATTCAAAAAAAAACAAGTGATTCCGCCCAGGTTCGAACTGGGGACCTTATGCGTGTTAAGCAGACGTTATGACCAACTAAACCACGGAACCTCTTTGTTGAAGACGTTATGCGTCTTTGAGTTCATGACTAGAAAATATGAGTTTTCGGACAAAATTCGTAAAAGGAAGGCATAAACCGTTCTGGCGAGGTGGAATATCGATAGAGTTGCATAAAGATACTTTGTTCAACACCGTCGGAATGTTCAGACAATAAAATCGCGACCCATTTGGCTGGTGTTGATATATTGTTGCCGTTGGAGGTCGCAATTTTTTTTGCAGCCAAAGGAAAGAATAGTCCGTTAGTGCAAGAGTTATCTATTTATGGAGTGTTATAAAAAAATAACAGTTTCCTCATTTCTCAAAGATGCCTTTGTCATATTGTCTCCTAAAAACTATAAAAGGAGAGCATTTGACCCTCAAAAAGTCATCTTCAATTTTCCTTAAACAATGCTACAACTCGAAATACTTCATCATCTTTGCGATATTTCTGATATTGGAATCGTCTATAAGTTGTTCATGATAGAGAAATCTTTGAACAATATCCAAGAGTGCTCGTGCATCCTTCATTCATTTGTTACTTCACTCAAAAGCAAAGATTTCAATATTGTCAATATGTTGGAGATCAAAAGTATGGATGACCACGAAGGAATCAATGCTATGATGTTGATGTTAATTGAGTTGATCACATTCAACGAGTCTTATAATACAAACTACGAGTACCCTGTAAAGGAAATCACCCTAGTTTGTATAGACTTTGACATTAGCCAAGAATCCATCAAACAACTAGAGATTTTAACTAGAAACACCAGTTACAACATCAGAATTAAATTCTATTGTATTGACAAGAACATCCAAAACTTTGTGTATACCTTCCTTGATCAAACCATCGAGGATAAACCCGAAGTAGCCTCAATAAAAGTATAATCTTGATACCATCAAATAGGCACATAACTTGTATATTATATATAAACTTAACCACTGTTAGTCTTTGCAGATAACTTGGCTTGTTCTACTAAATTGACAGGAGCGTCCATTTTACCTAACATGATTTCAACTAATCTGATCTTATCATGTTTGTTGAAATCGGCATCTTTGAACAATTTGGTCAAATCTTCAGCAGTATCAACTCTAATGGATTCGAAATTGTCTGCTTTAAAAGTAGATAAAAGTTGTTGGTGGTCCCAAGGTTGAATATCATTATAAACTGATTCTTCCCCATGAATTAATCTCTCAATAGTGTATCCATCATTATTTAAAACGAAAATATATGGTTTCTTACCATCTCTAGCCATTGAAGAGATTTCTTGCACAGTTAATTGTAAAGAACCATCACCAACAAACAACATGACTCTTCTATCAGGATCAAATTCTTCAGCTGCAGTTACAGCACCAAATAATGCTCCAACAGAATAACCAATAGATCCCCATAAAACTTGAGAAATTCCCAAAGCATTTTTAGGGTATTTACTTTGAATGATACCGAAAGATGAAGTACCTGTTTCCGTAATGATAACATCACCTTCTTTGAAGAAATTATTAACTTCGGTCCATAAAAATTGTTGAGTAATTTCTCCTGAAGTTTTGGTTGATGGGAAAGGATCTTTAGTGATCTTTGGAGTTTGGTACTTTTCAACTAATGATGTCAAATCCTTATGAGAAATCAAATTGTTCAAAACTTCCTTCATTCTAACATTTGGATATTGAGCTGATTTGATTTTAGTGTAATCAGAATGGAATTCAATAACGTTTTTAGTTTCATAACTATAAGAGAATGAACCGGTATTGAAATCACTCAACATGGCACCCAAGGAAATAATCAAATCTGACTTTTCAACAGCTTCTTTGACATTTGGATAAGATAAGGTACCAACATAAACACCTAAATATTGAGGATGAGTTTCATCAATATATTTAGAACCTTTAGCCATAGGAGTTAAGGCGAATTTGAATTTGGTCAAATCAATCAATTTTTTAGCCTCAATGGTGGCATTGTGTCTACCACAACAAGCATCGATTAAAATAGTTGGATTTTCAGCTTTAGCGATCATTTCCAAGACTCTTTCAATTACTTCCTCTTCTTGAGTTTCATCATTTTTAGGAACTTCAACATTTAAAGGAGTATCCAATAAAGATCTGGGGACTTTAACATCAACTAAATTAGTTGGGAAAGCAAGATAACTGGGTCTTTGATTGATGAAACTTTCAACAATACATTTATCGATATCTGCGGTAGCAGTATCTTTATCCTTAAGCATAACAGTACTATGACTAATTGCCGAAGACATTCTTTGAAATACATTGAAATCTCCATTACCTAAAGTATGGTGCAATAATAATTGTTTAGCTTGAGAATCAATTGAAGGAACACCAACAATATGTAATAAACCAACATGTTCAGCATAAGCACCAGCAACACCGTTCAATGCAGATAATTCACCCACTCCGAAAGTGGTGACCAAAGCTGCATATCCATTGCCACCAGATTTGGAATCATTGGTTAAACCACCTTTGACTCTACTATATCCATCAGCAGAATAAGCAGCATTTAATTCATTGGCATTACCTTTCCATTTTAATCCGTCAACCTCTTCGATTTTATCAAGTAAAACCAAATTGAAATCTCCTGGAACACCAAAGATTGATTTCAATCCAATTGGTTGTTGATGTAATCTTTCGAATAAGTAAGTTCCTAAGGTAATTGTATCTGACATTGTAAAATTTTAACTTTTGTATTGTAATTTCAGACTCTATAAATTTTGATAATCAATTCTTTACTAGAAAATATGATTACTCTTGTCTTTTGAATGATAGAAATATTGATTGAAAATTGGGAATTGAATAGCCAATTTATATGAAAGGCTGATTTCCCGTAGATTGCGAAATTGCTGCAAAAAAAAAAGCCTACCTGATTAAAGAACGACCACGGAGGTTAGGGCAATTATTTACGAGATTGACAGCAAGGAGTTAAGGAAATTGGAAAGAATAGGACAAAAATAACTACTATACATTTTAATCATCTTTAAAGATGGAATCATTAACAAAATATAACCATGAAAAACCATTCCAACTACTTATAATACCAATACCACAATATACACTTATGATGATGAATTTAAGGAATTGTAATTTCTTTAAGAACTCAAACTTATGTTCGAATAAATCAATCAAGCTTATGACCAATAAAATGGCGAGGATTCCTAAAATATAAAGATTTATAAATCTGTCCAAAATAAATTCATTATTTGAATTAGCTAAATGTTTTGGAATTCTTGTAACATTTCTAAAGTTGAAACTATAAATCACGTACCATAAGAAAGTGTATAAAACTTTGATTAGCCATTCGGAACTGGTGAAGATCAACGGGAACAAAGAAACATAACCACAACTAACTAACAAATTAAATGCGGGTAATAATCTCTTGTCTTTAACTATGATGAAAGTTATTGGGAAAATTACCAATAAGATTGCTTTTTCATGAACATGCCATCCAAATAAGAATGATGCATATCCACATAAACTCATGGCACCCATAAATTTATCAAAAGTTGGTTGAATAAATAATGGAATCAAGCACATGACTTGGTAGAATAAAGTTAAGAAGAATGTCAATTTTGGTGTTATTGTTGGTAAAACTAAAAATTCCGTATCACCGACAATTCCTCTGGTACTGGTATTTAAGAATTTTGGATCTAATAACAATAATGGATCGAATTTGAATATTTTGTATAAGGGAATTCTTGATAATGGGATATTCTTATAAATTTGAATTAATAATCTATCGAAGAATGAATAGATTGCCCAGAAGTTGGGGGCCCAATAAGCATGAGTTAAACCTCTACTGAATGGGAATAATCTTTCCAATAATTGAGGTATTTGGTTATAATAAATGAAAGGACTGAAAGAGATTCCAAAAGTCAATATAACCACCAAACCTAATTTTATGGAATTCACCCAATTTATAAGTTTAAAAGGATTCCAGGACTTGCTCTTGAAATTTAGACAATAATCTCTTAATAAGAATACAAACACTGCAGGAGCCAAATAAAGATAAATATGTTTGAAACATAATAATAATGAAAACCAAAATCCACACATTAAGTATTTTTTCAATCTGGCACTATTGATAACCAATACCAAAATACCATACATCATACCATTATATTGGAAATGAATATGATCAATGATCAATAAACCTGGAGATAAAATTAAACTAGAAGCAATAACATATCCTCTTCTACTCTCACTATGAGACTTACAAGTATTTATATACCATTGTAAAGCAAATAATAAAACCATCTCACTGACCAAGACTGTGAATCTTTGGTAGAATATTGTTGGTAAACCATAATCACCTTGTTGAACTAAATCCAAACAGCCATCTCGTTTAACAAATGGGGGTACTAAATGGGATAATATCCATTCGAAATATGCAAAACAAGGAGGGTAATCCAAAGTCCATGGTGATGTCTCATCAGTATACCATTGATTGATAGGTAAATTATAAGTTATGGCCAACCAATTTCTATGAACTTCAAAATCCGTCGAATGATAGCCTATAGATAATAAGATCTTTAAGAAGTTCGATATGATCCAAACATTGACTAAAGAATATTTTTTGGCTACAAATTTACTCCCATCATCAATTGAAGTATCCTGATTCTTTTCCACCTGGGGAATTGATGTTTTAGGAACTTTCCCGCCTTTGGCAATGGCTGGAGGAGTTGTCGATTTAGCTTTCTTACCTTTAGACATGGCTGAAAAATTTGTGCGAGAAAAAAATTTAAAACCATGTCAGAACCAAAGAAGGTAGATGTTGATGCAGCTGAACTTCTCTCATCATTATCCATTGATAAGAAGGACAAGCCAGAAGTGAAAGAAACCACCGAAGAAGTGAAAGAAGTTGGAAAACCTGATGTTGAAGAAGTTAAGGAAGAAGTAAAAGAAGTTGATGAAACCAAAGAGTCGACACAAGAAGAGGCCAAGGAATCAGAACTTAAAGAAGAACCTAAGGAAGAACCTAAAGAACTTGAAGAATCCAAAGAAGAACCTAAACAAGACACTAATTTAATCAAATCAACTTATGAAGTTCAAGTTAAATTAGCTGATTTACAAGCAGATCCAAATTCTCCTTTATATTCAGTTAAATCATTCGAAGAATTAGGTTTAAGTGATAACTTACTTAAAGGGTTATTTGCCATGAAATTCAATAAACCTTCTAAGATTCAAGAAAAAGCTTTGCCTTTATTACTTTCCAACCCACCAACTAATATGATTGGACAATCTCAATCAGGTACTGGTAAAACTGCAGCATTTTCATTAACCATGTTATCAAGAGTCGATGAATCCATTAAAGCTCCTCAATGTATTTGTTTATCACCAACTAGAGAATTGGCTAGACAAACATTAGAAGTCATTCAAACCATGGGGAAATTCTCCGGTATTACAACCAAATTAATTGTTCCTGATTCATTTGATAGATTTGAAACCGTTTCCGATCAAATTTTAGTGGGTACTCCAGGAGTAATGGTTAATTTAATCCAAAAAAGAAAGATTGATACTAAAAATATTAAAGTTTTCGTTTTAGATGAAGCTGATAATATGTTAGAAGGTCAAGGATTAACTGATCAAAGTACTAGAATTAAAAGATCATTACCAAAATCTTGTCAATTAGTATTATTCTCTGCTACTTTCCCTGTTGAAGTTAGAAAATTTGCTGAAAAATTCGTTCCAAATGCCAATTCATTAGAATTAAAACAAGAAGAATTAAACGTTGATGCCATTAAACAATTATATATGGATTGTTCTAGTGAAGAACATAAATTCCAAGTTTTAACTGAATTATATGGATTATTAACTATTGGATCATCAATTATTTTCGTAGCTACTAGAGCAACAGCTAATAAATTATATGCTAAAATGAAAAACGAAGGTCATACAGTTTCTGTTTTACATGGGGATTTAGAAAATTCTGAAAGAGATAAATTAATTGATGATTTCAGAGAAGGTAGATCAAAAGTATTAATCACTACCAATGTTTTAGCTAGAGGTATTGATATTGCATCAGTTTCAATGGTTGTTAATTATGATTTACCTGTTGATAAAAATGGAAGACCTGATCCTTCAACTTACTTACATAGAATTGGTAGAACAGGTAGATTTGGTAGAGTTGGGGTTTCCATCTCCTTCGTTAGTGATAAAAAATCTTATGAAACTTTAACTGCCATTAAGAATTATTTCGGTACGGGGATTGAAATGACCAGAGTTCCAACTGATGATTGGGATGAAGTTGAAGAAATTGTTAATAAAGTTTTAAAAAATTAATCTATGTACATTATAATAGTTTGATTCTCTAGGTCTCTAAGTAATTAGTCCATCTATTCATAATCGAATGAAAAATTTTGGGAATCTTTCTTTGGGGTTCTTTGTTTGACAATATCCCAATTGATACATTTCCAAACGTTATCTAAATATCTTTGATTACCAAAAACACCATAATCTTTTAAATAATTTCTTGGTGAAGCATCAATAGCTAATAAAGGTATGATTGATTTTTCATTAAATAAATTTTGAAATTCTGCTTCTTCAATAGTTCCTAAGATCGGATTGAATTCTTCTTCAACAACTTCTTGTTGTTCAGGTTCTTTCTCTAATTTCAAATTTTCTTTCAATTCTTTTTGTTTTTGATTCTTATATAATTGATTTGATCTTAATGAATCATCAATTGTACCATTATTATAAGTATTTACTATAGATAACTTATCTTTATTACCGAAATTACTTGAGAATGATGAGAACTTTAAACTTTCATCATTTCTTGGTTGAGAAATTAACCAAGTTATACCATTACCATTGATTGAATGAGCAGAATTTAATAACAATGATTTAAATTGTAAAATTGAACCAAAACTCAGAATAATCCAATCTTTTAAATCTTTGTCGATATTAAAATTATTATTAACTTCTTCTAAATCTTCTAAGATAGGTGATTTCAATATTTCATTACTATCAATAACTGGGAATGAATAATCACTGGATTCTTTTAAATTTTCAAAGAAAAAATTCAAATTTTGTAAACTAGTGGCATTGTTATAAATTTTAATCAATTCTGGTTTGTTAATAGTCAATTTTATCAATTCATTTAAACTTGATGGTGGTGAAATTTTATTTTCGATTAATTGTAAATTTAATTCATTGACAATTTTTTCACCTCTTTGGAAATATAATTCATTGAGAGTTGAATATTTGAATAACCCTTTGAAATCTGAAGTGTTAAGCTTTAATTCTTCTAAGTTTGAGAACTTAGATAATGAATAAGATTGGTATCTTTTAAATATTAGTCTTAAACTCATGATAAAATTTTTCACTGCGAACGAGCAGGTAAGTATGAGAGATAGAGAGATCAATGAAGTCACATAGAATGGTTAGTAACTCCACGTCTTGAACTAGACAGAGTTGTTTACATAACAGAGTACAAAAGGTTCAAGAAAAACAAACTGAGCAATTCATCTCTATTTTACATCAGACTACATAAGTCATATCTATTTAAATGTCAAATTTAAATCTTTACCTTTCTCTTCTACCAACTTTTAAACTTTTAACTCTTCTGATTAATGAATTCCCCGATTCTTCAAATGATGTTGAAGTATTTGAGCTTTCTAAATAATCATTGGAACTTCTGGATAATAATTCATTACCACTATTTTTTCTTAATCTTTGCACTAATGATTTTTTCCTTCCTAATCCATTACTACTTGGACTTAAATAATCATCTTGCTTTGGGGCTGGTGCACCATCAAGGAATGTTGATGATCCTAAACCGGCAGTAGCAGGTCCATGAACTGGTTCGGATTTCATATTAGCATCGAAATTAATTACTGAAGGATTTTGTTTTGGTACATATAATGAAGAATGTTCTTCTCCATTATTATTATAGTCATAACCATTAGATTTGACTATTTTTGGTTGATAGGGTAAATCATCAGATGATTTGGATGTTAATTTTTTCTTTATAGATATTTTTCTACCAATAATTTCATTTTGATCATTATAATTACCAAAAGCTAAATTCATTTGTTCATCTTTGTCAACATTAGCAACTCCTTTTATTGAATTATTTGGTCCATCCACTGGGAAGGCCATTACTGGAGCAGCTTTAACATTCTTATTACGATGTGGTGCACATGCATCAAATGGTCCATCATGATGGAATCCACCACCGAAAAATGCTGTTACATCTAATTTATCGATAGTATCTAAATTTTTGGATTTAGCGGGTTCTGGTTTTTTGGATTTCCTCTTATCTTTATCCTTATCACTACGAGATCTATGACTACTTTTATGTCTATCAGACCTACTATCACTGTGACTTCTATGAGTTCTTCTTTCCCCTCTTTCCGATCTATCTCTATCAGATCTATCTCTATCAGATCTTTCTCTTTCAGACCTATGTCTTTCTGGTCTTTCTGGTCTGTCTGATCTATCAGATCTTGATTGTGAACTTGATTTTTCTCTTGGATATTCCTTTTTACCTTCTTTACCAGCAGCCTCTTCATAACTTGGTGGGGGTAATGCGGATTTTGGTGGACGTGAAGGTGCAGTCTTTGGAACTGGTGGAGGATCTCTATGATGGACATAATCTTCATTTAGAACTTTGGCAAATGGATTATTCGAAGACATTTTTCTATTTAGTTAGTATTGATAATTTTTTTAAAATAGGGGGTTTTAGTTTCAATGACTGATTAAATTCAAAACAAAAGGAGACTCGCACAAAAAATGGCTGTTCACTTTTGATTGCTGAGAATTCTCACTGAAAACTTTCCCCATAACCGCACTATGAGATCTTTTACCAGCATGGAATTTCTGGTACTTGATGACCCCATAAAAATAAGTTGGAAAAACTTTCTCGGAATAAATTTTATACATACACGCTTGAATCGGAATTTGCTCTTACAGGTTTTGGAGGAAATTGTGGTTTGCTATAATCTTCATCTAAAAGTAAATAATTATTCAAATTTTCATCTAACTCTTCATTTTCGTCATCAATTAATTGTTTATTCTTTGCAACCCAACTATCGAAATTAGAATTTGGTGATTTAACTAAATTTGTTCCATTAGAATTAGTATATCTTGTTTCCGAATTATTACTTGAATTTGAGACGTTTCTAAATGGATTATTAGATGATAATCTTCTTAAACTTTCTGTGGAATGATAAGAATGATTAGGTTGTTGATACATCTTTGATTTTATGTTTTATTCCTAAATGTGTTATCCAGCCGCGTATAAAGGGGTTTAAACTTTAGTTAGGTTTTGGAATGTTGATCTATGGAATGTCTAATGAGGGTATTTTGTTGATCCCCAATGATTTAAATATAAAAAAAACGTTCTTAGTTCAATAAAATTTGTGTAATCGCCTGTTTATCAAACTTCTACTGATTAATAATTCGATAGTTGATATTTCGATCTAAAATCAATTATAATATTTAAGATGTTATTTGAAACTCAGATAATGTCCGTGATACGATTTACCAAATTTCCTACCGTTCTAAATGATTCTAATCAATTCAATCTATGAATATATCCTTAAAAAGTCGTTTTACTCGAGGTTTATGGATGAATCTCTTGATATAAAAAGTGAGAAAATTTTTTGACGAATCGAGTGGAATTGACACGACGGCATACGCGACTTTTTCCAAATAGAGATTATTGTAATGGTAACCTGATCTAAGGCACCATGTAATTAGTACCTCTCGAAGACATGATGAGGTGCTTGGGGTCATGAAGTAGTTGAAAATCTACTCACAAAGATATTTTGTAAAGTCATGATGTGCTAATAGTTAGTTTAATGAGTTGATGGAACCTACGCGGTACCTGAAAGACAATAGATCATACTTTGGACCCAGTCTCCGGTACAAATTTTTTTTATTGTTTGTCAAATATCTGAACACTATTGGATAAGTTGGACGGACGTTTTAAGAAATCGTACAATTACGCTATTGTTTTATAGAATATAGTTTGAATCTAGATTTGGTCCTCCACATGACTAAGCCATACTGAATCCACATGATTAGAATCTCACATGAATTGTCTCAGCCACTTTAAAAGTTTCGAAAAAAATCTTCGGTCACATCCTTGTCACATGATACGGTTTCACTTGATTTTTTTTTTCACCACTTTCCTATTGAAGTATTTTACTTTCGAATGTCTTAATTCGGTAAAACAAACCGACGATAAACTTTACAAGCCTTGAATCTTTTTTAACCTACGAATTTTCATCGATTACCCTTTTAGACCTTAATGATAAAGGTTGCAAAATTGGTCTCATCTGATTATTGAATTTAAAATTACATTATTTAAATCACCAGATTTAATCATCCATACGAGGAATTTCTTATTTGGTCTATTTTGTTTCTTATTCTATTGGGTGAAAAACATCCTACCAAGGGTCATTAACCAACCTTGAACAATTTTAAGGTTGCGATTTTACGTTTCATTATTTGTGCTACTTCTTTTAACCTCACCTACATACCACTATTATTTAAAATATCTCCACTAAATTCTCCATAATTCCAACTACCTTCGTCTCCACAAACCTATTATGCTAGCCCACAACCAATCAATGATCCTAACCTTCAGTTGTTCAAAATGAAACTTCGTTTTCGAGATGGGGTTCCTGCACATGACATGGTTATGACGTACTTCCTTTTTCTTAAGTTAGTCGTGCCCTAGATCAGTCTAAGATAGTTTATATAAAATGAAAAATTCTCCAGATTTCGTTAATATAAGGGTTTTATAGACATTCGAATATGGAAAAACCTATAAAACATAATGAAAATGAAGATTTTGGAGATTTTGATCAAAATTCAACCTCCATTTCTTCAAAACCTACAACCAAACCTATTAAGATAGGGTTTCTTTACATAAACCCTGAAGAAAAGATTCATAGAACTTTACCTTTAAGAGTTATTAATCTTATTGCTATAGGTGGATGTATTGGTACTGCTTTATTTATTACCATCGGTACTGCTTTAACTGCTGGTGGTCCATTATCCTTATTATTGGCTTACTGTTTTTGGACTGTAGTTATGTTAATTTTGACCACTGCTATAGGTGAAATGGTCAGTTACATACCTGTTCCATCCCCTTTCATCACTATGGCTGGTAGATGTGTGGATGAAGCATTGGAATTCTGTTCTGGTTGGAATTTTTACCTTATGGAATCATTATATATTCCTTTCGAAATTGTTGCTGTTAATGGTATGATTCATTATTGGAGAGATGATTATAGTGCAGGTATCACTTTAGCTTTACAAATCTTCCTTTATGCCATGATTAACATTTTCGCTGTTAGAATTTATGGAGAATCTGAATTTTGGTTATCTTTAGGAAAATTAATTTTAGCTATTGGATTATTATTCTTCACTTTAATTACTATGTGTGGAGGTAATCCTGAAAGAGATGCTTTTGGTTTCAGAAATTGGAGAGTACCTGGAGGTCCAATGGTGGAATACATTAATACTGGAGATACTGGTAGATTCCAAGGTTTATTAGCAGCTTTAATTCAATCTGCTTTTACTATTGTCGGACCAGAATATTTATCTATGGTATCGTCAGAAGCCATGAATCCAAGAGTTACTATGCCAAAAGCTTTCAAAACCGTGTTATATCGTTTAGTGATCTTTTATGTTCTTGGGGCCTTTTCGGTTTCCATTTTGGTGGCTTACAATGATCCAACTTTGAACAATGCTTCAACTTCTGATGCTGCTGCATCTCCTTATGTTGTTGCTATGAAGAACTTAGGTATTACTGCTTTACCAGATATTGTGAATGCTGTAATTATTACCTCAGCTTTCTCTGCTGGTAATTCTTATGTTTATTGTTCATCCAGAGTGTTATACTCATTAGCTAAAAGAGGTTTTGCTCCCAAATTCTTCAGTTATTGTACAGCTTCCGGGGTTCCAATTTTCTGTATCTTTGCAGCTATTTGTTTCGCCTTATTATCCTTATTACAATTAGGTAGTGGGTCAGCTACTGTTTTGGGTTACCTTGTTAGTATTTGTACTGGATCTCAAGTTTTGAATTATGTTTTCATGGCTATTACTTACATTGGGTTCAATAGAGCTTGTCAAGCCCAAAATGTTGACAGAAATGGTTTCAAATATAAAGCTTGGTTCCAACCATATGGAGTTTATTTCAGTTTAACCTTCTTGGTTATTATGGTGGGTATTTTAGGTTACACCAATTTCTTACCAGGAAGATGGGTTACTTCATCATTCATTTTCAATTATATTATGGTATTTGTTAACATTGCATTATTCCTTTTCTGGAAATTTTTCAAGCAGACTAAATTAGTCAAACCTGTAGATGCTGATTTAATAAGTGGATTAGATGAAATTGAAGAGCATGAATATGAATATTATGCTAAATTAGAAAGTGAAGGCACAAAAGATAATACGATATTTAAGAAGATTATGAGTTGGGTATTTTAGATTTAATGAACGTTAATATTTTTCTGTTTGAGTGGTCTGTTTAAGAAGGTGTCTCTTTGAGTTCTGTAATTTAATGTGCCTCTTAGGTCCTTTTGTTATTTGAGGTCTCTTTAAGTCCTTCTGTTATAGAAGGTGTGTCTTTGAGTTGTGGTAATGAAAAGTATCTCTTCAAGTTCCGTTACAAAAGGTATCTTAAGAGCAAAGAGTTTCAGTAAGTAACCGTTATTTATTCGACCCAATCCCAGGTGATATCAATTCTACCTAAAGCCTTGTCAGCGATTTGTTCAAAAGCAGTAGGAGAGAAATCTAAATCATATTTAGCACAACCTTCACATCTATCAGCAACAGTAACTTCGACTGATTTACCTTCAAAGGTGGCTTTTATCTTTTTACCACAAACTGGGTTATTGTTTGGATTACCAGTATCGGTTTCATCATATAATTCATGGGAAATGGCTACTATGTAATCAGAATTGGTGTTGGTGATACCACAAGCACCCAATCCGACATCAAAATAGGTACCTTCACCAGCAAAATTTCCTGAAGTTGGGGCGGACGTGGCAGTTGAGGTTGGGGTAGTTGTAGTTGGAGTAGTTGAAGTGGTAGCAGGAGTAGTTGAAGTAGTAGCAATGGTGGTTGTAGTAGCTGGAGTGGTGGCTTCAGTAGTGGCTTCAGTAGTGGCTTCAGTAGTGGCTTCAGTAGTGGCTTCAGTAGTGGCTTCAGTAGTGGCTTCGGTGGTTGGAGTAACTTCAGTAGTTGGAGCAGCTTCAGTAACTTCAGGTTCATCTTCACCATCAAAAGTTGGAACTTCAGTTGGTAAAATATCACCAAATAAAGTTGTTAACTCACCATTAGCACCAGCTAAAACAGTAACAAGGTTAACTTTGGTAACTACTAAAACATTTGCTGGGGCAGCTAATACAATACTGGCAAGACTTAAGATGGATAATTTCATAAAGGAGTGAATAATATAAAAAAGGAATGTAACTGCTAATTAGCAAAAGAATGAATGAATATTGAAAAGTTTTCAGGAATCAAAGGTTCTTAAATAGTCAAACACGCATGTTTCATAATTTACCTCAATAGGAACAAAGAATGCCTCGCAACCAAAAATCCCCCTTATGGTCGGCACCTACCAATAGTACCTCAACCAGATTTGGGAGAATTTTATTAGCGAAATTCGAACCTCTTTGTTTCAAGATTCCGATCTACAGGAGTTTCGCAGGACCATGCATAAACCCGCGTCTCGTGTCAGATCTAGAGCTTTTATCAGTTATTTACACGGTATTACTTGGTCAACGTGATGGTATGAAATTCAAGGGGATTGAGTCATTTTGATTTAGAGTTGATAATGGACTTATAAATCCACAGATTAGGAAGATGACGAAAACATCTCGAAATTTTCACAAATCACGATTTCCTCTCGTGTTTCATTTGCCAAAAACCTTGAAGTGTAAAAACCTTTAAATGTGAAGATTTTTGAGTTACTCTTCCTAAGGACTGTTTCTAATTATGCGATCTCTTCCTGAATGTTGTTGTTGAATCGATTGTGGGCCACCGCAAAGTAAAAGGCATAATATGATCAACGTTCAAGTTTACATTCTCCCCAAGAGAATGCTCAAAGAGAATGTTGGAATTAACTCAAAGAGGATATTACTATAGAACAAAATGTTATATAATGTTTTGGCCATATATGCTAATGCTAATCAATACATTTATCGTAAAAGGTACCCTCTAATTGAGTAAAGAGCCATTTACTTTGGAAACTTGTAACTCCCATAGTTTTAGCTCTTAATCTCATATTTCTATCATCAGTAATTAAAATACAATAACGGAAACTTTTAGATAATTTACTATCTAAAACAAGATTATCGATTGTTGAATTTAAACCTCTTAAGATATTTTTACTTAATTCATTTTGTAAATTTACGGAATTTAAAATAGTTTCATCAACTCCAGCTCTCCAATTTGAATTATTTTCAAATTCTGTAGTTTCATTGATATCGGATGCAATTGTACCATCAAATCTTAAAGGTAAGATTTCTTTGGCACTATATAATTCTCTTATGATTATAACTGATCTAGTTGCAGCATCAGCAATTGTTGCTTCAGCAGATTTTCTTAAAGATCTTAATTCTTGGAATACTATTAATGGGATTGAAATTTTAAATACTTTATTACGAATACATTTAAATATTCTACCACAATGTTTTAACCAAATGTTAGTATCTAATGTAATGTAAGTTAATTTACTATCCATATTATCACCTAAATCTCCAGTGATTAAGTCATTATCATTCATTAAAGATAAATTCTCGGAATTGACCATTGATTGGTAAAATTCAATTGAATCCTTATCTAAGTTGGTATCGTTGATTTGTTGATTGAAATTATCGTTTTTGATGATATCGTCGTTACCAATGATCAGGAAATCGGTTGATTCTTTAAACCAATTTTTATCAATATTGAATTTATCTAAGGAATTTGTTATTTCAGGATTGATTAAATTATCCCAATTAATATTTTCAAAGAAATTATGGCTAATAAATCTGTTATCTCCATAAAGGAAATCTTCAATTTGTAGGTTGATATCACTGGAAACAGGATCATCATTTAAGTTATTGATAAAATTTTGATTAAATTTGAAACCATCAAAATTTCTTAATAATCCGAATTCATAATTATCAGCAATGAACCTTGCTAATAAGATAATTCTGATTAATCGATGGTTATTTTCATCGAAAGATTGTTTGATATCATTTTTAAAGTTAGAATTAATCCCACTGACAGGTAAATCGAAAATATTATAATCCACTATTCCAGCGGTTTCAAAATCACTATAATCAGTTTTCAAAGAAATGAAATCAAACCATAAAGTACCCCAACATCTCCAAACTTCAGACAAGGTTTCATTTTCATTGAAAAATTGAATATAATTTGAATAATTGTTTAAAATTTCATAACATTTATTGTTTAATTGACTGTTACTCTTGATGATTTCTAAAATAGTATTCAAATAATTGATCATTGATTCCCAAGGGAAGATTTTTTGGAATAACCAATACATCATTTTCTTAGATTTCGGATTTTTATTGGTTGCTTCACCAATTGAAATTAAAAAATATAACCAAATAATCACATGACCATATGAAGCTTCAATTGGACCTACCAAATAATGTTTTAAGATCCTTATTGATAATTCCAACACGGATTTATTTAAGAATTGTAAACAATAAAACCAATTTTCGGTTGATAATTCCGATGCTAAAACAGTTTGACCGTTCAATGAATTCGATGGTGATAAATTTGGTAAATCTTCAGTAATTGAAGATTTGGATTTCCTTTTACGATCTTTCTTATCTTTACGTTCTTTTAAAGCTTCCGGTAATAAAAATAACTTACCAAAAGGATTCTTTGCATCTCCTAAACCAATTATATGATTGATATTTGAAATTGCAAATAATGGACCTTTATTGAGCCAAAAATTCAATTTTTCAATGGAATTAACACCATTTTGTTGATGTGATAAATAAAATGGGGTATGAGGATCATTAGTATTAGTAATTCCATTAGGAGTATATAATTCTCTGGTAAAGAAATTATATCCATTAGAATCTGAACCAAAAGTTATCCCATATCTTGAAACCAAATCAATACCATATTGTAATTGATCATTTAATTGATTGGAATTAATACTTAATAAAACTTTATGAATCTTAATAAAATCAATTATTGGTAATTCTAAAAGGGATAAAATGTTTCTTTGAGTACAAATATTTTCAACAACTAATCTTAAATATTGTTGAGTTGGTACAAAAGGATCTCTACAAATAACTGATTTCCCAATATTAACTAAAGCATCCAAATTATCTTGTTGAACTGTACACATATGATAATAAATTTTCCCATGACCATATAAAGTTCTCATTGAGATTGAATACCAATGTTCTGCACTAACTTTCCAATCAATAAATCTTGAACTATATAATGCAATTGCCATTCTTGATAAATCACCTAATTTCTCTGACCACCAACCTTGCATATCTAATATTGGATCAGTTAAATTAGAAATTATAGTAAAACAATGACCAATAAAACATGAACAAATTTCATGATCTTGGAAAATATTTATAATATTCTTTAAAACTTCTAAAAATGCAACAACTCCATAAACCCACATTCTACGAGGGATTTTATATAAATCAACGATATTTTTACCAGTTTTGAAATGATCTTTAGTTTTATTTGATGAAGGTTTTAATGCGGTAACTAAAAAATCAGTATAATTGTCTAATAAAGTAATATTATGATGATAAACTGTCCATAATTCATTCAGTAACTCGGATATTTTGGCATTATTTAATATGGTAGAATTTTGAGGATTTAAATTGGGTGATAAATTATTATTGAAATTATTAATTTGAGCATTATTTGTTATTTGATTAGTTTTAATGGTAATATCTAAACAATTTTTTTGAACTATTTCTTCATAATTAACGATATTTTTATAAGTTTCTTTTAATTTGGTAGCTAATTGTTGTTCTTCTTCGGTCATTTCTCTTGGTTGAGTTGATTTGGAACTAACTGATTGTTCAGTATTTATACTTGAATCTTTAATTTCTGATGATAATCTTGAAGATGTTGGATGTTGAGATGGATTTTGTGATATTGATTGGGATTGTTCAGTATTTGAATCTGGCAGATCTGATACATTCTGAATAGATGTCATTATAGGATTATTGTTAGGACTAGATGGTACTTCATAAGATGATGGTGTTGGAGTTTTATCAAAAACCGTTGTTGATTGATTATAACCTTTCCGATTGAGATTCAGATTATTATATTGCGCAATCTGTTGATGAGATTGGGGATGATTTGATGATGGATTATCCATCATTGAAGTTGAATATTGATTATTTTGAAATCTAGAATTCTTTGAAAGATTACTATTACCTAAATGATTAGAAATTGAATTAGGTGAAGTATTATGACTAATTTTATTAATTGAGTTATTCAAATTTATTGAATTTGAATTGCCACTATGCAATGATGATGAAGGTAAATGTTGACCAATTAAACTGTTTCGAGAATATTCCGATTCTGGATTAATTGGATTATATCTTTTATTATTAATTAAAGTATTTGATAAACTATTTTGACGTTTTTGTGAATTCCCAATATTAATCTTTGAATCATTCAAATTACTCATAATTTTTCTTGATATTAACTTATAATCTTACCAATAACTATTGTATGGTGATAATCTTTGAACTATTCTATCAATGGTTACGATTATCGATTATAAGTAGTTAATATATGGGGTTATTTTAATGACAACTTTTGTCCTAATCTATATTTTTTTCTGATCAGGAAATCACTCAATTGTTGGTGATCGCACTCTGTCATGATTCGGAAGTTTCCTTTTACTAAGAGGCATTGGTGGATCTCGGAAAGGGGGTTAGATGGTATGAGAGTGGCAACAGCAGAGGGTTAGGGATTCAGGGGATTAGTAAGGTAATTGTTGGTGACAATAATGTTCCGATATGTCCATCAAATTAGTCATTTAGAGTGTCCGGAAATACGTAACCAGGATCGATATCGGACGTGTGAATTAATGAGATGTTTTCAGACAATATTAAATATCAGGTGAGTTTAGGAGTGTGTCAATATATGAACAAATGTTGAAGTATAGTCAAATACGTTCAAATATGTTCACACATACCATGGCCATGCCAAGGACAACCAAGACAATCTGAAAACCCACTATTGAAATGAATATCTCATCCAATATCCCAACCGATATCACCCATTCTTTACCTTCCCAATAAGAAATCAAATTATTATATATAAATTTGTATACAAACTAATCATACTCATACACTTCTTCAACTATAATAAAATTATATGCAATTTATACCATAATTAAAGTCATATATTGTTATTTCATATTATCAATTCAAAGTTGCCTTCCTTTCAACACCCATTATAATTATATTGGGATGTTCAAAGTAATTAATAACATAAAATAATATAATAAACCAATAATTTACTTCAATTTTTTCTTTGGTCTTAATTGATTAGTGTGACCACATTTTCTCTTTCTACAGTTGGTAGCTCTTGGTGGTAATCTAGCGTAACATTTACGACAGATAGATTTTTCACAGTTATATTTTGAAGCTAAAGCTTTTAATGATGGTTCAATCATCTTTGGCAATAATCTATAAGTGAAAAAAAATTTCAATTCTCAATATTTCTTTCTTTGGTGATAGTTTCTGGATTCGAGACGACCTCGCTCCCCATAGTTAATTCTTGTGACGTGCGCGTTAGGGCATTAGCCCTGGATGAAGTATTGGTTTAAATATGAATATTGGAGATGAGATTATGGGGGTATGAAAGACGTTGGTGTATTTAATGGGGGAATTTATGGGTAAGAAGTTGATTCTATGACATTTATGATGATAAGTATCCATCATTGTCATACCAATTCGAATACCTCCAATGGCACCATATTCTCGCACCACTCCTCGCATCAATCTTGGCACCACTTAGCACCATCTGTCTCACCACCAAATCGCACCAGGCGACATCAAATGTCTCGTGTCTCTGCTGGTCAAGTTCGCATTTCAGATTTACAGTATCTATCTATCACTTATTCGATATGAGTGAAGAATCAGGCTACAATTATCCTAATAATGATGATCAATTGATGGATATACAAAATGATAGTGAGGATGGCATTGACTACACTAATTATAGTGAAGATCATGACATGGAAGAGGCCCAGGATTCCGATGAAGATGTTAATGTAGACCAGCCTGATATCGTTAGATATTCTGATATAGAAGTAATAGATTCAGAACTGCCTGACGAAGAGGGGGAAGAGGAGGAAGAGCATGAAGGAGAAGATGACCATCAAGGAAGTGAAATTCAAGAACAAGAAGAGCCAGAACTTGAATATGAAGATGATGAAGATGAAGCTATAGAAAACAATAATTATGAATCACACCCTGAAGAGGATGATCAAGATGAGGAGGTTCATGAAGATGAAGAGGTCCATGAAGATGAAGAGGTTCATGAAGATGAAGAAACTCATGAAGATGAAGAAACTCATGAAGATGAAGAAGCTCATGGAGATCAACATCAAGAATACCAGCAAGAACCATTACATCAAGAAGATCAAGAAATGGAAACTGACGATCAAACTAAAGCTGAAGAAGAACCTGAACAAGAGCCTGAACAGGAAGAACAGGAAGAACAAGGAGATTTTAATGGTGAAGTGGAAGATATTGAGCATTCTGAACAGGAAGTGGAGCCTGAAGATATCGAGCAAGATATCGAGCAAGACCTCGATCAGGAACAAGATATCGACCAGGCAGTAGACCAAAATTTAGATCAAGCTGTAGATGAAGATTTAGGTCAAGCTGTAGATCAAGATGTAGATGAAGATGTAGATCAAGAAAATCAAGAAAATCAAGAAAATCAAGAAGACCAAGAAGATCAAGAACACATTCCTGGTGAAAATCAAATTAATCCCGATCAAGAAAATCAAATTCCTGAAATCGTCTTACCTCAAGAAGAAAACGATATCGTGGAAGAAATGAATACTTCTGGATTCCAAATCCCCATAACTAATCATCAATTCACCACTCCACTGAAAAGTTTACCTCCATTGAAAGATATTGATACTATTGAAACCCCTAAATCATTCAATGTGGCCAAAGATAATGACGTTGAAAGTTCGCCATTAGTTTATACTAACGACCGAAGTATGAAAATGATGGAGTCAGAAACTGATGCCATTACTTTAGTTTCAATTTATTTGGATTTACCAGAACAAGAAGTAACTCAATTAGGTAATAAAGTCATCGATAGATTATTAAAGAAATCATTAGAATATTCCGAAATCAATTCTGAAGTATCGTTCCTTAAATTGAATCAAGAGAAAATATCACAAGTTAATGATAATAAATATAAATCATTATATTCCAAATATGAAACTATTAATCAACAATTGAATGACACCATAATAGAAAAGGAGGAATTATTCAAATCCAAACAAGAAACCAATTCATTGGTTGAAAAATATCAAACTGATAATAACAAATTGACAAGTCAATTGAATGAAATGAGGAGTAAGTTAGAGACGTTAGAAAATCAAAATTCTTCAAATTCCAATAAGTTGGAAATCGATATCATAAGTTATAATAATCAAATCAATGAATTGACCAAGGATAATATTGAAAAGACCCAAAAGATTAATGAGTTAACTAAATCCATCAATGAAATAAGTAATGAGAGTTTCAATGTTAAATTCAAATTAACTAAAGTATCGAATGAATGTAATTTTTTCAAGAAAGAAAAACAATGGTTTGAAAGTGAATGGAAACAATGTCAAGAGAGATTTAGTGAATTAACTAAGAATTATCAAACTGAAAAGATCACTAAAACTAATGAAATATTGGATTTGAGTAATAAATTATCATCAACTACTAAAATCAATGAAACTTTGACTGGCAATTTTAACACCCTCGAAGGTAAATTAGAAAGTAAAATCAATGAAATCAACGATATTAGGAATAAATTTGAACTTTCAAAGATTAATTTTGAAAAACAATTGAAATCTAAAGATGAATTGCTTGAGATGTTGAATATTAAGAATGATGAGAATGTTGAAAGAATTAATCAATTAGATAAATATATTGAAGATATTAAAGAGAAATCATCCAATAAGATCAATGAATTGACGATAAATTATAATCAGAAATTAGAAAAATGTATTGAATTAGAAGAGAAATTGAAAAGAACTGAAGATGCTTTAGAACAAAATTTACGTCAAGAAAACGATTTACCCAAATTAACCACCACTGGAGATTTAATAGCATCCAATGTTAATGGAATTTCATTATCAACATTATATTCAGAATTCAACCATATCAAGAAACAATTAATCTTGGAAAGATCTCAAAAGGAGAAATTATCCAATCAATTAGAAATGTTTATTAATGAATTAGAAAGTAAGAAACCTGCTATATTGAATTATAAAGAACAAATCAAATTCTATGAAACTTCAATGAAAGAAATGGTCAATAAAATTGAAAATATAAGATTTGAAAAATTAGAAAGTGATAAGAAGATCAATAGATTTAAATCTAAAATCATTGAAAATGAAAATGAATTGGTTTCAATGAAAAAATTATGTAAAGATTTAGGTAAACAATTATGTTATTATTTAATTCATTCTAAAATTAGAGATAATAATGATAATCCTTTAAGTTTAGTTGAAAGAAATGCCATTGAAAATATCTTGGAAAAAACCGGTAATAAAGAAATTTTAAATGAATCTGATACTGATAAATTAATAAGTGAAAGATTAGTTGAATTTGCTAATATTATTGAATTACAACAAAAGAATAATGAACTTTTGGTGATTACCAGACAATTAGGTAAGAAATTAGAAACTCAAGATGATAAATCAAATGAATTAGAATCTGTAGTTATTGAAGAAGCTAAAGATGCTATATTAACTTTAGAAGGGGAATTAAATAGTTTAAAAACTAAATATGATGCTGTATCTAAAGAAAGAGATGTTTTAAAATCCATTGGTAGTAAATCAATTGATAATAATAATGAAAGTTATTTAGTTGAAGTTAATAATGATTTAAAAACTCGTATTAAAGATTATGAACAATTAATTGATAAGAATCAAAATGATTTTAATGGTAAAATCCAACATTTAACTAAGAAATTAGATATGACTATTGGTGAAAGGGATGAATTAAAATTAAAAATCAATTCAATGAAACATCAAGTTGAATTAATTGAAACTAAATATAATAATTGTCAAATGACATTGGAAAATACCAATGATGAAATCAAAAGATTACAAGATAATTCGAATTTTTGGCAACAACAAGCTTCTAAACAAGAAGTTTTACTCATTAATAAAAATAATGAATTGAAAGATATTGAAAATAAATTATCCAATCAAAAGATCCAATTAAATACTCTAACTAATGAAAATAATCTTTTGAAATCAATGGAATCAAACTTAAATAATGATATTAATCAATTAAAGAAAGATAAATCTCAATTGAATGAATTTGTTAGTAATTTACAATCATTATTAAAGGAAAGAGATGTTTCAAGTATGGAATTAAATGATCGATTAAATCAATCAATTAAGAATTATCAAACTTTACAAGAGAAATTGATTGAAAGAGATGAGAAATTATCAATTTTAACTAATCAATCAGAATTGGCATTAAAATCTCAAAATACAAGATTAGAACAATTTAATGATTTAAGTCATAAATTAATGTCAACCAAGATTCAATTAGAAGAAAGAGAGAAATTGGTAGAAACTTTAAATAATAGAATCAATGAATTATCAGATAAATTACATAATCGGGACATTCAATTAAAAGCTTTCCAAATTGGTAATACAACTACTGTACCAAGTAATATTGATAATGATAATATTGAAATCGATCAATTAAAACATGAATTAAAACTTGCTGAATTACAAGTTAATGAATTATCATCAATTGCTAAAAGTGCAGAAGAAGCTTTAGTTAATATTACCAATTCTTTTGAAGATTTTAAAGTTGAAAGTGATAATACTAAGATTAATTTAACTAAAGAGAAAGAAAATTTGATTGAACAAGTTGAAAAATTAACTAAAGATATTAATTCTTTAAATAATGATTTTACTATTAAGAATAATAATTATCAAAATCAAATTAATGAATTGAAATTACAATTAGAATCTTCAATGGCAAAAGCAAATTCTTATGATTCATTAGAATTAAGTTATGAAGAAAAATTGAAAGGTATTAAAAATGAACTTGAAATTTATACTAAATTATCTGATGAAAACCAAAAGAAATATAATGAAGAAGTTAATAAGAATGATCAACTTTCCAAGAATATTCATATTTTGAAAGAAGAAAATGAATCTTTGAAAATTAATATCAATAATTTACAATCAAAAATTGATGAAATTCAATCTTCATTACAAGATTCTGAAAGTTTGGTGGCTAATGAAAGATCAAAAGTTGAAGATGAAATCAATGAACAAGATTTAAAGATTAAAGAGCTTGAAAATCAAAATAATATTTTATTAAATCAATTAGAATTAATGAAACATCAACCTTATGACGAAAAGAATGGTGGAGATAATGAATTATTTGAACTTCGTCAAGTTGTTAATTTTGTTCGTCGTGAAAAGGAAGCTGCTGAATCTAAAGTGACTCTTTTGAATGAAGAAATTAATAAAGTTCAATTGAAATTGAATTCAACTTTGAATGAATTAGAATCAACTAAAAATGTATCTCAAACTAATGTTGAAATCATTGATAATAAGGAACATGAGAAATTATTAGAACAATTAGAACAAATGAATCTTTTAAGAGAAAGTAATGTCACTTTACGTAATGAAAATCAAGAATATATTAAACAAATTCAAAAATTCGAAGTTCAAATTAAAGCTATTCAAAATAAAGTTAATCCTTTAGAAGCTGAAATTAAGAAATTGAATAATTTAATCAATGAAAGGGATCAATCTATTAGATTATTGAATGAAGAAAATAAATCATTATTAGCAGCTTCAAATGTTTCAAAAGTTGAAAATCCAATTGAAACTGAAGAATATAAAGCTTTGAAAACAAGATTCGATAATTTATTAGAAGAATCTAAAACAAAATTAGGTGCTTCTAGAGCTAGAAATAAAGCTAATGTCGAAACCATTGAAACTTTAAATAATGATATAACTAAATTAAAAGCTCAAATTGAAGAATTTAAGACTAATCATGAAGCTCAAATTAATGAATTCAAATCTAAACAATCTAGTGATGATTTAGATAAATTGAAATCCCAATTCAATGAAGAAAAGTCAAAATTAATTGAAGAATATGAACTGAAATTGAAGAATGCTTTGAGTTCAAAAACTGAAACTGATGATTGGGAAAAGAAATATCAACAATTAGAATCATCGATTGAATCAACTAAATTACAATTGCAAAATGAATTTGAAAAGAAACTTCAACAACAAATTAATCAACCGGGAGATTCTGAAGACAAAATCAAAATCTTAAAAGAAGAATTTGCCAAACAATTGGAAAAAGAAAAAGATGATGTTAAGACTCAAACAGAAAAGAAGTTCGAGATCAAGATGAGAATGTTGAATAAGAAACTTGATAGGTTAAGTGATAAATCATCACCAGCTCCTGATCAAAATTCTACCCCAACCCAAACACCTAGTCAACCTCCTGTGCAAACTCAACCTACAAATCAAGGTTTTTCAAAAGAAACTCCTTTAGGTCATCAATTCACTGAAAGTACATTAACAGTTCGTGTGCCTGAAAAGAATGATAAAAAGATAAATAAGCCTAACCCTAAAAAGGGTAATGATCAAAAGAGGAAGTTTACACCTCAACCTCATAAGGCCAATAAGAAGCCTAAAGAATAATGTAAATTAATGTATAACTATTAGATATTTTCTCTGTGGTGTCTTCTGTGTGTCTTCTGTGATGTTCCTTTGTGTGATCTTGTTTTCTTTCTCTTTATCTTTCCTTGTTTTCTTTCTCTTAATCTGTCCTTGTTGGTCTTTCCTGATTGAGATTACATAAGAATAAAGATTCTGTGAATCTTGCAAAAAACATAAAAAAAATCTAAAAAAAACTGAAATTCCCCAACACTCTAATAATGACCTTATACCAACCCACATCTTACTGTGAACAAGTTAAACCATGTTAAAAACCCTTTACTCTTAAAAAATGTCAAATAATGTACCTATCAAAATTTAGCCCGCACACGACCCGCACATATTATCTTCTCGTCCATCGACCGGATAATTCCTTGAGACTATTCATTCATCATGTCAGAGAAAGAAGAAGGAGTTTTCCGTTCAGCGGAGATGTCATTGGTTCAATTGTATGTTCCTACTGAAATCTCCCGTGAAGTTCTTTATGACATTGGAAAATTAAACTTAATTCAATTCAGGGACTTGAATTCTAAAATAAGTGAATTTCAAAGGTCATTTGTAAATGAATTAAGAAAGTTAGATAATGTTGAAAGACAATACATTTTCTTTAAGAATGAATTGGATAAGAAAAGTGTTGAATTGAAAAAGTATCCATATGAACAAGAATTCAATAAAATCTGTGCCCAACTGGATATTGATGAATTAACCGAAAATGGTCAATTATTGGAAGATAGAGTTGGTCAATTGATTGAATCTTTATATAATTTATATGAAAAGGAAAAATCTTTGAAACAATTCAAATATTCCGTTCAATCAGTTGATAATTTCTTCAAACTTAATGCTTCAAATTTACCTTCATCTCATGATAATGAACATGATCATTTATTGAATAATTTAGAATCAGGTACTCAATATACTAGTGAAATGAACACTTCATCTTTCATTTCTGGAGTTATTAGTCGTGATAAAGTTCAAGTTTTACAACAAATTTTATGGAGAGTGTTAAGAGGTAATTTATTTTACTATACTGAAGAATTACCTGAATTAATTTATGATGCTAAATCTGAAACTAAAGTTGCTAAGAATACTTTCATTATATTCTCCCATGGTCAATTAATTCATCAAAGAATCAAAAAGATCTGTGAATCTTTAGATTGTGATTTATATAATGTTGATTCAACTGAAGATTTAAGATCTCAACAATTAGAAGAAATTAATGGCAATTTAAGTGAATTGGATATCGTTTTAGATCAAACTGATGTAGCTTTGAATTCAGAATTAATTGCTATTTCCAAAGATTTATCTAAATGGTGGGAAATTGTTGCAAGAGAAAAAGCTGTTTATAAAATTATGAATCGTTGTGATTATGATGGTTCGAGAAAAACTTTAGTTGCTGAAGGTTGGATTCCAAAAGATGAAATTGACACTTTGAATTCAACTGTTAAACAAACTTCAAATACTTTACCAATCATTGTTAATATTTTGGAAACTACAAGAACTCCTCCAACTTTCCATAGAACTAATAAATTCACTGCTGCTTTCCAAGCTATTTGTGATGCTTATGGTGTAGCTACTTATAGAGAAGTTAATCCTGGTTTACCAACAGTTATTACTTTCCCTTTTATGTTTGCTATTATGTTTGGTGATTTAGGTCATGGTATTATCTTATCATTAGCTGCTTTAGCTTTAGTTTTGAACGAAAAGAAAATCGGTGCTATGAAAAGAGATGAAATCTTTGATATGGCTTATTCTGGTCGTTATATCTTATTATTAATGGGTTTATTCTCCATTTATACTGGATTCTTATATAATGATGTTTTCTCCAAATCAATGTCATTTTTCAATTCTGGTTGGAAATGGCCTGAAGAATTTGAAATCGGTGATAACATCTCAGCTGAACAAATTGGCGTTTATCCAATTGGTTTAGATCCTGCTTGGCATGGTACTGAAAATAATTTATTATTCACTAATTCCTATAAAATGAAATTATCTATTTTGATGGGTTATTTACATATGAGTTATTCATATGTTTTCTCATTAGTTAATTATATTCATTTTAAAAGTATGATTGATATTCTTGGTAATTTCGTTCCTGGTTTATTATTCATGCAAGGTATTTTCGGTTATTTATCCCTTTGTATCGTTTATAAATGGTCAATTGATTGGTATGCTATTGGTAAACAACCTCCAGGTTTATTGAATATGTTAATTTCCATGTTCTTATCTCCTGGTACTGTTGAAGAACCTTTATATTCTGGTCAAGCTTCAATTCAAGTAATATTATTAATTGTTGCTTTGATTTGTGTTCCTTGGTTATTATTATTAAAACCTTTATACTTCAAGAGAAAATTCGACCAAGAAGCTAAGTATAAACAATTAAATGATGATAGTAATGACGAATCATTAGTTGAATCTCATGAAGGTGATGATGATGAAGAACATGAAGAACATACTTTTGGTGATATTATGATTCATCAAGTTATTCATACCATTGAATTCTGTTTGAATTGTGTTAGTCATACTGCTTCATATTTAAGATTATGGGCTTTATCTTTAGCTCATGCTCAATTATCAACTGTTTTATGGACCATGACCATTGGTAATGCATTTGGTGCCACTGGTATTGCTGGAGTTTTAATGACAGTTTTATTATTCGGTATGTGGTTTATCTTAACTGTAGTTATCTTAGTTGTTATGGAAGGTACTTCTGCCATGTTACATTCTTTGAGATTGCATTGGGTTGAATCAATGTCTAAATTCTTCGAAGGTGAAGGTCATCCATATGAACCTTTTGGTTTCGAAGGTCTTTTGGACGAATACATCTAGATTTGTTAATGGACAATTATTATATTTGTGGGGGCGAGCTCTTTATGAAAGGATTCTCTATGATGTTATCGATCGGGACGATTCTCTATGATGTTATCAATCGGGACGATTCTCTATGGGGACGAAATCCCTATGGGATTACTATCGATCAGACTGAATTCTCTATAAAATAAAGGGTGCGGCTTCCCAAATGCCCCGTAATTTACCGTATTTTTCACCAGGTCTTGGAGCAGGAATGACTGCGTCGGAGTGATCCAGCGGAATTGAATAAAGTCAGTTTTATCAACTCGCTGGTGGTTTTCAGCTTAATTACTCCCAATTCAACTCCTTCGATCCAAACTGAACTTCAGTCACTCAAAGAGCCATCTCAAAACTTTGTCAGTTTATCAGCACATTTCTACTTTACTAATTCGACCTCATTTGATCATTGATGACCTAGCCTTGGATTGAATACAGGAATGTTATCACTCCTATCAATGTGTGACCAAGAATCCACCTGAATATCGAATTTCACCGAAATACGAACGGGATTAAAAGGGGCTTTCAGGAGAGAGTAGGCTAAATACGGATTACACATCGTGCCGCACTGTTATCAGAGTTCTTGCAGCATAAACGGCAAATCATTTCTTCTTGATATAAAAAACCTTCTGTTTCCTTTATCTAAACACAAGCTCAATGGACGAAGAATCTTTGAGTTCAACTGATGAACAGTTGATAAAACAAAAAAGATTCTTCTCTTTCCTCAGTAGAGGACCTGTTACTCCTGTCCCTTTGCATGAAGAAAGAGGTGAATTACCAAATTTGTTCTTACCTGTTAACTTGTTTTTCTCTTGGGTCAGTCCTGTATTAAGAACGGGGTACAAAAGGACCATAAAAGCTAACGATCTTCCGAAATTGAACAGCAGTTTGAGAGTCGAAGTATTATATGAACGTTGGGAAGCTACTTTTAACAAATACAATGACAAATGTAAGTTGCAACATTTGGAGAAAAAATGTAGAGAAAGAAAGGAGACTTTAGAATCTTCAACTGTTGATGAAAAAGTTGATTTGGAAGATTACAAAATTCCTGCCAAATATATTCTTTTCATTATCTTTTCTACTTTCAGGAAGGAAGTTTTCTTTTCAATGGTTTGTTCCACATTGTCATCAATTGCTTCAGCTATGACTCCATTATTGACTAAGGAGATTATTAATTATGTATCTTTGATACTGATAGGGATAGAACAACATCCGGGGAAAGCTTATGGTTATTCGATAGGTGCAATCCTACTTAATTTGGTTGCGTTTTTTTTGTTGACCGCCAACTCATTCTATAGCACCCTTTCAGGTACTGAAGCCAAAGCAGCTTTAACCAAATCTATCCTCACCAAGTCATTCAAAGCTGATAGTAAGTCTAGACACGAATATCCACCTTCAAGGTTAACAACTTTCATTGGAACCGATTTAGCTAAATTGGATTTGGCATTGCTTATGGCTCCTTATATTGTTGCTGCTCCTGTTACTTTGGTGATTGTTATTGTCATTTTGGTTATAAACTTAGGTGCAGCTACAGGTGCTGCGTTTGCCATTCTTGTGATATTCCCATTAGCTTTTGCTTTAATCATGGCAGCAATGATGAAAACCAGGAAACGTGCTTTGGAATTTACGGACAAAAGAGTAGGATTCTTGAAAGAGATTGTCAATAATCTCAAAATCATTAAATTTTATAGTTGGGAAGATAGTTATGAAAAAAGTGTTACTGATGCCAGAATCAAGGAATCTTCTTTACTTGTAAAAACTCAAGATTTCAGAAATATGGGGTTTGTCTTGTTCATATCACTCACTCCTATCATGTCGACAGTAACATTTTTGGTTTTATACGCTATTGGGTCGGACAAAAGAAATGCTGCTAACATCTTTTCCTCAATTTTCTTAATTGGACTTCTTGGTCAAGTTTTCATCACTTTACAATTGGCCATAAGTTCATTATTGGATGGTTTAGTGTCCATGAGAAGAATTTTTGCATTTTTGGTAAGCGGTGAGTCAAGTGTTTCAGAAAATGTTCAGTTCAATGATAGTTTACCCTCAGAAACTGATTTCAATCAACATGTCATCAAAGTAGAAGATGCCTCTTTTGAATGGGAAACTTTTGAAGAAGAAACTGTCGAAAAATCAGAATCAGAGGGGGAGAAGACGGCAGATAATAATCAGTCGTTAGACATCAATAGAAAGTTCAAAGGTTTGAATAATATCAACTTCAGTGTCAAAAAAGGAGAATTCATTATGATCGTAGGATCAATTGGTACAGGAAAAACGTCTTTACTTAATGCATTATCGGGGCTCATGACCCGTACAAAAGGTTATGTTGAAGTGAACGGTTCCTCAATATTCTGTGGTACACCATGGGTTCAAAATGCAACTATCAAGGACAATATTACGTTTGGAAATGAATACGATGAAATAAAGTATCAACGAATCATAACTGCATGTTCTTTGAATGATGACTTGAAAATTTTACCAGCAGGAGATTTGACTGAGGTAGGTGAGAGAGGTATCACATTATCTGGTGGACAAAAGTCAAGATTGAACTTAGCAAGAGCAATGTATGCTAATAGGGATATAATTTTGATGGATGATGTATTATCAGCTGTTGATGCCAGGGTTGGTAAGCACATAATGGAGGAAGGATTTGTGGGCCTTCTTAGAGGTAAGACCAGACTTTTAGCCACTCATCAATTATCTTTCTTGAGCTATAGTGATAGAGTGATTTATTTGAACAGTGATGGTACCATTGATGTGGGGACTGCAGAGGAGTTAGATGCTAGGAATTTGAATTTTTCAAAGTTGTTATCTCACCAAGATACAGGAGACAGTAATGACAACTCAGAAGGTATGATTTTCAACTCAAGACCCGAAGTTACCTATAAAACAAAGGTAACTGACACCGTTGAGCTAGAAAAGGAGCTTGATTTAAGAACAGATGGTATGTTGATTGAAACTGAAGTTAGTGCAGAGAGAGCGATCAACTGGAAGGTTTATAAGGCTTTCTTCAAATTAGGATCAAGAAGAGTCAACCCCATTTTTCTTCTTATCTTCACAGCGTTTGTAACAGCATGTTCAACTTTCTGTGGAATGTTTGTTGACACCTGGTTGTCGTTTTGGCTTGAATTGAAATTTCAAAGATCAAACGGTTTTTACATTGGTATCTACGTCATGTTCACTTTTGTAAACATCTTGTTCATGTGGTTACAATTTACACTTTATGTTAGTATCGTTTTATCTGCTTCCAGATATGTCAATATAGCAGCGATAAAGAGATTTCTTCACGTCCCAATGTCATATTTAGATGTCACTCCAACAGGGAGAATCTTAAATAGATTCACCAAAGATACTGATTCTTCTGATAACGAATTGGTGGAAAATCTTAGGTTAGGGGTATTCTTATTTGCTCAAATCATCGGGGTTTTGGTGTTGAGTATTATTTATTTACCATGGTTAGCTATTGCTTTACCTCCATTATTTTTCATAATTGCTTTGGTTGGTAGTTATTATCAAGCATCTTCTCGTGAGATCAAAAGATTGGAATCAACTCAAAGATCTTTATATATAAACAATTTCGGTGAATGTTTGAGTGGATCGGAAACCATTAAAGCCTATAATGCCGTTGACAGGTTCATGGATAGAAATGATCTCTTCATCAATCAAACTAATGAAGCTTCCGTGTTGGTCAATGGAGTCCAAAGATGGGGTAGTTTGAGAATTATCATCACAACTTTAGTTTATGTGTTGTTGATTACTCTTCTTGCCATCAATAGGGTTTTCAATATCAGCCCTGCTTCTGTGGGTTTAGTTGTATCATATCTGTTTGCTCTTCCTGAATTAGCTGCCACTATGATAAGAACATTAGCATTAGCAGAAAATGAAATGACTAGTTTCGAAAGAGTTCATGAATATGCTTATGATTTACCCCAAGAACTGAGTTACCATAATGGGGAAACCAAACCTCACGATCAATGGCCAAATCTTGGTGAAATTGAATTCAGGAATGTTTCCATGAGATATAGAGCCGGTTTGCCCAAAGTCTTAAAAAATGTTACATTCTCTGTCAAGAATAATGAAAGAATTGGTATTTGTGGTAGAACTGGAGCAGGTAAATCTTCCATTATGTCAACCTTATTCAGAATCACTGAATTGGCAGAAGGTAAAATATTCATCGATGGGATTGATATTTCCACTTTAGGCTTACATGAATTGAGGTCTAGATTATCTATAATCCCCCAAGAATCTGTTTTGTTCTCAGGTAATATCAGAAAGAATTTAGATCCATTTAACGAAACTTCAGATGACATTTTGTGGGAATCTTTAAGGAGAGCTGGCTTGATAGAAGAGAGTGTTCTTGATGAAGTAAAGCAACAAACTGATTCAAAGAACTTACACAAATTCCATTTAAATGCTACTGTTGAAAATGAAGGATCTAACTTCTCCTTGGGTGAAAAACAATTGATAGCTTTTGCAAGAGCTTTAGTGAAGAATTCCAAGATTCTAGTTCTTGATGAAGCTACATCTTCAGTTGATTATGAAACCGATGCTAGAATCCAAAACACAATCATTGATGAATTCAAGAATTGTACTATTCTTTGTATTGCTCATAGACTTAGAACTATCATTAACTATGACAAAATATTGGTTCTCGACAAAGGAGAACTCCAAGAATTTGATTCCCCTTTGAACTTATTTAAAGATCAAAACTCCATATTCCGTCTGTTGTGTGATAAATCCAAAATCACCATCGATGATTTCAATTCTTGTACATAAAAATATCTGTAATTGAATTGCTGTAAATATAACGACCTTGCTGTAAATAGAACAATCTCAGATCAAATAAATTGTATATATAATCAATTGTCACATCTTCATTGCCTTTAATATGCCAGACAAAAGTCAGCATTTGTAGAATCCCATACTTTAAATATTCCTCATCTCGATCTCATCGCTGCGAAAATTTACTTATGTCTTTACCAATATCTCAAGTCATAAAAGACTTGGAAAACCCCGAGACTATCATTCCTATACTTAGAACCCTTCATTATAATGTTGGAAAGTTACATGAATTACCAAAATCAGAATTAAAACATTTGGTTTCTCGTTCATTGAATTTAACCTCATCGCATCAACCTTTCAAGAAATGGTGTGGAATCGTTGTTATACAGACAATTTTCGTTAATTATGGGATTTTAAGTAACCATGGAGGTCCAGTGTTCAACAGCCTTATCAAAGTTTTAGAAACCAGCAATGAACCTAAGGTTATTAAAGCATGTATTGATTGTTTAAATGTTTTATGTGGTGAAATCAGAGGTAAACCTACATTAACCAGAGAAATTTTAACTCCAAAATTACCTATTATCATTCAATTATATATGGATAGATTAGAAAAGTATCCTGAACTTATCATCAAATCGTTAAACACTTTCATCATCAATCATCCTACAACTTTTAGACCTTTTGGTAACAAACTTAATGCTAAGATAATCACATTATTGAACTCCGATTTCAATTCTTTCACTGTTGGATTGAAGAATCTGATTTGCCAATCATTTGCTGTATTACCTATCATTGAAAAAAATGAACCTGAAGTCATGTGGTATAGTAAATTCACTAATGTTATTCATGAAACTGTTGATATTTTATCCATTTTCAAACAATTGATTAATATTGATCAAGATAAAGAGTTATCATTATTATTGACCAAATTCAAATTCGATCAAACCCCTTTGTTTCCTCATTTACAAATAGACTTATCTAAACCTGAAACTGTTATTCAATTATCCAATAGATTAGAAATTTTGATCAATTTGATCATGGGATTCTTAACAACTCCACTTAAATTTGCTACCAAGATACCTGTGGGTAAAGTTATCAGCTTGATTGGGATAATCTTCAATTTAAATACTAAATTTGTTCCTTTCAAAAGAGATATCATTGATGAAAGTATCAAGACTACCATCAATTCTGTGTTATTGAACATTCAATATAATGCTTTGAACCTTTTACAAGTCATGATTGATAACTATCAAGGGGTTTTGATTATGTACCTCTCAAGCATTTTATCAATCTTAGAAACTGCTATACCTGTTGTTAATAAACAAGTTGATTCAACTGAGATCTTAAAGAATGAAATCTTCCATTGTAAGTTACTTGAGACCACAACCAATTTATTGGACTTGGTGGCCATTTATTCTGAACCTTCAATCATTGTAAGATTCGTTGATAGTGCTTTGAAACTTGTTGAACCAAGAAAATCTGATACTACCATTATTAATAGTTCCAATGGTAAGAAGAATAAGAAAAACCAAGCAGTACCAATGGCAGATTTGTTATCTCATGGACATTTATTTGACAATAACATCTCTTCTGTCACAGTCAAAGTTGTAAGAAATTTCATCAATGCTATTATCTCCAAAATGGACTTACCTGCCAACCAATATTATAAAATCATGAGATATTTGGTCATTGAAGCAGTGAAATCAAAACAATTCACTTATAATAGATCAATTCCTCAAGAATTAAAGAATTTATTGATCAATGCCATTATTTATCCTGGGTTCGAAAAGGTATCTATTTTACCTTTAGTATCATCAATCATGGGTAATGATCCATTATTGAGTGTTTTCAATAATCCAAGGTTCCCACCATTACCTTTGTTCATCAAGAAATCCGTAGAAGAGGAAGAAGAAGAAGACGATGAGGAGGAAGAAGAAGTTCAAATACCAGTTCAAGAACCAATTAAAAGGGTAATGGTTGATGAACCATCACCACAAAAAAGACCTAAATTGGAAACTCCTGTTGAAGAAGAGAAGGTTTTCAAACCTACAGACAAACCTATTGAAATTATGACTTTTAGAAAAGACCCTAAGATTGCAGAACCCCAAGAACCTTCACAACCTGAAAAATCCTCAGAACAAGAAAAATCTTCCGAACCAGAACCAATCACTGCCCCAGAATTACAAACACTTCCTGACACTTCTAAAGTAGACGACCATGATGATTCAGACTTCGAAATGCCAGAAATCGATATGGATGGAGATTCTGACGATGAGTAGAAATATATAAATCTTATCAGCGCGACTTTTTTGTAAACACTATGAATCAAGATACCACTCAGGTGTTGGTGTCTGAAGATGTTTCACCCCAGGATATTGCCATATTGGTATTGATAGTGGCGTATGCTGGAGATCCAACTTCAGAAGAATTACTACCGATTGCCAATACCCTTTTCCAATTAATGAGACATCAACCCATGCAAAATGATAATCAATTGATAGTTATACCTACAGCACTTGATTTATGTAACCAATTGGCTGATGATGTACGGAAATCAACATTTGAAACTGACGAATCGACAATTAAACGGAATATTGCCAGTGTTCAGAGTTATCTTCTTGGAGGATTATGGAACATTACATCACCTGAATTGTTAGATAGTAATATTGTAAGTATGATGGAATTAGTTCAAGATGCAAAGACCATATCAGTTGATGATATAGATGATGGTGATATAAAGATAAGGTTTTCACCTCGATCACTGATTGGGAATTTCATAGGTAAAGTGGTGGCTACATTGCATTTATTACATTTTGATGAATTATTCTTATTATATGAAGCTTTTGTATCATATCGTGAACCTACAAGAGAATTGTTCCTCCAATTGGGTTATCAAATAGAAGAAAATTATAGTGAGGAAGTACAAACTGTTAAAGGTAAGACTCAAGAAGAGGATAATGAGTTATTTAGTACATTGAAATCCAAATTAAACGATATCTTAGATACTGATATATCATTCCAAACGAAAAATATAGGCAATAAAGTGATTCTTCCAATATCAAAATATACTATTCAAGCATTACTAGATAAACAGATTAAAATTTTGGAAACCTATGGACTGGAAACACCTCAAAAGTTGAAAGATATAATGAGTGTAATGACAGGGAATAATTCCAGTACTCACCTGATTCAAAGTGCCAGTATCACCAATATTCCATCGTATTATTATGTGAAATATCTTGAATGTCTTTATGAATCAGATTATCAAGGATCATTTCAAGCTTTGCATCAATATTTCGATTATATGGTATCGAATAATTCCAAATACTTTTACCATTTTGCATTGATTTCAAGAGCTTCCTTACATCAATATTTTGATGAAGATGAGAAAGCTTTGGATTCTATAGAAGAAGCCATATCTGTTGCCCGAGAGAATAAAGATAATGTTACATTAACATATATTCTAAGTTGGTTATTCAATTTTATGAGGAATAAACCCCATTTATGGAATCATCAGAAATTTTATCATAATAATAATGAACTGCATTTACTAGATTTCTTAGTTAAGAAGTCCAAAACCTTATCATTACTGTTATATTCCTTAAGTTATCATTTTGAAGCCTTTCATATTATTGATAACGGTGGGTCCATGAATAAATACATTGAAAGTCTATTGAAGGGAACCTATGTTTCGATCAATGACAGTATTCCAACATTCATGAAGTCTATGGAAATGTCATCGGTGGTATGGAGTAGAATTGGTAATAGTTATTTGAATGATATATATTCAGACATTGCTTATGATTTTGCTATCAAATCCAATAAGTTAGTTGATGGAGTATCCCTAGAAATAAGAAGAAGTTATCTTTTGTATTTGAAAGGGAATGTTGATGAAGCATATAAAATGTTGGATAACTTGAAACCAAGAACCAAAAAAGATATGTCATTGAATAAATCTTTACAAATTCGAAGATTAATCATGTTAGTTAACATTAATTTGAACAAGGGAAGATTTAAACTAGCAGAAAAGATCATTTCAATGCTATTAGACGATGAAATTCAAGATATAGAACTAAGAACAGAATTAGTTTATCTCAATGCTAAAGTCCAATTATCTTTAAACAACAATTCCAAATCTTTAGAGATCATTTCAAAATTCTTTCAAAGTGTTAATTCCACCATTTCACAAACTAAAAGTAATCTTTATACCATCATGAGATTAAATTTACTAAAATGTGAAATCTTCAATAATACAGGTAATTTCACTAGAGCTATATCTTTGATAATTCAACAATTACAACAAGCCAAAACTGTTGGTTTTATAACCATTGTCATAGAAGGAATTGTGCTTTTCTGTTCAATACTTAATAATATGGGGAGTTTCGTAGATACTTTCAATATCTTGAATGATAAAATGATCACCATATTACTGTCAGAGAACAAAGAATTCACTTCTCATGCCCTTTATGAATTATCCCGATCATGTTTCAACATCCTAAGTCATCAAGAAAGTTCACGGATCAATATCACCGATAAAGAACTCTTTAATCGAATCTTGAAATATTTAAATCTCAGCATTAGTGGATTCAAAATATCTATTAACCTTGTCATGTTAAAGAAATGTTTCCAATTAGAAGAAGACTTAGCAAAATATCAACAATCACCTGAACTATTAACACATAGTCAAGCATCATTAGATAAACTTCAAAAGAGATCATACGAAGAAATTAGTTATGGGTTTTTATAAATTTATCTGTTCTTAATTCCATTAACCTCTTTTGTCTTTTCGACTGCATCCATTCTTGCTAAAATCAAAGCAGCTTTTTGTAATTGTACAACATTAGCAAATTGTTTAAAAGCCCAAATAGGTGTACTTAACCAAACCATTACTGTTCCTAACCAAAAAAATTTAAATGAATGCAAATAAAGGGCCATATAAAATAATTCATTAACAAGGCAAACAATAAATAATACTTTCCTATTGTTGTAATATAAAGATAAGATCTTTGAATCTTTTTCATTGATGTTCTTATGAGATGTTGAACCATTATTTAACATAGCATACATGTGAAGGTAATGAGATGACAAATCTAAAGAAATTAAAAGTTGCCAAAATATACAATATTCTGGATAAATCACACATAAATAACAAATCAATGAAGATGTAGCACATCTATCAGTTACCATATCTAAAACAGCACCAAATTTAGTACCTTGATTATATTTTCTGGCAGCTGCTCCATCAAAAGCATCTAAGAATCCTGATATTCCATAGAAGATTAAAGTATAATAAGGATGATTTTTCATTGTTAAGAATGATAAAATTGCTGTTACAACTCTAAAATATCCAATTAAATTAGGAATGTATAGGAATACATCCTTTGGGGTAATTAGTAACATAGGTGTCATTTTTCAGTGAATTTTTGGATTTAAAATTTCAATTGATTGGGAGTTTTCTGTTTCTGATTAAGGGGATTGAGATTTTTATCAACGAAGTATTAAATTAAGATTATATTATAACAGCCTTAACTTATATTCGTTGCATTTAATTTTGCTTCCCTTGAAAATTTTCGCTGAAAAGTTGAGATTTCGGCACGTCTCGGTGAAAATCATTTTGAGGGAACCAGGTGGTGATGGTAAAGAGAACAGTGTATATTATCATTCGATATCAGAGAAAACAATTGATCCCGAAGTTCCATGGGTGTAATTACCATAGATAGCACCTGTGAATTCCATGGCCGATAAATCCGCAGTATTTAATGTTACGACATGTTCATAAGTATCTGATTGTTTGATCCAGAATTTATATTCCTTTTCACTGGATGTGATCTTCAATGTAACGGAATCGGTGATATCAATTGGTTGTTGATAAACTTTCTTTTGTTCTTTCAAAGTTTTGGCGAAAACGAATAATTCCTTGTTATTGAAATCAATTCCCATAGTATAATATCTTGGAGGATCTTTATAGACAGTAATTCCTGCTTCAACATCTTTGGCAAAAGTTGATTTGGACAAATAGATCGTTGATTCAAATTCACTGTCCAAGTCAGGTTGTCTTTTACCAATGAAAGTAGTTGAACCATCTTCTCCTGATAAACTAGCAGGTTCTGGGTGTAAAGTAACTAACTTGTTTTGGTGGTCATATTCGTAGTTCTTCATGACCGGATTTCTAATGAAAAAATTCTTTGCAAATAAATCTTTCTTAAACCATTCAGGAACCAATTTCTTAATACTTGCATTGGTAGGAGGTAATTTCCTATCGGTAACCATATCCACTTTAATAGTTTGAGCTTTTGGCCATCCATTATGGGGCCAATCAATAGGTGTTAAGAAAGTTTCTCTACTTAAAGGATGACTATCAGTAGCTCCTCCTCTACATGCTAATAACATACCCCACCAATCTCCATTGGCATCTTGGAATAATTCTCCATGTCCCACCCATTGAACATATTCATCAGTTTTCCTGTTAGAAGCTAAAGGATTTTGTTCCCAAGGTTCGAAAGGTCCTTTGATTGTTTTGGATCTTGCAACACATAACATATGATCAGCATAAGTACCACCTTCGGCAAATACCATATAATAATAATCATCTTTCTTATAAATATGAGGACCTTCAGAAATCACTTTCGACCAACCAGAACAAATTTCATATTCTTCCGATAACTTCTCTCCAGTATCGGGATTGATTTCAAATTGATGAATTGAATTGGCAATAGGTAAATCATAACCATAAATGAAAGCACCTTGAACGTAACATTTATCATCATCATCCCAGAATAATGATGGATCAATTGCATAGAAATAATCCATGCTCGAGACTTTTGACCATTTATTACCCCAAATATCATCAGTATGACAGATAAAATTATATGGTTTGAAATCAGTCCCCTTTTCTTGAGGAACTGTATTAGTTGAAATGACATAGAATCTTCCTTTATGATATCTAATAGTGGCAGCAAAGATTCCTCCTTGATGGACATCTTCGTCACTAACAACATGTGTTTGACAAACAGACAAATCGACTCCTTGATCATTGGAATGAATAACATTACCGATTTGAGCCCAATTGATCAAATCATAAGAAGCATAAACTGGAATACCAGGAAAGAATTGGAAACTTGAACAAACAGCATAATAGACTCCATCAACAAGAACTACTGAAGGATCAGGATTGAATCCTTTAATAACAGGATTCTTATAACTACTCATATTGAAAAACTTGCATTTTCTAGGGGGGCACCGTTGCAAATTTATACTTTACCGGTGGGGTTGAAAAATCTCAACATCTGAGCCGCACGGACGATTACCCCAGATTTGGTGGAATGGTCCGTGGTGATTTTTTTTTAATCAATTGTACATACTGGCTTACGGGATTGTCATTACTTTACTCAGAGATCAGTCGATGGCATAAAAGAGTACCTACCACATTCATTACTACTAAATACCTTAATTAACCCGCTAAATCACCATGGATTTAATGCTCGCAAAAAAAAAATATAGACGCAAGAGTGGGACAAGAATGTGGATAAATCCGATATTTACATAATTTACCTGGTTCTAATAACACCAGCAGCAATTAACATATTAATCTTTTTAGAAACTTCAGGATTTTTCATGTGTTCTTGTAAAGCAGCTGGATTATCTCTTGCTTGACCTAAAATACCTTGCATTATAGGATCCTGTAAGATTTTAACAATTTCTGGATCTCTGGAAACTCTTTCCATGGTTTGTTCTGGAGTTTCACCTTCAATACCTTGGAATCTTGAACTATTAGCTTTGTTATATAATTGATCTATTTCACTTAAATTCTTTCCACCTAATTCCATATCCTTTTCTCTAGCATCATTCAAAGTTTCCATGACTGAAGCATATTCTTTCATAGCTAATTGTGCGTTAGCTTTTCTGATATAAGCTCTGATGAAATTTGGATCTTTTTCAATAGCTTTATTACAATCTTGCACAGCATCAGGGAATGACATTAATTTAGCTAATGCAGCAGCTCTATTAGAATAACCTCTAGCATCTTCTGGTGCTCTTTTAATCATTTCACTATAAGCTTTAACAGCATTTGGCCAATCTCCTTTGGTGAAATAATCTTTACCTTCTAATCTAGCTTCTTCAGCTTTTTCAGGATTGATATATTCTTGAGCTTCTTTGACTTTAATTTCCTTTTGAGTTGATCTTAATTTGTTTAAAACATCAGGAGTTCTATGTTCAGTTAATGATTTATCGAAATATTTAGCAGCTTCATGTAAATCACCTTTTTTCAAATAAGTATTACCTAATCTAGTAAAAGCTTTAGCAATTAATTTATAATCAGCTCTCATATCTCTACCTTCATCAATAGCTAAATTACAAGTTTTGATAGCAGCATCATAATCACCTTTTTCATATTCAGCAGCTGATCTATTATTCAAATAGGTGATATCTTTGAAGGTTTCCCATGCAGAATTGTATTTGGCAATGGCTTCATCGAATTTTTTAGCTTTATATAAAGTATTACCTTCAGCTTTTAATTGATCAGCAGTTTCCTTTTCACCATCAGACATTTCGACATCTTCTTCGACTTTTTCTTCCTTTGGTTGAGATTTTGGTACAGATTCAGATTTTGGAACTGGTTGAGATTTTGGTTCGGATTTTGGTTCTGGTTGAGATTTTGGTTGAGATGGTTCTTCAGGTTTTGATGATGAAGGCATTGGAGGTTCAGGAGCATCCATATCAATACCCATTAAAGTAGCCATAATTGTCATTAATCTTGGATCAGATAAAAATTGAGTGGCATTAGCTTTTGGATTAGTTTGAATTTGAACTAATTTATTAACTAATTCAGGATCTTTCATTAATTCTTTTGTTTTTGGATTATTCTTTAAATTGGTGATTAAATTTGGATCAGAGAAAATAGCACCTAATCCCATATCAGGTTGAGCATTTCTTGATTGAATGGCATTTTCAACTGATTTTAAACCATCTTTTGCCATAGCATTATTAGAATCTAATTGTAAAGCTTTTTCATATTGTTGTTTAGCATCATCTAAATTACCTAAACCATAATGAGCAGCAGCAACTCTATTATAACCTTTAGCCCATGTAGCATTGGTTTTGACACAAGCTTCAGCATCTTCTAAAGCTTTTGGGAAATTCTTTAATGATGCATAACTAGCTGAACGATTTGAATATAATACATGATTAGGTTCAGGAGATGCATCAATGGCTTTAGTGAAATATTCAATAGCTTTTTCGAAATCCTTAGCAGCGAAGTATTTATTACCTTCGGCTTTAAATTCTTCTGATGACATGGTTAATTTTTATTATTCACTGGGGTTCAACTGAGGTTTATAGTGAATAGAGATTCGCTTCTAGAAATTTCTGTTGAGAAATCTCAAAGAATGTCGCACAGAGACATTATCCATAGTGATCTGTATTATTCAAAAAAAACCATCACTAAAAACTTTACCAAACACCTAATTAATTCAAGAAAAAAATACAAACTTTCAACATTTGAGTTGTAAAATTATTCAGCACAAGCTTCTAACACTTGATCAATCAAATCAACAGGATAAGCTGGACCAAAACCATGGCATTTTTCATTCCCTTTCAATTTCCTCATTACTTCTACGACATCTACATTTAAATTCTCTGTTTCAACTTTATATAGTAAGTAATCCCATACAGCTCCTAAAGCTAAAACTCTATTACCATTATCAGGGGAATCATAAGCTTTCTTACTGAAATCTTCTTGGAAAACATGATGAGTACCTGATAACATACCATCAATGAATTGTTTTTCATTCTTTGGGAAAGCAAAATCTTTAGAATGATCAAAAGGGTTGGAGTTTTTTAATTTTTGATTTTCAGCTATAACATTTAAATTGTTTCTTCTGATAGCTTCTAACTGGTCAATTAATTGTTGTTTTTCTTCTTCACTTTTATTTAACTTGAGTTCTAAATCTTTTAATTTAGTTTCTTTACGTTCTCTGAAAGCTCTTTGAGCAGCTCTATTTTGAGCCTTTCTTTTCAATTGTAATTCGGCTTCAGTGAGTTCGGAATCATCTTTAGCTATTAACATGGCATCTTGTTCATCTAACAATTGTCTTTTAGATTTCTTTTCTTGATCTTTTCTGTTAATAGTTGAATTACTAAGATTTGAAGCTCTTGAGTTTTTGTTGGATAACACATGATAATTGAGATTTTCTTCTTTGTCAGCTGGAAAAATCAGTTGGTCAACTGTCATGACCAATGAGTTGTTGGTCGATGGTGATGATTTATCTGAAAATGATTCGTTGTTATATTGGAATCCAGCTAAATTATAGTTCAAGTCATCCATATTCACTTCATTCCCAGGTTTCATATTTACGTGAGGATTGATCTGATAAAATTCATTGGTGGTTAAGCTACCCATCATTTCATTATCTGGGATGACAAAGTCTTCAGCCATATCGAAATTCATGTTGGTATCGACATCCATTTTATTAATGTGGTTAGTGGAAAAGTAAAATAAAAATGATTACCAATGCGAATTTCTGAGACAATTTCCGATCATGTGACCGGGGGGATAATAAATTGCTTGTCGAATTTTTAGCCGTTTGATGGAGTATGCTTGGTTGTGGCAGATTGGTTGACCCAGGGGTATTTGTTAGAGTAGGAAATGTATAGTTGAAAGCATTTGTAGGTATATGAGTTGGTGAGTCTAGATTCGGTGGGGATAAGGTTTAACTTTCGTGAGTTGTACTCAATATATGAGTTTGAATGATTCAAAAGAGTAAGATGGCAACGTTCAAGTAGTGGGGATGAGTACCGAGACTTGTGGTCTTGTTTGAGCAGCATCGGCCGAATATCGGGTTCGGGTTAAGGAATTACCTCTGGGCAATTCGGGTGAAGGAGTTATCGCAGATAGCTCACCGGATTTAGATGTATATATGAGAGGAATACCGATAATAGGGGCAGGATCTGAGGTCCCAAACGGTAGGATAAAGTCCAAGACAAACTGTCAGACAAACAGAATGACAAGAAGTAAAGATCAGTTAGGTTGATATGGCTGATTATGTAATCATACATACTATCACAAAAGATTTAAACCAAGTGTGGCCACAGGGAGATAAGGAATGTTTTTTCGTTCATTAACTTTCCCCATATCCTTCAATACCTGTGAACTACATACTAAATCCCCACACACCCGTAAACCTACCTTATCGGAGATTTTTGCAGATAACCACTAAAGTTCTCAATCATATATAAAAGAGACAGAAATCCAGTAAATAATACATTTTATATTCAGAAACCTAAATTCCCCAATCAATCATTAATTTTAAATAACTAATTTTCACAGTCTTTTGAAAGGTGTCCCATTTCACCACAGTTGTAACAGTTTTTACCTAAACTGTTACCACTTTGACGACAATCTTTTGAAATATGGCCAACTTTACCACAAGCGTAACATTTAGTGTTATTGGCTTGACAATCTCTGGCATAATGGTTTGGACCTCCACATTTGTAACAGGTAGTCTTGAATTTTGGTTGAGTTGACTTTCTTGGTGATGATTGCACAGTTGATGCAGCATTACAGTTTTTTGAAATGTGTCCAAAGTTTCCACAGTTGTAACATTTAGAACCTTGTTCACTGGTTGGACAGTCACTTTGAACATGTCCGACATCACCACATAAATAACATTGTTTGTTATCAGTGGATTTTGGTTCTTCACATTCACTTGATTCGTGTCCTGGTTTGTGACAATTATAACATAATCTTTCTTGTTGTTCACAATTGTCGGCGATGTGTCCAACTTCACCACATTTGTAACAAGCTCTTGGGAATACTGCAGCCATCTTTTCTACTTCCAACTTTCTCCAACTATCTTCTAAATACTCTCAAGTACCAACGATAATTTTCTCTTTGAAAAATTTTCTCTCTTCTGTCGCGCAAAGGTTACCCGGTTTTGGCTGCAAAAAAAATTCGTATATATTAATAAATATCTCTATAAATAGCATCACCTATACGGATGGTTTTAGCCACTTCTTGGGTGTCATGGACTCTTACAATCTTACAATCTTGTTGGATACTGGAAATAATAGTGGCATTGGTACTGACAACTCTTTCTGTTGGGTTTTCTTCATTATTTAAGGTTCCTAAGAATTTCTTTCTAGATGTTCCCACAAGTAACGGTAAACCATTGAAACTGATATAATTTTCATTGATGTCTTCATTCAAACGTTCGTTAATGATGATGCTGTACTTCTTAAAATAGTTCAAGTACTTAAGGATGATCAAGTTTTGTTTCAAGTTCTTAGCAAAACCAATACCTGGATCAAGGATGATTTGCCATTTTCTAACCCCCTTTTTGAAAGCTTTGGATAACTGTAAAGATTGTTCTCTACTTATACCATTGATTAAATTATTGACTTCAGGATTGTCATTGATTTGATTTGATTGCCCAGTCAAGGGATCATTTATCAATTCGATTAAATCTTCATTGGTATTGGCTTCATAATTAACTAACTTAGACATGGTTTTGGAAGTTCCTCTGGTATGGTTTAATATATATGGACATTGGTATTGTGCTACGATGTCGAACATTTCCTCATCATATAATCCCATGGAGATATCGTTGATGATATTGGCTCCATTATCAAGACATTGTTTTGCAACTTCTGATCTGTAAGTATCTATGGAAATCAAAACCTCTTTGTTAATATCTCTAATAGCTTTTATTACCGGTAATAAACGATCTAATTCTTCGGATTCACTAGGTTCATCAGCTCCGGGTCTGGTGGAAACGCCTCCAATATCAACAATCTCTGACCCATCTTCAACCAATTTCTTGAAATTCTTAATAATTGTATCCATGTCACCAAAGCTTTTACCTCCATCACTGAAAGAGTCGGGAGTTATATTCAAAATCCCCATCATTAAAGTCTTTGATTTATGGTCAAATTTCAATGGATTCAAAGATGGATCAATTTGAGATATTGGTACTATATTCATCAACTTATTGGATTCTTGTATGGATTCATTACCTTGAGATTTCAAAAGTTCTTTCAAATGATTATGAATGGGTTCGGCTGAAACAGGATGAATGAAATCAGGTTTGATCAATTCACATAATGGCTGTAAGACAAAAGTTCTTTCTAACATGGATTTATGAGGAATCGTCAACTCTGGCTTATTAACAGTGGACTCATCATAGAGTAAAATATCTAAATCAATTGACCTAGGACCATTTTCGAAATCCTTATGACGTTTTATTTCTTCATACTCAATATGTTTTAAAATAGACAATAACTCTGTTGGTGAATGTTTACATTGAACTTTGATCACTCCGTTGAAAAAATCAGGTTGGTCTTTAACATACATTGGCTTGGAAATGTACATTGAAGACGTTGAAAGTAATTCAATATCGTGTTTAGCTAACAAGTCAATGGCTTGATTAATGTTCTTAACTTGATCTCCTACGTTGGATCCGAAAGCAATATATACAATATGATTACCTTGTTTGATTTCTTCTGTAACTGGTAAGTTGAATTGATCATTGGTTTCAACCTGGGGTTTGGTATTCAATTTCTCCAAACCAGCAAATCTTTCTTTAGTAAGTAAAGATCTTACCCCAACACCTTCAGTATAACTGATAGCATTTGGTTTTGTAATCTTAACCATTACCTTGCTGATATCATTATCATAATGTTGGAATATCAATTGTCCTATAGTCAATTCTAAGGCTTCAACAGTTTTGAAATTCGATACTTCAACAAATCTGGTGATTTCTTCCATTATTTCATGGATTATGACATTATGATGAGGTAATAATTCAATAGTCAAATCTATATCAACCAATTGTTTTTGTAATCTCTCAAAAGTGAAAACTCCAATGATAGTCAATAATCTTAATTTCTTCACATTGATAGAATCCAATTTATCTTCAACTACTCCTTGGGTATAACGATCTCTATATAATTTATACTCAATTTCATCAGCTCTGATTTCAGATTTTTCACTTTTAATGGAAATTTCAACTTTTTCACCACCTCCTTTCTTTTCATCTAGAACTATTTCACTTACTGCTTCACCGATATTTTGTAAACTTTTAAAGTTTTTCAGTTCATTTATCTTCATGAATTCCATAATGTTTCTGGAAATAACTGCATAATTCAAAGAATATTTTAAATTATCGGTTTTTGAAGCCATGGAGAAATCAGTATCGAATTCTACTGATATCTTAATTGGTTGAGCAGTAGGTCTATTCCAAGCATCATTTCCCATTATAGCTGTGGCAGCTAATTCATTCACAAATACCTTATCCTTGAACATCATTCTACTTCTACTTAAATATCTTATCGGGTTCACCGATGTACAAATAGTTCTAATCACTTTTGATATCTAAAGGAAAAATTCTCAGGTCCGATTTTTTGGGTGCGAATGCTATGAGAACTCGGTGCTATCAGTTACTGCTGCATAATCACTAGTTTCACGTATAATTACCTCAGCTTCAGCAAACGTACAATTCTTATCCTCAACAATCAATCGGAGAATGATCTCATTGGATAAAACGTATTTGGAGAAGTCTTCAATCCCCCAGAATTGAACTGTAGCATTCTTTTTCAAGCTTTGTTTTAATTGGGGTTGGTATTTTTCCATGATAATCGATGCTATGAATTGTTGTCTTTGTAAACCATAATATCCCCCAGCAAAGTTTTGCCAATTAATATGATATTTATCTCTTTGTCTCAAAGTCTCGTTAGACGTTTTATTCCTTTCTTCTTTGGCCAAGTCGTAGAAAAATGACATGTTTTCCTTACCTGAGAGAAGATCAGGTATTCTATCAAGTAAGGGATCGATTCTGTTAAGTAATTCTGGTTTTGAAGGAACTTTAGGTGGTTCTTTACCCTTATACTTATTTTTGATTTCAGCCAAATTATCTTTTTCAAGGATATTCGATATCAAATTGGATGAATTGATGTCTTCAGAAGTGTTTTCCGTTACTGAAGATGTGTTGATTCGCTTATTACCATTGGCCACCAATTTTTCAGTGGTTTTGAAATCAACGTCAGGAGTCTTTGATTGAACCTTAACTTCTCCAATATCAATCAAATCGTCATCACTATCACTATCATTGAAACCATCAGGTATGAAAGACAATATCGAACTATTAGTCACTTCAGGCTTTGGTTCAGGTTCTGGTTCTTTCTCGGTGGTTCCTTCATGATACTTTCCTATTTTCGTATTGGCATGAACATTCAATGATTTGAGGAGTTTGGTTTTTCTTGAACGATTGTAAGTCCTTGTTGGCTTCTCTACACTACCAGTTTTGATAGGACTACCACCAGGACTACCAGATCGTTTTATAAGACTATTATATTGAGGTTTAGTACCCATTATAGAGAACGCGAAAAATGTATGTATTACTTTTGTTGATTCAACAAACTATTCAAAGCTGCCAAGTTTGGATTACCTGAACTTGGAGGAATTCCATTGAAATTGAAATTATTGTTTGGTGGATTGAAATTATTAGTATAATTATAATCAAAATCTGGATTTACACCGGATTTAGGACCATTTCTACCTGAATTTGTAGGCATTTTCTTAGACATTGATTTTGAAGACACTCCAGTACTAGCTTCGATATCTGGCTCATCTATAACTAATCCGCTAGTTACTGGTTGACCCCCAGTACCACCCCATTGACCTTTTTCAATCCATAATCTATCTGAATCAGTTAATCTTCCCATTGGAATGATTGAGACTCCATGTTGATAATCACAACAATCTCTTGGGCCGAAACCAACCCCCCATCTGATTCTTAAAGGTAAAGAATTATCTTTGTTGAAAGAATTAACGATATTTTCAGCTTCTCTACGAGAATAGACTTTAACAAAAGCATGTTTCCTTTCAGTATTCAAGATAATTGATTGAACTTCACCAAAAGGTCTCAATACATCGATAATATATTGTTCGGTCATTTCTCTAGTAATCCCACCAAAGAATAAAGTACGGGAAAACACTTTAATGGAATTATTAGGGATTGAGGAGTCAATACCAACATTACGAGGTCTAAAATGAGGATTACTTTCAACATTTAATTCTTCAAACCCATTAACATCAACAGTTGCAAGGGCTTCATTGGGACTTTCATGAGCTGGTTTAGGAACATTAGGTAAACCAGGAATTTGCGGTAAATTAGGTAATTGGAAATTTTGTTGTGGTGGTGATGGTTGTGATGGTTGTTGTTGTTGTTGTTGTTGATAAGAGGGTTCAGGAGCTACTTTACGAGGAATCGCAGGTAAACTTTTAGGGATAGCAGGTAAACTAGCAGGTAATTTTTTAGGTAAACCTGATCTTCTTGGAGGTGATCTTTCCCTTAAATTATTATCATCACGACGAGGTGATCTTGATCTATCTCTTCTGGAATAACTATCGAAATTATTTGATCTATCATTTTGAGGAGGTTGAGATTGATTACTTAAATTTGATAACATATCCAATACGCTATTAGACTGTTGAGTTGTAGGTACTGAAGGAGCATTGGAAACAATATTACCACTTAAATTTGATAATTGTGATAAAATATTATTAGCATTTACAGTTTGATTAGTCGGAGTTGGACTTTTTGAACTTAATTTTTGTAAATTATCTAAAGCCAGTAAAACATTAGAAGTAGAAGGTTTTGGTTGTTCATAAATCAATTCACTGATTCTAGGAGGTGGAGTTCCTGGAGGTGAAGTTGATTTAAAGTATTTAGATTTTAAATGTTGAATAAATTCTTCATTAAAAGATTTTGATCTTTCCCAAACTTCAATAAGTTTTAAAATTTTATTAATAGTAGTTTTATCAATAGTGAATTCTAAGGCATCATCAAGAATTGATTCAATTAATTCATTAATTTTATAAATTCCTGCACCGAAAGTTCCTTCAGCACTCTCACTAGAAATTGTTTCTCCATTCTTTTTAGCTTCATCATTATAAGATCTTAAAATTATATCAACCACGTATAACATACCTAATTTATTACTAGAAGGACTTGCTCTACAGGCAGAATATAATTTAGTTATTAAAATCGATTCATTTTGTACTTGTTTAATAGCAATGTTATTAATAGCTTTAATACGAGATCCTGATACTCCAGGAGGTTTTAATTCATGTAATTCTTTTAAAATTTTATCAAATTGTTCAAGGTCTGACATGGTTACAAAGCGATTCTACAAACAAAAAAAAAAAGAATATTACGATTGACTATGGGTTCGACTCTGGTTTCTTTAAGATATTTCACTTCTCAACTTCTGTTGTTTTAATCCTCTCTGTTGTATTTTATTCTTGTTACTTAGAATTTCAATTCAGAGGTCAACGTTTGAAGACGGGATGAAAATGCGAAAAAAATGATGGCGGTGGATGGAAAAATAGTCAAACCATTACCCGGCACCAAACTTTCGCATCTAAAAATTTTCTCTGAAAAATTTAAACCGTCAATGGTTGTGATAAAACGATTCAATAGTACTGTAAGTAAATTACCTACTATTTCATCGACATTAATATTGTCGAGAAATCCTATAATAACGAGAGAATTGCCTGCATTCGAACAACAATATTACAATTATCAAAATGAATTATGGAAAAGATTAATGTGGACATTTCCCAAATGGTACTATTATAGAGATGGAACTTTAGGAGATCAAAGATTTAAAGAATTGAATAAACCTCCAGTTTTTAATAATCCTAAATTGGAATATACTGAAGGAAGACCAGATATCAAACAATTAAGAGATCGTAGATTCAAACAAGTCATCAACTTACCTAAATCTTATAAACAAGCAGAAGATGGTAGTGAAATAGTTGATGAAGAAATTCAAGATAATTTATCAAGAAAAATCAATCCAAATTCCAGAATAACAAAAGCTGATGAATCAAAAGACTTATCAAGTTTAGAAAGACAATTATCTAAAACATTATATTTAATCATCAATGAAAATGGTTGGAAATTACCAACTTTTAAATCTGATACTCAAACTCCTTTACATAAAGTAGCTGAAGAAGGTTTGTTTAATATAGGAGGTGAAGAAATCAATTATTTCAATGTTTCATCAAAACCTTGTCATCATATTAAAGGAAGTGATCAAATTGAATTCTTTATAAAATCACATATTTTAAGTGGTTCTTTTAAACCAAAAAATTTGAAATTTTTGTGGGTAACTAAAGATGAATTAAGTGAATATTTGAATGAAGATTATTATAAACAAATTAAACACTTATTAAATGAGTAATTGTAAATAGAAATAAACTACTTGTATTGTATATTTCAAGAGGAGACACTAAATATCTTTTCTACCTCTGATAGCTTTTTCGGCAGCCCATACTGATCTATCTAATAATGATCCAACCATTAACACTCCAGCAATTGAACTAATAACTCCTAAAACAAATCCTGACCAGCTTTTAGCGTACTGTTCTTTATTGATGATTTTCAATGGAGAAATATCAAAATGGAAGAATAACCCAGGTACTCCACCTCTGGCATGTAAAGTATGTTGATGGTCTTGATCTTTACCACCAATTAATGGTCTATCGTGATAAATCACCGAAAATTGATTGGTTTCCAATGATTGTTTCAAACTGGTGGTTAAATATTCGAATCTAGTGGCAACTACATTGAGGTAATATGAATATAAATGATGTTTTTGATTCAAAGATTGACTGGCTCCATCTAATGGATGTAATGATTGTTTATCAATGTCTGCGGCTTGAGTAACAGGATCATTACCGAATGATAAATGATGAATAACATGATCAAAATTGAAATTTTCCGTTCTTTTTTGGAATAATGATAAATCATGAACATGTCTACCTGGTTCAGTATATGAAGCTCCAGGAGCAAAATGTAAATTCCCACTAATTCTATTAATTTGTGTAGTTCCGACGATTCTACATCCTTCACCACCATTGATTTCTTCATTGATTGTTTGAACGTACCCTTCATCTTCACATTGTTTTATATCTTTACCATCATAAAATGCCCATACTTTCGCAGCATAAGCTAATCTAACAGTTTCACAATCATTACAACAATATTCTTTATTATCTTGAGGTAACGATCCATAACAAGGACCACATTCTTTATTTTGTTGGGTTTCTTCTTCGGTCAATCCCTTAGCTCTTATTTCTAAAGGAGTTGGATCAACTAAATTGGCATTTTGAACTTCAACTTGTTGACCATCTTTCAAGATTCTAAATTTTTGGAATTGATTTTTTAAAAGATCAATTTTAATATCTCCACTAACATCCAAAATATCCATACTTAACATGGCACATGGCATATGAGGGAAGGAGATATCTAAATTAATATCTAATTTCTTGTTGATATCTCGATCAACTACTAATTCTGGTCTGGTAATGATCAGAGTATAATCTAAATACTCATTACGTATTAAAAACAATACAACCATCACACATAACACTGTAATCATCCCTCCGCTAGCAGTTTTCACCCTGGCATCTTCTACAGTCTTTGCAAATGCATCAATGGACAATAATTTAGGACGACCTGACATTTGTTCAAAGTGAAAAATCCAAACGCGGAAAACCAATGAGTGGGAATTCAAGGCTGAACATTGGATTCTTTAAAAGGTTAAAACCTCAGGTTTATAGTGATTCTCAGTCATATAATAGTGAAATTGTATTGATATCAATCAATCCTGTGGGAAATAACGTAGTAAATTCACGAACTGATGGAAGTTTAAGGATTTGGAGATCTTCAAGTGATCGATTAACTGAAGCCAAAACTATCGATAAACCTCATGAAAGACCAGTTGAAAGTGTATCATGGAATCCCAAGACAGAATATACTTTTGCAACTGTTGGGAAAGATAAAAACATCAAAATTTGGAGAGCAATTGCTTCAACTCCTGATAAAATCATTACAGTACAAAAGAATGATAACACCCCAGTGATATTGAAATTAGTGAAGTATTCAGCTAACGGTGATTTGTTGGCTGTGGTGGATAAAGATTCAACAGTGGTTATCTATTCCACTAAAGATTATAAGAAACTTTGTGAAATCAAATTACATGAATATATCTATTCTTTTGAATGGTTTAATTCGGGTGATTTATTCATTGTAGGATTCCACGATGGAAGTTCTCATATTTATAAGTACTATAATGAAGAAATCATATTGAAAAAACAACTATTGGGTCATAAATCATCCATTACAAGTACAGTCATCGATCCTCGTGGAACATATATATTTATTGGATCAAATGAAGGTGTAGCATCATTATGGTCAACTTCCACATTATTACCAGAAAAAGTCATCACAGATGTTGATGAATCAATATCTTGTGTAGCATGTAGTAGAGATGGTACTTATGTAGGAGTTTGTTATGATGGAGATATACCATTAAAGATATATGATTCCTCAAGTACTGAAATGATGTTGGAAATATCCAATGCCAAACCAGGTAAGCAAGTAGCTCCATCAATTCAATGGTTCCCCAATAAAACTGCATTCATATATACCAGTGATGATTGTAAAACCATGACATATATGATAAAATCCGATTAAATGTATAATAGATTTAGAAATTTCACAATCACATGACCAAAACTCTCATATGTACGCCAGTGCCAAAATCTAGGGGGAATATCGTGGTAAAACTTGACGTGTTTACACCAGATTTTGCGACTGGAAAAGATTTCAGTGAGGGACGAAAACAACAGTTTATTAACTCTTTCAGGTAAAGGAGTTATTTAAAATAATTAAAACTTTGGTGATAATTTCTCCTTGAATTTCTTATAAGATTAAATCTACAAAAGGTTCATTGGTTGAAAAAAAAACCTTCCCTAGGACAATCTCAAAATTATCATTATACCGTATAAGGGTTATATCAATCAAATCTAAAGAACCATTCATTTTTACGTGTTTTAAAACCAAAAACACTGTTAACGATAATCAGAGGTTAATTTTATAATCAAAAATGGAACCTGTACCACCAATACGTTCCTTTTCAAGTCAATCACATTCAAACTCAAGTATATCTTTGAGTAGTAAAAATGTTACCAGAGTTAGTTCCACGCCAATTGGAATTTCTTCAACTTTTAATCAAGGATCTAATGCTAAGGACCATTTGTTTTATCAATGTTCCATCTTATTGATGAAATTAAGTAAAATTGATGGTATGGAACCATTTTTAAGAGTGGCTCATAATTTAGCCGAAAGGTGTAGTGAACAACAAGCTTTAAGTTTAAGTCAACAGGATAATTTATCAACAATTAATGATCAAAGATCTTCACTTAATTCCAATGGATTTCAAATGATCCCAGATAATTCATCAGTCAACTCATTCAATCCTTCAAATTCAACTAGTATAATGACTAATGGTCCAAATAGTGCATCTTCATCAACTTCAAATGCTAATTTAAATATCTATACTTTCACTTCAGGAATTTTACCTACAAAATTAGGAGTTGACCCTGTCACCAAGTTATGGAAATTGTTCCAACAAGGAGCCCCTTTATGTATATTATTCAATTTGATCAATAAAGAACATGAGATTACTTTTATTGGCAGTGATGATGTTAAAATGTGTAAAAGATTAGTTTATGATTTTTTAATTGCGGTGAAGACTCATCTTAATTTGGATGATGACATAATGTTTACCATATCCAATGTATTTTCTGATACTACCAATGATTTATTGAAGATTATTAAAGTAGTCGACACTTTATTACCGGAAAATCTCAAAAATTTCCAAGATAATTCAATTGGTGATATTATCATCAATAATGAATCATCTAAGGTGTTTAAAGAAATAATAGAAACTGAAAGAAAGTATGTTAAAGATTTGGAAATCTTAGCTAGTTATAAACAAGAATTAGCCATAACGGAATTAATATCGTCAGAACAAATTCATACTTTATTCCCCAATTTGAATGAAATCATTGATTTCCAAAGAAGATTCTTAAATGGTTTGGAATGTAATATAAATATTCCTAATGATTTGACAAGGATTGGTTCAGTATTTATTCACGCAGCCAATGGACCTTTCAAATCTTATGAACCATGGACTTTAGGTCAATTAAATGCTATTGATTTGATTAATAAAGAATCTTCTAATTTAGCCAGATCTTCAAAAATTTTAGATCCTGGTTTAGAATTACAAAGTTTCATCTTAAAACCCATCCAAAGATTATGCAAGTATCCTCTTTTATTGAAAGAATTGATCAAATCTTGGCCTACAGAAGATTCTTCAAGTTATAATGAGTTAATATTGGCCCAACAAGCAATGAAAGAAGTTGCTAATCAAGTTAATGAGGCTCAAAGAAGAAGTGAAAACATTGGATTCATTCAAAGTTTAGTTGATAGAGTTCAAGATTGGAAAGGTTATAATTTAAAAGATCTTGGTGATTTGATGTATCATGAAAATGTTTTAATTACTGGTAAAAATAGTGAAAAGGAATATTTATTATGTCTTTTTGAAAAAGTTTTATTGGTATTTGTTGAACATCTCAATAAAGATGAATCAAGTGGTAAGAAAAGAAGAGATTTATTATCATCAAGAAAGAAATCCACCTCCTCAGTTACTTCATCGACAGTAAATTTATTAGAAAATTTAAATCAAGCCAAAGAAAAATCCACTTTGGTATTATCAGGAAGAGTTTATATCCAAGAAATAACGAATATTTTGAAACCTGATAATCAAGATCATTCCATTATTATACAATGGGTGGGTAAATCAGAAGAAGGAACTTTCCATTTGAAATATAAAACCGAAGAATCAAGAGATAGATGGGAGAAAGGTTTGAGATACTTAAAATCAGCTCAAATGGCTAGAGATATTCAAAATAAATTCCGTTCAAGTAGTAGTCATGATGATTTTTATGATAAATCTTCTATACGATCATCAAATGGTTCATCTTATCATAGACATCATTCTTCATCATCAACATATTCAATGATGGGTCAACAACGAATCAAATCAATGGGTGAACCAAGTAGAGTTTCATCATCTTCATTTACTAATCCTAATAGTGGTCATGAGACTTCTTTCCTGTCAGTAAGTAGTCAAAGTCAAAATAATAGTCAAGGTTACTTAAATCATAATCAAATATCGATAAAAATCATTTATGGAAGAATTATAATAAATTCTTTATTAACAGTACCTGCTAATGTTCAATTTGGTGAATTATACCTGAAAATTTCCAATAAAATAGCTTCCAGTGAAGAAGTTAATGATGATATTGTTGTAAATAAATTGAGATATAAAGATGAAGATGGAGATTTCGTTGTTATGGACTCTCATGATGATTGGGTATTGGCTTTAGATACTTTCCAAGAAACTAATGATAAACATTTAACTATATGGGTGTCGTGATGTCGCACGATGTCGCATCATATATATGAAAGGAATATATATATTCTATCTTATTTCAACTCTATTTACAGTCTCCAATGAGCATCATTGAAGATTTGGGATAAGTTTTTGGTTTGAATGATATTGGTCATGACTTGTTTTGATGATAAACTTAATGTAGGATTTTGATTGATCTTTTTATCACTTTCTAATGATTCAGGAATATTGTTTAAACTACCTTTAACTTTTTCATTAATTTCATTAATTAAATCTTGTTCATTGATTTCTTTGGTGTAATTGGAACTAAGTAAAAATCTATTACCTGAATCTTCCGGAGCATTATCAATAATAGATCTTGGTAATTTATATGGATATTTAGATTTTAAAATTTGACTCTTTATAACACTAGTTATTCTTGAAGTTAAATTGATTTGAAAGTTGGTGGATTTCCCATACATGAAACTATTGGTTAATGAAGGTTTATAACTTATTGGTTTGATGGTTTTAGTTGATAATTCAATGGTATCATTAGAAGTAGCTGATTTTAATTGTCTTGGTCTTGAGGTTTGTTTTCTATTTACTCTTGGATTTCTAGGTTTGGATGTTCTTGGGGTTTGGAATCGAGATCTAACTCCAGAATTAGCTAATGGATGTTCAGCTATATCGATAATTGAAACGTCAGTAACAGAAAATCTTTGTTTCTTACTTTCATCAGTTGTTGGTCTAATTACAGGTTTTTGATTTGTTTTCACATTAACTTTCTTTGGTTTGACCGCTTGAACTTTAGGTTTAACATTCAAATTAATCTTTTGAACTCTTTGTAACAAATCAGATAAGAATAATGGTTTATCCCCAGTGGAATAATTTCTAATACATCTTATCATAACTGTTGAAATATTAAAAGAGAAGAAAAAAAAATTTTCAATTCGCAAAAATCCACCTACCACCATTTCTCCCTAAATTACTACCATTCTTAAGTTATTGTCGTAAATTTCCCACCATTTCTCCCTAAACTTACCGACAATTCGGTACTAAATCCATTCGCGGTGCGCGACATTTTCCCAAACGCTCTCTCATTGGTGGATTCCTCAAAATCCAACCAAATTGTTTTATTTGTCTCGACAAAAATTTTAAATTTTTCAATTAATTGGAAAAAGTTTTTTCTACATAAATTTCAATAATGTTATCAACTCGTCCAATCTTACGTTCAGCTACTAGAACTTTAGCTGCTGCTTCAAGATCATCTTTAAGAATTGTATGTATAGATTTTAAAATAAGATTACCAATTGTCAATGGCGTTGAATTTATAGATTTTTCATCATTGAATTTTATAAGGTATTATCATTGATTTGATATCATTGACCTTAAATTGATATCCCAGGATACAATATAATACTATTATAGTAATGATTGAGTCTTTTGGATTTATTCCCGATCAATTAGATCTTAGATTGGAGTCAAAATACTAACTATTATAGGCTCGTCCTCAAGTTTCATTAAGATTTGCTTCAGCTAAAGCTGCTCCAACTGAAGTTTCTTCTATCTTAGAAGAAAGAATCAGAGGTGTTTCTGAAGAAGCTAACTTAAACGAAACCGGTAGAGTTTTATCTGTTGGGTATGTTAAATTTTTCAAATATTTTTAAATTCAAACTTTTTTTCCATCAACAATTGACATAATATCAATTTAAGTGTTACATCTATCACCATTTAGGTTCCATCATAGCAGCAGAATACTACAATTCCCGAGATTTCATAGTTTTTAAAGTCAATTGTTGAACATTGGTGAAAAATCGATCTCGGCCAATGAGATTCGCACCTTTGGAGAAAAGCGTGAAAAATTTCTATAGACATTTTTACTAACAAATTATAGTGATGGTATTGCCAGAGTTTTCGGTTTAAACAACTGTAGAGCTGAAGAATTAGTTGAATTCTCTTCAGGTGTTAAAGGTATGGCTTTAAATTTAGAAGCTGGTCAAGTCGGTATTGTCTTATTCGGTTCAGATACTTTAGTTAAAGAAGGTGAAACCGTTAAAAGAACCGGTAAAATTGTTGAAGTCCCAACTGGTCCTGAATTATTAGGTAGAGTTGTTGATGGTTTAGGTAACCCAATTGATGGTAAAGGACCATTAAATGCTTCATCATCTTCAAGAGCTCAAGTTAAAGCTCCAGGTATTTTACCAAGAACTTCAGTTCACGAACCTATGCAAACTGGTTTAAAATCTGTTGATGCTTTAGTCCCAATTGGTAGAGGTCAAAGAGAATTAATTATTGGTGATAGACAAACTGGTAAAACCGCTGTTGCTTTAGATACCATCTTAAATCAAAAGAACTGGAATGACGGTTCCGATGAATCTAAAAAATTATATTGTGTTTATGTTGCCGTTGGTCAAAAAAGATCAACTGTTGCTCAATTAGTTCAAACTTTAGAACAAAATGATGCCTTAAAATACTCTATTGTTGTTGCTGCTACTGCTTCAGAAGCTGCTCCATTACAATATATTGCTCCTTTCACTGCTTGTGCTATTGGTGAATGGTTCAGAGATAATGGTAAACATGCTTTAATTATCTATGATGATTTATCAAAACAAGCTGTTGCTTATAGACAATTATCATTATTATTAAGAAGACCTCCAGGTAGAGAAGCTTACCCAGGGGATGTTTTCTACTTACATTCTAGATTATTAGAAAGAGCTGCTAAAATGCATCCAAAATTAGGTGGTGGTTCATTAACTGCTTTACCAGTTATTGAAACTCAAGGTGGTGATGTTTCAGCTTATATTCCAACCAATGTTATTTCAATTACTGATGGTCAAATTTTCTTAGAAGCCGAATTATTCTATAAAGGTATTAGACCAGCTATCAATGTTGGTTTATCCGTCTCAAGAGTTGGTTCAGCTGCTCAAGTTAAAGCCATGAAACAAGTTGCCGGTTCATTAAAATTATTCTTAGCCCAATACAGAGAAGTCGCTGCTTTCGCTCAATTCGGTTCAGATTTAGATGCTTCAACTAAACAAACTTTAGCTAGAGGTGAAAGATTAACCCAATTATTAAAACAAAAACAATACTCTCCATTAGGTGCTGAAGAACAAGTTCCATTAATTTACGCTGGTGTTAATGGTTACTTAGATTCAATTGCTTTAGAAAGAATTGGTGAATTTGAAGAATCTTTCTTATCTCACTTAAAATCTAATGAATCAGAAATCTTATCAACTATTAAAGAAAAAGGTGAATTATCAAAAGAATTATTAGAAAAATTAAAAGCTGCTACTGAATCATTCGTTGCTTCTTTCTAAGTTGTTTCAAAATTGATCCTAAAAATTAGTTAGATTAAAAATATAAAGCATATATATTCAACTCTTTTTGTGATTCTATGGGGACAATTTTGTTTGATAGATTTGAAATATCTGCGCAAATATAAAGTCAATGGAACAAGTTGGGAGAAAACATGTCAAAAATACCAAAAAATGGATTTTCTTCATAATTCCCAAATGAAAAAGTTGTAGTATTCATAGCTTTCTATGTGTGATTTTTTCGTTGCATCAACATTTTGAGCTTGAGTATTTTCTGCTCATAAGATGAAGGTTTTCAAGCCAAACTTCTCGTTCAGAGTACAGTAGCTTTTCGGAACAGTTGATGTGTTCTCTACTAACCTCCACGTATCTTTCTTACACTCTACCAACATGGTGGAAGTCCATGGATTCTCATCTGGTTTTATTATGGGAGACAATATTGTGTCACGTGATTGTCAATCACGGCTGCAAAAAGGAGAAAATTGATTACAAGTTGATAAAAAAGTGTCAGAAATACCAAAAATTATATTTTCTCCATACTTCCGGAATAGAAAGGTTGTGATGTATATTGCTACCAGTGTGCGTTCTTTTTCTTTTATCGGTATTTTGAGCTTGAATATATTCTGCCCACAAGATGAAGATTCTCAAGCTAAATGTCTCTTTCAATATACAGTAATTTGTCTGGAGCATTCTGTGACACATACGATGCTGCTTGCATCTTTCGTCGGTTTTGCTGACATGGTGAAAGCCCATGGATTTACCTCTCTTCAACTTTGGGATTCCAGAAGAATCGATTGGATTGAGTTGAGACTGGTCACGTGATATTTTAGTGTTGACTGCAAAAAATAGAAAGTTCATCAAAGGTTGATGAAAAAATGTCGAAAATGCCAAAAAATAGATTTTCTTCATACTTCTGGAATAGAAAGGTTGTGATATGTGTGGCTGCCGATGTGGGTTGATTTCGCTTTATCAGTGTTTTGAGATTGATTATATTCGAAAGGATTCAGGAGTTGAACATCTCTTTTAGAACACAGTAAATTGGAGAAAGCATCACATGCATCATACGATGTTACAAGGCTATTCTTAAGATTAAATCAACATAACGGGATTGAATATATTCACTTCTCTATAACTATGGGATTTGAGAAGAATTTGGAAAGAATCGAGACTGCTTACGTAAATTTTCTGAGATGGCTGCAAAAGAATTTTCAACCCTGAAAACTCATTTCAAATACAGTAGTTTGGCTACTGCACTCGCCCAATACACGAGATGCTCAAAGGGTATTCTCTGAATTTGATGAACCCGGTAAGATTGAATGTTTTCGATTCATGAGACGAGATCAACGACCTAGATTTTCAAGCTAAACATCTCCATCAAAATGGAGTATTTTGGCAGAGAGTTCATGTGATATATATGATTTACAGAGCTGATTCTTTTCACTTCATCAACATTTGAAGGTTGATAATATTCGGCTTATGAGAACAGGGCAGCAACTAGCAAATGGAAGTAAAACATGTCCTGTCAAACAAAGTAGTTAGGCGGATCCACTCGCATGACAAATATCATAGTCAGATAGTGTATTTTACATTCTGCCAACACTGTAAGAGTCTCTAGATCTCCACCTCTTTTACTATGGAAACTGAGATTACAATCAAAATAAGGAAGCAAAACGTGTCATCTGAAATGAAGTGTTTTGACGAAATATTATTATGTTATTCATGATTTCCAATGGGGGTGTTCTTTATATATTATGAACATATTGGGATTGAATGTTATCCCGTTCATGAAACAAGATAAATCAGAATTTTCCAGCAATAGTGTATGCAGATTTGACAGGTGGCTCTGTTTGTTTGACAAAAACTTTTTGGATTGGTAATTGGTACCATTGATAGTTGTTGATATTGAAACGTAGCTCCTTTGCCAGGGGAATCAATTCATCTCAAGATCTCTTTACAGCGTTACAGCGCGATACCCAAATGATGGTTTCAAAATAACGCGAAAGTCAATGGATTTTGAGCTGAGTTTGGATTACCTTTTAGACAAGCCCATCAAACCAATGGGAGCCGTTGAAGTTAATAATGAACCAGAGTTCCAACCAGTGATCTCTAATTCAGAGACGGAAGAGTTCAAATTCGACAAAAAGGGTAAAAAGGTGATAAATAGATTAGTGAGTGTTCAAGATATTACCAAAGACTTAGCAGATTTGAAGTTTAGCGATGATGAAAATGCAGCTCAGTTAGATAAGGTAAATGAAGTAGAGAAACCTAAGAAGAGTCGTAGAAATAAAGCTCGAGGAAAAAAGGATGCTGAAAGGGGCGATGTGAATATTAAGGCCACTAAACCCTCAACTCCACAAAATGAAACCACCGACGATGTTAACAAGGACAAGCCTCTCTCAAGACGTCAGAAGGAGAAGTTAAGAAAGCAAAAGAAGGAACAGAGACTCAAACAAAAGGAAAAACAGGAGAGTAAACGGGAGAATGAAGAAAAGAACATTCAAGAGAACAATCAACAAAAGAACATTCAAGAAAACGCTGAAGATAACAAACAGAAAATTTCTGAGAACAACCAACAGAAGGAAAAGCTCAATGAAAATGCCACAGTAGATAAAGAGAAATCACCATTTGAAAGATCATCTTCACCAGAAGATCCCTTTAGCATTAAACTTAAATCAGTTAAAGTGGTTCATTCCAATAAAAAGTATACTGAAAGACTACCCAAAATACCACCGATTGAAACCATCATGGGTTTAAGTAATGACCAGATTTATAAATTGAACCCCAGTGATATAAAATTGAAAAGAATCGTCAGTCAAGCAGGAAAATTACTTGGAAATATCATAAATTTTGCTATGGTAAACGAAGAAATCTTCTTGAATGAAGAAACAAGGACTCAATTCACTGTTTTGTGTACCAACATTGCAATTTTTGAATCACGAGGTTTAAACAAAACATTGAAGATCTACCCTGATATCATTGAAACTTTTTCCAAGTATGATGAATTAACCTTAAATCATAATAAGACGAAATTTACCAAATCTGATAAGGAAATTCATCAAAATAATTTCGACTATTCAGTATTATCATATGTTGGTAACATTATCATCTGGTTGAACTCAATCCATGATTTAAAAATCAGTAAAAAACTCATAAAAGGTGGTTTTGGTGGATATCATCTTTGGGATCAATTATTTAAAGAAGAGTCTATAAATATGAAACGTTGGAAACATGTGATCAAGTTCAGAGAAGAATTCCCGTTCCAACCAAATCAATTCATCGTAGTGATGAAGTTCTTACATATAGAAATATCATAGTAACGTTTACTTTACTCTTTTGTTCCACCGTGGTTCCACCTTGGTTCCACCTTGCTTTCATCTTAGACTGCAAAATTTAACTGCGAAAACTTTATCGCCTTGACTCATGTATCAAATCTTGGAGTTTACTCAGTCTTACTTGTTAAGTCATGATTCTGAACCATTCTATAAGTTTGTCAATAAAGCTTATGATAAACCCAAATTCAAATTTCAAGTAATCAAGACCAGAAGAATCATAACGATGGATAGTTTCAACAAGGAGATGTCAATCCTGTCAGGTAGGGATTTCAGATTGTATGTGCTTTTAGGACCCAAAACCTTGCCTCCAAGAGAATTCAAAGAATCGTTTAGCTTGGAGGAAGCATTTGAGGACGATGTGGATTTGGTGTTTGATCCTTCTAACGTGGAATTTGTCACTGTTGATGATGAGTATGATATGAACAATGATCTATATCGAGTTTTAGGATCAGTAGGTTACCTGATCAAAGAAGATACCGCTTATATGACAGCTTTTACTTCATACATTAGAAATTTGGGACCCAACATGATAAATCTTACTATCCCTCGATTGAGTCAATTCAATGTCAAAGGAATTGAAGCCAATTGTGTGAGAGAGCACCAATTATTTACCTATTATACAGAGAAATGTGGATTTCAACCTTCTGGTCAACCTGATGATATTTGTAAAGTAGGGAAATCTTTAGGGTCATTTTCAACCGCTGTAGCTTATAGAGATTTCTCCGTAGCGTTCATTTATAGACCTTTATAGATATATATCTTATATTTTTATCATAACTTATAACCATTTGTACTTAACCAAGATTTAACTGATTCTAAATCACGATCAATCCAGTTAATAGTTGATGAAACTTTATCTAAAGCTTGATCTAAATTCTTATCATAGAACTGAGTATCTTTATCTTTGAAGAATTGTTCAACTTCATCTTTTTGAGATTGTTTAGTGAATCCTGAAACACAATATCTAACTATATAGCTAAACATTGAACCTTCAGGAGGGAAATCCACCAAAAGTTTGTTATAATTGACGGTAAACCATTTCCAAATAGCTTCAATTCCTTCTTTGTCACCTCTAAGACTTGCTAAAAGTCTAAAAATATCTTGTTTTTTAACTAAATCATAATCAGTTAAGTAACCAATAGCTCTATTCTTTAATTCTGGGTTTTTGAATCTACCTAAAGCTTTTAAGGCATCTAATTTTTCGTCAATAGATGATGCTTTTTTATAAATGTTAAGAATTTGATCTAAAGTGGTTTCATCACCATACTTAGCTGCTACTACGAAAACCAAATCTTTAATTTGTGAAGGAATCTTTTTACCATTGAGGAAATCTTGGAAATATTGTTGACAGATTTCAATATATTTAGCATCTTCACATCCAGCTGCAGTATTAAATAAGGTGGTTTTCAATTTGGTTAAAGCATAAGAATCATTAGCATTGAATTCACTACCAATTTCAGCTAATTTGAATTTAATTAATGATAAGATGAATTTATTCAAAGCATTTCTAATAGCTTCATCTTCAAATATAAGGTTGGCTCTAATAGAAGCTAAATTACCAATAATACCTTCCCAAACAACATAACTATCTTCATTAGTCCATAATTTAACTAAATTTAAGAAACTTGTGGTTGGAATATTACCAGCAGTTGATAAAGCATAAGCATCAGTGACTAAACCAACTCTATCTTCAACACTTAATTTATCAGCAGCAGAACCTAATTTAACCCATCTATCTAATTCATAAGCAGTTCTATAGATATTAGCTTGATTGGCATTAATCTTAAAGAAATCACCATCTAATTTGATTTTAGTTGATTTTTCAAATAATTCCACATTCTTTATGCCTTCATCAGTTTTGATGGATAAGAAAACTGGATAAACAATTTCATCTTCTTCAGGTTTAACATCACCAGTAGTTAAAAATCTATTTTGAGTGATTTCAAATTCTTGATTACCTAATTCTTTCACAGAAACAACAGGGTAACCCATATTTTTAGTCCAAACTCCCATAACATTATTAACATCTTTACCACTAGCTTCACTTAAACAATCCCATAAATCAGTGGTTTTAGTATTACCCCATTTGAATTTCTTTAAATAATTTGAAACTCCTTTAACGAAAGTTTCTTCACCTAACCAAACACTGATCATTTTTAATAATGAAGAACCTTTAGCATAAGAAATAGAGTCAAAAATTTGATTAACATCATTAGCTCTTTTCAAAGGAATCTCAATTGGATGGGATGATCTTAAACCATCTAATGATAAAGCTGCTTGCAAATCATCAGTAACATAACTTTCCCAAACTTTCCATTCAGGATATAATGAATCACAAGCATACCATGACATCCAAGTAGCGAAACCTTCATTTAACCATAAACCTTCCCACCATTCCATAGTAACTAAGTTTCCAAACCATTGATGAGCTAATTCATGCATTACCACTTCAGTGATTCTTTTTAAAACATTAGCATTGGCTTCTTCTGGATTAATTAATAATTCAGCTGTTCTGAAAGTTATCAATCCATAATTTTCCATAGCACCAGCAGCAAAATCATGAATAGCTACCAAATCACATTTTGGTAAAGGATAAGGAATATCAAAAGCTTTGTCAAAGAATTTTAAAGTTTTAGCAGTGATATCAGCAGCATATTTACCTAAATGTTCATCAGAAGTTGAATAAACTCTAATTGGAACATTATAATCATTGTTTTCAACATATTTCAAGTCTCCTACAATGAATGCCACTAAGTAAGTAGACATTTTAGGAGTTTTGTGGAACACAACTTTCTTCTTTTCACCTAAATCTTCAGTTGATTTAACATCCATATTGGATAAACAAGTTAATTCTTTATCAGCAATCAATGAGATTTCAAAAGTTGATTTAACGGCTGGTTCATCGAAACAAGGGAAAGCTTTACGACAATCAACAGCTTCCATTTGAGTGGTAGCTAAATATTTGGTCTTACCATCTTCTTCATATGAAGATTTATAGAATCCACACATATTATCATTTAAGATCCCTTTAAATTTGATATATAACTTTACATCTTTGGAAACTTCATGATTAATGATTAATCTTTCCAAAGATTCATCAATTGAATAATCTTTGGCGTCAATTTCAACATCATCAACTTTAATAGTGAAATATTCAATCTCTGAAGTATTCAATTGAATATCTTTACTTGGTTCATTACATTTCAAATCAACGACAATTTCTCCATTGAAAGTAAAGTCAGTGAAATTTGGTTCTAATGAAATATCATAGTTGGTTGGTTCCAAACTATTTGATAAAATTTCTCTTTCAATTGACATAGTTATTGAATTCAATGGCAAATGTCTGTACCCTTATAGATTTTGAGAAATCGTCCAGGAATCAAAAATACTATCGGCCTCAATTTGAGATGGCTGTTTGATCAAAACATACGGACTTTGAAGGGGGTAAACGGAAACCGGGGGGATTGATGGGGAGGGTCTAAATGGTCGATGATAGGACTTTTGATGGACGTAGAGATAGAGCAAGTGTATAGAGTTCTGATGTTAATATGGGAAGATTTTCGCGGGTTCATAAACTGGTGATAGGTGATGTCAACGTCTGTCGACCATTTTCATACATAAAATGATGAGGTTGAATTTTGACTTACGAACCCAACGGTTATATGTCAAAACGATAGGGCCGTTTGAGTGAATGTCTAAAAAGCATTGGGTGCAAAATTTCGCGGGAACTGTTAACGAATGCCTCTCATTACTTCCGTTTTGGTGATTCACGTACACTTTTCGGCCACGATAACGTTTGTTGTTCGTTAACTATCAGAAAACTTTAAGTATCTTTCACGGTTAAATTTATGCGATTGAACTAATTTCATTTCTGGAGTTCAATTTTTCCGAAAAGATATTAAGGTTTATTTTATGGCAACGAAGTTAGTTTTTGATGTATTTTTAGATATCATGAGACGAAACTTATATTTTTAGATATCTTGGAACACAACATGTATTCTGTTGGTCTTGAGTTATTTCCAGTCTGGGACAAGAAATATTTATTTTAACTTTCAAATATTTTGAACTATTTTTGACTTTTTTAGATTCTCCGAGGTTTGTGAATTTCACAAATCAGCCATAAAATTATGAAAAAAATCAAGCCACCCCAATCAAACTAAAAACTCTATAGTTTAAACAACAGAAACAAGATTGCGTTCTAATAATGGTATGATATCAACATCTTGCACTTCAAGTGAAATTGTGATTCTCAACATACATCGTGGTTGATTTAAAATGGTTCACGTGTGTACTAAAATTTGAAAATCAGAACCCTTTCTCTCCTAAAGTTCCCTAAATTACTAACGGACTCCAGTTTACTACAATCACAAATTTGTCCATTGATCTTCTGATAATTTTTTTGTGAAATATGCAACTAATTTGACCCCTTACGGAATCAATCCTACATACAAATTCTCAAATCAACCACGTTCGATGAGTTGGAAACTTCCACACAAAGTTAAACACATGGTACGATCTTAGGAATACCATCAAACTATGGCTTGTTGATGGATCAACTACCAATCACATATCATTCCGAAGCTTCACAAGAGTAACTTAAACTATCGAAAGATAATAGCGTCATAGTGCATGAATGATTTGCGACGGTTGCAAAAAAAAAAATATGCATTCTGATTTGGCATGCAGCTTCTCATTTTACACGTGTAATGAGTTCCCCTGACTAACTTTAAACCTTGGTTAAACGTTAACTTGTTACCAAAAATATGACAATGGTATAAAAAGGCAGGTATAAGATGAATTGACGAAAAGTAAAATGTTATTTCAGAGTTTAATTGCTACAGGATTATTTGTATCAGCTTTGGCTGCACCAGCACCTTTCCAATTTAAAATCGTTACTTCTAACGTTAGATATGATGCTAATGCCGATAGAAGATTTGCCCATGAAAAGCCATGGGGTGATAGAAAAGTTGGACAAATTCAAACCTTAGGATTAGAAAGTTGTGATGGTCCAACTTTGATTGGATTACAAGAAGTTAAAAATAATCAACTTAATGATGTGATTTCTGGTTTAAATAATGATACTGGTAAATCATGGACTTATTATGGTATTGGAAGAGATGATGGTAAAACCGCTGGTGAATATGCTGCTATCTTATATGATAATGATGAATGGCAATTAATTAATGGTACCTCAAAATGGTTGAGTACCACTCCAGATCAACCATCCAGATCTTGGAATGCTGGGAACAACAGGATTGTTTCTATCACTGAAATGCAACATAAATCATCAGGTATTCATATTAATTATTTAAACACTCATTTTGATGATAAATCTGAAGAAGCTAGACAACATTCAAGTGAATTGATCGCTCAATGGATTTCTGAAATCCCTAACGATTACCAAACTTTCCTTACTGGAGATTTCAATGCTCAATCTAACGATGCAAGTTATCAAACTATTGTTAAATCAATGGATGATTCAAGAGAAATCGCTAACGAGAAATTGTCGCTTTTAGATACCTACACAGGATTCGAACCATCAGATGCTTCATCAATAATCGATTTTATTTGGGTTCCAAAAGGTTCTAATAGTCAAGGTTCCAAAGTTACTGTTCTCAACTATAAAGTTGATGAATCATTAACCCCACAAGGATTTAGATTTAGTGATCATAGACCAGTCGTTTCAAGAATTCAACTCAATTGATTTGGCTGCAAAAAAATTTTCGCATACAGTTTAATGTACGATTTTCTTAAAAAGTCTCTTCTCTTGATAGAGCTTGTTCCGGCGTAACAAGTGGGGTGATTGAGTAACATAAGCGGAAGAATTGATGAATATTTTGAAAAAAAGGTTCAAGAAAACAGGAAATGGTGGGAAATCCTTGGATGTAGAAACTTAATCATCTCCACGTGAAGTCAGAAGTTGCACAGTACTGTGGAATATCACTTTTTACAAACCAAAAATTAACTCTATTGTTGACTCCGTTATGAAGTAAGTGCAAGGTACATAAAACGTTGATGTACAAGCCACTTCATAATCTGCACGTTGTAAAATTGCGTTTTTGGGATTTAAATATTAGATCGATTTTCCTTGTGGAATCACTTTCATCAATGTTTAGTTTTGTACTTTTCTGTTTACTTATACAACTCTCCCAAGCATTGGAGTTTAGAATCATCAGTTTCAATATTAGAGGTAATGCTACCAAAGAACAATTATATCCTCATGAACAATATTGGGCCGATAGGAAAGGAGATCAAATCAAAGCTTTGGCTACTTTAACTAATGATTTACCTTCAGTTTTAGGATTACAAGAAGTACACAAGAACCAATTAGATGATTTAGTTAACGGATTAAGTGCCGAAACCAAAACTCAATGGAAAAGTTTTGGTGTTGCCAGTTATGATGGGAAAGAGAGTGGTGAGATTGATGCAGTTTTATTTAAAGATAGTGAATGGGAATTAATCAATGGAACCACCAAATGGTTGAGTGAAACCCCCGACGTTCCTTCGAAATCATGGGGTACTTTATATGGAAGGACTGTTTCTATTGTTGAATTGAAGAATAGAAATTCAGGTAATCATATCAATTTCTTCACCACTCATTTTGATGATAGAAGTGAAGAAGCCAGACAACATTCAAGTGAATTGATTAATACTTGGGCCAACAACATGAACAATGAATATCCAACTTTTGTTGCTGGAGATTTGAATTCCCAATCTGCTGATAAAGGTTACCAAACTTTAAGTCAAAGTATGTACGATATTCGTCAAACTGCCAGAGAAAAGATTTCAGGGTTAATGACTTACAGTGGATTTGAACCTAATGATGTTCAAACAGTCATTGACTTTGTTTGGAGTTTGAAAACCAACAATGTTGACCTTAAATCTTACGATATTGCTGATAATTGGGGATCTCAAGGTGATAGGTATAGTGATCATAGAGCCGTACTCACTAAAATTATTATTTAATAAAGTTATATAGAACCGTGATTAATTTATATAATATACAAGGAATTGTTAAGCTTAGAAGATCCATCCTAAAATCTTATCATAGAACCAAGCAAAGTTCTTTGGATTACCTTGAGCAGCTCTAAGAGCTTTTTCTTCTTCTTCAGCAGCAGCAAATTCTGCTTCTTCAGCATCAACAACATCTTTATAAGTGGCCATATCAGTTTCAGCAGCATGGATGTGATGAGTTCTGTAAAAGAGTTTGAATCCACCATACATGAGGAAGAAAACTGGTAAAACAATATAACCAGTGATAAAAGTTTTGTAAGTAAAAGGTTTACCTAAGAATACAGTAAAATTCTTAATTAAAACCACAACGGCACAAATAATTAAAGCAATATATGAACCGTAAGGTTGTAAAGGAGATTTATAAGCTAAATCTTTCTTTCTATCAATACCTTGAGCTTTACAAGCAGCCATGAATCTGATATGGATGATTAAAATAGAACACCAAGCTAATAAACCACATAAAGAAACGACATTAACAAAATAACCAAAAACTTCTGAAGCATCATCAGAAACAGTCATATAAGCTAATAAACAGAAAGCAAAGGATAATGTAACACCATAATATGGAACACCCATTCTGTTGGTTTTTGAAAAGAATTTTGGAGCATAACCAGCAATAGCTAAACCATAAATAGTTCTTGAACAAATGTACATATCGGAATTAGCAGCTGATAAAACAAATAACATAATACAAGCATTAATAACATGATCTAAACCACCAATTTTGGCATTTTTAATAGCGATGACGAAAGGAGAAGCTGAAGCAGTACTTCCAGAAGCACCTAATAATAAAGGATCAGAAGGTGAAACACACATACCAAGGAATAAAATAGATAAAATGTAAAACACAACAATACGGTAGAAAGTTAATCTAATAGCTTTTGGAATAGCTTTTCTTGGTCTAGAACATTCAGCAAAAGTAATACCACATAATTCAGTACCTAAATAAGCGAAAACCGCATTAACTAAAACACTAACAAAGGAAACAAATCTACCTAAAGAACCTCCAATAACTAAATCTTTTGAAGCATCTCTATAAATTAAGAAAGCTCCAGGTTTGTGCCAATATCTAAAACCAATTCTATCACCTGATGGACCACCACCTAAAGCAATAATCCATAATAATAAAATTAACCCAAGACAAGTGAAAACTTTTAATAAACTTAACCAAAATTCAATTTCACCAAAGAATCTAACCCCAGCAACATTGATTACTACAATAACAACTAAGAAAATAGTAATCCAAACCCCAGGATTTAATCTTTCAGCAGAAACCCAATATTGAACAGTTAAAGAACCTGCGACCAATTGATTAGCAGGAATAATTAAATATTTGAATAAATAAACATAACCACAAGCAAAACCTAAAGCTGGGTCAACATATCTATTACAGTAACCAGTAAAACCATCAGCTAAAGGAATAAAAGTGGCAATTTCTCCTAAAGCAGTCATTACCATGAAAACCACAAACCCAATAAGGGAATATGAAAGAAGAATGGCCCCAGGACCTGCAGTTCTTAAAGCTGAACCAGTACCAATTAAAAGACCCTACAAATTGTTAGTATTTGACTAATAAAAAATGCTATGAATTTCCCTGTCAGGGTTTTCTCTTGTTTACCCCAAATTTGGTATAGTCATCGCAAGACTTCAGATTATCAAGTTTTACTCAAACCCCCCCAAATTTTTTCAAAGAGATTGATATTTATACATACAGTTCCTAAAGCACCACCTAAGGCAATCATAGAAACATGTCTAGCATGTAAACCCTTTTTCAATTCAGTCCCGGTTAAATTATGATTACTAGGATTAGATCTAGCAATTGATAAATTATAATCTTCAGTATGTCTACTTAAGATTGACTGGGAATCAATGTTCTTTTCTTGATCGTTCATGATGATAAAAAGTCAATATAGAGGATATTATTGGGAAATAAAATCAATTTATATGAATTTTTTTTAAGTAATCGTTATCAAAAATAAGTGGGTTGGGGTTTATGCACGACAATAAGAAAAATCCTGGCTTTTACAAAAAACCCCATTAGGGAAAGAAATATGCAAACAAAAACGCATCGGCTGAAAAAAAATACACAAAAACTCATCAGTTGATGATTGTTATTGGTCAAGATAATATGAAGCATATACGATAGTAAATTGGTCTGAGTAACAATTGTCGACTATCAATAGATATTTAATAGCTAGAAAAACTGGTTTCACTATAAGATGGATTTCTGTCAAGGGTAAATCATACCGTCAAGAAATTATATACAGTTTAGAAGGCATTTTGGAAAATTCTTATCCTTTAGCAATAACAATAAAAATTCTCCACTAATTTGATAAATTATCATCATGAAGATCGTCACGGTCATATCATACACTGATCATTATAGTCAGAAATCACAAAAAAAATTTCGTAATTATGATCTGCTTCATTATAATTGCTGAGTTATTTCATTGCTGGAATTTTGACGTAAGCCTCTTATCAAGCCAAGAATATTGTGCGTGAAGATCTCTTAAGGTTTGATTATTGGTCAGGATTCGTTATCTTTATCAAAGTTTGAATTCAAGTTTCAAATGGAGTATTTCATGGAGGTTAAAAAATATACTCTTGCGGTTGCCTTAATGTTCCAGTTAGCGGATAAAATATGTTGAGCCATAAATTTCCCAAGACAAGGGAAAAATTGCGCGTTTGAGGGAACTGTTGGAGGATGTTTCACACAACCGGGGAAAGTTATTGAATACGATGTTCTATGGGAGATAATTGCAACTTTATTGTCGTGGCAGTTGAATAAAGGATTTTATTGATGAGTTGATTAAATTATAATTCCATGCAGCGAGGCTTTCACATTTTGGGAACTTCTGTACCTTAAAAGTGTTCTTCGGCATGAATTGGGAATATTTTTTAAGGCCGTGAGGCAGGTTTCCACATAAATTAATTTTCCAGATTTCTCTTTAATTGGTGTTCCATGGGGGACCACTTTTGAGTGAGGGGGATGGACTGGTCTGACTGTTTTAAGTCATCCAAGTTCTGCTGTCCAAGTTCATTCGAACTCTCTGTCATTTTGATGCAAACACAAGAGAAAATATAATCTTAGATATCTATTTTATATACAAATAATCTACATAACACCCTAACCAAAACAAACATCGTATGTTTTATAATAAATTCTCCAGAAGATTCCTGATTTTCTAGGAGCTGCAGCATATTCTGCAAGAGCAATAGCTTCCTCATCATCGATTTGTTGTTTACCAGTGAGAAGATCAGCTTCTAAATCAGTTCTAAAACTAGTCTTTTTGAAGAATTTCCAGAATACGAATAAACAAACAGTGAAAACTGGAGCAAAATATGAAGTGAATAAATCAGCAACACTAAAGTTACCTGGGAAGAAAATCCAGAATCCATTGAAGAATAAAATGATGGCAATTAAGAAACATGAAAAGTAAGTCATGTATGGATGAACAAAGAAACTTGGTCTGAAATAAGAATCAGTTTCTTCACTGAAACCTTGAGCTTTGAAAGCAGCTTTAAATTTGAAGTAACACCACCACATACAAAGATAAGTAACTAAAATACCAGTAGTACTTAAATTAACTAACCAGTTGAAAACAACCCCAGTTGAGTTATTAACACTTAAGAATGCAATACAAGCAATAAGGATAGATCCAACAACAGAATAAATTGGACAACCATTTCTTAAACATTTGGAAAAGAATCTTGGTAAATAACCAGCTAATGAAGCAGCATAAGCAGTTCTAGTGGCTCCATACATGAAACCATTACCACAAGACCAAGCAGATAAGGCAATAACAACATTAACTAAAGAATCTAAACCATGAACACCAACATTATTGATACCAATAACCCAAGGAGAAGCAGCAGCACCAACAGCACCACCAGATTTAGCAGCTAATAAACCTGGATCATTAGAAGCACATAATGAAGCCATAAAGAATAAACCACCTAAGTAGAAAATATAGATTCTAATATAAGCTCTTCTACCAGCCATTGGAATAACAGTTCTTGGTCTTGAAACTTCACCAGCAATCATACCTAATAAATCTGGACCACCACAACTGAAAGCAGCGTAAACCATAACTTTCCAGAAACCTAAGAATCTACCAGTAGTTCCAGGAACTAAATATTCTTTAACTAAACCACCTTTTGGCCAGTTTTCAAATCCATAAGCATCACCTTTTGGATTACCACCACACATTGAAATTAATGAAAAGAACATTAACCCAACAATTAATAAAACTTTGGTAATAGATGCAAAAAATTCGATTTCTCCATACCAATTAACCCCAAAAACATTGAAGAATAATGTACATACTAAGGCAACAGCAATGAAAACCCCAGGATTCACATCAGTCCAAAATGCAACCACCCCAGCAAATGCAGTAGCTTCTAAAGCAACGAACATAAGGGAAGTATATAAATAAATCATAGTACAAGTAAAACCTAAAGCTGGATCAACCCATCTTGCACTATAATGTAAGAAACTACCTTTAATAGGTAAAAATGAACACATTTCTGCAACACCTTGCATTAATGGCCAAATAACGAAAACTGAATAAAATACAAACCCAATAAATAATGATAAAGAACCTGATGTAACCATAGGTGTTGATAACCCAATAAATAACCCAGAACCAATAGATTGTCCAATAATCATTAATCCCACATGTCTTGATGATAACTTTCTTTGAGTCTCTCCATATTTTTCAGCATCAAATTTATCATTAAAATCTTTAAATTTGGTAGTTAATTCATTATCAGATACTTTTGATGAATCTTCACCAATATATTTTTCAACATCCACTTGGATGTTTTCTGATTTAGAATCCATTAATGTTTAAACAAACAATAAGAAAGATTAGGCTTCAATTATATACTTTTCAGTCATCTTTAGGTCGTGTATGCGCAGAAGATTACGATAAAAAAAAATTACCTGAATCGGCCCAAAATTCCATGTTATCAGGATGCTTAGTTTAAAAAATTTTCTTTTATCGATGCTATCGATGAATATGTACGGAACCTTATCAGGGAAGTGAATTCCATTATAATTATTAGAGATATGTTAATATTATTTGATTTAACTAGGTTAATATTCACTATTAAGATGTTAGCGGATAACGAAAACGATTTCTGGGTAAAGTTGAATTGTTTTCCCTGGATCTGTATCTTTCTCCAATGAGAAATGCGCTTTTACCCAATCGAGAGTTATCAGCCTGCGATTAGGCTGATGATTAGGGCCAATGGAATATTTGATGAAAAAGGAAATTCCAATCTGTCAACCGCTATGGCAAATCCATCATTTTAAATGGGGGAGATCGAAAGAAAATTTTTTTATCAAGGCGCAATTGGTAAGTATCCGGTAATTCGAATTGGAACAACCGTTGGATTGATTGGTTGATTAAGGGCCATTGCAGAATACAAGAAAAACTTAATCTCGTGCATTACGGAATTTTTAGAGATAACAGATTTGATAAACGATTAGGATTTTAAGGTTAAGTTCCATTCGACACTGATTTAGGGAATCAAATTATGGGTAAGGAAGAGATAGTCAGTACTGCAGTTCATGAGATTCATGAGACTGGATTAGAGAAGAGATTTAATATTTGGTCAACTACGGCCATGCAATGTACTCTTATTTGTTCACCTTTAGCTATTGGAACATTTTTAAGTACAACTCTGGGATTAGGAGGCTCACCATTCTTAGTTTGGGGCTTTTTAGTTGCAGTTTCATTTCAATTGTTCATCTGCTTTAGTTTAGCCGAATTAGCGAGTGCATATCCTCATTCATCAGCTCAAATTCATTGGACTTATGTATTAGCACCCAACAAATTCAAGAAAGTTTCAAGTTATGTAGTTGGTATTTTGAGTTTAGGTGGTTGGATATTTGCTTGTTTTGCTTCAACTTTTGTAGCTACAAGTTTTGTTTTCTCTTTAGTTTCTTTATATCATCCCGAATTTGTTTATGAAACTTATCAATTTTATTTGGTTTATGCTGCTATTGTTGTAGTTGGATTTTTCATTAATTCTTTTAGTATTAAAGTATTACCTTTACTTACTAACTCTTTGGTGGTAGTAATTAATACTGGTACTTTATTCATTTTGATTGCTTTATTGGTTAAAACTAATCCTAAACAATCAGCTTCTTTTGTATTTAAAAACATTATTAATGATACTGATTGGAGTAATGGAGTAGTCTTTTTCCTTGGATTATTACCATCAATTGCATCAGTTTGCTTATTTGATGGTGCTTGTCATATGACAGATGAAATCGAACAACCTGAAAGAAACATTCCTTTAGTCATGATCATGGCTAATTGTGTTTCAGCAGTGTTAGCATTTTTCAGTGCTTTAATTTATATGTTCTGTGTGGTTAATATTTCTTCATTAACTGATCCTTTTGCTGGTCAACCAATTGTTCAATTAATGCTTGATTCATTCCAATCAGAAGCTTTAACCACCATAGGTGTTGTAGTATTGATTATTACTTTTTGGGGTTCAACCATGTTATATTATACTTCAACTTCAAGATTAGTTTGGTCTTTTGCCATGTCTAATGGTTTACCATTTGGAAATTTCTTTGGTAAAATCAATCCTTCATTGAAGGTTCCCTTCAATTCTATTATGTTAGTTTCAGTGGTTTGTTTAATTTTAGGTACTTTGATTTTTGGTAATTCAAGTGCTTTGAATGCGGTTTTAGGGTCTGCTATGATTTGTATCAATTTATCATATATTTTACCTATTTTGTTCAATTTATACAATTCAAAATTCTCCTTCAGTCCTTTCAGAAGATATTCAATTGAAAATAATACATCAATTGCACCAATTTTAAATGAACAAACTAACTTACCTTATTTCCATTTAGGAAAATTTGGGATTATTTTGAATATTTGTTCAGTTTTCTGGGCTTGTTTTATAACTGTGTGGTTATGCTTTCCATCATTAAAAGCAGTTACAAGTACTGACATGAATTATGCATGTGTGGTTTTATCAGTTACAGGTTTAATTGGAGTAATTTTCTGGTTTACTACTGCCAGAAGATTATATAATCATGACATGGATTTAAAACATGTATAGGTGAATATAATTATTGTGTTGTAGAGGTATTATGTATCTAATTATTGCGCTGTAGAGTTATTATGTATCTAACTGGAGATGTGGAGATTTCGCCGATAAACCATTGAAAAACGACATAAGGAGCGAATCACGTGACGACTCCACATTTCGGAGTTTTTTTTCTAAAATAAACTTTTAGGAGATTAGCGATTGCTCCACCCCCATACAGAAATGGGGTGACAAGATCGTTTATCGTCTTTTCTAGTCATTAAAAAGCCTATATGAAAAAGCCTTCGAATGAGTTTACAGAGATAGATAATGCCTATGAGATAAGATAAACGCATTAACATAAATAAATAAATAAATAAATAGGTAAATAAATAATTAACATCTAATCTATTTTTGTTTTTTGACTTCAAGATCAGGTAATGGTAAAGCTTTAACTACGAGGTAAGAGTTTTGACTATTAGCGATACCAGCATAAGCATTATACCAAGCAGCAAAAGCAGTAATTAATCCAAACACTCCACCGGCTTTTTTGACCGCAGTTGACCCAGCAAACTCCGAGATTGCCAATAATAGGAAAGTAATTTGTAAAAAGAAGAAGATTGAAAAGAATGCAACGGTAGATTTCAAGGTTAATAACATTAAGAAAAATGTAAAAATGAACCAACCCAATAAAAATATACCTACAGCATTTGCAAATTCTTTTGGATCTTCATAAGCTGAAGCAATACCAAAACTTTCAACATATAAAGAAGCCCAAGCACACCAAAAACCACCATATGAAGATAAACCGACACCCCCAAAAGTATTACCAACAGCAATTTCAAACATTCCTGCAATTAATTGAATAGCTCCACCATAAAAGAAAGCTAAACCAACAACAATATTTGGAATAGTAACCCCTCTAGCTTCAACATTAATTAAACTCAAAACAAATGTAGTTAAAGCGAAAGCACTCAAACCTAAAGGACCAGGATTAGCTAAATCATTTTTTGGTGGTGGGGATAAACCAGGATTAAATGAACCACCAAAAGCTTCAACTAATTCAGTTCTAAGATATTTTTCATGACCGAAATGAATGTAATCACCTTCAGTTTTAACTCTAGTAATATTACCACTATTCATAGTGGCAGGTCCTTTATCATTGATGATTAAGGTTTCTTCATGTGGTTGTTGATTTTCTAAATCGGCTGACATCTTAACTATAGGATAAATGTTCTAGTTGAAAAAGATAGGACGGAACGCAATATTTATATATGCAGAGCCCCACAGAAATGTTGAAAAAAATTTTGGGTCGGAGTTGATAAAATGCGAAGACATGACACCACTCATTTTTGTGGGGTCTCCTTTAATCCTTTTGTTTGAATAATAGAGGAATTGTTAGACATTTGGTGTTAAGAATTTTATACTATCACCACTTTTAACACCACAAAGTGGTGATTAACTTTTTGTTGGTGATTATTTTAGATATATTTGTAAAGTCTATTTAATCGCATAAAACGAGTTCGGTCAAGTATTTAACCATTCACAGAAAAGTCACGTCACTTTTCCGTGTGGTAGAAACTCTGTCAACTTATTGGTTTTTCGTTTTATAAGTACAATTGATTTATGTCAATTAAATTAACCTGGTGGGATGAATTTCAAACTCCGAGTTTTAGGTTCGTTGATAAAAAATATTAGGGATCCCAAAACGATTTACGAGAAAGTCTCACACGGGTAAAAATTTTAGGGACATTACAACCGAGATGTCCTAAGATAAGAAGAGAAGGTTTCGGTAAGTATGTAAGGACTGTTGGTAGCTCTTGAGTTTTTCTAGGGTATGACTGAATGTAATAGGGTAGACCATAATATCTTATCCAATAAAGTATGGGGTATAGATTGAAAGTTTTTTTTGTACCGGGACTTAATTACGTAAGCATATGCTAAACATAAATGTCCTATTTTTTCAAAAAAACAACTATCAAGAGAATTCACTTGTTTTATTTCCTTGTAATACTTCCATTCATTTCACTCAATTCACATTGTCTTCTCTGACCTCATCAGAAGAAATTTCAATTGTTCGAAAATTTCTCAATTGGGATCATTTGTAAACATTTCTCGTTTTGCATCAGTTTAAATACCAATTAAATCCTATTTCAGGAAAGGTAATTAAAATGGATGAACTTTCTTATAGTATGGAGAACGTATCTTTGATGGATATTGACTCATTAAATAAAGAAAACATCACTCCTGGTAATTCTCCTAAAAGAAACAGATTCAACAATATTAAAATACTGTCAAAGACTCAAAGATTAAGTAATGTTTGTCAATTATATTTCCTTGATTATTATTGTGACAAATTTGATTATATTATCAATAGAAGAGAAAGAAGTGATTTAGTTAAGAATAAGATCGATGATTTACCAATTCAACAACAAAGAATGGAATGGAAAAACTATATTAGTAGAGAAAGAGCATATTTAAGAAAGAAAAGATTGAAACCTAAACATAAGGATTTTGAAATGATCACTCAAGTTGGTCAAGGTGGTTATGGACAAGTTTTCTTAGCTAGAAAGAAAGATACTAAAGAGATTTGTGCTTTAAAGATTTTAAATAAGAACTTATTGATTAAATTGAATGAAACTAAACATGTATTAACTGAAAGAGATATTTTAACAAACACCAGATCTGATTGGTTAGTTAAATTATTATATGCTTTCCAAGATAGCGAAAAAGTGTTCTTAGCTATGGAATTCGTTCCTGGTGGAGATTTCAGGACTTTATTAAATAATACTAATTATTTAATTCCTCCTCATTCAAGATTTTATATAAGTGAAATGTTTATGGCAGTTAATTCTTTACATGAATTGGGATATATTCATAGAGATTTAAAGCCAGAGAACTTCTTAATCGATTCAAAAGGTCATATTAAATTAACTGATTTTGGTTTAGCTTCAGGATCAATTTCTAATGAAAGAATTGAAAGTATGAAATTGAAATTGAAAAATTTCAATGGCAATTCAACTTTCAATAAATTCGAATTACCTTCAATTAATATCAACGAAAGACAGAAAATATTCAGAAATTATCAAAATTCCAATTCCAATTTTGCTAATTCTATTGTTGGATCACCTGATTATATGGCATTAGATGTGTTAGAAGGGTCAAATTATGATTTTACTATTGATTATTGGTCATTAGGATGTATATTATTTGAAAGTCTTTGTGGATATCCACCATTTTCAGGATCTAAACAAGAAGAAACTTATTATAATTTGAAAAATTGGGAAAAGACTTTAAGAAGACCTCAAACTAAAGACGGAAGATTCGTTTTCAGTGATAGAACTTGGGAATTAATCAAAAGATTAATAACACATCCAAACTTAAGATTCAAAAACTTTAATCAAATCAAAAAGATGCTGTATTTCAATGATATTCAAAGTTGGGACAATTTGAGAAACAAAAATCCTCCATTTACTCCTCAATTAGATAATGAAGAAGACGCGGGATACTTTGATGATTTCGAAGATGAAGAATCCATGATGAAGTACAAAGATGTTTTCGAAAGACAAAATTATAATGAAAAATTGATGATGAACTCTAAGAATTTCAAAAATTCAAATTTTATCGGATTTACATTTAAACATAAATTAAATCCAAATAACAAATTCAATGATTTGAATATAAATATCAGTGGTAATCCATTGTCAACGTTGTATTGAGGTATGTACAGAAATATATGGGGTTTTACGATCTTTTCTATTGTGAGATTAGGAAATTTTTGAGTCAAAGATCACTTGACTTCCGTCACTTGAAAGTCTCGTGATTTAAGGGTCCAAGTTGCTATGGAAGTCCGATTGGTTTTGGTTATTCACTTACCAATTTCACTCACCAATTTCACTCACCAATTTCACTCGCCAATTTCACTCATAAAATCCATTTGTCTCTCAAGTTCCATGAACCTCACTATTATCACTCATTTATTTTGCAGCCATTTACAACTTTATACTTTCAACACATTGTTGCTATATTTCGTTCATGAGACTTTGTGAATGATGCTCGTGATAACTTCAGAACTAAAGGTTTCCAACCCCTACGTTACAAAGTAAAGTCACTCCTATTTCCATGGGTTATTCCATGAAACTGTTAGTGAGACTTATCTCGCTTAGAGGAAAAAAAATATTTTTGGAGATTATCTTTCAGACCAATTAATGTCTCACAATTGTCTCACTAACTGCAGCATACGGGGGTATGTTTGACACATGGACGAAGATACGAATTTGGAAGTATCGGAGATGGTAGAGATTGTTGAACAGTAGAAAGAAGGTGATTGGGTTGAATATCTGAAATCAGAACTGAAGTCAGAGCTGAACTCAAAACTGTGTGTGAGCCTTCTCAATTTCTGGTACTTAGGTATATATTATTCTATTTGTTTGAAGATCAACATACCATGTCTCATCATCTATCATACATTCTGATTCCCTACAAAATCATCAAGCTAACTCTTTAGTTACTTAATTCTTCCATACAAAATCATTATCGATCTTTATATCTATTAATCTTTTAAATTCACTGAAAATTCCAACTGCACTATTGAAATTGTAATCAATGACATCTAATAATTCCTTTTCACTGAATTTGCCCTTTGAATCAATGAATATTATCTTATTAGGTTGATTATCTTTGATAGATAACACAATAATATGATTTGAACCACATTCGATTAAATCTTCCAAAGATGGATTCAACTTTATTTGCTTGTTCACTATACATGAATGGATGGAAATGAAGGATTCATATAATGCAATGTTAGCATCTATCAATGCAAAATAACAACAATTTAAGATAGTTGATAATTCAAAGTTGAAAATTTTTAAATCTTTAGGAGAATTTTCAAAGTTATTTATAATGATGGAATCCAACTCTGAACGGATGATTTGAATGTTTATGGATATTAATTGTCTGGGATATTTATATTTGATGATTAATGATGACAAGATACTTCTTATTTTATCAACTAATAAATTTTCTCTGGTGGTACTTAATCCTTGAGATGGATGTAAATTAATCTCCAAACTGCAAACGTTTGGTAATTCTTGTTTTGGTTTTGGTTCTATTGGTCCATTAATAGATACTATGACTTTACTGTTACCTGATTGTAACTCAGCAGACCCATCAAAATTGGATAATGTTGATGTCTTAAGATGCATTGAGATGAGAAAGTTGCGAAAATATGAATTATCAAGATGACTTACTAAATGATTTTGCCAGTGATGATGAGTCTGAAAATGAAGTTGATGACGTAGAAGTGGGAGAAGTAGTTATTGAAGAAGCAGAAGAGTTTATTAAAAATGAACAATCATTGGAAGATGAAATTCAATCAATTGTTAATAGTTCCATTTCCATACAAGACCATTTACAACAATTAGATATTGATAAAGTAAGTGATATTTCCAAACATTTGAAGATTTTTAACATCATTCCTCAATTAAAACAAAGATTAAGTACGTTTGATGAAGAAACTTCGGATTTTCTTAAACTTATTTCCAATTCTGATTATGATAATGATGAATTCATCTTCTTTCAAACAGCTAATCAATTAATTAACATTATTGATCAAGAAATCGAATGTTTATTCAAATTCATACGATTTAAATATTCTGTTGTATTCCCTGAATTGGATTCCATCATTAATAATCCCATTGATTACATAAAAATCATTCAAATTATAAAACAAGATTTAATCAATATCAAACATTATGAGGACCAATTCCATTTTTTGAATAAAGATAAGATTTTGGTTCTTATAATGAGTGGATTACAAAATGTCAAAAAACAGTTTGTTCTTAATGATGAAGATTTCAATCAAATCTTAGTAAATTGTGGAAAAGTTAATGAATTGATAGAGATATCGGATATTTTAAGTAAATTCATACAAAGAAAATTAGCTGATTTAACTCCTAATTTGAATAAATTGATTGGCCCTATTACTACAAGTCAATTATTAATATCATGTGGATCATTAAATCAATTATGTCTCACCCCATCATGTAATTTACCATCTTTAGGTATCAAACAATTATCATCCAAATCTAAGAATTTGACCTCCAAAAACATTCAAATGGGTTACATATTTGATAATGACATGATCAAATATTTACCTGATAATATTCTCAAGTCCAGTATTAGAATACTCAGTGGTAAGATCATCCTCGCTGCTAGAATTGATTTATCCAAGAGTTGTAATGATGGCTCTATCGGAGAGAAATTTAAGATTGAAGTTCAAGAGAAAATTAATAAATTATTAACCCCTCCGGAATCTAAAGGAGATAAGGCATTAGCGATCCCATCGGAATATAAATCTAAGAAAAGAGGAGGGAGAAAGATAAGAAAGTTGAAACAAAAGTTCCAGCTCTCAGAACTCGCCAAAGCTCAGAATAAAGTTGAATTCGGTAAACGAGAAGACTCAGTTATTAATCAATTCGGTGAAGAAGTTGGTTTTGGTATCATTAAGAATTCATCATTAAAGAAATTCAATATTAATACCAATACTAATGCTAAATTATCAAAAGCTTTGAAATCCAGATTGGAAAATAATGATAATGAAAAGTCTAAACATTTAGATTCTTTTGAAATCGAAACCAAACCCAAATCTCAAAGTATAGACGATGAATTTGGGGATATTATCTTGAAGAAATCTAAATGGGTTAATGACACAATGAAGAAATGACTCACATTATAATGTATACAATTATACGGATAAAGGTTTATCTTAAACTGCGACAAGCTGGCTGCTAAAAACGTAATCTCTCTCGACCAAAAACTGCGACAGTTTATCACAAATTATCAGTACGGCTCCTCTCACAAATGGGGTGCGACTGACTCACAAAGTGAAAAAATTTTTCAAGGATATATGATAATAAATTTCTCCAGAAATTTAAAGAATTTATTACATAGAACTCCTAGAAATTATTATTATCAAATCTCTCGAATAAATTATAAACAATTATCCATGAGTGCTGAACAAAAGGTTGAAAAACCTATTGAAGGTGAAGTAAAGAAAGAGAAAACAGCTAAAGAATTAGAAAAGGAACGTAAGAAAGCTGAAAAATTAGCTAAATTTAATGCTAAGAAGGCCAAACAAGCAGAAACTGTTAAAGTTGAAAAGAAACCTAAGAAGGAAAAGAAACCAGTTGAAGCTGTTCCTGAATTCGTTGATAAAACCGTTCCTGGAGAAAAGAAAATCTTAGTATCATTAGATGATCCAGCTTTCAAAGCTTATAATCCAAAGAATGTTGAAAGTTCATGGTATGAATGGTGGGTTAAACAAGGACTTTTCGAACCAGAATTTACTGAAGAAGGTAAACCAAAACCTGAAGGAATTTTCACCATTCCTGCTCCACCTCCAAATGTTACTGGTGCTTTACATATAGGGCATGCTTTAACTGTTGCTTTACAAGATGCTTTAATAAGATTCTATAGAATGAAAGGTAAGACTGTTTTATACGTTCCAGGGTTCGATCATGCTGGTATTGCTACTCAAGCAGTTGTTGAAAAACAAATTTGGGCTCAAGAAAAGAAAACTAGACACGATTTTACCAGAGAAGATTTCGTTGCTAAAGTTTGGGAATGGAAAGAAGAATATCACAATAAGATTAAAAATCAATTCAAGAAATTAGGTGCTTCATATGATTGGAACAGAGAAGCTTTCACTTTAAGTCCAGAATTAACTGAAGCTGTTGTTGAAGCTTTCGTTACCATGCATGATGATGGTACTATTTATAGAGATGATAGATTAGTCAATTGGTCAGTTAAATTGAATACTGCCATTTCTAACTTAGAAGTCGATAATAAAGATATTGCTGGTAGAACCTTATTATCAGTACCAAATTATGAATCTAAAATTGAATTTGGGGTTTTAACTCATTTTGCTTATCAAGTTGAAAATTCTGATGAAAAGATTGTTGTTGCTACTACCAGACCTGAAACTATCTTTGGTGATACTGCGGTTGCTGTTCATCCAAATGATGAACGTTATAAACATTTACATGGTAAATATGTTATCCATCCATTTGTTGATAGAAAAATCCCAATTATTACTGATTCAGAAACTGTTGAAATGGAGTTTGGTACTGGTGCTGTTAAAATCACTCCAGCTCATGATCAAAATGATTATGCTACCGGTAAAAGAAACAACTTAGAATTCATAAATATTTACACTGATGATGGTTTATTAAACGAAAATTGTGGTAAAGAATGGGAAGGTGTTAAGAGATTCGATGCTAGATATAAAGTTATTGAAGCTTTGAAACAAAAAGATTTATTTGTTGCTCAAGAAGATAATCCAATGACAATTCCTGTTTGTTCTAGATCAGGAGATATCATTGAACCATTATTGAAACCTCAATGGTGGGTTAGTCAAAAACAAATGGCTGAAGATGCTATTAAAGCTGTTAAATCAGGAGAATTAAAAGTCACTCCAGCTGTTAGTGAAGCTGATTATTTTAGATGGTTAGAAAATATTCAAGATTGGTGTATTTCAAGACAATTATGGTGGGGTCATAGATGTCCAGTTTATTTCGTTAATTTTGAAAATGAAGATAACGATAGAAGTGATAATAAATATTGGATTGCTGGTAGAACTTATGAAGAAGCTTTAGAAAAAGCTCAAAAGAAATTCGGTACTGAAAAATCTTTTGTTCTTGAACAAGATGAAGATGTCTTGGATACTTGGTTCTCATCAGGTTTATGGCCATTCTCAATTTTGGGTTGGCCAAAAAATACTGAAGATATGAAAAATTTCTATCCAATGTCATTATTAGAAACTGGTTGGGATATTTTATTCTTCTGGGTTACTAGAATGGTTTTATTAGGTATAAAATTAACTGGTAAATCACCATTTTCTGAAGTTTTCTGTCATTCATTAGTTAGAGATTCTCAAGGTAGAAAAATGTCTAAATCTTTAGGTAATGTGGTTGATCCAATTGATGTTATTAATGGTATCCCATTACAACAATTACATGATAAATTGAAAGTCGGTAATTTAGATCCAAAAGAAATTAAAAAAGCTGAAGATGGTCAAAAATTATCATATCCAAATGGTATTCCAGAATGTGGTACTGATGCTTTAAGATTTGCTTTATGTGCTTATACTACTGGTGGTAGAGATATTAATTTAGATATCTTAAGAGTTGAAGGTTACAGAAAATTCTGTAACAAGATGTATCAAGCCACTAAATTCGTTTTAGGTAGATTAGGTGATGATTATCAACCTCCAGCTACTGGTGATTTAACTGGTAAAGAATCATTAGTTGAAAAATGGATTTTACATAAATTAACCAAAACCAATGAAATTGTTAATAAAAGTTTCGATGAAAGAAATTTCTTTGATGCTACCACTGCTATTTATAATTTCTGGTATGATTTATGTGATGTTTATATTGAAAATTCCAAATCTTTGATTCAAGATGGTACCGAAGAACAAAAGAAATCTGCTCAAGATACCTTGTATACTTGTATTGATGGAGCTTTAAGATTAATTCATCCATTTATGCCATTTATTTCTGAAGAAATGTTCCAAAGATTACCAAGAAGATCAACTGAAACCGATATCATCTCAATTTCTAAAGCTCCATATCCTGTTTATAACAAACAATTTGATGATGTTAAATCATTAGAAGCTTATGAATTAGTTATTGAAATTACTAAAGGTGCTAGATCTGTTTTATCACAATATAATATCATCAAGAATGGTCAAATCTTTATTGAAGCTAATACTGAAGAATTCTATCAAATTGCTGAATCACAAAAATTATCAATTGCTTCATTAATTAAAGGTGTTGAATCAGTTACCGCTGTTAATAATGTTAAAGACATTCCTTCAGGTTGTGCTTTACAATCAATTAATCCTGATTGTTCAGTTCATGTTTTAGTTAAAGGACAAATTGATATTGATGCTGAAATTACTAAGGTTAATAAGAAATTATCCTCAGCTAAAGAATTCACTAAAAAGACTGATGAATCAATTAGTAAATTCACTGAAAAGACCAAACCTGAAGCAAAAGAAGCTGCTTATAAAAGAAAAGAAAACTTAGTTGCTGAAATTGAAGGATATGAACAAACCATTGCCATTTTAGAAAAATTAAAATTGTAGATTTTAATATAATGTCACAAGACTCTTTAGTTTGATCTCTTATCGGAATATTACATGTTGTACAGGGTTACATGTCCTAAACGGATATAGAAGAAATTGATTGGTTCCCATAGCAAGGCTTAAACTTTCTTAATGAAGTAATTGTTGTCAGGATGATTCGTTTCCTGTTTAAGGATTTAGGGGGTAAAATTAGGTGTCCTCTTGCAGAACCATTGGAAAGCTCTTTTCCTTTCTTACTGTGATTGATTTATAATTTCATATTAATTATAATCTGTCAAATATGACGTCAGGTTACTCACTTAATCCTTCTCATCTGACATAAGCCAGCTAGTAACTTTAAAAAGTGATTTTCATCCAGTGGGTAAACGAAAACCCGCGACATTCCGGCGTAGTGAAATTTCATTGTATTCTTTTTTGGTGTCTAATTGTTCCATAACGAGGTTTATGGTTACGTAATAAATTTCATAGAATGTCGATAATTTAGTATAAATTGATAGTTTCATCCCCTAAATTCAATATTTCAATTAAATTAAACATGGATTTCATTAACAAAGGAAAAGAATTTTTATCATCAGAAAAAGGTAAAGAATTTACCGAAGATGCCAAAGAAGGTTACGCTACCTTCAACAAAACCGAAGGTACTACCATGGATAAAGCTAAAGCTGCTTACGAAGGATACCAAAAGGATCAAAAAGAAGATAAAGAAAAGAAAGAAGAAAAGAAATAGTTAATATACTAACTTAGAATGTGTTTCTCTGATCCTCTCAATTGTGGTGTTATCATTTCAATACTCAATTGTTCTAAAACTCAATTATTCTTTCACTTGGTGGGGGCAATTGTCCAATTGGTCTATAAGTCAATTGGTCTTTATCATCATCACCTCCACTTTTCTGTGGGATCTGTGAGATTCGCAAAACGCGTATGGAAGATATCAAACCTCATCCATATCTATCGAGAGATAGTTTAATCCACATATCTAAAGTTCACAATGCTGTAGATTCAGTACTTTCATTACATTACTCGAGTCGTCAAAGTCTTATTACTGCCCATGAACTATTCTCCCAAGTTGCAAATTTACTACAAAGAAGAACCAAGATCGAGCATTTTATGTGTGTACTAATGGTAGATGAGTATGCTTATAAATTGATAGAACCAACAGGTGTCAAGGATTATTCCCCATGTTATGTGGCGTTATTCAAACCAGTACTGGAATTCAATTCGGAATTGGAGTCGAGAAAGTCTCAGTTCGTCAAGGATTTGAATAAATGGATTGATAGTCATCAACATATCGGTTATTTCAATATTCGACCAGCAGCTGAAATTATAGAGTTACATAGGGCTGCGGTACCTAGGCAGGTGGCACCTAATCAGATCGGACCCAGCCAGTCCTTAGATAATCACACCGAATCCACTCAAAGCTCACCCCCCTCCAAATCTCCATCACCTCGTCGATCACCTTCCAAAATATCCAAATCCTTAAAGAATGATGCATCAAAATTCGCTTTCAAAGTTAAAGATGAAAATGTCGAATCGTCAAAGTCCGGTCTCTCCTTACTTGAAAGAATCAAACTCAAAGAAAAGCTCAATAATGAAAAGAATCTTCTACAGACTCCAGAAATGAGAAGAGATCAATTCCTTGCATCCAAATTAAAGCCAATTTACAATATTCTTTATCAAATGAATTCTGAAACCAAACCATCACAATTCAAAAGTTTCCCCTTGTCCATAGTTAAAGCTACCATCAAAGATAGCTTAGATTATCCTATTCATGAAGACGAAATTCATGATTGTTTGAAATTAATGTCTAGAAAGCTTCCTAAAGTAGAAATTGTCACCAGAAGTAATTTGTCAGTCGTCAAACTTTATCATTTTGATCGAACAGAGGATTTAAAAGTTTTATAAATATCTATTAACAAACGAATCTATTCTTCATCATCGTCTCTTTCAGCGATATCAGCAGCACTTGAGTTCATGAATAATGATTTTAATACCACTTCAATTAACCAAGTAACACTTAAATCTAAAAGAATGGCACCAGTTAATTTGATCTTGAAATCAGTAGTCATTGGAACAAATTGCATAGCTTCATTTAATTCAGGCATGAATTCAGTTGATCCAGCTAAAGCTAAACCAGCAACCCCTAATAATCCATAGTACATACCTTTATTTTGAGTAATACCTTCTTTAAATGGTAAACCAATATAATTAACAGCAAAAGTAGAAACTTGTTGAGCTAATTGTAATAAGAACATACCAGTGTTTAATAAAGAAGGAACGAATTGTTTTTCTAAATCAACTTTTGGTTCTCTTGGTTCTAAGATATAGATTTCTCTAGTGATATAAATCAAAGTAATAATATGAATAGCAAATTGACCTAAAATTGAACCCATGATATATTTGTTGAAAATACCATCTTGAGGTCTTTGTTTAGATAATTTATCTAAAGGTTTACCTCTTGAAATTGAAAGGAAACAAACAGATAATAAAATCCCACTAACAGTTGCTTGACCATCACCAAATTTAATACCAGCCAAATATAATACTGATAATGAATAAGCTGAAATTAAACAATTTAATGCTAAAATCTTGTACATTTGAATGGTAGCAACTAAAGCACAACGACCTTGACGAATAATATGAGTAACAGTTGAAACATTAGCTAATTTAGAAGTGAAAGGAGCAGCAACTGAAGCATCACCTAATTTCAATGCTGGAGCTTCATCATCTTCTTCAGCATCATTAAGAGCTGATAAGAAAGCATCACCCAAACCACTAGCTTTTTTATTATTTTCTGAAGGAGCAATAGTAATATGTTTACCTAATCTATTAGCTTCTTCAACAGCAGCTTTCATTTCAGGAGTAATTTCAATACCTTTCTTTTCCATAGCTTCTAAATATCTTGGATTTGAAGGACCTGGAGGATATAAATGAGCAATAATCAAAGGAGCTGGAGGTGGAGGTTTATTCCAATTAGCTAATAAAGCAACTTGTTTTTCATAAACCTTTTTGGTGGCTTCAAGTTTTCTATTATCAGCAATTTTCTTCATACCTTCTTCAGTACCATTTAATAAAGCAACTCCAATATGAGCTTGTTTTAAAGCTCCAACATCATTGGTACCATCTCCACACATTAAAGTACTATAACCACATTCTTTTAAGGAATTTAAAACAAATTCTTTTTGGGAAGGAGAAACTCTGGCATAAACCCAAGTTTTCTTGATTAAATCGATAATTTGTTCATGTTGTTGTAAATAATTCATAGCATAACCAGTAATACAAATATCATGGTTTTCAACAATTGAGAAATCAAGAGGTTTATCACTACTAATTGAAATAACTTTGGTTTCATCGACATTTCTCCAAACTAAATTATCATCAGATTTCAAATCATGATGATCTTCTGGAGCATCTAAGATTAAAGTTTCTTTAGTAGTAATTTTAACTTCTTTAGCAACATGACAAGCAGTTAAAGGATTATCACCAGTAATCATAACACAACGATGAGATGATTCATTTAACATTTTAATAGTTTCAATGGCATCATTTTTTAAAGGACAATGGAAAACAATGAATCCAGCAAATGATAATTTACTTTCAACATCTTCACGGGAAATCTTGGTGACATTAACACCAGTATCTAAATATTTATAACCTAAAGCTAAAACTCTTGAACCACTTCTAGTGAAAGATTTATAAATATCTTCATAATTTGAAGGTAATTCATCAATCATTGATCTTAAAGTTTCTGGTGCCCCTTTAACACTGATCAAATTTTTGTTTAAAGTATTAACAGAACTAATTGATGATGATCTTTTTAAAGCAGAAGAGAATTGGAAACGTCTTAAAATCTTAATTTTTTCTGATTTTCCATTAGGTTTTTGTCTTTCAACAGTATCTTTATCACCAACAACCCATTTAGCAGCTTTTAAAGTAGCTTGTTCCATAGAATCACCAACAACTTCACCATCATCTAATTTAACTAAAGCATGAGCAGAACCTAAAACTAAAGAAGTGGTTTCTGGAGCTTCATCACAACTATATAAATGATGAATATCATCAGAATTAAAACCAGCTAAACCTTCAAAAACTAAATCTTCAGCAGTTAAAGTACCAGTTTTATCAAAACAACAAACATCGATTCTACCAGCTAATGGGATTCTAAAAGGTTCAGTACAATAAACGTAGAATTTTTGTAATGCAGATAATGAACTATTAATAGCCATAGTTAATTCCATTGGTAATTCTGGTGGAACAACTGAAGTAATAACAATAACACAATCTAAAATCAATTTACTTTGAATTCTACCCATTCTAGTACCTTCAACCCAAACATACCAAGAAGCAGCAATAGCGAAAACTAATAAGAATAAGATAAAGAAGAAAGCTTCTTTATTACCATTATCAATTCTTTCACTTGAATAAATCATAGTTCTAACTAAAGATCCTTGAGTTGTTTCAAACCCGGTTTTAAGAACATAAGCCAAAGCACCTTTATCAGGAGCTAACATAAAATTAGGGTTCTCTGGTTGAGTAACTTGTAAAGCCATAGTACCTCCATGTAATAAAGAATTCTTATCAATACCTTCAGGTTGAATAATTTCATTTGCTGGTCTTAATTTGATTGATTCTTTCAATAATGGAGTGGATTCTCCTGATAACATAGCTTCATTGACAATAACAGATCCATCTAATAATAATAAATCACAAGGTAAAGCAGAATCATCATTAGTTCTAGTTAAACTAATGATATCTCCTGGTAATAAAGTATCGGTTTGAATTTTCTTCCATTTTTTATCTCTATAGACATAAACTTCAAAAGGTTTGATCCCAGTACTTTGGAATTCGGCCATGGTGGTTCTTCTTTGGAAAACAGTAGTCATTTCAAACGAAACTAACATGAATAATGAGAAAAGGGAATAATACCATTGTTCATCCATTAACCATAAGGCCACACAAAATACTTGGAAAACGAAAAATGGGGCAACTGCATGTTGTTTAAATAATTCTAAGAATGAAGGAATTGGAATATCAAATTTATTTAATCCATAATTTCTGGTAACTTTTTCTAAATCCCCTGATAATCCAGTAGCCTTTTGGAATGATTCTAATGGTGGCAATTGATCGTATAAGAATTGGGGAGGTGAAAATTTCCCTAAATCTTCATGGAAGATATGTTTTCTCTTTTGGAATAAGAAACTGACTTGTTTTTGTCCATCATGGAAGATTTCTCTATTAATTTTGGAGATTTCCCCTACACCACAATTTGGGGCAGGTGTGATCTTAACATATTCGGCTTCATCGATGGTTTTAACCTTGGAATAGTTGAAAGATGAATTGATCTTAATGTTCCAGAATGGCATCAACCAGAATAACATATTAAATGAAATGATAGTCAATAAATACACGAAAGTCCATTCACTCCCTTTGATATATTTATCATATTGAGTCAAATAAATTTGGAAAAAAGCAGGGTAAATAATGGCAAAGGGCCAAACATAAGGTCTGGCAAGGAATGATTTAGTAATCAATAATTCAGCATCAGCAATCGCCGGATTATTAACTAATTCGTTCATCACTGGCAAAAACTGTTGGCTGGAAAATTTTCGATCTCGAAAAAAAGAACCTTGAGGAATTCTTTCACTGATAACCAAATGAAGGTTATGATATTTCCATCAACATGGCCCTGATAACCTTGAAAATGGTATAGATGAATTTGTATTAGTCACTTTATAAAGGTTGGTCTTTTCCTTGAAGTCATAGGGACATTTTTAACTTTGTGTGTAAATTGTTGCAAAAAACTCCGATAAGAGTGATGTTGAATCATTTTTACTGTGGCTAGGAAAAAATTCCTGATTAATCATTTTTTCACTTTCAAAGGATTAATAACTCAGTGATTTAGTTCTAAGAAGAGTTTGTGGTACAAAGTAAGAGATGTCATTCCAAGAGATTCCTATTCTTGATCTAAACCTTGCACTTGATGATGAAACCAAACCCGCTTTTTTACATCAATTGAGATATGCTCTTATTGAAGTTGGGTTCCTTTTATTGAAAAATTATCATACTATTGGACCTAATGAACAAGATTTTGAAGATATCAAGCTTCAAGCTCATGAATTCTTCGATTTACCACAAGAAATCAAAGATGGTTGTTCAATGATTAATTCACCCCATTTCTTGGGGTATAATAAGTTAGCTAACGAGATAACTAGTTTAAAAACTGATTGGAGAGAACAAATAGATCTTGCTAATGAATTACCACCTCCTGAAAAAGGTTTACCAGTGTATAGGAATATTGAAGGACCCAATCTTTGGCCCAAAGAACTGGAAATCCCTCAGTTCAAACCAGTGGTGTTGAATTATATTGATAAAATGAACAATCTTTCAACATTCTTCAGGAAATTGATTTGTGAAAGTTTACAAATTCAACCCGATTCCTTTGATAAATATTTTAAACCTAATCAACAAACTAAGCTTAAAATTATTGCTTATCCTGATAGTTCCCAATTACAAGATGTTAAATCTAATGTGTTAGATGATGACCATTCTTCAGGTCAAGGTTGTGGACCTCATAGAGATTCTGACTTAGTTACTTATATCTATCAAGCCACAGATCATTCAGATTCCTTACAAGTACAAAATTTCCAAGGTCAATGGATCACTGTTCCAAATGTACCCCATTCTTTAGTTGTCAATGCGGGTCAAACTTTAGAAGCTATTACTGATGGAGTATGTAAAGCCACTATCCATAGAGTTATGATTCCTAAGGCTGGTACCGGAACAAGAATCTCTATACCATTTTTCCAAACCATTGATTTGGATTCCCATAAAGTTGTAGTAGATAACATTCCTAAGGATATTCTAAACCTTAAACAAACCAGGGATGAAAAAATTAAAAATTGGGCTGTTGATACTGGTTTTCAATTCACCCCTCAAATTGATAAATATCCTGTAGGACATTATGTATTCCGAAACAGAATTAAGTCTCATCAAGATGTTGCGGCTAAATGGTACCCCGACATCTTGAAAGATGTGTTGGACTCTTATCAACATTAAATATATATGCGAAATATTTACTCACTCTAAATATGGCTAAACGAGAAGACCATTTGAAACAAGGGGCTAACGTATCACCCTTGGAGTCAGCTATTGCTGGATCGTTTTCTGGAGCAATATCAAGGTATGTTTTCAGTTGGAAGGGATATCTCATCGATGGGAAAGTCGTGAGATGAGGAACTCAGAACTCCGGGTACTAACAATATTTTCAGAGCTATTACTGCTCCTTTAGATACCATAAAGATACGGTTACAATTACAGACATCTGATTATAAGGCATATCAAGGAGTTAACTCAACCGTTAAAAGCATCTTGAGAAATGAAGGAATCTATGGATTCTGGAAAGGAAATGTCCCAGCTGAGATCATGTATATATTGTATGGAGCTGTACAGTTCACATCTTATTCAGTTTTGAACAAACTTCTTAGTGAATTGGAAGAAAAACGTCAGTTCAAATTGAACCGATCCCTCCATTCATTGATCATTGGGAGTGGTGCAGGTATTTCCAGTACATTGGTAACTTATCCATTTGATCTCTTGAGAACTAGATTAGCAGCCAATACTCATGGATTCCTTTCTTTAGCTCCCACTATCAAAAACATTTATCACCAAGACGGCTTACGGGGGTTTTTTATAGGGATGAACCCAGCTATATTATCAGTGGCTTCCACAACAGGATTAATGTTCTGGAGTTATGACATCGCTAGAACTTATAGTACAAAATATCAGAATATCCCATTCATCGAAGGAGTTTGTGGGTTTTTCGCCGGGGCTACTGCTAAAGGTATAACCTTCCCCTTAGATACTCTTAGGAAACGAGTACAGATGAAAAAACATAACACAACATCATTGATTTCCAACACCACGACAATTCTTAGAAATGAAGGATTGTTCGGTCTTTATAAAGGTTTTGGTATCAGTGTGTTGAAAACTGCACCTACAAGTGCCATATCATTATTCATATATGAATATTCCATCACTAAATTACGTACCTTTTGAAAACCTTGCATTATATATTAAATAAATAGTCATCATCGTCTTGATCATCTTGATCGTCTTGTTCACCTTCAGGGTCATTATCATTATCATTTTCGCTTATATAACTATCATCAACATTAACAAAATCTATGTCTTCACCTTCTTCTTCTTCCTCTTCGATATCATAATATTTGGTCAACAGATTAGGTGAAATATATTCTTTATCATCATCACTTTCATCCACAGCAGAATTGGTGAAATCTGAAGTATTGGTGTTGGATTTTAAACTCGAAATATCCTTGTGGGCATATAACGATTGGGAATTAGCCAATAAATTATTCATTCGGGATTTCTTCTTATGTACAGTTTTATCACGTTTCTCTGACTCAATGGTAAGTTGATCTTTGATGTAATGTGGTAGATTTTCACCCACTAATGAAATTCTTCTAGACCTCTTATCAGAATCAGTGTTCCCTGTAACTCTCTTTTTAGGTATAATCAGGGAAAGATCGAATTTCTTACTAGGACTATTAATCTCCGCTTTGGTTAGCACATTGACATTCGAAGTACTGGCCAATGCCGGCTTACTGAAACTTGAGGTCCGTTTATGATTGAACATATCCAAAGATGGCCTGGAATGCATCAAATCCAATGACGTACGTCTTTGGGTCTTGGATAATTTAGGGAGCTCTTTCAGTACATTTTCATAGGTATGCTTTTTTTGCAGGACAACCTCTACCAGTGTAACAGTATCATTATTGTCGTTATTTGGAATGTCATTAGTGTGAATCGGAGGTTCAAAAACCTCCTTAGTCACTTGTTCTTGAAATTTCTGTAGATTGAAAGATATAATGATGTTATCTACTTCATTCATTAATTTTGTTTTATTTTTCTCCCAATTAAAGTCATTCCTGGAATAATTATGCTTGTGGCTAGCCAATTGATCCATCTTCACCTTAATAGTATCTATATCAGCCGATATATATTGTGATAAGAACTCCAATTGGAAATTGTAAAGGTATTGATTATTCGAACTGAGGTTGCCGAATTCTGTTAGATAGCTCTCGAGCTTACTCCATTGATCTTCGTTCCAGTCCTATGATGTTAGTAAGATGATAAAAGGAATATTTGAAGGGGATTGATTAATGGGTACGTACATTTTGAATAGTAGTCATTAGCGCGATATCTATTTACAAGTGAGATGGAAGTAAGCTGGCGTGTTGGAACTGGTGAGACTAGTGGGACTGTGAGTCTGGTGGGACTGTGAGTCTGGTGGGACTGTGAGCCTAGTGGGACTGTGAGTCTGGTGGGACTGTGAGCCTAGCGGGACAGTGGAAAATACAGCTGCGGATCTAATGATACTTTCAACTCAGAGCAACCACCCCCATACTAATACCCAAATATCCCCCATTTCTTCTTACTTGGTTTATCCATCAGTCTTAACATATCTTCTTCTTGTTGTTGTTGGATTCTTTGGGCTTCTAAAACATGTTTTTCTGCTGGTTTACTCAAAGCTAAATTACTCTCTTTCGTCTTCTTCATTTCATCAGGAATATATTCCACATCTCTTACTGATTGAAGTTTGAAATCAACTCCTTTAGGATGATGTAAATCCATATATTCTTCATCAGTTAATTTGAAAAATCTTTCCTTCACACTTATTCTGAATCTATATAAATCTGAAGTAACGTTCTCATACCCATCATTCCATCTATAGAAGAACATCCCATAAACTACTAACGATCCTGTTATAAAAGTTCCAAACCATTTAGTACCGAAATGTAATCTCTTATTGGAATCGATTCTTCTTAGTACTTTATATTGACCGGGATATATTTCACTTATTGGACGAGGAGTATAATTCAATCTTCTCATAGTTTCATTGACTTTCTTATACTGAGTAGAATCTTTAGGAGTTGAGGTGAATCCTGATTGAGCTTTAGGTAAATCATATTCTGATGGATAACCTGAAGGAGGTCTAGCATCATTTGGATCGTAAGGATTATATGGAGCTTTTGGAGGAGTCCAACCTTTAGGATTTGGCCTTCTTTCGTGGTCTTTGTCTGCCATGATAAATTTTGAGAAGAGAGGAAGTGCGATTCAGATCAAGTTTAGCATTCCCACAGATTTATCCACCTCAATCATTGGGAGCTTTCAGTATCAACAATTATCGAAAATGAGTGAATTACTTGAAAATGTACTTTCATTCTTCTCCTTGGAGACTTTAGACACGCGTCTATTCCCTCCAACAGATCCAATTAAGAAAGAAAAGATTGTCAAGAAAGCAAGTCCTAAATCTAAATGGTCTACGTTAGAATTCAAAATATATCTTGCAGTTTTCGTGGTGTTTGTACCCTTATTATATAAAACTGCCATGGATGCTTCTAATGAAACCAATCCTAATTATTACAAGTATGAAAGATTATTGTCTCAAGGTTGGATGTTTGGAAGAAAGGTTGATAATTCTGACCAACAATACAGATTTTTCAGAGATAATTTCCCTTTGTTAGTGGGATTGATTGTATTACACACAGGGTTAAGAAGAATTGTTTCGCCAATTCTTGGATTGAAGAAAAGAACATACTTTGATTTTGGGTTTGGATTATTATTCCTTTTTGGTGCTCATGGGTTCAATTGTTTCAAGATCTTAATCCATGTGGCTATAAATTATGCTATTGGTAAGTTTTCACCTAATTATAAGCTTGGTTTGATCATCACCTGGGTATATGGGATTCTGACTTTATTCATTAATGATAATTATAGGAATTTCAAGTTCGGATTGGATTTCGTTGATTATGGATTCAAGGGGATTATTGAAAGATGGGATGTATTCTTTAATTTCACATTATTGAGAATGTTATCGTACAATTTGGATTACCTTGAAAGAAAACGGAAATTAGAGGAGATTAAGAAAGAAGAGAATGAATTGAAATTATCAGGACTTTCAGTTAATGAAAGATTAGTAGCTCCTTTACCCATTGAAGATTATAATGTTATAAATTACTTAGCTTTTTTGACTTATACCCCATTATTTATTGCTGGACCAATTTTAACTTTCAATGATTTCATCTATCAATCCAATTATGAACCAGTTAAGGCAGTGAAAGATTATAAGAGAACTTTCATTTATGGATTGAGATTCCTTTTTTGTGTTTTAGTGATGGAATTCTTATTACATTTCATCTATGTAGTGGCAGTCTCTAAAACTAAAGCATGGCAAGGTGATACACCATTTCAAATCTCCATGATTGGATTATTCAACTTAAACATTATTTGGCTTAAATTATTAATTCCTTGGAGAATGTTCCGATTATGGTCATTAATTGATGGTATCGATCCTCCTGAAAATATGATCAGATGTATGGATAATAACTATTCCGCCTTAGCATTCTGGAGAGCTTGGCATAGATCTTTCTTTAGATGGGTTGTTAGATATATTTATGTACCTTTAGGAGGAGGTAATTCAATTTTCTCCAGGATTTTCAACAGTTTATGTGTGTTCAGTTTCGTAGCAGTATGGCACGACATTGAGTTGAAATTATTATTATGGGGATGGTTAATTGTGTTATTCTTATTACCAGAGATCTTATCAACGTTATATTTCAAGCGATACGAACATGAATGGTGGTTTACCTACTTATGCTCGGTAGGTGCCATTGCCAACATTTGGATGATGATGATTGCCAATTTGTTCGGATTCTGTTTGGGTAAAGATGGTACGGTATTATTATTACAAGAGATTTTTGAGACATTCTCAGGTATTAGATTCTTTGTTGTATCATCATTAGTTCTTTTTGCAGCCACTCAAGTGATGTTTGAGATGAGAGAAAGTGAAAAAAGAAGAGGTGTCGATGTAAGATGTTAGACACCTTTCCATGCTGACCTGGGTGTTTTTACCGTGACTTTTTAACTGTAGTTCAATGAATTCATGATTCTCATTATACTCATTTCTCAACTCTCACGATCTGTAAAAGTCTCATTATGGCACCACCAACTCCTGTTTATGATAGGTTCGAGATCCATAGTAGGTATGGTGATATCCTTGCCGACCCCGATAAATACCAATGTCAAAAGAAATCACTTACACAAAACGAATGTACATTTAGAATAACATATCCCAATAAAGTACCTCAGGTTATATGTCTACCTTTCAAAAGAGAATTCCTTCGATGTCTTTTTGCTACCACTGAAATCAAGAATGGGACCAAAGTTGTGGTAGATAAATGGACTAATATTGAAATAACCAACGAAAATACCAATAAAGACTTATTCACTGACCCTAAATATGAAGATCAAGTGAAAGATTTCCTTCGAGCTGATGAAGATTTAAAGAAATTATTAACCGAAAGTCAAACAACTCAGTGATGTAATTATCTTTTCATATATTAATGAATAATGAATATATACTACAGAAATGTCGAAATCTACAGTTATGGGCGGAGTGACAAGACAATGGACTTATGCATAAGTAGAACCTTCAGGGGGTTGAACTAATTTCTTATTACTTGTAGATGCCATTGATTTTCTTAATTCCAATAATACAGTTTCCATGGAATAACTTCTCTTCCAATTCTTTAAAGTTTCAAATTGTGAAACCACTACATTACCTTCGCCATCAACACATGGTAAATTAATCTTTGATAAGAAATTAACTTTTGGAGGTTCATCAGGGTATTTTTCACCACAAACAATGTTTAACGAATAAATTCTATTTTCATGACTTGAATGTGGTGGTCCTAATATAGTACCATTCCAATGGGTCATGGTAATATCATCTTGATTACTTAATCCATAAGAGATTGATTCAGCACTTAAACCTTTTTCTCCCTTCTCTAATTCTTCTAAAAGTTTGAAATTTCTTGGACTTAAAAATGATTAGTATTCAATTGGTGGTTCATAAATAATCTCTGGGGTATGAGAAGATATGATACATACATTTTTGACATTATAAACTGATAGTTTTTTTTAAATCAAGCAGTTGCTGATTGATTGACTGAGGGTGCGAAAAACCTCAAAAAACATAATCAATGACAGATCAATCATCATCACCATTCATTAGTCACCGCCGTTCATTTCATGATGATGATACTGAGATTAATCTACGTCAAGTGATTGCAGATTTAAGGTATCAACTAAAGAGTAGTAATACGGAAAAATCCCTTTTAAAATCTAATCAAGATTCGTTAGTGTCTAAATATGAATCTCTCATAAATGATAAAAATGATAGAATAAAGAAACTTGAAGATGAATTTGAATATTTGTACAAGGAAAGAGACCAAATGAAATCAAAATCCGGAAACTTGGAACAAATAAATGACGACAAAGTCAAGAATTTACTGAATGAGAATTCAAAGTTAAAGAAACAAATACAGAAGTTACAAGTGGATTTAGATGAAGCCGATGAAAGTTTATATAAGATTAATAACAAATGTCAAAAGTATAAATCAGATTTGGATTATGAGAAAGAAGCCAATACTCAATTGGAAGAAAGAATTAGTTCTTTAGAATCCGATAATAATGAATTACTTGAACATAATGATGACTTACTTAAGAAATTACAAGAATTGACCAAGAGCTCTACTTCAGATATGTCGAAATTCAATGAAAATTTACATCTTAAGAATGTCAGTTTACAAAAGACCAACAATCAATTACAATTAAAGATTGATAAATTATTACAGCATAAAACATCAGTGGAATTATTGAAACAGAAGAATGAAAATTTGATAAAGAAGTTGAATGATTATGAAATTTTACAAGAGAATTATTCTAAATTGGAGATTAAGAAGATTTCTTTGGAAACCAAATTCACGGAATTCTTGAAAATTCTTAAAAGTACTGATAAATCTTCAGATAATATCAATGAAGGTACTCTTTTGAAGTTCTTACAGGATTATACTCATTTAAAGAATGTTAATTTAGTATTGGAAGATAAGTTGAATCAAGCCAAAGGAGAAATAAGTAATTTGAAGTCAACTATTGTGGAGTTAGAGTATCAAATTAATGAAGAACTCCAACCAATCATTGATAAATTTGGTGATGATTCTAAATCTAAGCAAGAAACTATCGATAAATTGCAATCCCAAACCAATCTTAATGTTCAAGAGATCCAATTCTTGAGAAACTCTTTGACTAAACTTCAAAGTGTAAATATGGAAAGTCAAAAAGAAGCAGTTTCAAAATCTACTGATGAATATTTATCCACATTGGAAAAACTTGTGGATGATTATAAGAAAGAGAACTTGGAATTGAAGAATAAACTATCAGTTGATGTTCATATTGGCGATAAAAGACCTCGTGTTGATGATGAACTTCGAAGAAGATCACAAATTGAAAATTCAAATATTCAGAATGAAAATTCAAGGTTGATGTCAACTATTCTTGATTTGAATGAGGAGATTGATAATTTGAAAACCAAAATTTCTAATTTTGAAAAGATCGAAGAGAAAACTGAAGAAATAAGGATATTACTGTTGAAATCCAATCCATTCTCTCAGGACCAAATCATTAAAAAATCCACCATCGATGCATTAAGGGAAGAAAATAATCAATTAATAGAGAAATTCATCAATAAAGGACCTACAGAAGATGTTCCTAAAGGTGTGTTTCAAAGACAAGAGAATGATCAATCTATTCTTAAGTCCAAAATCGAAGGATTAATCAAATCCAATTTGCGTATGAAAGAGAAGTTTTCTAAAAATGCCAGAGATATTGTGGTGACCATATCACAATTCTTTGGATTTAATATAGAATTCATGAAAGATGCCATAAACCCTAACGAATTGGGATCAAAAATCAAATTAACTAGTAAATATGCTAAAGAAGGAGACCTTAAAAACTCCTATATTATGTTAGATTTGACTGCTAAATCTTTGAAGGCTTTTGGGAATTCGGAATTTACAAAAGTTTGCGAGGAGTTATTTAAAGAATGGGCTCATGATCAAGATCAAATGACTTGTGTTTTAAGTGCTTTAAACATCAAACTTCATCAAAGATACGCTCTTGTATAATAATAATTAATGTACATTAAAGTTCTTTACATGGTGGAATGTCGTTTCAAGTGTGCGGCTGTTTCCACAAGAATATCGTGTTGCGACTTATCTAAATTTTCAACTCTTTTAGCTACCTTATTCCAGGTATTTCCTCTATTGATGGAATCTTCATGTTGTTGGAATTCATTTAAAAATTTCTGTAATTCCTCCTTGGTACCATGTTGAGAATAAAAATTGTATAACCACCCCCATATATCACCATTAGTATTGTCATTAGTGAGTGCTCGTTCAAACCATGATTTGGCTTTGGATATCTTCCCATCAACCCAGAAAAAGAGCCCGATGTTCATAAGGATGATAGGTGAGTTGTCAGTAGCATTTAAAGCATCTAAGAAAGCATTTTTTCTTTGGGACATCTTTGGAATCAATGTTAAATGTTCAACCCAAATCAATGGAGATTTATTTAATGTTCTCAAAGCTTTGCTGCAAAATTGACGTGCGGCGATGATATCTCCATTTCTTCTTTCTAACTCTATTTTTTCCACCCATAGTTTGTCATTATCTGGGTTCTTAAGAAGTGCTCGATCTAATACTGATCTAGCACGAATAATAATTTTTAATTCTTCATCAATTCTACTTAAACTCAACCATAAGTTGATAGATTGTGGAAGTTTATTGGTACCAATGGAATACACTTCACGTGACTCTTCAAGTTTACCTTGTTGATGCAAAATTTGTCCTTTTTGAAGATAGAATTTCTCTTCTTCAGGATATTCCGATAATCCCTTATCACAAAATTGAATGGCATCAAGCTTTAAAAATCTTAATAAATGAATGTGTTTGAAGTAGGCCCTGGGTGTAGTTATGGATTCCATCATCTTATCTGAGGTGTTTCTGGCATTTTCAAAACATTTATTCTTGACTTCAAATTTGATTTTAGCATGCCAAACATCTTCTTTACCAGGAAATTTCTCCAAAGCTGTATCCAAGATCTTACGAGCTCCAGGTATATCACCTTCGATCTTCCATTTATCTTTAGCCATCATAAGATGAAAAACTTCTTGTTCAGGATTAAACTCAATGGCTTGAATGTAAAATTTGTAGATATCTTGGACGTTGAAGTTTTCCAAAGATTTGAAAATATTGAAAAACTTCATCCAACTTACTATATCCTTAGGTTTCTTACTAAGAGCATATTCATAAATATAATTAGCTGTTTGGAAACATTTCTTGGTGATATAATAATCGGCCTCAACAAAGAAATCTGACAGTTCGGTTAAACAGTTAACGATAATGGCTTTACATGTTAGAAGGAAACCTTCCTTTTCAGCTTTTGCTGCCTCGTCAAGCCATTGACGGATGGTGACTTTTCTGGATTCGTCTGTGTTAGCGTCTAATTGTTTTAAGGCCTTAGAAAGCATCTTTATGAGTTTATCTTCAGATATAGTATTATTCTCTCTTTCTTCAAGTTTCAATGCTGTTATCCATATTTGATGGTTATCCTTCATTTCCTTCCTAGCACGATTAATTATCGTCTTTGCTTCTGAATAATCTGACAAGTTAATCAATGACAACCAGAACGACCATTCTGTAGGACATAATTCAATTACTTTGGTTAACATTTTCTTTACATCTTCTTCGTCATCCTGTAATTCAATCATTAGTTGCCAGAGTTTGACGTTGGTAGGGAGTTGCTCAATTCCTTTCATAAGGATTCTTCTCTTCGAATTCACATCACCAGGATTTTCAAATTCAAGAGCTTTGATCCATAATTTCTCCGATGTGCTCTTATGTTTTAAAGCTGTATCAACTATAGCTTTGGCTAGTTTGTTCCCATCTGTACTGTTCTGATGTATCTTGATACTCTCTAACCATATGGATTCATCGGTAGGCACTCTCTTACATCCTTCATTGATAAATTTCCTGGCCATAACGAAATTCTTAGCTTTGACTTCTAACCTTGCTGAAGCTATCCAAGAACTGGCACTTCCTGGTTTGGAGTTTCTCAATGACCTCAACAAGCTTCTATTATGTTCTATATCTGCCATCTGATTATCTAACTCAATATCATCGTTATTGATCAAATCATCTATGAGACTCTTCTTATTCTCATTAGTATTTATCCCCGACTGAGCCGCTATGAGGTTATCTGGTGTAGCATAAAATCTTTGTCTTGATTGCTCCAATAATCTCATCCTCTTGTTCCTTTTGGTTAAGTCAATGGCTTCAGGTAGTTGTTTCCATTGATCTTCACTAACAGTAGTCAAGGCTCGTTTCAAGTCAGTAAATCTATTCTCCAATTGGTCTTCTTCTTCCACTTTGGTTACTTGATTATCTCTACGTCTGGAACTTAGTCTTTTTTCAATCTCTTCATAGATTTTCTCTGCTTCATCATCATCTTTAGTTTTACCTGCTAACAAACCAACATCTGAAACATCATTTTCATTCTCACTATCCAGGTTTTCAAATTGATTCAAAGTCTCCAAAGCCCCAGAATCTCCACCAGTTACAAATCCCGTGGCTCCTCGACCAATTCCTGCCACATATCCCGGAGGTGGTTGTTGATCTAAGAAAGCTTTCCTCTCCATAACATTACATTTCACCAAGTGCGAAGACCTTATATAAACTCATCACCTGATGTATCACGTGCGATAACTGAGAAGTTAAATGAGAATAAAAATTTTCAGAGCATCTCAAATATCTATACATCGTACAATGTCTAAAAGGTCTGCAACAGAAGATTTGGATAATACTACACATACCTCGGTGAAAACTGATAATGATTCAGTTCCAACTACCAATGGATCCGAGGAAAAGGACATTGATATGGGAGAATTCGAAGATCCTTATGGAGATGAGTTCGAAAGTGATGGTGAGATTATTGAAATCGATACCGATGGAGAAGGTGAAGATGAAGATGATATGGATGAAGAAGCAATGCAAAAAAAGATTGAAGAGTTAGAAAGACAAGATCAAGAAACAGAAGCTCAAAATTCAATCTATTTACCACATAAATCTAAACCTTTAGGACCAGATGAAGTTTTAGAAGCTGATCCTAGTGTCTATGAAATGTTACATAATGTCAATTTACCATGGCCTTGTTTAACTCTTGATATCTTACCAGATAATCTTGGTAACGAAAGAAGAACTTATCCAGCATCAGTTTATATTACAACAGCTACCCAAGCTGCTAAAGCCAAAGATAATGAATTAATCACTATGAAATTATCATCATTATCTAAAACTTTAGTTAAAGACGAAGAGGATGATGAAGATGATGAAGATGAAGATGATGAACAAAATGACCCAATCATGGACTCAGAAACTATTCCTTTGAAATCAACCACCAACAGAATAAGAACTTCACCTCATGCTGTTGAAACTGGTGAGTATTTAACAGCTTTAATGAGTGAATCAGGAGAAGTCTTGATTTATGATTTAAAATCCCAATACACTGCTTTTGATACTCCAGGATATATGATTCCAAAGAATGCCAAAAGACCAGTTCATACTATCAGAAATCATGGTAATGTTGAAGGTTATGGATTAGATTGGTCACCATTAATCAAGACTGGTAGTTTATTAACTGGTGATTGTACTGGTAGAATTCATTTAACTAATAGAACCAGTACCAATTGGGTAACTGATAAAACTCCATTCTATGCATCTGATGCTTCAATTGAAGATATTCAATGGTCAACAGGTGAAAATACTGTGTTTGCTACTGCTGGATGTGATGGTTATGTTCGTATTTGGGATACCAGATCTAAGAAACATAAACCTGCTATTTCAGTTGTCGCTTCTCAAAGTGATGTTAATGTTATTTCATGGTGTGACAAGTTAAGTTATTTATTAGCTTCAGGTCATGATGATGGTACTTGGGGAGTTTGGGATTTAAGAAATTTCAACGGTCAATCTCAACCATCACCAGTAGCTCATTATGATTTCCATAAATCTCCAGTGACTTCTATATCATTCAACCCATTAGATGAATCCATTATTGCTGTATCATCTCAAGATAATACTGTTACATTATGGGATTTAGCTGTCGAAGCTGATGATGAAGAAATTGCTAATCAAAGAAAAGAAGCTCAAGAATTATATGACATTCCTCCTCAATTATTATTTGTTCATTGGCAAAGGGATGTTAAAGATGTCAGATGGCATAAACAAATTCCAGGTTGTTTAGTATCAACTGGAGGGGATGGATTAAATATTTGGAAGACTATTTCTGTTTAATTTTGTAACATAGACTAATAAAACATTGCATTGACTCTTGGTTGACTATTTAACTGAGCTTGGATCTCATTGATTCTTTATAACCTCTTCCTTTTGTAGCCCATTGGCAGCTCTAAACCCCTGCAACATTATCCCTTGGCCATGTAACATCTTAACTCATGATGTATAACGATTCGCGATGAGATTTCTTCACCATGGCTAAAAAAGATAAGAAATCCAAAGACGCTAAGAAGGCCAGAGCTGCAGAAAAGCAGAAGAAAAATGCAAGTAAAGCCGAAGTGAAATCAAAGAAGAAAGCTATAAAGTCAGGTGATCAAGAAGAAGATGAAGATATCGATCAAATTTTAGAACAATTCGCTAAAGAACAAGAGTTATTTCAAGCTGTTAACATTGAGGTCGTAAAAAGACCTAGTAAGAGATTGAACCCCGCAATGGTGGCCAACCCCATTCAAGGGAAGAAGGAATTATTATTATTTGGTGGTGAACATACCGAAAATGGAGTGTCCCACTTTTATAATGATTTACACTCTTATAACGTTGATAATGATATTTGGAGAAGAATCACATCCAAGAATTCTCCTTTACCCAGATCATCACATGCTATGTGTGCACATCCTTCAGGTATAGTTTTATTGTTCGGAGGGGAATTTTCGTCCCCGAAACAATCCACTTTCTATCATTATGGTGATACTTGGATCTTGGATGCCGATACTAAAGAATGGACAAAGATTGATCAAAAGAGAGGACCTTCAGCAAGATCAGGTCATAGATTAGCTTGTTGGAAGAATTATATTATCTTACATGGAGGGTTCAGAGATTTAGGTGCTCATACTACCTATTTAAATGATATGTGGTTATTTGATATAACTACTTATAAATGGGCAGAAGTGGAATTTCCACCTAATCATATCATTCCTGATGCCAGATCCGGTCACTCGTTGATTCCATGTGCTGATGGAGCCATTATTTATGGGGGTTATTGTAAAGTTAAAGCGAGAAAAGGTCTTCAAAAAGGGAAAGTTTTAACTGATATTTGGACTGTTAAAATGAAATCAGATCCTAAAGGTATCAGATTCGAAAGAAGACGTAAACAAGGTTTCAATCCATCTCCAAGAGTTGGTTGTTCTTTGACTTTCCATAAGAATAGAGGTATAATGTTTGGAGGTGTTTATGATTATGATGAAAGTGAAGAACAAATCGAATCAGAATTCTATAACAACTTATACTCTTACCAATTGGAAAACAATAGATGGTATAATTTGAGTTTGAAACCTCAAAAGAAGAAGAAACAAGTTCAAGTTGAAAAGAAAACTCGTGATGAAGATTTAGAAGATATCTTAAATTCTATTTTGGCCAAAGCTAATTTAAATGATGATGAAGATGATGATGAAGTATCACAAATTGAAAAATTGAAACAATTAGAAGAAGAAGAAGAAATCAACGAAGAAAAAGCAGAATATCCAATGGTTAATCAATTACCTCATCCTAGATTTAATCCAGCTACTTGTGTTTTAGATGATAATTATTATATTTTTGGAGGAATCTTCGAAAGATCCGAACAAGAATTCTGTTTGGATTCCTTTTATTCCATTGATTTAAGTAAATTAGACGGTGTTAAGGTTTATTGGGAAGATCATACAGAACTTGAACAAGAATATGTTGGATCAGATGATGAGGAAGAAGACGATGAAGATGATGAAGAAGATGATGAGGAAGAAGAAGAAGAAAATGTTGATGATGAAGAAGAGGAAGAAGAAGAAACTGAAGAAGAAATTGAGGAAGTTGAAGAAGAATTCCCTGATGCTAGACCTTGGTTACCACATCCAAAACCTTTTGAAAATTTAAGAGCCTTCTATGTACGTACAGGAGCTGATTTCTTACAATGGGCCATTTCCAGTAATAGAGAAGCTAGAGGTAAATACTTAAAGAAAGCAGCATTTGATTTATGTGAAGATAGATTCTGGGAAAGAAGAGAACAAGTAAGTATAGCTGAAGATGAATTAGAAGAACTTGGAGGTGTTGGAGAAGTCATTGAAAAAGATACTACCAAAACCACCAAAAGAAGATAGACATAGATACTTTTTTTCATAAATATATTACCCTAATGTACAACTATGCAAAATGTATACCCACTTGATGGAATGCATACAATAATTTCAAGAAATCTGTTTGATCTAACTTAGCAGCTCTTTTATCGGAATATCCTGTTTCCGTTAATACTTTTTCGATCTTTTCTTTAACTACATCAATCATGGAAGTTTTAGAATCAATCATCATGGAATCTTCAGAAGTAGCTAAGAAAGTTTTATAATTTTTTTCTAAAATTTCCAAGATGTTTGAAGATTTGAATCCAGCAGCTATGGTTTTATTCTTTCTAACGAAAACAATTCTTAATAATCCATCCCATTCATTGAAATCAATATTTGGTCTGGGACTTTTAACTTCGATTCTCACCACTGAAGATTCAACTTGAGGTGGAGGTCTGAAGTTATTCTTACCAACTTTCATAATATGTGTTACGTTAGCCCACATTTGAACGTTGGCTGATAATCTACAGTATAAAGAATCACCTGGTCTGGCTAATAATCTTAAAGCAAATTCTCTTTGAAACATTAAGATTGAAACTCTTGGAGGTCTTGGTTGATTCAATAATTTGAAAACCAAAGGGGATGAAATTTGATAAGGAGTGTTGGAAATACAAACATCGAAGTAAGGTAAATCAGTCTTCATAAAATCTCCTAATAAAATTTCCAACTTCTTTTGTTGAGGAGTACCATGAACTCTTTTAGTCAATTCAGCTGCCATTCTTGGATCCATTTCCACAGCAATTACATTTTTAGCTTGTTCTAAGATCCTAACTGTTAAATTACCAGTACCTGGACCAACTTCCAATACAGTATCACTAGGTTTGATATTAGCTTTATCCACAATCCCTTGAGCAACTAAAGGATTTTTCAAGATATGTTGACCTAAATCAGTATTGAATTTGAAAACTGAATTCAAATTTTTGTCAGCAGCCACTTTCCTACCTGTTGGATCAGGAGCTGAAGTGAATTTCTTCTTAGCAGCTTTAGCCATAGTCGTTAGAAAAATTGAGATCTCATCTCAAAATTTTTTTGTGCGTCATTTTGTATACAGGAGAAAATTCTGAAACAAAAACAAACGAGGGATCACAGACGTTTAGCAAAAGTGAGGACAATAAAGACCGTTAGTGTTGGAGTAATAGAGAACTATAAGAGTGTGTAACAGCAGTATTAGTGATAGAACTGAGGTGAGGTGAAATGAGTGTGTTACTTTCAGAGATAATTCAAACAGCTCCTAAATTCTCCTTCTTTGATGAACTAATAACTATACCCACAGATACCAGTTTACAAGCCCATGATTTCATAAAGATCAATAAGATCATCGACGATATTGGTCTTTACTTGAAGGAACTCCACATTCTTTTCGTTCAAATTTATGAGTCTAAAATTGATAGTATTAATGACGTGGAGTGGTATTTCGAAGGGAAATATGAAATCAATGAACTTGTTCGAAGTATTGATAATGTAGAATCCATTATTTCCAAACTTTTGATAGTTATTGATTCAGCAGAAAATTCAAATCATATACATTTCAATCATTTACTAAATAAGTTCGAAGAGACTAATGATTTGTTATTCGAAGTAAAGAAATTCCTAATATTATTCAAACGAAAGGTTGATATCTCCATAAACTATAAGGAATTGACTGATATCACCATCCAATCGTTAAATAAAGAAGTAGAAGATTGCTTGAAACTTTTCATTCAATTACAAGATTATAAACTAATACCTAATAATATCCCCAAATTCAACCTCGAAGAAGTGATTTCAAAGATGAAGATAAATAAGATATCCAATAACTTTACTATGAAGTCTATTAATTTACCCACATTCAATGATTTAGATAATTCCATGTATCAAAATTATACCAATTTAGAATTCAAGATCGAACCTTTGAGAGTATCCATTGACTTTTTACCACTAAGAATTCAAGAATTTAAATCTATTTGTTCTAAAGGTAAACAACCATTCCCTAATTTATTGGAAGAGATCGATAATTTGTATGATAGTTTAATTTCTAAATGGGAATACTTGATGAATGAAATTAAGGTGTTTAAGGTAGAACTCATTGATTTCAAATGGAATGAAATATTTATTTATCTCATTGAAGAAATAGTTAAAATCATCAATAATTTACTTGAAGAATTCTCCCAAAACCCTTCAAAAAACATAACGAAAAAGATTGGTGATAATTATAAATTATGTATTAATACTATGACTATGATTAAAAGTGCTGTTAAAGAGAATATCATCAACAATATTAAGATAATTGATTTATTCAATAATCAATTGATTGTTAAATGGAATGAACTTAATGATATTTTAACGACAAACAAAAGAAGTGAAGACATTTTCGAAATTCACCATGATTCAAATTTAAGATCCTTCCAAACCAAAAAGAGAAATGTTAGTAGAGTCACGACTTCACCTATCAAAAATCCTAATGAACCTGCTGGTTTAGGTATAGATTTAGGTATCGAGGTTGAAGATAATGTCATACCTCTCAGTATTAAACATCCTGATAAGATTAGAGACATTCAGAAAAGTTTCCAAATCCCTAAATCCAGGAACTTACTTAACGAATTCAAACTTAAAGATGAAGATGAAGAAACTCTTGTTTCAAATATGGCAGATCTAAGTGTCGTGAAAACCCCTGAGAGGATTAATAGAAACGACATGAATGTCCCTATTTCTGACTTAAGGATAAACAAAGGTTTTATCAGTAAAATACCTAAATTGATTAAAAACTATATACAGAGGAATGGTATCAAAGCCAGACCTTTAATTTATGATAAAAATACGAAAATTCCAATAATTGATAAATCTCATCCAAGATTTCAAAAACATTTAGCTACGTTAAATTCTATGAATGTTGATCATAATCCAACTGATGTAAATTCCCAATTCAATTCTCCAAAGCAATTATATTCACCCATAACTTTTCAAAGACCTCGTTCACTTACGAGAACAAGAACTAGATCAAATTCTCGTCCCATTTCACCCACTCCAAGATTTAATAGTGGACATAGTTCAAAGACATTTTTATCCCCGGTTAATCTTGGCTTAACCCCACAATTAGGGAATACTCCTAATTTATCATACCCTCAATCATCACCTTCATATAATTCCACATCTCCTGATAGACCAACATCATCTATAGGATCAAGATTCGATGATGAACATTTACTTCAACCATTGAAACATATCAAACCCGCATGGAGATAAAATACATACACTCCCGATTTATTTTTCCTTGCTCTCATCTTTCATGGTTTTACTAGTAAACCCATCAAGAAAGAAATCTTTTCCAAATAATCTGTAACTCCATGATTGTTTTTCAACCTTATACTTTTCAAGTTCATCGAATTTTCTTACTTCTCCATTATCTAAAATTTCTCCCTGTTGAATCTTTTTAGTAGATTTCCCTTCCAACCTTCTATATAATTCCACTGAGGTCACTAAAACCACAGGGATTGCTAATAAAATCATATATATACCATTATATCTTCTTTTCAAATCCGATGGAGCTATTTTCCAATTAGCTTTACCTGTTTGAACTAATTCTTTGATAAAATCCGATCTTGCCTCTTCTTTGGTTGGTGTGAGATACCCTTTCAGTTTAGGTTTGGGTTTGGGTTTAGGTGTTGGTTGATTCTCCCTATGGAATGTAGTATTCTTAAACCTATCCATTATGTCGTTCTTAAATGGGAGAGGTTTCGCACTTTGTAATGTTAAGTCTCAAGATGTCGCATGTCGTAATCTTAAAATACTCATTTGTTTACCTTTTTGAGATTCTGTGATCTTTAAATTTCACTCAACGATGTCTTTACAATTAGTAGACCAATTTATATCAAAGCACCCTAAGCCTGAAGGAGATGTTAGTTATGGGACTGCTGGGTTTCGTATGAACGCATCCAAATTGGATTATGTCAATTATACTGTAGGAATTTTAGCCTGTTTAAGATCCAAGTATTTGGGTCAAACTGTTGGTGTAATGATCACTGCTTCTCATAATCCTCCTCCAGATAATGGTGTTAAGGTAGTCGATCCATTAGGTAGTATGTTGGAAAGTTCATGGGAAAGTCATGCTACTTTATTAGCCAATTCCTCCCATGACCAATTAGTCAGTAACATCAAAACCTTAGTTGAACAATTGAAAATTGACTTATCAGTGAAAGCTCACGTTATCATTGGTAGAGATTCAAGAGAAAGTAGTCCTAGATTAGCTGAAAGTACCATTGATGGTATCAAATCAATTGAAGGTTCCACTTTTGAAGACTTTGGTTTATTATCTACACCTCAATTACATTATTTAGTTAGAACTGAGAATGATCCAGATTATGGTGAATATAGTGTTAAGGGATATTATGAAAAGATGACTGAAGCTTTCAAATTAATGTTCAAAGATTGTGAAAATCAAACCGCAATTGATTTAACTATTGATGCTGCTAATGGTGTTGGTGGTCCAAAAGCTCAAGAAATGTTTGAATACTTATCATCAGAAATCAAATTGACTTTGATTAACGACGATTACCAACAACCTGAGAAATTAAATAGCGATTGTGGAGCTGATTTCGTCAAGACTAACCAAAAATTCCCTCATGGAGTCGATGAAAATTGTCCTCAAGACCAATTATTTGCTTCATTAGATGGAGATGCTGATAGATTAATCTGTTACTATAGAGATGAAACTTTCCAATTATTAGATGGTGATAAATTAGCCACCATCATTGCATTATATTTTGAAAAAATCTTTAAGAAACTTTCATTGGACTTGAAAATTGGATTAATCCAAACTGCCTATGCTAATGGTTCATCCACTAAGTATGTTGAGGATGTATTGAAGATTCCTGTTGTTTGTGCTAAAACTGGAGTCAAACATTTACATCATGAAGCTGAAAACTTTGATATTGGTATTTATTTTGAAGCTAATGGTCATGGTACTGTTATCTTTTCACCTGAATCTGAAGCCAAAATCTTCCAATATAAAGCACAAAATGATGAAGAATCCAAAGCTTTAGAAAATTTGAAGAATTTCACAAAATTAATCAACCAAACTGTTGGTGATGCTATCAGTGATTTGTTAGCTATCTTGATTATTTTGAAATATTTGAACTTCAAACCTTCCGATTGGAATAAATCATACACTGACTTACCTAACAGATTAATCAAGGTCATTGTTCCAGATAGAAACTCATACAAAACCACCAATGCTGAAAGAACATTAGTTGAACCAAAAGGTTTACAAGATAAAATTGATTCCATTGTCTCCAAATATCCAAGTGGAAGATCTTTTGTTAGAGCTTCAGGTACTGAAGATGCCGTTAGAGTTTATGCTGAAGCTGATACTGAAGATAATGTTATTAAATTAGTTAATGAAGTTAAAGAATTGATTGTTTAGATCTGAAAAATGCATGATTCATTAGTTGTTTCTTTTCAGGTATCTTTATGAGCCTTCTTATATTGACCAGGGGTTTGGAATTTTCTTAATCCCCAAACTCCCTTCTCTAACCATTTAGCTCGCGATTCAAGTTTCCTATACCAATCTTCTTTCCCACCAAATTCAGCACCGGTCTTGCTTTCATATACTACAGCTAAACCGGTTTTGATCATTTCGGCACTAACATCTTTTCTACCTGTCCATTTCCATACCATTGTTGTTCCTACAACTCTTTTATACTGATCTATCAGATGAGGATATAATGTGACGTATCTTCCATCGATGTAGTTCCTCAACCATAAAAGTGCTTCTTCACTCAAAGGTTGTGCAGGTTTTCCCCAATGAGACCTTTCTGGAGCATCTATACCTGCCAATCTGATCATTAAGGTTTCATCTTTTAATTCGGATCTTGTTGTGGGGACAAATCTTAACCACCCCCAACCCGTCAATAAACCTCCCGGGGTATGATAAAACCTATAATTGTCTCCATCTCCAACTCTTGTGACCTTCCCATACATTGGATACTTATTATCCAATATCGACGGGGTTAAATCAAGGTATGTTCTAATCCTTCTGAGGTATCTCTTGTAGAATTTATAACCCAAAAATAATGACGTTGTTATCCCTGCCGATAATATGAGAACTTTGGGGTGCAACACGGATATTTCATCTGAAGGTGAAGGTAATGGAGGCATCCTTCTTTAGTTTCACTTAGTTAAATAAATAAAAGTCGTGAGATCAAATCTAAAAAAATTCCTAACTTGGATTTTCTCAAATCAGACATTTTTTTGTGTGAGGACTCGAAGGTTAAGGTTAAAGGAGATTGGTTATATTGGGAGGAAATTTAAATAAGGAGATGGAATTAAGTGATGGGGAATATGATTTGGACGTATCTGTATTGACATCTAATCATGAGTCGATGAGTATCAGATATGGACAAATACAAGAGTCAATTAATAGTTCATCCATGAATCTATTTAAAGACAAGAAGAATTTAATTTTACAGGGGTTCGATAAAGGCAAAGATTATTATTTTGAAGGTGTAGACACGGTTTATAGTCAAAATAGTGGAAATTACTATTTGAAGTTTGAAAACGGTCAGGTAAAGTTGGGTAAATTGCATAATTCAGTAAGATTTAATAAATCTAGAACTCAAAAGAAATGGAAAGATTTAGTAGATGAATGGACATCTCCTCCAAAACCAAACGTCAAACGATCTAATGTTACACAGCCTAAAATTAAAGAGGTTAAAAGTAAAAAGGAGGTTAAAGAAGATATAATAAGTGAAGCCGATTTTGATGATCTAGATTTCAAGATGGAATTCGGAGATTCTCAACTTGATGGATTCAAGTTCGATGAAGATGAATTGATGGTACCTGATGTGCCGCCACCTAACGACGTAAGTGATAGAAAGGATAACGAACCTCCAAGAACAAGGTCAAGATCTAATAGTATCCATTTAGACTTTCCCGTTAAACGAATAACTAAACCTGTAAGTAAGACGGCAAGTAAATCGGCAGGTAAATCTACTAGTAAAGTTGCTAGTAAATCCACTGGTAAAGTTGCTAGTAAATCCACCGGTAAAGTTGCTAGTAAGACCACCAGTAAAGTAGCAGGAAAACGACCCAGTAAAACTACCTCAACTATTGATGATGATTTTGATGATCTTGAAGATCAATTGGATGAAATTTTAGAAAGTTCAAGTAATGATGAAATGGTATTTGAACCTATAACCATAATGGATGAACCCACCAAGAAGAAGAACCACTATACTCAGAATAATAAGAAACCTATGAGTCTAAGGGAGTTTTATGGGGATATAGAAGAAAGCTCAGAGGAAGAATAACGCGAACATTGAAGTATGGACTTTAAATATAGAGTAGATAGTTTAATCAATATTTTACCCCATGATGTTGCTGATATTCAATTATTGAACGATAAGATCAATAAGATCTTTAGGGAATTGCCAAACTTGAAAAAATTGAGTAATATCAACTTTTCTAGATCTTTTGATATGAATCTACTTTTATCTAATTATCAACAGTATAAGGCCACTGGGGAGAAATTGATGATCTTGTCACAATATGATTTAGACAAGATTCATTTGAAGGATGTTGATATACAAAAAGTCATCAATTCTAAGCACAAGATATTATTGATAGTAGGTAAGTATTTGCAATGTCTAGTCAATAGTTTGATAGTAGTAGAGAAATGGATAAATTTTATGAATAGTCAGAACGAATATTTGGCATCAGTTACTGAAGATATCAAGAGATTCCAGCGATCATTGGAAAAGAACGAGTATTGATCATTGGGGTAACATTTATGATATATATCACATACACCACTGCGATTTTTTGCGACACTGAGATGAGAGGATTCAGGTTCTTAAGTTATATACAGCCAAAACCTCGAATAAATGATAAAGTAATAGTTGCCATGTCTGGAGGTGTTGATTCCTCGGTGGCAGCTTCATTGTATCGTCATTACCCCAAGGTTCAAGGGATTTATATGGCCAACTGGCAAAAAGATGCAAAATGTAATGAAGAAGAATGGAAAGTAGTTCAATCAGTTGCCAAACAATTGGAAATCCCTGTTGAGAGAGTTAGTTTCGAAAAGGAGTATTGGTTGAAGGTTTTTGAACCTATGATCAATTCTTATAGTGAAGGATTCACCCCAAATCCTGATATTAACTGTAATAAATTCATTAAGTTTGGTGAGTTGATTGAATATTTGAATACCAAATATCAAGATTATTGGTTAGTTACAGGTCATTACTCAAGGATCATGCAAGTTAATGAAGGTCCTCATAAGGGAAGATTTGATTTGCTTCGTGGGAAGTATTCTCGAAAAGATCAATCATACTATTTGTCATCAATAAATAACAATGTTCTTTCGAAGATTTTATTACCTATTGGTCATTATACCAAGCCAGAAGTCAGAGAAATTGCCAAAAAGTTGAACTTGGTCAATAAAGATAAACCAGATTCTATGGGATTATGTTTTGTTCAACAAGATGAAAAGAAATTCGATAAGTTCTTAGATGAGTTCATTGAACCTAATCCAGGAAATATTGTCACTGAAGATGGTAAAATATGGGGCCAACATCAAGGATTGTGGTATGCTACAATTGGACAAAGATGTAAAATATCCATGCCTCAAGGGGACCCAAAATACCAGGGGACTTGGTTTATCAGCGATAAGAATTTTGAAACTAATGAACTTATAATTGTAAAAGGTTCGAAAAATCCTAAATTATATAAGAACGGATTGATAGTAAGAGATTTTGAATGTAAGGTTAATCTTGAAGATGAAAAAATTGAAGAGTTAACTCTTCAATACAGATCATTAATGAAACCTGTAGAAATAAAACATCTCAGTCAGACCAAGGGTAAATTAATCATTGAAGTTGGTGAAAAACAAAGGGCTATGGCACCGGGTCAAAACATTGTGATATATAATGGTGATAGAATCATTGGCTGTGGAATTCTTGAGGAATCGGTGGATTTGAAGGCATCGTAGTGACAGAGATTTCAAATAGTTTCAGTGTAATAGAATGTGTAAATACAATTTGTAAATAGAAAAAATGTACATTAAGTCATATCAAAGGTTATAGCATCATTAAAAAGCAGTTATTTTAGGGTATAAGTTATTGGAAGTGGATATTTTTTCATGTAAATATTCAACCACATTGGAAATCAACATCTTATGTCTTGAAATATTTTCATTCAAATCATCCAAATCAATCTTATTGAAGGAATCAGCCAAATCATCAACATCTCTAGAAGATTTTTGGTAGTTTGAAACACCGCCAAATTCTGAAGAAACTGGGTAATTGAATTTGAAGTCATTATGATTGTTATTGTTGTTATTGTAAGGATACATGTCAATTGAATTATTCAAAGAAGTAAAGAATTTTTCAGCATCGTATAAATTCACATTACCTGAATGGGATTGAGGATGTGATTGTGGATGTGATTGTGGATGTGGAGCAGTTTGACCATGAGGATGAGGAATTGGAACATTCGAAGGAATTTGTGGATGTTGTAATTGAGGAATTTGTGGTTGTGGATGTGGATGTTGTTGATGTGGATGTTGAGGTTGATGTTGTTGATATTGATTAGGTAAAGGTTCTAAATGATTCAATTTACTGAAAATATCGAAATTATAATTTGGTTCGAATAATTTCTTATCTTTGCTATTGAAGTTGTAATCATTCAAGATATTGTTGATGATATTGTTATTCTTTTGATCACTATATTTCAACTTCTTATTTAATTTCTTCAAATTATGGTCTTGATTATGAATTTTTGTGTGTTTCTTTAAATCTTGAGGTCTCTTGAAGGACTTTGGACAAGAATCACAATGGAAAGGTTTTAAGGGAACATGAACTCTTAAATGAGAAGTAATATGATCTCTTTTAATAGTTTTAGTTAAACAATTATCCCAATAACAAGTCAAACTAAGATTATTTGAAGACTTTCTACCAACATGGTCATCACATAAATGATCATATAAGATTTCAGGAGTTTCAAAAACTATCGAACAATCTTTCCAAAGACATTTGAAAGGACCTTTTAAATCTTCATCTTTAATTTTTTTATAAGTCTTCTTTCTTTTAGGTTGAGTTTCTACTGAAAGGTTTTGATTGTTTGAAATGTTAGAATTCTGTGATTGGTTGGAAAATGAAGATATTTGGGAACTAAATGATTGGTTTGAATCAATAGTATTTAACTGATTGGAAAATAATGAAGAATCAAATTGTCCTTCAATAGGTGAATTACTTGAAGAATTATCGGAATTTGATGTAAAACTATGAGGTGAATTATTCAACGATATTGATGAATGGGGAGTTAATGATAAATTATCATAATCTGAACTGGATGATATTGAATTTTGTGGAATAGGTAAACTATTCTTTGTATTTTGATTTAAGTTTTGTTGAGGGTTAGCATTTAAATAACTTATAGGATGTAAGTTGTAGTTCATATCGAAGTCAAGGAATAAATCATTCGGGTCCATTTTCTATTTATATATTATTTAAGAAATTTCTTGAATTAATCTTGGAAGTATTTAAACAATTTTGAGGGAGAGAGTGAGGTCTTGGCAAGTTTCTTTTGCGCTTACGGCTGAGTGGTCATGTGATGAGATGACGTAGAGTTTGGGTGGAAGGGAGAGAATGAAGGGTGTGTGGAGGTAGGAAGTGAGTTGTAGGGGGTAATGGAGGGTAGGGTTAGTATTAGGATTGAGTTATATAGGGTAATGAAGATGGTGATGTTGGGAGTTTAGAAATATGTGAAATCTACAATTCGCAGCCAATTTGGATGAGTAATATTGAAGGAGGTGTGGATGAAGACTACAGAGAACGAGAGGAAAGGTTATAAGAAGATGGGAAGTGAATGAAGGGCGAACTAGTATGACCACTAAACTAACAAAATAGCGATAGAAGCCATTAAAATGTAGGTCAATGAGAGATTATAGGTGAAACTATTAAGTAGTGGATGTCGCGATAAGTACGACAATATCGTAAAACCTTAACTATTGTTAATTTGCTTTCATGTTTAAACGTCTTCAATAAAGATGAAGGCTAAGGAAGCGTTCAATGGAAAATCTTATCAATAAAGCACGTTTTCAATCGATATGGTTCTTTGCTACTGATTACTCAGCAACTAGGAATCAACACAAAGCTTTTGATTCTCCCATACTTCTAACTCATGATGATACCGTATCGACCGAGTGAAATCTTCACTTGAATACCTCCCATTAACAATCAAACTCAACGCCACCCAACCCCTCCTTGTCATTGGCTCAATGGTTCCCCATTCTTGCAGATCTCCATACTAACAATATGCAACATCCACCCTTCTCTCCCACAAGATTACTAATCCCGCGATATATAAATATTCACTCATATCTTATCAAAGTTGATGAATTTTATTAAGAAAATGACATCTCCTTTGGTTACTTTGAACAATGGCAATAAAGTTCCTCAACTTGGATTGGGGGTTTATCAAACACCAGCCTCAGATGCTGGTAGAGTGGTATTTGATGCATTAGAACTTGGTTATAGACATATTGACTCCGCAGCCATTTATGGTAATGAACGTGAAGTAAGTGAAAGTATTGGTAAATGGTTGAAATCTTCAGGTGTTCCAAGATCAGAAGTGTTTTATACTACCAAGATTTGGAATGCTGATCATGGTTATGAAAAGGCTAAACAAGCTATTAAAGTATGTCTTGAAAAAGCCAAATCAATTGATTATATTGATATGATTTTAATTCATTCTCCAATGTCCGATAGAGAAGGTCGTTTAGGTACTTGGAAAGCTTTACAAGAATCAGTTGAATCAGGTAAAGTTAAGAACATTGGAATTTCTAATTATGGTATACCCCACATTAAGGAATTATTGAATTATTCCGAATTAACAATTAAACCTGTTATGAATCAATTTGAACTTCATCCTTGGCTTGTAAGAGAAGAATTGATTAAATTTTGTCAGGATAATGATATTTATGTTGAAGCTTATTCTCCATTAGCCAGAGCTAAAGCTTTTGGTAATCCAACCATTGTTTCTATTGCTGATAAATATAAAGTTACCGAAGCTCAAATATTGATTAAATGGTCACTTGCAAAAAATTTCATTACCTTACCTAAAACTGTTAGTAAAGAAAGACTTGCCAGTAATTTAGATGTTTTCTCCTTTGAACTTACTGAAGATGAATTGACTAAAATTGATTCATTGAATAGTAATTTATTAACCGGTTGGAACCCTACCGAATATCCTATTGATTAAATTTTGATTTGGATAGAGATTTTTCACAATTAGCTCATGCCAAAAATATATGCCCCACCCGACCTTCTCGGATGTATTATGTATAAACTCTAAATTCGCGATAAGAGAATAACCCAGGGTGATGAAGAATATTCCAGGGATTAATAATTTTAAGACCCAAAATATCAATAGACGATCAAGCTGTCAGAATTGTAGAAGACAGAAACGGAAATGTTCTAAAGATAGACCTCAATGTTCAAATTGTGAACGATTTCATCATGAATGTTTTTATGAAGAAAAGAGCAATTTTAAAAATACTAAAGACTCAGATTTTCAAATATCTACCAATAAAAAAGAAGAATCAGCTGGTTTGATACAACCTTTGATGAAAGTAGAACTGAAAAAATCTGTTTCTATGGAAAAAGAATCAAAATTCAGCCCCATTTCGGAGATATCCCCAAGCTCATCAATATTTGAAACCAGATCAATGGTTACACCTCAAAGTGAAAGTTCTCCCAGTATTTATAATTTGATCCACCATGAAGATGATTTCTTTGATAAACCAACCAGATCGTTTGATAAAGCGTTTGAAAAGAAAAGTTTTGATAAGAGTTTTGATAAAAGTTTCGATAAGAATTATATTAGGTTTTTTGATGGTGGACCAAGATTAAGCCATACTAAAATATTCAATCATTCTATAGGGGTTAATGTTCCGGTGGATTTGAGGTTACTTTACTCTTTCATCCCGGAAAAATCCATAGCTGATTACTTGTTTCATAGATATTTCATATCTATTCATCCTATGATTCCTTTACTTGATTATGAATCTTTGGTTCCAATGTATGAAAGATTCTGGCATAACAAATTTTCCGTTGATTTGAATTTTTATATCAATATCTTAACTATCTTCTATGCAGCTACTGTTTCACAATATGAAGAGTTAACATATAAATATGGAAGTTCTAAAGATTTGGATGAAAGGATGAAGAAACTTGTTCAAGCTACAGAATTAGCTTTACTTATGAATGAGTTCCCTAAGAAAGTGAATATTTTAGGTCTTCAAAGTATGACCATTCTATTAACAGTTACTCGTAATGATTGTAAGAATGATGATTATATATCCATAAGTTCATTGGTTAGATCGTGTCAGTTATTAAATTTACATAGAGATCCACTAAACTATCATAAAATTACCAATGAAGAAGAAGTCAATTCAAAACGATTATTATGGTGGTATGTATTTAGTCTTGATACTATAAGTTCATTATCATTGAAACTCCAACCCATTATCAAAGATTTCGATACTTTATTCCCTAATGAATATTATAGAACTAAACAAGAGTTCAAATTGTGTAAAGATATTGCTTTGGCTAATGCTAAATTCAGTTTCTTCAAAGTATTGAATAAGATTTTGAACTTTCATTACTCCATAAAAGTTCAATTACCACCGAAAGATTTATTTGATGATATTGATAACTTATCAACATATTGTGTGATGATGATTGTAAGAATCAAAGATTTGAAGAATTTTCAACCAGCTGAAGAGAATTTTGTGGACTTTTCTTGTTCTTATATTCAATCTTTACCGTTTAAATGTAAGATTTTATTCAATATCTTGAATAAAAATTATGATAATATTGAAATTCAGATCAGTTTCTTAAAGGTTTATGTTAAATTGATCTCTCAGAGTAAGAATCAGATTTATCTTTGGGAGATTAAGAAATTTCAACCTATTCAAATTTACTTTTCTTTAATGAAATCATTGGTTTCGGATTTAAAATTGAATTTGGTGGATTTCAAAAGCTTAAGAAATGATAAAAGAGTGTTGGTGATCAATGAAACGTTTGATACGTTAGGTTCATTATCGAAAAACACCACTGATTTAAGTTCTCAGCGATGGGAGATTTTGAAACAGTTAAAGAGTAATCTCTGGGAGAAGATATTTGATACCAATGATGTAGATTTGTATTGGAATTCATTGGGAGATGAGTTGAAGGAATATCAATTGACCATTAATGAGAATATAGAATTACAATGGGATGAGACATCGGGGCATTATCAGGTGTGAGTACACAACCAACAAGCGAAAAAGAGAATAAACCGTAAATGTATTACTATTAAACTTGTCCCTTTGCCTCTTCAGCAGTAGCTTTAGCAACTTTTTCTTGAGTTGCCATTTCTGCTTGTTTAGCTTTAATGGCTCTGTCTCTCATAGTCATACCAAAAGGTTTCAATATGGCAACATAAGCAATGGTTGATATCACTATCCAAGCCACCAAGATTCCAATATTTCTACCCATTTGTCCCTTATAAGTGTCAAAGAACACCACTTTGGTTAATTCATAAGAATTATGAATTGGCATAGCATAACCGAATCTATAGAATTTTGGTACTAAAGCAATTGGAGCAAAAGTTGGGGAGATATTAATCAAAACCCAGAATAATAACCAGAACCCAACTAAAAATGGTGCAAACATTAATAATACCATAAACATCACTTCATTAACTAACCCTACAGAAATCATTGTAAGATAACTAAACATCCAATAAACTAAGAATCCTGATTTACCAAAAGCTTTATTGAAATCAACTTGGAAAGCTAAAGTAACTAATGAATAACCTAAACTAATGACAAAATATGAGATGTATGATCCTAATAATCTGTAAATGACAAAATGTGAAGGTTTTAAATTCAACTTGGCGACTTTCTGATTGACTTCACCAAACAAATTAACTTGGAAGAATGTTAAGATGATAATATAAATAAGACCAACTTGAGAAGGTGCCACTAAAACAGGATCAGTGAAGGGTCTTTTATCATCCAAAGTGAAGGCAATTGGTGTGGATAATTTAGTTGCTTGTTGAACATTGAAAGTTTCATCAGAAAACAATTCCGATAAGTTATTTTGACTTCTTAACCACATAGATCCAATCTTTGCGACATTTGGTGTAACATAAGAATTCATGTTAAGGAAATCTCTTCCAGTTTCATAAACGGAAACGATCAATGATGAAAGATTGGTGGTTGAATCTTCATTCATAATGTAATCATAATATTGACCAGTAGCATTTTTAGCTACATAAATGGATGACCAATATAATTGATGATGGATTTGTCTTTCTACTTCTTCAAAAACTGTGTTATTGTGCTTTTCAGCTTCTTGTCTGAATTCAGTGGTATTTTGAATTTTCCAACCACCTAATTGTTGAGCTTGTGGGGTATTTAAGATATTCCTTATGGTATCACCAATTATTGGATCATGACCACCAAATGATTCGTCATCTTCAATAACTACTAACATCTTTAAATTTGGATATCTGGTTTGTCTTCTATAAGAAGAACCCCAGTAAATTGAGAATATCCCTAAAATAGCTACAAACATCAATAAATAGATGGTTAAATATTGTCTTACTAAATTGGTTCTTTCATTTTTTAAATGGGGGTTGAAAAATGATAATCTGGTGGAAATTCTTTCTAACATTGAAGGAGTTCTACTTAATTCATGATGCTCTTCGGGTAAAGCTTCTTCGGGTTCGAATTTTTGTACTTCAATATTTAAAGAGTCCGTTTCGGATTCATGAATTGATGTGGCAGCATCCACCAATGGTGCTGTATTGGAAGTATCCAATGATGATCTATCTACAGTTGACATATTGCTATAATTAAAAGATAGCAAAACTGCGGATTATATATGATTTTTCCTCAATCAAAAGAAACTGGCTTACCTGCCATTTTTTTCACCAAAACACGTTATGTGCAGGATTACCCCCGACGGATATCAGCCGAACATGCGACATTTCTCGTTCCGTTTAAGGATCCGTTTGTGTTTATTAGGAAAAAATTACTAAGCGGCCACACTTTTGGATGATAACGGTACGTCGGGGAACGACATTGGTCTGGCCATAGACATCTCGGATTTAGCGCTTGAAGGATATCCTGGGAAATGGGTAGATCTTCTAATCAATTAGTGACTGATTAGTAAATCATCCGAAGGCACTTCGTGAGCCACTCGTAAGGCACTGGTGAGGCACCTGTTAGCCACTCAATTTTTTCTTATGATTTTTGAAAGCTGAGCTTTTGTAATAACTATTAACTGGGAAAAGTTTTGCACGTGATGTCATCATGCGAAGTTACCTTCAGTAAGAAATCAAAGAATGCGAAATAACCTCACTATGAATCAATCTTCAAATACAACTACCACCGTTACTGAAACTAATACTGAAGTTAGACCTATACTAAAACTTCGTAACCATAAGAAACCCAATAAAGTGAAATGGACAGAAGAAACTGTTGATAATGAAAATATGGGGAAAAAGAAGACTAAGATCTGTTGTATCTATCATCCTGCTGATGGTGCTGAATCATGTAGTAGTAGTGAGAGTGAAAGTGATGCCAGTGATTTTGAAGGAGATGGAGATGCTGGCCCTAATGCTTATGAAAAACAACCCCAATATAAGAAATAGATGGAGTGTAGATAATGAATGAAATGTAAATAATGATTAATTGTGAACTCTCTCTTCTTTGGCTCGAATAAATGAGATACTCTACACAAACAGTAGACACCGTCATAACACAAAGACTGTCAAAAGACCGTCACGATACAAAGACAAAGAGATCATAGAAAAGTCATTAAATTATCTATTATATGCACATGATATTAGTCATCTTCGGGATTAACAATCTTTAATTTCCTCGAGTAATCGATATTATCTCCTAAGGATTGGCTTGAAAAGTTATTATTAGTAAATAAAGGTTCCAACCTAGAATCATGTTTAGATGATTCAAACTCGGTTATGGGGAACATTTGTAATCCATCGAAATCTTCGTTAGTGATTGGATTAGGGGAATCAGGTTTCATTCCACTATTCAATTTTTTCTTACTTAAATTTCTGGTTAATCCTCCCATTGACGATTCTTTACCTAAGATTGAAAAAATTGATTTATTGGAATTGTCCCTCTTAAGGGATTGAGGGGTGGATTGGTTTATTGAATTACCTGATCCATTTTTAGTTATTAGAACTGGAGCTTTTGTACTTTCATCACTGGAATATTGTTGTTCTTCATCACTATAGTCATCGGATTTCCGTCCTCCGACACAGAAACAACAATAAATCAATCCCAATACTAATCCTAGAACAACTACTCCTACAGCAGTGAAAGTCCCTGCAACTTTCCCCTTGGAATCAAAAAAACTTTTATTATTATGGGGTACCTCACTTGAAGCGGCTGACGTCGAAGTACCTGAAGTAGATTCAGGGGTAGGGTCAGCAGTGACAAATTCCGTCTTAACGATCTCACTACCACCAACGGTTTTTATGGAGACGATGATTGAAGGTTGTTGAGTTATTGAACTATCCTCGGAATTTTGGGATTCTGAAACTGCGGTTGATAACGATTCCGAAGTGGAACTTGAAATTGATGATGATGAAACGATCTCTGAACTGGACTCTGTAGAAACCTCTGAAGAGCTAGATGACGTTGGGGATGTTGATGATGGGGATGAAGATGAAGTTGTGGTGGAAGTTCTTGAACTTGAACTTCTAGAACTGGAGGTCCTTGAATTGGTCCTTGAAGGAGATGAGCTTGAACGGGAAGTCGATGAAGTAGTTGTAGAACTTTGTGTCGATGATGGTAACTCTATATCACTATTATTAGCATCATTAATATCTATATATCCATAATAACCCAGTTTTGCACAATTTTCACTAGGATATCCTGGACATTCCTGTTGACAATTACTCATTGAAGTTTGAGATGTAGGTAAATCATTTGAACACCAACAACTACTTCCTTGGACGATCCCATAAGCTGCATTAACACTTATACAGTGAGTCTTACAATACCCATTTGACATAAACTGATAAGTAACTTCATCAGAACCAACATTTGAAGTTGAGCATAAACCTAAAATTAGACCACCATAACTCAACTTCAAGTAAGTTAAAATGATAAAGTATTTCAACATGAGGGAATTTTAAGTAATAAATTCAAAATTTGATTCAAAATTTGGTGAAAATATTGGTAAAATTAATGATCCCTAGTCGATTTTTAGTCACTTTTAGTATGAACGGTCTTATCGAATGTCTAATTGGTCTTGAGGGTCTGGAAAATTTCAGCAACCGTAAAAATTGAGACAATATCCTCTCGTTCCTAAAACGGAAGGTCTTTAAACTTTAAATGTTTCATATTCTGAAACGTAATTGCTTGTTACAGGTTAGTTAGAGGTGGAGTAGATGCTAGCAAAAGCCAAAGAATATATCGTCATTAAATAAGTTTATGTAATTTGAGCCTTTGTTCAATAGTAGTTGATGATTGTTGAAGTTTACTGGAATTTATGATGGAGATTGCCGATAATTGTAATTGTTTTTCAATTTTTGGTGGTAACTTAAATTCCTTATTAGTAAAAATTATCGACGTCAATGAAAAATCTTGATTTTCTTTATCGCTAAGGTTAAATTTTTTGAATTTCAACTCTAATTTATGCATTTCGGGAATAAATTTTTTCATTATTTTGTAATTACTTCCTGATAATTCTTTAAAGTCTTGTGTAAGTTTCATTGTAACTGATCTTATTTCCGGTAATGAAATATTCATTTTACTCATAAATACAATAATCTTTTTGATTATATTCAACTCTGGTTGATAGTATTTCATTAATAATGTTAACTTCTCTTCATCTTTGAAATTTCCTTGTATAATACCATCAATTACATATGAATTAGTATGATCATTGAATTCCGTAGGAAACTGTTTATGGTTAATTATATTGAATTTCACAACCTTATTAAAAATCTTATCGTTGAGTTCCCAATCTTTTAAGTTGACGTCATTCTCTATAAAGGTTTTAAAGTCTTCGTAATTACTACAGTTTTTGAGTAGATCATCAATAATAAGGTTTAAAAAATTTGATGTTATAGGTAAATTAATCATGGAGATTTTATTCAAAAATCTTTCCTTTAAGTAGATATTATTGATACAACTGTAAATTCTCTCATAAGTAATCAAATTAGCCTTTAACCCTGAACTTTCAATCAATTTCAAGATATTTAAGATTTTACTGAATACTAGATTATTATCAATTGACCTGATAGATGAATTAATTGTTAACATTTTGAGTAAATTGTTGAATGTTTCAATGTTAGGATCAACTCCGTCAAGTTTCATGATCAATAATAAATGTCTAGTGAATAAATTCTGATTTTTCTGGAATCCATAGTACTCTATCAATTGATTGAATGTATGAACATTTCTCTTATGTTTGAATTCTTTATTATCGACGTTATGTGTATACAATAGAATATCATTGACCAAACCATTCAAGTTGGAGGTGGTATGTTTGTTGAAGATCTTACAATGAGTGATGAAGTAAATATATTCTTGAAAATTTTCGAATTCACGGGGTGAAGGAATGGGTTTGAAGTGGTACTTGGGGACATTGAATTTAAGACTTTCCTGGTATTTAGCATGACTTTCAAGAATCAAAAGTTGTTTATTATCATCTTTGTTAAGTATTTCTTCAGGAGTGAGTTTAGCTAATAAGTCGATTATTGATTCGAATTTCTTATGAATCTTAAGGAAATCTCCATAAATGACTAAATTATCCTTACTGTTCTTGTCGTGCCAATTCTTCCGACTGGTTTCTGCATCATAAGGGTTGATATCATTATTGAAGATCTTGAGGTTTTCAGTTCCTAAAGGTTTAAGAAATTCTTGGAACTTCCTTCGTTCATGGTTTTTGAAGACATCATTGTTTCTAGCAAGTAACGGAATATTTACAGGTTGGGGTTGGTTCTTGCTAGTGACGTTTGTATCTTTAGTGGTAGTTTGATTTATATCTTCAGTGATAACTTGGGAATGTGATTTGAACGTAGACGTCACTTTTGAAGGTTCATTTATTCGAAGCTGATTCACCCTAGGGTCTCCACGTCTTGTTATCACGGGCTTGGGACGTCGTATGGGTCCCAAATTCTTATATCGAGTGGAAACTCTTATTATAGAGTCTTTAATGATATCCATACTTCGCACATTTCAGTGAGATGAGAATAAGAGGTTTTTAGAGGTAGAGATTATAAAAAATAACACGATATTCGAGACCAGTCATCTTGTTGGGCCCAACCACATCCCTGCCCAGTCTCAGGTCTCCTACACTAAAATCAGTGTGTAACACCATTATCACCAACCTTCAATAAGTAGTTCGCACAGTGAGAAAATTTTTCAAAATATAATGTCATCACCTCAAAGAGAAGGTTTCACTGCCCCATCATCAATCTCCCATGCTGCTCAAGGGTACGTTGCATCTAAATCCTTAGGTGTCAAATATCATTGTGCTCAATGTGGATCTAGTTTTTCCTTGAATAAAACTGATGCTATCAGATGTAAAGATTGTGGACACAGAGTTATTTATAAAGCCAGAACTAAAAGAATGGTTCAATTTGAAGCCAGATAAATGATTTTATCATGAAACAATTGTTGGTACGAGTTGTTACACCTATACCAATCATCAAAAACTGTCCACAAGGATGAATTTAATCCCACCATGAATCAATAAGCAGGTCGAACCTGCTTAAATTAGCGATAAAGATATGATAACGCATGTATTATAGAATATATATTTAGTATTACAATTGACTATCTAATTAAACATTATACCTAACTAAAAATTTTCTTTAATTTTGACATAAATCCACTTTTCTTCTTTGGTTTTTCTTCTTTAGTTGGTTTAGTTGGTTTCTTTTCTTTAGATTGTTCTTTTGGTAAGTTGGAAGTTAATCTCTTCTTTTCAGATTCAGTTGGTTGAATTTCTTCAACAGTAACTTCACCATTTTCTGAAGCAACAATTTGTTCAGCAATGTTATCACCTTTACCTTGAGCAATAACAATTTCGTCATCTTCATCATAAGATGGTTTAGCTGGAGCAGCAGTGACTTCTTTTTCTGGAGAGTTTGGATCTAATGAGTGGTATTCTGGATCTTCTGGGTTTAATTCTTTGGCGACAGGTTCTTCAGTCTTGGTGGCTTCTTCCTTGGTTGTTTCGACTGGGGAATCAGCTGGTTTATCAGCTTTGATTGGTTCAACAGGAGTTGGTTCAGCTACTGGTACAACTGATTCGGCAATTGGTTCAGCAACTGGTTCAGCGACAGGTTCAGCAACTGGTTCGACAGGTTCATCAACTGGCTCAGCGACAGGTTCAGTAACAGGTTCAGCTTCTTTGGTAATTGGTTCAGCAACAGGTTCAACACTGGCAGTGGTGGCTAAACCAGCAGCAGCAGCACCAGTACCTACAATGGCAGCAGCAGCAATTGGAGCAGATTCTGGTTCTGGGGTGTTTTCAACACTTTCTTCAGTTCCAGTAACTTCACTAGTAGATGGGGCAATATCTTCAGTTGAACCAGCAGCAGCAGCAGCCTTCTTCTTCTTTTTAGCTTTGTATTGAGATCTTTTGACTTTCTTCTTTTGTTTCTTCTTTTCTTCAGCTGTCATTTCTTCATTGAAAGCTTTGGCATCAATGTTAGTGACAGGTAAATTCTTCGCAGTCTCTAATTCTTCACCTTTTAAGATAGCAATACCTGGTTCTCCACCTAAAGTTGGATGTTCAGGTTCAGTTTGTGGCATAACAGTGGTTTTAAATTCATCAACAGGAGCTGGAGCAGCAACTAAACCACTAGCTTCTGGGATTTTACTTCCATTAGCACTGGAAGCAACTAAATCTGATTGTTCTAAAACATTATTTTCATTACCACTTTCATCAGTAGTGATTTTTTCATCTTTAGAAACCACCCATACACCATCAACGACATATTTATACAATAATTTTTCATCTGAAGGTAAAGGAACGGTTAATTCGAATGAACCATCGGCTTGTTTAACTAAATATAAGGATTTTTTCCAATCATCAAAAGTACCAGTAAGGATAACTTCTTGAGGACCTTTTGGCCTATAAAGTTAGTATTATAATCTTCATCACAACATGATGTTTGTGTAACATCAACACAAACTCCGACATATGAACTGATGGAATAAAATGAATATGAAACTGTTGAGGTGAAAAATTGCTATGAACCCAAAAAATGAACCCCTTGAAAAATTCATCACAAGACCCTAGAAATTTCGGAGTTTAACAACTCGTCACCTGACATTCGAGCCATCTTTCAATATCACCGCAATCTATGTAATTGAATGTTTAATAGGTAACATACCATTTAAAAGTAAAAGTTGACATCTTTGCAAATACAAACAAAAAGTTTTAATCCTTTTTTCGTCTAAGATTTTCTCAATTTCTGTTGAGCTATTTTTAGTGTGTGACCAGAAAGTTGGTCATGTGAGCACCGTTAGATTGACGTGAGATGGAGGGTCAGGAAAAGGGCAATGATGGAGAGGGAAGTAGATTATGTTGGAATATCTGTTTGGAATTGAAAGATTAGGGTTGTGATGACTGACCAGGGACAGAAAAGGAAACTTTTTTATATTCTTAAAAATGGTGTCCATAGATGTGACGGTTTTAGTCAGTTACATAGTCACACAGTTACTGGGAACTAACTGGGTCAGATACATCCATAAACAGCCACCGGAGTCCGATTGCTAAATACAGTAATTTTTCAATGTCTCACATTACGGGTACCTTTGGTAGTACACGACCTTTTATTCCCTAAGGTTGTTGGTTAGATTTGGGCACATCTCCGAAATAACTTAAAAGGATCGGTAATAAACATAAGGAATGTAATACTGCCACTAAGATCAAACTTAACCACATACGGAAATAATAAACTTCAAAGATCTTGGATCTGGTAAATGCAAGCACCAAAATACCCAAGATCTTGGTGATAGCAATACCTCCCAATACCGATCCTCCTATACCAACTAAAGTATTATATGCTTTGATGGTAGGGATATGTTTAATGTCTTGATTCATGAAACTATTGAACAGTTGTTCGTCATCGGTTTCATCGAGGGTTATAGGAGCTTTCAAGTAACCTTTAGTTATATGAATACAGAATTCTACTGCAAGTCCCATACAAATTATAAGGTTTACAAGGGAAACTGCATTCAATGAAATCCCCCAGACGGCCAATATACCTCCGATATTAACCATAATGGAAGTAATCGTCACTACTAAAATGATACTATTTCTCCATGAACCTAATAATATCAAACTTACACCTCCGATTATCACCAAAGCTATGGACAACAAAATGAATGTCAAACTTATAATAGTGTCATATTGGACGAAGAAAACGTAAAATGGTGAAAAGGCAAATATGTTTAATGGATTCTCTTGATACTTATTAATTTCCTCTACTATCCTTAATGAGTTCTGGAAAGCCACAATAAAATCTTGTTGTGATCTTAATGGACCATGACTGGTACGGAAATAACTAGAGATAATGCTGTCGTTATAACTGATAGCATTCCCATAAGGAGCTTTCCCACCTAAAGGACATGGATCACTAGGAGATTCAATCCATTGATTAAAGTAAAACATGAACTCATCTCCCTCGGGTAAACCTTCCATGGAAATGTTATATGGAGGATCATGATCGGCATAACATACCTTACACATACGATCAGGAGCTGTAGGAGAACAGAACTCTGAAGGGCTGTTTTTCTTCAATCTACAACATTCATCTAGGTTAGGATTTAGCCAAGTAAAGAAATCATCCAACCAATTACTTAATGGATCTACAATCGTAGATTTGTCTGATCTCTTGTACTCTTGTTCGAGGACATTAGATAAAGAGAATTCTTCACAAGTTGAAAATTTCCCACACAATTTCTGTTGGTTAGCTCTTTCTGTGATATCAAGATCTTTCACTACCAAGAACATTGGAGGACCAACGTTCAAGAATTCGTAAACAGAATTGAAATAGTCAATAAGATATGATTCTCTGGGTAAAGCTATTTTCTGATCCAACCCCAACTCGATATATGGAATAAGACTTAAGGAAACACCCAACCATAATACGAACACCGTTAAAATCTTTGGTTTGGTGGTTCTAGTTAAAATCTTTGGGGCATAAAATTTCCTTATTAAGCCACTGAAATCCAAATTAATATGGGAAACTTCTTCTTCATCGTCTTCTGGTAACTCTAAACTCAATTGAACCCAAGGCACACAGTCCAATCGACCAGATTCTAATCTTTGTTGATCAAGTGACAATAAGGATATGAAAGTAGTCATTTGTAACACAAAGTTAATGAAAATAGCACCTGCTGAATAATAAGCAAAGTTTTTCACAGCTGGCATATCAACATTGGTAGCTAACAAAAACATGGATATTTGAAGAATAGCTGAAATAAAGCAAGAAGGTCCTATACTTTTCAAAGCTTGAGAGATTCTATCTTCAACAGGCAAATCTTTACTGGCTTCTAAGTCATTGATTTTGTTCAATTCATGAACCATGAGGAAGATATTATCAATACCAATGGCCAATACCAAGAAAGGTATAACTTCGGCGATAATTAAAGTGGATTTCAACCCTATCAAAGCGAAGAAACCCAACGATGACACTACCGAGAGGAGGATAATCAATATACCTCCCAAACCTAATAAAAATCTGGTATGAATCAAAGTTTTCAAATTGGTGGTTACGGGGATTCTTCCTCCCAATGAGATGGAAGCATACAAGAACATTAACAAATATGAAATGATGACGATTTTGATATCGGTGTTAGAAGAATTATTCAATTCTTCAGTTAAAGAGATTTCGGTTGAAAATGCGATGTTTAAGTCAGGATGATGTTTTTGTAACTCAAGTAACCAATCTTTTAATGCCGACTCATATTTCTCAACTCTTTCATTATACTGCTTGTTCTTCAGATCATTGTTCAATAAGATAGTCACTACAAATGCCTTTGAATTCAATACGTCGTTTGTGTCGAACAATAAATTTGGTTTCAATGGTTGTTGGAACGTAGGTAAGCAATTGACTGGACTGGAAGCACAATCAGAAATTTGACTTTGCCAGGTATCGGGCGTAAGATAACCAATATAACCACCAAAGTATTGAGTGAAAGATTCAATGACACAGCTTTCACCCAAAGGTTTGAAACAGAACTCATCCATAGTGACTGTCTCATTATCAATAATAAATTCCTGAAGTTCGAGTTCTTTCTCAAACCACCATTGAATGGTTTCCCAATTAAGGATATTACTTCCGTTTTTGGCATTGATGATGATTTGTTCAATTCTGAACCATTCACCAAACGTTTCTTCAAAATATTGATAATTCTTAAGGTGAGTTTCTTGAGGACTTACCCATAAATTGACAGGATTGGTTTCAAAAGTTAACCAGAAGTTACCTAACGAGAGTAGGATTCCGGTGAATATTGTTATACCGATAGTGAAACCGGGGAATTTGGCACAGAAGTAAGCTATGTTCCCGAAAAAAGCTTCAATATTCTTAGTCAAATTATAATGAGCTTGGGATATTTGTGCTGTCAATGTATAAGGATTCTCTTGAGGTATAAGATAATTGGCTCTATTGAAACTATCGCCATAATCCGTAGTTCTTAATTGATCTCTCAAACTTATCTTGTTTCTAGCAATATACATATGGAATAATCCAAGAGCAAGTATCATACAAACAAACACAATGATAGTAGCAAATGAGAAACAATGAATGGCACCAACTTTACAGAAACCTCCCAAACCTTCAAATTTAGGCAATGAAGGACAAGATTCCAAACAATCTGAACATGCACATTTATACACTGAATCATTGCAATCTTTCATTGGGGTATGTCTTAAAGTCATTTGATTCAGGTCATCTTCATAAGCGAAATTGATTTGGAACGGAGAACCTCCCAATAAAGGTTTTTCATCACCCAAAAATTTCAAGAATTGTTGATAATTCTTTGCTCCACCACCTATCAAATCCATGGCATAACCATTAGTAGCAGAGAATTTCAAATTCTTACAAGAATCGAAAAACTTCGAAGCTGTTGAAGGTTCAACATACTGAGTGAGTTCAGTAATGATCTCCTTTTGTGTATCTTTAGCAATAGTAGTTTCAGTGATGTTAACAAACATTGATTGGTTGGAAGAACAGGTGAATTCACAGAAGAAATCGTAGAAATTCTTCCTACAAGCTGGACATGAACTGATTAAAGGATCAACTTTCTTCAAATTGGCCTGTAAACTCAAAATCTGGTCATATGAACAACAAACTGTATCAATGGATAAATCTCCACAAATATCCTTTAAGATTTCTACTGATTCAGGGTCAGGTTTGACAGCTTTGATATTATTAGGACATGGTAAAGAAGCACCAAAAACAGATTTTTTCCCACAATTATCATACATAGCACAAACACCAGGTTCATGGACCATAGCAGTGATGCCAATGGCTAACAATAACCAATATATGATAAGTTTCATCAGTGGTTAAGTAAGTAGAACAAAGTGCGCAGATGATCGTTATCGCAACTCTCAAAACCCACATTTACACCGCGTATGTTGATTGGGATTTCTGGAACCACCAGCAGTGGGAAGACCGAAGTAGCGAGATATTTGACATTCCAGGGATTTACATTGATTGGAATCAAAGGAGAATCCAATGGAGTCACGACCAAAAGTTCAGATATCGAAACTGATGGTAATATATATACCTCATCGATGGAATATCAACAATTTGAATCATTGAATGAATTGGTTGATTATGTGACATTAAACTGGAGAAGTAACTTTGTATTCAACAATCTCGATCAAATTGAAACTTTAAACATTTTCCAAAAAAGACCTTTCTTTTTACACATATCAGTTGATGCTCCTATGAATTTACGATACCAAAGATATAAAGCCAAAAATCAAATAGATATCACTTTAGAACAATTTTTGCAAGAAAATGATAAGAAATTATTCTGTAATGAGAACCCGTTGATTGAAATCAATAACCAAGCCAATATTAAAATCATCAACACTTCCAATTCCATTAAGAATCTCTTCATAAAATTATCTGAATTGAATTTGATTGATTTATCTCGATTAAGACCTAGTTGGGATTCATATTTCATGAGATTAGCTGATTTAGCAGCATTGAGATCAAATTGTATGAAACGTAGAGTGGGGTGTGTAATAGTAAGGGGGAATACTGTGGTAGCTACAGGTTATAATGGAACACCTAGACATTTAACTAATTGTAATGAAGGAGGATGTGATAGATGTAATAAGGGACAAGGGTCAGGTGCGGCATTATCAACATGTTTATGTCTTCATGCTGAAGAAAATGCATTATTAGAAAGTGGTAGAGATAGAATTAATGGTCATAAAGATGGTAGTACATTATATTGTAATACATGTCCATGTTTAACCTGTTCAATAAAAATTGTTCAAAGTGGTATAACTGAAGTGGTTTATGCTCAAAGTTATTCAATGGATGAAGCTACGCATAGAGTCATGCTGGAAGCAGGGATCGTTTTGAGACAATTCTCTCCGGCTAAAGATGGGATTTTTATTTAGTTATTTAAGATTCTTCAAAAAAATAAGGACTAGCACTTTCTTCAGCTTTAACACTAATAGACTCTAAGATTTCTCCATCTACACTTAAACTAGCATCTAAAGTTTCACCTGGTTGAACTGGACCAACCCCTTTTGGTGTACCAGTTAAAATTAAGTCTCCCTTTTGTAATGTCATAATTGACGACATATGAACCAAAATTTCTTCAATAGGGAAAATCATTAAATCGGTTTTATCGTCTTGTTTAACTTGACCATCAACTGATAATTTCAAATTGACATTATAAGGGTCGGGGATCTTGGATTTAGGGATTAATCCTGATAATGGTAAGAAAGTATCGAATCCTTTAACTAAAGTCCAAGGTAATCCTTTAGCTTTAGCTTCATTTTGAACATTTCTTGCTGTCATATCAATGGCTAAGGCATAACCTTCAATAGAATCAATGGCATCTTGTTTGGAGAAAGTAGTTGGTAAATGTTTTAAATCTTTATTCAAGATAAATGCTAATTCTACTTCATAATGAGCACTGACACCTTTAGGAATAAGTAAAGGACCTTCACCTGGTTTTAAGATTGAAGTTGGAGGTTTCATGAAAAACATTGGTCTTTTAGGTCTAGCATTACCTAATTCTTTGATATGGGCAGCATAGTTTCTACCTATACATAAGATTTTTCTTGAATTTTCAATGTATTTGAGGGACATAATGAATGGATAAATGGTAGAGTGCGACAGAGATAGGGAAAGTGGTGCGAATTGTGCCAGGTGAGAGAATATGGTGCGAGGAAAATTTGGTACCACCATCGAACTTAGCGTGAATTGTGAGAAAATATGGTGGGAGAAAAATTTGGTACTCAAACTTAACTTAGCGTGAATTAAGTGTAAAACTACAACTATTTATTATACATCAACCAGACCAGAATTGATAAGCCTGAGGTTTAGTAACACTCAAAGGTAAATTATTAACATCAGACGTATCCTTACTATTAGACAAACTATCAGATAAATCAATCTTCTTATTGAATTCCTTATTAATCTCTTTTATTGATACTGGAGTCAATAAATCATCTAAAAGATTGGAAATTTCTGGTATTTGATTTGATTTTTTGAAATTCATAATCTTTTCATATTGTAACCATCTTTCAATTGAAAGTTGTTTCCTTTCTAAATTCAATTGGTTTTCGATGTTAACTAAGTTATCTTCTAATAAAGATAAATTATTCAATTTCAAATTAACTTTTTCTAAGGTTAATTCAGTTATTTGATTAATTAAACCAGTAGAATCTTTATTTATGTCATCCAATTTTTGTTGAGAGTTCTTAGTTAAAAGTTCTTTACCTTCATTTGATTTGATGATTTGTTCAACAACTTTCTCAACTAAATTCTCCTTTGTTGATGATTCTTTGGTGATGGATTTTGTATCAATTAACTTATTCAAATATTTATCTTCAATAGGTAATTGTATAAATTTCAAAATACATTGTTGTTTTGATTTTGTACCAACATGATTACTGATTCTTTCCCATTGATTAGAATTCTTAGTAAATTGAGATAAATTTTCGGCAGGATCATTACTAGTTATATCATTAGTACCAAACATTTCAATTCCTTCTAATAATAAAATTATATCTTGTTCAGTCCAAATATCATTATCTTTTTGTTTTGAAAATTTTAAGAAATCAGTTGATTGGAAATTTGATGGGAATAATCCTTGTTGGAAACATTCTTCTGATATATTATTACCATTATTGATACTTGGAGCTATGTTACTTTGATCTTTAGATTTCAAATTATGATATCTTACTTCATTTGTATCTTTACCTGCAACATTACAAATATATTGATTAGTATTTTCTTTAAAATCTTTGTTTTCATCATAAATATTTCTTCTAACTTCCAAATTTAATGGGATGGTTTTAAAATCTTCGTCAGAACTTACAGGTGAAGGTAAATCACCATTTTCTTTGATTGGAGATTCATTGATTATTTCAACATCTTCTGCGATAAATGGTACTAAAGCTCTTGGAGTATCTAAAACAATTTGAAAATGTCCAGTATATTGAGGAGCAATGGTGGAAGGTTTAGTTCTTGGATCAATTTGATAATTAATTAATCCCCATTTCTCTAAAAATTGATGTATTCTAATAATACTTGCAACATCTCCTGATAAACTACGTCTTAAAGCTGTAACAGTTAAATATTCTATGGGGTTTAATCTATAACAATTGATCATGAAATCTCTAGTGTATTTATAACTGTTGGCACTTTTATAGGAAGATTTGGAAGTTTCATCAAAGAAATCAGGAAACAGGGTCTTTTCAATATCATGAATTTCATTCATATCAAACCATTTAGAGAATGATGGCATTATGATGTGTTTACCTTGTTCCACAAGATATTGTTGAGCTCTATCTTGGAAGGAAGCTTTAGCTTTGGCGATATCTATAGGTTTTTTTTCTTCAATTTTAACTCCATTATTATCTTCTAATTGAACTTCCATTGGAGTTTCAGACTCTGATACATTTACTGACATTTTAATGAACTCTGGAGATTATTTTCCTAAGATGGGAGGGGGAGTTGATAAAATGTGAGGTTGTTAACGGGGTTCTTCTTTTCTAGGATTCTAACTGTTTTTTCCTAGTTAATGTACAGATTCAGTTGAGTCTATGAGAATCTCTCGTTGAACTTTTTTGTTTTTTCTGACAGACTTTCTCAATATCTGGAACGGACACGACTTTTGATTCTAAAAAACGCGTACGGTTAAACATTTATAAGTGATGAGTATTATGGTAAGAAGATCTGGGAGAAAGGTGAAACAAGTGGAGTATATAGAAGGTGAAGATTCTGATTCTGGGTCTGAACTGGAATATGAAGAAGTCAAAAGGCGGAAAATCAAGTCCAGACCTCCTAAATCAACAGGTAGAACCGTAAGTGACACATTCATAGAGAATCAATTATATCAATCACTTTCCAATCCTGAAGCGTCAATTGATGAATTGGCTATTCAATGGATTGAAGATTATGAGAAAGATGAAGAAAATGATGAGAATTTGGCCATAACTGAATTAATTAACTTGATTTTAAGATGTTGTGGATGTTTACATCTCTTTCAACCCCATGATCTTGTCAATTTAGAATCTGCTGGTGATACTGTAGCAGAATTAGTCATTGTATTTGAAGACCAGGGCACTCATGAATATCCCTTTGTATCAAATCATAAAGATTCGAGATTTTTCAAGACCAATGTGTTGGAATTCTTTGAAAAACTTACTAGTATTTGTCATAATAAGGAATTATTGTATAAGAGTTTTGAACATTCTGAAGAATCTTTAAGTTCTCCTTTAATCACCAAAGTTTTCACTTGGTTATTGTCCTTAAGTATTTGCACCATAAGACCTTTAAGATATATTTCCACCTTAATCTTGATGAAAATTCAAACTGAATTAACTTTAATAGCTAAAGAAATATGTGAAAATATCGAAATTACACAAAATCAACTTACTAATAGTAAAAAATCCAAAAGAAGTAAACAGGAAAGAATAGCCATTATTGACACCAATTTGAAACGTTTAAACCATCAAAAATCAACTATTATTGAATATTTTAATGATATTACCCAATCTACGTTTGTCAATAGATATCGAGATATTGATCCGTTGATCAGACAAGAATGTATGGCAGCTTTAAGTGATTGGATGATTAATTTCCCTGAATTTTTCTTTCAATCGACATATTTACGTCATATTGGTTGGCTTTTATCGGATCCCAACAACAAGGTTCGAAGTGAAGCTTCTAAATCTTTATTGAAATTATACAAACATACCAATGGGGAAAATATCATGGATTCAGGGTTTAGACAATTTACTGAAAGATTTAAACCTCTGATTTTTAAGATTTGTTATAATGATAATGAACCCAGTGTTAGAACTAATCTTCTTCAGGTCTTAGGTGAGCTCTTTAAGTTAGAATATTTATCTTACGATGAGTGTATAACGGTGATTCTGACATTTTTCCAGTTAATCAAATATGGTACGGATTTCAGTAAATCTAACCAGGAAAAGATGGTTCAAGAGGTTGGGAAGTTCATAAACATTGTCAATATTGGGAGATTTCAACAATTGAAGGATCAATTCGATGGGTTAATGGCTTGTGAAGGTTTTGATGTCAATGAAGGTTTGAAATTTAACACTTTAATAGAGATTTTTAAACATGCAAGTTCACTGGTTGAACAAATGTCCATTAAAGTTCATGAAAACTACCCTGTGGTGGCTATTTTCAAAACTTTGTATCCATTGGCTTTCTATCATAAATCCTGGGAATTCATCATCAAGTACTTATTGGTAGATATTGATGGAATAGAGATGGATCCGGAATTACGTGAAATTCTAGATTTAGATACTATTGATAAAGGATTTTTGCTCCAAATATTCCATGGCTCTTTGAAGTTCATGGTCAATAGAAAGAAAGCTGATAATGAAATTGATGATATAAAGAATTTCTTACCGAAATTGATGCCAGATTTGAACCAACTTTTGTCTGTTGTCACTAAAAATGATGGGTTACTCGACGTATTTATAAGTATTTGGAATACTATACTTGGTGACGTCAACAACATCCATAATGTTTATGCTACGTTCCAAGGTGAAAATGTTGTTGATTTGTATAATAAGATCAATACCTCAATTTTAAGAGTTTTGAAAGGTGATGTGGTGTTTGATAACGTTGACCACTTCTTGAAGGTCATGTTCTCTGGGTATATGACATCGGAAATAAAAAATTGTGCAGATGAAGTGTTGAAGAGTTTAGTCGACATTTGTAATTCAGGGCTCGAATCATCCAGTCCATTTAGTAAGTTGGTTGATCCACTACTGAAAATCAATACTTTAGGATCATTTACTGATATTACAGATTATGTTGAGCAATCATCTACTGAAGTATTACCAGTGATTGATGTTGTGAAGTTGAGGATTGATGAGTTGGACTTCAACACCAGTACCTCAGAAAACTTGAACCAAATGAATGAGTTCTTCAAACAGTTTTTGGATACAGTTTTGATTGTGAGTTCTTCTAAATTAGAAACTTTGATTGGTACCGAAAACCAACTGTTCTTCGATATCAACAGAATGTTTGATAATTATAATGAAATATTTGATACCCTCCTCAAGCTTTTTGGTGATGCTGATGTGTTGGTTGAGGAGTATGTAAATGACCTGAGCCGTGAAGAGTATGTTAATGAATTGAATCAATTCAGAACTATTGTTATGATTAAATTAATCGATCTTGTGGTAGGTTTAAGAAGATTTTTTATGAAGTTCAATAACTCTAATTCATTCCAACATTTCAATGAATTCTTCAATAACCACAAAACTTTGTCTACGCTTGTCAAGGATATACCAGTACAATTCCAAAATAAGTTGATGAGCTTGTTTGTACTCAAAGAAAAAAAGTTAATGTCAATTGAGTTGGAAGACTACAATGAGTCACGTCATGAAGGTCAACTTGAAAATGCAAGAGCAGCTCAAAAAGCTTACGAGATGAAAAATTCCGCTGACAATGATCTTATAGTGTACACGGTGAAACTATTCGGTCTCCTTAATGAGGGATTGGTTGATGAAAGTGTTTTGGACCGGATAAAACTCAATAAGGATTCAATAGGAGGGTTTTATCGTACTATAGTTCAACGATATGAGGATAAATTAGCGAGAGTAGAGCCTGAGGTACGTCTGGCAGATAATCAAGCTGTTCTGACCGTACAATCTACCGATCCCCCTATCCAACCTACACAAGATAACTCAGATTCCTATCAATAGAGCCCAATCAATAGAGCCTAAAAAAATCACCTCGATGGTGTCATAATTCGTATATATATATATCATTTATTTACTCTCTTTATCTTCAAATCCTTCAAATCCTCTTTAGAATCCAAAGGTTTAAGTGATGGTGAAAGCAGGACATTCCTAAATTCTGAAGTTGGAGGAGTTTCCACCAATCTTGGAATTACCGTTTTAGCACTTGTTTCAATACTGGGGAAAGGTTCATGAATTTCCTGTTCAGGAGTTACCACTGCTGGTGGCAGCATTGATCTCACTGAATCTAAAGCTCTGACTGGGGCAGCTGTATGAATAGCAAGCGATGCATTATTGGAGGAAATTATTCCTGTTGAAATACTTTTCAGTAAATGACGAGTTCCTGATTTTGAGCTTTGAGGAGTAGAAGATTGGGAACTATGGGCCTTTTCCACAACAGGTCTTGTTTTAGAAATAGTTGGTACGGACATTGATGAAGGAGTAGAAGTTTCTGAACATCTCTTCTTCTTCAGAAGTTTAGGTTTGTCAGTTTTGAACCGTGGCATATCACAAGGAAGGAAATCTGAATCCTTAGATTTCTTATAAATTCTAAGAATTCTGTTTCTCACTTCATAAGCTGGATCATGTCTAAACACTCTGATAAGTCCATAATCATCAGTAGTAATAATAATAAGTCCTTGATTACCATAATCGACTTCTTCTTCTTCAGGTAAATGGATATCATCAAATTTATGTAAATGGGAACAAAGTCTTGCTCTCTTAAGTAAGTCAAAGATCAAGTCATCTGATAATTCAAGAAGCTTCTTAGTGGAATTAGGAGCAAAGATAGCAGCATTAACATTAGAATGATGAGCATGAAATGAAGCATAACTACTGTTTTCATTAGATATCAAATCAATTTCATTATTGTGTAACACTTCTTTATGAAGTTTATTGAAAAGTTTATTCTTTAGAAGTAATTTATAATACTTTTCATGTTTAGCTTCCAATTGATTAAGTTGATGAACCCCATCATTGATCATTTCTTTAACAGCACCTCTTAAATTATTGTTGATGATTTGATTGTTATTTTCCCATATATACACCCAATGATCTTCTGATCCTGATAAGACATACCGATAATCATCAGTAATAGAAGCTTCAATTGATCCTGAATTGGTAGCTCCTTTGAATCTGGTCACTAATTTCTTGTCTTTAATACTAACTAATCTGATTCTAGAATCATTGGTAGTAACTAAGTATGACCATTTTCTATAATCAATAGTTTGATCATCATCCGAAGTCTTTAAGACCTTGATATTGGTTACTTTATTACCATTGGTGTTACTAAGAGGAACTATACTCTTCTGTTTGATATCAAACTTATTAAGAATATGTAATCCTTTAGTTTCAAGTACGGCCATATTCCCATTGAAACCCCCAAAAACACAATGTAATCCATCAGGGGTAAAATTTGCGGCGGTGATTAACATTTCATCTCCAAGGTATCTTCCATAAGCGATGTTTCTTTCTAGAATCGACCATATTCTTGCTTGATTATCCAAAGATCCACTTAGGAAGAATCTATCATCATTAGGATGGAATTTTACCGTGGTTACGAAATCTTCATGTTGAAAAGTTGCCAATGCTGATGATCTATCGATATGCCATAATTTGACTGTCTTATCCATACTTCCAGAAACGAGGAAATTGTTCTTACTCCAATCGATACTTAGAACACTATTACTATGACCTTTAAATACTTTAACAGGTTTTTGATGAAATACTGGGGCATATGGATATACCGTATCTTCATGATGTTTGTGAGCAGGACTTTTAGATTGAGATTTATGATGAGCTTCGTAGTTATTATATTCCATTCTTCCCAAAGGTGAACATATTACTTTCCATACTTTAATAACAGAATCTCTTCCAGCAACTGCCAAATACTTCCCATCTCTACTAAATTGCATGACAAAGATTTCTTTACTTATCTTACTATTGATAATAGGATTCTGACTAGTAACATCATGTTCAACACTATCTTCGGAAACACTATGAGAATCCGATTCCGTATCATCATTTAATTCTTGGGCTAAAAATAGCCTTTTCAACATTTCCGGACTATTTTTACGTCTATTAGGTTTGGCATACTTTGGTACCATCAATGATTCATGCTTAAAATCTTCCCATGCCAAATTGGGTTCTTCCACCTCATTATTGGATTGAAGTAGTTCATAAAGCTTCGCATCAATGATTTCTGACGATTTCTCATCCATTAACGTACTTTTACCTATGAAGGAATCGGTGGTATGAAGATTGGAATAAGTACTTGACGTTTCTGACGTATCAGCATCATGGGGTGACATATCATTTTCATCATCTGAATTAAAAATACTCATGTCATCTTGATCTATAAATGAATTATCACTCTTCTTACTCTTAACACTTGAAATTCTATTCAAACTTTTGGTATTAACTGGACTAACATCTTCTGACAGGGATTTTCTTCTCATAAATGTCTTAAAAATAGACTTCCTATAACTCCTAGGACTATCATCAATCATAGCACTCTTTGAAGTCTTGTTGCTTTCAGGACTAATCATGTTGCTGTGACAGAATAATAGTGTAACGGAGAAATGTGTTGAAGTCCAACTATTGAAAAATTTAAAACACTTCCAGCAAGCTTATGGACAATTGACAGTTAAACACCAACTTCTGAACGTCTTTTTGTATTACAATCCCTTGGTGACACAATTGCTTCTGAAATTTATAGTGATGCGAAATTGTGATAACGATATACGATGGGAAGTTTCGGCCGTTAAAAAGAGTCCGCTGCCGAGGAATTATTAGGGAACGTTAGGGAACGTTAGGTAGGGTAAGTAGAATAATCAGATTAAATGATTGGACACGATCAATTTGGTGGCGAACTCGTATGCCTGATCCTGATCCATGACATGATTCCATGTCATCTAGTAACAATATCCATGTTGGCCGTAAATTACTATACACATTACTTCCTCTTCTTTGACCATTCAAGATGTAAAATTAATGAATGATAACCTTTACCATCTAAATCTTCCAAAGCTCTTTGTGCCAATTCTTCAGTTGCAAAAGAAACATAAGCAAAACCTCTTGATTCTCCAGTATCTCTATTTCTAACAATAGTAGCTCTTTGTAATGGACCATATCTGGCAAATAAAACATTTCTTAACATATCTTCATTAACAATACTATTTAATTGTGATACTTTCAAAGTAGTTGAATCATCTCTAGTATTTTCTTTTGGTAAGTTACCATCAGCATCTTTTCTTAAATGTCTTGGAACATATTTACCTGGTTGATCATTAGCAGTATTATCAGTTTCAACAGTTTCTCCTTTGGCGGTTTCTCCCATAGTATCTTTGAAAGGACATTTGGCAGTGTAATGATCACCTCCACAAATTCTACATTTAATTCTATGACTTGATACTAAGTTAGCCTTTTCTTGAGCTTTTTCTTCTTCTTCTTGTTTTTCCATTTCTTTCCATGATGTAGCTAAATTCAATTCAACTTTTTCCCCTAATTGGGTGGTTCTGGTATCTGGCCCGGGTGGCATATTTCTTTCTTTACCATATTTGATCCAATTTCTTCTTTGGGCAATTAAAGGATGAACTTTTTCTTTAACTTTGATTTCTTTAATTCTTTGAATGATCTTTACTTTTTTACCTTGGTTGTTGATACCATAACTGACAACAGTTTTGGTTCCATCTGGGTTGGTGGTGATTTCTGGAGGTGGGGCTGATAAATCATCCTGGGCATCGGCCCATGAAGCTATAATTCCAGTAGACATTTAGTATAGTGAAAAATCTTTTTCGTTTTTTTTTTTCTCAATGGTGATGATGGACACGACTTTTTTGTTAGAGGGTTGAGATAGTAGAGGTTGGTAGTTGGAGTGGTGTTGGGGGCTGGACTGGCTGGGATTGGACTGGCATGGATGGGGACTAACGGATTCGAGAGATTTGTTGAATGGTAATTTCAATATGAGAGTACGTTTATTCAGGTTCTGAGATAAGTCCATATAAGGTTCTATACGATGAAGCCATATATTTGGGTTCTATAAGATAACTCTAAGGTATCTGATGGGTTTGATTAAATAGTGTTGTAGGTAATCACAGTGTGTTACCTCTTGTGCTACCTACCTCCTGCCACCTCCAAATCTTCTAGTCCCACTCTCCACCTTTCTCACCTTCTACGCTAACTTCCTCACTCAATTCTGCAAATTTCACGATTCTTGTTACTCCCCCTACAATCATTCAAGACCTTTCAAGATTAAACTTGATATCTCTGATCTCCTATAAATCTCCTCATGTGCCCCCCAATTACCGGTGAGAAACTCATATTTTATACCCCATTTCTTCAAAAACTCTACTAAAAGCTCAGACTGTTTTATAGAGATCAATTCATCTTCTAAGGAATAAACCACATTTATGACAGTTTCCTCATTCATCAACTTACATGGTTTGATATCTAAAGAGATTTGAAATGCTTGTTTCATATGATCATCATCTTCAAAAGCACATCTGGTAAAAAATCTATAATCAGGATACTCTTCAAGTAACTTCCATACATCGAAGATTCCATCAAGTAAGTAAACATTCTTCAAGACCATTGACTCTAAGAACTCAAATCCTTCGGTAGTAATCTCCTCAGGTCCCTTGGATGGTAATCCATTCTTAATGATAATGTCATAATTCAATAATTGTAAGATCAATGATGAACCTACTGAATGTCCCACCATCAGGACAATATTCAACTTCAATTTTTCCACAATAAACTTCATCCCATGGATGACGTCAATCAAATGTCTAGGATGTTGGAAAGGTGGAGATGCTTTCAATTCTTCATCAGTGTTGGCTTTTGGTGATAAACGATAATTCATCGATATCACATTGATATCATTAAAATCCTTCATCAAAGGTTCAAAGTCATTCAAGGTATTATTAGGGTCTCTCCAACCTCCACCATGAAGAAACACCACGGTATCGGTGGTTTTATTGACTCGTTTAAATACCTTCAATTGTTGAAGTTCATGAGATCCATAGTGATACATATTGAGAAAGAGTGAGCACAATTATTTAGTCTAATATACAATATTTAAAAGTTTTGAGGCCGATGAGCATCATAGGAAGATATTTTGAAACGCATGGATGCCTGTACCACGCATGGACCACCTGGACACCTGGTCGCAGGGTGGAATTATTAATAGGAAGGACGCATGATAAGACACAGTTCACAATAACCGTTTGATAGACATTTGGGGAGACACAGGTTGAACACAGTTTGGGACACAATAGGACCGTACACCACTACATATAATCAGGTTACATTTAGATTCAATTATTTCATTTCAGATATACAATAAAAAATGGATAAAATAAATTTTGGTCCAACATATATAACATTTCAAATACAAACAACTTGGAGGTTTTAATATCTAGTTGGGGATCTTTCACGGTCTCCGACATAAGAATCTCTATCGTAGCCACCTTCTTCTCTACCTCTGAAATCTCTATCGTAACCACCTCTTCCACCTCTGAAACCACCTCTGAAATCACCTCTACCTCTACCTCTGAAGCCACCTCTGAAGTCACCTCTACCACCTCTGAAGCCACCTCTAAAGTCACCTCTACCACCTCTGAAACCACCTCTGAAGTCACCTCTGAAACCACCTCTACCTCTGAAGCCACCTCTGAAATCACCTCTAAATCCACCTCTGAATCCACCTCTACCTCTTCTTGGAGGTGGGATGAATGGAGAAGTATCATGTTCAGCATTAATAATTGAACCTTGGAATTCAGATTCATTTAATAATGGAATAGCTTTTTCTAATTCATCAGCTGAACCAAATTCTAAAGCACCAATGATTTCGTTAGTTTCATAATCTTTGAAAACTCTAGCAAAAGTTGGAGTACTTTCAGTTTTATCTCTAACGTAATCTTTAAAATCTTGCCATGCGGTACCTTCTGGTAAGTTGGTAACTTTAACTCTAAATTGACCTCTGGTATCTTCTTTCTTTTCTTTAGCATGTTCAATGATTAATGGTTGACCAGCAAATTCTTGACCGTTTAATTGGTCAACAGCTTTGGTGGCATCTTCACCGTTTTCGAAAGTAACGAAACAGTAACCTCTCATCATTTGAACTTCACTGACAGGACCAGTGGCAGCAAAGAAATCTTGAACTTCTTCGGAAGAGACTAAAATTTGTTAGTAAATGACTTGTTAAATAGTCGCCATTGAAATTTTTTTTCAAAATTTTCAACATCCATCAATCATCACGACGGGAAAATTGTGTACATACCATTGAAATCAATAGGTCTAACAAAGACTTTATTTGGTTCAGTAGCTTCAACAGGTTGTTGGGGTTGTTCAATTTGTTCTTCTGACATTCTTAAACGTTGATGAAAATTTTCGCGCTGCCTTAGAAATGAGATGAATTTCGCAGCCAGCCACATTGGGACAATGTGGTGGAGTGAAGGGGGGGATTTCTAGAGATTTAAGGGGCCAAAAAAACATACATAGAGTAGAGAGCTTACAACATACACAGAGTAGAAAGCTTACAACATACACAGAGTAGAAAGCTCACAGAGTAGAGACAAAGAGTAAAAAGAACAGAAGGGCGAGATACAACATCTATTTACACTCGAAGACTATCTCTCCAACTAACAAACTCTTCAGATAAAAACTCTTTTTCAAATGATTCTTGACTTTCCAACACCACCACGTGATCATTATCGAAACTAACACTATAACTAGCGTTCTTAGACTTATCCAATTCATTAAACCATTCCATTAACCCTGCGAAGAACTTCAATGATGTCATACAATTGATCTTATCTTTCAATAATAAAGGTACTTCATCAGTTTCATATAACTCAATATTCTTGAGTAATAAATTATCATCTCTGAATCCTACACCGATTTTCTTGATCCCTAAGAGGAAACACTGGACCCAAGTTTTATATAATTTGGTCTCGAAGTTTTTAGCTTGGTTTTCATTGTAAATGAGCTTGTTGGTCTTTAACTCGATATAATGAGACAAATTATTATGTTCAGGCTTATAATCAAAGATCCCATCCACTTCTCCTGCCAACAATAACTTTGTTTTACCAATACTGGTCTTCACTACACTGATGGTTTGTTCATAGTTATTTACTTGAGCTTTATGTCTGTTTTCAATCATTTTACGGGTACATTCAGGCCATGGTTTAGGTAACATCACTAATTTTTCAAACTTGTAACCTGAATATTCACATTTTTGTTGATATTCACTTGTAGGGGTGGACTTTCTTTTGTTCAATTCGAACTCGTCATCGTTTTTGATCATAATGTGTCCATCATAAGTTATCAACTTAAGCTTGAAAGGTTCTTTTAAAGTGTGTAATGTCATTAATTTGGTCATAATACCCCGGAAACTTATAATGTCACTATCTATTTTACCATGGGCTTGTTCATACTTCACTATACCGTTCAAAATCGATTGGAAATCACCAATATTCTCTTCTTCAGGGATTTTTTTGAAATTTGAAAATCCACCTTTTAAGTCGAAACTCTTATCGATATAAGCATCAGGGAAATAATAATACGTAAACTCATCAGTTCCATAAACATAATTCCCATCCAAATCTCTGTTGTAAGTCAAAAGTTCCTTGGGTTGCTTGATGGATGCTGACTTAGCTTTATTGGCGATGGAGTACTGTCTTATCATCGGAGATTTTTCATTTCGCACCAAATCATGTTGATACTAAAGCTTCTTTGGTTGTGGCAGTTAGCATTCACAGTTACAGCATTGAATGATGAGAAGGATGAGTTCATGTCTTTTGAAGATTGGAAACGAATCAAAGTGAAAAATGAAACAAATTATAGGAACACGTCATTGGTTTCTTACGCTAACAGTGAGAATCGATTTAACTATGCGTCTATAGATTGTGCCGCCAAAATCATCAGTACTAACGATGGAGCCAAAGAAGCCAAGTCCGTTTTGAAGGATGACAAGGATAGTTATCTTATAAACAAATGTTCCAGCCCGGAAAAATTTGTTATCATCGAATTATGTCAAGATATTCTCATTGATTTGGTTGAGATAGGGAACTTCGAATTCTTCAGTTCAAACTTCAAGAGAATTAAAATCAGTGTCAATGAACGGTACGAGGATAAAAATTGGAAGAGTTTGGGGGAATTCGAAGCGACAAACTCTCGAGATTTACAGAAATTCAAGATTTCTAATCCTATTATATGGGCTAAATACTTGAGAATCGATATCTTAGATCATTATGGTAATGAGTTCTATTGTCCTATATCATTAATCAAGGTCTATGGTAAGACAATGATTGAAGATTTTAAAGAGGAAACCATCAAACAAGTAGAAGAAGAAATCGATGAATGTAAAGTTAGTCCCTCATTGCCATATTTGGAACTAAACCAATTTTTAAGTACTATCCCAGAATATTGTAATGTTGAAGATGAAACCACCACCATACCTCAGGATTCTATTTATAAGAGTATCATTAAGCGTTTATCATTATTAGAATCTAATGCCAGTCTTTCATTATTATACTTACAAGAACAGAGTAAATTATTATCCAATAGTTTTAGTAATCTTCAACAACAACATCAAACAGAATTAGAAGATTTGGTTCGAAGGTTTAATGTTACTGTCAATGAACAGATCTTAAAGCTTGACCAGTTCAATCAGTTGAAATTATTTGAGTCAAATAAGTTAGTCACGGGTTTGGCTAATGATCTATCATTTTATAAGAAATTGTTACTTATCAATTTCTTCCTTTTGATTATTTTACTTATATTCACCATACTATCGAATGAGATCCCATTGGAGATACCAAAACCTACTTATCAGTTCAAGGTAGGTCAGACGAAGAAGAAATATAATAAGAAATTTAAATATAAGCATTAGCATATGAACAAGACTATTTACAGGATTAATATACAAGTTAGTTGTCTTCGAAAGATCTAGAATTTGATCTATCACCGGAGTTTCTTCCGTATCTTTCGTTTCTACCATAAGATTGACTGGAATTTCTTCCGTATCTGTCACCGGAGTTTCTTCCGTATCTATCACCGGAGTTTCTATCGTATCTATCACCGGAGTTTCTATCATAACTTCTCTTTCCATCTCTACCACCAAATTTTTTATCACCGTAGTTTCTATCACCGTAGTTTCTTCCTCCAAAACTTTTATCTCTACCATATCTATCGTTTCTAAAACTTCTATCATCTCTTCCCTTTCCTCCATTTCTGGAGAATCTATCGAATCTTTCATGACGTTTGTTACTATCATGATCTTCATCAATATCAAACACGTTTTGTCTGACATTTCTGGAAATCTTAGATCTTCCTAAAACACTGGAAACTGGGGGGATCTTTTCGTCAGGATGGAATGTTTGATAAACTTCAAGTAAATCAAATAAAGCATCTTCTAAACTGATTCTATAGGTTCCTTCTAACATAGAATAGTAAGCACATAAGGATTTGACAGCTTCACCACCATCATGACGAGATTTCAATTCAACCAAAGTATCTTCAGGAAGTTCATATTCAACAGTCTCATTAAATTTGATTTGCTTTTCTCTTTGTAAAGCTTTGATATACTTGTGCTCAAACTCGGCTTGGAACAATATGGCTTCACCCTTTCTACCAGCTCTACCAGTTCTACCAATTTTATGAATATAATTAGCTAATTCATTACTTGGATTGACTTGTATCACCGAAGAAATGTCGGGGAAATCCAAACCTCTGGCTGCGACATCAGTAGCTATAAAGATCCCTGATTTAGCTCTTCTGAATTCCCTAATAGCTCTATCTCTAGCACTTTGAGTTAATTTACCATGTAACAAATGAACTGAACCATCGAGTTTATGGAAACGACGAGAATCTGATAATACTTCATAATACCATTGAGTACTTAAAACTGTTGGAAGAAAGATAATAATCTTAGCATTACCTTGTTTTAACTTATTCAAAGCGACATCCATTGACCCAAACATTGATTGTTTGAGATTTTTGGTTTTATAAATAATTTGGTTGATATTTTCATGAGCTTCAGTTTTAGCTTCCTCAACACAATCAATATACTTGTAATCTTTACCAATGAATTCTTTAGCAAATTTCGCTACTTCTCCATCAACAGTAGCACTATATAACAAATGTTTGAATGGAGAATCACTTTCTTTATCAACATGTTTCTCTTTTAATGCATCAATAATATTAAGGATATCATCTCTAAATCCATTATCTAATAATCTGTCAGCTTCATCATAAGTGATTGTCTTGACCCCTCTGAATCTATCGGCCATTCTTTTGTTTTGAATGGTGGCCATTAATCTTCCAGGGGTGGCAATAACAATAGATGGGGCAAAAAGTGATTCTAAATCACTTCTTTTAGATCCAGTCAATAATGAAATTCTAGGAACGAAATCTTTCTTTAAAGTTGGATGAGCTTTTACAAACCTTACAAGTTCACTTTCAATTTGCATGGCTAAATCTCTGGTTGGGGAAATAATAAGATGGAAAATCTTCCTCTTATTTTTAATACTATGACTTCTACTAGGAATTAATTCATTCAATATAGGTAATAAGAAAGCTAAAGTCTTACCTGTACCAGTTTTAGCACGAACAACAAGCCCCTTATCACTTTCAACCGAAGGAATTATTGATTCAGCTTGAACTTTAGTCAAAGCTTTGAAATTAAGGGTATCAAGAGCTTGGAATATCATAGGATCTAATTTTTCACTATCTTTAAGTTTAGTTATAGAACTATGAATTTCTTCTTCTTCCAAACATCTTGAACTCCCACTAAAACATCTCCACCCTTTAAAACCTCCTAAATTCAAGGAATTCCCATTTCTACAGGGAAATCCTCCATTTTTCAACCCGAAAGTATTAAGTTTAAATAATCTTATACTCATCAGATGAAAAGTTTTCCCTACGGTTCAAAAGTCGCGATTTTTTTTCAGTCGAAAACTTTCTTACCATATAAATTTCGATATTTATAAGGGAGATATTGTTGGGAAAAACCTATCAATCAATTGGATTTAACGTCATATTCATATTGATCACATCAAAACTAGCATATTAGTGATTTTCAAAATCATTTTTTCTTAAGTGATCATAAAAATATTGGTTTGGTACTAACTCAAGAAAGCGCATAGTAAAAAGCTTGTTTAACTCAACTTCAAGCGAAACGAACCATTGAAACTTACTAACCCCCCAACACCACAGTGGAATTAACTTTTCACAAACTAACTTTCCACAAACATGTCTTCTAGCACAGCAGTGACTACTTCCAAAGTAGCTAATGGTAGTATCAACGGAAGTGTTAATGGAACCCCCACACCTCAAACTAATGGTAATTCAAAGAACAATAAAAGAATAGAATTAGAAAATATAATACGAGAATTACAAAACAAACTTGGATCTGATTGGGATAAGTATCATGAAAGTTTGAGTTTATTCTTAATAGGGAAACTTAGTAGACAAGAATTGGTTAATAACGTAGTACCGATATTAAAGAATGGATTGATTAAATATCATAATAAGTTATTATTACTTAACTTTGCTAACTCTTTCAGGGATATACCAATTGATTTTCAGAATGATTTTGCTACATTTTGGAATAAAAAGGCCAAGACTAAGACAGTCAAATCATCACAATATGAAAAATTCAAACAGAATATTATGGGATTACCTATTAAAGAAAGGAGAAGAATTCGAGGAATAACCAGAGATTCAGGTAAAAAGAATAAGATTAATGCGGGTATTACATTAACAAGACATGCTTTATTACCTAAAATACCTTCAATTCAAGATAAAGAACAACAACAATTACAAGTTAATAATATAGTTTCATGGCAACAAGATGTTGTTAATGGTATAAATGCTCCTATATCCACGGAAACTTTTGAATTACCTGATACGGATGATTTATCTAAACGAGTTATAATGATGATGAGAGAATCAGGATTAACGGGGAATATTAATCCTCAAGTATTAGATATTTTAATGTTAGGATTAGAAACTTATCTTAAGAATATTATTGAAAGTTCGGTTGATGTGGCTAGATTTAGAGAAACTAAATATTCAAGTAATGATTTCTTATCAACAGCTATTCAAACAGTTAAAGAAACTTTTGAAGATAAAGAAGAAAAGAAACAATCACCTAAAAAACCAACTAAACTCAAGAAAGGTAAACGAGGTGGTAAAAGAGGTAGAGGTCGTGGAGGAGCCAAAACTCGATCAAGAAAGAATGATAGCGATGATGATGATAATGATAATGAAAGTGATGAAAAGGATAAGAAAGATGAAGAAGAGAATGATCCTAAAAGACGTAAAGTGACGTTAAATATTGATGATATGTATAATACCTTTGAAATGTTCCCCTACTTAGCAGATCCTGGTGGACCTAAATATAGATTAAATTCCGTTATGCTTAAAAATGATGATGAACCAATTGATGATTTAGATTATAAATTACCTAAATTCCAACAATCTTATCTTGCTTCAGTAAATAAAGAAGAAACTGAATCCCAATCAACAACTGACACTGTTCCTAATTATAGAGCTCATATTGGTACTACTGATGAATTAAAATGGGTGGTTCATGATTTATATAGTAAAATGTAACACATGTAATATATTATAAGTTAAACAGTTTGATAATCTCTGTATCGAATGGTTGACAGTTGATGATGTATAAAGGTTTGGTATTCTTGATTATGGTGGAAAAATGAGAATTATGGCCTTCTATGAATAATAAATGGGATTCAAATTGCTTGGTCGTTAAAGTCATTATGAAAAGTTTATGAGAAACTTTTGATGTGATGGATTGAACTATTGATTGGAAGTTGGTGACATCGTCAATGATCATAGATTGACCAGGGATCAGTATTGGATCCAAGGGTAATTTAGGATGAATTATACGATGAGAATCAAGTAGATCTTCAACATAATCATTATGGATTTCAAATCCTTTGAATGATAAGGAAGTGGTTTGTAAAAGTTTCTGAGTATGTACGATGGTGTCGTACATGAGATTACTTGGATGACCACCAAAAATATATGAAAGAACTTTAGGTTGTTTAATACTGGATAAAGTGAAATATTGGAACTCTTCGATTAATGATTGGTTATCGATGGTATGGAAAACCTTACTAAACTCATAATTTTGATTTTGTACTCTAAAGCTATTGTTGGTGATAGGAATATCATCGGGGATGGTTATATACACTCTTTTGCCTTGATAGTTGAACATAGCATTCTCGAGAATTCTTCTGGTTTTGGTATGATGAGATATCTTGGTGTCTAAATCTTGATATTCTGTATCAATATCATTCAAATCTTGGGTAACAACTGCTTCTTTAGCCTTGATTATGGATAATTCATGGTCTAAATCGTTAATACGTTTCATTAAATCTGTTTTGATGGCAGTGAAGTTAGTTTCTGAGGTTTGTATGGTACTAATTCTTTGTTCAATAGACTGGTTGGTGGATTTCTGATGTTCTATATCGTTGGTAATATCGGCAAATTCTTCCTTGAGATGGTTTAGCTCTACTTCATGGGATTTATACTGGGAAACTAACATTTCTGATTGTTGTACTTTACTTTCCAATTGTTTGGTGAGTTGATTGTCAGTTTCCACTTGGTATAAATGTAATTGATGGTTGGTGTTACTTATGGCTTGAGTTAATTGATGAGATAAATCGGTAACTTCTTGCTTCAATTGTTGGATGTTTCCTTCAATATCTTCATCTTTGAAATCTTCAGCTAACTTCAACTCATTGTCCAACTCATACTTGATCTCGTGAAGATTATTCTGTAAGTTTTGACTAAACTCTTTGATCTTGACATTAATCAACTTCTCCCTATTCAACACATTGTTCATGATAGATTCTTCAAGGTAAGCAAACTTTCGCTTACTGGAGATGATCTCTGTTTTGTAATCACTTAAATTGTGGTACATTCGTTTTTGGTTCCTTCTTAAGTCCACTACCTCTACTTCTAAGGAATCCGATCGGGTAGTTAGATCTTTGATGTCTTCACTGAGTTTTTTGTTCTTTTGGATCTGGGTCTTGATATCTTGTTCCACCTTATCATGTGGTTTTTCTGGTACTGGTTGTGGAGGTTTCTTGGTGTGGGATTGTTTCAAAGTTTGATTTAAACCAATAAGTTTGTTTATGTGCTGCAAATCTAAGCTGGGGTTCTTACTTCGAAGGGTAGGAATTTGCGACTTTTTTGTATCATTACCAATCCTAGCCAAAGTAAAGTCCAAAGACGGTTCCTTGGACGTAGAAACTTTGGCATCAAAGGTATTTTCGATACTTTCCAACGGCCTTTTAGGTATCCTAGACATAGAGTTGAATGTAAACAAGTGCGAATTTATATTTACAAGTATAAATAGGGCCAATTGCGCGAAGCTTAGTGAGAAGCTTGGTGATGGGGGGTGCGGAATTGGCAGTAATTGGTTTTGTTCTGGGATGAAAGTGGGTCTTTGACTGTTTGATGGCTTAAGACTTTGATGACACAAGACTTTGATGACATAAGATTTTGATGTCTTCATAGACTAAGAAGTCCCTTATACTGTTCTATTGTAATATCTCTGACCATCTATGTTATCGTCTTCGTTACTATCTCTGACCATCTCTTTGACTCTGAGACTCTTTGACTCTGAGACTCTGTGACTTGGACTACTTGAAATCACTCACCTGTAAATTACGAGTCATTGCAGGTAATGCCACTCTAACTCCGTCCAACTCAGGGGTCATGAATACCTGACATCCTAATCTTGAAGTTTCGGTTAATCCAAAAGCTAAATCCAACATATCATTCTCATCGTCTTCAGGTTCAGGTATTTCATCATAAAACTCAGGATCTATGATCATATGACATGTTGAACAAGCACAACTTCCTCCACAAGCACCTTCAACATCTAATCCATGGTGTTGAGCAATATCCATCAAATTGTCTCCAGCGGCGGCTTCAACCTCTATTTGTTTACCATCTTTTGAGATAAATGTGATATGTAACTCTTCACCTGGTTTAGGTTTATGAACATGTCCATGATAATTTATCAATGATTGATGGAACATTCTGGAAGTAGTTATTCCCTGAACGGTTCTTGAACCGTTAAATCTTCCTGAAGATTGTACGAGTCTTGAAACTTGACCAAAAGTTGACCTCCACATGTTTAAAGAAATTTTTCAATCGATGAGAAATCGGATCGTTGAGGCCGTAACATATCCATTTTATGGACTGGTAAGCTGAAACCACCGAAATGTTGTAAAATGACCGCTTGGACGTAGGGGGTCTACTTAGGGTGAATGTGGTGTAAAATCAGTATCATTGATATAATTGGTCAAAATCTTCGGTATATCGATTGATAGGGTTATTTCTAACGAATGAGGGTTATGGAATTAGTCAGGAGGCATTGGAGTAGAATGTAGTTTAAAGAGCCGATAAGGGTCTTATATAGGGGATAAGGAAAAGAAGGAGTGTATGGAGATAGAAACCACGCCATATGGATACGATGCGGACAAGGGGTAGGGTAACTCAGGGAGATTCAGGGAGATTGAGGATTTAAGAGATAACTACGACATTTCACATTACAAAACCTTATCTATTAAACCAGATTACTATCAAAGCAAATCTACGTGAATTTACTTGCCAACACCAAGAATATCAATATAATCAACACTGCTATAATGGCATAACTTATGAACTTATTGGCAGTTAATCTCCTACTCATGGACTTCAATGTTTTGATGGATTTGTCCACATACCCATCAGCTGCTAACAAAGTATTTCTAGTACCTGAGATTTGTTCCCTTTGAGCTCTTAAATCATTCAAGATATTTCCCCCAATATTCTCTGTTTCCAAGGCAATTCTTTGAGATTCTCTTAATCTTTCAGAAGATCTTTCTAATGAGGAATTATTACTTAATAATTGTTTCCTTTGACCATCTTGTAAGTCATCATCGTCGGTGTATCTGTTACCAAATAATTCGAATTTATCTTGATCATCTAACAATTTCTTTAAATCGTTCTTACTTTCATTGATTTGTGATTTGTATTGTCTGATTTTGGTGTTATAGGAAGATCTTTGGTTAGAAGGTAAGTTTTGTACTTCTAAATTCATTTGATCTATCAATTCTAAGCATTCATCAGTGGCATGTTCTATAGATCTTAAAGCCAGTTTTCTTTGTTCTAAACGTTAGTATTGGAGGAGGACAACGGGTGCAGGGGAGTACATACCTGGATCATTGATGGATGGGACCGAAGAAAGTTTGGATTTGGCATCTTGAATAGCTAATTGGAAATCACTTTCGTAGTTATCGAATAAACTCATGACGGTTAAAGTGCGAATGACAAGATGTTTGGAGTTGTTAGGTTGACGGTTCAGTTGAGTGAGACTTTTAGTGAGAGACCAAGTTTAGTGAGAGTCTCAGTAAATAGCGAGAAACTTTAGTGAGACTTTTCATTAATTTGCGAGAGAGCGCGGGTATTAAAAGAGTAAAATAAATCTCTATTAATGTCTAGCTTCAAATTCATCACCATTATTTGGATCATATTTTTGATATGCTGATTTAATGTTCTTCAAGAAATCATCATTGAAGGCGGAATTATTGGATGCTGAACTCTTAGTTGGGGTCAACTTCAATTCTTCATTCTCTTTAGCTATCATCTCATTATAATTCAAGATAGATTTGTTTCTAATCAATTTAGCTTTTGATTGTTCTTCTTCTTCATCTAAATCTAATGAATGCATAGTTAAGTTCAACAAAGACTTTCCTGATCTTCTTCTCATTAATCTTCCAGGGAAAGGACCAGCTTTAGGGAAATATTGATCCACAGTATCAGGACCAAGATCAGATAAATCTGGTGGTTTCTCATTATCTTCTTCACCAACATTCATTTCACTATAGATACTTTGTCTTCTTGGAGTACCACAGGATTTAGGAGTTCTAGGAGGTTTATAACCAATACCATTATCATGAATCCATTTAGCAACTAATGAAGTCCAACCACATTGATGAGATGCTCCTAAACCTCTACCAGTATCACCATCGAAATACTCGTAGAATGGGACAAAATCTTTGAATAACGGATCCTTATCTAATAATTCATTATCTCCGTTACAAGGTCTCTTCTCTTCTTCATCAGGCATGAATAAATTAATCAATCTATACTGAATTTCTTGAGCACATTGAGCTAAATTCAACATTTGTCCTGAACCTTTAGGACATTCAACTTTAAGGTCTGGTCCATAATAAAGGTAGAATCTTTGTAAAGCTTCAACTAATAAGAAATTGGTAGGGAACCAAATAGGACCTCTCCAATTAGAATTCCCACCAAACATCCCACTATCACTTTCTCCTGGTAAATATTCCACTTTGAACTGTTCACCGTTAACATTCATTTCAAAAGGATTCTTCTCGTGATATTTGGATAATGATCTGATACCGAAGTTGGATAAGAATTCATCCTCATCTAACATTCTTTCCAAGATACTGATTAATCTATCTTTATCAACAAGAGCCAATAATAATCTCTCACCAACCCCTCTGGTTTCCATAGAGGCGATATTTCTTTCAGCCATGGATTTTTTATGGTTAATAAACCAATTCAATCTTTTCTTGAAAGAAGGGAACTTGTCTAATAATTCCGGTTCTAAAGTTAATGAAGCATATAATGGAATTAAACCCACCAAAGATCTAACAGGTAATAATTGAGCATTGTTTCCACCATAAGTGATAGCATCATAATAAAATTTATCTTCTTCATGCCATAAACTGACTTCTCTTCCATCACTCTTATAAGTCATGGCATCAGCAATAAGGATGAAATGCTCAAAGAACTTCGATGCAATGTTTTCATAGATTGGTTTAGTTTTAGCTAATTCCAATGCAATATTTAACATTTGTAAAGAGAAGAAAGCCATCCAACCAGTTGAATCAGCTTGTTCTAATTCTCCACCTGTTGGTAAAGGTTCGGATCTATTAAAGATCCCAATATTATCTAACCCTAAAAATCCTCCTTCAAACACATTTTTACCATCAGAATCTTTTCTATTAACCCACCAAGTAAAGTTTATAAGCAATTTTTGGAATAAAGTTTCTAAGAAATCCAAATCTTCTCTTCCATACATTTTTTTTTCGATTTTAAAGATTCTAAAAGCAGCCCAAGCATGAACTGGAGGATTGACATCACTAAAATTCCATTCATAAGCAGGAATTTGACCATTAGGATGCATATACCATTCTCTGGTTAATAAATCCAATTGTTTCTTAGCGAATTCCGGATCAATCATGGAAAATGGTATACAATGGAAGGCAGTATCCCAAGCAGCAAAGAAAGGATATTCCCATTTATCAGGTAATGATAAAATATCATTAATATATAAATGTTTCCAATCTTTATTTCTACCATTAGCACGATTAGGTGGAGGTTTCATGGTTGAATTATCACCTTTTGACCAATAATCATGAATAAAATGATAAAATTGTTTTGTCCATAATAATCCAGCAAATGCTTGTCTTTGAACAAGACGTAATTGATCAGGCATTGGTAATGGACTAATCTTCCAGTAAAATGCATCTGCTTCATCTTGTCTTTTTGAGAAAGTGTTATCAAACTCATATTCATCAATTTCTTCTAAATGTTTACTAAATTTGTACCTTAAAGTAACATAATCTCCTGGAGGTACTTCATCAAACTTAAACCATGCACAAGCTTTTGTACCTGTTAATTGGGGGTTGACGACATTTTCCTGGCCATTGACGACACATTCATGAAAACCATCTTTAACAAATTCATGTTCATTGGGTTGATCATAAAGTTTTTGAGTATTGGTTTCATTTTCGGTAAATAATAATTCCGGCTCAATGTCGTCAGATTGTTCGGTAAATCCAGGTGAGGGCGCAAATGATACATAACGTTTACCAAAATGATGATGATCTATCTCAATGGCATTATCATCAATTTTCTTCATTGATGGTTTAGGCTTGTTATAAGTGCCCCATGACCAGAAGTTTCTTAAGGTAATATGAGGTAAAATATGTAAAGGTGCTGGTTTATCAGAACGATTATAAGCAGTTATACGGAATAAGATCTCTTCAGGATCATCTTCTTTAGCACTTTCAAATACAATATCAAAGTATTCATTGTTATCGAAAAGTCCAGTATCGGTAATTTCATATTCTTTTTCCAATCTGGATCTTTTACCGTTCTCTTCAACCAATTGCTTATAAGGAAACTCATTCTGTGGATATTTATAAAGATATTTCATATAACTATGAGTAGGAGTATTATCCAAGTAGTAATACATCTCCTTAACATCTTCTCCATGATTTCCTTGACTATTGGTGACACCAAATAACTTTTCTTTCAAGATAGGATCTTTACCATTCCATAAAGCCATAGTTAAGTTAATCAATTGATAAGTATCAGACACACCAGCTAATCCATCTTCTCCCCATCTATAAGTACGAGATTGACTGTGTTCAAAGGGGAAATCAGACCAAGCATCACCACTTTGAGAATAATCTTCACGCACAGTTGACCATTGTCTCTCAGCAACATAACACCCCCATTTCTTGAAGTCTGGGTTCTGCAATCTTTGTTCTTCAGCTGTTAAATTCATAGGTTGAAAAATTGAGATTGGCCAAGGATCAAGGGTTCGCGAAGCAATCAATTTATAGGGGGAAGTAATAAGGTTTTTGGCCGATGAGGTGGGGTGGAGGCAGTGGTGGTATAAGTAGTAATGGTTAGAGATGATGTAATTGGTTTCAAGGTGACTGGAGGTAAATGGCAGGAATTGGGTGGTGGGTTAATGAAAATGAAGTTTCCAGTTTCTCCGTGGGGCAATGGTTATGAGACATGGGGTTGACGCACTGATTCAAGAATACAGAAGTGGATCGATTTGGGTCCACAGATGAGCTAGTTCACCCAAAAAGTGGGTACACAAAAGAACGTATGGGACTAAGAAAAGGACTAAATGCTATTAACTACTCTAATTATTTGACTGTTGACGTCGAAAACATGGTATTGTTCGAGTTTTAACGTTAGGTAATCTAAATGTCCTACAGATCGAAGGATATGGTTGAAAACATGAATTGAAATGTCGTTAGTGGTTTCATAATTGATCAACGTATTATTTAATTTGTAAATGTCGATGATATTGAATTGTAAGTTATTCAATCGGGGTAAGTTGAGGTTTAAGTGGTTAAGGTTCTTATAGAATAATGGCATACTGAGGCTTTGGAGGTATTGGAAGTTTTCAATGATCTTAAGTAATTGTATGGGATTAAGGTAATTCAAAATTGATGCTTTATTATGGGAAAAGATATTGAAATTCAAATCCAAATGGGAAATCTTAGCATCGAGAATCGATAACAAACTAATGAGATTCGATTGGAGGTTGTTATTTAAATTGATGGTGATTTTCAACTCATCTATGGATGTCTGTTGGAGGAAGTTGAATATATAATGATTATTGTACTCATTATTAAGCATGTCCATGTGTAAGGAGTTCAATTTATGAGGAATGAAGTTATCAAGTAAATTATTATGGTTAAGTATTTCATATATGTTAAGGAGTTTGATGTCGGTGATAGATGGGAAATCTATTTTATCCATTAAAATCATAACATCTGATGATGTCAAGTATAAGTTTTCCAAAGTCAAATTAGACAATTTCAACTTATTGGTATTATTGAACACATTCACTAATGGATCTTCTACATGAACTAAAGTGTTCTTTGATATTTTAAGTTTGGATAAATGGGGGAAATTAATCAAATCAATATCAACGTTATTGAAGTTCTTAAACCCTGAAAGACTCAAACTACAGATATTGTTAAACTTATAGTCCAATAATTGGAAATTCTTGAAATTCCCATTTAATATACAAAGTTTGGTTGAAGGTAATAAATTGATCAATTGCCAGTCAAGATTGTACTTAGAGTACCACTTGAGTTCCATCAAATTGACAAAATATGGGAAGATATGCTTGAAATATTGGAATATCTCGTCTTCAGGTAAGTCAGGAAGGTTCTTAAATATCAATTTATAGACATATTGACAGTTTTTATGGTTCAATTTCTTAAAAAGGCTCTTCAAACTGTAAATATTGGAGATTAAAATGAACTCATCGCTGCTTCTAACATTATCACAGTTAACTTCAATGTAATTGTATAGTTTAGGATTCACTAGATAGTTATACTTTTTATTGACAAGATTCAAGTTGACTAAGGAGGATTTATCCACATGACTTACTATCTTCTCTATTAACTCTACGGGTAAATTATCAAGCATTTTTGGTTTATGGTTGCATGCCTTTTGGTATATATAGTTTTTGCATCCGGATCGGAGTAGCTGCAAAATCGCGATTGCGTAGAAATATCGGCTTTGATGTCAATGGCTATTTGAGAAAGTGAGGTTTGGAAGAGGTGGTGTGGTGGAAGAGTGGTGGGAGAGTGGTAGTAAGGTGGATGTCAGAATTAATTTGATAGGATGAGAGGAAACGGGAAGGTATGGGAAGATATAAGAGGGAATAGGAGGAGTCTGTGGAAATGTGGTGTTATGTGTGGCTGATATGAATTTTTTGCGTGTGATGTGTATGGTTTGCATGGTATCCATGATGTGTGGTAGATGTATAGGGTCTATTTGGAGACCTAGTGGAGAGTTGTTGGAATTTGAAACCATTTCTCCTAGAATACTTACTATGACTGATATTGATTCAGGCACGTAAGTTCCTTAATGCTGATAATTGCATCACGTGATTTCCCTATGATTGTTAGCGAACAAGACGTGGGGGTATCTGGCCATAAGGGTGGTGGATAGAAACCATTTCAGGCAAGATACACGAAGATAGAGTATCCAAGGGACCTGGATGTATTCTGAAGGATGAAAAATCTCTCAGCCTCTCATTTTACCGTATTTGGCATTCAATATCTTTACTGGACAAAGCTGACTAGACGTTTCGGCCACTCTGATCCATGCTGTGAGTCTCTTTCCAACTCTCCAGAACCTCTAAGACACCTATTTATTCACTTACATCATCTTTCCACTTAATACTCATCGCACAGTAAATAGAACAATTACAATCTGCCACATACTCCTCTATATCACACTGAACCCTTGCTAAACCACTCTGATCCATTCCTTGACTTCCCTGCTTCACTCCCATGGTCCCTGTTGACACTCCCAAATACTCGAGTCACGATGTGTCGTGTGAGCTGTATCGCTTATCAACAAATCTGCATCATCGATCTAGCCTATCTAAACACGGAATTACTATGCAAACTCCATCGATCTTCTATCGGAGATGAACGAAAAATTTTCACAATTCTTTCGGTCAATGCCTGTGTTATCTACATAATTTATAAGGGTATAGCCGACGTTCTCTAGTTTAAATCCAACAAAGGAAAGATCAATGCTCCTCCTCCTGTATGACGAAAAGTCACGAATCTCGGAATAGGTCTTCCACTTTCATTGCTTCAATGCGCTTCTCTAACGATACATCTCACTTCCCCACTCCCTTGAGTTGTACAATATCACTAACCTTAGGTGTTCTATAGCTCTATGTCCGATTATCTCATCCTTTCTTCCTTACTACCATCACAGATTCCGTCATCTTGACGCGCATCGCTTAACCGCATCGACCAAGGGCACCGAATTTTTTGCATGAACAGGTTGTTCTCTTTAGGGACGACAGATATGAAATGTGCTCATATTGGACGTTTAATTGGGTTTTACAAGAAATACACCAGTAGTCAAACCACCAAAACTCTCATGACACGCTTCCTGAGTCACTTCTCGAATCCCTTTCCGACACTCTTTCTGATACCCATACACGAAAAACACCCCATCGAACAATTCTCAACAGGATCAGGACAATTATTCCTCATGTGGTCAAAAGATAAAGCATCCTGTCGATTTTCAAGTAAGGGATGAGGGGATTCGTCGAAGGATGAACCGAAAAGTCAAAGTAGCTCAATGGGTAAAAGATAAACTTTATAGAATGCCTCTGAAAAACCTTATCGAAAAGAAAGTCAAGGAAACCCGGATTTTTACTGATAGTTAAATTTTTTTTTTTTTTTGCTGTGTTCGTAAACCGCCTCAAGAGGGAATTGTCGTGAGCATTGTTGTATTTGAACACTGGAAGACAGCGTATGTGATGACGGAACATCCACCAAATGACATAAGAAGAGGGATATGAATAATCAAAGTAAACCCCTAACTACTGTCAGGGTCTTTTGAAATGACTAATAAAATAAGGGGTTAGTTTAGCCTGAGGATTCCACGAGGATAAAATGGTTGAAATTCAAGGCTTAAAACCCTAATCAGCTCAATGGTTTAAATGTGTGGAAAATTCCCCTTTTTCAATGTAATCAATCATTGGGTTGAACTATTTTAATGGTATAAAATCCCCTTTGTTCTCTCCCCCGATCACCTAAAAACCTCCCACCCCCTTTTCACCTGACCTGGCATCACCAAAGCTTTACAGTTACATACATTTTTTAGCGCGAAGAATTTCTAAGGTATTTTTTACGTATCTGGTATGAGTAGACAAGTATATGATGCTGCCCGAGAAGCTTATAGTGATGATTTGATGTCTAAGTTGGTGTCATATCAATACGGCAGTCATAATGACCCATTACATGGATTAGTTATCATCAATGATTTACTTCTTGGCCATTCCCTTTTACTTGATGGATACAATAAACGTCAATTGGAATTCAGAGATCTTAATTTTAAACGATACCAGGTCGATACCAATGAAAGTTTGAACTGTTTAGAGGTCAAAGTGAAAAATGACGGTACCAAATCACCTTCTTCTTCCAACGAGGACGGGTCTGAGGATCATAACAATATGAAAAATCAATCAACCACCAAATCTTCATCATTTAATGGTAAATTGAAACCTATTCAATATCTTAATGGAGCTCCTGATATGTCCAAAACACTTGAAAAGGAAACAGTTCATTGTATAAGAAATAAGAATATCAATCTTTGTGTAATAGCTGCCATTGGATTGTTATTGTTTTATAGATTTGATAATTTAACAGGAGATTTGAGATTATTACCGTTACCGAAGTTCAATTCCTTTGAACTGTGGAATAAATTGAAATTGTTATTCAAAGATGCTCAAAGATCAACCACTCCAATATCTAGAGGTTCAGAAATTTATCTTATTAGTTTGGCATTTTCTCAAGCTGGTATTCAACCTCCTATTGGTTTAGGTGGTGATTTGGGAAGGAAAGGTAATATGAAGAACTTATCTAAAGCCGGGATCAAATTAAGAATACCGAACAATAATTCCATTAGTAATGATTTACCGGAGAAGGAATTTGTTAAGAAAGTTGCAGGGTTTGAAAAAGATGAACCGGTTAAATTGAATAGAGACATTGAACCTCCGGCTAAGTTGATGACAAAAGTATTTCCATGGTTGGAAAGAGTCATTAGTGAATATCAATCATATGCTTCTGATGTTGGACGTAATGGATCGGATTTTTATCATTTCTTACAATTCTTGAAAGAGTTGAGGAAAGTCATCTTACAAGATTTGGCGGTGATTATAAATTTACATGATGATAGTATATTTAAGGATATGAAACTTTTGAATGATAAGGAGTTCATTGAGTACCTGAAAGTGGTGTTTGAAGGGTATAAGAAGGATCAACAACGATCGATTGATGCATTAAGTGGTCCAATAGTACCGCCGGTTACTGTGGTTCCTTTGAATGTACCGGGTCCTGGAGTACCTTCTGGGGTATCTTCTGGGGTAATTTCTGGTGTTACTGCTCCAGTAACAGTTACTGGTTCTACCACTGGTCCTAAGGCCCCTTCGGCATCCAAGTCCATACCACGGGAAAGACAACTTAGTTTCTCTTCGGGAAAACCTTTGCATATTGAAATCCTCACATCGGATGATTCTCCTGAATTCCGATCTCCTGAAGTTACAAAATCAAGACCTTCAGCTGGTCAAATCATCATTGAAACCATCCCCAAATCTGATACTCCTTCCAAAAAAGTCAAAAAGACTAAACCCAAGAAATCAAAGAAATCAAAAGATAAACCTGATTTCAATATTATCCAAGATGATTATTCTCCTCCTTTACCCCAACAAGTTTTACCTCCAGCAATGACATCTCCAGCAATAACATCCCCGGCCATGACATCCCCGGCAGCATCATCTCCAGTTATGAATCTCCTGCAATATATGAATCCACAGATGCAACAATATGCAGCTGCCAATCAGATGGGCTATTATGCTCCAAGATATTACCAAAGTCCTTTCAATCTCAATGGCTGGCAAATGCAAGTGAATAATTTGAATCAAAAATACACTCAAAGTTTGGAGAATAATAAAGTCTTGGAAGAAAGAATCAAATCTCTTGAAGGTTTGAATGAAAAACTTAATGAGAAAGTGGAATCGATTGACGAAAAGGCAAGTATTAAGTTACTCAAAGACCAAAATAAAGCCTTGAAACAATTGGTAGAATCATTAGTTGATTCTAAATCTGATGTATCTTTGAAAGGTGAAGTACGGAACCTCCTTGATACTATCACAGCGGATTTCGGTATTAAAAAACCAAAAGTGGCCGAACCTGAAGTTTCGAAATCGAAATCAGGGCCAAAAACCAACACATCAAAAACCAGTACCTCAATAGAGACAGAACCACGTCCACAAACTGAAGGAAATGGTGGTACAGAGTACGTTGTAGTGGAAAATATTGATGCAGAAAAAGACGGTGAGGTTACAGGAAGCGAAGATGAAGAGATGGAATCGGCCGCGGATGAAGATTATGTAGAGGAAATTGATAGTGAAGATGAACCCCTTCCTAGTGATGATGATATGAGGGATGATACTCCTGAAAGTCCTGAAGAAATCTTTGATGAGACTCTCGTTGATGAAGATAATAAAGAGAATGAATACCAATCGAAGAAGAAATCCAAAACATTAAAAAGAGGTGGAGAAGTTATAGAACTCGTCACCCCAAAAAGGAAACATTTATCACCATCACCAGCAGCACCTAATAATGATGGTCTGCTTATACATAGAACCAGACGGAAGAATTCGGTGTCAGACATGACAGAAACAGTCAAACCACCTCCTCAAGGTCCAATACTTTCAGTAATTAGTGGTAAGGGACATTCTCCAATCATTGTCCCCCCAGCCATTAGTCAAATTCCTGAAGATTCTCCTGTGGTCCATGAATATATTCTGTACAATTTCCGTAATCATGAGAAATGGGGAATAATCAATTATCTTGTTAGACTGAAAAATCCTCATCCCAAAAAGAAGAAGAAATTCATTGTCGTTGATGAAAGTGAAAAAGTAAGATCAAAACATACCCAATCACCACCAAAGGATTCTCCACCAAAAGATTCTTCATCAAAAGATTCCCCACCAAAGAGTTCTCCATCTAAAAATTCTCCATCTAAAAGTGCATCAAAAAAATCACCAAAGAAATTCACCACCACACCAAAAATCAATCGAATCGTTGAAAGTCCGCAAAAATCCTCAAAAACCCCTGAAGTTGATGATCCTGTTGATCCTGTGGGAACCGATACTACTGAACCAAGTGATATAATGGAACTATACAAAGAATGGTTCTTAGGTTCGGGAGATCAATTGTCTGTAGTTGAAAAAGATCAACGATTCGGTACCAGATGGTTAGTGGGTAATTCCAAGAGTTATTATTACCGTCGGAAGAACGTAGCACAGTTGTTGGTTCATCTTCGAAAGAATTCTAAACTTGAAGCTTTACATCTTCAAAAATTGGAAGATATTGTACAATATGTGGAAATATTTCGAAATTCCAAGAAGTTGAGTGTTATTGAATTCAATGCTTTGTGTCATAAGGACAAAGTTACCAAGGTGGCCAATGATGTTGAGATCTACCTTAAGAGAAAGAAGATTCTATAGTTGTATAAAATGTATTATAGTTTGAGATACCCTCTTGGTTTGTCCCTGTCTCTGTCTCTCTGACTTTGACACCCCCTCATGGGACTCTTTTGTGACTGCTAAGTGACACAAAAGACTCTGTCCTGGCTAACAACTGCACCCCTGCGGCTCACAATCAACTAAATAAAAGCTCGTGGCCCGATAGTATCACATTACAATTTGGTTACCAGGTCAATGTGGTACCTTGTGGAGTTAACCCTGGCGACATGAGTGAATGTCGCATACGTCAAGTTGCGACCAAATGGTACGAGGAGCATCTGACATTGAGGGGTGGTGTATGGTATTTGTCCAAAGGAAGTGGTAGATCGGTAAGTAGGTAGATCAATAGGTTGTAGATCTCTAGGTCTAATTAACTTCTAATAAAACCAACCATCCAAGGAAATCCTCCAACTCCCCTAAAATAAACGAGATGAGCATGCACACGACATTTGAGGCAGCTCATTTACGCTATCAGATCCATGGTACCTCTGTCATGTGACACATGCGATGAGATAAATCAGGTCATCCGTTGATATCCCACAAAACTCCATCACCGAATACTCCTTTGCCACACAACAACTCTAAGCTTTATTATCTCTTACCTTCTGACATCTGGACCTGTAGTCGGGAATCCATTTGGGGGTTCTATTATTCCGAGTCGTGCGCGATGCCCAAAAGACATTTAAGTTTTCGGAATGAAGTCATAGTTTTACCTTGCGTTTATAATGTTCAATCCTATATTGATTGACTAAATATCATCCCCCATCCATTCTAACTATAATCATCATTTCTATCATACAAATCTACCCCTAAAACTCTGCCATTCGTCTTACCTCCGGACATTATGGATCCTTATATAATAAGTCGTGTGTGGCCCAATATGGATATTCCAGAAATTGAGAAATTTCAATTGGGAGAATTTGAGTATTAAGACACTAAACCAAAGTCGTCTATTAAGAAGTAACCCCCCCAATAACAGTTAATAAAACTTCTTAATTAATTAAACATACTGATCGTAGAACCAACAATAAATCCAAGTTCTTCCATCCTAAAGTAAGTAATCAAACAATTTAACCATTTCCATATTTGTCATCCCTTTTTTTTTGCCATTAAATATGTTTAATACCAAAATATTTGATAATAATAACCAACAACAAACCCCATCGATCAATATTCCTGATAATACACAACCTATTGATATAACATACCAAAGATCATCAATATTTAATAATTCCAGGTTTAGAAGAGAGAGTTTAGCCCATTCTCAAGGAATGGGAGGTGTTAGTTGGGGATCAATAACTATTGGATCATGGTTAAAAGATGAAGTTATGATGTTAAATCACAATAATAATCAACAAAACTTGAATCCTAATGCGGTAATGAATCATCAAAATTTGAATCAAAATCATGGACATTTTAATATAAGGAGAGGTAGTTTTAGGGTTAATAATAATTTTAATCATAATAATCTTAATTCCGTTGCATTATCACCACCACAAACTTCATATTTACCTAATTTGGAGGCAGATTATTGTAAAGATTATAGTTGTTGTGGACAATTATTACCAACATTACATGATTTATTGAGACATTATGAAGAAGCTCATATTAATTTAAGTCCACCAACTGATAATACTAATCATTTATTGAATAGTAATAGAAATAGGAATTTGAATAATATTCATAATATCTTGGAAACTGTATCAACAACTGATGTATTTCTTAATAATCAACAACAACAGCAACAACAAATACAGCAGCAACAATTACAACAACAACAGCAACAAGTACAGCAGCAAGTACAACAACAACCTAGAAACTCCCAACCACAATTTGATTCCAAATCTCCTTCAATGAATCAATTTAACTTACAACAACATACTCCTCAAACTCCTCAACAATTATCTCAAACCCCATCTGAATCAGGATCTCCAATGGATGAAGATGATTTGATGTATATTGATGATCCTTCAAGACATTTGTATGTCATGGAGAATAATGAAGATAAACCTTTCAAATGTCCAGTTATTGGATGTGATAAGAATTATAAGAATCAGAATGGGTTAAAGTATCATAGATTACATGGACATCAAAATCAAACATTACAAGAGAATCCTGATGGGACGATATCGGTGATTGATCCTGAGAGTAATACTCCATATTTGGATGCTTCGGCTTTGGAGAAGGATAAACCGTATAGATGTGAAGTGTGTGGGAAGAGATATAAGAATTTGAATGGGTTGAAGTATCATAGGGGACATACCACGCATTAGGGAGTGAGGGAGGAAATGAGGGAGTGTCACAGCTAGCCATAGCCATAGATGAGCCATATGGCCACAGTAAGGCTAAGAAGCTCACAGTATGGCCAAGAAGCCTACAGTAAGGCTAAGAAGCTCACAATCGAGCTAAGAAAGCTCACAATGGGGCTAAAAGCAGGGCCAGGCCAAAAAGTCCACAATCAAGCTACAATCAAGCTACAGTAGTCAAAACAAGACTACTACAGTCAAAACCAGACTACTACAGTCAAAACCAGACTACTAAAGTCAAACTACAACTAAAGATCTAAACGAGGTCAAATAAAGGCCTTAAAAAGCCAATAAATTGGCTCCATCAGCCAAAGCAAGTTTTCTTGCTGAGTCGTTCATTATGGGTTCTTGTATTATACGCATTTAGGGTGCATTGGATGTATAGATATGGGTCATGGAATATATAATGTTGAATAAACTCTCATTCCTCATAACGTGGTAGAAGTGCGAGATTTTCGCACAATTTTTCTCATCAACAATCATGGATAACCACAATGAACCTCATACTATTTCGAACTTATCCGCTGGGTTGAAGAACGTTAACATCGACCATAGAGATAATGGCGATATAAATATGTTACAACAACATTTAAGTTCTCAAGCACCTATGGAACAATCAAGAATAGCTCAATTTTTTAACAACCAGCCAACTGAGGGTTTCACATTATTTAGTCACAGATCAGCTCCTAATGGGTTTAAAGTGGCCATTATTTTATCTGAATTGGATTTAAATTACAATACCATCTTCTTGGATTTCAATAGTGGTGAACAAAGAGCTCCGGAATTTGTGACTATCAATCCAAATGCTAGAGTCCCAGCATTAATTGATCATGCTAATGATAACACTTCAATATGGGAAAGTGGTGCCATAATATTTTATTTGGTATCGAAATATTTAAATGAAAATGGTGAATGTAAGTTATGGTCCAATAATTTAGTAGAACAGAGTGCTATTAGTTCCTGGGTTTTCTTTCAAACTTCTGGCCATGCTCCAATGATTGGTCAAGCATTACATTTCCGTTATTTCCATTCCAGTCCAGTTCCAAGTGCTGTTGAAAGATATACAGATGAAGTTAGAAGAGTTTATGGAGTATTAGAAATGGCATTAGCTGAAAGACGTGAAGCTTTAATTATGGATTTAGATGTTGAAAATGCTGCGGCTTATTCTGCTGGTACAACTCCATTATCACAATCGAGATATTTCGATTATCCAATTTGGTTGGTGGGTGATAGAGCAACAATTGCTGATTTATCCTTTGTTCCTTGGAATAATGTAGTCGATAGAATTGGTATAAATCTTAAGAATGAGTTCCCTGAAGTTTACAAATGGACAAAATATATGATGAGAAGACCTGCTGTTATAAGGGCTTTACGAGGTGAATAGATTTGACTATGTTTAATGATTATAGGTATCTTGTATATTTAGTTTACGATTTTAATAAATATTAACAGTATTAGGATGATTGTTAAGATTATTGTGGTCACTGTGGTGGTGGGTGTGGTGATTTTAGTGGATGATTGAGTCACTGGAAGGGGTAAGGATTTCTCGTCGAATTTTTCATTTTGGAAATTGAATGAGTTTGATGGTTTTGATGGTTCGTAGAAGGATTTCTCGGTAATTGTAGGAGTAATGGATGGACTGGGGGTAGTGGTGAAGGTAGCATGGACCTTTGAAGGCCCTTCTAACCTATCGAACTTTGGCTTTCCCATACACATTAGAGTGCGAATTTAATATATTTCTTTAACTATCATAAGACCTAAAAAGGAATCGATTACCGCAGTGGCTGCTAATGATGTGATTTCACTGTTACTATCGAATGGAGGGCTTACTTCTACAACGTCAGCTCCAACAAGGTTAATACCTTCTAAACCATCTAAAACACTTAATAATTCTCTGGTTGACCACCCTCCAACTTCCATAGTACCAGTGGCTGGAGCAAATGCTGGATCTAAAACATCAATATCAACACTAATATAAACAGGAGATTCAGTGCCTAAAGATTTTAAGAGTTTATCCACCACTCCGCGAATGGTTAAGTGATCAATGTCTCTAGCATTGATAGTTTTAAAGCCACAATCATGATCATGTTGTTCATCGTATTCGTCGTCAATGAATGGAGCTCTTAAACCTACATGGTAACATCCGGTGGAATTCAAATATCCTTGTTCAGCCGCATAATGTAAGAAAGTACCATGGTTCAATTTCATGTAATTAGAGATACCTCCACCTAAGACTTTAGGATCCCAGGTATCGATATGACTATCAAAATGGATAACATTCAAAGGTCCAAATTGTTCGTATGCTGATTTCAATGTCATCAATGTAATAGTATGGTCACCACCCATAGTAATGATTCTAGGACTTTGAACATGAGCTTTAGAACTGGTCGTGTGATTGTGAATAGCTCTTTGACCACGATATAATTGATTTAAAGCTATTCTGTTATCGAATGGAGTCAATGGAACATCTCCACAATCAATAATGGTGAGATTATGATTGGATTTATCATAAGGATTGATATGAGTCAAGTTACTGTTACTGTGACCATTATTTCTGACTAAAGTAGCCCCTCCAAGTCTTCTACTACCAGATCTAATAGCTTCAGGACCAAATCTAGCTCCAGGACGATATGACACCCCAGTATCAAAAGGAGCACCCACAATAGCAATATCAACTTTCTTACCATATAATTGGGGATCAAAACAATTAAAATGGTCAAAATGTCCAAATGATACTATTCCACCAAACATATTATGACCATGAGAAATATCACTTGTTTCATCATCATCGGGAAGTTTCAATTCCGTTTGATATTTCATATATCCTTGATGAGATTTAATCATTTGTTGGGTTTGGGACATTTTCTGTAAACGTCCTTGGATATTGGCAAAATTGTCATAATCTATTTCAATCTCTTGAGAATATGGTTTCCCCAGATTTATCAATTGACTTTTGAAACTTCTACTTTCTTCACTATCCACAAGTTGTCCATAGATAGAGTCCATGAATGTGGGTTCATCGCCATAGGTATCAATTATAATTCCAGCTACACTGGAAGCTAGCACTAAAGATGTAAACTTCATTATTGACAAAAGTTGCGAAATTTGAAATATATATATCTATGATATTGCCTATTTAGGTATGTGAGAGCGAATGGGTGCAAAAACCACCAACTTGGCATTGAACAATATAAGGATTGAAGGTGTTTCATGTTCTTGCAAGATGAAATTGAAGTAGTGTTTTGTTACACAAAATGTCACCATTGAGGTCACCATTGGAGTCACCGTTAATTCGGAGACTCACCATTATACGAGGGATCTATTATACGAGGTGAGGTATAAAAATCTCCTTTGGTTGATAGTTTATGACCAATGGTTTATATCGTGTCAAGCGCTAGAACACCTATGGGGTCATTCCTTGGGTCGTTGTCACCTTTGGGATACGTAGATTTAGGATCTCATGCCGTTAAAGCTGCTCTTAAGAGAAGTGGTATTCTTGCTGATGATGTAGATGAGATTATCTTTGGTTGTGCTTTAGGAGCAAATATTGGTCAAGACCCTGCTAGACAAGTTGGATTAGCCGCTGGGTTACCTGATACAGTGGTAAGTACTACTATCAACAAGGTTTGTGCTTCTGGGATGAAGGCTATAATCTTGGGGTACCAAAGTATTATCACCGGTAGTGCTGAAGTGGTGGTTGTAGGAGGTGCTGAATCCATGAGTAACGTTCCTTATTATGTCACCAGGAATGGCTATAAGTATGGGAAAGCTGTGCTTACTGACGGACTACGTCTCGATGGATTAACTGATGCTTATGATGGGTTCCTAATGGGTGTAGCAGGTGACAAGTTAGGTGCTGATATGGGTTATACTAGGGAGGAAATAGATGATTATGCAGTGAACTCGTACCAAAAAGCTTTCCAGGCTTATGATAATGATAAGTTCGGGGAGATAGAGCCCATTGTTCTTCGTACCAAGCAAGGAACAACAGTTATTAGCCGAGATGAGGATTTGGTGAAGTACAATGAAGAAAAATTACGTGCTGCCAAACCAGCTTTCAGAGAAGATGGTACGGTGACCGCTCCTAATGCTCCATCGTTGAATGATGGAGGGGCGGCTTTGATTCTTGTCAGTGAGGATAAGTTGAAGGAGTTGAATTTGGTTCCTTTGGCTAAGATAGTTTCTTATGGAGAAGCAGCAACAACACCTATTGATTTCACTATAGCTCCATCGATGGCTGTTCCTATAGCTCTTGAACGAGCCCAGATGAAAATACTGGACGTGGATTATTTCGAGTTCAATGAAGCATTTTCCACTGTAGGGTTGGCTAATACCCAAAAATTAGCCATTGACAGTGCTAAAGTTAATGTTTATGGAGGAGCTGTAGCCATGGGACATCCATTAGGATGTAGTGGAGCGAGGATAGTGGTGACACTATTGTCGGTTTTGAAACAGGAGGGTGGCAAAGTTGGAGTTGCTGCTATTTGTAATGGAGGTGGAGGGGCTTCGTCGGTAGTGGTTGAGAGGGTTGGAAGTTCATAGTGAAAGGGTTGAGAGTCGAAAGTGACTGAGGGCCTAAGCTAGTGCCTACTAGAGTTTTAGTCAATCGTTATATTCTATATTTAAATTAACTCTCCTATCTCCGGTACCTTTTCTCTACTACTTCAGGGTATTTCTGCTACTTCAGGCAGAGTATTTCTGCTACTTCAGGCAGAGTATTTCTGCTACTTCAGGGTGACTCTGCTCCGTAAATGCAATTCACCTACTGGAGCCTATGAGTCTCTTCGAGCCTCAAGCCTCAAGCCTCAAGCCTCTTGCCCCCTCAACTATAAACATCTCCAAGAATAATAGACTTCACTACAGTATAATCATCCATACCATACAATGACCCTTCTCTACCAAATCCGGATTCTTTAACTCCACCAAAAGGTAAAGCTGCGTCAGTGAACACACCAACATTAACAGCCACCATACCGGCTTCTAATTTTTCTCCCATATACCAAGCAGTATTGACATTCTCTGTGAATACATAAGCAGCCAAACCGAATTCTGAATCGTTAGCAAAAGTCAAGGCTTCATCTCTTTCTTCGAATTTTATAACGGCAGCTAAAGGACCGAAAGTTTCTTCTTTTGAAACCTTCATATCTTGAGTAACATCAGTCAAAACAGTTGGAGCATAGAAATTTTCACCTAAATCAGGTAATTTACCTCCTTTAACGGCATATTTCGCACCTTTAGCAATAGCATCTTCTACGTGTTCAACAACTTTAGCAACAGCTCTATCGTGAATCAAACAACTGTGAGTAACCTCTTTATCAAAACCATTACCGATCTTGAAAGCTTCAACTTTGGCAGAGAATTTCTTAACAAATTCATCATAAACTTTTGATTGAACATAAAGACGATTAGCACAAACACAAGTTTGACCTAAAGATCTGAATTTGGATAAAATTGATTGGTCAACGGCCTTGTCAATGTCAGCATCATTAAATACAATGATAGGAGCATTACCACCCAATTCAAAAGATAATTTCTTAAGAGTTGAACTTGATTGTTTCATCAAAATCTTCCCTACGGCAGTAGAACCAGTGAATGAGATCTTTTTGATGGAAGGACTTTCACAAATTTTCAATCCAGCAGCTGGAGTGCTTTCATTTGAAGAAAGAATAACGTTAAATACTCCAGCAGGGAATCCAGCTTTTTTAGCTAAATAACCTAAAGCCAAGGAAGATAATGGAACTTGAGCGTCAGGTTTCAATAAGGTGGTACAACCAACAGCCAAAGCAGGAGCGGCTTTTCTGGCACCCATAGCACTAGGGAAATTGAATGGACATAATAATCCAACAGGTCCAACAGGTTGTTTCAAAGTAATGATTTTGTTATTTTGATTAGATGGTTGGATAGTACTTCCATAGACTCTCTTACCTTCTTCAGCATACCATTCAAAGAAAGAAGCGGAATATTTGATTTCTCCGGTTGCTTCAGCTAAAGGTTTACCATTCTCCCAAGTTAAAATGGTAGCTAAATCTTCAATGTTTTCTGTCATTAAATCAAACATATTTCTACACCATTTGGATCTATCATAAGCACTTGAATGTCTATAAGTCTGGAAAGCATCAGCAGTGACTTTAATGGCATAATCTATTTCTTCAGGTAAAAGATCAGGTAATTCAATGATTTCTTCACCAGTGGCTGGATCGTAAACTTTGAAAGTTTTTGTGGATTTGGATTCAAACCATTCATTGTTAATGAAGGCTTGATTTCTAAGAAGTTCTGGGTTGTTTAAAGTAGGCATTGACGTTTTTTGGGGGGAAAAGATGAATATATATGTGAATATCCGCGCGGGAAGTTCCCAAATAGGAAGGTGAGGTGCGGTACGATTGATCCGGTGGGTGGTAATGGAGTAGGAGTGAGATAGTAGGGATTAGTAGGGGAGTAGGGCAGTAGGGGTGTTAATGTAGCCTGCTAGCGTTAAAAAAGTGTTGTAGTAGTGTCAAAGAAGTGAACTAGCAGTGAGGTAGCAGTGAGATAGTAGTCTTAAAGAGATGGTGACCTAGCAGTGGCCTAGCAGTACCTGGTGTGATCTAGCAGTAACGAGGGGTGATCTAGCAGTGCCAGTACTCTTAAACAGTGTAACTACTCTTAAAGTAGTACTCTTAAAGCGTCAGAACTCTTAAAGCGTAGTACTAAAGCGTAGTACTAAAGCATCACAAGCGAGACAAAAGTGAGAGCCTACGTCTGCGACCGCGTTTGATCATGAGTGACGGAAAGCTTTTCATCAAAACCAAATCATCAGAAATCAAAGCTGAACTCGACCAAGCGTACAAGAAATCCAAACCTCACGGCAAAATCAAAATCATCCTCAAAAAAGTTACTGCCAATATCATCATCAACAACAATGAGATCTCAAGATTATTACCTGATATGATCAATCTCCTTCGATTCGATGACATTGAAATCAGAAGAGTTTGTCTTGATTACCTAAGTCTTTATAGTCATTACGATCCCACGGTGGCGGTTAAGAGTTTACCATTTTTAAGGAGATTTCGGGAAGATAATGATGCTGTGCTTCGAGCCTTAACTATCAAGACTATTGCTTCAATTGGTTTACCGGAGTTTGTCGACTTATCATTTCAGGTCATTAGACTTTACCTTAAGGATAAGAATTCGTTCGTTAGGATCTCGGCCAGTTTCGCCTTAGCTAGAATGTTCCATAATGATAGTACTAGAGTTCTCAATGAAGGATTATTGACTGATCTCAATGAATTATTATATGACGACGACCAAGGTGTGGTGTCAGTGGCATTATCGGCCTTGGATTCCATCATTGAGTTTGATAAGAGTCTAGATTTGAAACTAACGGTGAATCCCGATCATTTCATCCAGTTGGTCAAACATATCCATAAATCAACCGAATGGAGTCAAATTTATGTCATTAACTCTTTATTATCGTTTGTACCAACTACCACGGAGTCGGCCCTTGATATGATAGAGTTAATACTACCTTTCTTACAACATGAGAATTCAGCTATAGTGTTAAATGCCGTCAAAGTGATTGTTTATTTGAGTAATTATGTCAATAACCCTCAATTAATCATCCCAACGTTACCTAAACGTTTGGGTTCATCTTTGGTATCATTATTGGCCAAACCAACGGAAATCCAATTTTTGGTGTTAAGAAATATCATTCTCTTACTCTTGGGTCGTAAAGAGTTGGTGGAATTTAACGTTGAAATGTTATTCTGTAAATATGATGATGCTATTTATGTCAAGGACACAAAATTGGAGATCATTTACCTCTTAGCCAATGAAGAAAATTTCCTGATAGTGGCCCGAGAATTGGAAGAATATGCTACTGATGTCGATGTAGCTATGGCGAGAAAAGCTATTAGAGCTTTTGGTAACCTTGCGGTTAAACTTCATAATGCTGCTCCTCTATGTGTGGAAATTATCATGGATATCATATCTAATGGGGTTAGTTATATTGTTCAAGAATCTGCGGTGGTATTGAGGAATATTGTAAGACGATATCCTGGACAATTTGATGATTCGATCATTGAATTGGTCAAACATTATAAGGTAATTGACGAGAGTGACTCTAAAACGGCGATGATATGGATCCTTGGTCAATATTGTGGTCAATTCGATAGTTGGGATATTCTTAAAGATATCTCCAAATCTTATAGAGATGAATCCTTAGAAGTTCAATTGGCTATTTTGACTGCTACCATCAAAATGTACTTAAATTACCCTACGGAGTATGAAACCACCACTTTAGAGGTGTTAAAATGGGCTACTGAAGAAGTGGATAACCCTGATTTGAGAGAAAGAGGGTTTTTCTATTGGAGATTGATTTCAAGTGAAAATAATGAATTCCAAAAAGTAGCTAAAGATGTGGTGCTTGTGGATAATCCTATCATCAACTCCGAGAATGAGAATATTAATCCTCAAGTTTTGGAAGAATTGGAGTTGAATATTGGGACTTTGGCTTCAATTTACCTTAAACCTGTTTCCCAGGTTTTTAGATTATCTAGGCATAAGAAGCTCACTCCTTCACCAGCCCTTCAATCGAGGAAAAAGAAGACTACGGTTGTAGAGGAAACTCCAGTGTATCTGAATAGGAAGGCTACTCTTTCAACTGATCAAATCCATAGGAAGAAATCAATCATGAGACAAGCATCGTTTGATTCGAGTTTCTCGGGGATTTCCGATGATTCTCAGGGTAGTAATAAGATCACGGGGTTGGCCAATAGATTATCAAGAAGAGCTTCTATGATTACGGGGAAGAAGAAGTTTTGAGTGGGTTTTAGTAGATTTGAGTAGATAGGAATGTATTGAAGTTTAAGGAAGTGCGGGATCTGTATGGGTATCCCTTTGTATGTTGGCATCCTGGCATCGTGTCCTGGTGTCGTCTCCTGGCCCCATCTCTAAGTCTCCTTCTTTATTGGCTTCAAGGGCTCCGCTCTCTTCACTTCCACAATCTCAATATCCGGCGACATTTTCACTACAGTGGTTGCTGGTTCAATGGTATCGACCTTTATATCAGGCAAGTTCGGTTCAGGTCCATCAACTACCTCCTCCATGAGCTCCTCAAGGTTACGGCCTACAAGATATCCAAGGATTATGTAAGCAGCCGGTTTTGACATCACTAAACCTCCTTCCTTACAGAAATTAGGAGTCACACATTGGATACATCCCCATTCACAATCACAATGTCGTATACGGTCATAAGCACAAACAAGGATCTCATCAACATGTTCAAAGGTCTTGGCTGAAACCCCTGACCCTTGAGAGCCTCCTTTAGCATCATGAAAGATTAACCTTCCAGGACGGACTCTGGAAGTTTGTCGTTGAGCAAACTCCTTTTCTGGAGCTTTACAGTCGGTGATAAGTTCAGACTGGCCACCAGTAAACCTAGTATTAGGGTCAGTTTCAACATTACCTCCGATGAAAATAGGGAGAATGTTCATGATAAGGTGTTGAGCCGCATGAATACCTCCAGCTTTAGATAAGTTCTTAGTTTCAATAGCATCAAGAGCTTTTCGCGGGATATCTAACCAGAACCCCTTGGATTTATACTTTACTGGAGGATTCTTCACCTCTACAGCTTCTAAAATCTCTCCCTTCTTATTAACTTTGAAGAATCCGAAAACTATGATGGTGGTTAAGATCTTTCCAAAATAGGCAGGTATATCCGATTGGTCTTCATTACCACTAAGACAGCGGACGTATTCAATTTCATAAGGATCCACATCAGTAAAGTCTCTTTGTTGTGTTGTCCAATCCACCGTCACCCTCACTACCTTGGCGAACTTCTTCTCTGTGTTGAACTCTTTGACTAGGTAAGGAAGTCCTTGGTGGAGGAAAATCCCTCCTTCATAAAGAGTGAACGACGTCCTTGATTCTTCTACTTCTTCAATGACAATATCACGACCGTTGGTGATATCTACAACCGCATACCCTGGAGTTTCAATCGCTCGTATAGCGACTTTCTCTGGTGGCCACGGAAGGAATGATGGATCTGTACGGTATCGACCTAATTTATCGGTATTAAGCTTCTTCTTACAAGTTTCTTCGAAGAACTGGATTTTCTTCGGGTCCTTGGATCCATGACAGAACCATTTCAGATCCTCAAGAGTCAAAGGTAATTCAAAAGCAGCACACTGTAAATGGTTCTCCATGATTAATCTATGCATGTCAGAATCAATCAACCCCTTGACACAAAGATCCTCATAACTGGTCTTATCCAAGATCTCCTGAGGATGTTCGACGTAGTATTGATCAACAGGTACACCTCCAGGGACAAAGATAGCCAAACTCCCCTTAGCTTTACTACCTCTCCCAGCTCTACCAAATTGTTGATGCATGTTCATCTTCAGTATGGGGAAACTACAAGTTATCACCACATCCAAATAAGAAAGGTCGACCCCCAACTCCAAAGCATTGGTGGCTATCAAAGCCCTTAACTCCCCCGTAAACATCTTATTCTCAATGTCCCTCCTATCTTGTTTCGAATACCCACCGCGGTATACCATGATATCTCTTTCATCAATACCACAGTTAGAGAAGTTTGATTGGCCTAGAAGGGTACGGACCTCTTTCATAAGAGTTTCGGTGACTTTCCTGATGGGACAAAAGGCTATGAGTTTTAAATGTGGTGATCCAGAAAGTAGCAGAAGAAGTAAACGAGCCAGCTCGTATACGACATTCACTCTGGGGATGAAGTTGGGGTTGTTAGTGGTGTTCAGAAACTCTGTATGGGTAGAAAGAACCTCACCTCGTTTATTCATCAACGGTGGAGGTTGCCAGATCAATAATTGTTTATCACAACTAGCACTACCATCGTTAGAAACATGAACCACCGACTCCTGGGAAGGTATGGCACAAACAATACGGAAATGGTCAATAGGATTAAGAACAGTGGCCGAGGATGAGATGAATCTCAAAGGTTGATGATCCATTGTGGCCAAAACTCTTTGTAACCGTGCCATTACGTAACCAACATTGACCCCAAATGATCCTTTGTACACATGGATTTCATCCATCACCACATATTTGAGTCCACCCAAGAACTTATCCCACCCATTATTGCCATGAGCATAGTTTAAACCATCGTGGTTAGGGAGAATCGATGCATGAATGGTATCAGGATTGGTGAAAATGATATCAGCAGTGTGCCTGATGCCGGCTTTAGCCTTTCCTTCGGTATCTCCATCATAAGTATCAACTATGATTCGGTATTTAACCTCCGGCAAATGATTTATGAGATCATCAAGATGTTTCTTCTGATCTTGGGCGAGGGCTTTGGTAGGGAATACGAATATCGCCGTCGATTGTCTGGTTTTAGTTCTACCATCGTCGTTCTCCATATCCCAGAGGATATCGTTTAAAATAGGGATCTGATAAATCATCGATTTCCCTGAACTTGTAGGTGTACTGGTGATCACGTGATTCACACTATCATCTAATAATGCCTCTAAAGCGTCAGTTTGATGACTATAAAGTTGATGTTCGATGTCTATGCCCTTGTACGACTTAATAGCATACACAAGAGCAGGATGAATATTGAAGAAATCCAAATCCAAAGGTTTGAATTGAGCCTCTTTGGCTTGAGTGAAGGTGTCCTGGAAAATGATCTGGTCCTGATAAATCTTACTCTTCTTGAGCACCTTCACCATGTCTTCTGATGTTAAAAATGTATCTCTATCGGGGACAATCTTCCGTCTCTTATTTATCTGCGATACCGGGTCTAAGAGCTCCATTCTTTTGGGGATAAAGTCCTGGGCCAACTGTTCTAACTTATCCATAAGAAACAATTCGTCCACATTCAACCCATCGTTATCTCGAATGAAGGTGGTGACGCCTAAATTAAATTTTTCCAGCCTGGTTCTGATGATGGGTAAAAGTTGACTATGGCTCAATTTTTGTGTGGTCAAATCGGTGTGATTGAAGAAATCGTTGGTCTCAGTGTTCTGACGACGGATATTCCTCCGAGTATTGTTAGCAAAAGCAGCAATGTTATCGATCTTCATATCTTCAAAAGTAAAGATAAGCACCTGATCAGGTAATTGGTCTTTACTGAGACTCTCGTAAACTGCATCCATAGTATCGGGTTTATTCATATGGTAGCCCTTTTCTTCGGTGTAGAAGATACCCCCGGGACTGAAAAGTTGTTCTTTATCGACATATTCGTAGAAAACATCTGATTTGGGGAGGAAATATTTGATAATGGCTAGATCATATTGGGTGACGGAAGGATTAAGTTTACGGAAATGATCAAATGAAGGGATGGTGGAACGGGAATGGGATAGGAGGAAAGTTAGGTGGGCATTGATCTCGGAGAAGATTTTCCCTAGTCTTTGAAGGAATTGTGGCCATTGAGTGAAGGGGATTTCATCATTCATGTGGGTTGATTATGTAGGTAGATTATGGAGTGCGCGGTATTTACCCAATCCTAGGTCCATCATCGACCTAGACGAAGATATTTCCAACCGATGATCGAGGTACCTACGCATTCCTAGGTCCGTAACCCATCGCAATCTATAAAGTTCTCGTGGCTCAGTTAGCAATTGTTAACTTTCTTATCACCTAAAACTTCAAAAAAATGGTCTTTGGAGGTTTAAAAGTCAAATCTAAAGCTAACAATATCCCCACAGTGCAATTGCCTGGCGACAAGCCCAGTAAAAGGCAAATTTATCAGTATCGTCAGAATTATGGGGTCAATCTCGGTGCTTGTTTCGTGTTAGAGAAATGGATCTTCCATGATCTCTTCATCGATAACACCAATTTCGAATTGGAAGCTGCTGAGAAGTCAATGCTGAAGCTCGGGAAGGATGAAGCACAAAAGAAGTTTGAAGACCATTGGAATGGATTCATGACCGATGACGATTGGAAATGGTTAGAGGACCATAATGTCACCTCCCTCAGAATCCCAGTAGGTTATTGGGAAGTCGATGGTGGGAAGTTCACTGATGGAACGAAGTTTTCTAAAGTCAAGGACATTTATAAGAATGCTTGGACTATCTTTAAATCGCAATTCGTTGAGAAAGCAGGTAATCATGGGATTTCCGTGGTCGTAGATATCCATGGATTACCAGGAGGTGCCAATGGAGATTCTCATAGTGGAGAGAAGGAAGGAGGAGATGCCGAATTCTGGTCATCATCATCGGCCCAATTATCGATGTGTGATATGTTGAGATTCATCGCTAAGGACTTAAAATCTTATGACAACATTGGTGGGATCCAGGTGGTAAACGAGTCTGTATTTGCTGATGATCCGAAGAAACAAAGATATTACTATGGGGCCGCGATCAATCTGATAAGGGAAGAAGATAAGGAAGTCCCCGTGATCATTTCTGACGGATGGTGGCCCGACCAATGGGTTAAATGGGTCCAGGAAAAGCAAGATAACGGTAATATTGGAGTGGTGGTTGATCACCATTGTTACAGATGTGCTTCCGATAACGATAAGAAGAAATCTCCACCCCAGATCATTCAGGACTTAGAAGGAGACTTATTGACCAACTTGAATGATGGGGGTAAAGGAGTGGATTTCATGATCGGGGAGTATTCTTGTGTCATGGACGGTCAATCATGGGACAAAGACAATGCCAATGCCAAGAGAGATGATCTTGTGGTTGATTTCGGTCGTAAACAGACGGAGTTGATGAACCAAAGAGCAGGGTTTGGGTGGTTTTTCTGGACTTTTAAGTTCCAAAGTGGTAATGGAGGTGAATGGGATTTCAAAACCATGTCTGATAAGGGCGCCATCAGTTGTCCCATAGCCTTTAGGGGTAAAAGCATTCCAGATGATGGTAAACGAGATAAACGAGGCGAGGAAGAATTTAACGGTCATAAGAATTATTGGGATAATGCCAACCCTAAGGAGAAGTATGAGCACGACCGATTCAAGGATGGTTTCTTGACTGCCTGGAATGATTCCAAGACTTTTGCTGAGTTCAACGGGTCAGTAATTGGTAGGAAAGAGGCTTGGAAAGGGGGTAGATTGGCTGAGCATATTAAAGCTAAGGGAAAGGGGAAACATGTTTGGGAATGGGAACATGGGTTTGATGCTGGGTTAAAGGCGTTTAAGGATAGTTGGTAGGGTAGGTTAGAGTAGTATAGTACTATTTTCTAGACTGTTTTAAGGGTTTAAGCTGTTTTACGGTTCTTTAAGGCTCTTTAGACTGATATGGTCAGAATAAATATCTTGGATTTACCGCGACTCTCATTAATTTACTGCCAATTTAATTGATCTCTACGTCCGCGCTGACTGATCTCTACGTGCGCGCTGACTAATTTCTACGGGGACGCTCACTAAGTGCTGCGCACACGCTCGCTATCATTCATCTTCGCACTTATCTGATCTCACCTTAATGAATGGGTATTTAAAACCACAGCAATTGGACTCCCTAGCGGTCAAACTAGCGTCCCAGCTACTATCCAGTACCTCCAAGCCCGCCAAATACATCAATTATCAGATAGAGTTGCTAGAAATCGTAAGTTATGAGACCAAACGGTTGGATAAGTTGGGTTACTGTGACTTTGAAATGGGTTATTTGTGCTATATTTTGACACAAACCCTCTTGAAAGAGTGTAAGCAGCATCCTACCAACGATATCAAGGACCTTATTGGCATTATCGAAGCAACGTTGGCGAAAAAACAGGAGAAATTCCAAATTTGCCGTCAATTCATCACTGAAACTGACGATATAGACCCTTTGATGAGTCGTTTTAATAATCTTAGTGCCGGGCCCACCGCCACCACCACCACAGGTAGTCAGGCCACTACAAAAGCTGATGAAATCACTACCACTGGTGTACTGGTGGACTCATTCAAGCACAAAGGAGTCATTACACCTACTGAATTGCATTTTCTTCTATCTAACAAAGATAAAATCTTACTAATAGACTTTAGGACCAAGAACGAGTTCAATTATAACCATATTAACTATACAGACATTGTAAATATCGACCCAGGGGTGGTGAACACCCTTTTGGGCCCCGAGAATAAGACCAATGCCGACAATGTCACTGACCAAGACCTTGAAGAACGACTTCGAATGTTATTGGCGGAAGACCAGTACACCAGATTCTCTAATAGACATAAATATGAACTTGTGGTGATGTATAACTTGAAATACGGTACGGTGGGGGGCGATAGGTTTGAAAATTTGGCCAACAGTTTGATTTCAGGAGATGTTAATGGTAATCCATCAAAGCAACCATTTACTAAACTTATAGATATCATAACTTATAGGAATAAGTATATTAGTTCGAAGTTAAAACGAGCTCCGTGCTATTTGGCTGGAGGTGTGGCCAATTGGTTTAAGATTTACGGAGAACTGTCGATAGTTAAGACCAATGAAACTCCGATATTAGCACGACCCCCGGCTTCAATTTCAAGAGATGGAAGTTCTTCTCCCAGTTCAAGTAGTTATAGGTCCAGTAGTGTTAGTAAGGATGTGTCGGTGATAACCAATGGATCCCCCTACTTGAAGAATTTTGGCGATTATCTTGGTACGGCTAAGACCACCAACACCACACCGGTATCTAATCCATTCAGAGGTGATTCTTATGTTCCGAGTGCCCCTTTGAAGGTTCCTAATTTGGGGGCCGTGCCTTCTACCGTACCATCCACTAGCACGGCTTCCCAATCCACTAGCATGGCTTCCCAATCCACTAGCATGGCCTCCCAATCCACGGGGACAAAGACTTCTACTTCCACTGGGACCAAACTCACCAGAACTTCACTGCTGGCCAATGATTATAATCCTGTTCAGTTCCTAGAACAGTACACCACGGGTTTGACTAACCTCGGGAACTCTTGTTACATGAATTGTATCTTACAATGTCTTGGAGCCACTCCTCAGCTTACAAAGTTCTTTTTCCCAACTTTCCCATTAACCAAGAACTCCCCTTCGGTCCTGCAATCATACAGACAACATATCAATGTCAACAATAAGCTTGGGACTAAAGGTATTCTTACCACCAACTTTGTCAACCTTTTGATGAACATGTTTGGTAACTCAGGAGGGAATTTTTCTCCTTCCAACTTCAAGAAAGTCATTGGATCGTTATCACCAGGCCAACAGTTTGCTAATTTCGACCAACAGGATTGTATAGAGTTCTTAAACTTCTTGTTGGATTCTTTACACGAAGATTTGAATCAAATGGTGGTAGCAGATGCTAAAGAGAAACAGGCTATCATGGAACTAACTCCCGAACAAGAATACACCAGAGAGATCTTACCCGTGAGACTAGCATCCACCATCGAATGGGAGAGATACTTAAAGTTGAATTTCTCCATAGTGGTAGATTACTTCCAAGGTCAGTATTTATCTCAGTTGAAGTGCTTAGAATGTGGCCTTACGTCCACCAGTTATAATGCTTTCTCCATTTTATCGTTACCTATCCCTGAAAAGTTGAACCACAGACAAATAACGTTGGACGATTGTTTACAAGAATTCGTGGAATTGGAATTATTGGATGATGACAATAAATGGCATTGTCCTCGTTGTAAGAAGTTCACCCGGTCTACCAAGAAGATAACCATCACCAGACTTCCTCAGGTATTGATAATTCATTTCAAACGGTTCCAGATCTCCCCCATGGGATATTTTAGTAAATTAGACACTTTCATCAAATACCCCGTTAATGATACTTTGGACTTAACTAAGTATTGGCCCGACGTCGGTACCTCAGTCAACCTGAATTTGAATTCCTCAGAAATCATGTCCAAGGAAAAAGAAACCCAAATCCTTGCCACCTTACCTGCTCGTAATCAAACACCCCCTTTCCGGTATAAATTATACGGCGTAGCCAATCATTACGGGAACTTGACTACCGGCCATTATACTGCATATGTTCACAAACAGAGCGACACAAAGAAGAAACGAGAATGGTGTTATTTCGATGACTCAAGAGTTACATTCAACCACAAAGAGAATGATGTGTTGAACAAAAATGCCTATTGTTTATTTTACCAACGTATATAACTCCTTCTCCCCCCCAAAAATCAAATATTTGCTATATTTCCCCCTTGTGGTGGATCTTTAACTTGGGATGTCCATTGACAACACCTCTACTCATCCCATTCCATAACCACTCTACTTTATAGCCAGGATCAACCATAATGTCTCCTTGGAAATTATCGACAAAACTTCTATCATTAACGGTGATGTTTGTGGTGAAGTTAATGAATTCATTGAAGATGGTTAAGGAGGACCAGAATTGAAGTTTCCTTAAACATGCCACAAGTAGACTGGTTACTTGTCCACCATTAAGACAATGGATGTAAATGGGAGCATGCTGGGTGTGGATGATATAATTTATGGCCGTAAGTACGGCAGTATAACCTAAGGGAACACCCCTTTTCTTACCTTTACCCAGTTTTTCACATTCAATATGAATTAGTTGGATATTGTTATCTTTGGAGAATTGGTATAATTTACCATCAGTTTCTGGGGTGATGGGTTGAGGAGTTAAGGAGATGATGGTTTTCAATTGAAGACTTTGAAGGAAGGGGAAGTTGATTTCTCGAGGATAAGCTCCACGATATACATCTTGTTGAACGGTATTGAACTTCAATGGCGGTACTATCAGGTAAGGTAAACCGTAATCCATTTTTCGCAATTTTTTTCTATTTGTGGATTTTCTGTTTGTGGATTTAATTGAGTTTGTGGATTTAATTGAGTTTGTGGATTTTTAATTTACACAAATAGAAAAAAAACCACAAAAAGAAAAACCACAAAAAGAAAAAAACACACAGAAACAATCTAGTTAGAGAAACAATTATTTACATTAAGCATTATGAATATTAAGCGGAGTCTCATGGCATTTCTCCTAAATTAGGTTTCTTACAATCTTCAACATTATGGGCTAACACATCTTCAATAGACCATCTTGGAGGTTTCCCCTTCACTTTAGAGCCTCCAGCTCTTCCACTACTAAATTTCAAAAACACCAAATCACCGATTTCATTGAATTTTCTTAAGGTATCATCCAAATCTTCTTTGGTCAAAGCACTACTAACACATAATCTCACCCTACCACTGACAATGGGGGTGGCAGGATAAGCAGTAATAACAATAGCAATACCCATATCATATAACATTCTTGAAACAGCGGGCATTTTAGCAGGTAAGAACAATAACAATGGGATAACTGGAGAATCATCAGCTCCATAGACAATAAACCCTAATCTTTTCAATCCCAATCTCAAGTAACGAGAGTTGAAAGCGATTCTTTGTAATCTTTCCAAACCTTCACCAGGATTGATATCTCCTTTAATCACCTTCATGGAAGAAATAATTTGTGCTAAGACGGCTGGTGGTACAGATTCACCGTATGAATTAGTGGCATAACTTAATCTAATTCTTTTCATGATTTCTTTAGATCCAGAGATATAACCACCAGTAGCACCAAAAGATTTAGTTAAGGTACCCATTAAGATATCGATTTTCTTTGGATCAATACCGAAATAATCACAAACTCCCCTACCGTTAGGACCAATGGCTCCAATAGAATGGGCTTCATCAAGGAACAAATAACATTTATACTTTTCCTTTAATCTAACCACTTCCCTTAAATCACATAAGTTACCTTCCATGGAATATAACCCTTCAACTGCAATGATGATTTTATTCCAAGGACGATGAGTCTTTGGTTGACCTTGAGCAATGGCGTTTCTAATGACTTTTTCCAAATCTTTCATATCATTATGTTTACATACTTTAACTTGGGCCCCAGAAACCCTAATACCGAATCTGATGGAAGCATGATTCAATTCATCAGAAATAACTAAAGTTTTTGGATCGGCTATTGACGGGAACACAAACCCATTTGTACCATATCCTTGAGAAATCAAAATTGCGTCTTCTTGTCCCACAAAATCCGCGATAAGGGCTTCACAGTCTAAATGTAAATCGGTAGTACCAGCACCAGCTCTTGGTGAGCATCCTGAGGTACCATAATCATCAATAGATTTTAATGCGTGTGTAGTACAAACCCCTTTAGATTGACCAAAACCAAGATAATTATATGATGATAAGTTAAGACATTCAGAAGTTGTACCAGGGTATTCATATTCAGATTTACCAACTTTCTTTCTATCAAAACAGTGAATGAATCTACCTGGAGCTCCATAAATAGGTCTGGCGAAACAATCATCGATTCTATTTTTCATTCTACGTTCATAGAAACTTTCGAATCCATCGTACCATGGAGCATACCCATTTTGTTCCACTAAATGAGAGTATTCTTGTGGTTTGAAGATTTTTCCAAAGAAATCTCTGATGTGACCAATGATGATTAAGATCAAGTATGATAAGTAAGTGGAAATGTAGATGAATAAAGGAGGTTCGTCTTCAATGGATTTTATGTAAGGTTCATTTTCTGGATGTTTGGCAACATATAAATATTCTTTGGATGTTAATTTCCCGAATTCTAAGTCTGCTAAGACTTCTGGGGGTCTATCATCCACTGGAGCTTGTGGAAGTGTATTCAGTGGCTTTTTCATCTTTATGGAAAGAATTTGCTTTTTGTGGATTTAGCTCTTTTTGTGGACAAAATTTGTTTTTGTGGATTTAATTCTTTTTGTGAACAAAATGTTTCTTTGTGGACTTAAATTCTTTTTGTGGACAAATTATTAAGAAAAGTTGCACAAAATAAAAAAATTAGCCAGTACAAAAGTGATAAAAAAATCTAGGAATGTACAAAAAACTAACAGTACAAATGCAAAGTAATATTAATGAACAATTGACAATATCAAAGGAACGATTGGTTTACAATTATGGATTTGTGGTTTTTGAACTGGAAGTTTTATGTTTACTGCCTATGATAAAATTTTTCCCAATCGACGCGAATGTGAGGAACGGGTATAATGGGAAAGTGTCGCACCTCCTATCTTTATGCGAAGGTAAGATGTTGGAGGCAGTAAGATTAGGTCGAGATTAGCAGAGGGGTTGAATGTGAGGATCTTAGAGTTTATTAGGCATGAGATTTTGCTTAGAATCTATGAATTTCTATTTGTGCACTTTGTGTTTGTGGATTATCCTTTTTGTGGATATTTCTGTTTGTGGATTTTAAGTTTGTGGAACCCTTAAAATTACTTCTCACATTTAAACAACTTATAACTTCTCTGTTCATCCCCCACCAACTTAATCACATAATCATAATCAGGTAATTCCCATTCAATATGACCTATAGTCAAGACGGTTGCTTCCTTAAAGTAAGTATCCAAGATCTTGTGACAAATATGCATCAACCTAACGTCATCCATGCATGAGAATGCTTCATCTAAGATGATCAATTCTGGGTCCTTGATGATAGCTCTTAAGAACAATGTAAGCTTTTGTAAGGTTATGGTCAATTCATTGAATTTTGTGTCACCATATTCATTTATCATGTTTCTGATTTCGGGAATAGCCAAAATCTCTCTAAGTTTTTGTGGCGGTTGGAAATCGACCACAAAGTTGAAATTCGAATTTCCAATATCTTTCACAAGACCATTGGTGATGATCTCGTTCATGGTTTTGTTGGGTGGTACCAAAGAATGTAATTCGGGAGATGATATACCGATACGATTGTTAACATCGAAGAACGTTACACCATTACCAGTCTTACGGAGGGTACCGTTGATTTTGATGACTGATCTCCATGATTGAGGATGGTCTGCAGTTATAAGAGAAAGAATGGTGGTCTTACCAGTTCCGTTTTCACCCAAGATTCTCCAATTTGACCATTTGGGAATTTTCCAGGAGAAATCTTTCAAGATAGGGAGTTGCTTGTAGATCACTGAGGCATTGTTGAATTCAATATGATACAGGTTATTGGTGTTGTGGCTATTGGTTTTGTGGCTATTGGTTTTGTGGTCGTTGGTTTTGTGGTCGTTGTGTTTGTGCATATCTTTATACTCACTCTCATTCAAAATCTCCTGTAATTGATAATTCTTATCCTGAGGGACATCATCTCTACGTATGTGGATCTCATTCTTAGGACCATCCAATTCAATACCTTCATTGTTGATTTCTGTGATATGGGTTATCCACTCGGGAACAGTGTCTTGATATCTCAAACCTAACACTACTGCCATATCGAACATTTCGGTGACTTTACACAAAGAGTCTGAAACTAATTGAGTTTGCTTAGGATCCAATCCCAAAAAAGGGTCGTCAATAATCAACAATTGGGGGTAATGTAACACAGCTTTGGCAATACGGGCCCTTCTCAATTGTCCATTACTTAAGGAATTGATCCATTTGTGTTTCAAATGACCGAGATTGAAAAGTTCAATAATCTTCTCGCTGTCTGCGGGATTGGTTTTGTGGTTAGCATTATAATTGTTATTACCAGTGATATAGTTGGCCACAGAATTCACATCATCGGACATTTCTAATGTCCCTTTGTACGATAATGATTCATAACGGGCCGACAAATAAACTTTATCTAGGCCCGAGCTCTCCTTAAAATTAAGGTACTCTATGGAGTCATAGTTCCCGGTATCTTTTATGACGGGGTACTGACGAGATAATGGTGGATGGGGTAAGTATTTCATGGCGATAGCACTAAGAAACTCTGTCTTTTTAGACCCCAAAACCGCATATTTTGAGGCTTTTGTGGATGAAGGAAGATGAATACTCCATGAAATCGGTTTGGGGAACACTGGTTTGGCCTTGAGGTTGGGTTTAAGAAGGCATTGGTGGAACTTGACCAAAGTGTTACTCATAATGTATGGGTGCGGGAACTGAAACCTGGAGCGAAATCTAGAGCGGACCGAAACCAGGGGGAATGGGACTGAAAAAAACCTTTTTGTGTACACCTTTTTGTGTGCACCTTTTTGTGTGTGCGCACAAAGAGAAAAAGTGTAATGGATTTTATCGACCCCGTAGTACAACCAAAGGCTGACACCACCGCCGATAACACTCCTCAAGCTGTCAACCAATTGGAGAATGAAATTGATAAAGCCTACACTACCGTAGAGAAGAAATTTGCTGATTTATGGACCTCAGTAGGTAAGAACACCGAAGAGTTACAACAGAAATACCACTTGGAAGAACACAAAAACGAATTATTGAAGCAATTGAATGATGCCAGAGCCAACATTGAAGACAAAACCAAAGCCAAGGAACATTTGGCCGAATTTGAAGCAAAAATCAAGTCTTTGTCAGAACAAATCCCCGTCAAGGCCCTTGACTTGAAATCAATTGACTTGAAAGCTTTAGGTACTCAAGCCAATGGATACCTCGATACCTTGGACTCCAAGTTAGAGGTGGTAGAACAACAGGCTGGTAAATATGTCAGCCAATTCACTTCCTTTTTGTCTGGGATTGTGTCTGTGAACCAAGATGCGACTCCCCCTGAGAAGGAGGACAAAGAGGTTTTATTTACCACAAAGTTAGGTTCCAATCCTAACTATGGAACTTCTAGGTACGACAGTGACTTGTTTAAGTTACACACCACCCCAGAGTTGTACTTGGACGAAAAGTTGGACGGAGACTTGAAGAGCTTCGACGTAGATTCTAAGACTAAAGATATCAGTGATCTTGTAGCAAGATACGATAATACGTTACACAAACTCATGAATGAGTTAGTACCCGTCAAAATCGCATACAATGTGTTTTGGTACAGATACTTCAAATTGGAGGATAACTTGAAGAAACAAGATGAACAAAGAAAGAAGTTATTGGAGACCAAAGAGACTAAGAAAGCTGAAGAAGATGATTTCAATTGGGATGATGATGATGATGAAGAGCCAGTTGATGTTGGTAAAGATGTGAAGGATAAAGATGATTGGGAATGATTTTATAGTGATGTATACTTTTTTCTTGTTTGTGAACTCTTCTACTCTATTTGTGGTTTTTGGTTTTTGTGAACTTCCTGTTTGTAAACTTCCTGTTTGTGGATTTATGTACTTGTGGATTCCTACTTAACGACATTTCCCATATGTCTCTTTTCTGTCAACAATGCAATATTTTCGCATAGGCCCTTTAACGGTCGTCTATGCCTCTAATGCTACCGCCTTGGTACCGCATTAGCACTAAACTTAGACCCATTGCATTTGTTGCCGCGCCTTAACTTCTCAATTCTTTCAAGGAGAGCAATATACCTTACCTTCTTTATAATAGATCTTTCATTTGTTTAAGGAATCATTGACTCATCAATTCACTGAAGTCAAACCTTTAGTAGTCATTTTCCATAACCCGTTCATCGAAAGATAGAACCAATAAGGATAGAACGAATCAAAAATTATAATCCACAAATAGAAAGTTCACAAACAGAAAATCCACAAAAACACAAATCCACAAACACAAATCCACAAATTAAAATCCACAAATACATAAATCCACAAACACAAACCCACAAACACAATGTTTGGTACAAATACAAAACCCGACCTGAAATCTCCTAATTCAAGGGATCCTGTCATACCAAATTTAACCATAAATTCCCCCAGCTCGAGTACCAGTAACGTATCGCCAGGAACATTCACTAAGTCCAAGCCAAGTCTCAAATTGAACATGAAGACCCACTCCCCGGCTCCCAGGAGTATGGCCTCCATCTCCAACACCATCCCCAACTTCACCAACTCGGGACCCTTCTCCCCCGGTCTTTTCACATCCAAAAGAGTGTGGGTCAAACGTCACAACGGTACTGCCACCACCCTCATCGTCAACCAGAACGATATCATTGATGACTTGAAGTCGGCCATCATCACCAAGTTCCCCAATGCGCTAGGGAAATTCTACGACCCGGCCGACCTCACTATAAAGATGGACCTACAGTCTCGCAAGCCTGTGACAGCAGTTCCTGGCAATTCGCAGCAGCCTCCTAAGAAAGTCAACATTTGGACCCAGTCGGCATCCCCAGATAGTGGACTCCCCAGTACGTCCCCCGTCTCTACAACGTTCAAAGATTCGGTCAACAGAATGACACAAAACGTCAACCTGAGCCAGTATAGCTACATCAACCTCGAACCCGACCAGAACGTATGGAACCTTTTGGACTTGTACTTCCCTGGAGGCATGGCGATGAACGAAGCGTTCATTATCGATACCCCCATCATGGAACCAGACCCACACCAGGAAGCGTATCATCCGCAGGGGAAATTTTTTGGTTCCAGCACCAACTTGAATTACTACCAATCCACCTCACCAGTTCAGTCCAACCCTCCTTATAATAGGTCGTTGACGCCTAATTCTGCTAATTCAGGAAACTACTACCACCAACCACATCCTCAGTACATGAATTCTGGGGCCATTTATAAGGATAGGTCGGCGTCACCAAATAATGCTAATCTTAAAGCATCCCCATTACCTAGTGGGAACTTCCACCGCCGTTCGCAATCCAATCCTCCCCAATCTCCCATCTCCAATAATTTACACATGAAGTCCCAAAATACCGCGAACACCTCCACCAATGGTACCACTGCTAGTACCACACCTAACGCCAACCAGGCGGTATTGCTTCTTCCTAAGAACTTCTCCCTTTCCAATACCCAACAGTCTGATAAGAAACGGTTAAGTTTGGACGAGAATTTTGTCCGTAATCGTGACAAGCTCCTCACGTCGCCCTTAGGGAAGGGTTCGTTGACGGACAATAGCGAGGATTCACAGTCTCCCCAACCATTCCCTACATTGATGGAATCAAGGAAGGGCGCCTTACCCAAGTTGGACGTCCATGGAAGAAACATCGAACCAACCTTGGACAGTCCTGATACTCCTACAGACCAAATGAAGATGGAAACCCTCAATTCCTTGAGTAGAGGGTCTAGTAATAGTAGTAACTCCAGTCGCGGTAGCTCGGGGAACAACAGTGGTAAAAATAGCGTCAGCTCGTCTAAAAATGGCGGTAGTGCGAAAAATAGTGCCAACTCCACCAAGAACAACAGTGCAAAAAGTAGTACCAGTGGACCTAGCGCTGGTGGGAAAGCTGGCGCGGGAAAAACTACCACCGGAAACCCCACCGATAGCGAGGAAAAGGAACCAGAAACCGTTAAAAGACAATCATCAGGATCTAAAAAGAATGAACTCAAAGCCAAATCTGCTACGGAAGCCGTACTACCATCCATCTCGGTATTGGTGGTGGAAGATAACGCCATTAATCAAGCCATTTTAGGGGCGTTCCTCAGGAAACACAAAGTCCACTACGAGATCGCTAAAAATGGTGAGGAAGCTATCGCCAAATGGCGTAAGGGAGGGTTCCATTTAGTACTAATGGATATCCAGTTACCGGTTAAATCAGGGATTGAAGCCACCAAAGAGATCAGGTACCTCGAGAGAATCAACAAGATCGGGGTGTTCGCCGAGAACGAACAAGGCCCTAAGTCGGAGGAATTGGTCGATAGCGAGAAGCTCGACCTAGAAATCTTCCGTTCCCCAGTAATCATCGTCGCGCTCACAGCATCGTCCAATTCTTCCGTCGACAGAAGTAACGCCTTACGTGCTGGGTGCAACGATTATTTGACCAAGCCAGTGAACTTGGTTTGGTTACAAAACAAGATCACCGAATGGGGATGTATGCAAGCATTGATTGATTTCGACGGGTGGAAGACCAAACGGTCGACGTTTAAGACCAGCTCCGGCAAGATCTTAGGCTCTACCACCACCTCCAGGTCGGGAGCTCAGTCCACCAATAAAATGATCTTGGGAGGCAGCTCACAAAGGCATCAGAAGCAATTATAACGTAATAGACGTAAAAAAAGTATTCTCTTGCATGAATTATGTACATGATGCATTTTCTAAATTTTACATGTTTCAAAAATTTTGCATGTTTTGGTTTTTACAGTTTACCACTCTCAATCGCAAATTTACAAGTTGGCTTTGAGGTTTTTTACATTTTACAATGTCGCACAAAATTTTCCATCATGTCAGAACCTGTGCCAACAGTGTTACCCTTGGAAGTAATCGATAAAGCCATCGGTACTGAAGTCCATGTGTTGTTAACCAACGACAAAGAGTTCAAAGGAAAGTTGATTGGGTTCGATGATTTCGTCAACATCGTATTAGAAGATGTTACTGAGTATGATAACGATACTGCCAACGATGGTAAGATAAAGAAGATGTTATTGAACGGAGGTCAAATCTCCATGATCGTTCCAAGTGTTTGATTTGCTGTATATTAATATATGAAAGTGGACGTCTTTCTCTGGAAATGGTGGAGGAATATTGTGGAGGGATATGGTGGGGTGTCAGCGGTTAAGGTTGATACAACTGTGAAGATAGTGGCATCAGAAGTTACCCAATGGCCAATTGATGTTGCGTAGAATCGTCGTAAATGAAACCATACCATCTTCTCTCGTCTTCTAGAACCTAATGATGGGTTCGCCACCGTTTTGCCACCCTTTGTACCTGTCGCCACCCTTTATATTGCCTTCCCTCTCAGTCGCGATAACTCATCCATGAAGTTAACTGTCAGTAACGAACTAAACAACCTGATCATCTCCGTAGATGTGTCCCAGTCCATGTCTTTGGAAGACTTCAAAGCATACCTTCAAGCTGAGACTGACATTGAACCCCAAGACCAAATTTTGATTCGTGATTCCAAGTCCATTACCGGCCATAGTCAAACATTGGATCAATTGGGGTTCAAGGATGACGATTTGATTGTTTTGAAGAAGAAAGGTGGTGCTGTGTCGGCGCCAAATACTTCCAATACCTCCAGTTCCATCGATTCGACGATGGTGGAAGGCCAAATTGAAGCCATGAGACAACAGTTCCTTACTAACCCTTCAGCGGCCAATCAGTTAAGGTCTACCAATCCCACTTTACATGATGCAATCCATAACCCTGAACAGTTCAGCTCCTTGATGAAGCAAGCGTTACAGCAAATGCAAAACGGCCAAATCCCATCCCATTATGATCTGTCGAACCAGCAAGAGATCAGAAGATTAGAACAAGATCCTGATAATCCAGAGAACCAAGCCAGGATCTTGGAGTTGATCAGACAAGAACAGATCGAAAAGAACATGGAATTGGCCTACGACCTTACCCCTGAATCATTTGTTAGTGTAAGTATGTTATACATCAAAATCAAGGTTAACGGGAAACCGGTTCAAGCGTTTGTGGATTCAGGGGCTCAACAAACAATTATATCTCCGAGATTAGCCGAAAGATGTGACATCGATAGACTTATTGATCGTCGTTTCGTGGGGGAGGCAAGAGGGGTAGGATCGACCAAAATCTTAGGGAAGATCCATTCGGTACCTATCAGTATCGGAGATTCCGACTTCGAACTTCCTTGTTCTTTCCATGTCATAGAGACTTCTGTGGACTTGTTGTTTGGATTGGACATGTTGAAGAGACACAAATGTTTGATTGATTTGGCCAATAATAAATTGGTGGTTGGAGGTCATATTGAAACCCCATTCTTACAAGATCACGAGATCGAGAATAATGATTTGTTAGGTAACACTGTGGGCGGTAATAATAGCAATTTGGGATTCGGTGGTAACATCTTTAGTGACGCTACCATTCCTATAAATAACGATCGTAAAAAACCTGCATCCCAAGCCGCACAAGCAGCTTCCAAACGACAAAATGTTGGTGGTGTCCCATCTGCGTCCTCCACTTCCTCAACCACACCTTCCACCACATCATCCTCCTCCAAGTATAAAGACGAAGATATTCAACAATTAGTAGGTCTTGGATTTTCCAAAGCTCAAGCCATTCAAGCCTTAGATGCTTGTCAGGGGAATGTGGAAATGGCCGCTTCTTTACTTTTCCAATGATATTGTGATGTGCACTACTAAGGTATGTATTATGCTAGCAAAGTGATGTATACTACTGGCTTACTACGCTTTGCGATGTATCGTCTGCCTCCAAAATATTATGATGTATAACAAATATTATGATGTATAACAAATATTATGATGTATAACAAATATTATGATGTATAACAAATATTATGACGTATATTCTACTAGTCTCTATAAATTATGCCTTAACAAGGTTAGTTTATTTCTTAACAAAGGTGAAAGCTTGATGAACAAAGTCAACCTTATCGATCAAATCAAAGTCTTCTTCTGCCAACTCAAAGTCATACACTTCTAAAGCTTGTTTGATTCTTTCAGGATTACTGGAAGTGGTGATAGGTAACACATTCTTTTGTAATGTCCATCTCAATAACAATTGAGCATCTGTCTTACCATACTTCTTAGCTAACTCGGCAAGGATTGCCGTTAATGGATGGGGAGTTTCGATCCGCGATAACGGAGTTAAGGGGCCATAAGCTTCGATCAAGATATCATGAGATTGACAGTAATCGTAAAGTCCTGGCCATTGATTTTGTAAGTATGGGTGGAACTCAACTTGATTGAACTTTGGCAAGTAATCGTCACCATATTCCTTGGAAATTTTAGTGACGATTTCCAAGGACTCTACGGAGAAATTGGAAACTCCGAGATATCTGGTTAATCCTAACTTCTTACATTCACACATTTGTTTCCAGCAAGTCTCTAAAGTCAATCCATTTGTGGCAACAGCAAACTTGTTAACATGAATGAAATAAGCATCGACATATGACATTTGTAACGCTTTTAATCCATTTTGTAAAGCTTCCACTGGACCTGAAGTCTTAGACATTGGTCCATATTTGGTGGTGATCCAAATGTCTTCTCTGTTGAGTTTGGCAGTCTTAACCGCATTACCAACTTCTTCCTCGGTGGTATAGAATTCTGCGGTATCAATGTGGTAGAATCCTTGATCAAGAGTCATCTTGATCTGATCTTCAACTATCTTAGCAGTAGAGGCGTCAGCTCTCTTCATATCTTTCCATTTAGTACCAGACCCGGTCCCCATTAATAAGGGTTTGCCGGAGACTGTCTTGAATGAAGGTTTCAAATCAATTTGTGTCATTGGTGGGGTGGATTTTTCCTGAGGCATTCACTCAGCTTATATACGAATTTCTGATAAGCGGTGTCAAAAGGATTTTGCGGTAGAAATTCCCTCATTGTGGCATTTCACAGATAAGATTTTGGTGTACTGGTGTGAGTCATGGGAAGTTTTTGACATATTTGATTTAGGGGGCAGGTGTACGGGGCTGTCCACAATTCCATGTTGGGTCAATGTCCAAAACCTCGACTAAAGCGTGGTTATCGAAACAATAGAAGAGGTTACATTCTGACTTATCAAGCTTAAAAAGTTTATCCCAAAAAGGTAAAACTTAATTTGACAGTTAATAGAGTTTCATAGTTTATAATGGTTTTTCAGGCTTTGTTATGGAGCCGTTCCTAAAAGAAGTTTAATTATTCAATTATAAATATCATGATTTTTATGTTTGTGGTTTTTTGTATTTGTGGTTTTTAATTGTATTTGTGGTATTTGTGTTTGTGCTTATTAAAAATGAGTAGGTTTTCAAACATTTCATGTTTCCAAACTACATTTCAAGCTACTGGTGGCAGAATTGGAACCCCTGGCCCAAGGTTCAAGTGGAATACAACCAAATCAAGAATCTTTTTCACGTTAGGAGTGATGTTTGTGGTTATTGTCAGTACTCTACATATCCAAAAACACCTTCCTGAGAAGATTTCCCCAGATTTGGTTAAAAGGTCTGAATCTTTAAGATTACCTTCGAGATTGATTGCCAACAGTATTCTGTCCGCTAGCACGTCCGACCAAAGGCAGATTTTCCAAGTTTCTTATCCTAACGTTGCTGGTAACTATGGTTCGGCTGTAGCTAGCCAAACCCTTCTCACTCATACATTTGGTAACAGTTGGGGAACTCCTGCTACCGTTCCTTACACCCCACCAAATGCTAACTTCAACAAAATCGTTCTTACATTGAACACGACTTGCCTGGGTGTTCAGTATGATCGTTTGGCCCATCTCTTCCTCGGTGGTGTGCCTATTTGGAGAACTTCTACAATGGAACCAGGTGGTGCTTCTGTCTTATCAACCTTCTCCAAAGACGTCAGCTTATATGATTCTGTGTTCCAGGCTGGAGGCGAGTTGTTATTCAAGCTTGACAATATCTTGAACGGGGATGTGAATGGAAGTTTTGATGTGATTTTAACGGCGAGCTACTATCATGTTGATTCTGAAACCCCCACCCCAGGAATAGCAGGGATCTTAGACGATACAGCCGCACCCAGAGTATTTAGCTTGACGGAAGATCCGCTTTATGACTTGGCCAATGATTCCTTGAACATTTCATTACCAGCAGTCAACTCCAATACCACAAGAATGAAGTTAATGGTGTTCACCTCTGGTAATGGTGATGAAGAATTTTGGTACACAAACCTGCTAAACGCCAATGTTCAGAAATACTCTTCACTTGGTCTACGTGGCCATGGACCTATCAGAACGGTGTTCGTGAAGTATAACGGTGCAGTAATAGCTAATGTCCTTCCTCAACCAGTGATTTTCACCGGAGGTATATCCCCGGCTTTGTGGTCACCTATGGTTTCTGTGTCAGCATTTGATCTTCTACCGATCGAAATAGATTTAACAGCTTTGATCCCAGGACTTCAACCGTCTGACCAAATAGAGATCTCTGTGGGTAACGGGGACATAGAAGATGGTCAGATTGGAGGTGAATGGATCACAGCCGCCAACTTATTGGTATGGGAAAATTCTCTAGTTAAGTCAACTGGTGGTAAATCCGTACAACAAACTTTCAATCAGAAGCCCATTGTTGACAATGAAGATCAAGATGGATTGAACCAAACAATAACTTACCAAACAGCCGCTCAAATGTCTTCTACAATTACTTACAAATTGATCAATGGTACACAAATCGAGGTGTTTGTGTCATATGACACAAAAGGATCAACTTTTAATTCCCAATTTTATTCTTCCAGTGGAGGTACACAATTGATGTCACAAAGTTCAGACTTCACCAAACATTTAACAATAGTAGGAAAAAATGGCGAATCTATCGTTGATGTTAAGAGTCAATACCATTATCCTGTGACAGTCAATGCAGTGTACACTGGAGATAACAATGATCTTACTTTGAATCTTAATGTCGCTAATGGTTATACACTTAGTGTAGATACACCTTCTTCTAATATCATGAAATTAGAGGATATACAAAACGGAACCTCAATATTTGTTCAATCTTCTTCAGGGAACCATGGAACAGGGAATAACGAAGACACTTACAGTTTGGTTGATAATGTTGGTAAAGTTAATTATTACAGACACGTGAAGGTCAATAGTAATGGGACCTATGAGTATGATGAGAGCTATGGTGGTTAAACGGTGTCTCTTGTTTTTGTGGCAAATCTTTTTTGTGGTTATTGTTTTAGTGTATACGCTTTTGTGGATACATACTAGTACAAAACCATAATCAAAAAAACTAAACATACTGTTCAGAAAACATTATTACTTATATATATTCAATAGCAGTACTATAAACTAAAGACCATTTAAACCTTCTTCTTCTTCAGCATTGGGTCTTTTCTTTAATACCAAAGGTTTACCCATAACTCTAAAGTATAAATCTTTAACATCATCAGTCATTGATTCGAAATGAGATGAAGCATCATAAGTCTTGGAAATATAAATGCCATCTTTTGAACCATCTTGTTGAGGTTCATATAATTCAGCAATACCCATTAAAGTATCGATTCTTGGACCTAATAATTTAAAGGCTGGTTCTAATTCAACATGAGGAGTATCAGTTTCAATGATAGTTGAAATAATAGCCAAATAATAACCTTTTGGAACCACACAATGAACATCCGATAAACAAGCAATGTAAATATCATGTTTTCTACCTACTTGATTTTGTGGAATGATCAATTGTAAAGAATCTAAATCATTAGTATTAGGAATTGGATGATCCATAATACACATAGCTCTAATGACTCTTTGGCCTGTTTTCTTAACTTTTTCAGGGAAATAAGTTGGATCAGCAATTACAATTGGAGCTTTAGCTTTACCTTCTTTAGTAATAACTCCAGCAAATTTACCATCTTCATATAATACTTCATCAATTGGAGTATCCAACATATAAGTACCACCGTAGATAGCTGATAATCTTGCAAACCCTTGAGGTAATTCACCTAATCCGTATAATGGGTAAATATAAGGAGATTTCCCATATTTGGCAACTGATTGGACATACAAAACAATTCTTTCATAGGTTTGTCTGGCAGGTTCATTCAAATAATCATCATTTGGCCACAAAGCCATGGCATGACCAATAAAATCCTTAGTACCGTTTTCTAATCTCCAATAATTATAAACTTCGTTCATTGTGTTAGTATCCAAATCTAATCCTTGATGGGTGGACTTGACATCTTCATCATAATTGGCAATGAATTCCAAGAACCCCTTCATTCTTCTCTTTTCAAAAATCCCCATCAATGAGGATCTAACCGCTTCCATCTCATTAGAAGGAACTTTGGCGATTCTACCATTTCTATAAACATAACTTCCTCCAATTTGTTTGAACTCAATGTATCTGGTAACATCGGTATGGACCAAGATATTGGTCAATTCACCGTTGGACATGAGAAACTTAGGAATCAAATCAACACACCAATCTCTATCTCTACCTTTTAATTCAGGCTTTTGACCTGAAGGTTTAAACTTTGAGTACAATTGAGATAAGTTCAATGATGCTGATTCACCCCCATAGAAGTCCTGTTTGTCAATGTGTAACACCTTTTTACCTTCAACAGATAATAATCCTGATAAGATACATTCGGTCAACCCAGTACCTAAAACTATAACGTCGTATTCTTCATCCATGTTTGCTAAATATCGCGGAGGGAGAAATTGCAGGGAGAAGTGAGAAAAGTGAGAAAGTGAGGATTGGGGGAGAGGAGGTGTTTCAGATAAGAGATGTCGTGGACGGGGAGACGTGGGCCAGAGACATATTATGTATCACTATACCATGGGAGTGGGTTTATTGGATTGGTATAGAACGATATATCACACAAGGGATAGCGCCAAAGACAGGGGCAAAGCGAAAACGATAGATAACGCCAATGATAGATAGTGCTGACGATAGATATCCCCTACGATAGGTAGATAGGCTTCTACACTACATTATGGAACCCTTTAACTCCCTTGGCTAATCCGGCCTTGACTATCTTGGAAATCTCCTCAGGATCACTGGTAATTTTGGTGAAGTTCTCATACCCATCTTCAGTAACCAACAAATCATCTTCAATTCTTACTCCTCCAATGTACCAGTACTTATCCAACACTGCCTTATCGATGAACTTCATCTTTTCAGGGTTGTTCAAAACATCTTCCAATAAAAATGGTGAAAAGTATACCCCTGGTTCATCAGTTAATACCATACCTGGTTGTAATTTCCTACGTAATCTTAAATAACGTAACAATTCATCTTTATCTTCATAGTTTGGGTATCCTCCAACATCATGGGTATCCATACCAAGTAAATGGCCCAAACCGTGAGGGAAAAAACGTCCTGATACTTTGGATTGAAAGATTTCTTCAGCAGAATAGTCAGATTTGAAGATTCCTAACTTTAAGAATTCCTCAATTAATACCTTATGGGCAGTCAAGTGACAGTCTTCCCATTGGGTTCCAGGTTTGATCATAGCCATGGTTTCTTGTTGCATCTTTAAAACGATGTTATAGATTTGTAAGTGTTCCTTACTCCAATCTCCATTGATAGGGAAACATCTGGTAACATCACTGGCATATAAAGACCATTCACATCCCGCATCAATTAACACTGACCTCTTCTCGCTCAAATCATCATCATTCTTCACATAATGTAATGTGGAACAATTAGGTCCACTACAACAGATTGGATCATACGATTGGTATTTACTTCCTTGTCTTAAAGCATGGTACATGAATTCTGCATGAATATGGGTCTCTTTGTTCTCAATGGGTAATGCCGACATTACGGCGAAATGACAATTATCCGTCAACTTGGAAGCATGACGCATTAATTCAAGCTCATATTCATCCTTGATTAATCTAGCTTCATCCAAAGCATAGAAGAAATCCTTATCTGAAGCTTTGACCAAAGTTTTGAATTGTTCATTGGTAGAATTGATGTCAAGACTATGGATCTCGTGATCTGAGCCACTAAGTACTGATGGGAGTTCACTAGCATATTTGCAGTCATCTATATCGTACTCTGATAACGCTTGTTCAATACTTAAAGGCATTCCTGACCACATAACGTCATCGTAATCGATATCAGGTAAATACAAAGTCAATTTGTCTGAAGGACCATCATAAATGACATGAGATCCTGGAATATCACATCCGGTTAAGTAAAAAAAGTATCTATTCTGTCTAAAGGGTCTGGCTTGATCTGAATATTGATAAAGAACGTCAGCTTCTCCACTAACAAAGAACGAATACTTGTCACCAGACTTCTTGGTTAATAAGTGCTTATACACTGTTTGACAATGTTTCTTAGCAGGATATTTCTTCCCTTTCAAACTATCAATTTGTTCAATCATAAAGTTTTTTAATGGTAAGGCACCAAAATTTCGCACTGTCAGAACTGGAGAAGGTAACATGAAGCGACCTCCGTGCACCCATACATAAAAATCTCACTTTCGTACACCCATAGATTAGAATTTTGGCAAGAGGATTCTTTAGTGCGAAAGTTTTAAATCTCGAAATTGCCACTAAAACATGGAAAGATTACAACGATTATTAGGACAAACAGGAGGATTTGGTGGCGCTGGAGGAGCTCCAGCTGATGGACCAGCTGTTGACAATGCAGAAACGGTATACATATCATCATTAGCTCTTTTAAAGATGTTAAAGCATGGAAGAGCAGGAGTTCCTATGGAAGTTATGGGATTAATGTTAGGAGAATATGTTGATGAATTCACCATTCAAGTAATTGATGTGTTCGCCATGCCTCAATCAGGTACTGGGGTGTCGGTTGAAGCCGTTGATGATGTGTTCCAAACAAAAATGATGGATATGTTAAGACAAACAGGAAGAGATCAAATGGTTGTTGGATGGTACCATTCTCATCCAGGGTTTGGATGTTGGTTATCATCAGTTGATGTCAACACCCAACAATCATTCGAACAATTGAATAAAAGAGCAGTAGCTGTAGTTATAGATCCAATTCAATCAGTCAAAGGTAAAGTAGTCATTGATGCCTTCAGAACTATCGATACCACTACATTAATGATGGGACAAGAACCAAGACAAACCACTTCTAATGTGGGACATTTAAATAAACCTTCAATTCAAGCATTAATTCATGGATTAAACCGTCATTATTACTCATTAAACATTGATTACCACAAGACTTCTAATGAAACCAACATGTTGTTGAACTTACACAAAAACAACTGGCAAAGTGGATTGAAGATGGATAATTTCGAAACCTGTGAACACAATAACTTACAGAATGTTGAGAAAATGGTCAAAACAGCTGAGTTGTATAATAAGAGAGTTCAAGAAGAGAAAGAGTTACTGGAAGATCAATTAAAGACCAGATATGTGGGTAAACAAGATCCTAAAAAACATTTAAGTGATACAGCGGAAAAGGCCATTGAAGATAACGTGACTTCTTTGGTGACCACCAATGTAAATAGTTTAGCTATTCAATGAAGGTTGATGTGAGAGGGGCTGTGATTTCTGGACTCTAAGGCTCTAGACGGTGATTTCTGGGACTTTGGGCGGTGGTCTATGGACTCTTATACTCTGGACGATGATTTCTGTAACACTGGGGGCGAATCCTGGACTCTGGCAGTCTAAGACGTGTACTATGACTCTGTAAGTCCTAGTGCCACGGCCCCTGGTACCTCTAACACAACTTTTTCTCAGACTAGCATAACTCACGAGAACATCGAATCTTAGCTGAACCTGAAATTCGCGATCCTTAATCATGGGGGTATGTAAAAGGAGCACCAACGCCCTATCCATGGTCTTCTTCATCGACTTAGGGCCCCACCACCATCTCCTTTCCGTACTAACATCTCTAGTTAGGTAGAATCTTTCATTATTCTGTTGATTTAGTTTTAGTATCAGTGATCTTGGCGGGTATTCATAGAAACACTGGCTTAGTGTTTGATACCTCCAATTTATCATCCATCGACTTCCGTAGATGGTTTGGCAATTACTTAAGTTTCGGCGAACTGTGCTACGATAAGTTAGTGTCATTATTGAAGTATTCTGGGTATTTTAAACAAAGAAATATGATAGTTGATTATTTGACCAGAGAAGGAACTAAGGTTTTAGATGAGAAGAAGGCTTGATTAATGTAAGTTTGGTTTTAAATTGACTTTGTGTCTTTCTATATCTTTTTGTGTCTCTTATTGACTCTGTGGTTCCTCCCCTTACTTCCGTTTGTCGCCCACCTTATCCATCCCCCCATCCTCATTCTCAATTTCTCATCGCAAGGTATGTCTTGATCTTTCAAACCTTTTGATATCTGTGATCACAAGCATCAGTCAGATCAAACAATAAACGTATCAAGATGCATAGAATCGATTGGTCGATAATCCCTTCTTGAAAAACGGATACAAACATGTTTACTAACGATATACATAGATGGAGTTTGTCGATAGATTCAAAGCTGCCATTGACTTGGAACAGAAGGTTGACTTAAACCAAACCAACGCGTACTTAGAAACTTACAGTGTGAAGAAGTTGGCTAAGTTAGGTTTGGCGGTAGTCAATTTGATCATTGATAATATCCGAACAGGATTGGGTGGTAAAACTGTCATTGAACTTGTGATCGATACCGCCATAGGTAAAGATATTGAAATCGGTAGCATTAAGACCGGAGATATCGTCAAGATCGATAAGATGGGTGAAGATTCAGAAGAATTGAACGGGGTGGTGACCAAGATCTCTACATCTTCAATATCGGTATCAATTGATGAAGACAAAGATGAAGATAATGTGTTGAACATGTATAACAATACCGGTAGTGATAATAAGATTTATATAGTCAAGCTTACTAATTCCATAACCTATAAACGGATGATGATAACTATGAACAAGTTGAATGAATTGAAGGATAAGCCCGATATCATGAAAGTATTATTGGGAGAGATGCCTTATTTCCAGTATAACTCTAAGATTAAAGTTAAGGAGTTCTTCAATGATAATTTGAATGGTTCACAAAAGGAAGCCATTGAATTTTGTTTGAATTCTCCCGTTTCCATCATTCATGGACCTCCAGGAACTGGTAAGACTTTCACAGTAATAGAATTAATCAAACAATTGGTTAGTGTTAATGAGAGAGTTTTAGTTTGTGGACCTTCAAACATTTCTGTGGATACAATCTTGGAACGATTATCCCTGAATTTTGGAGGGAAAAAAAAGAATAATGGTAAATTGATAAGAATCGGACATCCGGCAAGATTATTGGATAAGAACTTACAACACAGTTTAGATATCCTCAGTAAGAACACTTCCTCGGACATTTTATCCGACATTGATAATGATATCAGAACCACGTTAAAGAACATTAAGAAATGTAAGAGAAGATCAGAAAGGAAAGGGTTGTACCAGGAATTGAAACAATTGAAGAAAGAGTTACGTGTTAGGGAGAAAAAGGTGATTAAGGATCTTCTTCTTGGATCACAAGTGGTTTTGAGTACTCTTCATGGAGCCGGATCTCGAGAATTATTATCAGTATATGATCAAGGACCTAAGTTTTTCGATACGATCATTATTGATGAAGTTTCACAATCTCTAGAACCTCAATGTTGGATTCCTATAATTCATCATTTGGGGATTAAAAGAATCATTATAGCTGGTGATAATATGCAACTTCCTCCTACCATCAAAACCTTGGATGAAGATATTAACATCGATTTCAAAACCACCGCCAATTTAGAGAAAACGTTATTTGACAGATTAATGGAAATTGGTGGTGAACAATATAAGAAACTACTAGACACTCAATATAGAATGAATGAAGAAATAATGGAATTCCCATCATCAGAATTATACGAAGGGAAACTTAAAGCCTTTGAAGCCACCAAAGATATCTCTTTACATGATCTAGTTGATGATGAGGTTGATGATGATGACTTTAGTAAATGTATTTGGATAGATACTCAAGGAGGAGAGTATCCTGAACAAGCCAATGAAGATGACAACTCCAAGTACAATGAACATGAGATAGTTTTAGTTAAAAAGCATTTGGAAAAGTTAATCAACTTGGGTATTAAACCTCAGGATATCGGTATTATATCTCCGTATAACGCTCAAGTATCGTTATTGAAGAAACAACTTGAAGGAATAGAAATCAGTACAGTTGATGGATTTCAAGGCCGAGAAAAGGAGGTCATCATCATAACTTTGGTCAGATCCAATGATAACGGAGAGATTGGGTTCTTAAAAGATAGGAGAAGATTAAATGTTGCTATGACTAGACCTAAAAGACAATTATGTGTGATAGGAGATCTAGAATTAATGAATCGATCCACGGAATTCTTGAATCATTGGAGTCAATACGTGGAAGATAAGTTTGATCTAAGGTATCCCGATATGGAATATTAATGCCGAGTGTATATTGGCCAAGTGTAAAGTTTAAATTGGCCAAGTGTTAAGTATAAATTGGCTAAGTGAGGGTAAATTGGCCAAGTGTAAATCGGCCAGATGTGCTCAAACAGTGAATTGACCAAGTAGGCTCAAAACATGATGTTGACCGGTGTGTCAGCTCAGTGGCACTTATAAATATACATATGACACATTCAAAATGTCTCTTACATGTTCATAATTAACATTCCTTAACGAGTTAAATAATTAAGTCGTCTTCTTTCACTTACACGAACCCGTAAAAAAGTAAGCCTGGATTTGATGTTTACATATCCTGCATGTAGTTGTTTCAGATCTGAAACAATAGGAGACAGACGAAGGTATGGGTTGTGAAGGTATGGGTTGTGAAGGTATGGGTAGTGGGAAATGGTGGAAGGAGGTGGTAGGGATGATGGTAGGGATGGTGGTGTAGTCGTAGTTGTTTCAAACATGGTGATATCAGGCATTGACGAGAGTATTCACTTAAATCTCATTTAAGGTATTGCAACACCTTAAGCGTGGAGATTTCGATAACCAAAACATACACGTCTTTTCTTATTAACCTAAAATCCCAATTTACACCCCAATCAACACCACACTCATCTGGGGGAAACATCCAACACGTCTTTCTCTACAACCTCTCTCATACTCCATCCTACCCATTTCTCTCCCTTATCTCTCCCACCTCCATCCACTCCCTTCTAGAAACCTATCTTTATATTTTTTACCGATCAGGCAATACATTGTCTATCGCCTCACTCCTATTATCACTTTCCTTTTATGTCAACATCATAACGTTACGTAATAAGCTCCCAAACTTATGCCAATTGTACCTTAAACGGTTTCCACACTACCATACTAAAAAACGCATTATCTTCTCATCTTCCTGCGTATAACCCACTACACGATTTCCCAAACCAAGAATTGTCCCAAACCAACGTAAAACACCACCATGGCTATGAATGGGAGACATTTCATTGAAAAACATTCACTTCCCACAATTTAGTTTTTTTCCTATCTTTATAAATAATTCATTCTTTCAGGTTTTTAATTATCTAAATTTATATCCTTTCCTTTATATATAAATTTATTTGATACCCTTCGTTATGAAATTTTTCAGTTTATCTGTTTACTTGTCTATCTTAGCTGTTAGTGAAGCAGCTGTTAAAATTGTCACTGAAGTTAAAATTGAAACTGTTTATGCTAATGGTGTAGCCAGTTCATATTCCTCAGAATATTCCTCAGAATCTTCTTACTCATCAGAAGTTTATAATTCAACTAGTTCAGATGTTTCATATTCTGTTGATGTTCCAACTTATTCTGAATACGTTCCAACTACTACTGCTGTCATTTTACCTGCTTCAACTTCCGTTCCAGTTTATACACCAACTAGTTCTCCAACTACTAGTACTCCAACTACTACTTCAATTTATACCCCACCAACCAGTACTCCTACCACCAGTACTCCAACCACCAGTTCAACCACTCAAAAACCAACCACTTTAGTTTCAAAAACTTCTTCCTCAGCTCCTGCTGCTACTGGAGGTTCAATCAGTGGAGGTGTTGATAAATCCTTTGCTAAAGCTATCCTAGATGCTCATAATGAAAAGAGAGCTGAACATTCAGCTCCAGCTTTAGAATGGGATGATGAATTATACCAATACGCTGCTAACTATGCCAGTTCTTATAGTTGTTCAGGAAGTTTATCTCATTCTGGAGGTAAATATGGTGAAAACTTAGCTGTTGGTTATGCTAATGGACCTGCTGCTGTCCAAGCTTGGTATGATGAAGGTAAAAATTACGATTATTCTTCTGCAAGTTCATTTGATCATTTCACTCAAGTTATTTGGAAATCTACTACCAAATTAGGTTGTGCTTATAAAGATTGTTCATCAAATAACTGGGGTAAATATATTATTTGTTCATATGATCCTGCCGGTAACATGATTGGTTCAGGTAAGTCCAATCTTTTTGAATAGGGGGGGAAAAGTTAAATATATGTTTTGATAATTCTGGTTTCTTTTTAGACTCTGTAAAATGTCTTCCTAGAGTCTTCTGTTCTCTCTTAGAGGTTTCTGTTTAGTGCCTTCCTAGAGTCTTCTGGTCTTCTGAGCCTTCTGGTCATTCTTAGAGTCGAGGGCCTCTGCTGGTCCTTGTACTAAATAATCATTTCTACTAGAGTTGTAACGCGTTCATATATTCATATCTCATAGAAGTGGTTCTTCCTTCAAATCACTATCACAATCACATTCCACTTCTACCACCACTCCATCATTTATCTTCAATTCCAAATGTTTCACATCAGGACTAGTAAAACTAAAACTCTTCAAATGTTTAAACCCCCTCAAATCCAATTCCATCTCCTCCCCCCTTCTCACCATCATATAATAAAGTTTGATCACTTCTAAACTATTAGGAAAGTTCTCTATATCTTCACCTTCTAAGAAATCAACATCTAAACCTCCAGCATTCAATTCTTTCAAATTCTCGGGTAAATCAAAATCATATAAACTCTTAAAAGCATTAGCTTCAAGATTCAACGTATGGAGGTTATCTGGGATAATTATATTCTCATCAATACATTTCAATGATGTTAAAATATTAGAACTTAAGTCCAATACCTTCAAATTATCACCAAAATTCACATTAGATATTTCTGAAATGAAGTTATGAACCAAAGACAATTTCTCTAAACTGTTAGGGAACTGAATATTCTCCAAAGTCATCATCCCCGTAGCATTCATCGACAATATCTTCAAGTTCGGTTTAAGAATATTGGATATGTTAGCATAATTGATCTCATTCCCATCCAATACCAAATGAGTAAGAGAATCAGGAAGATTACCTAAATCATCCAAATCACTAATACTGTTACTATCCACAAGAAGCGATTGTAATTGAGTTCCACTAAAGAAATCATCAGGAAATTCCTCAAACTGATTATTACTCAAAAGTAACTTCTTCATAGTTGGAGGTAACATAACTCCATTAACATTAGAAAGAAGATTACTTGATAAATTCAACTCCTCAAGTTTTGGTGGTAACACAAAATCTATAGTTGATATTCTATTATAAGCAAGTCTTAGTATTTTCAAATTACTAGGGAATTTAACATTCTTTAAAGATTCTAATCCATTAACACTAACTTCCAACACTTCCAAATCCTTAAAATTCTTAATATGAGTAGTCTTAGTTAAAGAGAATCCCGGTTCAAGTTTCCTTAAATTATTAGCATTCAATATAAGTTTCTTTAATCGGGGTAATGTTGGAACATGATCAATCTTATCGATGAAATTTCCTGTCAAATCCAAAATTCGTAAAAATGGCAAATTTGACAAATAATTTAGTTTCCTCAATTCTCGATCATTGATCCTATCATTATATAATCGAAGTTCATCAATGATATCGAACTTAGAAAGGTTAAGGAAAGGTTTGGAGGTTCCGATGTTATGTCTGTTTTGAACTAACAATTTATTGATTTTATGATTGAATCCATTTATACGATCGGGGATTTTCGCCATATCTTTCCCCACAGATGGTGCCCAAGGACAATCAAAGATCATTTGAACAGAAATTCTCACTGATTTCAAGTAAGAAGTATCCAAGGCCAACATTTCAAACATTAGAAGAAGATATTTGATCTGATAACTTATTTGGTCTACAGTATATTGAGGTTTATAATGGAAATAGAACCCTACTTCTTTCAAAAAAGGTGTTTTGTTACTCTCTTTCCCTGAAGGTCTCTTGATACTTAGAATCTTCTTCAAAAGATAATATCCCTGGTAATAATCAATGATCTCGAGGTATGACAGGGAGGGATAAAAATGAGCCATTGGATCATAATTAATATCTTTTGCACCATTTCTAATGATTATCAATTGTGAGATTCTTTCCAACGCCATCATCTGATACCCATTGAAATTACCTCCATAGGGACGAACAAACTTATCGTACAACACATCCACAGGAATTGAGTCGAAGATTTGTCCAATAATCTCTTTAGGTAAGTGAGTAATCATAGCTGCAAAGGGTAAGAAAAGTGCGAAGATAAACAACTCATTGGAGGTTAAGTGGTTTGAACCATCATTGATCTTTTAATAAATTATCAACTGTTTGAACACCATGTCAACCAAAGAGAAGACTCCCGAGGATAAGAAACCGGCTCAAAAAAAGAGAACGGCCATGGCTTGTATTCGATGTAGAAGTAGACATATACGATGTCCTGGTGGTACTCCTTGTAAGAAATGTCAACTAGCCAAGACCAAATGTGAATATGTTGAAGCCGATAAGAAGATCGTGGTATCTATGAAGTACATGAGTCGTTTACATGACGATATAGCTCGTTTAAAGAAGGAAAATGCCACCTTAAGAACCAATTTGAGGGAAGAAGAGAATAAACGTATTAAGGGAAGTCCTCAAGTCAATTCGTTTGAATATAATTCAAAGACTCCTCATAATCAACAACTTTTTAATGAAGCTACCAGCTCAGGGTTTAATACGGGTGAAGTGATCCAACCAACTTTGGATAAATATGGTCGTTTGATTCAATCGAGAACTGGTGAAAGACTTTATGTTGGGTCTTCATCAATGACATTATTTGGATTGGAGATTCAAAATATGGTACCGCCAAATTATCAAACCCAACCTCAAGATTCCCCCACTATGACTCCAACCATCGAAACTCCCATGTCTAATAGAGAAGCGGAAATTCTTGAAAAAGAGGGTAATGCTTATAAGATCGTTTTAGCTAAAACCAACACTCGTCCGGGATTATCCATAAACTTCCAATTACCATCATACTCCTATGCCATGTTACTAGTGGATAATTTCATCAACTATAACGATGGATGTTTCTATTTCTTCAATGAAGGATTGGTTAAAAGGTATATAACTAACTTGTATCAAGGTAATACCGAAGAGAATAAGAAGATCATGAAGCGGAATCTCACCAACTATAAACGTCAAGAATCCGATGAAAATTCAATCAAAAAGGATAGAGATGATGAGACCATTCTTGAGACTATGTGGTTTTGTAAGATTTTATTGATCTTTGCTACCGGGGAAATGTATTTGGGTACGGAATCCGATGTCCATCTTAAAGAACTGATTAATAGATATAAGGAAGAGCAGAAGAAACAAAAAGATGACAAAAAGGATCCAGGAAAGAAACATACATTCCCTAAGAATACCTTACCAGGATCAGGATACTTTTATCAAGCATCGGAACTTTTCACCGGTCTTTTTGCTTCGGGAGCTATCGATAACATCACTAAAGATGGTGGTATTGAAGTAATGCTTTTGTATGCTTTCTTCTTACAAGTAGCTGATTGTACCATTGCATCATATTTCTACTTTGGGTTAGCTTTAAGATCAGCTTTGATCCTTGGATGGCATGTGGATGCCGAAAAGCATTCTATAGATAGATTTGAACTCGAACATAGAAGAAGATTATGGTGGACAGTTTATATGTATGAAAGAATGTTATCATCAAAAGCAGGATTACCTTTAAGTTTTGCTGACGATAGTGTATCGACGGAACTTCCGAAAGACATTGACTTAACTTTGGATGATTTCCCTAAGGATGAGAATGATGTTAGAGGGTTCTTCATCTTCCCATCAGCAGAATATATCAATAATTGTGTCACCATCACCCAAATCAATGCCATTATACTATCATGTTTATATACCAAACAACCCACCATTAACATTCTTCCGGTAGTTTCCGATCTAGTCCATCGATTGATGAACTGGAAAAACAATCTCCCGGAGTTCTTAAAGATCGATTTCCAAACTGATGATCTTAAGATCTCCAGATTAGTGGTCAATCTTATGACGGAATATTTCCAGGGTATCAATCTTGCTGTCAGACCATTATTATTCCATTTCGCTACGAAGAAATTGAAGGAATTACAAACATTCAGTAACAACAATAAGTATGTGGACTTAACTAAATACTCCAAGAATGTATTAACGTTATTGAACGCTTCATTCCAGGCTTCTATCAACACCGTAAGATCAATATGGGCCCTTTTACCAGAAAATATGGTCGCCTTATTTGGTTGGATGGATAGAGAATATTTATTCACATCTTCCTTAACGTTGATTTTGTTTAACTCCTCCTTTGGGCTTCATGATTCCACTAAAGAACATTTGGACCATGCGTTGATTATTTTCACTCGCATGAAGAAGTTAGGGAACTATCCTGCTGCCGTAAGACGAGCCCAGTTATTGAAATTGATCAGTGTATTGGATTTCAATGGGGTAATGCATGACTTATTGGTCAAACATGACGATGAGAAGTTATACGCCACAAGGAAGTACCCGGAAGAATCTAATGACCCCGACAACCGTACACCACATAGTGTTGATATGAAGAATGATATTGACCTTGAAATACCAATGGATGAATCCATGGACTTACACAATGATTTGATCTCCTCCAAGGCTAACCTCACGTTTCATCCAGACAATGCCCATGAACTTGAGAGCATCTATGAGGGAGATATCATGGGTATTGAAGGATTCTCTCATTTCAATGAAGAACAGAAATTATGGAATGAAATCACCAATGATGCTGTTTGGTTAAACCCTTCGTCTAATTCTAGAACCCAACAAGAAGACGCTATTCATGAAGCTTTACACGAAGCTCCAACGGAAGAAATCAGTGAACTTTTAAGTTCCATGAGACCAGAACTAACTCCTGGTGCTTACAGTGATATCGTCAGCCATGAATTCCAAGACATGGAAGAGATGAGTTGATGTAATAGATACTGGAAGAGAGCCGATTACATAATACAATATACATTAATAGTACAAAACTCTCCTAGTTAAGAAAATCCAACATGTTATTGTTGGGGGACCCTCCAAACACTTGTTGTGGTGATATGGCCGACCCCGGTTGCTGCTGCTGTTGCTGTTGTTGTTGCTGTTGCATCAAATTCATGTTCTTATAATTATTTTGAAAGTTACGTGGTGCCATGTTTCCCATCATTGGCGAGTTGTTCATGGGAGAGTTGGTCATAGGGGAGTTATTCATAGGCGAATTCATCATTTGCATTTGAGGCTGGACTCCCGATGCAATGCTAGAAGATGAAGCATTCCCCTGACTCATCATCCCCATCCCACTACTCATATTATTATTCATGGCCATATTATTATTCATGGCGGCGTTAGCGTTGCCCTGGAAGTTAGATCCTCTTCCCTCTTTCATTTGCTGCATCTTCATCTTTATCATCTGTACCGCTTCAGGGTACAAATCCTGTAACTTGTTATACAACTGATTTAATTCCGACATCTCCGGTGGAGCAGCTATGATCAACGGAAAAGTGTGCTTGGAAGTGGGTGGTTGATCGGAGTGGTATTTCTCGTGTAGATATGTTAAAACTTGAAGATTACAATGGATTCTCTTGGTTACATTCTGATACATCTCAATGAATCTTTGTCTATCCTGACCGGTTAGTTGAGCCAATGCTTGTTGATTGATCAAGATCGTGTTATACATGGAAATAGCTCGTTTTATGAGCTGGGTGTTAATCAAAAGAAGACATGTGACTCGTTCTCGGTCCAACTGAAGGGGAGACTTTGACATGGCTGTATTGATAGTGGATGAGATTATGCGAAAATATCAACAGAGTCGTGTGAGGCGATATTTGTGGGGCGAGGCTGGCGTGAGGTGGGCTTAGGGAAGGAGGGCAAATAGGTCGCGAAAAGAGAGATTTAAGTCGAGGAAAGAAAGAGCTAGGTCGAGAAAAGAGGGATTTAGGTCGAGAAAAGAGATAATTAGGTCGAAAAGAGAAACTTTGAAGAGGAATTTAGAACATGATAGACCAACTTACTCCTTTATATTCACTACTTAATGACCTACAACTTCTCAGTCAATTCAGGAATAGCTTCCTCTAAATCAGCAACTAATCCAAAATCAGCTACATTGAAAATAGGCGCATCGGGATCTTTATTGATAGCCACAATGGTCTTAGAATCTTTCATACCTGCTAAATGTTGGATAGCACCAGAAATACCTACAGCAATGTATAAATCTGGAGCTACAATGTTCCCAGTTTGACCAATTTGTAAGGAATTATCACAGAATCCTGAATCAACTGCAGCTCTAGATGCTCCAATAGCCGCATTCAACTTTTCTGCCAATGGGTTTACTAACTTATCGAACACTTCTTTATTTTTCAATCCTCTTCCTCCAGCAATGATCTTGGAAGCTGTACCTAACTCAGGTCTGTCAGAAGTACTCAAATCTTCAGACACAAACTCGGTTCTATTTTGGGCTTCAACAGCATTATATTGTTCAATAGCAGCGGAATTATCTGAAGGTTGAGTAGCTTCAAAAGCTGATGATCTGATTGAACCTAAAATGATAGACTCAGTGGATTTAACAGTAGCTAAAGCATTTCCAGCATAGATAGGTCTAACGAAAGTACTTTCATCCTCAATCTTAATGATGTCAGAAACTGGTTGACTATCAATCAAGGCACCAACTCTAGGTAAAAAACTTTTACCTATGGATGAGTTAGCTGTTAAGAAATGGGTATATTTATCCGTCGATAACATTTCTTTGAATAATGGAGCTAATTCTTCAGCTAAGTAATGATCATATTGAGGGCCCTTGACTTGTAAAACTTTTTCAATTCCTGCAATTTTGGAAACTTCTTCAACAATTGACTCACCACCAGATCCAACTACCACAGCAGTAATGGGTTTACCGATTTGACTGGCTGCTGTGATGGTAGATAATGAACCTGGAGCTATTTTAGACCCAGCAGATTCAATGAGGGCCAAAGTATCTAATTTTGATACAGTTGAACTGAAACTTCTTCTGAACAGTGAAAACATCTTTACCTAAACCGGAGACAGATTTTTCGCAATTTAGTACGGGTCATAGTAAATCACGTGACACATCACGTGACGTGATGATGATTGAACTTATGGTGATAACGGGGATAAGGAATGGGATGGGTGGTTTGACAGTTGAATAAGTGGTAGACGAAGTTTAATGTAGTTAAGACGAAAGTCTTATATCCATAAAGTTTTTAAACCCTTCAACGTAGTCTATTGTCTTGTTGCCCTGAGTCTAGATTTATGTACTAAATAGTCTTCAGCAAAATAATACCAAAAACTACCAAATATGACAACATCACCAACAACTTATCTATTACCCAGGACCACCAAATACCACCACCCCTAGTGTAATACCCAGTTTCCCTGTCCCATCATCACCTCTCACCTCCCAATGTCTACTGATGTCGCACTGATAATAGCTGTCAAAATCGCAACGTTTAATATGGGTGAAGAAAGAAGGGGAAGAGACCTAGGACACCGAAGAGAAAGTCCTAGTCCCAGTTTGAGACACATTTCCCATACCAGAGTCAATAACTTTGAACGCAAACGTCTAATTCCTAAGAAAGACTTCGTTTCCAAAGTAGAATATAATTCCATCTATGAAGGTGAAAATCAACCATTAGATATCGGAAGACCTAGATTTGAAGAAAATGATTCCATCTTATACAATTCCACAGACCTCCAACCGGAGAATTCAACCAACTCCAACCTTTTCGAAGAAAGTTTAAGAGAAATGGGCGATAATGACAATTTAAAGGATGGCCATGATCATGAACATGAACATCATGATGATGAATATCAACCTGTGCGAGACCACCATATGGAAGACTTGGCCTGGAGTGATATTTTACCGTACTATCTCCCAATTTTGTCATGGGTCCATAGCTACAGTGTGGAATTCTTTATTGGTGACTTGATTGGTGGATTGTCATTGGTATTTTTCCAATTACCTTTATCATTGTCATATGCTACATCTTTGGCCCATGTACCAGTGCTTTCAGGGTTATTATCACTTGGGATATCACCGATAATATATCTTTTGTTCGGAAGTGTTCCGCAGATGATCGTAGGACCAGAAGCTGCTATTTCCTTGATTGTAGGTCAAGCAGTGGAACCGTTATTACATCATAAAAAACTGTTGAATCCTATTGATTTGGTGGTGGCTATAACTTTTGTTAGCGGTGCTTCATTGTTAGGGTTCGGATTAGGAAGGTTTGGGTTCTTAGATAATGTTTTGAGTGGATCTCTTCTTAAGGGATTTATCAGTGGTGTAGGGATCGTTATGGTGATAAATTCTTTGATTTCAATGTTAGGATTGAATGATGTCATGAAAGAAATCAATGATAATCCAGCAGATATGGATATTCATTCTCCCTTTGATAAATTGGTTTTCTTAATGGAACATTTCAGAGAGTATGAACCTTTGACTTTCAAGATTTCCATCATTGGACTCTTGTTCTTGATGCTAGTGACGGTGTACAAGAAGATAGAGGCCAAGAGAAACACAGCTTATCTGAAGAAACTCATTTATATCCCTGAAATCTTAATTATGGTGATTATCTCCAGTTTCTGCTGTTATAAGTATAAATGGAACGACTCAGGCATAGACATCATTGGTAAGGTCCACAATGAAAATGGAGTGTTCAGTATATACAATCCTATCACCTTCCATCAATTCAAATTGATGAAGAAGCTCAGTACGGCGGGATTTTTGTGTGCTATGTTGGGATTCTTCGAGAGCACCACTGCTCTGAAATCCTTGGGTTCGCGGTTTAACTTACCGATTTCCTCCAATAGAGAATTGGTGGCTTTAGGGTGTATAAATCTCGTGGGAGCGATGTTTGGGGCATTACCGGCATTCGGTGGATATGGTAGAAGTAAAATCAACGCTATATCTGCTAAAACCACCATGCTGGGATGTTTAATGGGAATTGTCACCATTCTCACCATCTTCTTTCTCCTTGATTCCTTATATTACATTCCTAAATGTATTTTAAGTGTGATAACAGCCAAGATCGGGATTTCTTTGGTTGAAGAAGCTCCTTATGAACTCATGTTCCATTGGAGAAGTCGTGGATATAACGAATTGATCACTTTTTTCGTTACAGTATTAACCACCTTATTCTTCTCTATGGAAGCTGGGATAGCTGTAGGATTGGTTTATTCTTTGATTAGAGTGATTAAACATTCAGCCATGTCAAGAATTCAGATTTTAGGAAGAATCCCCGGTACAAACACTTTTGTTGATGCTGATATCAATGAAAACTTACTTACGGTTCATTATGATCAAGCTACCCATAATAAGTTCCCATCCTCACAATTGAACTTATTCACCGATGGATACTTCACCACTGTCAATACTGAAGTTTTGGAAGAAATCGAAGGGTGCTTAATTGTGAAAATTCCTGAACCTTTGACTTTCACCAACTGTAGCGACTTAAAGGGAAGGTTGAAGCGAGTGGAAATGTATGGATCAACTAAAGCCCATCCTGGATTGAAACGAAGTAGAGATGAATCAATGACACAATATGTGATTTTCGATTTAAGAGGGATGTCAGAACTCGATTCATCAGCTGCTCAAATCTTAAAAGAGTTGATTATCAACTATCAAAATAGGGACATCGCATCATTTTTCATCAGAGTGTCTAAACATTTGAAAGTTAGAAAGAGACTTGAAAGTACAGGGATCACGGATTTATTAAATAGTGATTTAACCAAAGTCAAATATTACCAAGCACAAGAAGAACTAAGATCTAATCAATTGAGTATAATGACCGAAAACCCTAACTTGCACGAGATCTTGGACTTGACAGAGATGAAAACTCCATATTTCGGTCATATCAGTGATGCTTTGAAGGTGATCGATTATTACGAACTGATAAGAGAAAAGTACGATTGTTAAGAGACTAATATATATTTATTACTTGTAGGTCTCATTCCCAAGAACTCCATTTCCATAAGGACTGTTTAGGATTGATTACTTCATTCTCGATGGCTTCAAAAGCTGCTCCTCTACCTTCTCCCAAGTTAGAAGTAACAAACAATCCATGAATGAAGTCATTAGGGTTTTCTCTAAATTTTTGAAATTCTTCGTCAAGATCGAAATGTTGGATCTCGTAGGTTCGATTCTGTTGGGCTTCGAACTTCGAAACAAGGTCTTTAAATCCAATTCTATCACTTCTGACCCTATAGAGTGGTAAGGTCTTGGATGGATCAGTGGTTGCAACAGCGGCTACAACATTACCAACGTCAGAAAGAGTGGAGAAATCCACTACTCTGGTCTCATAATCATCAGCGATTCTAACAGTTCCGGATTCTTGATAAATCCCAATATGGTCAGTGAAACCATACATAATGGCAGGAGGGATTCTAATGGAACTGGTTTGAATCCTGGCAACTCTGATGTTCTTTTCTATCAACCGTTTACTATGATCGATCTTGGACTTAAAGAACGATGGGAGATATTTGGGGTCTACCTTATCGATCTCTCCACCATATTCACTGGGGATGAAAAGATTTGGTCTAAGTTTCTCAACCACTGATTCTACTTTGGCATTGAGTTCTTCCGTGGTGGGTAAGAAGGACATCAAAACTTCGGTACCTTTTAACACATCCACTAAGGAATCATCGATGGGGTGCTTGATATAAGTGAGTTTATCAGTTGATTGGGTGTCTTTAGAAGTGATCACTCTAACGGGGAAGGAAACCTTGGAACTAAAGAGTGGACTCAATAAGGCATTGATCACTGAAGGTGCGATACTTCCGTTGGCACCAATAATTGAAATTTTCATGGTTTAAGTTGTTTTGAAATTTGGGTGTGTTAGCAAGGTCTTAGTGTTTAAGGTCTTAAGCTGATACTCAGACCATGAAGATATTGAGTGGTTAAATACTTAGAGATTACAAATGCTGCCCGTCATTTAACCCCCTGATTGGTAAGTGCTTGCCCTGATTGGTAAGTGCTTGCCCTGATTGGTAAGTGCTTGCCCTGATTGGTAAGTGCTTGCCCTGATGAGTAAGGGTTCGGAAATTGGTATTAATCAGCCATATGGCCAACGCCGCATATTATTTCCATATCGGCCTAAATTGGCGGAGGTAACAGTCGACCCCACACACCCGTACACCCAGTGCGACGCAGGTCAGTGTCTCAGCCCGCGTAACGGACCCATTTCATTTTAATTTAACGCGACTGAAAAATCACCATGTCTATCGAACAACTTCAGGAAGAAGCCAATACCGAAAACACTATCAAGGAGGAATATAAACTATGGAGGGAAAACTGTAGGTTCATGTATGAATTTGTCAGTGAGACTGCTTTGAAGTGGCCCTCTATCACAGTTCAATGGTTACCTGAACATATCTCCAGACCAGATGAAAATTTGATCGAATCTCAATTATTGTTAGGTACTCATACTGAAGGGTCAGAAACCAACTATTTAAAGTTAGCATCAACACAGTTACCTATCCAAAAAGGGAAAGTCAATTCCAAAATCAAAATTACCAAAAAATTCGAAAATAATTACGAAATCAATAGAGCTAGATACATGCCCCAAGATGGTAATATAGTCAGTACCATAAATGGAGGTGGGGAGATTGATATTTATAAGTTAGATGATGAAGATAAGAAATCTTTGTTCCATCTTACTCATCATACGGAAAACGGATACGGGATCTCCTGGAATCCATTCAAGAAAGGATACTTAGCATCAGGATCAGACGATAAATCAGTATGGATTCATGAAATCTCCGATAAAGTCAACAAGATCATGAGTTTTGAAAACCACGAAGATATAGTGAATGATGTCCAATGGCATACGGTTAATGAGAACTTATTAGGATCAGTTTCTGATGATAAGTATATGAATATCTATGATATCAGAATTCTGGAAAAACCAGTGTTACAGTTTTACAGCCCGGACAGTGATGGGATCAATTCATTGGCATTTTCTCCGTTCTCCCAAAACCTCATTGCCATAGGTAATGGGAATTCCAACATCAGTCTTATAGATTTCAGAAAATTATCTATCACTCCAGGATCGCAAGGATTACTTCATACTATGATGGGACATTCTGATGCCATCACCAGTTTAGAGTTTTCTCCTACCAAAGATGGTATTGTTGCATCAGGATCACAAGATCGTAGATTAATGATCTGGGATTTAAGTAAAATCGGTGAAGAACAAGTTCAGGAAGATGCTGAAGATGGATGTCCTGAGTTATTTATGATGCATGCTGGGCACACTGGAGGAGTTACCGATTTAAGTTGGTGTCCATATAAAGATTGGACGTTAGCATCCGTAGCTGATGATAATATCGTTCATATATGGGAGATATCGGGTAATTTGTTGAATGAAGGAGTTCCACAGGAAGTAGATGATAATGAGTTAGAGTAATGTTAAGTCTGATGTCGCAGTGTTCACCTCTCCTCATTTGTCTCTCCATATGTTCTCTCGTAACTGTCGTCTCTCTCGTCTCACGGCTTTTTCTCATTGTCATCTCTGCCTTGTCTCAGTCATTATCTCACCCTTAACCCTTCTGCCTCGCGATCGTTGAGAAAAATCTTTCATCATGTCAGAATTCCCTCCTAACTTATCTATTCGACCTTTGACTACCGAAGATTTAGACCAATGTGTTTCATTGGAAGAATCAGGTTTCGATGAACATGAAAGAGCTTCTGCTGAGAAATTGAAATATAGATTAACTGTTTGTCCTGAATTATGTTCAGGTTTATTCATTAGAGAATACGGATACAAATACAATGCTATAAATTTACCTGAAGTAGCTGACAAATTAGACAAAGATCATTCAGACAAAGTTAAATCCGGCGAAATCAAAGCCGATGATGATAATGAAGATTTAGAAGATTTACCTATAAAGTCTTCTGTCACCAAAGAGATTTTAATTGGTCATATAATTGGTACTAAGATTCCTGAATCCAAAATTACTGATGGTTCCATGGCTTTACCTTTAGGTGATGATAAGACTGGACATATTGAAAACTCAAGATTCATTGGAATCCATTCTTTAGTTATTGATCCAAAATATCAAAATAAGAGTTTAGGTACTTTATTGATTCATGATTATATTCAAAAATTATCCAACCAAGATTTAGGTGATAAGGTTTCCTTACTTGCTAAATCACAATTGGTGCCATTTTACCAAAAAATTGGATTTGACGATTTGGGAGAAAGTGACTGTAAGTTTGGTGGAACTACATGGAATGATTTATCCATGGATTTAGTTCCTGAAGATGATGATTAATATAAGAGGTTTTGTCTGTGAGTATTTCTGCCCGTGGTCTCTATGTGTGTCTCTGCTTGTGATCTCTGTGTGTGTTTCTTGGTCTCTGCTTATGGTCTGTGGTCACTTTTCAAGTTCTTAACCTCTATCAATAGCCCAGATCTTACAACTCTCACACCTGTGCGAAATCTTCATGGTTCCTTCTTCTGTCAAGAAAGTGTTTGACACTTTCCCATTGAAAGTTCACCCAGCGGTAGACAACTCCACCGCCAAATCCCTCAAAGAACTTGAAGCCAGGAAATACCCTTTCGGAGGTTCTCAAACTGACTCAAATTTCAATTTAGGCGTGTTCAATGTATTTGAACATGATGGTAACTATTTACCAACAGATCCTATATCCTTAGCTCAAGCTACCATACTATGTCACAAGAATAACTTATCATTACCTGAAGTCACCAGTACCTCCACATCCAAGAATTGCTTGATAACTTTGTCCTACAGTGCATCTCCAGATAATCGGTTACCCATACTAATTGAAGAGCCATCACGTACTATCAGATTGTGTGAAGAGATTTTATCCACCACCAATGATAAGCTTAATGTCACAGATAAGATCCTTAATGAATATATTGATGACATCATCCTTGATTCTTGGTTGATGTGTGTTTTCCTTGAAAACGTAGATATCGTTAGAATCTTCAATATTCCCTATATAACCAAGATCGATTTATTCAAACATTTAGGTACCTGGAAAGGTTTTGCCACCAGGTACGCCTTGAATGAAGATATTTACCACCGTAAACTTCAGGAATTGAAGACGGTGTTTGAGTTATACCACACTGCTGATGCCATAGCTAAGATAAAGATCGATAGTTATAAGCTTCATATAAATAGTTTGTTAGAAGGTACAAAGTTACATGCATTATTAAGTCTATAAATATATAATAGAGGCTGGTTGGTCTTTGTGTCAGTCTTTGTGACGTCTCTAAACCTGATCAACCTTGATTCTTTTCAACTGATGAGGAAAATCATTATCTGACCATTCCATCAATCTCTTGGATTTAGTCATTTCTAATTTGACAGCGATTTGTGGGTTCATCTTCACTTGATTCAAGAAGGTTAAGAAACCATATTTTGTCACCAAAGTGTTAGAACCATCGAAAATCTCTAAAAGATGGAATACTATCTTCTCAATCTTTCTTCTGACTGATGCAGGTAGGGCCATGTTGAGAAGATTCAAAATCCATTCAAAGAAGTTATTCTTATTGAGAACCCTTAAATCATCTACGTCAATGAAGTTGACAAAAAGGTCTAAATACCAATCAACCATCTTCAAATTTTCAAATTTTATATCATTGAAATTTGGAAGCTCTACTTCCTTGATAATAGGATGTCCTAGGACGTATTTGTAAGTGATTTCGTATAAGAAATTCCCTGGATTTGCCAAAATGGGTACAAAAGAACTATAAAGTCTTAATTGAATTGGTGATAACTTATGAGATCTATAAGTATTGATCAAGTTACAGAGATAGATCTTGAACACATTTCCATCTTTGAATTCTTCAGGGAAGTTCGTTACCAAGCTCTTAACAACAATCTTACTTAATGGTTCATTATAATTCTGAATCAAAATTTCTAAGATATTGTAATCGATCAAATTGGTGATGTTGACTGTAATTTTATCATTATCGAAGGAGAAGAACTCTTCGTTGTTCAAGATAAGTAACATCAAGAACTCATAATCATACACTGTTTCACTATAATTGTAGTTGATTTTGAATACATTAGTATTAATGAAATTTATCATTGATCGATAATTGGATTTCAAATTGGAAGTTGTAACCGACCTGAAAGTTTTAGCGAGCTCATTACCATATTTGAAATGTTGTAAGTTCTTGATAAATTTCTTATTTATGGAGATTAAACCGTTATCGATCAATTTCTGATCACCGATTAATTCGAAATCTTTAGTATTGAAGTTATTGATTTCCCAATTATTGATTTTAACCACATTGATCCAATTGATGTTATTAGTGGTTTCTATTGATTTCAATACCTCTTTCAAGATCAAATCTTCAAATCTGATTGATCCAGAATAAACTCCCAATACTAGATTCAAGATATTATTGGCTCTTTCAGCAGTAAGGTTCCCTTCAGCAAAGAAAAGATTATATATGATGAAACTGGTCTCAATTCTGATTGATGGCTCGTTAGTGAACTTCAATCCAATATCCTTATTATTCAAAAATATCATTAACAACTTATAGTAATCCACCTTATAGGACAAAACGACTTTATTGATATAATTCAAGTAATCATAGTTATCGACATATTTGGAGTTCAAGAACACTTCCAACTGAGTGTTCAATATGTTCAAGTCCACCGCGACAGGGAAGATCTTTGTTAACTCATTCAAAATCGAATCAAAGTTTTCAGGAATCAAATCTTCAGCAAAGAATTTGGTGATATTGATGAAGATTTGATTTATGACATTGGAGTTTGGATACTTTTGTAAGAAATAGATCAAATCTACCGATAATTCGAAGTTTTCATGAATATCTCTGACAGTTTCAGGATCTAATGAACCAGTGAACTTAATGACATTATTGACTAAATTCAAATAATTAGGACATTTGATGATTTTGACCTTTTGAAACAATTCACTCAATTTAGAATTAGAACTTCTTATGAATGAAGCAACGATAGATAATTGTGGTTCATGAACATTCTGGATCAAATACTCAACTACCTCATCACTCAATTCCATAGCCAATAATTCATATGATTTCTCCTTACAAACCCTTTCAACATAATCAATGAGGTTATCAGTAGTAAGTTTCTCCTTGAGGATGATTAACTTATCTTTATTCTTGAACAGGAACAATTCTTCGATTGAAATATCAGGAATTTTCCCTTGAGTTAAGAGTAACTTGAAATTATGAAGTCTTATATCTTCGTCAAATTGATAGTTCAACTGCTCTTCTGTTAATAACCAATTGAGATGGTATAACTTACCATGTTTCATTTGTTGGAACACAAAATCCATGATATCTTGATTCTTGATTTTGAGCCCTTTCATCTTGACACTTAAAAGTTCAATATCTCCTTCTACCAACAATTTAAACACGTTAAGGTTATTGATATGTTCATCAGTAATGAAGTCCAAGATCTTAGCATAAATCTCGGGTTTCTTGGATTGTTGGAACTTTCTAATAGAATACATCAACTGATAATCATCACCTATGAATTTAGTTTCCTGAATAGGAGAAACCGATTGTTTCTTGATCACCAAATCAAAAGTCTTACAATATCTTTCCAATTCATTCCAATCTTCACCTATAACAAAGAAATTGTTAACAATATCATTAAACCACGAATCATGGACATCACCGGATTTCTTTCTGAAAATGGAATATTGTTCAATCAAGATTTTGATCACAATATGTAAATTGAAAGGCATATCATAATATTTGTAAGGACTGTTTAATCTTTGAAACAACTCCACTAACAAATTATTCAATTGTTCAGGGAAATGGATGAAAATCAATGAGAAGAACGGATTTATCAAATTGTCTCTTGGTAAAGTGAATAATCTATTGATTAAATTATAAAGTATCCAATTATTCTTATAGACATTCAAATTGGAGAATTTAATCATTTTAGGAAGATGATTAACATTCTTTATCTCGAAATTTGTATTCGAATTGATGAATATTCTTATGTAATAATTGAATAATTGAAGATTTATCCCTTTCAAGTCAACTAAATCCGTCAATTCATTGTTAAGGTATTTGATCAAAGCATTATTCAACTCATATTTGGATAATTTCTCAAGAAGTTTGACTTTCATCAAACTCATCACTTGATTAGAAGTGGTGGTATTTAAAATATCATTGATATTAGGTAAGTTACTTAAGATTTTATTGATTTCAATTGGTTTCAACACTTCGAACTTATCACAGATTAAATGGATCACCGTCATTACCAAGTACTTGATGAAATCATTGTCATGGTTAAGATTTTTGACTAATGAAGATTTATTGAAGGTTTTCAAGTAAATCTCTGATACTTTGGATGTTGGGAAATTCAACACTCTAACGAACAATAAGTTATAAGTGATGGAAGAAACCAAATCATTACCGTTATTTAAAGTCAAATAGTTCATAAAAGGATCAATCAAATTGTGATCTTTAGATAAAATCAATACTGATAAATTGACTTTCTCAATGGAATCGATCTTTAAGAATGTCAATAACTTATAAAGAATCTTGTTATTGATTTTGAAGCTGACATTATTCACGGATATGGTGGTATTAGGAGGTTCCTTGAAAAGAATACCGATTTTATCATCGACGATTTTTTCAAATAATGAAAAAGTATCTTTTTTGTGGATTTTCTGTAAATTGAAAAGTGTACCTTCATTCAAAAACGTCATCTTGGTGACTTTACTATAATTAGATTCATTTAAAATCTTTTCATCGATGAAATTCATCACCAAGTCCAAGATATCTTCATCATCATTGGCCAATAATTTGAAAATATTGAGCCATACTTTAGTATTCGAACTTAATTGGAACTTCCTGTCAACATAACTCATCACACTTAAAAGATTGATATAAAACTTGATAAATTCCTTCCTTATATTATCGGTCTTCAACACAAGTTTGAATAAGAAATTCAACTCGAGGTTAAAGTTATTGATAAACAATGTCAAGTAGCCATTATTTATAAGATTATTCAATAATTTGATGACGTTGATGGTTAATTGGTTTTTCTGGTGGTTCAAACATCTATAAATCAACTTTAAGTTTGATTGTTCAAGTAAATCTTTGAAAAACGGTAAACTTTTATCTTTAGGAAACTGATGTAAGTGATTAGATATTTCGTATAAATTTTTAGTTAATTTGCTGAATTCTCCATGATTATTGGTTTTCCCGTAGTATTTCCACCTGCTTATGATTCTTATGTGCTGGTCAGCATTGATAAAGGAGGCTAATTTATCAGAATCTGATAATATAGATGCATCTAACTCCATGAGATGAGATCAAATTTCGCATCGCGAGTGAAGTTATGGAGATGGAGGGAGTGTTGCAGGTGAGATGTGAGATTTGTATGGAAGGGAGTGTTGGGTGGTAAAGAGTGTTAGAGGAGTTCAAGGAGGTTTGATTTCGTTTTTAGAATTTCTTAAATTTCGAATTTTTCAGATTTTGATTTTTTTCAGTGTTCAACTACAAAGGAAAACTGTGAATTTCACAGAATAAAGAAAACCACGTTCTATTCTGACACCTAAACCAAATGTTTGATCATCTCTATTTAAACTGGGCCGTAAATCTTAACATCAGTGTCTTAAATCCAGAGGTTTAACTACAAAGGTAAAGAGTGCAAAAGTCCCATTCTAGGTCGGAGACAATAATCCAGTCTCTTAATCAGTCTCTTAATAACCCAATCTCTTCCAACAACCACAACCACAGTCTCCCCACCACATCCCAGTCTCCCGTTCAAAACCTCATCCAAATCTCACCCAAACTCACAGCAATAGTCCGTAAATAAGGTTTCTCAAGTTAAAGATCTTGTGAAAAAAGGGTTCATATAAAGTCGGGGTCTAACTAAACTTGCAGGCGGTCATTCTACAAACACATTCTATCATCCCAACATGTTCATGATCACCACATTCCATATAAAAAAAAAACAAACTATTTAAACTATTACGATACTTAAAATCAGAGGCTTATCTCCCACAGCAACAACAATCCCATCGATATTTCAAACCCAAATCTTTGGGTAAATCTCTATCACCATCAATCCTAACCAATCACCACATTCATCGACCCTCACCATAAAGATAATCTAGAAAATTATTTACCCCATCAAAATATCCCCAAATGACGTAATTGGGACAAAATTTTTTTTTGAGGGGTCGATTTGTTTGAAAAATATTTAAAACATCTTCATCCTCAACTGAGACATTCTTCAACAACTATTGGTTATTGGTAGTAGAACATCATAGGAGGAACCATATTGATCGTTAAAGTTTTGTGTTTGTAAATAAAGTTTAACCCCTTGTACAGTTTAATTGTTAAAGATAGGAACCGAGATATAACAAAGCCTGTTTTTATCTTTATTGTATAATTTTTCGTATTAGAAAATACTTAGAAATCATTATCAACAGTTTAAGATCAACAGTTAGTGATCATCAGTTTATATAAAGGGTTATCACAACATTCCCTATCGTCCGGACAACCCATTTTACTGCGAATTTTTGAGAATCTGAAACAATAGAATCCTTATGGGACTATTACTGTTTAAGAAGAAACAAGAGTTTCCTAATTTACCTAGGAATTATGAAGTATTGGAGAAATTAGGTGAAGGAGCTTTTTCCAATGTTTATAAATGTTTGAACCATTTTGATAAGAAATTTTACGCTATAAAGATCATTAATAAGACTAATCTTAACAATAAACAATTACATAACATTGAAAATGAAATCAACATCATGAAACATTTAAATCATCCTTCGATTTTGAAGATGTATGATTATTATAATTCCAAGCATTTTTGTTATATAATATTGGAATATTGTGATGGAGGAGAAATTTTCAATAAGATCATTGAGTTAACATATTTTAGTGAAAACTTATCGAGATTCATATTCTTACAGCTATTATCATCAATAAAGTATCTTCATGAACATAATATTGTTCATAGAGATATCAAGCCAGAAAATCTATTTTTTGAAAGAATACCTCTCAAACCTAATAGTTTGAAAGACTTCAAATCAAATTTAAGGAAAAGTGACGATAGTAATAAACTTGATGAAGGAGTATTTAATGAACTTGTAGGTGGTGGAGGTATTGGAAAGATAAAAATCGGAGATTTTGGTTTAGCTAAGAAATTAGTTAATCCCAGTAACTTTCAAATTCATAAGAATAACTTGAAAACCCCTTGTGGTACTGCTGGTTATACAGCCCCTGAAGTTATAACGGTGAATCAAGATTTAGATAAACAAAATTATTATTCCAAATCAGTCGATATTTGGTCTTTAGGTTGTGTTTTGTATACCATACTATGTGGATTCCCACCATTCTATGATGATGATCAGAATAAGTTAACTTATAAGATATTGAATGGGAATTATTCATTTCTTAAACCTTGGTGGGATGAGATCAGTATTGAAGCTAAAGATTTGATATCCAAAATGTTAGTTATCAATCCTAATGAAAGAATAACAGTAGATGAAATCTTTAAACATCCTTGGGTTAATAACGAGAAGTTTTCTGATGATTACTTCAACGTTAACTCCAAGTTTGAAAATGAAAATAATGTTGAAGATGAAGGTATTGAAATCAAAGTATCTCCTCAACCTCCAAGTTATGACGATATCAAGGATTTACATCTTAAATTGAAATCTCCTGTTGATAATACTCAACATATTGAAGATGTTGGTGATGATGATTCTATTGATAGTGATGATCCTTTAAGTGACCATCCTTCACCATTTTATCCTACAACCAACTCATACAAATCGACTAAATCCAACGATTCTAATCGAACATTCAAAATCGAAGACGAATTCAAAGCATTCCTGAAAGGTTTGAATCACGTACCTTCTATTTTGAGTCCAAGAGCTAATGCCATTAAATCTGTATTTAATAACCCTGCAATGACAGATGCTGAAAATTTATCCAATGTTAACTTATCCAGTGTTAACTTTTCGAATTCGAACATTTTCAATATTTTCAATATTGACGAAGACGAAACAATGAAAAACTTGAATAAGTTAAGTATAAAGTCTTCAAATAGTAGTAGTGATAATGATGAATTTGAAGGTAATGAAAAGGTTAAGATCGATACCAGACAATCGTCGATAGTATCTAATGATAAATTTCAATTAAACATGAATGATTCTAATATTATTTTACGAAGAAAGAGCACATTAAAAAGGGATTAGGGTGTATTATATGTATATTATGTAATCTGAGCGAGACGAGTAGGAGTGTATAGGAGTATAGCATTGTATAGGAATGTAGCATAGGCCATTATGATACTAGGGAACCCCATTAGACGACGCCACTAGGAGCCAGGGTAAAAGGTAGGGTAAGAAGGCAGGGTAAGAAGGCAGGGTAAGAAGGTAGAAAACCTCAATAAATATCTATTTACAACTAATTTCTTTCTTGTGGTTGGACATTGGATTCCAACTCTGGTTCTTCTGGCACCAAACAATCAGAATTCTCTAATAACTCAGCAAGTTCTCCACTCTTAGCCATGGACATTATAATATCACAACCTCCAATGAATTCTCCATCAACGTATAATTGAGGAATAGTTGGCCAATTACTGAACTCTTTGATTCCTTCTCTTAATTCTTGATCTTCTAATACATTATAAGCAGCGAATTTCTCAGGATCAACTCCTTGTTGACCTAAGATTTGAATACTTGCTCTTGAAAATCCACATTGGGGGAATTCTGGTGTACCTTTCATGAAAAGAACGATTTTACTTGAATCAACGGCTTTTTGAATGGCGTCTTTGATCTCAGTAGATATGAATCTGATACTTACAGGTTGGTAAGTCAATCTAGGTTGGAATCCACTTCTAAAGGATGATTTAGGGATTCTATTGAATAACTTGAACATATTAATAATGGAATATTTATTTCGATGAGTGCGAATGAACGACGAAGTTACTGGGGACTTTAGGTCGCACTCGAAGGAATTACTACCACTTCGCACTAAATCATGGACCTAATTCTTGCCTAAGACCTCTTCACACAGACCAGGGCTCCAAACTATAGTATAAATTCTATCATATTCATTATAATATACAAGAGTTAAATGCCTCTACAAGCTAACGATCACTACGTACTTTCAAATTCAAACTTAATTCGAAATCAATATCAATATCTAAACCAATACCTAATCCGTGATGATGATGTTTGCCTGTGGAGGGAAATTGTTAAAATAAATCTTCAATTGAGCTATAAACCTTATCATTGGTAGTACTATCGATAGTATTATCCACAGTGAATACAGAAATGGTGGTTTGACAGTTTTGTTTGTTATAAACATCAAATTCTCCATCTAACCCACAAACACTATCACCATCTTTACAATCAGTTTCGATATTTTGGAATGTACTATATTTAACATCGAAAGTGTTGGTTTCAGTATCATATTGTAAGTTTTGACTGAAAATGTTCTTATTTAACACCCTGGTTTTCACCCATTCTGGTTCAGTACAATTTTCATTCAAATGCCCTGCTGCTGGGAAATTAACATTCAATCCGGTTAATTCTGGTAATCCTGATTCCAACACTTTTTCAATCAAATCAATAGCTAATTTGGAATAAATGTTAGCAGGATTCATATCATCAGTATCCATGGAATCTTTGAAGAATGAATTATTGTATTGATAAGCATAACCTGAAAATGAGATAGCTGGATATCCTCTGTAAATTGAACTATAACATGCAGCATTAGTACCACTAGCAGTATAGAATCCTGGTGATAAGTTAGGTCCTTGATTAACTCCTCCAACAACTAAATCAACAGTTGTATCAGGAAATTTGGTTGGTAACAAATATTCAAAAGCGAAAGCAACCACTGAACTTGGAGTTCCATTGAAATACCAAATATTAGTATCATTAGCTTGTTTATCATAATCCCATGCTGGAGCTCCTGATTTAACATATGAAAATTCTCCATCAGTTTCAAGTTTATTTGATGTTGGTACTACAAATTGTCCAGCAAATCCTGATCTTTGACTTACTGGAGCCACCATTATTACATCATGTCCGGCTTTTTTCAAATCCCTATATAAAGTTCTTATATCCGTTGAAGTCCAACCATCATCATTGGTTAACAAGATGGTTTTACCAAAAGTCACAGTAATCAAAAGGAAAAATATCCAATTAATCATCCTTAGTTTAAGTGGAGGGGGACTTTACTTTTTATAACTTGCATGGGAGGTTTTTTATCAGAATGTTAAATTCAATGATGAAATCAAGAGTTCCGAATCATTTCTATTGTTCTGACCGAATTTTGCAATTGAGTAACTTGATTAGGGAATTACCAGAAAAGAAATTTTCAATAGCCTATTGTTTAATGGCCGTTGGATTGTGTTCGGCACTAAAGCGAATTTTTCATGCCTTTTTCCAGTAACTTGGAATTTCCAGAGGGTAAGAATAGTTGACTTGGTCCATTGGCCAGCAAGTGTAATGAAGTTGGTAATTCTAGCGTTATTGAAGGAGTTATGGTGGATTGAAACGGTGGGAAAGGTAAGGGTTTAGATAACTACCCTCGCCTAAGGACCCTCATCAAAACAAACATTGATTTCGTGTAGGTATTATCTGATTTACGTGATTCTTTATTGACCGCATGATATTTGACCGCACGATGTTTGGTTTTCAGTTGACGAGTGGGTACGAATCTGTATGAACCATTAAAGTGGTACATTTATCTATTCTCTAATAAGGAAACACATCCACCGTCACATGATCACACGCACAGTCACATGATGGGATATCGGTAACAAAAAATTACTTCCGCAGTCACATGACGTAAAGAGACAGCTTTTACAGTCACGTGCCTTTATCATCACCCGTCAAAGCTCGGTAGTTTGAGGAACCGCACCTGAAATCACCGGGTTAACCCCAGAGTATAAAAAGTTTTTCAACGAACTCCGATATTTCTCTTTGTGGGATATGACAAAGAAATTAACCGCCGAAGAGAAGCGTAATAGACGGCCAACAAGTAGGGCGTGTGTGTTTTGTCACGAAAAGCACCTTCAATGTTCACAAGAAAGACCATGTAAGAACTGTGTCAAACGGGGGATAAGTGATGAGTGTAGAGATATTGAACGGAAAAGAGCTAAGTATTTGAAAGGTAACAAACTTGATCTGAAATCCCCTTTGAGTCAAGTGACTGATGCTAGTTCACTTGATCTTTCCAAAAATGATGAGATGACCTCAACTAATGATTTAATGACAGACACAACCAATGAAGTTTTAAGTAAACTTTTCACAGAAATGAAACCTTCCATATCCCAAGAGATCAATATCGATAACATTTTTGATTCAAATTATCTAGATGAAGAATATAAGATGTTGGGAGATATTATCACCAATTCTAAACCCACATCACCTAGTATTTCCAGTATAAGTCCAACACCTCCCAGTTTTATAGCATCTAAACGAGATGAATCTCATCATACACGTCCTTTTATATCGTTTGGAATCCCCGGAGATGAATTCTCCACTAATCAGAGAATCGGTATCGGCATAAATAATAATAATCATAGCACGGCTGGCAACTCGGGTCAAGTAGGAACATTAACAGATTCACATTCCAACACCAACTTGAATTCCCTAGATAACCCTCCAGTAACCGATAAACCAATTCATTCGGGTAATAAGATAACCGATCATTTTAGTCCTTCCACTATTGGATATGTTAGTCCTATGATCAGTCATCAAGTATACCAAAACGTTAAAGATATATATTCCAACAATGTGATAGACTTTGAATATCCTCAATCATACCATTCATTAACATTCTTCCTTAAAAAGAGATTCTCCGGTAAAAACTTGTCACCTCCTGAAAAACAACAGAAAAGAGCTAATTTACTAGCCATACTAAGATTGATTGCAAGTTATAGACCAACTTTTATTTCTGCTCATAAGAATTTATATAAACCTTGGGACTTACAATTACTAGAAATGACATTCCAGAGATCTTTAATCGATTATGAGAAACTAAGTAACCTCAATAGTTCTCCCACAATCATCTGGAGAAGAACCGGAGAGATCGTTTCCATCTCCAACGAATTAATCAGTCTTTTGAATTTAAATCTTAACGAAATCTTAAGTAAGAGAACTTTCATAATGGAGTTGATGTATGATGATGAATCTATAGTGAACTATTTCAAATTATTCAAATCAATTGCTGTGGGGAATTTACATTCAACTATCGTTACGAAATTGAAGTTAATGAAACTGGATGGGAACTTCATTGAATTCTGTTCAGTATGGACCGTCAAAAGAGATATCTTCGATATACCGATGTTGATTCTTGGTCAATTTCTTCCTATCTTAACATCTGATGGATTTAGGATGTATTAATATATTCTTTAGTCACAACTATGAGGCAGAACCCACTCTTTACGATCTCTATCTCTCATCTACGATCTGCACCTCCTAAAACCACTGTCCACCCCTTAACACCACTGTCCATGTCCAAGTACACTCCAACAACATCCCTTGCTCGAACCATCTGATCAATAACCTGATTCCGGCATATAAGCCGCTTCACCAGAATTTTCCAAAAATCTCATGATAAAGGTAACACCACTTTTCAATCAGTTCATCGAAAACTTCCCTATAAAAGCCAACCAAAGAACATGAAACCCATCATTGAATTTGAAATCACTCAAACTATTCAAACTATAAATTAATTATTCAAAATGTTCAAAGTTACTCCTTTAAGAGCTGTTGCATTAGCTGGTATTGGTTATGGAACTGCCGTTTACTGTATGCATAAATATTACTACGAAAACTCCAGATTAAGACAAATCTATGTTGAAGCCGACCCAAAGTTTGCTGAAATAAAAATTATGGCTCCAAGAGACATGAGAGCCAAAGTATAGAGTCTCATCGGTCCGAAATAGGACCTATTTGTAGAATGAATGAACGTCTTAAGTTATACCTTTCAATCGTCTCAACATCTTATCAATCGCCTCAACATCTTATCAATCTTTATCCCAACATCCTATCGATCTTCATCTAACAATGTGAAAAATCATTAGTTTAACCCCTATTAACCCCCCATCACCCACAATCCTCATTGAACCCCATCGGAAAAACGATTTCGAAATAACGAGGCACGGCTCATATTTTTTGACACACCTGAGGCTTGAAAATGACAGTTTTCCTTTTCATCAACAATTTTAAACCTCTTGGCTGGTAACTATCCGCCTATCTACCGACTTTCATCGTCTCCACATATCCTGTATTTTTACTTTTTTAGTATATTTAATGAACTTAGCTCGTCAACCGTTATCACCTACTTTAGACATAAAACAATTGTGCAGAGTAACTGCATGTCGCGGGTTGCAAAAAGCGCCATCATAAAAAAAAAATCTTTCCCAAAGAACGTCAATAGTTTAAATTTTTCTTACTTAAACGTTAATAAATCTTTTGGTTATTCAATAGTTAAACGGATTCTTTCTTCCAGTTCAAGTTATCACTTCAAAAGTTCAAGTATAGTAAGTGTACGACATAAGAACAGGCGAAAACACTATCCTTCAATTCAAAAAATTCCAGGAAATATACTCCGGTTACCTTTTTACAACTTTTTTTCATTTATATTGATACCTTACTGTTTATATCGAACTAATACCTTCATTTATTGACTTTAAACTACTATGGCTACCAAAGAAACTTCATTCAACGAGTCCGATCTCGAACAAGGTTCACCATCAGTTTATTCTGAAGAATACGAATATGAATCCAATCCAATCAAAAGATTTGCCCAAGGATTCAAAAGAATCGATTTAAAAGATGATGGATATGATACTTCAGAAATGACTGATTTGGAAAAATCCATTTATGCTACTGCTAAACATCCATTATCAAGAAGATTACAACCAAGACATATTCAAATGATTGCCTTAGGTGGTTCTATTGGTACCGGGTTATTCATTGGTAATGGTTATGCTTTAAGTTATGGACCTGCCAATTTACTTTTAAGTTATTCATTTGTTGGGTTTGTCATTTATTTAGTGATGAATGCTTTAGGTGAATTAGCCTGTCAATTCCCAGTTTCTGGGGCTTTTACTGCTTATTTCACAAGATTTGTTGATCCTTCTTGGGGGTTCGTTTTAGGTATTTTATACTCTTGTTCATGGTTAGTTTCATTCCCTTCAGAATTGATTGCTTGTTCAATTACTATGCAATATTGGACTACCTCAGTTAATCCAGCTGTTTGGGTAGCTATCTTTTATATTATTATTGTTTCCATCAATATGTTTGGTATTAAAGGTTATGGTGAAGCTGAATTTGTGTTATCCTTCATTAAAGTGTTAGCTGTTATTGGATTCATCATTTTAGGTATTTGTATAATTTGTGGTGTTGGAAAAGAAGGTTATATTGGTGGTAAATATTGGACAAATCCAGGATCTTTTAATTATGGATTTAAAGGTTTCTGTCAAAGTTTAATCACTGCAGCTTTCTCTTATGGAGGGGTTGAATTAGCTGCTTTAGCTGCTGCTGAAACTGAAAACACTAGAAAAGCTTTACCAAGAGCTATTAAACAAGTTTTCTGGAGAATTTGTGTTTTCTATTTCTTAACTGCCATTGTTATTGGATGTTTAGTTCCTTATACTGATGAAAGATTATTAAGTGCTACCTCATCTCAAGATATCAGTGCTTCACCTTTCGTTATTGCCATTAATAATGCTGGTATTAAAGTTGTTCCTCATATAATGAACGCTGTTATCTTAGTGGCAGTTGTTTCTGTTGGTAATTCATCAGTTTATGGATGTTCTAGAACTATTGCTTCATTAGCTGCTCAAAAATTATTACCAAGTTTTGTTGGTTATGTTGATAGAGAAGGTCGTCCATTAGTTGCTATAATGATTACCAATGCTTTTGGTTTATTAGGCTTCTTGGTTGTTAGTGAAGATGAAGATGAAGTTTTCAGTTGGTTCTTCTCTGTTTGTTCATTATCTTCATTCTTTACTTGGTTTGCTATTTGTTTAACTCATGTTAGATTTAGATGGGCTTTAGATTATCAAAAGAGAGATAAAGATGAATTAATCTTCCCTGCTCCAACAGGTATCTATGGTTCATACCTTGGTATGGTATTATTATTATTCATTATTGCTTGTGAATTATATGTTTCTATTCTGCCACCTGATGGGTCACCAGATGCTGAAGCTTTCTTCAAGAATTGTTTATCATTACCTTTATTATTAGTAATGTGGGCTTGTCATAAGACTTACTATAGAACTTGGGGTTCTTTATATGTCAAATTAGAAGATATTGATATCGATACCGGTAGAAGAGAAGTTGATGTTGAGTTCTTGAAACAAGATTTAGCTGAAGAAAAGCAACTCATCGCTTCAAAGCCTTTCTACTATAGAGTTTATAGATTTTGGTGTTAATTAATATGTTTTGTGTTTTACTGAACTCTCCTACTTAAACTTGAGCCAAACTAAGATCTCCAGGTCAACTGACCTTCAACCGAACTCGCTTAAACTCATCTCCTTCTCTGGTATAACTTGCCCTTTGCGAGCTGTGGCATGAATCCTCATCCCCTGAAAGTATCATAACCATCGCGACATTTTCATGTACGAGGTTCGTAGTTTTAAAAACTGGGTGACAGTTGTCAAAGTTAAAATCGCCATTTCAACGGTGATTTAAAGTATTTGGGTGATTTAGGGTATTCAGAGGACGGTCTTGTTCAACATTGGTCAGTCCTAGGGAAGAAGAAAAACTTGGCTGGCAATGAATTACATTTGACAGTAACGCAGAATAGGTTAGAGTTTCCCGAAATCTGAAAGCAGCCACACATTGTTTAAATGTTTGATTGTTGACGTCGATATTCACCTATTGATCTTTTGATCTGAAAATGGAATAATTGAACGTGTTATGATAATGACAGGAACGGGTATTTTTCTTTCTCTTAGGATACCAATGTTTGAGGTTTATTTGAGGTTAATTTGAGGTTGCTTGAGTTTTGGGTGGAGTGTGGAGGAGTCAGAGAATCAGGGGTGTAGAAGTAATCGTTTCAAGAGTCGTAGGGGACTAGAAGACAGTAGAAGAGATATGACAACTTTTTGACAGTGGATGAGTTGAAAGTACCGAGGAGGTGGTGAACATCGAAGGGCTGTCCCATCGGATGCCAGTGTCTCGTTAACTATTCTTCGAGTTGATTTCAAAGTTGCAAAGTTTCAAAGTTTTGTGTTCGTTTATGTTCTACAGAATGTAGAAGCTGTTAAGTGTTCTCTGCTGGTTCGTTCTCTTAGTTTGGTATAATCTCACCAAACATCACCAACATCCACACAGAAACTTTCCATCTTCAACTTGACAATTCCACTAACAATCCCACTGCTAATTCCACTACTGATTCCACCACCAATCCCACGAATCCCACTAACAATCCCACTACCAATCCCACTTACTCACATTTCCACCCTATTATTTCACATTCCCACCCAATCATCTCACATGTCTAAAATTATGCGGAAAGAGGGGCGATAACGATAAGCAAATGTGTCAAAACTCATCTCATCATTGATCCTCTAACATCACCAAAGCCCTTCCCGTTCGTATACATCTCCCTCTACCCGTAACAATCAACATTCCGCTTCTGGTGTCCAATAAGATCGGATTGCTGTTATCACCTAATTGGGACATACACACCGATAAGATTCCATTTTCTCAGGAATTGGCTATCCATCGATAAAATTTCCGAACCTTTCACCTGTCAAAGAATATGAGCTATCAAGGTTTTGCTATTACTGACACTTCTAAATGGAGTGATGCTAAGAAGATTGAGTTCAAACCAAGAACTCTTGGTGGTAAAGATGTTGAAGTCAAAGTTGATCATTGTGGGATCTGTGGTAGTGATATCCATACTGTTACTGGAGGTTGGGGTGGAACCGTTGTTCCTGTGATCCCTGGTCATGAAATCATTGGTACCGTTACTAAAGTTGGACCTGAAGTTACTTTACATAAAGTTGGTGATAGAGTTGGTGTTGGTGCTCAAATTGATTCATGTTTTAACTGTGATAGATGTGCTAATGGCCATGAAAATTACTGTGAACATAGTTTAAGTACCTATAACGATGAAAAGGATGGTGAAATCAGTTATGGTGGATATGCTAACTTCGTCACTGCTAATGAACATTTCGTTTTCAATGTTCCAGAAAAATTGGATTCTGCTGAATATGCTCCATTATTCTGTGCTGGTTTAACTGTTTATGCTCCATTAAGAAACAACATCAAAGCTGGTGATCATGTTGGTATCGTTGGTATTGGTGGTTTAGGTCATTTAGCTATTCAATTTGCTAAAGCTTTAGGAGCTACTGTTTATGCTTTATCAAGAGGTGAGAAAAAGAAGCAAGATGCCTTGAAATTAGGTGCTGACTATTATATCGATACTACCGTTGAAAATTGGTCTAAACCTTATAAATTCAAATTAGACTTTGTGTTATCATGTGCCAACTCCAGTAAAGGGTTCACCAATGATTATTTCGAAATCTTGAAGGTTTTCGGTAAATTGAACTCTGTTGGATTACCAGAAGAACCAATTCCAATCTCTGCTTTATCATTCCTTGGTAACGGTGTTTCCTTTGGTGCCACTCATTTAGGTAACAGAGAAGAAATGTTGGAAATGTTAGATGTAGTTGTCAAACATGATGTTAAACCATGGTGTGACTTATTACCTATTTCAGAAGAAAATGTTAAGAAAGGTTTAGAAAGAACCGAAAGAGGTGATGTTAAGTATAGAATCACTTTAACTAATTTTGCTGAAGGATTTAAGTAGTATATTACATATGCTTTTGTTTTCGACTCTGATTATTTAGGGGCTCCGACTCTGATTATTGAGGAGCTGACTCTTACGCAAATGGTAAGAAGAGCAAATGGAACTAAGCCTCGACCTGTTTAATATCAATGGTACCTCCTTGGGTTTGACTAAACAATGGACATGCCTTGTTGGTCTTAATATGACCCACAGCTCCACAATTTGTACATTTTCTGGCAGTTGATTTCCCCTTTCCGATTCCTTTACCTTGAACACCCACAGATCCATCAGGTAAAGTAACTCCAGATCCATTCAAATTGGTTGAACTTAAAGATTTCTTAGGTTTATGCTGTTTGATTTGCTTTTCGGCATTAGCTAATCTCTTTTGTAAAGCCTTTCTTCTTAATTCATTCAATTCAGCATCGTCAGTTGGGACAATATCTTCTAAATTGGCTGATTTGATTAAGTTATCTTCAATTTCCTTCTTCCTTTTGAGGTAACTTTTGATAATTCTTGGATCTTTGATGATTTCAACTTTTCTTTGAACAATCCCATTATGATCTTTAAATCTTCTGGATATTCTTAAGAACTTATTGTTCTTTGTCAAATCACTATTAGCTTCTTCATATTTCTTACTCAAATAAGCATTATGATTAACTGGTTTATACTTATGATAAATTTGTGGCAAGTTCTTTGCATTATGAAGAGATTTTCTTTGAGCATACCAAATTCTACTCACTTCATTATCATATAATCTTTGTTGGTAAGCTGCTTGACTGGATTTAGGAACATTTTCCTTAGGTGGAGGAAATAATGGAGTAAAAGCCGTTTTAGAAGATGTCTTTAAGAATGAGAACCCTATACCTATACCTGAAGGATCACCTTCACCAATCAATTGTAACATAGATTTGGTTTGATTGGATAAAACAAAATTACGTGATAAATTCCAACTAGTTAATTGATCATCAATACCTTCTTCCATTTCCAATAATTTCTCCCTCTTTCTACGTTCTTTAGAATCTTCTTCCCCGTCTTTATCTTTGTCAAGTTCTTGGATCTTAGCTTTCTTCTTTTCCTGTTCCTCATTCAAAAGGATGGTCAAATCATTAACAAGTTGTTGGGATGATTGCATGGCATCTAATAATGTAACATCTTCAGGAGTTATCATTGATCTTATTGACTCTTCATCGGGGACAACTTCCCCAGCTTTAATCTTCCAATACCCTTGATCTTCACCAGATCTTTGATATTCCATAAATTCTTTCAATCTTTGACGATTTTGCATATCATTTTGATCAGGGAAATGATGAGAAATATCTTTGACCGATATTCTAGGTTTACCGTTTTTGTTCATAGTACGATAAACAATCATTTTCAAACGATTTTTCGAAGTATTGGTGACTTTTCTACTTTGAGGTGCTGGTACTTCAACACTTGGGAATATATGACCCACATTGAATAAATGGTCCATTTTTTTGAGGAAATATTTGGGATGAGATGATGAATGATTGATTCCATTCATAGTGTTACCACCACCACCACCTTGAGAACGAATCAATACAAAGTCTGTCAGTTTGATTTCTTGCTTGAAAATAGGTGCTCTGATCATATTGTTATATAAAGTAGGGACTAAATCTCCTTTATCAACATGTCCATAATTCCAAAATGGTGATCTATCTTCAACTCCCAACACGTGAGTTTCTCCGATATTATTCTTAGGTCTGGAATTATCATCAGGACGTGTTCTTCTATAATAATTGATCAATTTAGATCCCATACCATAATTTGATAAGATCATAGGATACTCTTCAGCATATTCAAACCCTATGAAAACGGAATTATCTCCAATAGTTAAGTCACTAGTTCTAGCAAATATTTCCTTTGATGTCTTCCCTTTATCCTTTTTACGTTTTCTGGGTTTGATTTTAGAAAAATTGATGGTTAAACCCACCTTAGGATTAAATTTGGATCTATGGAAACCTCTACATTCTTGTTTAGTTAATTTGACTTTATAAAATGGACTTTGTAATCTCAACGCAGGTACAGAATGTTCAATATTCAAGTTACTGATTTGTGATCTCACTTTAACATTATAATTTGATTGGAAGATTTCATATTGTTTATCATTAGAAAGGTTGAATCTTGAAGTCAATAATTTCTCATTCAAAGGCACTAAACTGTTAACAGTGGTCTTGGGTTTAAGTTTGGTAGATTCAAATAAAAGGTTAGGATCATTCATATCCAATTTGATCTTATCGAATTTCAAAGTTCCATTGAGAATATCTTCATCATCTTCATAGGAGTTATCATCTTCTAATTCTTCCATAGTAATGTTTTTCACTGGTTCGGCATTGATAATCTTATCATCATCCCAATCAGCCAGGGCAAGTATTAAATCTTTACTGAAATCATTGAACTTATCATCATTTCCATAAGTATTGAGGTAAGGTAAAAGTTTTCTTTGCTTGATATTTAAAGAACCGTTCTTTTCAATTGTTTCTATGACTTTCAAATCTTCTTCAGTGACATAAGTGATATTCTTGTCTGATAAATATCCATTATAATTACTTGGTTTCTTACCTGTTTTGAATACTTTCCTTTGGTCTATATCCACCTCTAGAGAAATCTTCGGTACCAAAGGTTTGGGTTTATATGCAATGGGTGGGACTTGATACTTATAATATTTAGGTGGTGGTAAGAATAATTTATGATTATTGAAAGGTTTAGTATGACTGAAATCAGGATAATGATACTTCAAATTACGTTTAACTTGTCTTGATTCCAAAATTTGGATCTTGGCCAATAATCTTTGACGTTTAATGGCTTTTTGTTCTTCTTGTAACTTCCGTTTCTTTGAAAGTTCTTCTTCCAGTTCTTTATCCCCATACATCTCATCAATATTCATATCATCCATATCATTAATCCCTTCCAATTCTCCCCCCATCAAAGGATTATCACCTAAATTACCCTCCAAGTCGTCATCATCGCCAAAAATGTTATCGAAATCATCATCAGCTTGTTGTTGCAATTCAAGTTCTTCATCATCAGCTTTGATGGCTGGGGGTAAATCAAAGTTATCAAGTTCTTCTTCTGCCAATTCATCTTCATCTTCATAATCCACAGCATCTTCAGCATGAACTGTGGATTTGGCGTTGAAGATATCATTGATCAACTCATCGTTTACCTCAGTATCAACATCTTTGGCCATAGTTGACTGTAACTAGTTTTTTCGCGAACTATGTCTATCTTCAACACCAATGTTCCCAATAATCCTAAGGTCATTGTGGTATCCGATGTGGGCCAACTGGTCAAGTATCTGTTGGAATCGGAATATGAGGTGTATTATGTCAACGGTATAAGTCTATTTAAAGATTTGATTGAGAGTTTGTTGGTTTATGATCCTATAATAGTTATTGATTTTATTGATTATACTAGTCTTCTAACGTTATTACGGTTCTTATATGGATTCGATGATGATTTGAAGAAACTGAAGGTTCGAAGAGATTTTTTGGAAAAGTATAATACTTATAATAACGATAAACCCACCACAGGAACCTGTGATTATCCATTGAATACCAGAATCATTATCAATATTCGAGAGTATAACAGTGTAGATTTGACTACTTTGGATAATTTGAAACTTCAACAAATCTTAAGATTCATCTGTCTTCTTCATGGAGGGTCTTTCATCATCAGTAAATCACCAATTGCTCAACTACTCAAAGAAAACGATTTATTGAATCCTATTTATCAGGATTTTTTGTCTATACCTCAAGGATGGGATTCATGGGATAGAATCAAGATCTTATCGAAATCCACCTATGATTCTAAAGGTCTTCTTGTTGATGATAATGATATGAAAACATTTCTTCAGGTTTATACTGACTTTTTGACTGGTGATGAATCAATATTCAAATACTTGAAGGTGGAGATCCCTATTGTATCCAAACCTGTTTACGTTCCAAAGACATATGATGATTTAATCCGGAATATTATCTAAATCTCTTATCTTCCCATCACCCATGGGTTGTTATCTTCCCGTTACCCATGGGTTGTAACCCACACGGGGTAAATATACGATGTTACGATGTTCTTATCTTCATAACTCTCCAACATCCGATTGGCTGGTTGTGATTCAGTGACCATAGATAAGGGGCTGTTTACCGTTAAACTGTAAAAAATAGTCGATTTGCATGTTGATGGAAAAATAATCTTTGCAGCCATTTGGCAGCGGCGGGTTGGAATATAAAAGGTGAGATTTTCATGTGTTCTTCCCAGCAATAACCCTGAAAAACGGCACGGTAGCTAACCCCCATTTCTAGTTTCTAAATATGAAATCAGAATTACAAAAACCCATATATTACTCAAAATATGATCAAATCCCCTGAATTTTTAAGGTGGTAAAAAATCTCACTAAAAATTTACCACTTCATTTAACTGAGGATTTTGGCAGCCAAAATTCACCCACAATGTCTAATCCCTACTTAACCTGCATTAACAACCACTAACTTGTAAATCTAAAGAAAACCCTCCTTATCTTGTGTCTGGTCAATATCTCCGCAACCAAAACTATAAATACAAGAGGAATCCACCATCGATCAACTAAAAAGCTTCGTAAATTGTTTCATAATTTGTTTCACATTTGATTAACTATAAAAAGGTGAAAGATTTCCAAAGTTTTTTTAAGCATCTGCATTATTCATGGTCAATACTTTAACAATCACTCAAGATATACAAAAATATGAATTTGTATCATCAATTGAGTTATCTAGAAATCAGAAGAAATTATTAAAAGATGTTATTAACAATTCAGAAATTACCAATTCATTATTCTTAGACATTAAACCATTATTAAAGGATACATATAATTTAGCCATTTCTGAATATTCCATCGGTAGCTTAATTTATCATTATAGCCAATTATTTTTATTATCAACCCAAGTTGTGTGTAAAGCATTAGCCAAAGATTGGATTAAAGCTATTTGCCCACAAAAGCAAGCTCGTTATCCTTATAAATTCCCCGAATTACCTCCATGGTGGCCAAAAGATGTTCCTCATGTTGAACCTGATCATCTTTCAAAAGAGAATAGAATAGAGTTATTAATCAGTATTATTAGACACGAATCGGTTAATTTATTACAATTAAGACAACTGATTAATATGAACCACTTGAAAAACAATTTATCTGTTAACATGGTTTATATCAATAAATTGATTTATGAAGTCTTCTATGTTAGTCTTTATGAACGTTGGATTTTAAATTATGGAATCTTTGAAAATCTGGAATTATTCAATGAATTAAATTTGCATCCTAACACTAAGGGAAAACCTACTACATTGAAAATAAGCTGTGTTGACTCAGTAGTATTAAGAACGATGGATTTAAGTGAATTAAATCATCGTTGCTTCAATTTGAACGAACAAGGTGATAATCTGGGTAAAATTATTCTCAGACACAAGTCTCCCGAAACAGATTCTTCAGATGAAGATTTTGTTGTTAAGAAAAGAAAAAAGACATCTAAACGTAAGAAATGGAAGAAATCTAAAGTTTCAAGAACTGACTCACCAACTTTGGGATTTGATGGTTATTCTGACAATGAGGTTAAATTGGAATTCAAAGAAGCTGTTAAACCACCATCGTTTAAACCCCCAACCGCTAATATTTTCGTTCCAGATTATCAAGATAAATTTATTGTCTTACCGGTACCTGTTTCTTCGTCACCTAAATTGAAATCTACACAACCAGCGTTGTTAAGTTTCCCAAAAATCAATCCACTTGAAAAATACCTTGTTGATACAGAACCGTATTGTTCAAGGTTTTCACCTATCCCTAGTGTTGATAACTTTGGTAACACTTCTCCCTTAGCAGCATTGCAAGAGGAAAGGTATGATTCATCACCATCTTTGAGTTTAAGTGATTCACCAGATACATCAATCTCTGATATAAAAATCAAAGACGAACATGAAACCCCATTTGATTCATTTGATGCTTTCCGTGAATCTGATTCCAATTTCCGATTCGTTCAAGATTATGAAGACTTATTAAGTTCATGAATCTTACTCTTTAGCTCGACTTTCTTTATAGTTCCTTTAGCCTTGATGGTTAAATATAGGTGTTTGTGTAAATTTAAAAGCAACAACTCTCGTAAAAAAGCCGCATGGAATTAAAGGGTGCAAAAAAAGAACCATAGGGATAAAATCATCGGAGAAACAGCAGAGACTAAAGTCATAAATCACAGAGCGTATGACTAAAGTCATAATAATACAGATATATTTGTCCTAATATCTAAATTACACTAAATTACAAATTCATCATGCAACAATTAAGGATGAATAAATGAAATGAAAATAAATAATTTATGAATAAATTATTAATGAAAACTATATGACAGGGAACTATTTATTGGTATGGTAATTATAGTTGAACCCATTGTTTACTTGATTACTACTTGATCTTCTTTGAGGACCTCTAACACCTAAAGGATTCTTAGAAAAAGATAATCTAATACCACCTTTACCACTTGAATTAGAAGATCTTGGTAAGATTCTACCATATAAATCAGCTAAAGCTTTAGTAGCATGAGCAACATCTTCAAATTCAACAAAACACATTGGTCCATGAGTTGAATTGGTTGAATTAGTTGTTTTGGTTCTAAAAGATAATCTTCTGAACCCCTTTTGTGGGGAGAATAAATTTCTTAATTCTTGTTCAGTAGCATCAGGAGGTAAATTACCAACATATAAGGTATTACAAGGAGGATTTTGATCAGCGGGATTAGCTGGAGGTGGAACTCTGGCTAATAAAGTCAAATCAGGGATATCTTTTCTTACCATATTATTAGATACTTGTTGAACAGGACTAGTAACATTTGAATTTGATTGAGGTACTGAACCATTTAATGAACCATTAGAAGTTTGAGATTGTGGTTGTTGGGATGGTTGTGGTTGAGAAGGTTGAGGTTGATTTTGAACTTGATTTTGTGATTGATTTGCAACTTGATTCTGTGGTTGATTTTGAACTTGATTTGGTCCTTGATTTTGTACTTGATTTGCAACTTGTTGATTAGGAATTTGATTTTGGACTTGATTTGGTTGATTTTGTTGATTTTGTACAGGATTTTGTTGGTTTTGTACAGGTTGAGCAACACCTTGATTCAAAGATTGATTTTGATTCAAAGGTTGATTACCTAAATTCAAAGGATAATTTGAATTTAAGAATGAATTATTCAATAAATTATTTGAAAAACTATTTTGGAAAAATGCTGAAGAAGTTCTTCTATTATTTGAATTATTTTGATTCCAATCAAAATTCAAATTATTTAATGGAGTTTGAGGTTGAGAATCTTGCCAATTAAAATTATTCAAATTAACCGGATTTAAATTCAAATTATTCATATTTAAATCCAATTCATTATTAAAAGGATCATTAAATAAGAATTTAGATCTACCCGAACCAGAATTTCCTCCATTATTGCCAGGATTAGCGGAATTTGGAGCGGAATTGGAATTTATACTAGAATTACCCATTTGTTTTGCCAATAAATCTTCATAATCTTCAAATTCTACTATAATAGGAGAATCATTAAATAAATACTTATTATTTAATAACTTAAAAGTTGTTAAACAACTATTAAAATTCTTAAAAAATGCAAAAATAGTGGGTTCAGATTCATTTTTCAATTCAATTTTTAAAATATCATCAATAACTAATGAAAAAATAAGGGTACTTTCTCTTGTAGTTAAATCTTTTGGTAAATTAGTAATCTTTAAGATAAATTGTTGATTACCATTGGATGAATGAGAATTATTTGAACTATTTGAAGGTAAATTAATCATCGATTGATTTTCATAACTTGAAGACGGACCAGAATTTGAACCGGAATTTAAATTGGAATTTATAGTTAATGGTTGAGAACCATTTGAATTAGGAGGTAGTGGGAAATTACCTGAATTAAAATTTGGACTTGTTAACAGTATCATGTAATTATCTGTCATTTTAAAATGAAAAACTGAACCAGTTAAAATATGCTTACCCTTAAATGCTAACAGGAAAAAAAAATGCGTAATGAGACAACTTTAGTCTCTAATTTACAAATATGACTTTAATTAACTTGAAAAAATGATATTAAACTATCAATATTGATTGATTAAACTTGTTAAATAGAATTTTTTCTCTTTAAAAAACTTGTTGATTATATCCTTTTTAATTATGGCTGGTTATAAAATGTGCGAATTTTTGTGCGAAAAAAAAAATGTGCGAAATGAGAATATTTTGATTATTTTACTGTTAGAAAAGTCTTTTTAAGATAAAGGGGAGAAAGGTATTTGAATTTCTTTACTTAAGAATTGACCAATAACAATGATTTATTTCGGAATATGGAAAGTTTTTTCTGTAATTTCCCTAATTAAAGTTTTTCCTTAGTTTTTTTTTGTCTCAAAATCTCTGTAATTATACTATGACTAATTATTGGCACAGATTCTAGAAGCGATGAGCATAGAAAGAGGGAAATTGAAAGCTGTTCACCATTGACGTTAATGGGAGGGATTAGGGGTTGAAATATCGATATGTAATGTCTGCTGATGGTGGAAATTCTCTTATCTTATCGAAACATCGCTCTTTTGGTATATACACCATGGATGCAAAATAATTCCGTCGATTATGTAGGTTCGATAAATTTCTATGGTCTTTTTACCATATTCATGGGTGTACCGGTTCAATGGACTGCGATTCGGAAATTGATGGTATTTTAAGGTTTTTACAGGTTTACTAAGGGATTTAACAAGTTTAGGACTTTCAATTGAAACAGTATGATAGTTTGGAAGTGGGTAGTAGAGATTAATGCATTAAACTGTTGATACTGGCTGTGACGAGGATTACGCAGCGGAAATTTGTCTTATGTATGTTCATGCATGGTAAATATGAGAACGGTAGTGCGAAGGCTGGTCGTGGATGGAATGTAGGGCCACGACCGCCTTATTTTACGTGACCAGGTATAGCTATGGAGAGTGTGGGGGTGTGATGTTACCGAATTAGGCAGTCGAGATTCGATGTAGTTAAAGGTTGAAGATATAATTGATTTGATTGATTTGGGTGATTTGGTGAATTAAGAAATGGTTTTGAAGGTGGCGACATGGATTAGCATGTGGGTTGAGTAGGCTGTTGAATTCATCAAGCTAATAAACTGACCCATCAGTATATCATCTTATCTGATTCACTCAATTGATGTCTATGTCTTAGTTATGTCTAATCCAACTCATGTCTGACAGATGTCTAACAGATGTCTAACAGATGTCTAAGTCACGTCTGACCCAACTCTACCTCAACTCTTCATCATCCTCACCTCAACTCTACCTCAACTCTTCCACAATCCCTCCTCACCACACCTCAACTACTCAACTTCTCACCCTTTCTCATTCTCAATCATGGAAGTCAATAGCACCTTATTCCAATTCCTTCTAATAGAACTAATACCCTCCATCATAGAATCATCCAAATCTCAAAACCTTTCCGATAATCAAATCAATCTCAAACTCGAATTATTAGGGTTCAAATTAGGTAACAAGTTCAATGAAATAATCCTTTTCAAATTAAACGAATCATTCACCAAGAATGAAACTAAAGTCAATCTTTTAGATATCATGAAGTTCATTTGTAAGGATTTCTGGAAATTCGTGTTCCAAAAACAAATTAATAACCTTAAAACCAATAATAGAGGAACTTTCATATTAATTGACGTTAACTTCAAATTATTCGATAACTTAAATTCCAATAGTTTACAGTTCGATAATTACATCAATTATTACTTAAATTTCACCAACGGGATCTTGAGAGGTATACTACATAACTTCGGATACAATTGTAATGTTAACAATGATGTTAACTTCCCAAGTGTTAATTTTAATATAGAAACACAGTGAAAAATGTACATTAATCTTTTGGAATTCTAGCATCAACAGCAATATCAACAATGATTTCTCTACCATTGATTTCCTTACCATTGAATTGTTCAACAGCTTTCAATTGATTTTCTTTATCAGTAAATTTGACAAAAGCGATTCCTTTATTAAAGATTGGTCTTCCCAAAGCTTTATTTCTTTTTAAAACGAATGGTGATACTTGTCTAGTTGGGACATGAATCCATTTTGGTTTCAACTCTTTGAATAAGTTATTTAACACCTTGTAATTGACTTTATAGTCAAGATTGGTGATGAATATAGTATCTTCTGAGGCTTTACCATCAGGTATTTTAGTATCAGATTCAGGTTCTTTTGATTCTTCTTTTTTTGATTCTTTTGATTCTTTTGATTCTTTTGATTCTTTTGATTCTTTTGATTCTTCGACTTCTTTGACTTCTTTAGGTTCTTTGACTTCCTTGGATGGTTTGACATCTTTAGGTTTAGATTCTTTGGTTTCCTTCACTTCTTTAACTTCTTTAACTTCTTTCACATCTTTAGCTTTCTTCTTAGCGTCCAATTTAGCTTTAGCTCTGAGTTTGGCCTTTTCCGCTTGTTCAGCCTTTTTGGCTTTAAATAATTCATTCTTCTTAGCCTTCTCTTCTTCAGTTGGTGGAGGAACAGCTTTTTTCACATAGATTTTACGATTCTTGAATTCTTTACCATTAAATTGTTCAATAGCTTTATCGGCTTCTTCTTTATCTTTGAATTGGATAAAAGCAAATCCCAAGTGTTTTTCAATAGTTTTCTTTCCTAACTTCAAAGTTTTACTAGGAATATCAACATCGGTAACTGTTAACCCTTCAAAAAATTGTTTTAAATCATCTTCATTGGCTTTGAAATCAACATTACCAATATAAATTCTGTCTTCAATAGTAGTTTTTTCAATTTCACTCATGGTTTACGGTTTTTGGATTTGTGGATTCAATAGTTTCAATTTTATCAAGTTCAATAACTAATTAAATAGATTGATTTGGGTCAGTTCACTTGGACTTTATTTGACTTAACTTAATGAGATTTTCGGATACTGAGGTTTTATGTATCACCACGACAAAAATTTTTCACTGGAGGAAATCGGAGATAGGGAGGTCAAATAGAAGCATTGAGACGATCAGAGTGATTTAGGTGTGTTAGAAGGCTACTGGTAGGATACAAGGGTTGGGTTTTTACCTCGAAAGAAGCATTTATGAGTAATTGAGTAGAATTTTCTAGAACGACATTACGCCTGGATGTCCTCACGTCTCGTGTTTTGTTCGATAGATCACTAAAGGTGGAGATAAGAGTTTGACATGGTCTGGGACATTAAATCATTTTGATCGAGGAATTGAGTTCTGGAGAGAGTCTGGAGATGGTTACTGGTGGTACAAGGTGGAGTAAATTTATTTGGAGATGAAAAGTTCGTAAAATTGTCGTATATCCTTGAAATCTATTGTACGAGTCGCTATTCAGGAGGAGGATTTGAGGACAGAGTGCTTGAATTATTTTTGCTAAAGTGGTAGAAAGACGTTTATGACCTAGAAATATAATAGGATACCCACATCCGGTGTCATAAGGTAGGACTATGATTTAGCTGTTGAGGGTTTGTTTGTAAGGGGCACTTTATGAAACTGAAATATATCATTTAGTAGTACCTACCTCTCCAGCATAATCACTTAACCCGGATGACCTCCTTTAGAACCAACTACCAAACCCACCACAATCAAAGTAACCCAAAAATTCCTCTACGGAATATTCCCAATTGGGAATACAGTATTTTCTGAATAAACACTGCACCTCCACTATCCGAATGTCGCAAGTTGAGAGTTTTCAATTTCGCTTCCCCCAGGATTCAATACCGTAGACAAAGATTGTTAATATCTTGTCCATGAAGTACCGATATCGCAAAGCTACCAAAATTAATATCAGACTCGAAGAAAAATAAATTTGAACCTCTCTTTAAATAATATAGTATAATATATACTATAATTACCTACACAAAAAGTCATAGCGACGAACAAAATGAATATCGCTCCAAAGCTAGAACGATTATCGCAGTAGAAAAATAAATTTGCCGCTACGAATAAAACAAAAAGCGCTGAGACAGGTGGATGAACGATCGCATGGTAAGCCAATAAATATCATTGCTGCTGTAGATTCGATATCCTGATGAGAAGTCCTTAATATCGCAAATGGAAAGTTAGATTGGTTTCTTTTCCAAGCAAGTAGAGGAAGCATTTTTCCGAGTGGTTGATGCTGTTTTGTATACATTCAAGCGGTACAGAATTTGCAGCCTCTTTGAACCTCATAGAAAGCGTCTCCCTTTGAAGGAGCTTTTCACTCTTCAACCTGCTTTTTACCTGATACCAGAACTGCTTAATTAGATTCGACTAAGGAGAAAAAGGAGGAAGGTGAAGCAATATATAGCCTCTTGACTTGAATAATCCGGGAAATTTTCTGGCTTTTATGAATGCTAGCATCATCTATAACCAAATAAGCACTTTCCATTATAGGATGTTCGCCTTGGACCACTCCATGATTGCAGATAGCTCCCAAAACTGTTCTATTTTCAGACCTTGTGGTTGGTGTCTTGACTACGGGAGTCACCTTTAGGGGCCCAACCACCCGAACGTTCTATGTTGACGTTAACATAAGGAATTTGGACCCCATTTTGCAGTCTTCTTTTACCCCTATCTTCCTTATCTCATATCTGGCCAAACTTGGTGAGTGGGTGAGTTTCCTAACTTTCGAAACCTTATTACCATGTTTGCAACCAAAGAGCATCCGCTTTCAGGGAATAACAGGATTATTAACCGAAATAGACTTACTATAATTCCCGGGCTCAAACCATTAACTTTGAGGAGATTAGAGTTTATAAAGAAGGTATTAGCATGAAATACTAGCATGAAATATTAGAATAGAACAAAGGTTCGCTATAAGCTATTGACACCTTTCTATTCTTTTACTCAATCGCTGAGTCGCATGCTTTCCACACAAGTATCAATCAGCCTCACTGTAAATCTTCTAAAAACATTTTTGAGCCAGAAATAGATTAGAGAAGCCTGTCAGGTTCTGAGTAAAAGGCGTGTCGAGTACAAAGATAATCGGAAAAAGTTACCAGAATCGAACTTAAGATAAGAAGCTGCGAAAAGCTTTTTGACGTGAACCTATCAAAATAGAGGGCGTGAAGTTAAAACTCTAAAATAATACTATATCGAAGGAAATAAGGTATAGACCACTTCCATATACAGTACCCCATAAGTAATTGACTACGTAAATTCTATAGTGTTTGACAGAGCCTGCTAATTGGAAGGCATTTACGTAATCTAAATTTCAAGCGCTCATACAGGTGAGCCAGTTGAATATAAGAACAAATACTCTTCATTTTCCTCAAAGAAAACAAATTAAAATCATAATGAATTGGAAATATGTTGCCTGGTCTGCCACGATAGCTCTGAGTGTTTTTGATATGTATGTTAAATATAGACAATGGAGGTTGTTGAACAAGGAGAGAATATTAGAACATGATGATAATCGAATCAGATCACAAGCATTCCAAAAAAACAACATGGTGTTGGGTATTGTCCAAAAATCTACTGAATTACTAATTAATTCTTTGCTTATTTGCTTCAATCTTCATCATAAAATCTGGACAGCAACCAGCTCAACAAACAACAGGTTACTTCGCCAGTTGATGTTCTTGGGTATTACCGAATTGATAAGAGCTTTGGTGCAAAGTTCATTTGAGTTTTACAGAAAATTTGTCATTGAACAGGCTTCGGGGGTAAACAAATTGACCAGAACGAAATTCATCGTTGAACAAGTATTGTCGGTGAGTTTCCTGACATTGTTTTCTTTGCTTGTGTATGCTGGTTTGATCAGTATAATTGAAAGGTTTGGAGATACTTTCCCGATGGTTGGGTCTTTTTTTTTCATGCTGGCAATTGTATTTTTCATGTCTATTCTGCCCAACATCTTTTGGCCCATGTTTTATAAATTTTCTCCTGTGCCTGAAGGAGGACTAAGAAATGCTCTTCAACACTTATTAGAACCTCGAGGATTTCCCACAGAACAAGTGTTCATGGTAAATGAATCAGATAAAACAACCCATTCTGGGGCAGTGATAGTCGGTTTTTCCTGGAACAAAAGCATTGTCGTGTATGATTCTTTAGTGCATAAATGTTCAACTAAAGAGGTTTTAGCTGTCATTTGTCATGAGGTTGGACATTGGGAGAGATCCCATTTACCCAAGCAACTTCTCAATCAAGGTGCTCAAATATTCATCGACTTCCAATTATTCGTATATCTATATCAAAGTCCCCAATTCTATAGTGCCTTCGGTTTCAGTGATATGCCTATTGCATTTGGTCTTGTGGCATTTTCAATTCTTACAGAGCCGATTCAAATCGTATTTAACATCCAAAAGAATTATGTATCAAGAATTTGTGAAAGGCAGGCAGATATATTTGCCGCCACCTTAGGTTTCAAAGATGAACTAAAAAGTGCTTTGTTCAAAGTCAAAAGGGACACTCTTCGTTTGGTTAATACTGATTGGCTTTATAATTTATATCTGGAAACACACCCAACTTTACAAGAAAGACAAGCAAATTTAGACTCTTTCTCCGCTGTTGAAGTCCATTGAATCACAATTTGTTCGAAAACAGAAAGTATTAGAAATCTTATATCTGAAAAGTATACAAAACACCAAAAAACCTCAAGTAAATCTACAAAATTTGCCTTCCTGGATCGAACAGATCCCCTACTCTCGAACATCTGCTCGTGGACTCCTAATTTCTGAATATTAGCTACCCAATTTGGTTGTATACCAAAATCAAAGTCATATATAAACCGCTTCTATCATCATTTGGCAAGCGACTGTGATCAAAGTCAATTGTTTCGAGACAAAATGGGTAATAATCTTAGGACCAAGAGAGATGCTGACTCCCTGTTTTCGGAATAGAATTAAAAGGGTACTCAACCTCAGAATCCAATACTTTGGTGACAAAGTCAAATCTTTCTTGAATCTTTTTGATTGGATTCCATTCTACACTTTCCTTACGGGCAATCTTGAAACTCAACATACACTCTTCTTTCAAAAATTTGTGGAGAGTAATCTTACTCACTTAAAGATCCATAAAAGAGTCACGTAAGTCTTGCATCATATCGTCTAGAGTTGAAGAGGGACTCTGATCGACACACTCCTTCAAAAATTACTTACGGGTTTCATCAAGCTTTGGCTTAACTGACCTTCCCCTTGGTTTAGCTCCGGGTAATTCTCCATCATTTGCTTCTTTGAATTCTTTGACCCCACGCTATTGGAATCATGACACGACGTTATTCATAATTGATAGCTACGTTATTTAGTTTCTGGATGTGCCCTCTCAATCAGAAGCCTGTTGCGACATCCAGATTATAGGGGTTCGGTGCTCATCCAGAAAATACTGTATCACCAGGTTGAATCGCGGTTAGACGAAAAAAATTACCAGATTGGGTGAGTCATGAGTAAGGAGAGAAGGAATAGATCCAGTAATGGATGCTTAACATGTCGAAAACGCAGGAAGAAATGTGATGAGTTAGCATACCCAACGTGTCAGAACTGTGACAAGAAAGGTTTAGATTGTACCTGGTCAGAAAAAACCATCGAACTTCACAAATCCATGAACAATGTGAAATATTTTGGCGATGATGACAAAAAGCATAAAAAGAGAGGTAAAATAAAGGAATCTGGTGATGTAGCTGATGTTCCAATAACTGATCGTGAACCCAGCTTACTTTCTGAATCTTCATACACTGAAAGTGAAACTAAGAATATTTCCCCATTAACAAATACCGAAGCTCATACAGAACTTCACACTAAAGTACGCACAATACATACCAAAGGAGACTCCACTGAAGACCTACGATTGCCTGATTTGATAAAAGATATTCCCAACTACAAAACTGACAAATACGATTTTGATTTTGGTACTGTGGAAGAAGTAAACCTTAATGATTATATAGATTTCCATGATAAAAAAAGTTTCCTCGAAAGAATAGCATTACAACAAGATATTGTTGATGAGTAGCGTTTTAATAGTCCGGTATTATTAAGAACAAGGAAATGTCCGTTTCAGGGTTATCAGATGGTACCACGCATTATGTCTCACATTCAATTATTGAAGACCCTTGAACATTCTCGTGTCCATATCCTCATAAATATAAACTTATCGACGTAGTATCATACGTTCTACCATCTAAAGTCTCTAACTTCCAACGACCCCTTAAAATATTAGCCAAATTAAAAAAAATCTGGGGGCCTCCGGTGGTAGACACCGCATACGGGAAAGTCTCGAAAAAAATTTTCAAAGGATAAACTAAACACATTAACCATGGCATCTTTAGGAGTCAATGAAAATTACTATGGAGAACCTGTAGGTGTCAATAACAACTACTATAACCAAGATAATGGACTGACCGAAGGAACTCCTCAAGTGAATAATGGAGATTATAATTACAATCAAGAAGAAAATTACTATAATGGACAAATTATCAATGTCAATCAACCTCATAATTTAGAGGCTTCTATACCCATTAACCCCATGAATGGAGAAATTATCAATGATATGAATCAAATGGGAGTGATGAATGAATTTAATATGAGAAATAATTCAACTTCACCCCAACAACCATCTCATCAGACCACACCTATTGAAAACAATTCCAACCATGAATCACCCATTAAGCATGAAAACAATCATCCATCTCACCAACTTCAACAACATTCCATCAACCAACAAGTAGCTGCCCCAACCAATGATGAAGAAACTAATGAACAACCATTTTATGTTAATGCCAAACAATATCACAGGATCTTAAAAAGACGTATAGCTAGAGCTAAATTAGAAGAGACTTTGAAAATAGCCAGAACAAGGAAACCTTATTTACATGAATCCAGACATAAGCATGCTATGAGAAGACCAAGAGGTCAAGGAGGAAGATTCTTAACTGCAGCAGAAATTGCAGAAAAGGAAAGATTAGATAAGTTGAAGGAATTAGAAGATAAACAAGGAGAAACGGAAAATTAATGATTAATGATAGATGTTGTATAGTATATGTATTTGTAGCGTCTTAGACTATGAGATAAATGGAGAGCGAACTTGACTTTTTTAAAAGTTGGAACCTTTGTACATTGGGACTTTAGACATTGTCACTTAGGACATTATTCGCTTAAGGATTTTTCAGGATTGTTTTCTGTCCCGTTTCTTGATCTCCCGAATATCTCTTTCATCTGTTGCTCACTTCTATGAGATCAGTCTAGGGAAATCTAAATCATCTCTTGTAAAGCATTTTGAACATCTTGAGGTAATTGACTCAATACCTCAACATTAACTTTCTTGATATTATTCACCACACTATTCTTTATTTGATCAAAACCATTATTAGGGATACTTGATAAAGGATCAAATACTTCACTTTGAATGGTTACCAATTTAGAATAATTCGATCCGAAAGATCCCATATCTAAATCCAATTCATTTAATGGTAAATTTACTACATCAGTAGTAACATTAGTCTTTGTTACTAATTGATAATTTTTAATATTCTTAACGATTTGTTCAATAACCAAAATTTTCAAATTATCAGAAATGGAAGTGGTCAATAATTCCAGTAATCCTACTAAAATAATCTTCTTATCTTTCAAATTAGCAAAGTTAAGTAAATTAGGTAAGATCAAATTAGTCAATAATCCATCAAATACTCCTGGTTGAGGTAAATTGAGTAAATTTATGATTAAATCCCCATTTAAAGATTTTTGAATGGTTGTTGAAGAAGGGATTGAACATATTGAGAATACAAATATAATGAATCTTTTCAAGAATTTATCAGTACGGGAATTCTTCAATCTTGTAAGTATTAAAATAGCGATAGTTTTCAAACTATCTTGTAAAATAGATAAATCAAAATTTAATAAAATTGATTCCAAAAGATCAAATCCATAAGTTTCATTGACTTTTGATGCAATTAATTTTTGGAAAATTCCCAATAATGGAGTTAAGAATTCTTGACTAAACACTTTATAGTCATATTCAATGATAGCTATTAATAATCTAGTAATACCAGGGATATTACCTTTATATTGCCATAAATTTGGTGACATTAAAGGTTTAATGAATGATTTATATTGTGAGGGTAATTCATTACCTTTAGAATTTTCCAAGAGGTATGCAAGAATTTGGAAACTATAAGGAACAAATTCTTGAACGTCTTCATTCAAAATCACCAATAAGTTAGGTACCATTAAATCAATCAATTCATTGATTTCATTAGGTGAATATTTGATTATTAATCCTAAACTTTCGAAAATGAAATGATTGAATTTAGGATTTGATGGATTTTTATAGATGATTTTCAAAATGCTTAATAATTGATTTAAAATGATCATTTTGAAATCTTTTGAAATCAAATCTTTTGAAGTGTCTAAGATTCTCATCACCAATTTGATCAAAAATTCATTTTCTGATAATTTTTCAGGAGGATAACTTGAATCTATAGGTAATAATTTGAATGTGTTAGTCAATAAATCATTTAAATAAGGTTGTAAGTCATATTTATTGAAAATAAGTTCATGGTTTTCATTAAAATTGGTCATAGTTAATAATTTCTCAATAGTAATGGATGAATAAGTATAAATGACAGGATTTGCATTAGTTAAATGGTTAACAAGGATCTTAAACACCGATAATAATTGATCTTTAGTTAATTGATTACGGAAATTCAAAATATATTTAATCGAATCCATGATTAAGATAGGATGGGTAGATTCAACCATTAAATCATTAGCAATATTTTCACTGAAAAATTTCACCACATCCACCAACATATTGGTAGAAGTAACCCCAATATTAGTTATAGATCCTTTGGATGCTAATGAACTAAATAAATAAATCGCCAAATCTTTATTTTGCCAATTATCTGATTCACTCAAAAATTTATCAACATATTCCATTACTGTCTTGGTTAATAATTCATTATTAACTTCTTTTAATTCTCTTAAGAAATCAGTAGCTGATTTTCTTCTTGAATCATATTCACTTCCTTCTAAATCAAATCTCACATAATTAATAGGTTCATCTTCAAACATTTCTAAATCACTATCTCTAACAATAATGTTAGGTAAAATGATTTTATTCAAGATCTCTTTCAAACTGTTTTCATTATTGAAAAACTTGGAATAATTGGAGATTTTAATGATGGAAGTTAAGAATTGTAAACATTTAACAATCAATAAATCAAATTTGATTTGTTTAGTGATGAAACTGGTGATTAATTCCCAAATAGTGGTGATGAAATTTTCAATCAATGGTTCAAAGATTTCAGTATATCTAGTTAAATATAAGTTGATTAATTCTATAATAGATGTCTTTATTTTGATCAAAGTATCGACTTCTTCATCATTAGAAGCATCAGTGATTGAAGGGTTCTCATAATTAAGATATTTATGCATGATCTTCATTCCTGCCATCATATTATCTTCAAAGAATTCAGGTATATCTTGACAATTTAAATCATAATAAATTTGAATCAATAATAACAAGTTTTCCAAGTAAACATTTAACTGTTTGATATCTTGACAATTATCAATCAATTCGTCTATTTTAGTTAATAACATCATGAAAGGTTGGGCAAATTTATCTAAAACCATTTTAATCTCTAAGAATAATTCATCACTTCTAAATAAAGGTCTCCATTTCTTAAATATGGAATGACTTACGAGTAAAATAGATTTATTGGTGTTAAAATCACTTTCACTGAATTTCCCAATCAAATCATCGATTAAATTGGTCCAATTATGGGGGAAATCTGATTCAGCAATGATTGAAATACATTCACCAACTTGTACTTGTAAGAAATTTGGTAAAGATATCATAATATTCAAGATTTCAAGTTTTATGTATCCAACATCTTCCATAGGTAAAAGATATTCCCCATTTTCATTAACCCATTTCCTTTTAATCAAATTCTTCAAGAATAAAACTCCTGCCAACCTAATAGAATCAGGTAAGTTCGATGAAATAATCTTCATTAAATTGATAGAGAATTCTGGAACATTTTCAATACTCTTCAATTCTTGCTCTGATTGTTTAGCATATTGAGGAAGTAAAGATTGTTCCAAAATCTTAGCAATTGTTTCAATATTATTGTCAACCATGTTTGAAAATTTTGAAATCTTCGCGATATGATTTCTGTAGCTTTTGTGTGTACTGGGAACATGTAAGTAAGCAATTTTATTAGGGATTGATGGTTTTTAATGTCATTTTTGAAATTTTAGTAACCTAATTAGCTGGTAAAACATTTTTCAACGTCGAAATCCCTTCATTATTCATCATACTAACTGAATAGTTGTAGATCCCCTATGGCAGAAGCCATCTTTAAACATAAAGTCAAAGAAGCCGGATTAGAAGATAAAGTTGATACAATTGATTCATTTGGTATTATAGGGTTCCATACTGGTGATAGTCCTGATTCCAGATCCATCAGAACTTGTCATAAACATGGTGTACCAATTAACCATCAATCGCAACAAATTTCCAAGGATGATTTCTACAAGTTTGACTATTTGATGGCCATGGATGAAGGTCATCTCTCAGATTTACATTTCAGTAAACCAAGAGATAGTAAATGTATTGTTAAATTATTTGGTGAATGGAAAACTGATGATAAATTGAATAAAGTTGTTGTTGATCCATATTACAGCAACAGTAAAGCTTTTGAATACAATTTCCAACAATTGAGTCATTTCACTGATGTTTTCATACAACAAGAACTCTCTTGAAAATACATAAACTTAGAATCTTTTTTAATGGCTTTTCTAATGAGTTTTCTTTGACTTCACACCCGTACACCCATAGATAATTTTTAAAACCCTCTTTTCGCAGAATTTTAAATCCCATTCACCTATTTCCATGAGTAACCGTAAATTACAACAGGAATTCGATAAAACGAATAAGAAAATCGCCGAAGGGTTATCACTCTTCGATGATGTATATGAGAAAGCATTAACCACAGAATTAAGTTCTCAAAGAGATAAATTCGAAGGAGATTTAAAGAAAGAAATCAAGAAGTTACAAAGACTTCGAGATCAATTGAAACAATGGTTAAGTGATACTTCGATCAAATTAGATAAGAATTTATTACTGGAGAACCGTGGGAAAATTGAAAATGCCATGGATCGATTCAAAGACTTGGAAAAAATCTCCAAAATCAAGCAATTTTCTAATGAAGGTTTAGAATTGAGCAGTAAGAAGAAATTACCTAGATTTGGTGATGCCAATGAAGAAAAGAAAGAAGAAGCTTTCAACTATATTAGTGATATAAGAGATCAGTTGGCTTCTCAGAGTGAATTATTGGAATCAGATGTTCATCATTATACTACACAATTAAAGAAGGCTAAAGCTTCGAATAGTTATACCTTGACTAATCAAATTGAAGATGCCAAAGCTAAAATTGAAAGAAACGTTTTCCATTTAACACAATTGGAAAAGATTTTAAGAAGTTTAGAGAACGAAGAATTGAAACCTGAAGAGGTTGATAAGATTAAAGATGATTTAGAATATTATGTTGAGAATAATCAAGAAGATGAAGAAGGAGTGTATGATGATTTTTACGATGTATTGGATCTTAGAGATGACCTTGATGTTCATGGAAGCTTAGCCAGAGAAAAGGAGGAACAAGATCGTAAAGATGCTGAACAAGCAGAATTAGAAGCTCAAGAAAAAGCTGAGAAAGAAAAGCTCGCCAAAGAGAAAGAAGAAGCCGAAAAGGCTGAAAAGGAAAGATTAGAAAAGGAAAGACTTGCTAAAGAAAAAGAAGAAAAGGAAAAGAAAAGAAAAGTATCGACAGCTAAAACTGTTGAAATCCCAAATGCTTATGCTAGTGGAACAACTATAGCTGAAGCTGTTAGTGCAAGTATTGGTGCAGCCCCATCCGCACCATCTATTGCAGCTGCTTCAACCGTAGCTGCGGCTGCTTCAACTGCTGCTATTGTAGCTGCTACTGCTACTAATGGTAATATTTCATCCAATAATTCATCATCAGCTATCAATACTCCTTCGTTATCAAATACTTCATTGAGTTCTCCTTCAAAACTTCCTCCTGGTTTATCCAACATACAAAGATCAAGTGATACTGAGACTTTCATTGACAGTATACCTAAATTATCACAATTAAGTCAATCTAGATTATCGAATCCTTTACCTTTCAGATCCATTAGTACATTATTGGATCAATCATTGTTCAATAGTCCAGATTCTTTTGATGCTGAAAGACCAAGAGAATATAATCCTTTAAATGTTCACCCTTCATCGATAGATTATCCTCAAGAACCAATGTATGAATTGAATTCCAGTAACATTGTGGCTAAATTTGATAATGACACTTTATTTTATTGCTTCTACTATGGTAATAACTTATCTAAATATAATGCTTCCAAAGAATTAATCAAAAGAGGTTGGTTATATAATACTAACCTCAACCAATGGATATTGAGAGATGACAAATCCAATGATTTCAAATATTTCGATTATGAAAAAGCTTGGTTGACTAGAAGAAAGGAAATCCAATTCAACCCTTCACATATAGAATCCTTTATATAGGTTAACGTAACTATTGCTTTTCGCAGCTATTTAAGGTTTTTTGCAGCCTCTCCTTTGATCTAAAATATTTCTGATTTCACATAGTTGACTGTAATAGGTGGTTAGGATCTGTTTTAAGTACACCCTGCATCCGTGTTGACCATCGTTTCCCCAATCTTACCTCCATATCTTTCTCGTAAAATTATTTAGGGCCGTCACCGGACACCTCCGCAAATTTTTCAAATTTTTTCATCTCATCAGATAAGGTAAGGGGGAATTACTTTGCAACAGATAAGCATCCATTTACGATGACTACCTTAGATGATGACACTAGTTTACCTACGGAATTGGCAGTTAACTCGTTGTACATGATCTTTTGTACCAGTTTATTGTTTTTCTGTATTATTGGTATATCTATGTTTTATTCAGGGTTGACTCAAAGAAGATCAAGTTTTTTACAGTTAGCTTTACCTACAATCCTTCTTCCTTTCATATTTATTGAATGGTATATATGGGGATATTCCTTGTGTTATTCCAGTTCTTCCAATGAATATATAGGGAGTTTAAATTTTGCAGTATTGAGACACTTGAAAGAAGGTGCTACCATGGTTTATTCAACTCCCAGAGGAGAGATCTTATCCATTAATCATTTCCTTTTTACTGGTTTATTCAAAGTGATATGTGTAGGGTTTACATTCCCAGGTTGTTTGGGAGAAAGAGGGAGATTCAAACCAATGCTTCTTTTCCTTTTCTTCTGGTGTACTTTGATTTATAACCCAGTGACTTACTGGTTTTGGAATAGAAATGGTTGGTTATCTACAGAATTAAATAAACTACCTGTGCTTGATTTTGCTGGTGGTAATTGTATTCACATAGTTAGTGGTTTTACTGCATTGGCTTATAGTTACATTTTAGGTCCTAGAAACAATAAGATCCTTTACAATTATAAAACGTCCAACAACGGATTTATCTTGATAGGATCGTTCTTTGTAAATTTTGGTTGGATAGGTTTCATTGCTGGTTGTGATTATAAGTTTTCCACATATTCCATTTTCATCATGGTCAACACCATCTTATGTTCATGTGTCAGTGGAGTAGTGTGGCTAGCTATTGATTATTATTATTCTTTAACACCATTAGATGATTCGCAAAATCATGTTGATAGAAGAAAAATATCTGTGGTATCTTTATGTTCAGGGATGATGGTAGGATTAGTAGTAATCACTCCAGCAGGTGGTTATATCTCATCACCCACAGGTTTTTGGAAAAGTATTGTTTTCGGAGTTATCGGTGGTATTTCAGGTAATTTAGCTACCAGACTTAAGTTTTTCTTCAATATTGACGATGCTTTTGATATTTTTGCCATTCATGGGGTTACGGGTTGGGTTGGAAGTATTCTTACGGGTATATTTGCAGAACAATCATATGGATCAAAAGGTGGATGGGTTTCAAGAAATTTCCTTCAAATCTGTTACCAATTACTTGGATGTACCATGACTTCAGTTTACGTATTCGTATTAACTATCCTTTTCCTTTACTTAATAGATCTCATCCCAGGATGTCACTTAAGAATCGATAAACAGTTCAACAAACGTATCAGACAATTAAACGATGATAGAGAACTTGATATTGAACTTTCTATGTCTCCTACTAATGTAAGACCTAAAAATGTCGGTAATGAACAAGAAGATTTAGAATTAAACGGAGCTGATCAATATGAATTGAATGGTGAGTATATGATGGATTACATGGAATTCATCAAAGTGATCAAACCTGAAGATTATTTAGATGAGTTATCAGGTAAACCTTCCGATTACGTAACTCATCCTTTCATGTTAGATTTAAGACAATTATCCCAACAAACTCAAGTAAGTCAACCATCTCAAGGAAGAAAGCAAGAGTAAAAGCATTTAATGACGTAATGAATATATATAATAAATAATGTGTCTATAAATTAACTAATGGATCTCATGGTGAATTCAAACATAGCAAAAGTAGCCCCATTAGCAGGAGCAGCTCTAGCAATTGTTGGAACAAAACCTTTGTAAAAACCTTTAATACCATTTTTAACCCAAATATCTTTCACTACTGAAGACACTCCCTTATATTTAGGTGAACTCAAAGAATCTGTTTGTAATTTGGATTTAATCACATCAACAGGATAAATACCAATCCATAAAGTGTATCCTGATAATCCACCAAATAAGCATAATTTCCATGCAGGGATGTCAGTACGTTTAACTTGGAATTGTTTAAACTCTCTGGCAATTAAAGCTTCATATGTGGCAAAATAAATACCTAAACCAACAGATTCTCTGAATAAAGTTGGAGTTAAACCTTTGAAAATACCTGAAGATGAAAAAATTCCATTACTGGAAAGTTTCTTAAAACAATCGATTGGACCATTGAATTCTTTGATGCTACCAGTTTGAGTTTGTAATCTAATTCTTATGTGCTCAATAGGAGAAGCTAAAAATCCATTGGCGAATCCAGCAACTGCACCACAATTGAAAAATTGTAAAGTTGATGGAGTTTTACCATTAAGTTGTTTATCATAATAACGTTTCATAAACTCGTTGACGGAAAATTGAACAGACACACATGCACCGACTCCAATTAAAGGAGTTAAAGTACCTTTATAAAACCCAGCAACACCTTCATTGGCAATTAATTGTTTAATCACATCTCCGACACCTGAATAAGTACCTTCAGCTGATGATTGAAGTCTGACTTTAACAGTATCAAAAGGTTGACCTACTAACACTTGGGCAATACCTCCAACAGTTCCGGCAAATAAATCCTTTACAACTTGAGCATTTGACTCAAGAGGTGGTTCTTCAAGCTCAATAGTCATGGTGAAAAATATGAGTCAAATCTTATCTTCGCAATTTGGTTTCCGCGATCTCATGTGGTGTACTGTAGTGTAACCCCAAAACCTTTTATATTTAACTATTTACAGATCTTCTTTATCTTTATTGGTGGTTTCACGATTACCTGAATTAGCCATGATTAAACCATCAAAAGGATTTATACCATTGTTAGCGAAATATTGACCTGAAGTTTCATTAACTTGCGGACTTATGGTTGGACTTCCCGGTACATGAGGAGGATTCAAACTATGAACAGTGGTTGGTTCCGATAATGGCATTATAGCTTGAGCCGCAGGACCTAATGCTGCCACTAAAGGAGTCCTAACCGGAGGTTGCATAGCTGATAAATTCACCTGCAGACCTAATGCATGTAAATGATGATTTGGATGAGCTGATAATGGAGTAAAGATATTTGAAACACTAGGTATCAGGGCCAAAGGTGGAGGATGAGTTTGTGATGAATCAATAGCTTTATATGATGATGCTTCTAACAATATGGTGACATCTTTGGTTGATTTGGTTAATTTAGCCATGGATGATCTGATATCGTTCAAAATGGGTAAATCCTTCATCAAATTCTTCACAGAAGAAAATGTTTGAATAATGGTTTTCAAGAACATATTGATATCATCCCAAAATAATTTCTTGGTGGTGAAACTAGGATTATTTCTAATAGTGATCAATTTAGTACGTAATTGCTTGATGATGTCCATGGAAGTTACACAAACTGTGGTCAAATCTTTAACTTTAGCTGCTAATGATGAACTTATTTCAGAATTAGAATCCTGTGCACTGGCGATGGCACTTTTACTTATAGCCCGAGTCAATTCCCCGAAAACATCTTGAGCTTTAGTGGATGCAATTTCAATGGATTGGTATAATTGTTCATCAACATCCTCTACATTATCGACATTGACGTTTGATTCTTGGGTACTTGACATGGCACTAGCAGATAATAATGACCCATGCATAGTATTCAAAGATGTGTTGATACTAAGTCCGATCTTCCTATCTTTATTGAGAATCTTATAAGCATTGAAAAGTTCATTAAAAGCTCCAAATATCGTTAAATATAACATTCTTATGAAACAAACGTCAATTTTAGCTGTAAATTGGAGGAAATTGTCTCCTAAAACTGACATGATGGATTTAAATGATGTAATACATGAATGTAAACATTCAGAAATCTTATCTTGACCATTGAGAGTATCTTCTTCTAATTCTAAAGCCTCCACAAGACTATCAATATTGGATTTGGCAGTGTATAATAAAGAAACCATCTTGATAGTAATCTTTTTATCGGAACAGAATCCACTGAATCTCCTTATAGATGAATGCAATTCACTGAAAGCGAACAATACTTTCCTACTTACATGAATCAAATCATCCAGTTTTTTCTTAGGAGAATCAAATTGAGGTAGTTGACTGGCGGAAGGTGTACCGAAATTAGAACTGGATCCATTATTTACGCTTGAAGACCCATTCAAAGTTGCTGATGATCCATTAGTCACTGTTGTGGAAGAAGTAGACGAATTATTAGCATTAGTGAAAGTCGTTGGAGTGGCTGATGATTGAAATGAAGGTAATGGTACATTTGGAGGATTTGATTTTGGTTTTCTATTGTGAGAAATTATTTCATCTACTGGAACTTCAGCTAATGTTGATAATCTTCGGAAATAAGCACCTGACTTATGATCATCTTCTTCGTCATCTAACATTTTATCTATTTCCACCAAAGTATTGGAACGAGAACGCGGTTTGATGGTTGGTGTTAAAGGAGGTGAACTCGTTTGCAGATGAGGATTGGATGATGATGTACTTATAGCTGTGGTGGTAGTGGTGGTACCAACATTTGAGACTTGAGGACTCATGGCAAATGAGGTATCAATAGATGATGAGGAATTTGGTAAATTCAATGGTGATGGAAAATCATTATTATTATAATTGGATTGCTCTTCTTCGGGTTTTTTAATAATCAACCCCATTCTTCTAGCAGCTTTCGAAGCTTTGGTTTTGGTTTCAGAAATGGATTTACTTCGAGATATTTGTGGTGTAGTACTTGCTGAAATGGCAGGTGCTGCTAAAGACTCATAAATCTTAGATTCTAGCACTGAAGAATTCGTTATCAAAAATTGTTTCAACTCTTTAACCCAATCCACCGACGTTTGTTTCTGGAACTTATTGATCATCTCCATTGATGGAAATACCAATGGGTTATTAGCAACTTCTATTAAGTTCAAATAAGGTAATTCTCCTAATACTGGAGGGAGATATTTAAATTTATTATTCTTTAAATTGATCAATTTTAGATTTTGAAGTTTCGACATTCGTGTTTTGGATAAGTAGTTTAACCTGTTATTGGACAAGTCCAAGAATTCCAAGTTGAAATCAGTTAATTCAATAGGAACTTCATTGAAATAATTATCATGTAAATCGAGATATCGTACGTGTTTTGATAACAATTTGATATTCAAAGGTAACTCATCAAGCTGATTATGACTCAAAGATAACTTTTCGATTTCGAAAGGAGGATCAAATGAATTCAAAAACTGATAAATGTATTCGATTATTTCATTCAAAGGTAAATTCAAATTTCTTATATGATTTAACTTGAGGGTTTTCTGTAGGGAAATGGAATCTATTTGATCATTCAAGAAATCAAATACTTTCGTCTTGCCCGTTATCGTGGGTTGGGACATGGTTTTGTGAATGAATTGATGATGGGAAAAGGGATGGAATGAGAACTGATATCGCGATCTCTGCTCGTCGTGAATGAGAATGTAATTGACTACTTCGCGGTGGTAGAGGGGTGAGAGATGGTGAGAGATGGTGGAAGGTGGCCGGAGATTCGGGACAATGCCGAACAATCATCTTACGACATATACCATATCTTTCAATGGATTCTATAAATAGGAAGACACAATAGGTGGTTGACAATCAGTATTACCGAGATACATAGTAACACGAGTTTGATCATACAGTCTAATCATATATTCATATACATTGGAGGCTTATTTGGGGCCATTTAATTTGTGCTGCTTACTGAGTGCCACTTAAACGATCTAGCAACCTCAACCCCTCAATCCCTTGGATAAAGCATCTTTTCTTTCTTCCCAAACAGTTTTACCACTACAACTACAAACCATTTTACTATTTTCCCAAGCTCCAGCACTTCTAGCTATAACACCTACCAAGGAATCTTTAGTGACCTTGTCTTTTAATGCTGATAAAACCACAGATCTACCAATCAAATCACCAACAGTTAATTGAGCATATAAGAATGATTGACCTGAAAAACCTGGAGTCTTAGAAGCACCTAAGGATTCAATGATTGTGGATGATGAAGATGGAGTGGTGACTTCAATTGGTTCCAATGGATAATAAACATCACCTGTGGATAAAGCTCCTTCGGATAAGTTCCCACTGTTTCTAATTGAAGGATAATAAGTACCTTTAGGTAAACCGTTAACTGTCAAATCAATGAAAAGTTCAGTATCATTAACATTGACAATTCTAGCAAGTCCTTTAACTGGAGCATGATAATCTTTTTCATCGAATGATTCTAAGATACATACAGCTGCAGAATTAGGTTGTCCAGTACCTCTAATGATAGCATCTTTACCAGTTTCTTGAATAGTCTTAACTATGGTAGAAGGTGCAACACCACCTTTTGTAGCCACGATATTTTGCTCAAGATCCACATTGATTGAAGATAATTTCAAAGGAGTCAATGCTTTGGTGACAGCCTCTACACATTTTTCACATTCCATAGGAACATTTAAGATGATTTCAAACTCTTTCATAATGATGAATAATCCAAATTCGCAGACCTTTCTAGATCGGACCATAAATCTGGTGTACGGAGGTTTTCGAATTTCGAACAGATAGATATATAATTTAAAGAGTTAAAAAACCAAAATAATACATTGAAATCTAGCAATGCCCAAGAACTAAACAACATAATCACATCTAAATTCTTAAAGAACTCATTCTTCTTTTGTCTTCAATTTTGGTACAAACCCAAGTTGAAGCGTACATATTGATTCTATCAATACTTTCACCACTTTCTCTAATAGCAGCTGGTTCACATCTGAATCCATTTTGTTCGAAGATTTTAATGTACCATGGATATTGAGCAGCTGATCTTAACATAACTCTACCGTTTTTACATAAAGCTTTCTTAACAGCTAAGATTTCATTGACAGCATCTTTACCATTTGGATCAAACCAATCCATATGATCCATAATAATAGCGATAGTCAAACTACTTTCTTTCAATCTATAGAACACATCATTTAAAGTGTCAGTATGAAGTCTTATATGATCCAAAGGACTTTCGCCGGTTTTAGGGTCAACTCTGGTAATATTGTTGTAACCTTTGGCAGTTAAATAATCAGGGCAATTTTGTTTGGAGTATTTACCCATTAAAGTCAAATAATAGAAATAATTATCGGAGGAAATCAAAGATCTGTTGATAACTGGATCTAAAGTATCAACAACATATTTCATAACTGAAGGACCCATCATCTTAGCTTGATTTGGTGGAACTCCTAAAGCTTTCCAAAGGAAAATTGGATTACCAATTAATAAAGTAGCTACAATTGGATTAAACAAATGAGGTTTGATCTTATTATTCCAAATCTCGACTTGTTCTTTCATGGTAGTACATTCACATAATTGTCTGATATGTTTGTTCAATCCACATAAGGTAAAGATATATTTGGCTAATCTCAAAGCCCATCTGGTAGAACCAGTATCGTATAAACCTTGACCTTTTGGATCAAAAGTTTTATTACCTCTTTCAAACCAATATTGTAAGTTATTTGAAGAAATTGATTTGGATAATTTGGTTAACAAGAGTTCTTTGAAGTTATCGATTTTACCTTCACCAAAAAGGGACCAGATTTGATCTTTTGGTAAGTTTCTAAAGGCAGATAATTTTAATTCTAACAAATGTCCTTGACAAGGATTCAAATCAACAGCATGGATCTTTTTAGGTGGATTTGGTAAACAAGCATAATGTAAGATATTATCACCAGCTGAGGTAATAGCCAAAACAGTATCATTTTCATTGAATTTCAATATCTTATGATCTTCTCTTGGATCTTCCCAAGTGAAAGCATAGATATATTGATTTTTGAATTGATTATATTGGGGGTTTAAATCATCAAAATAAACTCTCCAAATCTCTTTTTGATAGTAAATTGATGGATAAGGTAAGTTTTTAGATAAATTATCAATCAAAGCTTCATGACCTTTTGACATATAAGGTTGATCATCAACGGAGATGATACTGGCAGATGAAGTTTTAACTGGACTTAAATATGGAGATTCAGTAACATGAGAATTGATTCTATGGATTAAATTTTCATTCTTAGATTTATGACATCCAACCCAAATATAATAAGGAATCTTTCCCAATTTCTTATTGTAAGTATTGATAGATTTAACTGTACCAAATTTGTATTCCAAATAATTTCTTCTAGCAGAATCCAAAAACACTTTATCAGCTTCAAACCAAATTCTCCAGAAATTTCTATTAATCCAAGAGGAGTTTCTGTTGATTAAACCACCTAAGGTATTAATTCTACCAATAGAAGTATCATTAGATTGAATACCAAAATCTACTGATGCAATGATACCTGATTGACTCAATAAATTGACTGCGTTATCAATAGTATTATAATAAGTTGGAATCATTGATAAACTATAAGAGAAGGTGATCAAGTCAACTTTTTCATAAGGGATTTTAAAACTGGAAGCATCAGCAATTAATACTTCAACATTTGACCAACCGTTATTTTTGAATCTGTTAATGGCAATATCACAAAGACTTGGTGATAAATCAACTAAATAAACTTTTTTAAAGTTAGAAATTGGTAAAACACTATTCATATACTCAATATTAGAACCAGTACCACCACCAATATCAACCCAAACCAAATCTTTTTGTGATTCTAAATGATTAACAGCCAATTTCAAACATTCTTCTCTACCTTTTAATAAATATTCCCTGGTTTTATCATAAATATGAGCTTGATTTTTATAAAACAATTCCAAATTAGATTGTTGTTCAATACCATTCTTCTTCTTGTGGAAAAATGGAACTACAAAACAATTCCAACAGAATAATAATAAAGAACGAGCTGTTTGATTTACTGCAATAGCAGAAATTACTATAATGGAGATAGTTGAATAAACAATAAGTAAGTTATCTTCAACTGAACTAAGTATTTGTTCCATGATTTAAGAAGGAGTGTCGGTGATAAACAAGTTGAATTATACCCCAACAATAATCTCTATTTAGGATATTTTCATTCATTTAAATATAATTTTGACTGCAAAAAATCATGTCGCGTCTAAACCTCTTGCGACAGAACGTGTAGCCTGGAGACATTTTATATTTAAACGTGTTTGAATTGTATTTCTTAAAGATAATTAAGGGGTGCAGGTGGGACATTGTATAAAGTGATAACAGTCTTTTGATTTGAGTGGATTTGTAACTTTCACATGCTTTTTTAACCTGTTGGGTCAACACATGTTGAAAAATTTAGGAGGTTTTATGATTATGGGTGAGGCAGATAATCGGAATTGTGTTAGTTATAGAGGCATTTGAATAAGGACGATGGTATTGTTACAATTGGATGTTCTTTTCAAAGGACATAAGGGTGGTATAGGATGTTTATAGTGGTAGACAAATCGAGTAATGAGTCTTCAGAATAGGCAAATCACAGATTTGGTCCATGCATTCACACGACCGGTTCTCGTGGGTGGATTCGGTTAAAGTTTTCTCAATGCCATTGGTTTTGTATTTGAATTAGATAAGGTTAACAATGGTGTGGATTTGAGAAAACGATTGGGTTTGATTAAACGATTGGGTTTGATCATTAAAAGAAGTGTTGAGTGTTGAATTTCAATGTTGAGAGGTGTTAAAGTGGTGAAGGTTGAAAAAAACTTGTAATTGGGATTATCTTCACGGTTTTAAAAATTCCCCCACGCTTATCGATTCAATCGGAAGTCTCAGCCGCGCAACATTTTGCAGCCATGGGTGGGATGGGATACATAAAGATAGTGTTGGTGGTAATTCTGTGTTTTTATTGAATGTACAGAGAATTGCATGATATTGCTTGGATTTATTTTTTGACTCAATTGATATTTGGGTTCTATAAGTTTTATGATTACATCAGAATTTGTGAATTTCGCAAGATTAATAGATCTATGATTAATACCTTTATCTCCTACTCTCTTATTCAAACTACCTTTGTTCACTTCGACAAACAATAGAACCCTATCTAGATTCTGATTACTCTTTCCATTTCAATTACTTCCGCCTGAATGATCCGTTTTTTTTTTCCCTATAACCTCAACTCTTATTATTACCTTTATGAGATCCATGTCTAAAAATACCTTACACTTACTCTAATTCCAAAGTCCAGACCTTTCCCCAAAACTATAAAAGGGGAAGTAATCCTCCAAGAAACCATTGGCATCATGGATATTATTTTTCAATTACCACCTGAACTTCAAGTTGAAATCATCGATCATTTAGATTTTGCAACCCTCCATCAATTGATGCGAACAAATCTACAACACATAGCTGTTGAATCATTTCATAGAGTCTACAAAAGACCAGAGTTCTCTTCTGGAAGAGAAATAACTATCTATAAAGCCACTACTGGCAACAGAGCAGCGGTCACTTTAATGCTTGAATTGGTTAAAACCGATCTAGATTTACTGTTTGAATTGGTTTTCAAGCCTCACGATACACCCGAGGGACAATTGGTTACAGTCAGATTCACAGAGCCACTAGAAATTCGTCAGTTTGATCAATGGATGGAAAAACACAATCTCAGAATGGAATTCAATATCGAAATCAACATGGAATCATACAGATATGAACCATTTGCCAAATACGTATTGTATGGCGCACCAATTGTTCAAAGATATGCCATACTTAATGACAACATTTACAAGGAAACCATTATTTGTAAGCTTGTCCGATTTCCTTACCCATTGAATCCTGGTCATTGTGAAATTCAATATATTAAAATCTTGAAGAAATTGAAACTAGATGACATGGATCAAGGAATTTGGGAATGGGCAGTCATATCTAATGAAGATAGGAGACACAATCTTGCAAGAACTTTTGATCTTGCCAATGCCATTGAAACCGATGAAATGGTGTATTGTAACATTTCATCTCGTATGAGACGTATCAAATTGATCGAACCCGTTGCCGAACAATGGAGAATATTGGATATCGATGATTCTTGTAAAGAAACCTGGCTAACCAAAGACGGTGAATTCATTCCTACTGTCACTTACCATCATTTCTAGGGTCCTATCCCCCCCAAACAAGGGAAATCTCCGCCGCAAATACTTGTATAATGAATTTTAATATTCGCACAGAAACTCTCGTTTATCACTGATGGTTGCAACGATAAGATCAGGTTCAATCAATCTTTTAAACACTATCATTGGAGCAGGTATCCTTGCCATGCCCTTTGGACTCAAGTCTAATGGGATAGTGTTTGGAAGTTTCTTGATTATTTGGTCTGGTTTAACCTCATCATTTGGATTATACTTACAAACAAAAGTCAGTAAATATACTGATCAGCAAGATGCAGTTTCATTCTTTAGTTTGAGTCAATTAACATATCCCAGTTTATCGGTAGTGTTTGATGCTGCCATTGCCATCAAATGTTTCGGGGTGGGAGTAAGTTATCTTGTCATTATAGGAGATTTAATGCCTCAAATAATGTCAGTATTTCAATTTGAAGGACTTTGGATTTCTAGAAATTTATGGATTTCCGTATTTTTCTTAGGAATTATACCGTTATCTTATTTAAGGAAACTTGACTCATTGAAATATACTAGTATTGTAGCATTAATATCAGTTGTTTATTTGATAGTCATTGTATTGATGCATTTCTTTGATGATAGTCATCAAGGAGTGGAGGTTGATTTTTGGGGTCCTATTTCCATTCAATCAACATTAAAATCATTCCCAATTCTTGTATTTGCTTATACTTGTCATCAAAATATGTTTGCTATTATCAATGAGTTGAGACCTACCGAATCAGGATCAAAAACTCGTCAATCCAATATTATTATTAGAACTGCTATTTCAATAGCGTGTGCTTGTTATCTTACTGTTGGTATTGCAGGATATTTCACTTTCGGAAAGGCTGTCAATGGGAACATTATCTCAATGTATCCTCAATCTATATCCTCAACTATTGGAAGATTATGTATTGTGGTCATGGTAGCCCTTTCTTATCCTTTACAATGTCATCCTTGTAGAGGTTCATTGAATCACGTTATCTTTTTCATACGTGAAAAAGTCAAAAATTATAAACAACCTAATACTGAAACGGAAAATTTAATGAACGATGCAGAAGAGAGCTTTGATGAAAGTTTCATATCGACTACTCCTATGGAAGGATCTCATGATACCGACGGACATGATCCTATTGTTGTCCCTTTAACCTCTAAAGACTTTTATATGATCACCACTGGTATCTTGGTAGCTAGTTATTTACTTGCCATTACCGTGACATCATTAGAACATGTTTTAGCATTTGTTGGTTCAACCGGTTCAACTTCAATTTCATTTATCTTACCAGGGTTATTCGGTTACTTATTAATCATTCCAAAAGATAGAAAACCTACCACTTTAGAATTATTATGTAGATATGGTGGGTTAGCTTTATGTATTTGGGGAGTTTTGGTTATGATTGTATGTTTATCAGCAACCATCTTCCTTGGAGCTACTCATTGAAACATTTATTTAAACTATTTAACAATACATAAATCTCATTTGACCGTTTCAGTAAACTTTTTCATTTGCCTTTTCACTGGTCTTTACATTTCCTTCCTGAGGTTCCGATTTCATGATGATATCCTCTCTTTCCCAACCTTCGGGTTTATGATATTTCAAATCATTAGTTGGTTGTTCATCAGCTAAAGTTAACGCGTAAGGGTTTCTATCAGTCTTTTGATGTAAGTTGGCAAATGTATGATTGACTTCTCTATGTTTAGCTTCATCAGCTCTAATGTTTAAGATCAAATCTTTTATGGTGGAATTTTCATGTAAATTATCATAGTAATGGATTGCGATTGATGGTACTTTCATGTTGTTAAATTTAGGTAAATGGCCCTCATCTAACTCTTTAAGGAAATGGGTGTAAGTACTAACAGCTTCCTCTTCTAAATAACCAACGAATCTATGGCAAAATTTAGGGAAAAATAAATAATTGAAGAAGAATAAGTTACAGAAAACTCCTTGTCCAAGGAAAATGAACATTCTTGTGAACCATGAAGGTTTACCTAAATTGATGAATGTCAAGAGATGAATTCTTTCATTATATGCTTCATCTAAAAGGGTTTCAACCCAAGCTTTGTCACGCTTTAACAATCTTAAACTATGTAAATGTCTTAGAAATGCTGCTGTCATTCCAGGAATTCCTGCCACACTCTCTAAAAATATACATCTAGTTAACCATTTATTCTCTGTCATGATTGACTTCTCATTATAGCCATACTTACCTGGATGTTTATAACCAGTTGCAAAATCAAAACAAGAACGGAAGAATTGTACTGATCCATTAGCAATTTTATCTCCAACCGTCACTGTAGGACGGTGATTGAACTCAATAGCTTTCAATTCATTGGTCTTGAATGAAGGATGTTGGAATAATGGATGGGTGATGAAACTTTGGTCGTATTGTGGTTTACTAACTAATTTGGTTGCAATTCCTAAATTTTTCTTAATCATTTTTTTAATTCTTAATGCTATAAAACATAGAAACGGATCTCTTATATATTGATTTTTGAAACCCTTTGACCAATCAATTCACCTGTAATTTAATTGTAGAAGGTAGTTATCGGATGTGTATAGATAATAAGTCGGAAAGGAAATCACGCATTTGATTTTGATGACCGATGATTCTGAGGTGCACTAAGTTGGTTTGAGAGTTTTAAGATGCTAATAGAGTTCGGACGGTGGAGTATAACATCTACGAACGACCTAGAAGTTTCTACGATCAAAATGGTGAAGTTAGGGTGGTTTCAAGTCAATGGACTTCAAAGTCCTGAGGGTCGTGAATTTTAGGAATGGCTGCAAATTAGTGACAATACGGCAAAAATAGTCTATTGACTATTTCCAAATTTGGTTGCAATTGCTGGTATTTGAGTCAACCTTTGAGTCATTCAATGAATGTACCAAGGTCTGTTGTAAGTTATATGAGAGATGAAGGGTTTATATGGTGTTTTACGTGGCAGTATATTATATGAGCTTGCCCGATTCTCAGTTCGAGCGAGTGAATTTAACTTTCCTCTAATGGATAATAAAAGGCTCAGAAAGTTTAGGATCTCGTATAGCTTGCGATTAAGTAATCGACTACAATTAACCTAGGGTATGATGAACCAAGGACCAAGGGATTCGATAGAGAGACTAAGGTCTGGTACATAGCGAAATCATAGAATTAATGGATCAGATAACTAACAAGGTTGCTGTCACGAAGTCCTGAAAGAACAATCCTAGAAGAATGGTTCTGAGGAGAAGTCCTGAAAAAGAGTCCCGAAAGAATACGTAGATGGAGGTAATGACATTGTTTTTCGTAAATTCCTTGATGCAACATCGCACCTCAACAGCAATATAAACCTATGACTTCATTGACAAATATTGACAAGCGCACTCTGAGACGGCTTGAGTTCCTCTCAAAGTCAATTTGGTCCTTGTCAAAGTCATCCTTTTAGTCCTTAGCTCCGTTGTCCTTAGTTCCGATGTTCTTATGTAAACTTTGAAATAGAGATAATTACTCTCTTGACCATCTGAAGTCTCTTCTAGCTTCCAACCTGGTCTCACAATTAAACTACCTGCTCACTTAATCCCTTCCACCACCATCGCCATCCAAAATCCCCTGTAAACCATCCACCAATTCCTACTGTCCCCCTGGCGAGTCCAGATCGACGACATGTCGTAGGAGTGAAAAATTTGCGACACTTTTTTGGAACGAAAAAAAAAAATACAAATCAACAGATATACACGAATATTTTTTACTGTCCCCCAAGATAACAATTTTACTGGAGAACAAAGAGATACTGGTATTTGTCACGTAATTATTCGATAATCTGTAAGTCAAGCTCATTCCTTCACATCAAACTTTGATCATTTATCTCAGTTTTCCTTTGATACCCCCGAATTTTTTTTTTAACTACACATAAACGATGCCATTCAAATTATCAGGATTTTTATCCGATCCTTTTGCCATATCGACAATTAGTTTTGGTATCATAACTTGGATTGTAGCTATTGCCGGTGCAGCAGCAGCAGATTCTTCAAAATTTCCTCGTTTCACCTGGTGGGGTTTAGTATATGAAATACTTTTAATCTTGGTGATATTATCATTATATTTATATAATATCGTGGAATTATATAAGTTCACTTTAGTCGGTTTATTATCCATTGCTTTCGTTTACACATCAAACTCCACCAATAATTTGATTTATAATTCCAATGATAGTGGGAGTTTATGTTGCGGAGCTGGATGTATGTTATTATCAATGCTCAATTTAACTTTAATCATTTACTTTGGTGGACATCCTGAAAGTCCAACTAATCAATTTATTGATTCATTCTCCTTAAAATCTCATAATCATAATCACCTTAATGATAATAAATATAATAATCATAATTTAGATGATGATGAAGATAATAATGAATTTAAACCATTCCAACAACCTCCAGCAATGACCACTCCTCAACAAGTTCAAAGTCAATCGAATTTAAGACAATCGCAATTAACCACCAACAATCATTTGAAATCAGGTACTCCTTATATGTCATCAAGTCAATTGAATGGTTTGGAAAACTTCTCATCATCAGATGTTAACAACAGAGATTTAACTAACTTCAATAATGATGAAACTCCTACCATGACTTTTAGATATAAGGCTAAAGCTTTGTATTCTTATGATGCGAATCCTGATGATATCAATGAAATCAGTTTTGTTAAAGATGAAATCTTACAAGTTGATGATATTGATGGTAAATGGTGGCAAGCTAAAAGATCAAATGGTCAAATTGGTATTTGTCCAAGTAATTATGTTAAATTATTAGATTGATGTACAGTATGTTGTAAGTTCTCTTTCGTTTGTTATATATATTATACCTAAACCTATTCTATGAGATAATGTCTCTGTTTTCGTTTATATAATCCACAATATTGATGTTGGGATTATCTATAGCTAAGATACGTCTGGGGTCTTCAACAAAGAATTTGGGATCAGTAACACAACTATATGCGATACCACGAGAATTATCAAATACTATCATCCCAAGTTCTGGGTATTGATCTGACGAAGTAACGGGACTGAACTCACCTAATGGAATGATTTCACTGGTAGTGTCGTCAAAACTAACGTATCGAGCTCGGACATTAGGATTGGATAACAATGATATATCAGCGAACATTTGAACTGATCCATTTACTGGTGCTGAACATGACGTTGACCCACTGAATAATCTGGTGTTGGAGGTAGCATCATCAACCTCACCATGCGCTTTGTAACCGATATTAGTGTTCAAGAACTGAGCTCCATTCAATAATGAAGTTCCAGTTTGAACAATAGTATTTATACCTGAGACTGCACCTTCAAGTACTGCTGAAACTCCCGAACCTAAAGCATTACCTAGAGCCATACTGACTCCACTAACTAACATTCCCAAGTTCTGGATTTGGTTCAACACGCTGGAAATAATATTTGAAGGGTTAGCAGACCAATTGATCTCTAATCTCAAAGCACTTAAAGAAGCAATCAGCTGGGAGAAACTATTTGATTTGGAAATCGATGCTGTCCCACCATTTTCACTTGAAAACACATTGGATATTGGATTGCTTAGCATGAGACGTTGACTTTCACCGAATTGAATTTCAATCAAAATATTTCTTCTAACTCTTTGAGGTTCAGCTAATGCTGGTTGATAGAAACTATTGGTTTCTTCGACATACGCAAGAACACCTTGTTGAGGAATTGGAGAATTGAACCAATTGGAGCTTGTAAGATCGGCAAGAGTCTTGAACAGGGGTCCATTATTCAATGTAGGGTTTCTGAAAGCTATTGGATCCTCTCTGGAATGAAGGTTCACCAACTTATGAACCATACTTGGATCTAAGTACGCAGCTAAGACCACTTCTACCAAAAATAATACCAAATAATTCATATTTATAAAAGAGGTCTTCATCGATAAACCTTATATGGTTTCCATATCATAGAATAATTCAGCATATAAACACCAAAAAAGGAAATTCTGTCAAATTAGTAACATAGTCTCATCATATCATTTACATCACACAGAACCCACCAAACTCACTATCATTTTCTACTACTTCACCTATAAACCACGAAAAATCCATCTCAGGTGTACAGCACTATCGTATATTTTAATTTAACCCGATTGGGAAAAGTAATGAACGCGTCTCTCAGATATCTTTTTTTTATAAAAACTGCGAGTTAGTTAAACCTAGAAAGTAACGATGTCAAGTCCTACGAGAAACCCCAGGAAGAGACAGGCTGATGATGACGATGAAATGATCAGTGATCATTCATCTCCTATTCCTTCAAGTCCACCAATTGCTTCATCCCCAGCAATGCCATTTGAAGACGAAGATGAAATCCACGATGAGATTGAAGATTTACCTAGTGATGAAGATGAAGGTGATGATTTAATGGCTAACATGGAAGATGATTATGCTGTAAATCCTGATAAAGATACTTATGATATTTCCAATATCGACGATGATGAGTATGAAGAAATGGATGCTGCCACCAGAAGAAGAATTGATGCTCAATTAGATAAACGTGATGAATTACTCAAAGGTGGTAAAGACGAGATTTTCTTGGATGACGATGATAATGGTGAAGTTAATGAATATGGTTTGCCAGTCCAAAGAAGAAGAACACGTTATGAAGATGGTGAAAACATCGATATGGAAGATTTAGAAATCGATCCTTTCAATGAAGAATTGAGTTTGGAAAGTTTGAGTGATATCAAAGCTAGTAGTATCACCGAATGGATTTTACAACCTGCTGTTTCCAGATCTATTGCTAGAGAGTTGAAGACATTTTTGTTGGAATTTACTGACGATAAAGGTAAATCGGTTTATGGTGCGAGAATTAGATCTTTAGGTGAAATTAACAGTGAATCTTTAGAAGTTTCATATGATCATTTGACTGAATCTAAAGCTATTTTAGCATTGTTCTTAGCCACTTCACCTATGGAAATGTTGAAAATTTTCGATATTGTTGCCATGGAAGCCACTGAATTACATTATCCTAATTATTCTCAAATTCATCAGGAAATCCACGTTAGAATTATAAATTTCCCAAATTTAATCAGTTTAAGAGATTTGAGAGAAACAAATTTGAACAACTTAGTCAAAATCAAAGGTGTGGTTACGAGACGTACAGGTGTTTTCCCTCAATTGAAATATGTTAAATTTGATTGTCTTAAATGTGGAGCTGTTTTGGGTCCATTTATTCAAGAATCTCATACTGAAGTGAAAATTTCTTTCTGTACTAATTGTCAAGGTAGAGGACCTTTAAGAATTAACAGTGATAAGACTTTATATAGAAATTATCAAAGAATCACCTTACAAGAATCACCTGGTTCAGTTCCAGCTGGTAGATTACCAAGACACAGAGAAATCATTTTATTGAGTGACTTAGTGGATGTAGCTAAACCTGGTGAAGAAATCGAAGTTACAGGTATCTATAAGAATAATTATGATGGTACTTTGAATGTTAAGACCGGGTTCCCAGTTTTCGCTACTATCATTGAAGCAAACTCTATTGCTAAAAAAGAATTATCCAATTCAAATGTCAATAGTTTCACAGAAGAAGAAGAAAGAGAATTCAGAAAGTTAAGTCAAACTAAAGGTATTATTGATAAGATCATTCAATCAATGGCTCCTTCTATCTATGGACATAAAGATATCAAAACTGCCGTTGCAGTATCATTATTTGGAGGTGTTCCAAAAGATGTTAATGGTAAACATTCCATTAGAGGTGATATTAATGTGTTATTATTGGGGGATCCTGGTACTGCCAAATCCCAAATTTTAAAATATGTGGAAAAAACTGCCAATAGAGCTGTTTTCGCTACAGGTCAAGGGGCTTCGGCTGTTGGGTTAACAGCTTCCGTCAGAAGAGATCCTTTGACCAGTGAATGGACTTTAGAAGGTGGAGCTTTAGTTTTAGCTGATAAAGGTACTTGTCTTATTGATGAATTCGATAAAATGAATGATCAAGATAGAACATCTATTCATGAAGCTATGGAACAACAAAGTATTTCTATTTCCAAAGCTGGTATTGTTACCACTTTACAAGCCAGATGTGCCATTGTAGCAGCTGCCAATCCAAATGGTGGTAAATATAACAGTACTTTAACATTAACACAAAATGTTGATTTGACTGAACCTATTTTATCACGTTTCGACATTTTATGTGTGGTTAGAGATTTAGTTAACGAAGAACTGGATGAAAGATTAGCTGGGTTTGTTATAGATTCTCATATGAGATCCCATCCAGAAACTTCCGTTGATGGTGATGATATGGAAGATGAACCAGAAACTCCTTCAAGAAGAGATATCAACAAATCAAAGGAACAAGAAATATCTCCTATTGATCAAGAAACTTTAAGTAAGTATATTGCCTATGCTAGAGCTAAGATACATCCAAAGTTACATCAAATGGATATGGATAAAGTTGCTAAAGTTTATGCTGATTTAAGAAGGGAAAGTATTGCTACCGAATCATTCCCTATCACAGTTCGTCACTTAGAAAGTATATTGAGAATTTCTGAAGCTTTTGCTAAAATGAGATTATCAGATTTCGTATCACAGAATGATTTAAATAGAGCTATAAAGGTAAGTATTGATAGTTTTGTTGGAGCTCAAAAGGTTACTGTTCGTAAACAATTACAAAGACTGTTTATGAAATATACCTTACCAAGGAGGTCAAATTAGTTGTATAGTAATGTATGTTTGGGATAACTTACTCTGGATTGTAATTCTGGGACGGTCAATGAAGCTCTAACGACTGTACACTTAAACAATTCTCAAACACTTCTTAAGGATCTTTATCAGATTGTGGAGATGTTTCGCACTTAGCACTTATCACACGCGTTATGCTTGACTTGGATGAGTATGTATAGATCTTTGGGAGATGTATTTCCACCACATGTTGGATATGGCAGACCTATCGGACGTGGTATAGGTATTGAAACATTGATAGATCGTTTGTGTTGATTAAACCTTGGAGAAGTAATACTAACAATTAGAACAATCGCAAATATCAAGGAATGCAAATTCGTTCCTGAAAAGGATGTAGAAGAACTTTGTTCCAAAGCCATTGAAATTCTCATAGAAGAGGGAAATATTCAGCATCTTGATACTCCTATAACTATGTGTGGAGATATACATGGTCAATTACACGATGTATTGACGTTATTCCAAACTGGAGGTCAATGTCCTGACACCAGATATTTATTTTTAGGAGATTTTGTTGATAGAGGGTTTTATTCAGTTGAAACCTTCTTGTTACTTATGGCATTGAAAGTAAGGTACCCAGACAGAATCTACTTAATCAGAGGTAATCATGAAACTAGACAAATAACAACAGTTTACGGGTTTTACGACGAATGTCTCAGAAAATATGGTAGTGTTAATGTTTGGCGATATTGTTGCGAGGTATTTGATTACATCTCATTAGGAGCAGTCATAGGAGGAGATCAAGGGGTATTCTGTATCCATGGAGGTTTAAGTCCCATGATAAACAAAATCGATCAAATAAAAATCATCAATAGAAAGCAAGAAGTACCTCATGAAGGTGCGATGTGCGATTTATTATGGTCAGACCCTGAAGATGTTGCTGGATGGTCAGTACTGCCACGAGGAGCAGGTTACCTTTTCGGAATCAATGAAGTGAAAAAGTTCAATCATACTAATAATATATCGTTAATTGCTCGAGCTCATCAGTTGGTTATGGAAGGTTATAAAGAAATGTTTGATAAACAATTGGTAACTGTTTGGTCAGCACCCAATTATTGTTACAGATGTGGTAATATTGCATCGGTGCTAGCTATTGATGATAATCTTGAACGAGAATATAAAGTATTTGAAGCTGGTACTATGGATATAACAAGTTTACCATCGAAAAAACCTGCCACAGATTATTTTATCTAATCCATTCTAACGATTTCATTCCATTAATGACAAATACCTTATTCATTTCCCCGGCTTACTCACTAATTTCCCGTCAATACGATTATTTTATTTCCCAGTAACGAATATTACTAAATGCGACCGATAAAATTTATCAGCTTACTAAAAACCGAGCCATTATTAATTCCGCATTATATAAGGACAATTGCCCGTTTAAGTTTCAATCGACACAATTATCAATTATCATGAAGATTGCAATCATCTACTATTCAACTTATGGACATGTTGGTAAATTATCAGCTACTGCATTAGAAGCTTTAAAAGAAGCTAATGTTGAAGCTGATCTTTTCCAAGTTCCTGAAACTTTACCTCAAGAGGTTTTAGATAAAATGTATGCTCCACCAAAAGATGATTCTATTCCAATCATCACTGTTGAAGATTTAACCAAATATGATGGATTCTTATTTGGTTTACCAACTCGTTTCGGTAATTTACCTGCTCAATTCAAAAGTTTCTGGGATCAAACCGGTGGTTTATGGGCTAATGGTGCATTAAATGGTAAACCTTTCGGTATTTTTGTTAGTACTGGAACTCCAGGTGGTGGTCAAGAAGCTACTTTCAGAAATTCTTTATCAAGTTTCATCCATCATGGTATGATTTATGTTCCTTTAGGTTATGGTGAAGCTTTCCCATTATTAACTAATTTGGAAGAAGTTCACGGTGGTTCACCATGGGGTGCTGGTGCTTATGCTGGTGCCGATGGTTCAAGACAACCAAGTGAATTAGAATTAAAATTAGTTCAAATTCAAGCTAAAAACTTTGCTTCAGTTGTTGAAAAATTTACTTCAACTAAACCTGCTGAAGTTCCAGCTGAAAAGAAAGTTTCAGAAAAAGTTGCAGAAAAAGAACCAGAAAAAGTTGAACAATCAACTGCTAGACAAGCTCAACAAAAACCTGCTGTCAAAGAAGATGATTCATTTTGTTCAAAATGTATAATTATGTAGTGTTAGTATTACAAAAGAACCCTTTAATAAATAATAGACATGGGATTACATACCGATTTCATTCAATTCTATAAATATCATAAACTTGTATTGTTCAAGAATTAAGATCTTCCAAGCGTAGGTAATTCTACTGTTCTTAATGTTCACATCGATACATCTAAGTTTTCTATCTATATAGATAAAGGAGACTAAGTAAACCTTATTATATGGAGATTTCAAGGAATAATCTTAGATGTCACGATGGGCTGGACATTATATGCTTCTGATATCCTCGGAAGGTCTTTTGTAAAAAGCTATATCTGTCTAATCATGAGTAGGTATCCAAGAGAAATCCTCTAATCGAAGGTATCAAAATCCAAGCTAAAAGCTGGCGGTATGTGATCTGTGTGGGTGTACGGGTGAGGTGATCTGTATCCTGGTTCTCGATTATTGATAAAATTCAATGGTGAACAAGAAGAATTGGAATGATCATGAATCCTGACTTCTAAACCGTTTAATGATTTGAATTTGATAGAACTGATGTTGGAAGAAATCTTGAAATACGCGACTGCGATTCTACTACTTATGATACGACCCCCATTAGATGAATTGAACTTACAGTTCGTCAAACGAGCTAAGACCGATGGAGTTGTTAAGGTGAGAGGTTTGGGATTGAATGAGGATTTCTTTGGGCGAGCTGACGATTTGAGTGGAGCTGAAACTGAGAAGATTGAACTAGATAATAATATGGAGATAATTGATGATAGTGAGGAAGAGATTCCTTTACTTTCTAGTGAATTGACACAAAGGACTTCTAATTCCACGCCGTTGACAAGTCAGAAACTGAGTCAAACGCCAGTTATCCAAAAGCCAGATATTAAGGATAAACGTGAGAAAAAGGTCAAACTAGATCCAGTGAAAGAAGTAAACACTCCTAAGAAAGTGAATAAAGAAAAGACTTCTTCCAAAAGAAGTTCCAGTCCTGATGTGAACATCAACCATACTGTTCCATCATCTGAACTATCGGAGATCAATTCCCTCCAAAGCAACAGTCCCGAAGACAATATCCCTCAAGACAATAATCCTCAAGACATCAATTCTTCAGACAATAATCCTCAAACTGATAATTCTCAGATCCAAAAGACCACACTACTAAAACCCAAAATAAGAGGTAAGAAACTATCTGACATCCTTCAGACCAACGTCAGAGTAGGCTTGAACAAGAAATATCGTATAGAGTCCCTACACAAACTCAAAAAACCTTTAAATAGACCCTAATGATGATAACGCGTAATGATATATATTTATGTACCAGCATATACTCTACACCCTTTAACTATCTATCCTCGTCGACTCTCCTCCAACATCCCCCAACAAATGCTACTCTATGTGTGACCACCTTCAAGATTGTGAAGGATTTGACTCGGTTTCAGCAACTTCTTCTTGTTCTTCTTCCGGTTGTTGATCTTTTAAACCATTATAAAAGTTACTCCATAAATTACTGACGTTCTCGAAATCCTTGGAAACTTGAATACTGTTGTTTAAGGATCTGTTCAAGGTTTGCATGTTCAACACAATTGAACTGATAGTACTAGATATCTCTTGTACCAACAAGTCTCTATGTTTTTCGAAATCACCCATTGTGCGATTATTTTTGAGAGGTAGAGTTTAGGTATCACCAAGGTATCGATCCATGAAATCTTGGAATCAAACACAATTGACCGAATTTTGGGTTTGCTAGCTTCTAACCTTTAGATATTTGGGGTCCTTTACATGAATCTTCTCATACTGTCACTTTTTCCGAAATCCTTCTCTCCCATCACTACCCTTTATTTCTCACACTAAAAAATTTTTCTTCATCGTTATTCAGGATAAATTGACTGATAGTAAAGGACCTACTATTATTGGACTCTCATCCTGGTATATGAAGATGATTAAAGGTGTACTAGTTGATTCGTTTGGATTAATGTCACTAGCAATCAAACATTTTAAACTAGAAGGGACTGGCTAGTTTGGCTTCTCGAACTGACCATTTTAACTGGCGATACATTACTTTCCTGTAAAATATGAACTCTAGAGCATTCCATTAAACCACTAGATTCGTTTCGAATCCACTGGGAATGTAAGAACATGATCGTCATCACAGACTCCTGGTAAAATTTAAGCTAATAGCCGAATTCCCTCATTTCCTTATGATACCCATAGGGTGACTTTACTGAAGACATTCAATTCACCCCTTAATGACATAATCTCAGCTTGCTTAGTGAATAGACATACCAAGAAGATGAATAATCTGTTTACCAGGTTCATAATAGAAGATTTTACACGTGTATTGTGTCAAGAGGTGTTTTCTTAGCATCTGTAAGTGCTCGCGTCAGATGGTTAGTGTCAGATGCTAACGTCAGATGTTAAATATGGCTTAAAGAGTTAGTAAGATGAAGTTATTCCATCCACTAGTAATTAAATCCCACAATATGTCCTACGTTATCCCTATTCCCAATTCCCATCAATTCCTTTCTCCTTTCCCTTCCTTTCATTACATATCTCACATTTCCTTTCCCTCGCATCCCTTTCCCTTTCCCTTCCCATCTCTTTCCCTCAAATCCTTCCCTGTCTTCAATCACTCTTCAAGTTATTCTCAGTAAGAAACTCCTATAATACATATATTACAAAATTTTATTTACTTAAACAAAAACTCATAGCGGTTGGGCATTTTTTATTTGAATTCTTACAACGTTTAACATAATCCTTCTTCTCATCAAACTTCTTGAAATTATTCGAATGAGGCAATTCACTTGATGAAGTTGAAGAATTCGAAGATGTTGAACTAATAGATTTCTTCTTGTTAAGGAACATGTTGTTTTCTAATTTTTTTTCAGTAATTTTTCTAAATATTTTTGGTTAATACCAGTAAATTTGTTAATCTTTTTCCAAAGGTTGAATAATCAGTTAAATCAGTTATTAAATGATCTTTTAAATGAATGTATTTTGTTCAAAAGATTTAATAATCCATAATCAAATACTTAATCAAAAATTAAAGGGTTTTCAAGATAAAAAATTGGTAAGCGAAAAAAGTTTCACTTAATATAAAATTTAAAAAGTTATTTCAGTAACTATTTGGAGTAGTTTATTACCACTGTAATACAAATTACAAAGGATTTGTTTTAAAATTAATAAAATTTATAAAATAGGAAAATTAACAATAATTTTTTTCAAAAGTGAAAATGATGGGAATATAAATATTTTTTTTTAACTACTGATGAATGTCGCGGTTTCTTTTGGGTAGGAAAAAAAATTTCCTCTATGGTGACTCGCTGAAAATTTTACCTGCCCGCTAAAAAAGACTGTCTGTCGCAGTAAAATCAAATTCCGCACTACCATATTTAATACCAATTTAGGCAGTTATAAACTGATGACTGAATAATAGTAAAATCCCCCGACATTTGACTTATTGTACCCCTGTACACCGAGATTTAACATTTAACTCTAAATACAACTACGTCATTATTGATTTTATAACTGGGGTTACCAGCATTTTTCTTATTTAGGAAATATGAAAATATTGAGTTCAATCGATCTTATCTTACTTAAACAATACAAACATTGGTAGGCTCAATATAGGCTTAATTGTTAGAGGTTTGTTAATAGAATGAGGGATTTAATTGCAGAATGAAAAATGGTGTTGTGAGACATTTTCCAATGAAAATCTCACGAGACATTCTGAGTGATTTATTTTTATTCGTCTCGTACTCTGTCGTCATGGGGTGTCGGGCGTAATGTCTCTACCCCATCGCTAGACATTTGTGACAGTTTTAAATTCCAACCCTAACCCTAAGTGCTTTTTTTTTACTTTACGTTTTAATATCCACTGCTTATACGGTGCTATTAATAGAGGTTTATGGACTACTGGGCGGCCTTCGGTGTTTGTTGGTGGGGTTGGGTATTTTTAGATTCTATTTTTGATAACTAAATGACTGATCATTGGTTGGGTTTAAAATGACTTCTGATAAACTTGTTTGCTTATTTACCTACTTCTTTCCTTTTTCTTATTGATGTTTTCAACTATTGTTTAAAAATTTCATGTGGTTATCATTACTCTTTTAGTAATTAAAATCAAGCTTAAAAGTCGCTCTCTATAGCAACAGCAACAATAATGACCATTACAACTCATCGATTTTTCTTTTCTATAAACCCTATTACTGTTCTTGGTCATATTTGTCAGTTGTAATTGGTTTGGGGGGATGTTATTCCAATTCCCTTTCTTGGAATTGTAGCTAACTTGGTAGACCCTTTGTTCCTGCATGAAACATATCTCGACCTACAGAGGCTAGTCCGATTAAAATAAGGGGTAGGTTAATATGACTTAATGAATTTATTGTTAATGGGAGTTGCTGTGGTGAAGGAGTGTTGGGTTGGTTGGTAGTAGTTAGAGGTTAAATTTTGTCATTTGGGTTCTGGTTTTTGTGAGCCAGGTTGGCATTTCATCTATGCGTTTCAGATTCATACCCCTGATATTTCAGTAGTGGCTGTAGTATTTCAGAACGCTTAATGAGTGATATCCCCGTGCTGTGATGTTTTGGTGTGCTACGTAGAATGCATGACATGATGATGTTGCTAGTGATGAGGTTGCTAGTGATGAGGTTTCTAACAAGAAGGTTTCTAACGAGAAGGTTTCTAACGAGAAGGTTTCTAATGGGATGAAGTTTAAAGAGAGGAATATGAGTTGAAATGTTGGCAATGATTAACATAGAAGTTTACAGTGGTCATTTGTTGAGTTCTTTCAAGGTGTTATTACAATTTGCTGTCACATGGTATCTCTGGTATTCGAACAAGTGTTGACATCTAAGGTTCTCTTGTGGTGGATATAATGACCTTATGACAACTTGAGGTAAACACAATAACAATTTTGAGCTTAAAATGACAAAATTGAAAGAAGGGACTCCTTAAAAATCTATCCTCGTGCTACTGTGCTACCAGACTCTCTCTTTCATCTTATTTTTCTCCTATACACCTGTGAAGCGAAGAGTTCTTAATCTCAGAAGTCCTCCTTCCACATCAAGTAAAAGCTCAGTGATGCCACTACCCCCAAGTCCCTCAACCCACTCTCTCACTCACATTTTTCTACCATACCACGCTCACAATATACCATCCAAATCTTTCGCTTTCTCTATGGCTGCGAAACGGCTGCAAAAAATCTGAAACATTCATCAAACTCCGAAAAGTCACCATAGTGGTTACATCCACCAAATTCTTCAAGAGGCTTCATAGAATCAGATCGTAGAGAATAAAATATCTATTCACTTACCCAATCATCAAATTCATAAATTAATGGTTTATATTGGAAGTTCACATCAATTCCTTGATCTAATTGTTCCCCAATTGATCTGAACATTCCGATTACATTGACCAACCCTTTTAAAAACCCATAATCTTTTGAACTCTTACTGGTGTAATTTAATAAAGTTTTGCTGAAATCTATCAATTTGATAGTTATTTTGAAAGGATCATTATCATCATCTATATTTACAGTTTGTTTTTGTTTTTTAAATTTTTCGTCATCAAAATCATTGCCATTTCCATTGACTTGCCCATTCTCATGTTCCTTGATTAAGCCACCTTCATATATTATAAGAATAGAACAACCATATAATCTATAGTTCTCTAAATTTTCCATTACTTCGTATAACTTCTCTAATTCCTTTACGATGACTTTAATCTTATGCAGTATTTGTTGGACACTATCTTGAGGGTCCAAGAACTTGAATAAATCATTCAAAAATTGTTGTTCATTCAATTTTCTTCCATAATATTTATCTAAAATTACTTGACTGTTATTTTGCCAAAGTTGCAATCCACATAATCTTACACCTAATTGTCTACTTGTACTTTTCTTACATTTGATTTGTTGCCGTTTGATCTTTTCCGATGAACTGTTAATGCCGTATTGTCTTGTTCCCATCTTGAGATCAATTATAAAAGGTTTCTGATAGAAATTAGTTAAATCTTCCATCACCAAATACTCCAAACTTTCATCATCATCGTTAATCTCTCGATGTTCTTGAGGTGTTATTTCCTTATCTGACATGGTTTCGGAGTCAGCTTCGGGTACAATCATTTGAATTAATCCAAAATATTGAGGCACGAATGGCTTCAATTGACTATACTCACTATCTATTAAATCGTATATTTTATTTTCTTGGTTCCTTTTGATCAAATACTTTCCAAATTTATATATAATTGTATGTCCCCCTATCTTATTGAACTTATGAATGGTTACGTCCCCTAAAGGTATTCCCTTCACGGTGGAATCGATGATTTTACCCTTCAATGTTTTGATATAGGGCATCTTAAAACGTGGAAATTTTTTGCGCATCGGATGAAGTTATTGATATCACTACTATATTTAATCAAAATTTCAATTTGTTTTGATGTGGCCTCCAATATAACCAAAAGTTGCTTCCTAGTGCTTTGTAGGAATGAAGAACTTTATGAGATATTAGAAACCATACAAAATGTTCAAGATCGTTTTAATAATAGGTATAGTTATCCATATGTATTCTTGAATGATAAACCATTTACTGATAAATTCACCAATAAAGTGACAAGCTATCTATCATCACTAGGTGTTGATGTAGAATTTGGTACCATACCGGAAGATCAATGGTCAATTCCTAGTTGGATAGACGAAAATCATGTCCAACAAAATATGCAGGTCATGTTAGATAAAGATGTTGTATATGCAGATTCTTGGAGTTACAGACATATGTGTAGATGGTACACAGGGTTCTTTTATAAACATCCTCTTCTAGAGAAATATGAATATTATTGGAGGTTAGAACCTGGAGTTCGACTTTTGTGTGATGTAGAATATGATGTATTCCTAGAGATGTATAACAAAAACAAGAAATATGCATTCACTTTAACATTATTTGAATATTCCGATACTATACCTTCATTATGGACCCATTTCAAAGCATTCAAAGACTCTCATCAGTATAATGGACAATTACTCGATCTTATTGAAGATGGTGATAATTATAATCTTTGTCACTTCTGGTCAAATTTCGAAATCGCCAGTTTGGATATATTCCAATCTGCAGAATATGAAGAATTCTTTAGGTTCATGGACCAAACTGGTGGGTTTTTCTACGAAAGATGGGGCGATGCTCCCTTACATACACTTTTCATTGCATTATATTTGAATAAAGAAGATTTATGGTATTTAAATGATTTTGGATATTATCATGCCCCATACTTGCAATGTCCTCCTGATGATATCGGTCAAAGATGTATTTGTGATCAAGATTATGATTTCACTTATTCATTCCAGAGTTGTACCTCGCATTTCTTAAAAATTATAGAGTCAAAATAATGATTTATGAATTCACCTAATTTATTAACACGTCAAACTCTTCCAGTCCTTCTAGGTCATCTTGATTCAATACTCTTTTCAACACTTCTTTCTTACTACTTTCTTGGACTTTACCATCCAAAAGCAACTCATCCAATACATAATAAGCTTTTTCGAATCCAAAGATTATATCCAACTCACTGACTTTTCCATAAGCTTTATCCATTTGTTCCACATACCTATGGATTATTTCCAATCCCATTAATTCATTATCATCATTATCAATACCAATCACAAAGAACAACGAGGCGTATCTTCTATAAATAATCTTCATGTCTTGATATTCAACAATATTACACATTTTAGCTCTTCTTGAAAGAATTAAAGTAGTTAAATCTTTAGTTATTTTGGATTTGGTTTTTTGTGTGGTGGTGGTATACCATTTAGTCAATCGGACCTTCCCTTGACGGGAGATCAATATCAAGAACTTAATGGACATGATTGTTTTTCGCGATTATCTGGATGCGAAATTTGGATGCAAAAGAATGGGTGTTTGGATGCAAAAGAGTTCAAATTTACAAGCATAAGACTAGAGGACAGACACAAGGGGGTGGACAAGCGTAAACCTTTATCAGTCATATTCCAGGATCGTTCATGTTAACTATAAAAAAAATGATATATACACTAAAAAGCATCTTTGGTTAAATGAGTAGTACTGGTTAAGAAACTCAATTGATCTTCAATTTCCTTACATAAGTCATCTTTCTCAACATCATTGAAGATAGCTACCTTGACCTTCAAATCACAAAGGAAATATTTCATATTTTGCCATTGAACTTTTTCGAAATCATAACCAATTGATAATTTAATAGCATTACCATAAAGTCTTAATCGTTCACCATTATCCATCAACTTACCCTTGACTTTAAGATCCCATGGATTCAATTTAGGGAAATTTGAATGAATGAATAATAAATCATCATGTTTTTGATCTTCAGGTAATTTTTCATTTCTATAATCATGAACAGGATTATATTGGCCCATACCTGTACCAACAAAGTTCAAATTCAGATTGAAGTATCCCATAGCTTTCAAAAATTTCTTTACTTGATAGAATTTACAATTCAAGGCCACACAACTTGCTAAGAACGTTTCTTTATCACCTTCACCATCACTTCCTTGAGAAAATAACGGATAATAATGAGAAGGCCCAAATAAGTTATAATATAATGCTAAAATAAGAACATTCAAATGAGTCTTTTTGTTAATCATTAATTGACCTGATTCATTAGTTGGATCTGGTATAGCTCCTTTATATTGATGGAAAGGTATATCTTGAGGTTTAAATTTGGAGTAATCAATATTTTCATAATCATTAATCAATTCATTATAACGAGGTAAGAATTTTGTCTTATCAATGTTGATACCTGCAATATCATAATAAGTTGGAGAAGTAGCTCTTTTCCAAAAATCGGGCCATACTATGAGTCCATGACTCGAAAATGGCTCAGATTCAAATAAGCTATCAGGATTTTGTGTGGGAGTATTATCACTATCTAAAAATAAGATTTTCTCAAATGATGATAATAATAATGCTAATACTTTATATTGATACCCTTTGAATTCAAACTTCTTAAACACATTATCTCCTTCGGAATATTGGTTTAAGATGTGTGGCATTACCAAACATTTGGCATTATATTGAGGGAACACTTTAAAACATAAATTTGATTCAAATTCATCTAATGTTGGAATTAAAACTTCAATGGGAGTTTTTGAACCTAAATCTCTAATATGTTTGATTGATAATAATGTCAAAAAATTAAATTTCCCACCCCCAACAAAAACGATCCCATTCTTTCTATAAAAATTCTTAGGGGCCAGTTTTGGAATATTCTTTATTATATTACTATGAGACTTTTTCATAGCCTTTAATTCATCATCATCAAGTTGTAAAAATGATGATAAGTATGCTTCATTGAAAACAATTCTATTATCTTCACTATCATCATCTTTGGAATTATATCTAGCATGATAAATTCTTTCATCACTATGATAAGTACTTAAATCTACCACACTAGGTTTATTTTCATAGAAGTTATCGAATATTTTCTCGAAAAATTCCAACTTATCAGCAGAATATGATTCAGTATATTGACTTATCAATGATAATTGCTTATCTAAAGGTAAATTATCAAAATTATTAATATTTAAATTCATTTCTGTTTGTTTAGCAGCATTTGTTTCCAGAAATGGTGTAGTTTTCTTGTTATAAAATTTGAAAAATGATGAGGAATTGATAACTGAACTTTCAATCTCTACTTCAAACTCATTGTATTTCAATACATTGTATAGTATGAGGATACATCCACTAAGAATGATCGATACTAGTAGAATTCTTGATCTACGTCTGAGCATCGTTGATTTAAGGAATCGCGGTACGTCTCCAACTTTTCACTTTTTCGCATTGGTGTCTGAAAACATGCAACGAGGGGGGCCTCCCAGGGCAACGGGCAAGGAAAGTTTTTCACTTTGGAAATTATAAACTTTGGGGTTATTCAATACTATTGAATTGATACCTCACGTTTTAAAATGATTTTATTTAATGGAAGAAATTCAAAGTCACGTGACGTCGCATCTGACTTGAAAGATCTCAGTTTTTGAGATGCCATCTCAAAGAATTTTTATAACCATGTCTGATGATGAATTCGATATCACCAAGTCTTTGGCCTTAAATGGTGATTCAGACTCTGAATACGATTCCTCAGACTCAGATAATGAAGTCCAAGATATTATTTCCGACAATGAAGAAGAGAAAATCGAACAACCTAAGAAGAAACAAAAGCTTGATACCTCATTCCCTAGTTTAGAACTCGATGATGATAAGGATGCCAAAAATGAAGATCAAACCATTGCCAGTTATTTTACCACAAACAATCCTAACGCTAAGAAAGCCAAAGCAGGAACATTTGCCAGTTTTGGATTTTCTAAAGTGATTCTTCTGAATATTCACAAGAAAGGTTTCAAACAACCTACACCAATTCAACGTAAAACCATACCTTTAATTTTGGATAATATCGATGTTGTTGGTATGGCACGTACGGGGTCAGGTAAAACTGCAGCTTTCACATTACCAATGATTGAAAAGCTTCGAGCCCATCAAGCTAAATCTGGTGTTAGATCTATTATCTTATCACCTTCAAGAGAATTGGCTTTACAAACTTATAAACAAGTTAAAGAATTCAGTAACAAAACCGATTTAAGAGTGGTGTTAGTGGTAGGTGGTGATTCTTTAGATGATCAATTTGCTTCTATGATGGGAAATCCTGATATTGTCATTGCTACACCTGGTAGATTTATGCATTTGAAAATTGAAATGGATCTCAACTTATCCAGTGTTGAATATATCGTGTTCGATGAAGCTGATAGATTATTCGAATTGGGTTTTGCTGAACAATTAAATGAATTGATTGCTTCATTACCAACATCTCGTCAAACTTTATTATTCCTGGCTACTTTACCAAAGTCTTTAGTTGAATTTGCCAAAGCTGGTTTAAGTAACCCTACTTTAGTAAGGTTAGATGCTGAATCCAAAGTAAGTGATCAATTAGAAATGGCATTTATTACTACCAAAAGAACTGAACGTGAAGCTAATCTTTTATATCTTTTACAAGAAGTGATTAAAATGCCATTACCAGATGATGAACAATTAAAGAAATATAATGCTTTGACTAATAGACAATTTAGTGATGATGAAAGTGATGATGAAGAAGCTGATAATAAAAAGAAGAGGAAATTCAAGAAAGAAAGATTACCCCCAGCTAATGTTTTACCTTCAAAATATTCAACCATTGTGTTCGTTCCTACCAAACATCATGTTGAATATATTTCAGTGTTATTAAAAGATTATGGGTATTTAATTTCATATATTTATGGTACATTAGATCAAACTGCTAGAAAACAACAATTATATCAATTCAGATCAGGGTTGACTAGTATTTTAGTGGTTACTGATGTGGCTGCTAGAGGTATTGATATTCCTATTTTAGCCAATGTTATTAATTTCACTTTACCTTCATCATCCAAAATTTTCATTCATAGAGTTGGTAGAACTGCCAGAGCTGGTAATAAAGGTTGGGCTTATTCTATTGTTAATGAGAAAGAGTTACCTTATTTACTTGATTTGGAATTATTCTTAGGTAAGAAATTATTAACCACATCTATTTATGAACATCAATGTGAATATTTAAAGAAACAAGGTAAGGAAGAACTTCCTGTTCTGTACACCAAGAGATTGGTAATTGGATCATCACCAAGAAATGAATTAGAACCTTATCAAGAGATTTATGAAGGATTAATGAAGAACAATTATGATTTACGTACTAATCGTGATGTCGCAGCCAAGGGGGAGAAATTATTCTATAGAACAAGACAACCAGCATCAGCAGAAAGTGTCAAGAGATCTAAAGAATTGATTGAAACAGGTAATTGGGATGAACAGCATGTTTTATTTGGAGCCAATGAAGAAAAGGAAAAGCAAAAATTCTTAGATAAACTTCATAACAGGTACAGTAAAGAAACAGTATTTGAATTCAATTCCCGTGGTAAAGATCGTGATGAAGATTCATTTGTGGAATTCATGCATAAACGTCGTAGACAATTGGCACCTATTCAAAGAAAAGCTAAAGAACGTAAACAATTAATTGAAATGGAAAAATTAGCTGGTTTAAGTCATAGTTTAGAAAATGAATTGTTTAATAATGATGATACTCCTGATGTTGCTGAAGAAGATTTGAAACATTTCGAAGATGGTGATAAAGTATTAACCACCAAAAGTTATAAAGATCCTAATTTCTACATGAGTCATTATGCCCCAAGTTCTGATATTCAAGATAAACAATTGGCTATTAACTCATCCTTTGCTAACAATGCTGCGAATGCGGCTTTTGATCTTGATAACGATGATAAGATGCAAGTGAATTCCCAAGTTTATAAATGGGACTCTAAGAAAGGTAATTATGTTAATTCTAGATCCACTGATAAGAAATATATCATCAGTGAATCAGGTCAACGTATTCCTGCTACTTTCAAATCAGGTAGATTTGATGAATGGAAGAAATCCAATCCTAATGTCAATAATGCTGAATTCAATGGAGGTTCTCCAAGTATGATCAACGGGAAATTCAAACATAAACAATCTAAAGCTCCCAGATTACCTGATAAGTTCAGAGATGATTTCCATAAACAAAAGAAGAGAGTTGAAACTGCCATTGAATCTGGTAAGAGAGTCAAAGGATATAATAAACCTGGTCAACAACAAGAACTTAAATCCACTGAACAAATCAGAAAACAAAGAAAACTTAAAGAAAAGAGAAGAGCTAAGAATGGAAGACCTGCAAAGAGATATTAAACTACCACCCTTAATACTGAACGACGTTAAATGTATATTTTACTTTTTATTCTTTTTAAAAACAAAACCAGATAAACCAAGAGGATGGGTTTATCTTCTGCCACCTCTACCATTTCCATTATATGGATGATATCCACCACCTCCTCTTCCGTATCCACCTCTTCCATAACCACCTCTGCTACCTCTTGGGCCACTTGGTGCACCTGCGGGACCTGAAGGTGGTCCATTACGTGGACCTCTATCATCACGTCTGTATCCACTATTATATCCCCCACGATAATTACCTCTTCCACGACCTCTTCCTCTACCACCACCATAACGACCATAATCATCGTTATAACTTCTTGGAGGTGGATGAGATGGTGGAGGTAATGGAGCTCTAGGTTTATCTTCAGATTCACCATCTTCATTAAGTTGTTGAGGATTCAAAGGTTGACCAGGTTCTTCACCACCATCTACTTGAGAAGCATCACCACCTCCTTGTTGATATTGTTGATAATATTGTTGCCAAGCAGTGATTTGTTCAGGAGTCATTTGAGCTTGCATTTGTTGCATTTGTTGCATGTATGCCATCATTTGTTGTTGTTGCTGTTGTTGTTGTTGTAATAATTGTTGAGTTTGTTGATGTTGATTTCTTGGTTCGGCTCTTTTAACTTCCATAGGTTTACCATTCATTGATAAATATTTGTTAACACAAACTTTATCAACAGCTTCTGGTGAATCATAAGTAATGAAACCAAATCCTCTTGATCTACCAGTATCTTTATCAATCATCAATTGACAATCGACGATATGACCGAATTGAGAGAAGAATTCATTAAAATCTCTTTCATTAACCAACGGATCAATACCTCCAACAAAAATCTTTCCTACTTTATCTTGTTCATCTCTAGCAATAGCTCTTTTTGGATCAATTAACTTTCCATCTAAGATATGATCTTGTTTCAAAACTTCATCAACAGCTCTTGGGTCAGCGAAGGTTAAGAATCCAAAACCTCTTGATCTACCACTAGCAGAATCTCTCATGATAGTATGATCAATGATTTCACCATATTTACCAAAGTAATCGATTAAATTTTGTTCAGTAGTATCCCAGTTAAGACCACCAATGAACATTTTACCACTACTTTTACCCATTTGAGATGGAGGTAAAGCTTGTGGCATTGGTGGCATACCTGGAAGATTGGGCATTGGTGGCATTCCTGGGATATTAGGCATTGGTGGCATTCCTGGGAATGTTGGAGCTGAAGTGGTTGGTGTAACATTAGATTCTGTACTAACTTCAGGGGCTTTGGTTGGTTCCGTAGTCTCGCCAGTTACTTCAGTAGTTGATGGAACAGTGGAAGGTTGTTGTTCATCTGAAGTAGTAGATTTTTCTTCAACTTTTTCTTCTTTGGTCAGAGTTTCTTCTTTTACTTCAGGTTCGTCACCATAAATGTCCTCGAAAAGGGCTTCATCATCATCGAATGAAGACATATTGTACTATCTAACTAAAGCAATACAGGATAGTTATTTATTAGTTATTTATATAACTTAAACACCTATAAAAACACAAAAAAAAAATTGGAAAATTTGGGGAAAATATCAAGGTATGTACAAATGAATGTTTGGTTACCTTATTGAACGTATTACCGTTAACTAAAAACCCACTAAACCGATTGATTGATCAATAAAATCTGAAACTTGAAAAGCTTTCGACGATTTTTTTCGGTGCGACTGAGAGTTTAAGTGACGAGACGAATGAAGCTGGCTAAAGATAGGGACAATTGTAGGAAGTAAAGAGAACTGGTGTGAAAGATTGTGAACCACTCAAGAGTTACGAGAGGTATGAGAGCTTCTAGGGTTATAGGATCTATAAGAAGCTATGAGAAGGCAGTGCATCTGGTGATAAGACACTAGACATCGGGTTTATAACCAGATCATCGCATAGAATCAGATATCATAGAAAATCTCCATCACAAAAAATCACTTTCTGTCTACTCTACAGCCATTGACTATTGTCCGATTCCTCTTCCTCGAATTGCCATATCCAGGTATCCTTCTTCAAGTCCTCACCTCCATTTCCCTGATCACAATACCTCTACATCTCATGTCTCATCTCTTCGCAGTTTTTTCATCATGAAGGATTACTTGATATATTTTGCCCAAGCATACCCTAACTTCAGAAGAGCTGAATTAGAGTCTTTGGCTCATTACCATGGAATAAATATCGACCTTCTGCATCATAGTGAAACCTCGCCTTTCCTTATAGTACAACTCGAAAATGACGAACAAGCCAGAAAGATCATGGAAAGATCTGTCTTAAGTAGAGGAATCTACGAATTATGGGGTCAAGGAAATACCTTGGAGGAGTTACATCAAAGCGTAAAGGATAATGACAATGGGAAGTTCGAATTGTACAACAAATCTTCATTCAAATTTGATTTCATTGGTTATATGGGAAGAAGAAATAATAAGCAGAAGTTTGAAATGATAGAGTCTTTCCAATTCTTAGCCTTTGAAGGACCCATCAGAATGAAAAACCCTGATGAAGTGTACACAATTTTAGAAGAGTATGAAGTTATGGACAGAGAAAAGGCTACCACGCCTATAAAAATGTGGTTTGGAAGAGAAATTCAATTGAGCGCCAGATGTAATAATGTCTTAGATAAGTACGATTTAAAGTCCAGAAAGTATATTGGTACCACCTCATTTGATGCAGAGTTAGCTTTAGTTACCTGTAATATTGCTGAAGTTGGCCCTAAAAAGATAGTGTATGATCCATTCACAGGAACAGGTTCATTTTTGGTAGCGGCCTCAAATTATGGAGGTTTAACTATTGGTTCAGATATAGATGTCAGGATACTAAGAGGTAAAGGAGATGTGAATATCAAACTGAACTTCAAACAGTATGGAACCACCACCGAGTTCTTGGATATCTTAACTATGGATTTTACTAATAACGCATTCCGTCAAGATTTCTTCATTGACACTATAGTTTGTGATCCTCCATATGGTGTTAGAGAAGGATTGAAAGTCTGTGGAGCTAAGAATGAAGAGAAAGCTGCTGGTAGAGAAAATGTCGTCATCAATGGTGAAAAGGCTCATTTAAGAAGAGATTTCATTCAACCAAAGAAACCTTATGAATTATCAAATTTATTAGATGATTTATTGAAGTTTTCAGCTTCAAGATTACCTGTGAATGGAAGATTGGCTTTCTGGATGCCAACAGCCAACGATGATTTTGAAATCAATCAAATACCTCAACATGAGAACTTGGAATTGTTATATAACTTGGAACAAGAATTCAATAAATGGTCTAGAAGATTACTTGTTTACGTGAAAAGAGATGAAGATTATAAAGGGGTTACCAAAAACGGTTTAAAAGAGAATAACATTAAGAACTTCCGTGATAGATATTTCAGAGGGTTTAGTGAAAAAAGTAAATAGTCAAGCATCTCTATAATTTATAACTACCACCATTGGCAACTTCAGCCACTTTCAAATTCATTCTCACTGACGCTTCTTGTGTAATTGTCATAAAAGGAGTTCCTTTCAAGTTGAAAGCTGTTGTGACAATGAAACATCTACCATTATTATACACTCTCAAATTAGCATCACAATAGAACCATTGTTGTAAATCGAAATCGTCATCATGGAATGTTACTGATTGATCTAGACTGATGATTCTTGTAGCTAAATGGCTAGCGGAAAATTCAAGGTTCAAATTACGGTAAAATAATGCAAGTCCATTAGAATCTGATAAACATCCTAAATCAACATATTTATAAATCTTCTTCAACTTTTCATCGTTAGCAGTCAATCTGTTGATTTCTTCGTTGTTGAAGTCATTGAATTTCATATAATAGCCATGTCTACGGTCACCTGCAGCACTATTGATGTCAAAATTGGGGATGTTGAAACCTGGTGGAGTTGCAATTTTAAATAGATTTCTATAACATTGAACAACATCGAACTTATCGATATCTTCAGGTTTGTATTGATAAAACATTGGTAATGGAGTTAATGAAAATTTATATGGGACGTTTTTAGAATTAGGATTCTTAGACCATTCCAATTGTCTTTCATATTGATTGTTCTTAGTAGTGAATGAAACCACTGTAACTCCCACTATTCCACCTTCAACGTCAACAGCTTCTACTAAGACCTTAGTGAAACTATTAGATTTAGATATCACCTTGACATTATAAGTAAGGGGGTTGTCTAAAGGAATTGCCTTGCAGAAACTAAGATGTAATGAATGGGGGTACATATCCTCAGCCTTCTTGTAAGCAGCATATAAACTTTGGGCTACCAAATTACCACCATAAGCAAATGGAAATTGGTCTAAGATACTTAGAAGAGGTTTCTGGCCCACAAAAGTACTATCATTGACCTTATTTAATTCGTAACTACCCAATTGATTCATTATCTAATCGCGAGATTTTGGGGCCGACCCAAAATTGTATGGGGCCGAGCCAAGATTATATACGGAGATGATTGGAGGTAGCGAGTTCAGATGGTTCGTGTGCTTGTTGTTTCAGATCAGATATGAAGCCATTGTGAACGGGTTGCGTGGAGTTTTTACGGTGGGGTCCCATTCTGGTGACGAATAGTGGTGATTCACTACATAGCACTTTCATCCGATATGTGCTATATCTCTGAATTCGTTTGGTGACATTTTCGACTGATTGTGAACATGATTTCTCGGCTATATAACATCTTGTCGTACCGATGGCTTTATTCGTAAAGGGGAAATCGCCGCATAGGCAATTAGGTCAGATTGAGAATCTTGATTCTGTAAGTCAAGACTATAGGCCGAAGAGACCTGTCTTCAAAGTCTCTAATTATTGATTTGTAAGAAAAGGTTTGTGTGATTCTCTCAAGATGCTTAGTGTTGTCTCTTATTATGTGCTACAGAAAACTTTTATTATCAACCATTTGCAGCCAACCTATCCTTCAGTAACCCTTGTATTGTAAATTTCACATAATTTCCACGAAAAATTGGAAGAAAATTCTCAGCATTTACACAGCAATCCTCCAACCATGCTTAAAAATGCCAAGCCAATGCCAAACTAATGGATAAGAAGTAAAAAATCGAAAACTCCTTGATTCCACCTCATAGGTTAATTAATCACAATCCGGAGTTAGCAGATGCTCTAGTGGCGCAGAGGTTAGCGCTTCGTGCTTATAGCCGTTTGACTGACGAACAGGTTATACCTAAAGTCACGGTCGTGTGAGGAACGCGACGGTCGTGGGTTCAAACCCCTCCTAGAGCATTTGTCCTTTTTTGCAGTTTTATTATTTTTGATATCGGTTTTGTAATTAATTTAACTCCTATAAGAGCATAAGAGCTGTTTATTGAAAGCCGAACTTCTGGTATTGATTGTGATGTTGAAGAATGAAGATGGAGTGAAAATTTCTATTTTTACATCGTCAATCCCGTAACTTTCATCTATTGGAACAGTTCAAGAGAAGCAGATGTATCTGGAGGTCATCTGAATACTGTGGTGACATCAAAAAACGACTCTGGGTCGACAACAGTGGCCATACCCTCTCCCCCATGTTCTCTTTCTGAAGTGATCGCGAAAAAATTCATCTCATCTCATCTTAACTATGGCAGAAAAGGTCAGATACTACTTGGAACAATCAGTTCCTGAGTTAGAAGACTTACAGAATAAAGGATTATTTGAAAAGCAAGAAATCACAATGATCATGAGAAGAAGAACTGACTTCGAACACAGAATTCAAGGTAGAGGTTCAAGCACCAGAGATTTCATCAAGTATGCAGAATTTGAAAGTAATTTAGAAAAGTTAAGAAAGAAGAGATACACTAGATTAAGTAAGGTCGGATTAGTTGATACCAAGCCAAGTATCAGTGATTGGGCCGGTGTGAGAAGAATCTTATTCATTTATCAAAGAGGTACTTTCAAATATCCTAGTAACTTACAATTATGGTCCAATTATTTGAATTTTGCTAAAGAAAATGGGGCCATCAAAGTCATATATAAAATCTATTCCAAATTATTACAATTACAACCCAGAAATGTCGATGCCTGGCTTTCAGCAGCCAAATATGAATTCGAAATCAATAATAATGCTAAAGGTTCAAGAGTATTATTCCAAAGAAGTTTAAGATTAAACCCCGAATCCTTGGAATTATGGTTGAATTATTTCCAATTCGAATTAACCTATATCTCCAAATTATTAACTAGAAGAAAAGTATTAGGTTTAATGACGGAAAGTCAACAATTAGACCAAATGGATAAAGAAAAAAATGAATATGAAGAGAAATTAAACAATGATGAAATCAGTAATGATTTAGATGATGACCAAATAGCATTACCAACAGAAGAATTAAGAGACGAATTAAATCATTTACCTGAAGTTGATATGAATATGTTAGGTAATCCTGAAACCAATCCAGCATTAAAAGGAGATGTAGCATTAGCAATTTTCGATAACTGTATGATCCAAATCTCGAAATTGAACATTAACGACAATAAGAAATTCATCCTTATTGAAAGTTTTTTGAAAGTTGTTGATAATTTTGATGATTTAAACCAAGATTACTTATATTTACATATCTTGAATTACTTACAAGATAAGGAAGCAGAAGATTTAAGAACGATATTGATCGATATTACATTAGCTATCAGAAACGTCAAAGTTGAAGATAAAAATTTCGCAACCAATTTACAATTATCAGTTAACAAATTCCTCGCTTATAAGATGAAGATTAAGAATCCCGAGTTAACTACAGAATATGTCAAATATTTGAATAACTTCATAACATCAGAGTCCAACAAAACGAATGATTTGTTAAGAGCTATCATCAAAAAATGTCAAAATTGAGATCCTATTTAATAGTTGTATAGAATGTATTAATCCCTTTTTGAAATTATAGATTCTTGATCTAATGGTTGATACCTTTTGGAGAATTTCGTACTGATCATGTTATAACTGAAAGCCCAAGTAACTGCTGAAGAAGCTAAACCAATAATAATGAAATATAATACCATTGTGGAATATGATATGGCAATTGAGTTCATAGGTAAACTATAAAATCCATCACCAAAGGGTAATTTCCCATATTTATTACCAATTGAATTTACAGGAGAATTTTCCAACCATCTAACAGCTAAATTCAATGTTAAATCATTACCTATGACAACTCTAGTGACATTAGTACTTGAACTATAAGCAATGGCACTAATGATAGAATTTTGACTTGGATCTTGGGCTGAAGGTTTAGTGAATATAACATTCATCGATTGATCAATATCTAAATGACTATCATGGATTTCACCTCTGAAATTGAATGTTAATGGAATATAAGCACCACCTTTTTCCAAATAATGGGATTCAGTACTAACAGGTATTCTACAACTGAAAGGTGCATCTTCATGAACATATAATTGGAATAAATGATATAATTCATCATTGAAGTTAATGGTACAGTTTCTATCTTCACTGATTCCATATTGGAAAGCTAAAGGTTTACCAGTTTCCTTACATACTGGGAAAGGTATATGAATGATCCTATCTTGAGCATCAAATTTATGTTCACCATTATCAATGTTTCTGGAAATACAATCCATAAATATTTCTTGTCCTAACGTATAAGGCTCTATGGTGGGTATATTTCCATTCCCTGTCAATGGATAGAACTGATTACCCAAGATCAATGGTATCAAGTATAATATAGCTAACATTGGTCTGACGCGAAGTTTTCCAAAAGCCTTGACGTAATCAACTTCGAATCCCAATTGCTGCAAAAAAAAAATTGGAGATGAAAAGAGTGAAGATATTTCGTAATATTCATTAATCTAAAAATACATTAACCTTGAGAACACCATCCCATTTGAACAAAGAATTCATATATCTTTGAAGCTTTATTGACATCAATTTTCAAAAGTTGTCTAGCATCTTTCTTCTTCAAAATACCTTCATTTTTAATAGCTTCTTTCATCAATTGATTCTTGATGGCCAAGTAAGGTTTAGGGAGAATTCTTAATGTGGAACATAATTGTTTCTCTTCATTGGATAAAAGTTCGAAATCGGTAGCATGGCTGATATCTAAAGGAGCTCTAACATTACCCAATTTAGGTTTAAAATCTGGAGGTGGTGAATAATTTCTCGACAGATATGAATTTGAGTTTGTTAATGATGAACCATTATGTCTTCCAACATTAGATCCATTACCCATTCTTTGATAATGAGCAGATTTGATCAATTTATCTTTTTCAAATTTATTACCATCTTCAATTAATGTTATTCCATTTCTTCTCCAATGTTGAAGTTGTTGAATTCTTATTCTACATTTTAATTCTGTCAAGATATCTTTTGAGAAAGAATCAAAGTCTTTAGGTGTTAAGACTTTAATAAATGCATTGATCTTTTTTAATAATTCTTTCTCTTCTTTAGATTTTCTTTTATCGTTGGCAATATTCTTTCTATAATCTAATAAGTTATTTAATATGAGAACTCTCTTTCTTTCAGCTCTTGTGGTTAATCTTGAATTATAAATTGATAATACTGTTAATTTTAATTCAATATCTTGAGCTGAATCATCGGGATCAAATATCATATCTTTAACGGAATGCTCAGCTTCGTTTTCAACTTCATGATCAAATTCCAATCTACCAGGCATATAACCTTGAATTTCATGACATAAAGGTACTGAACTTGCGGTCTTTTGTTTAGGTGGAGGTAAAGGTAAATTCTTCCTATTTTCTAATCTTTCTTTACGCTGTTTTAAGAAATCCAATGGCCCTATATCACTGAAATCTTTATCCATTTCAGGTAATGGATATTCTTTAGATTGAAGATAAATATCTTCATAATGTTTACCTACTTCTTCTTTGAATCTATTCCCTATATGATCACTGATATCCGCCCAATTTCCTAACCCAAATGTTTCACAACCTTGAATCAATAGTAATTCTTCATCGGCTCCCCATTCCTTGTCAAAGATCGGATAAGTATTCTGTTCAATGATTTGATAATCATGCCATGGTTTATGATCGTTACTACTGTTACCTGAGGCAAAACACGGTACACATAAATCATAATCTGCGCATATGGCACATTTGATCCTTATTCTGTTTGTACAATCTGCAGAGCATCCATCACAATGATATAAACGATTCTTACTCTCCATGATTCTGATAGATTACTTAACGAATAAGTAGATGTTGTATATTGTAATCAGAGACTTTATCGCGAACATCAAATGAACAGTCATGTGACTTGCGATAGAGTTGAGTTTGGTTTTATCCTTGCTTTTGTCTTTGAGCTAATTTAATGTGATCTATTGGTGTTGCAGCTAAACCTGCTGAATCAATTAGTGAAAAAAGTTGATTGTTTTATCCAAATTTGACTGTATCTTATAATTCCTAAATCCTACCAACCTCTCCCTAAATCTACCGCCATCTCCACCGCCAGTTGTCCCTAAACTCTCACTCCTCAACATTTTTGAGATTTTCCAAAAAAGCAGTCACACTCCTCATGTGACTTGCGAATAAAAATTTTCAAAATTAACTGCAGGATTTTTCAAAGTATTGAGAAATTTTAAACCTCAGAAAACTTTTTTTCATATTATAGGAATTATTAAAAATGGTATGTAATGAATAATCAACAATTATATAATGAAAGGTAGTTAAGAATGAATGATATGAGTTATAGAGTGTGATCCAAATCGATATAAATGAATCAAAGGTAGTTTAATCCCAGAAACTTTGAAATTATCCAAATATTTATGATGGAGAAGAGTTGAAGCAGAATCATGAAGAAATGATGAATTTATCATAATAAAAATAGTTTTCAAAACCAACTATCATTATAAGATCCCCCAAGAACAATTACTAACTAATTTTAGGCTCGTGTTAGAACTAAAACTGTTAAAAGAGCTTCAAAAGTCTTAATTGAAAGATTTTATCCAAAATTAACTTTAGATTTCGAAACCAACAAAAGATTAGCTGATGAAATCGCTGTTATCCAATCAAAAAGATTAAGAAACAAAATCGCTGGTTACACCACCCATTTAATGAAAAGAATTCAAAAAGGTCCAGTTAGAGGTATTTCTTTCAAATTACAAGAAGAAGAAAGAGAAAGAAAAGATCAATACGTTCCAGAAGTTTCTGCTTTAGACTTATCTCACACCAACGGTCAATTAGAAGTTGATTCCGAAACTGCTGATTTAGTTAAATCATTAGGTTTCAAATTACCAATTCAAACTGTTTCAATTTCTTCTCAAAGAGGTCCAAGAAGATTTGCTAAAAGAAATTAGGTTACTAATAATGTAATTATAATATAAATCATGTATTAGATAAGCTCTTAGAAGGAGTTGACTCTACTATAAACTCTCATGACCCCGAAGGCTCACTATCTCATGACTTGAAGACTCACTATCTCACGTGAAGGCTCTGTAAACTCATAACTTGATTAAATTATCAACTAACTCTTTGGCCTTCACTTGTAAGGATTTGAATTTATCATTGATCTTGTTATTGTATTTATCAACTGATAAGCAATAATAATTGATCAATGAAATCAATTGATTGAATTGATATAACAAGACAAACCTTTTAAGAATCAATTTATTCTTCAAGGTAACTAACTTATTGGTCATCAAATCACTATATTTGTACCATTTGATGAAGCTTAAGTTCGTTGGCACAGTGAAGTTCCTGGAAAGTTCACCTAATGATTTCTCTTTAGGAGATCTAACATTGATTTCATTTCTCAAGGGGGATCCGGTTTTTGGCTTCTTGTTGGATTCAAGCTTGTGCTTATGGATCAATCTTGGAACTGAACCAAAAGATTTGGGTGATCCAAATGGTGTAACTTTACCTAATTTGATAGAATTTAATTTTGAAGTATGTTCTGAATTTTCTTGATCTAAATCATTTCTTGACTTTGATTTTTCACTTTCTTGACTGCTTCTTTCTGAAACAGTGGAATCAAAGTCAGATAAGGTTCTTTTAGGAGAATTGGCTTTTGGAGTTGAAGTTATCATTTTTTAGGTATTTGTGGATTTCGCAGCCATTTGACAAAAATTGCCAAAATCAGAGAAAAAGATGTTAAGAAAAAAAAAGATTTAGAAAACTCCATACCATTAAATACAAAATCTATTCATCATCATCACCGACCATTATACTTGCATCAAAATACAAACTTGGATTGAAAGCTTGAATTTTAGCAGATTTACATTTACCGTCTAATAATAATTCACTCATAATTTTACCTGAACCAGGAGCATTATTTATACCCCAACAAGAATGACCTGAGCATAAGAATAAATTATCGACATTTGTTTCACCAATTAAAGGACCTGAAGATGTTGGAACATCTAAAACAGGTAAATAACATGCTTGTTTTTTTAAAATATGACCTTTCCTTAAATTTGGAGAAAATTTTGAAACTTGATTGAATAATTCATCACATTTAGTTGTGACCACCTCGACATCGTCCGTAGTTTCAGGAACATCCACAGTAGAATCTCCTTCACCACAAACATAAACCTCATCTGATCTGGCATAAATTTCAGGTGAAATATAATTATTAGAATTGGTTTTAAATTCAGTGAATATAGCATAAGGACTAACTGGTTGATCTTTAAATGGAGCAATTGTTATAGAATGAGCTCTTAAACCTGAAATTGGACAATCAGGTAATATTTTAGAAGTCCAAGGACCAACAGTCATAACAATTTGATCACCTAATAAGTTAATGATTGAATTTGAATTCTTTAAATTTTGAGATGTTGGTTTAAATTTAACCCCAATTACACTTTCTGATTCTTCAGAATAAATCATTTCTTCAACTTTACCTAAAACTAATTCTAATGAACCATTACTTAATTCAACTGCTTTTTTCAATATGAAATTAGTGAATTTATAAGGATGTACTTGACCTGTAGTATCTGTTGAACCCAAAGTTGAACAATTATTGATTAATGCTGAATTAATCCAATTTAAATCATTAGGTAAAATCTTTTTGGCATTATTAGCTTTATTACTCATTTCTCTTTTATTTTCACTCCTTCTACTAAATTTCTTTTGTGGTTCAGAAGATGATGAATCCAGAGAATTCTTTGAATTTTGGGAATTTGAAGTTGAAATAGTTGATGATGTTACACTTGAACTATTCTCTAATTTGGTATCCAAACTAATTTGTTCATCTTCACTTAATAAATCTTCTTCATTAACTCCACTTATATCTCCTTCCAACGATACAGTAGTTAATCTTCTATAACCCCATTCTTTAGCTCCATCATACTTATCAGCTAATTCTTGATGTAAATTGAAAGATAATGGGACAATTTGTGATGGGAATGCCCATAATGCTAAAAGTCCTCCTGCTTTACCTGAAGCACCTCCAGCAATTCTTTTACTTTCAATTAATGTGATATGATACTTTTCACTATCAAATTTAGGATGAGTTATAATGAAATAGGCGGTACAAACTCCAATAATCCCTGCTCCTACAATGATAATATGCTTTTTCCCTTCTGCCTTACCTGATGGTGTAGCGTTGAATTTTAAATATTCCATGATTAAATCTGATTTCAAAATTTCTCTGGATAGTCTTAACTTATTCAAGTACCTAATACGATTATTCTATAAAGGTTATATCGAATATCTAGGGATTGTAAAAGATATTTTGAAAAAGCGGGACTTTAAAAAATCTATGGTCAAATCTCAAAAAAAAATCATTCCACTTTCTCACCACCTCTCATTGTGTTATTAATCAACGCTGCCTCAGTGGTACGAGGGGATGGGTCGACAATTTGTGGGTGAATTCCAACAACTTTAGGTAAGACATTATCAATAGTATGAGTGGAGATCGTTAAAGTTGTTTAATTTCCTATATAAACGGTTATGATAAGGTGATTTCATATAGAAGGTTGTCACATGATTGAGTCATTCTTTAAAGTGCAAGCGATATTTTTTAGCCACAGCCATTTGGTACCCTGTGGCTGGTGCGAATTGTCCTAGATTATGGTAATTTCTCCTTTCTAGAAGGGGCGAATGAATCGAATAGCTTCTTCATCTTGATCATCATGATGGTGAGAATCATAAGGATCATGGTCATGATGAGTTTTTCATTTTTCATCCATAAATCGTAATCTAAAAATTTCACTAGACTTTTCTCTTTTTCCAATAAGTATTTGGTTAAAGGATTAGGTCTATCTATCCATAATGGTTCGGCTACTTTATAATTACTATTCAATTCTACTTCATTATTTCTTCTGGCATCATATATAATACTGTTAAATACCCCGTAAGTACCAGGTTCTGATCTCATCATATCCATAGGAATAGGGGTGATTTCTGAGGTTTTACTTGATGTTAATATTATTGAATAATGTGGTGAAGGTAACTTTCTAATAATTCTTCTGACAAACTCATCAATCTTGAATATTTGGTCTGTTCTTATGAATTTATCTTCTTCGTTTAAATCATTAAACTTCATATATATAACTTTGGTACGAGTATCGATATAATTGATACTATTCTCGTCTTCAACATTGGCAGTCAATAATTCAGCATCACAATTGTGAACAATATAATCTTTAATAAAATTCAAATCTATCACTCCATTCACAAAAGGTAATCCTACATCACTTGAAGCGATACTCAAATATTTCGATAAGAAGGGCCAATTCTCTCTTTTCTTATCGTTCAAATCGTCGTATCTTAACCCTGGAATATCCAAAATCACGTATTCATCGGATGAACATTCAGTTATTAGGTGTTTAAGCATATTAGTAACATCTTCAACATCATGTCTAGAAATGGGTTCAGGTAAGAAAGTTTTGAGTCCCTTGACTAATTTGTGTGATGATACAACCAACGGCGAAGCATGGAACCCGTAAGTTATGAGGAATAAGTGTATGAAGACTAGCAAGTTCATCGGTGAAGAACAGATCAGTGTCGCGAATGTTGCAAAATGTTTCAAGATGTGTTTCAGATTTGTAGATCATAAGAGGGATGATTCAGGGGTAATTTTCGTTTTCTGATGAATATTCCTAATGAATGTTGTTTGTTCTATGCTGATATTGTCAATTGTATGGTCGGCTTTGGTGACTGAATATCTCTTGGTCACTGTTTATTTACAATATTCTGTACAAGTTCCCACAACTACTATATTTGGATGGTTACTGTCTTCAATTCCTGATTCTGAAACAATCACCTATTCAGGGGATTTCCCCTTCAATGAAACATTCAGTGAACAAATCCTCAGATTACATAATGAGAAAAGATCATTACATGGTGCACAAACTATGTCCTGGAATGCCTCCTTATTCGAATATGCTTCAAGATTCGCCATGGATTATGATTGTTCAGGAGTTTTGAAACATAGTGGTGGTCCTTACGGTGAAAACCTTGCTCTTGGATACACCGTGGAAGGAGCAATCGAGGCATGGTATGAGGAAGGAGAGACATATGATTATCAAAGTCATAATGAATATAATCATTTCACTCAAATGATCTGGAATTCTTCCAGTCAACTAGGTTGTGCTACCAAGCATTGTAATTCTATTTGGAATGACTATGTAGTTTGTTCATATTACCAACAAGGGAATGTGGTGGGATATAGCCCTAGTAATGTGTTTCCTTTGCATTAAATATATATTATCTACAAGCTCAAACAAAGATAGTTTCCTCTAATTGGTGATAATCTTTGAAGAAAAATCTGAACAATTTACATAATTCAATGATATCAAAAGTTCCACCGGTTTCTCTGATAGAATGCATTGATAATTGAGGATTACCTAAATCCAAAGTTCTAACTCCTAATTTTGCAGCCAAAAAAGGTCCAATGGTTGAACCACAAGGAGAATCATTTCTTACAACAAACAATTGGAGAGGGATCTTATAAGTTTCACCAATACTTTTCATTAACACGATCCCTGGAGAATTGGTTGAATACCTTTGATTGGAGTTAATCTTAATAACTGGACCTTTGTTTAATTGTGGTTTATTTTTAGATTCATAATTACTGGCATAGTTTGGGTTGACACCATGTGCCATATCAGATGATACGAGGAATGATTTTGACATGGATTGATAGAATTTAGTTGATAATCTGTTTAATATGTCAGGTAAGAAAGAGGAATCAGCACCATGAGCAGATTTTGAACCGACTTCTTCATGATCGAACAACGCCACAACGTTAATACCTCTAGCACCTTCTAAGTTATCCAAACTTTCAACAATCCCTTGAGTAGCAGTGTAACAAGTAACTAAATTATCAAGTCTTGGAGAGAAAATGAATTCATCATTAATACCACCAATACATGATTTTTGGGTATCAAATAATGACAATTCGAAATCTTCTATTTGGGAAACTTCAACCTTCAACTCTCTGGCAATCAAATCAATCAATGATTTATTATGTCTGGTAATAACAGATTTAATTGACTCGAATTCTTCAGGTTTGATATCAGCTTTACATCCATGGTGTTCAGATTCTTCAGATTCATCAGTTCTATCAACTTGTCCTGCAATAGGAACAATTTTATCTTCCTTGTTGAATTCTAGCTTAGTACCCAATTCTCTATTGAGATGAATAGCTAAAGTTGGGATTCTTAATAATGGTTTGTCAACTTTGACCAATTTACTTACATATTTACCATCTTCTTTGACCATTACTCTTCCAGCAATACTTAAATCTCTATCGAACCAAGTTGGTGCTAAAATACCACCATAAAATTCAACTCCGATTTGAATAAATCCTTCATTGGTTCTATTACTTACAGGTTTGATCTTGAAACATGGAGAATCAGTATGTCCTCCAACAATGGCAAACCCATCACCTGCTTCATATTTACCTCCAACGGTGAAGGCAATAATTGAACTATTGTTTCTAGTGACAAAATATTTCCCAGTAGTCTTTAAACTTTCGATATCCCAGTTATCTCTTTCTTTTAACTCTTCAAATCCTTTACATGATAATTCCTTTTTGATGGTATCAACTGCGTGGTAAGGTGTTGGTGAAGCATTGACGAAATCAATGAATTCCTTTGCATATTCCATATCGTTCATTATTGTGTTTGACAGTTGAAGAATTTTTCAGCTTTTAACGATAAGCGTTTTGACGTACACTGGAGAGGCTGCGAAATGTTACTATCTTAAATATGAACGAAACTATTTATAATGAATCCGATAACATAACAAGAATAGATTGTATATACCCAACTATTTCTTTATCATGACTTATTTATCTTCTCCCATACTTTTTTTAACTTATCTTGATCTTTAGCAAAATCATACTCAAACTCATCCAATTTGGCATTAGAGAAGTCAATAAGATGGAAGTTCTTCTTAGAAACTATAATGTTTCCACTAGATATTTTGTTATGAAGAATTCCTAGATTTCCTAAAATGTCCACCTGTCTTTTAGCTTCTTCGAAATCGAACATTTGATCTTCATCCTTTTCGAGGTATTCAAGTATCAAATGCCACCCAAAACATACCAAACAGCCTTCCTTAAAGATTTTGATTTCACCATATTCATACATCTTTGGGATGTTGACCCGGCTATTGTAATCAATGCACTTATTGTATGCCATTATACGCTCATAACTTTCGGTTTCGGCACAAAAGCACTCATCGTAAAAAGGACGGAGTTCTTCTAATTCAATATGATATTCCAAATCATTCATCCAATAATATTCTTCTGCTCTTGACAAATCATAAACTTTTACTATCACATGATTCACAGTTTTGGATAGATTTAAATGAGACAAATTTTTGTCAATGGCAGATCTGTTCAACTTTAAGACAGTGGTTGATCGTGGGCCGCCTATTTGTAGAAGTTCATACTCTTGGTCATTCAAATGTAAATTGAGGGGTTGGTAATGAAAGTTGTTTATGGTACTAGGATTGAAGGAGCTCTTCCAATCTTTCTCATCAACGTTATCAATAGAAGGTCTTGTGTCATCCTTTTCAATCACAACACTTCTGGTGATTTTACTACTAGGATTCAAAGTAATTTGGTTGATCAATAGAGTCCTTAACTTCTTCACGTTATCCAAACAACTTGAATCTTCAGCTTCTCTACGACATTTCTGATAGTAAATCACGGAACACAAGATTGCATGAAGAGTATAAGTAACGTCATCTGAAAAACAGACATAATATTTGAATGGAACGACAGCCTTGCCCCTGAAATTCCCTCCCTTGGAGGTTTCAAAATCAAGTTGAAGCAAAATAGAAGTCTCGAGGTCTGTGATTAAACAACAATCAATCTTAGTACCTATCATGTACTTCAGTGCTTCTTTGATTATTGAATTCATTTGAGGGGTGTTTTTTATGAATCTGGTCTCTTCATCTACCCAATGTTTCAACCCATTCTTCTTGTGAACGAAGAAGAATAGATCGGTGTCTTTACCATACTCAAACATGCACCGAATCTTGGATCCCAAATATATGTCATCAAGTTCGAAACTTCGAGGACCAAATTTATAATTTATATCTAACATGGCAAGCCATCTTTCCATGAATTGGAATAGATCTGAGCTTACTAACCATGCATTCGATTCAAAAGGGTAAGATAATGCTATAAAGTTTTCCTTTAAACGTCCAAACTTACGAATTAATTGATAGGCGGATGGGTCTTCCAGTTCTGTTTTCTTATCTAAAGATCGGTAATCAGCAACCACTTTGGTTAAAACTTCATCAAGTTTCTTATCTAGCTTTTTGAACTTGTCATCAAACCAACTCCTTTCTATTCTTCCTGTCCATTTGGGTTCCACATCATACAAGTAAATATCTGCTTCTTCAGTCAATCCAGTGGGATAAAAAGTTTCTTCCAGTCCTTTGTTTTTAAAAAACGGTGCCTCTCTCTCGAATGGTATGGAGAAATACACCCTGTGAAAACATTTCCAATCCATTTCTTTCATAAGATCCTGAAGGTGTTCATCCATTACCATTGAAAGCAGCAAAATTTCTCTCGAACCCACTTTGATAGGTTTGAAGATACTTTCTTTAATAATCAAACCATCAGCTCCCAATATGACCTTTTTTATAGAAGCGTCGAGTTCACTCGAACTTATATGGTTACTCGAACTTATCTGGTTACTGGACCCTTCCATATCGATATGTTTCAAAATACTTCAAACTGAAGCTTAAGTGTCACTTTCTGAAAACTTAACTGACACTAGAACAAAGATGAAAAGACCCTTTTGTTTTTGGCTCTCTTTGTGGTTTTGACTTTTTGTGTGAAGCTTGTATATCAGACAAGAAACCTGCTGAGAATGTAATGACTCGTTAGAAATATCCCAAACGTATAAACTCTATTTATTTGCCTGAAAGACTCCTTTTATATGCTTACCATATGCCAAATCCGAAAAAGGCAAGTCAGAAATTTACGAAACCAGACGTCAAAGTTTGTTAGTCGCACGACTTTTGCATACCACAAGATGAATGTAAAAAGCAACAAGACTCAAAAAGATAAGTATCTTCGTGCTGCAAGAAGACTAATAGTTAGGTCATTGGATGAGAATCAAGTCATCCAAGCATAACAGACAACTTTTGTGTGGTCTTCAGCCAAATATGGAAGTCGCTCTACCAACATCAAACTACTTCAGTTCACTTGTGCATCAACACACAGGCGATTTAATAGAAAGCAACAAAGTCTCCCTGCTTATTCATCGGGAGCATTCCACAGAGAATAACTGAGAGAAACTCATTTAACAGAAGACGACAAACTTTCTTATATGAAAATATGAATTTGTTCATCTGACTCGATGTCAGTATCACCAATTTTGCCCTGCAAATCTAGATCCTCATCATCGAAATTCACTCTCGCTTTGGAATAATCAAATGTATTTTCATCGATATTCTGGTGTCTTAAATAATATGACACTAGTGACTTAATCTCGGTATTACTATGAACTCTTACAGGGAACCTTCTACCATCCTTCCCTTTCAACGAGATTACAAAGTAACCTTCCCTTTTAGAAGGATCAAGAACCTCTTCATTATTCAAATCGATAAATTCAGGGCCCGATGGTAATTTTTGTGACTTTTCGGTAGGTACATCTGTATGCTCAATATCAAATTCATCATATACTTCTAGTTCATCCATAGAATCAGCCATTTCTATTTCTTCATCTTCAATGAAATCATATGTGGGGCCCTTCAATTCGTCGTACAAAATGAAAGCATCTTTAGCCAATGATTTTGGCACTAACAAGACCTTCAATAACGTGTAACCCACTTTATCAACGTAGGTCAAATCTTTCTTATCTGGAGGGGGTATTCGAAGTGAACTTGGCTTTAAAATATGTGATATCTCTGACTTCCCTGTTATCCAGAAGAATACAAAATCTTCAGAATTAAGGTTGAATGAAATCTGATTCAACTTCTTATAATAATCCACTACAGCTTTGATGATCAAACCAAAGAGCTTTGTACCTTTAGTCTTGAAATGGTTGGTTTTAGCTCCTTCGATTTTGGGTATTACTTGTAGTAGATAGGGTCTATTATTCTCATTTTTGTCATTAAATTCATATCCATTAGGGGTAGCCTCTTTGATCTTTTCTTTCATATCTTTGATGGAATCCAAAAAGCCCATATATGTGTCATCTTCTGATTCATCTGTGGCACTCAAGGTTGATTTTGTTTCTTCTGGAGCAGGTTTAGTTGTTTTGGCTTGCAGTCTAGTTCTAGGAACAGTCGAGTCCTGTGTTATAATTAACTCCGAATCTTCATCTTCTAAGGGTGAAAAGGACGACAGTTTAACAGAAACTCCTGCATCTTGATCACTCAACACTTCAATTTTTGCCAAGGGTGGTTGATCTATCTTATCATCAGATATTTGTGATATATCATCTTGAGTGCTTATAATGTCGGATTTGTGACTAGATTTCTTTTTCTTTTTCTTCCTCTTTTTCTTATCATCATCCCTATCTGCCAAGGAGAAAAAATCATCATCAAAGGCTAATCTCTTCTTTTTCTTTGGTGTTGTTTCAACGCTATCACTCATAGTTAAGATATTTCGCGACTGTTTATCTCCATGCCTCAAACTAATCCTCTAAGATCTATCAAAGATCTAACATTGAAGGCTAGATTTAACTTCAATTATGGTCCCAATGAAGACTTTTATCAAGAATCCATAGAATATATGAAATATTGGCACGATAAATTGTTTTATATAGAAGAAGAGAGTTTCAAACAATCTGTTGATGCTCAGAAGTTAAATATCAAGAAACTACCAGAATTGAACAATAATGTTTATGATGATTTCAAGTTGGACACATCTAGCAAACAGGAAGTTATTGAAAATTTGGGGTTGAATAAATCTGTTGTGATTTCAAATGGATCAGATAAATCAGCTCTTGGATTTAATGAGAGTTTTGATGATTTTGAAAGATCAGTGAAGATTTTGAATTGTGGGGGTTGTGTTGTGTCATTGAAATGGTTGCCTGGGAATAAAGAATTTGCCTATTTAGCAGCTTCAGTTATTACAGGTGAGAATTTATTGGGATCTAAAGAATTGAGTATATTTTATCATGATGGAGGTAACTCCATACCTAGTTGTTTACAAATTTGGAAAGTAAGTAATACCGACTGTTCATTTGAACTTTTGAAGATCTTGGACACCTCCATTTTAGGAGCTTGTGTTGATCTTTCTTGGGTTCCTGGTGAATTCAAAGAGGTGGGAGTTTTAAGTGGAGTATTTAAAGACGGTAAGGTCCATTTTTTCAAGATCGATGATACTCAACAATTCGGTAAGATAAAAGAGTCATCTTTGAGTTATGGAATATCGGGTGATGGTATAGCATGCTTTGATTATTTATCCAACGACAGAATAATAGTTGGAACTAAGAATGGATTTATTGCAGAATTTATACTTCCCAATTACCAAACTTCAAACGATGATAATCTCAGCATGCCTTCATTCATGTATAACATCAACGATGGGCCTCTTCTGTATATTACTATTGCTAACCCTGCTCAAGGAAAATTTATTATAAGTGTGAATACTCATGGTCCTTCAAGTTTCACTTTAGATTACGATGACATAATTGGCAAGATGATTGAGAACTTGACATCATTGGTAAGACCCAAACTTAATTCTTACTTGGATGTTCTAATATGTAGTGATCCTTTGGATGTAGCGCTGTTTTCAATATTAAGACATACCAATGAAAGACCTACACAAATATTAAAAGTCAATGGTGTGGTGACAAGTTTAGCATCTTCCACAACATTGAACCATCCGTTAGTATTGATATCTTCATCTTATGGAGAATTGTTTGTTGTGAATATTTCTAGAAGGATCTTAATAGCCTCCAAGTCAACATCTAAAGCCTTAGTACCTTTGAGATTATGGAAAATCGCTTATATCAGCAAAAACGAATTTTATTTCAACCCTAACTTCGAGGTTGAAAAAGTCGATAAGCCCACCGATGTCAGTCCAAGTCCTAATGAGGTCAACATCGGGTGTCTTGATTGGAATGAAAATTTGAATGGAAGTTCCATATATGCGGCTGGGACTCATGGTGGTTTAATTATACTAGAAAAATTAGACTGTTAAGAAAAAATGTATATTAGTATCTCGGTATACCTTTATCTATATTACTCCATTTATTCATACCTCCTATTATATCTTTGACATTGTTGAAGCCAAAATCCATCAATGTCTTTGCAGCTATTTGAGAATCATTACCATATCTACAGATCACATAACAAGCATCCTGTTTTGTATAACCGGGAGGTAAGAATTCGTCTATCAGTTGTCTTTTCTGGAAGTTTGCATCCCATGGGATGTTTATTGAATTGGGTAATGCCGTTATTCCGAACTGATCGACTGATCTGACGTCAATTAGAAGATGTTTGGTATCTTTAACTTTATGATAATCATCCACAGATATTCTGTATTTGGAATCGATTAAGTATGGCTCAGCTCTACCACAGAACACATGATAGTCTAATTGATTACTTTCAATGACTTCTCTGGTGATTTGTGGATTATCTCCACAGACAATACAATCCTTTTGTCTATTTCTCATCTTGAACATACGGTATTGATTTTGGAATCCAAAATAAGCTCCCATGAAAGGCTTAAACTCTTGATAATGACCTATAAGGACTTTGAGAGTTTCCATAGCCATATTAAGACCTATTATACCGATAGCGGGTCCCAAAACACCACCATCTTGACACGAAGTGACGGAATTAGGTGAAGGAGGTTTGGGATGGAAACATCTATAACAGGGTCCTTTAGTTTCGAAATTAAGAATAGTCCATTGACCGTCAGTCTTAAGACCCGAACCACTTACCACGGTCTTACCAAGAATGACAGCAACATCGTTGATCAAATATCTAACAGCTGGAGCATCAGTACAATCCAAGATGAGATCATATTCAGTGAATATCTTAAAGGCATTATCATTAGTTAATCTCTCATGGTACGTCGTTACCTTCACATGGGGATTCAACCTATTGATATATTGTTTTGCTGAATCACATTTATACATACCAACGTTATCAGTGGTGTGTAAAACCTGACGATGGAGATTTGACACATCTACTATGTCATCATCAACTATACCGATTTCACCAATTCCAGAAGCCGAAAGATATAATAAAGCAGGACATCCTAAACCTCCGGCCCCTATAACCAATATTTTGGCTTTCTTAAGTTTCCTTTGAGACTCTAAAGAGCCAAACCCAGGTACAATCATTTGTCTACCATATCTCAAATACTCATCTTGAGAGAATAAATCATCGATTTTTTCGAACTCTGGAGATTTTTGTTGCTTTAATTGATCATTCTCCAACTCCAATTGTCGAATCTTCTCTATGAGTTCATCTTTACTCAACAGATCCATGGCTTTATTGAAAAATCTATAAATAGGATCTATGGGTATAAATAAATTTTCAGTGCGAGGGATGTGAATTGGCCTATTTACTATACAATCTTTTGTTTGACAAAGAAAGACTTCAAGTGATTCAATTGGTAATAACAAGTACCAATTAAAACTAACAATTGAATGATAGTCCATCTGATAACTCTTGAATTGGTTAATTCCGATTGGTTTCTGAAAGTAGCTTCTCTTTCTCTGATTTGTTCTTGTTCGAAATTAATTGTTTCTAACTTTTTGTTTAAGTTTCTGATTCTAGCAGTTAATGAGTCAACTTGATTAGTAGATTTGGAATCAATATAATCATGAGCTGATCCAATAGCTAAATCGAAAAATATTCTATGCTTTTTATGAGAAGTACCATCTAAGTAGATTGGTTTAACACAGAATTTATGTTCACCTTGATCCAATGAAGTGAATGGTAAATCCCCACTGGCTGAAGCTTTTTGATTAACAACTCTATGATCATTATCGAAAGTTTCTTCAACGATGAATTCTAATCTTAAATTTGGATTCTTATAATAATCGTTGGAGTGTTCGTTATATTCTAAAGCTTCAATCTTAGCAACAACCAAAGTATCTCTTGGTAATTCTTCAAAGAAACATCTTGATTCTCCAGTGTTCAAATAGAAATGTAAAGCTGATGATAAATGAACTAAGGATAACAATCCTAACAATTTGAAGAAGTTCATTTTGAAAAGTTGTTGATTCAGATTTTGAGATTTTTCCAACGCGTGTTTTCATCTGAAAAATTTTTTTGGTATTGTTGTGGGGGAGGGACGACTGGGGAGGATTTTGATGAGAGGATTGAAGGATGTTCGAGTGTGAATAGGTAATTAGGAATAATTTGAATTAATGTGACTGGTCGAAGGGGACGTGACTTGTCGGAGTGTGATCGGATCATTAATCTAAGTGAACGATAAAGCTTACCACTAGAACTACTTCATAGAGAAATTTTACCACTAGAACTACTTCATAGAGAAATTTTACCACTAGAACTACTTCATAGAGAAATTTACCACTAGAATCACTTCTATCTTATATTACAATGCTAATTTTTATGTTTACGTTTGATTTTATCCACCAAATTGTTCAAATCATTGGTCTTAACCTTCTTCTTTGGTTGTTCACTTTTACCTTTATGTTGTCTTTTAGATCTTTCATCTAAAATCTTCTTCATGGTTTTAGTTTTCTTGAAATCGGTGTTACTTGGATCAATGTTATAGTCTCTGTTTTCAAAGATTTCCTTGAAACGGTCATCATTCAAATCAACTTCGAAGTTGTCTTGGATATCTACGGTTTTCTTACCTTTCTTACCCTTTTTCTTTTCGGATTTAATGATATCTTTCATATCGAAATGATTATCTTCCTTTTCACCATCTTCATTCATCATTAACAATTCTAATTCAGCTTGAGCTTTTTCATCAACTGGTTGTTTCTTCTTATCCCTTGATTTCTTATCTTTAGATTTCTTCTCTTGGACTTCAGGTTCTTTACCTTGTTTTTCTTGTTTGAATTTCTCTAATCTGGCTTTACGACGTTCTTTTTGTCTACGTTTATATGCTGATAAAGTATCTTCTTCTTCTTCTACATCTTTTTCTTCTGGTTTGGTTTCTCCAGCTTGTAATCCAGGATCAAAGGTAATTTCCATATCTACCTCATCTTCTTCTTCGTCATCCTTTTTGGAGCCAAATGAGACTCCTCCTAATAAATTCTTATATTTATCTTTGGCTGATTCATCTTCACCTTCATCTTCACTTCCTGAGGCTAAGTAAGCTTTGAAATCCATTTCATCAATCTCTTTCTGAGAAAATGCTCTATTAGCAATAGCTAATCTTTCTTTAGGAGTTTCATCCCAAGTTAATTTCACTTTCGAGTGTTGTAAAGCATCTGTAACAAATAAGGTATTAGGTTTGTAGTTGGTTGGAATCTTGAAACATTGATCCTTGGCTTCTGAATCATCAAATTCCATTCCTTCCGGAACATATCTCAAATCAAAGATATTGGCTGTAGATTCATATTCTGTACCGTCACAGTTTTTATAAATAGCTTGGGCAGTTGATATACTATCACATTTTACCACAGCATAGAAATATCTCAATCTTTGTAATTGATAACGACGTAAAGCTTTACTATCATAATCTTCTTCTCCATCACCTTCTTCATATAACTTTTTGGCTGCTCTTTCTAAATCTGCAGCATTGGTAGTATCAAATTCTTCATCTTCATCATCAGATTCAACTTTCTTAATCTGTTTCTTGAACAAATCTCTTGAAGGACCCTCAGTTTCTTCCTTTTGCATTTGTTCTTTACCAAATTCCGATGGATAAATGGTAATAGATTTGATTAATCCACCTTTTGGAACAAATGATATGAAAGTAGCCATCAAATCGACTGCTCTTAAATTATCCCAATCCATATTAACAACGGCAAAAGTATCTGAAGGATCACCTTCTTCAGGTTTAGCCTCTTCGATTTCAATTTCACTTTCTTCTTCGACTTCTTCTTCTTCACTTTCACTACTTTCACTGTCACTTTCTTCACTTTCGCTTTCTCCACCTTCACCTCTAGCACGATCTAACGCACTAGTTAAAGTGGTTTCACTATCTGAACTATCTGAACTGTCGTTGTCTTCATCTTTCTTTACATCCACAGTTTCTTCTTCACTTTCCTCTTCACTTTCTTCACTGTTTTCTTCATCATCCGATTCTTCATAAAATTTGTTTAAATCGCTTTCCTTCTCTTTAATTTTTCTTCCATACCTATCAATTGAAGCTTTCTTATTATTATTCAATTTTTTCAACTCTTTTTTACTGAATCTATCATCAACTTTGACTTTTAATTTGTTCAAGTTAGGGAACTTAAACCTTGGATCATTATGAACAGATGCAAATCTGCTATCTTCAGTTATTGGTTTCCTTTCCTCTGAACCCTTTTTAGACTCTTTGGATTTATCTTTAGCCATATTGAAAAATGCGATGAGATGCGATTTTGAGATTATGGAGATAAGTAGTTGATGCTCAGAGAAGTGGAGGCATACTTGCCAATAAAATGGCAGCCTAGGCACAAAGAACAGACTTTGGATTAAATATATTATGCTATACAGACCCCCCAGATCCTCCGTGATTTCCTACAAGACCAACCATTTCTAAAAATGCTCTGTCTTCTCCCATAGTCTTCAAGTTAACACTTTGACGTAACTCTGCTTGTTTATTCTCCCATTCCCATTGTTTCTTTTGTAATTCCAATTCCTTGGTGGACCCAACACCCCAAACTTCCAAATCAGTGATCATGAACCTATCTTCGAAGTTCTCAGAGGATAATTGATGTTGTTGGGATTTCTTGAAGTAGGAATTAGATCCATTTGAAAGATGCCTAAACACAGCAAATTCAAGATTCGACTCTATGGTTAAAGAAACATCTCCTGGCAAGTACTTTCTAACACCATTTTTGTTGATTGGTTGTTCATTACCAAAACCTAATCCAAGACCTAAAGTGTTGAAGTATATGGACTCTCCTTTTAAGATAGGACTGGTTGAACTTTTATAGAAATCAAAATGGGGCGACAAGCTGAAAATTGTCGTTTGAGTATCACCAAAGTTCTTTTTATTGGAAGTTCTCCATGGTTGACCTACAAGCACACCATAGGTTATGCGATCATTTTCTAATTGCCAGTCTTTTAAAGGATTTTCTACTGACCTGAAATATCTAGGATATTCGTTATCAAACTGGAGGTACCTTTTATTGGAAGAAACTGTTTTTGATTTTAACCTTTTACCTGAAACAATGAATAATGTTGGAGCCTGCCATTTGAAAATCTTCAGTTCCAAAGATCTTATAGAAAACCCTGCTTCTTTTCCAATGTAGAGTTTGATTAGATTTTCTGTTGTTATTTGAGTTTCTGAACCTACAGCTTTGAGGGCTGTACTAAAACTTGAGATTGTAGCATTGTTCATCAATTTTGAACCTGAAAAAGCCGATTCTTTAGGTTGGGATTCTGAAACTGTAGTATCATCAAAATTTGAAGATAAAAAGCCAGTTTCGAATAATGCAGTGAATCCATCCTTTAGCAATTTTATGACTATTTGATGTTCGTTGGTGAAAAACTGATCATACTTGATTTTGGTGGATTTCATATTATGTGAATTAATGTTAATATCCATGTACTTCAATAAACTGAGGGCTGATTCTTCAAAGTTCCCCCAGTTCTCTTTCAATAATTTGTACAAGACTGACTCCATTCTTAACTTACTGCTAGGAGGAATTGATGATAAAAGGAGGAATAAAGTTAACAATTGGTGCAAATCATAGCCATCAATATATAAATCATTTATGTCAATTCCATCGAAGTCTTTGAATTGTGCAAGACTTTTCCAGATCAATCTTTTCTGTAATTGATCGGACTCGACTTTTAGGGCTTTTATAGTGACTAAATTATCCACGTTATCCTTTTTTGCATGGAATTTACTGTATTCCACCAAACTTTTATATGACAAAGACACAAACAATACCTTTAAAATATCATAATCAGCCACAACTTTCTTCAATTTCCCATTGTATACAACGGAATTGACTATCAAATCATCAATAGTTAAGGAATTCCCTTGTTGGTTTTCAAAATCCCGTAGAAAAGGTGTTGAACCAGTTATTTTTAATGCGTCATAGATTATCTGTACAACATCACCAAATTTTTGATTGATCAGTGTCACTTCATCATCCTTACGACACAATTGTAGAAGGTAAGCCAAATCACTGGGAGTTATGACTGTCTTTTCATTTAAATTAGTAATATTGGTCTTGGTAGCAATTGCCTTTAGTTCCACCTTGCGTAGTAATGACTTACATTTCATATGGAAAAAACCAATCAATTCTTCTTTAGGTACCTCTACCAATTCCACATCCCCCCTAATGCCATCGTTATCTACACTAACACTCTGTCCCATTTCAATTGGTAGTGTGTGGGATTAAATAGATCTATCGATTATGATGTATAAATAATTTGAGATGCGTTATCGTGAGATTTTGTTATCAGTAACAATGAGCCATCACCAAGGAGGTCCCGGAGTTACGACAAATCATTCAAGAATTGGTGCTAAGTGTATATTAAGTATTAATTATTGAAAGTATTCGGTTAAAATATCTTTTGATCTCATTTCTAATTCGTAAACTGCCTTTTTAATTCTGCTTAGAATTGTATTTCTACTAAAGATTTCTTGAGCTTCTTCATCAATAATGTTCACATTGATAGTATCGTTAGTGTATTGTTTAATCAATGATCTAGAAAATGAAATCATCACTAAATTAAAATAAAATCTCAAACAGGTAGTTATTAAAGTGGCACTGACAGTTAAAAATAATTCCCTTGCAGGAGATGCTGATTGTGATAAGTCTGTAGTTGAACTGGAAATAGTGTATCCTTTACCTGGTTGAACAGCTTCTGCAGCAATTCCTCCAGAGACACCCAAATCTCTTCTTTCATTACCAGTAGGATTGGTATCTTCACTACTAAACCAAAAATAAGTGAAATAAAATGTATATAAAAGGCCAAAAGCAGTGTCAAATGTATAAATAAGACATGCAAATGAGATCTTTCTAACGTTTCTAAACTTTACTGTCAAGTTGGATAATGCAGAAATATAAAATGGCAATATGCATAAACATGAAACATTGTATAACCATTGCCAGAAGTTAATAGGATGCCCTGTTAAAAGTGATAACACTCCAAAGGCCCCACCGGCTTTATTTAAAATAGCAACCCCTAAGACCATTTCAACTCCTATAAATAATGGTAACACACCAAAAAATTTCTAATTGTTAGTAAATACAACAAACGCATCAGGTACGAGGGTACGAGCTTTAAAGACCACTACCTCTATACTTTCAAACATCAACATACTTGGGGCAATATAAGTGTTAACCTCGACTTGACATTCATTATTTATCAACAAGATCGGGAAGTGAGGTTGTGCGATTTTCATCTCATCTCAAATATGAAGAACGATAGTATTAGTTCAGATTCAGATTCTGACTCCGATTCAGGACCTCAGAACTTACCTAAGACTCTTACAGACAAAGGAGATATTGTTACTAAATATGCCGACAAGATTAAAACTGATTTCATCAAAAAAGGACCTAAAATCACTAAAGATAGAGCCAATAGAGCTACAGTAGAACAGGTTTTAGACCCTAGAACTATGAGATTTTTAGCCAAATTAATAAATAAAGGGATTATTTCGAGAATTAATGGATGTATAAGTACAGGTAAAGAAGCCAATGTTTATCATGGAGACCACGAAGACGAAGAAGGTAATATTACCAAAGAATATGCAGTAAAGATTTATAAGACCTCTATTTTGGTTTTTAAAGATAGAGAAAGATACGTTGATGGAGAATTCAGATTCAGAAATACAAAGGGTCAATCCAATCCTAGAAAAATGGTTAAAGTATGGGCTGAAAAAGAATTCAGAAATTTAAAGAGATTATATACTAATGGTATACCATGTCCTGAACCTATCGATATACGAAGTCATGTGTTAGTTATGGAATATCTCACCAAAGGAGAAGGTCAACCATCACCCAAATTGAAAGACCACGACTTTAAAGGTGAAGAAGAAATAGTTCATTATTATCATCAAATGTTATTCTATATGAGAAGGATGTATAAAGAATGTAGATTGGTTCATGCCGATTTGAGTGAATATAATTCCATCGTCCATCAAGATAAATTGTATATTATAGATGTTTCACAATCAGTTGAACATGAACATCCCATGTCATTAGATTTCTTGAGAATGGATATCAAGAATGTTAATGATTTCTTCAACAGAAAGAAGATAAATGTTTATCCTGAGAGACTTATATTCAAATACATTACCGAGGAAAATGAACATTTAGGTATAGAAAACAACTCAGACGAGGAATTGGGTAAATATTTAGATAAATTACCTTTAAAAACAGATGATGACGATGAATTAGAAGATGAAATTTTCAGATCAGTTCATTTAGTCAGATCTTTGCATAATATTGAAGATAGAGATTTCAATAAGTTCTCTGAAGGAAAGATAGATACCTTAACTGACCTTTTGGGAAAACAAGAATTGGAAGAACAACAGGACGAAGAGGAAGAAGAAGAAAGTGAAGAAAGTGATGAGGATTCAGACGAAAGTGATTCAGAATATGAATCTGATGATGATAGGAAACCTAAAGGGAAAAGATTCGAAGATAAAGATGATAAGAAGCAAAGGAAAGAAGCAGCCAAATTAGCTAAACAAGAAAAGAGGAAAACTAAGATGAAAAAACATATTAAGAAGAAAATCATCAACAAACGAAAAGCTAAATAGAAATAGAATATCCGTGTAAAAATGTTTTGTTTGTCAATTCTACTCTCAAACGAGTAATCCAACATGTTTGGCTGTAAAATGCTGCATCTGTCTGTAGCTCAAGGTGTACAGGTTTGATATTTTTAAACCTTAACTTTAATGGGAAATATTTAATTAAGTAGATGCTACTTGATGAAAGTATTTACATATGAGTGTGAAGAGTTTGATATCAAAGTTCGAACCTGGTGAAGACTTTGGAGTTAAACCTAGACTGATAACAAGGAAAGTCAGTATCAACTCCATATTCAATCCCTATGCTGATTTGTCTAGTTCTATTCCTAAGACTGATCCGAGATTGCTAGAAACACCGTGTAATGGTACAGCTGAAATCTTAAGTATAAATCTGAAAGATGATTTGAGTAGGATTGAATCAATAGCGAAAGTAAGGTATTCCAAAAGGATAAGTTCTCCTGAAGGTTCATGTTTTGGAGGAGATAATGATAAAATTGAAGGTTCAGGCGATGTTTACATTTCATGGGATGAAAAACTCGATCTGTTGTCTAGAAAACTTTCAGCCCTGGTACCTACTTATAGAGGTGAAAGTCTGCATGAAAAATATGGCCACGACACAGAATATTTTGTTGATGCACACCTGATAACGGACAATTGTGTTTATTCGTCTACAGGCTCGTCTGTAGATAAGATTGATTTACCAGCTATTAAAGTTGATTCAAAAGACAATACGAAAAAGGACGAAGGATACGAAGATGAGGATGCAGCTGAAAATATTCATAATGAAAAGTCTGTTCGAGATCAGCTTGAGGCGGGCTCCAGCATGGAAAGTTTAAGTACCGATACCAGGATCAAACCATCCAAAGTTGTTCCCCAAGGAATTGTGTTCCATAAAACTGCTCCTTTAGAATTGATAGACGAAGAAATCAAGACCCCTGAAAAATCTTATATTACTTCCTTTGAACCCTTGAATGTGTTAGCTGGTTCGTACCTGACACCAACGTCTTGTAGAACAATTGCTTTCAATGTTGATAAATCTGATCCCCGAAGATCTAGAATCTCTGACCGGTTCAGTTTCAGAAGTAATATATCATTCAACCAAAGTCTTGGATTAGCTACAGAAGAGAATCTTGATCGAATTAATAGTGATCTATTCGATAACGATGTTTATCAGCAATTGGATACACCAATTACTCCTCATACTGATACTTTCCAACCCAAAGAACCGAAGGACCTAAAAGTTTATCGGTTTGATTCTTCAGGATCATCGATTCCTAATGATAAAGTGGAGACTAATTCCGGTCTGACTGCTAGTTCCCCATCTATTCAAACCCAAAACTTTCCTTTTCTAGCTCATTTAATTGATGAACAACCAGATGCTAAGAAATGGTATCAAAACATCTTTCATTTTCGACCAAAAAAGAAATCATCAAGAACCATTTCAAGAGAAGAATTCCAACCAATTGTGCTTGAGGAAGTTGATGTACCAGAGTTGAAACCCCGGAGATACTCTAAACAAAGTTTACTTAGTAAATCCAGTAAGGATGCCAAAAGACGAGAAGGAAGAGGGTCAGTTCAAAATACTAAAGTTGCACATGATAGACAGTCAAATTCAAGAACAAGTGAACGAAAGATATCGGTAGATATGATAAAAACTCCTCATTGGGTACCTAGACCTCCCAATGCACCTCATATATATTCAAATGGGTCACAATTATCTAACTTCAGTAACAAGTTCATGGAACCAAGACAAATACCTAGAGTGAAAAATCACCCTTCTTCATTGGACAATGGGCTTCTTTCACCTGCGGACTTAACTGCCGATCATGCAATCAACCGATCAGAAGACGTTGATAGTTGGAATGATACACCGAATGGGAGTGGCTCAACCAACACCTTATCAAATATCGACAAGTCCTTTCAATTACAAGTACCTGAGAAAACGAAGACCAAATCACCCCTTGGAATTAAACTTTCTAAAAGAAGTGTAGGCACGCAGACGGATTTCAAAATAGGCAAGTCAAATGCCGAAGATGAAGAATTAAAAGAGAACTTTTTAGATTTACGAGAAACCATATTTCAGGTGTTTTCACCTCATCAAAAACAAAGATTTTCCACAATCCTTGATGATATATTCAATATGTAATTGTAATCTCTATTAATGTACTGTAAAATTCTGAAGAAAAAGCCCCCTTTCATTCTATAAAATATACCCCTGATTAAAACCATATCGAAAAAACCGTTAACTGTATCCGGGTAACTCTCAAACGGGAGATTTACGCAATTGCTGGAGGGAATTTTTGTTTCTCAAAAATCCAAGTGTAAAGTTATCACGGGCAATTGCAATGGACCAGTATCTTAAAGATAGTCCGAATGATCAATTTGATCAAAATTTCGATGAGAATTATCAATTCGATAATTTCGAAAATCATCAAGATAATGTTAATCAAGTAAATAATAATTTTAGTTTAAATATGGAACAACCTTTTGAGAGTAATTTACAAGATGATTTTGATAATCAATTTCCTTCAATCCCCGGATCAGAATTCTTAAGTCCAAGAAATGAAGTCGGTTCATATCATAATGAACCATTCTTGGATGAATTAGATTCTAACTTCCAAATTAATCAAGGAGCTTCACCTCAATTTGTTGGTAGTTTCAATAACGAACCAGCAAATTTAGATCAAATCATATCACCACAAAACAATAATAATAATGGAGGATTCTTAGATTCTCAATACTTTTCACCTCCAACCAAAGCAACCATTGATTTAAATACTTTAAGTCCAGAAATTGCTGCTAATATTAATGCTAGAAGTATCCCATTTCAAAATATTAATAATTTTGATTTAAATTCCGGTTCTTATTTGTCACCAAGCTCAACTAATTTCGGTGAAAGTATAGATACGTTAAGATCACCAAATTTTGGATCTTATTTGAATTCACCTCCTCAATATAATCATAGTAGAAGTATTTCCTTAAATTTACAAAATTCAAGTGTACCAAATAATATGGATAATTATTTATCACCACCAAACACAAGTTCAAACGGGAATCTTAATTTCCCCAATACTTATCAACCAAGAAGTCAATTTTCTGAATTTTCTAATGATTCATCAAATCAATTAGGTACTTCTGCTCCTAGTAATAGTGGATTAGAAGATAATATTTCATCAAAACAATTAACCAAAGAAGAGAAATTGAAGAGAAGAAGAGAATTCCATAATGCTGTTGAAAGAAGGAGGAGAGATTTAATTAAAGAAAAAATCAAAGAATTGGGAGTATTAGTACCTCCATCATTATTAAATCCTCAATTAGTAGCAGTACAAACATTCCAAAAATCCGCTCAATTGAATAATGAAGAAATCAGTGAATTATTAAGTACAGTTAAAGTTAAAGAATCTAAGCCAAACAAATCAACAATTTTGAATAAATCAGTGGATTATATAATACATTTACAATATGTTTTACAACAACAAGAAAAGGCTAAGAAATTATTACAAGATAACATTAATAATTTGGAACAAGGTATACCGAATTTGAGTTTAGGTAATAATAATGATAATTCTAATCCTTCAGATTTATCCAACAATATGGTTGATAATACTGATGGGAATTTTATGCAAGATTTCCAAAATCACCAAAATGAAGAGAATTTCGATCCTGATGAATTCTTCCTGGAGATTATTACTGGTAATGATCAAATATAGATTCTTGTGATATTAAGTCTCTGTGTTCCCTGATGTCTCTTTAAGTGATGTCGTTCTCATCTTTTTCGATGTGTTCCCTTTTTCGATGTGTTCCCTTTTTTAATGTGTTCCTCACCTTATCTTTTACCTCTTTCTTATGACAGATCGCAGTCATTTTTTCGCGATATCAACTATGGAATCAGAGAATGCATTCAGAACTCAGTTCAATAATTGGACTCAAAGAAACAATCCTTCAAATGCTCCTTCATTACCAGCGTTTTCAGAATGGACAGATTATATAAAAAATGGAGCTAATGATTTATACACTTCCCTTCCAACATACAGAAATGAGAATCAAATTCAAGAACCTTCATGGTTTCAATTAAGTAATTTTGAAAAAATCGTAGGTTTCATAATGTGTTTATCAGGATCAGCTTTATGTTTCGGTATAAGTTTCTTCTTATTCCCAGTATTAGCTTTGAAACCAAGGAAATTCGGAATGTTATGGTCATTAGGATCATTATTGTTTGTGATATCATTTGGTATCTTACAAGGACCAAAGAAATACTTCTACCATTTGATATCTAAAGATAGAATAGTATTCAGTGCAGTGTTCTTTGGATCAGTATTGGCAACATTATATGCATCTATTGTGATGAAAAGTACTATCTTCACCATTATAACAGGAGTAATTGAAATATTTGCAGTTTTATATTATACCATAAGTTATTTCCCATTTGGAGCACAAACTTTAACATTTTTCACTAGTTATATGGTTGGATGGGTCGGAGGATTCATTGGAGGTATTTTATAGGATAAAGAGGAGGTTTAATATATTAATCATACATTATAATTTTTCCAATTTCTCTTTTAAAGCAGCATGTAACTTACCTAATTTTTCAAAATCAGTTTCTTGACTTGGCCAATCAATTCCTAAACCTGATTGAGCATCATTTTTAGGGATCAAATGGAAATGAACATGATCAACTATTTGATGAGCAATTCTACCATTATTTTGTAATACATTATAACCTTCACCTTCTGGAGTATTATTTTGATCTAAACCTAAAGCAATTGATAATTTTTTAACAACAGGTAAGATATCAGCTAAATAATCATCAGGAATATTATGTAATTTAGCCCCATGAAATTTTGGTATAACTAAACAATGATAATCTGATAATGGTTGAATATCTAAAAATGAATAAGAATATTTAGTTTCAATCAATTTCATTGAAGGAATTTCTCCTTTAATGATTTTACAAAATATACATGAAGCATTAGACATAGCAAAATAATTTTGAGTTTTCTGGAGTGATTTCTCAATCCAATATCTTTCTCCCCAATTTTTATTTACATGTTCGAACCCCCGTGACGGAGAAATATCCAGTGATTTAAATCGCACTGGAAGTTTCGATAATTTTTTTTGGGTGGCGATAAAATCTATAAATTTACCAATTTTAGACAACCACAATTATTATCAATTAATTACATTTTGACAAGTCAATTGATTAATAATGACAGGTGAGGATAAGAAACCATTAGTTGATGCTTCAGGTATTAGAGCTGAAGAAGATAAAACTGCTACTGCAATCTTAAGAAGAAAGAAAAAGGATAATGCATTAATTGTAGATGATGCAACTAATGATGATAACTCTGTAGTTACTATGTCTTCTAATACCATGGAATTATTACAATTATTCAGAGGTGATACTGTTTTAGTTAAAGGTAAGAAGAGAAAAGATACGGTTTTAATTGTATTAGCAGATGATGATATGGAAGATGGTGTTGCCAGAATCAATAGATGTGTTAGAAATAATTTAAGAGTCAGATTAGGTGATATTATTACTATTCATCCATGTCCTGATATCAAATATGCCAATAGAATTAGTGTTTTACCAATTGCTGATACTGTTGAAGGTATTACTGGATCATTATTTGATGTATATTTAAAACCATACTTTGTTGAAGCTTATAGACCTGTTAGAAAAGGGGATTTATTCACTGTTAGAGGTGGTATGAGACAAGTTGAATTTAAAGTTGTTGAAGTTGATCCAGAAGAAATTGCTATTGTTGCTCAAGACACAATTATTCATTGCGAAGGGGAACCAATCAATAGAGAAGATGAAGAAAACAATTTAAATGATGTTGGATATGATGATATTGGAGGATGTAAGAAACAAATGGCTCAAATTAGAGAATTAGTTGAATTACCTTTAAGACATCCTCAATTATTTAAATCAATTGGTATAAAACCTCCAAAAGGTATTTTAATGTATGGTCCTCCAGGTACTGGTAAAACTATCATGGCCAGAGCTGTTGCTAATGAAACAGGAGCTTTCTTCTTTTTAATTAATGGTCCAGAAATTATGTCTAAAATGGCAGGTGAATCAGAATCAAATTTAAGAAAAGCTTTTGAAGAAGCTGAAAAGAATTCTCCTTCAATTATTTTCATTGATGAAATCGATTCCATTGCTCCAAAAAGAGATAAAACTAATGGGGAAGTTGAAAGAAGAGTTGTTTCTCAATTATTAACTTTAATGGATGGTATGAAAGCTAGATCTAATATTGTTGTTATTGCTGCTACTAATAGACCAAATTCTATTGATCCTGCATTAAGAAGATTTGGTAGATTTGATAGAGAAGTTGATATTGGAGTTCCTGATGCTGCTGGTAGATTAGAAATTTTAAAAATTCACACTAAAAATATGAAATTAGCTGATGACGTTGATTTAGAAGCTATTGCTTCTGAAACTCATGGTTTTGTTGGAGCTGATGTTGCTTCATTATGTTCTGAAGCTGCTATGCAACAAATTAGAGAAAAAATGGATTTAATTGATTTAGAAGAAGAAACTATTGATGCAGAAATTTTAGATTCTTTAGGTGTTACTATGGATAATTTCAGATTCGCATTAGGTAATTCTAATCCTTCAGCTTTACGTGAAACCGTTGTTGAAAATGTTAATGTCACTTGGGATGATATTGGTGGTTTAGATGGTATTAAAGCTGAATTAAAAGAAACTGTCGAATACCCAGTTTTACATCCAGAACAATATCAAAAATTCGGTTTATCACCATCAAAAGGGGTTTTGTTCTTTGGTCCTCCAGGTACTGGTAAAACTTTATTAGCTAAAGCTGTTGCTACTGAAGTTTCTGCCAATTTCATTTCTGTTAAAGGTCCAGAATTATTAAGTATGTGGTATGGTGAATCAGAATCTAATATTCGTGATATCTTTGATAAAGCTAGAGCTGCCGCTCCAACAGTTGTTTTCTTAGATGAATTGGATTCCATTGCCAAATCAAGAGGTGGATCAAATGGTGATGCCGGTGGTGCAAGTGATAGAGTTGTTAATCAATTATTAACTGAAATGGATGGTATGAATGCTAAAAAGAATGTTTTCGTCATTGGTGCTACTAATAGACCAGATCAAATTGATCCTGCTTTATTAAGACCTGGTAGATTAGATCAATTAATTTATGTTCCATTACCTGATGAGTTAGCTAGATTATCAATCTTAGAAGCTCAATTAAGAAATACTCCATTAGAACCAGGATTGAAATTAACTGAAATTGCTAAAATCACCAATGGTTTCAGTGGTGCCGATTTATCATATATTGTTCAAAGATCAGCTAAATTCGCTATCAAAGATTCTATTGAAGCTCAAGTTAAAGCTAATAAATTGAAAGAAGCTAATAAAACCAGTGAAGATGTTGAAATGAAGAAAGAAGGTGATGCTGAAGAAGAAGAAGAAGAAGATCCAGTTCCATATATAACCAGAGCTCATTTCGAAGAAGCTATGAAAACAGCCAAGAGATCAGTTTCTGATGCTGAATTAAGAAGATACGAAGCTTATGCTCAACAAATTTTAGCATCAAGAGGTCAATTCACTAATTTCAGATTCAGTGAAGGTGGTGAAAATACTGAAGCTTCCACTGGTACTGCAACTGAAGCAGGTGCTCAATTCGGTAGTAATAATGCTGAAGAAGATGATGATTTATATAGTTAAACTATTTGAATTCTACTGGTAATGAATCGAATCATTTACATATACAATGTTCTGTCCTATTGTTCTCTATTGTTCCCTATTTTAATCTCATTCTATGATATATCGGATTTAATTCGGAGATTTCCTAATGAGGTCTTCGCGATAGGAAGCGGAAGCGGTTGAAAATTTTTAGCAATTTTCAGATCTAATCATCTGAATATAAAGTTTAGCAATTTTTATACCCTTAGCATTGATTTCAAATATTTAAAGGTGTTCGAGTAACATTATCACCGTATCATTATCATTAGTTCAGAAAGTTTAATCAAATAATTTCATATCAAATAGTACATTCACAATGAATAAATTTCAAACTAATGGTTTGTTACTTATGTTAGCTCCATTATTTGTAATTTCAAGTGATTTATTAGTTACAAAATTCACTACCCATGCTGCTGTGGGACAAATCAATAAGAAGAACGTCACTGAAGAGAAGTTTTCTCTTACGAAGAGATATTTCAACACTGAATTTAAGAAATTCCCTGTAGATAAATAGCTGCTGGTCAGTTTTGCATAATATATGAATTTTGGAATGGTCGTATTCTATTGCTTCTCTGAATTAGAAATTTAGTAATCCTATTTGTACTCTATGGTCAACAAAATTAGAGAATGAGTAAACACCATCTATACTCAAAGGCTCAATAGCAGGAATCATAACACTATTTATATTAATCACTTCTTTTTTTCTCTAGATCTTTTAGGTACTCTAGTTAACCAGTAAAAGAAACATGCAAGAACCCAATCGAAAACTATAAACCCTATAAACACACCCATATCTCTAAATCTGGTGGATAATGAAGAATTGACTTGATCTAAAAATTGATTAGTGGTTGAAAGTGTACAAAATTCACACGATGAAGTTGCTTGGGGATTGAGTAGATTACCACCAGTCAGATTGGCAAACTTCCCAACGTATTCATAACAAGTTTGACCATCAAAAGGATTAAAAAGTACTAATTCTCTCTTTGAACAAGTAACGGTAGAGTCTGCTAAGCCAGTGGATAAAACAGCACTAACAAAATATGTCATAGGGTTGAATCTGTACATGAAAATCCAAAATCGTGGCATAGTATCACTCGAAGCTAATACCCCACAGAACATTAAACACATGGAAAAGAATAAATTGGCTAAATTAGCAGCATTGGTTTCAAGTTCATTGAACGACACCACCAATTGAGCCATACTGGAGTTATAGATGTAGTAAAGAACCATCATCCACCACATAAATGCTCCCCTTTCAGTTACTGTGTCGGTTGGTACAGCATTTTCATATAATCCTACAGGATAATACCAACAGAAGAAAGCCACTGTACCACAAACAATATCCCAAGGTATTTCAGTTGTGATCTGGGCTGCCATAAAAGCTATCCAACTGAAAGTTCTGGAGGGACTTTCTCTTACTTCATAGATTTCTCTTTGAGAAATGAATAATGGCAAGTATTGTTGAACATAAGTTCCAAAGACAGAAATGAACATGAAAATAGAAAACATTTGGTTAGTCATCCCCTGTAAGGATCTATCAGCTTTAAAAAACACAAACCCATTGAATAAGGAAGTAAGAATGGCCATGGAAAATTTAGAATAAAGGTAAGCATTAGTTCTCCAGTACTGTTCAAAAAGTCTTTTGGTGACAATCAAGTATTGTTTGAAAATTGGAGTTGCAAAAGTCTTTAAATTTTCAGCACTTTCATCTTTGGGTAACTTGACCAATTCATTCTCCATATAACTGAGTTCCTTTTGTACGTCTTGATATTCGTTAGATTGTTTCCAAACTTCATAATAATTTTGTTTGGCATGAGAACCAGGAGCTGCTCCAATTACTTGTAACATCCATTCAGCAGGATTAGCTTGAGGTGGACATTTAGGAGCTCCATGTTTTTCAAAATAATCAATCAAAGTGGAACAATTCTTTCCTAATTCACCAAAATAAACTGTTTGTCCACCTTTTTGTAAGAATAATAATCTGTCAAATTCTTGTAACAAAATAGCCGAAGGTTGATGGATAGTACACAAAATAGCTTCACCATGGTCGGCCAATTTTCTAATCAATTTACAAATTGACCAAGCAGTTTGTGAATCCAAACCTGAAGTTGGTTCATCTAAGAAAACTAATAATTTAGGTTTAGCTACTAATTCAACACCAATGGTTAAACGTTTACGTTGTTCAACATTAAGACCTTCACCTGCCACACCCACAACAGCATCGGAATAACGTTCCATTTCTAACAACTTGATAATATATTCAACATAATCATCCTTTTCTTTCTTAGAAACATGATTGGGTTGTCTCAAATAAGCACTGAAAGTCAAAGCTTCTCTAACAGTAGAAGTAGTCAAATGCAAATCTTGCTGTTGAACATAACCAATGGATCTTTGGAATGAACTGTCTAAAGAATTCCCATTAACCATTCTAGTACCACTGGTAATCACACCAGAAGTTAATCTTTCACTCAAGGCATTCAATAAAGTGGTTTTACCAGCACCAGAAGCTCCCATTAATGCAGTAACTTGACCAGGCTTAACCCAACCATCAACATCATCTAAAATAACTCTGGTTTCGGATTTTATCTTAACTTCATAAGTGATGTTTCTCCAATGGAAGATATTGGTATTTCTAATGAGTTTTTGATCATCATCAGAGTTTTCATATTGAACAGGAGTCTTTTCATAATCTCCACTCTCAAGATCAGAAGAAGAAGCAAGGTTCTTCTCTTTCTTTAAAGCACTTCTTTGGAATAACAATATCTCTCCCTTTTGCATAGCTCCTTTGTTAAACTCACACAAAACAATGTATGTTAAAAGGAAGAAAACCATAAATCCGATAGTAATACCAAAATTTCTCCACACATGACTGTAGTAATATTGATAGGATAATGCAATATACCTATCTCCACTAACCATATTTTCACCCAAAGCACCTCCTACTACAGAACAGGCAACATTGGTGTTGCCGGTAGCAGTTGTTGGGAACCCTGGTCCAGATGGAATATATTGGGAACATTCGAATTCCCTTCCATGGAACTCATTAGCCATCAATGCTTCGAAAGTATAGGCTATAGGATTGATATAATTAATCCAACGACACCATCCTAACATGTTGGGGGTAGGAACCACAAATCCTGTGAAAAGTATCAAAGATGTTAAAATAAGAGATGCTGGAGTCATTGCCTCATAAAGAGTCTTGGTAGCAGCACCAATGGTTCTGAATATATGAGACATCGTAATGGTAGCTGATAAAGCAATTAAAAGGAAAAAGAAGAATGGCCCTGGACTTCTTTTCAAGTTTACCATGAAGTAAATGATAAGATTAAAAATTATTCCTGTAATCAATTTATTGGGTAATTCAGTGATAATCGAAGCAAAAGCATCGGCACTAGGATGATATAAAGCATAAGTCTTATGCTTTTCAACTATGGGTCTTGCTTCATAAAGAGAAAAAATTTCCAAAATAGAAGCAAAAGCATTGAATAAGGTAGCAAAAAATAAAGCTGAAGCTCTATGGGAGAATGACTCTGTCGTTGGTTTTAAGTTATAAAAGATGGATGCGGTAATCAACGCCATGATGGAATTACCAATGGCTGAAAATAACGTAATTGAAGGGTCGGCTTTTAATCTTAACCAATTCCTGTGTAAGATATATTTGACTTGCATACCATAAGATACCACATATGGTGAAGCCGGTCTAGATTTTGTTGATTGCTTAGCCCGATGGTTTTCTTTTATATCATTGTTTTCCGGTGCCACCCTCAAGTATTGATCAATTTCGGTCAATAAATCTTGTCTAAGTGAAGAGTTTCTCCAGTACTGATAAAATTCAATTGGTGTTCTTGGAACTCTTTTTTCATACCCTTGCTTAACAATTCTTTCAGCTGGATTAGATAATGAAGTCAAAAAATCAGCTGTGGTTTGTCTTTCAGCACATTGATAGCCCATATCTTCGAAGAATTTTTTAGCTACGGTAGTTTTGCCAAAAAAGATCTCATATCCTTCATACAACAATACTACGTTATCGAAGATATCATAGGCATCTTGGGAACATTGATAAATAGCCACCAATGGTGTAGTTTCTTGAACAGAAGCGCTTGTCTTTAAGGCATTAATGAATTCATATGCTGTAGCTGAATCTAAACCTCTGGTAGAATTATCCCAACATTGGATTTTACTTTGCAGTATAGCTGCTTCAGCAATAGAAACTCTCTTTCTTTCTCCTCCAGAAACCCCTCTTATAAAATCATTACCAACTTTGGTGTATCTGGTATGTGATAATCCATAAGTAGCCATATAAACAGCAGCCAAATGTTTGGCATACCTTTCTCTATCAACATCACCTCTATTATGAGGAGTTCTCATTCTGGCTGCAAATTCCAAAGTATCCCCTACGGCCAATTGGGGGAAATGATGTTCGGTTTCTGCACAATAAATCACATCTCCTCTATAATGGGTGGATATTTCTTCAGGTGTAAGTCCGTCGTAACTGATCAATGATTGAGGATCTACATGGAAACCATGGGTTTGTGTGGCAATGGTCTTCAAAAATGTTGAACAGCCCGCACCTGGTCTTCCTAACACAACGGTCAATTCCCCAGGTTTCAATAATCCTTCCATAGGTTTTAAAATATCAAAAAAACCATCTTCACCATTTCTAGTGAAGTCAGTGATCATATTTGACAAGTTTTTGTAAACACCGTTGGCAAAGTTTGCTTGATAATCACTATCTACGGCTGTACCATAACATCTAAGGTCTTTAAATGCAACTCCTAATTTTGAAGGCTTGAAATAATCAGCATCGGTGTCCATATACTTTCTCAAATTCTTCACCCAGAATTTCGAGTCAAACTCATCACATTCTGGATCCAATCTAGGATCAACCTCATTTCCAGTGAATGGATTGACTCCTGGAATTTGTGACATATGAGATAAGGTTCTTTGAAGGGCTAAAGAATTATCACCAGGTTCATCATGAGAATATTGTCTTACAATATCTTTGATTTCCTCAGCAACCTCATCTGTAAACCCTCTGTAGTCCATTTCCTCTTCTTTAGACGACATTGAAGCTGTTTCTATAAGGTAAAAAAAAATGGGGAGACGAAAGTCATTAAATAGCTTGGGTGCAAAAATGAGGATCTTGGATTCGGGGATGCGGGTTTTTTTTAGTGATTTGGCGTCCGCCCGTCTTTAATCGGTCAATTTTGGAAGTTTTCTTTTCCGTGGCGGTATAAGAAAATAATGTGGCCTTCCGGAAATGGTTAAGTATGCTATGTGATGTTGGAGGTCGAGATCTTTATTGCGGAAAGCACTGTGGTGGGTTCATAGTGTTAAGTCTCATAAGTTCGATTATAGAGAATTAAACTTTTTGAATTTCCTTCTGTTGGAGATTAAGGCATAAATTTCTGCTTATTCCGTTGCTAACCCAGCCCCATAGTTTAAGGGATATGCTAAGTATTCAGTGTATTTCGGGACGGCAGCCGCATTGATCCTCGCGGCTCGGATTTTCTGCATAATCGAGACAAGCCCGAGAATTCATCGGGTGACGGTCGAATTTGCTACATATGGAGAAGATGATTCAACTCAATTCACAGATTTAAGACAATCACTGGAAAGGCTGTTATATATTGAAATGTTTTATTTACCTATAATTTGAAAAGTTCCTCATCGATACCAGGAATAGTTTTGGGAGTTCTAACGGCAATTCCGGCTGGATAAGCAACAACTGAATCAATGTCCCAAATCCCAGCTTCATAGTAAGGATCTTTCTTTAAGAACTCAATGATTTCTTCTTTGTTTTTAGCCATTAAATGATAGGTACTTCCGGCAAATTTAGTTTTTTCGATATCATGGAAAAATGCCCCAGCAGCTTTAACAATCCCGCCATTGACGGTTGGTGGGATCTTTTGTAAATGAACTGGTCTAATTTTAGACCTATCGACGTTTGGTTTATCGAAAACTAATACTACCCATTCAATTGAAGACATCTTATAAAATCGTTTGAAAATCAAATTACTCATTTTTGTGAGCACCTTTGCAGAAATGTTGATGAAAGGCTCAATCACAACCAATTGAGATGTGCGGCTTAGGAGTTGTACGTCAGAAGACTTAGAGGCTATTGGTTAGTTCCTTGGCATAAATAGATTTAAAATCTCGCCGAATTACGATACATTAAACTACAATAATTAACAATAACAATGGGTTACCAAAGGTTACTCTTATGATCAGAGTCAGATTCTTCAGTAATGGGTGTGTCTTTTAAGAACATTGAACCCACAACCATTTTCTTATATCCTTTGAATGACCTCAACTCCTGTTGATGATAAATGTCCATCTTACGTATAACAAACACACTAACCATTGACAATGATACTACAAATGAAAACGCAAGAATAGTTACCAATACCAAAGTGGATAATCCTAAATGACACACTTTACTAGGTTCTTCGCAATACTGAGGCATAAAAGGGATCCAAGTAAAACCCACTAAGACACCCCAATTAACCAAATAACATATTTCAAGGATTACTATAACTAACGGAGGTACACAAGGACCCAAAGTCAAACTCACATAGGATATGGTGAACCCAGACATTAAGATATGCCATAACCATGGACTATCATAAGTATCTAATTTATTAATGACACAAAAAATCGCCAATAAGGCAGCAGCTATAGATATTTGTACCAATCTGTAGATTAATGAGAAGGTCTGTTTATTCATTTTGATACTTTCAGTCGATACATCGTGGTATTTAAAGTATGTGAACAACCTATTTTTAACAAGTAATCAGTGCTTTTAACCAGTGTGCGTAATTGATATTCTAATGACTACCCCTAACGCAAGGCTAAAAAGGCTTGGAAAAGCGCAACCGGCACTACACCAATTCCTTAACTTCAACAAGATCGGATTTGAGACTGATTAAACATAAGGCTCCCCATTCAAGTTCTCTCCTACCCTTACAACGGAAAAATTCATTATAATATTCACTCTCAGGGTATCTAATCATCTTATAAGTGACATTATAAAGCACTGATATGGTAGTTAACAAGAACGTAAACGTCATTGTCGTATTAAGCCCAAACGTAGCTCTGATTATGTACGTATTATAATACTCAGCGAGCCATAAATAATCTTTGTACAAGAAAACCAAACTCACTATGGAATTGGCGAAACACCCAACCTCCAAAATCGTTAAGATCAATGGTGGTAAACCAATGATAATTACAACAATTAAATAAGCAGCTGTAGCTATTGCTGAAACTATGAGGTGTAAATCAGCATCACCATATCTCATTAATAAAATGTTGTATACTGCTGATGCAATAGTAATTGCTATTTGACCTATTCTTCCCCAAAATGATAACATTTGATTCTAAATGATGAATTGGTATGACAAACTGTTATTCTTATAGTTTAATTTTATTTGAGTCATTCATCACAGGCTCGTGCTTTGAATCGTGGTCCTCATGCTCTCCAAATTTCGTAAATCACTGATAACGAAAATGTATGACAAGATTATGTAAATTACCATCAAGGAGGCATATCACCGAAATCATAATTCCGTGTGAGGAATTAGGGATCTATCAAGCAGGGGTCAGTTTTTTGTGAATTTCTTCTGAATTTGGAAATTTTGATGATCAAAAGATAAGAAATCGTGGATTTTACGAAATCAACTTAATATAAAGTTTCTCATAATTTCATAATAAAGTATTCATACTCGTAACGTGATCTTTCAATGACGACATTGGGATTAATAGAAAATTTCATAAGGGATGAGGAGATAGGTTTGGGGATATGGGATCCTTGGAAGAGGAGTTCAAAGACACAAGAATATTGGGAGAAGCGGTTTAGGAACACATTTAAAGATGAAGCCTACCACTTATCATAACAGAGATTAATACCGTTTCTATTTATTAATAAATAATGCAAAATGTAAACCTAATTTACATAAATTTATGGGGGTCTTAACTTAAGATATCTTGAGGTTAAATTTATTGTTTTAAAGGAGCAAAATATTGAGTTTTTTCTTTTCTTGGACCTAATTCACTTAATTTGATACCGGCACCGAATTGGTTACCATTTGGTGAATGAGTTGGAATTAAACTGACAGGTAAAATTTCCCCATTCATCTTTCTGTATTGATTTTGTCCTATACCACCTTTGTCTCTGATGACACTTTTAATGAAAGAAATTTGATATTTCTTTTTGTATCCTTCACTTCTAGCATTGATTCTATTTTCATCTTCTAATTCATTATATAATTTTGTTTTGATAACAGGTTCATTTCCATTTTTATGATTTTTGTAAAACATATAAGTAACACCTCCTAAGGCACCAATCCCTAACACAGTGAATAAATTGATTTCTGATTCCTTTGGTGGGTGAGGATCATGGTGTCCATGACTGTTGAATCTTTTGGATATCAAATTTAAATTTTTAGATGTATTCTTTACACCTCTAAACATCTTGATAATATCTTAACAATTATTGGTTACTGAAATTTTTGTTGAAAATTCGCACTCGACCAATCAATAAAGTCGTGTATTTGACAAAGGTTTTGTTTTGAGTCGTGTACGTACCATGGATTTGGTGATGGGGATTGGATAAATCACAAGTCAATAGAGGTCTGAAGGTAAGGGATGTGGTAGCAAAGAGTCAATTGATCAGAGTGTGAGGGGAGGAGAGAGAGCACAAATTTTCGTGGGAAACGATAGTAGGAAATTAAAGAAAACTCAGTGTTAAAGTCAGTAATTTGTCATGTATTAGTTGAATTATGGGCTAACAAGGATATCACATAGTGTTTTGTCATTGAGTGAATTCAGTTATCTAGCAATCTTAATTGAACTTCAATTATCCATGAATCAACATCAAATCATGGGCATCATTGACGAATCAATAGGGCCATAAAATGACAACAGATTATTCAATCAAAACATGGTTGCAATGATAAAAACTTCACTCTTAAGCTTCATTCGTAAGGTGCCTCCACCTAATAACCAACACCAATTAAGTAGGTGGCCAATTTTTCAACAACCATAGTAGCATCACCAGCAACAACTCCAGCAGGGTAATGAGCTACTAAGATAGCTTGTTTGGTTCTAACACAAACAACTCCGGTTTGTTCTTGTTTACCGTAAATTGATCTTTCATCAGCTTTCAATAAGAAATATTTAACACCTTTTAAATGTAAACCTGATGCTTGTAATTGTGAAGGATCATCAAAACCTCTAGCGAGTTCGGTGATTTCTTGTGCATCTAATTGAAATCCATTGGATTGAGCCCATAAAGAATCTCCAGCTCTTGAATACAAAGCAGCTTGGTCAATTTTACCAGTGGAGATTAAGTTATCAGTATATGCTTGCCAGGACATTTTGTTTATTCGTATTAAATTATCACTTTGTTGAGGGCAAACGATATACCGCGGTCGTGCATTGGTGACTGAAAAAATCTCCATAGTTAAGAGAATAGATTATTATATATTACACTTTCTGCTTTTTAATAGGTGGTTCGACTTCTATGATATCATCAACAACACCTTCTTCTATTGGTTCGTCATCTTCGGCGTCGGTTTCTTCTTTGAACACTTTTTTGGCTCGTAAAGTTAATTCAGGTAATTTAAATTCCTCACCTATGATAATGTAAAGTTCAAGGTTCTCTAATTCGTCATTATCATCTTGAACTAATAAGGTTTCACCTGATTTGAACCCTAAGCTGTTCAAGGATCTGTCAACATTATCTTCGAAATCAAAATCATAGATCAATTTGTTCTTACCTAAGATTAATGAGATATCTTCATATTTATAGAACTCCTTGATGTTGTCGATCAATTCTTGCAAGGTACCATCCAAGGACGATAAACTCATGATTCCACGAGATGATAAAGAACAACTAGCACACTGAGGATTAGGCGAAGCTAAAGTTGCTCGAGCTACGAATCTATTTGGTTTCATGGATACAAATACAGTGTTAGCATCTTGGTTGGAAAGTTCATAAGATTTGAAATAATTCAATGATTGTAAATCAGAGAATCCTGATATGATGGCATTGGTTGTGGCTATGGCAGGAATAATATTACCGGCAATTTGTTTGATATCGAATTTACTCATGACATCAATACCGAAAATGGAACTTCTTAAATTGGATGCTGAAACAACAAAATTCAAAGTGTCGTCGTCATCTTTATCGAAAGAAATAAACTTTTCACCCAGTTGAATTCTATCAATCAAAGATTTGCTGGCTTGATACAATACATAAAGATTTTCCAAGATTGACCATACTTTGGTTTCATTATGTAACACATCAGATGAAGTAGATTTAACCATGGATGATAATTCTGAGTTGTAAGTCGCATAATCTAAAGGAACTGGTTGTTTCCTGTATTTCCATAACGAATCGATTCTGATCAACTTTTCAATATCTTTGACGAAAATTTTATTAACCAAATTATCCATAAACTCCTCAATAGTCGAAGAAGTTAATTTTCTGAGATCATTCAATTCATTAGTTTCATTCATCAAATTATCGATTTCTTTTTTATCAGTAGTTTCAGACTCTAAGATTTTACGTTGTTCAGCTAACTTTTCCGGCAGTAGAATTTGCACTTCATCGAATAACTGCATGAACAAAAACTCTTTAGCCCATGTTATACAATGAACTGGTTTAGAAGGAGTTGATCTAATTGTACAAACAGGATAAGTTGTGGGAGTATCTTTAGGAATACAGTCAAAACATTCTGATTGATATGGATAAATAGGTAATACTTGACCTTGGAAACCTGTAGTTCCACTTTCCATTAATGGTTTCTTCAAAAATAACGCTATCAGGTTAACATAAGTTCTAGCTTCTACATTATCCAAAGCATTATAGATATAATCAAAACTTGACCACCATGAGATAGGAAACAATTCAGTATTCATGATATTTCCATGATGAGGAATCAACTTACAATCAAAATAATTGAATTTTTCAACAGCTTTAACTAGTATCATAGCCTTAGATTTGTTAATATCCTTTTGTCTGAATAAGAACTGACGATTCAAATTACTTAAAGTGATAGTATCAAGATCAACGATATGTATTTCACCAAACCCAGTTAACATTAAATTCTTGATTAATTCACATCCAATACCTCCAGCACCAACCATCAAAACCTTAGAGGCTTTTATATGGTTGAACCTTTCTTCACCTAGAACTTTCTTCAAATATGTATCTTTGGCCATTAGATATTTCACCGCGAAACAGTTTGAGATGTCATTATATGTGAATTGAATCCTAAACTATAAACTATAAAGATTAAACATCAGTGAATAAGGTCCACACCCCTTTTAAGTATTGAACAATTTCCGAACCACCTAATTTTGAATCTCCATATAATCTATCAACAAAACTGATTGGAACTTCAGCAATATTATAACCTAAATTTCTTGCTCTAACAATCATTTCCATTTGGAAAACGTAACCTTTAGATTTTGTGACTTCAATAACTTTACTAAGAACTTCTCTTTTATATAATCTGAAAGAACCAGTTAAATCTGAAATTCTTGGTCTTAAGAAGAAATCAGCTAAGAAATTAGCCCCTCTAGAAACTAATTTTCTCTTTAAATCCCATCCATAAACACCACCATCTCCACTATATCTAGTACCAGTAACAATATCATAATTACCTTCCTTTTGTTTTTTAATAAATTGTGGAATGGCTTCAGGATGATGGGAGAAATCAGCATCCATAATAATAACGAAATTTCCAGTAACAAATTGTAAACCATGAACATAAGCAGTACCTAAACCTAATTTACCTGGTCTTGGTCTTAATTGAATATGATTAGAACCAAAAATGTCAATCAATTTCTTAGCAATTATTTGAGTACCATCTGGTGAATTATCGTCAACGATAATAACTTCCCAATCTAAACCGGCTTCTTTGAATGACTTGGATAACAAGTAAATCAAGATAGGTAAGTTCTTTTTCTCATTATAAGTAGGTAAAATAACTGAATACTTATCACCCATTTTGTTTAGTTTTAGTTTTTGAGATTCTACGTGTCGATAATTTTTTTGCACCCTCGCACTATTTTTTTTTCCTTCCCACTTGGCTGCAAAAAAAAGAAAAAGAGAATGAAGAAGAATAAATTAATGCTATTTCTATAAGGTTAATTATTGTTCAAGTTCAAAGAACTGAATTGATTAGTAAGATAATCATTATTTGAATTCAAAGGTTGATTTGAATATTGATAATTACCGAATGCTTGATATAATCCAGGAGAATTAGATGAATAATTTGATCTCGTTGCTGTAGTTGGAGGTGAAATTGATTGAGGTTGTTGAGGTTGAGATTGTGATGAACCGATGGATGAATTATTGGAAGGAACTTGAGATATCTCTCCTTGAACATTAAGATTAATTGAAGGTGAAGGGGAATTACTATTCATCATTAAATATTGTTGATTAAGTAATTGAGATTGAGGATTGGAATTGGTTCGGGATAAGTTACCTGAATACATATGCATTGAAGGTTTGAAATTTCTAGCATTGACATTCCCATTAATATTCCCATTAAGATTTCCACTATTATTCCCATTATAATTTTGATTTTGGTTCATTGACATTTGATTCTGATACATATTTAAATTTAAAGGTTGACCAGAAGCTGTGGCAGCAGCAATAGCAGCAGCAGCTGAATTAACTGAATGTTGGTTTACTTTATTATTATGTAAATTAATAGGTTTACCATTACCACATTTCAAACAAACCAAATTCTTAGCAAAATTATGATATTGACATAATTCATTAGTACATTTCCAATCACCTGCTCTAAAAGGTACGGAAGAATTATTATTTTGGAAATTTCTATCATAAGTTGTATACCCATTATTATTACCGTTCCCATTACCGTTGATACCATTGACATTATTACTATTTACATTGTTTATATTTGAAGTTGTTTTAATATTATTAAGTTTATCACCCCCATCAGGACTGATATTATTTCTATTGATTAAATTCGAAGGATGAATTTGTTCTTGGAATGTGACTGCGCTTGTTGCTGGGAACAGACATCTGAAACAAGCTGTTCTTCTTTGGAAGTTGGAGAATCCACATGATGGACATGTCCAATCTCCAGGTCTAGGTCTATTTTTTGAAGGAGGAAATGCTGTTAATAAATCATTAGCTTTATCTAAGATTCTGGTAGATGATGGTTGAATTTCAATAACTCTGTCATTTAATCCTCTTCCATTTAATGATAATGAATCTCTGGCTTCTTCATGACTACTGAAAACAGCAAATCCACTAATACCTTTAACTTTGAACTTCAAATTAGAATTATCTAAATTTTTCAAAGTCCAAAATGCAATAGGTCTAGCTCCAAATTGAGTGAACCAAGATTCTAATTCAGATTGTGTGGTGTCAAAAGGTAAATTAGTTAAATAAATGATCTTGGATCTCTCATTAAGGAAGATTTTGATATCTTGAGCTACATCATAAGGTTTAGTTAACACATTACTATCACTTTCCAATGGGGATTTTTTGATTAATTGGATCAATAATTTTGAATATAAAGTAATCCCTTTATCTTCTATTTTAGTTGGAAGTTCTTTATCGGATTTATCGTCTTCGGATTTAACTAATTCTAAAGCCACTAAAATCCCATTCAAATTACCATTATAATTCAAATACTCGGGGTGATTGATTTGCCATTTATTAAATTCACTTCTGAAATCAAAAATTCTCGGATGTTGTAAGAAGGGAGGTAAAATTATCCCTTTATCTCTTGATTCCCTTGGTAACTGAACTTTTAAATCATTAGCTTCCATGGAAACCAACGAAAATTCTTTAGCTCCAACATGTTCTTTGATGGCTTTTTCGAAATCAGTTACTATATCTTTTAATAATTTACTATCTTTAACACGATCCCAAGTTATACCAGTTATTTGATTACAGTATGAAGTGATTGGAGTATTGACAGGTTTCACAAGATTTTTGGTTTCATTTATGATTTCCAAAGTCTTACTATCGATAATCGACCACGAGAATTCGATGATTTCCGTGGAATCCTTCGTCACATAAGTGTTTGTATCGTCACAAGTAGTATTTATATCAACTACTACATATATTTCACTCATGGTTGAGAAATCTGAAAATTTTTCAGTCTTCGCGATTTGATGTTTTATTGTATGAGATTTCTATTTACTAAGATAATGAGCAAATATAGGATTATTGGACAATGGTTGATTGATAGGGATGATTTCTGATGATGAAGAGTCATTATTGAGTTTTTCAAGAACCAAATTTGATTCAAAAGGCTTAATACTAGGGTCTAAAGTCCCGATAGTTATGTGGGGGAAACGGTTGAAAATTTCAAACCCTGGTAAATTAACCTTAACATCGATACAGATCAACTTTTCATTGATTACCAAATTGACCAATTCTATATCTCTCGTGGTAGTACATATCTGTTCATCATCGGGGGAATCCTTTCTAGTTCCGACGGTTGAATGGTATTTCTTCCATTCACTTTGATTTTTCCCCAGATGACTTGAATGCATTAATGTTACATGAAACTCTTTTTGAATTCTATCATCCTGTTGTAATTGAGTTAATAATGGATGGGAAACTGTTGATAATATGTCGATAATTTGTTGATGGGGAACTTTCAATCCAAAATAGTCAACTTTCCGCTTACTCTTACTCATAGAACCAAAAGTTTTAGTATAGGTTGGAACATAAGCACGAGCTGAAGCAATAGCTTCAGTGATTCGGTCATCACTAGGCATTTCTCTTATCAAATCCTCATGTTGAGCCAATTGTTCCAACACCTGTTTAAGGGCATCTTCAGTTGAAACATTGAAGTCAACATTTATTATTTCATCGAATTCACTATCGGGTTCATATTTTGGCGACAAAGGTTGAAACATCAGTACGAACCCTCTCAAAACTTTGGCAGCCAATTCAGGATCACTTGTACTCTTAATGGATTGATGATTATCACCACGAGCTACGATTCTTTCCATGGTAACATCAAACAATTGCTTTTTATCCGTACCTGGAGGTACAAAATTCAAAGCTATGAAGTGTAAACAATATTTTGATAACTGATAGTTCAATTTGAATCCATAAAACTGGTCGAATAACTGTTCACGATTTCTCTTCACATGATTATTTCTATCACAAAATACTAAATCTTTAGTTTCTAACTCTTTCAAACAACTATTGACCAATTGTGTTTTATCCTTGGAACCAATATTATCGTTCTGAATGTGTCCCCAGGGGAATAATTTCGTTAAACATTTAGCTATGGTGGTCTTACCACACCCTATAGTAGCTATTGGGATAATGATATATTTATTTTTTAGTTCCTCCATAGGAGCAGCTTTCTTCAAATCTTCATTGATCTTGAACAAGTTCATGGCAGATATACTGTCCAAACCATAGGATTCTAAGAACAACTTTCTTAAGGAAATGATTCCAAATCCCTGTAAGTATCTTTCTTTGGCTTGAGGGAACTCATGGAAATAATTACTGATGAATTCTATATACTTGGAAATGATGAATTTTTCATCTTTGTACTTCTTAAGAATGTCACTGATGGGTCTTTCATTAATCCACTGTTTAGTGACTTCTCTGAAATGTCTATAAATCAAATAAGGTTGTTCGAATTTATACTTGAAGAAGAAATCTTCTGATTTCAATTTACATCTGACAACAAAACCTTCGATCTCTCTACCATTCCAGGACCCAGTAGTTTCACAATCTTTAAGATAATCCATCAAAGTGGTGAAATCATCAAATTTAAACCATTTGACCAGGAAAAACCCCCATTCTTTAGCAAACTTTTCAACATCTTCCATGGGATATGTCTTGAAATCAATAGTATTGAAATTTATACCATGTAAATATAAACCGGCTTCCTTTCCTTTGTAACTCAAAACATGTTCTTCAAAAGAATCATCACATAATTCCATAACTAAAGTTATATTTCCCTCATGAAGAAGTTTAGCCAAAGATTCCACCAGTTTCCCTTGTTCTTGAAGTAATTTCTTTAACTGTACTTCACCTTCATAAGCATGGTTACGAGTCAAATCATCCCTGATTCCTGTAGAATGTTTAGAACATACAATTATAGTACCATCTTCTAAACCACTAACAAAGATAATACAACCATTCTCTTTCACTGTTACAGTATAAGGACCTGTGGTTTTCTTCAAGCCTCTCATTTTGGTTTCATGAACTTCATCAATGTTAAAAAACTTATTATAACCTCGAGTAACAATCTTATTATTCAATGTGAATAAACCTCTCGCTTTACAAGGCACCAAATCTCTATAATAATCCCATTCATTAAACTTCCAGGCTGTAATTACATGATTGGCTTCACCTACACTATTATCACGTTTCTTCGAACCACCTTTCCTCAAGGATAAGGAAGCTTCAAGTCGTTCACTGAGAGCTTCAAGCGATGAGTCAGAATCAACTATAGGATCAAGCATTAACTTTTTTTTCGCAGTAGTTTTTTCTAAGATCAAATGGTTGATGTTGATGAAGCAGATATCGCTGTGTTGAATCAGAATTTGATCAAGTCCAAAGATCTATTCAATTCAATCTCCAAGTCATTAACCACCATTTCCACCAAATCAACAAATGCATCAACAAGAATCAAACCTATATTGAAAGATGTCAATAAACTTACAAACGATAACAAACAGATCGAAAGAGGTATTGAAACGTTACAGGAAGTTAGTGGATATGCCGAAAAGGCCAGTAATTATGAAACAATCTTATCAACATCAATTGATGTTATAGGAGTGAAGAAGTATATCGATACCTTGAACAGACTGAAAGTATTATTGATGGAAATGAAGTCTAAGATAAAGAAATTCCTTGGGATTTTGATCAATTTTGAAAACTTAATAGATAAAAGTGAATTGAACCTTGTGAATTATTTCAAGAAACAGATGATAAACAATAAATTCAATGATGTTATGACAATAATTCAATATTTCCAAAGTGATAATAAACAGATCAATAAGATTTTGGTTGATTCCAGATCAGGTAAAATGGTTGAAAAAATGAAAACTGTAGAGAAAGCAGTTGAGTTCAAACCTAAACCTATGGGACCTTCAAATCCTCCATATGAAAAGGGAACTAATGGATTGAATATTTATTTAAGAGAATTAATGGATTTATTGACTAAAGAAATGGAAATTTTAGATAAATTAGAAAGCACAAGATTATTCAACATGATAATTGACCATACAATGGATAATTTTAACGATATCCTTGAAAAGAATTACATATCATTTTTCAATGATTCCAATTTGATCTTGAATGATATATTGATATTAGAAATAATTGAAATTTTGAATGATTTCATTGAACATTTTAACCAATTTGAAAACATTAAAAACTTCAAAGTTAATTTAACCATCACCAAATTGATTAACATCATAAAGAACTTCCCTAAAGAATTCTTCAAATACATCGAACAAAAGATTCTTACAATAGATAAGATGAATGAATTAAATCAAACGGGAATTGTTGTTGAATTGATAACCAAATTAAGAAAACAATCTGATTTCCCCAATGGATTAAGTAGAATTATCGAATATTATAAATTGGGAGATTGGCTTAATATCAAACCAACATTAAGATTCATATCAGTTTATACATCAGTAATCAAGAATGATAATTTAACTGATAATGTATCCAATTATTGCAGTGATTTAATTGATTGTATAATGATAAATATGGAAATAAGTTTGAAAGAATTCAAGAAATCCACTCAAGGATATTATTTAATGAAAGATATGATTTTATTAGAAACTATGGTGAACAGATCACAAAATTTATTTGATATTCTAGGTAGTACTGGATTAGAAAGAATCAATAAGTTGAAAAAAAGATTCTTGAACTTATTCTTAGAAGATTGGAATCACGCAAGTTATTTAATCATTAAAGAAATGACAGAAATTAATGCTTTGGTAGCAATGAATCAAAAAGATAAAGAAAAAGATCTAATAAAGAAGGTTTTTGAAAGGTTCAACGAGGCTTTTGATGAAGCATGTAAAAATTATGAAAAATTCAATATAAATGATCCAAACTTGAAGAATTACTTGAATAGTGAAATCAAGAAATTAATTTTGAATTCATACTTTAAATTATACGATAAATATGGAGATAATTTAAGGTCCAAGAAATATGTTAGATATAATAAGCTTGAGTTTGAAAATATAGTTAACGATCGATTAAAATAACATTTAAGGTTTCCATGTATAACGTATAAAACAATAAATAAACGAATTAACCCATGGCAGAACCCCCGACCCCTGTATATAGAATTGTTGACAAGATAATTCGTAGCTGTGAACATAAGCCTACGAAATAATACCTTTACTTGGTAGAGGTCATTTGTAGTTGGCCCGGTAAAGGTCATTTGTATTAATTCTTGTAAAGGACACTTATATTAAGTCTTGTAAAGGACACTTATATTAAGTCTTGTAAAAGGACACTTACCTTGGTGGGACCAGAAATCATGAAAACTCGTGGCATATATTCACGGCGTAGATACGAAAATGTCAAATGAATTTTCACGTCACTGATGGATAATGCCAATAAAACGATAATGAAATTTCTTGGTTTCCCCTAATAAACGTTTGGCATTAAGGGAAATTTTGGGAATGGGAGGTATTTTCTAATCAGAAAATATAAACACAACGTTGATATCACCCTCTCACATTATCGGGGATCACCTTGTTTCTATAATAACATCCATTACCTTATCATTACCAATTCGCCGCCTTACCGTTAATCTCATGTCAATCTGATTATAGACAACTAATGTCGTGCGACATATCAAGAAAAAATAGATTTGAAAACTTCTTGGACGTTTATATACCGGAACACCCCGAAAAGCCTCTGTCAAAAAAGCATTCAATTGTCAGAAGGTTAATTTGACACAAGTGAGATTAAGTGACATATTTATTAAGCAACCATCTATAATTAAACCATCAACTCGGTATAAGCTAAAGACCTTACTTCCTATAATACAAGTCAAATGCCAAAGTTGTGTGGAATAAATACGGAAATTAACTGGGGTAGATCTTCCTTAATACCAAGAAGTTAAATAATTATAGGACAAGAATTTCGTATATAAAGAAAATTTTCTTATAAATAATCTCAATTCCCACTTTTTTTAATCATCAGTGCAAACATGAATAATAAGATTAGTTTACCACCAATCAGTGATATCTTGAATAATTCTATTTTACCATTACCATTACCAACAAATTATAATAATCCATTGAATGGATTTAATTCTTATAATTTGAATAGTTATACTCCAATTAACAATGGTATGAATTCTGGTAATTTGAATAACTATTCATTCCAATCCAAATCTAATAGTCCAAGATCATCAGAAAGTTCTGAATCTAATTCACCAATTCAATCAAATTTCAACTACAATTATAATTATAAGAAGATTGAATTACCTAATAAAATTACTGCTAATACAGTTTCTTCAAATGAAAAACGTAAAACAAGAAATAACTTACCAAAGGAAACCACTTATATCTTATTAAAATGGTTAAATGACCATTTAAATCATCCTTATCCAAATAACTTTGAAAAGAATCAATTAATGTCAACTACTGGTTTGAATCAACAACAATTATCTAATTGGTTTATCAATGCAAGAAGGAGAAAGATTAAGATGTTAAAACAACATAAAAACATTATATGAGAAGGGGGTTTAACTGGTTAAAGGTTGGGTAAAAAGGTATAAGAACTGTTATAGATTACACAGTTTAATGAATAACGAAACGCGATTTTTTTGCAACCATCTCTAGACCTCTACTTCTTACTATCTTAGAGGAATATGATATCAAATTTCAAAGTCTGGCTAGGGAAATAGCTTTTCAAATGATGTTTGGTGGCGTTGCTTTATCTGAACTACCCCTAATCGAAAGCTGTCATTCCTTGTTGAAAGGCAAACACTTAAGCCACTTTCAAAATTCTTATAAAAATCTTGGCAAGTCGCGGTCGTGGATGGCCATTTGCATGGTGGATTTACCCTTTTGAGAACGGAATTGCCATTTTGAGGGATGCGACAAATCGGTTATACACTGAGAACTAATTTGACAGATTTTTACGACAATGCTGAAGAATTTGACATTTTCGGTACTGAACAAATCACCCGGGGTCCGGATCACGTGACATTTGAAAATCAAGTTTCCCATTTTTTATAATATAGAAGTATCATAATTAGTTATGTGGATGCTGAAGGGTATTGGTAGCACCTTGTTACTCGGATATGTTCCAAAATCTCGTCTTCAATGTTTCAGGTGAAATCGCAGTCCAAATCAGATCGCACTGTTTACATTTTTAAATACGAGACTAAATCAATATGAACTCAACTGATGCTCTTATAGCTATTTCAGACCATATACTCAATTCGATCAACTCCCTTAATAAACTAGAGTATAATAAGAGTGGTAGGAAGTATAAGTTTATTGAAAACAGTTTTCAAAGAATCAAAAATGAAGATAAACACTTGATGATTTCTGATGATTTTTCAATGAAGATGGCCATAATCTCCAGTTATAATATCTTAAACAACATAAATCCCGAGATTTTTGACAAGTATCCTGACTTTTGCTTAAGTATCATATCGGTTGCCAGAGAATTGGAAATAAATAAGTGGTATGAAGTTTCGAACATTATAAATTATTCCCCAAACTTTGAGTTTGATAACCAATTAGTCAAGAATGCTATCAATTTTTCATTGAAGATCAAACCTAAACATTTGGAAATGGGTTATAACTTAATGATTGCATCAAAGATCAACTTTTTCCATACAGATCATCATTTAGGTACCAAGATCTATGGGTTTTATTTGATCAAGTTTATGATTGATTATTTCGGAGAAGAATCAATTAATGATGCTGATATTTTAACTGCTTTGAAATCTTTCGTTCATTGGGGGTCTATCAAATTGATTTTGTACAAATTGGACCTCAAAGTTAATATAACTGATGATGAATTCTTATCATATAAGAAGTTCCCTCAACCTTTACCTGAGTTGAAAGAGGAAATTTTCAAGAAATACCCATCAGGAACATCAAAATATAATCTCATAAAGAAATCCTTATTTGCTTTAGCTCAACACCCGTACGGTGAAATCATTCCATTCCCTAACAATGATATTTACGATTTGAACTGGATATTCGAAATCTGTAAGGACATTGAAACTGACCCTTTGAAATACCATCTTCGTTCGAAACTGAAGAATTTATCCATCAACAAACCGTCATTCCACCCTCCAGCTACTTCAGTTCAAAATTTACTTAACTTTATTGTTGCTATTATCACATTATTTGATCTTGAATTCGATTTCATTACCAAGACCACAAAATTACCTAAATTCGAAGATATCAAAGATACAGAGATGCTCAATACCTTGAAACCCATCAGTGATCAGGTCATACAATACCGTGAAAAGGATTGGGGTATTGATGATGTTAGTTTGAGATTGAAAACTGACAATTCTTTAAGTTCTGTTGTGGATCAATTCCAACAACAATGGTCATTATCTGAGAGTTAGTCTATAAACATTTTATTCATCTAAACTTTTCTATACTGCTCTAAAACCAAGGCAACTTGTTGTTATTCTCCCAAATACTCTTTTCGTTTTTAAACCTAATAGCACTCAATGAGGAATTCTCTTGAACTTCCCCCCCAAAAGCTTCATCAACATCACTTGTCCATACACTTACTGAAGCCACTTTGAAATGTTTCTTGGAGTACTTCATATAATCAATGGTCAAATCACTTAAAAGTTTCTTGATAGTGAAATCGGATCCTGATCTGGTTTTGGATGAGCCTTTACTGAACATATGTAAGATTTTACAAGAGAATATGGGTTCTTCTTCCATTTTAAGTTCAAAGGTCCAAATTACGTATCCTAATAATTCACCATTTTTTGATACTTTGATACCTAACTTTTTTGGTTCATATGAAGTGAATTCTTCAATTATATCATCAAAAGCTTTGGTCTTCAATGCTTCTGGGGATGAAACTAGATTGTAGCAAAAATACTTGATTCTTAAATGGAACCAATTAACTACTTCTTCACTAGGAGCGAACACAACTCTACTTTTCCCATCATTCATGGCCATAATTCTCTTGTCTTCTTCTTCGTTATGTAAGTCCATCACTTCTTTGAAGCCTTGGTAATCAATCAATTCAACATCAAATCCATCTACACTGTACTTCTCTGAACCATTGAAGATTTTGGCTTCATAATCATCTATATATCTCGTTCTAATAGGTACATGGAAAGATTCATAGCCACATCTACTGTAATAATCACCAACTTCTGAATATAAGATGACGAATTCCAAATCTTCTTCATCACATATCTTGTTCAATTCATCTATCATGAACTTGGCTATACCTTTTCCTCTAAATTTAGGATTTGTGAAAACTCCTCCAATGCAACCATTCTTGACGAGTGTTTTTTCAACCTTACCATCCTTAGAATTATACTTATACCCATCACGGATGATTATCTCCACTGAACTCATGATATCGTCGGTTGAGTTGATGTCTTCTGATTCAGTAACCACATAGATTCTCATATCTTGACACATTGGCGATTTTGCTAATAACCTATCACGGAATTGATAATCGGGTACCGATAAGTGACCTTTCCACACATCACCGTTCAATTCTCTGGTGAAATCAATCTTATCTGGATCAGTTAATCTAGTGAGCTTCATCGCGATAGTTGAGAAATATCCCGTAGTACTTGAGAAAGGTTATTGGAAGAAGTAGAGGCTTTGAAGTGAATAAATAATTTGATTTGACTATATGAGTTGGAAGACTAACTGTTGGAACTTATGAGTATAGACAATGTTAAGTTTTATGGACAAGTATGGATGAAATAAGTAGGGAGTATTATTAGCTTCAGATCAAGTATGTTTGCAGAGTATTAACTTCACACCAAGTATTTTGCAGACACTTGACTTCAGACTACTGTTCACTTTTCGAATGACAGCACTAACAAGTCACAAGTACTCACAAGTACTTTCAAGTCTTCCAGTTTCATCAGTCCAAGAGACACTCTTTGAACTTTTGACCATGGATCTTCAGCCGCACTAAAGCACAATTAATACCATGAAAGTTTATTATTATTCTCCCATACAAGTTCACCACTTATCAACTTCTTCTGGTCCTCTTCATTGAACATTCTGATAGCTGAAAGACTTGAATTGACGATTTCCTCCCCCTTGAACATTTCATTGGAAATTTCACTTCCCCAGACCTTTAATTGAGTGAATTTTTGTGCGGTTTGGGAATTCAATAATGATAAGTAGTCTTCCAAATAGGTTATCATTTTGGCTTTTTGATCTTCATAGCCTGGGATGGTGAAAAGACTCAAAACTGTGACATAGTTATGAGATTCGACCCAATCATAGGTCCAAATAACATAACCTACAAATTGCCCATCGATTTCAAGAGTCATACCAAATTTTTCCGGTTTCAAATTTTTAAACACTTCTACCGTATGTTTAGGATCACTGAAATCGATATCTGGCTTTTCTTCATTGAATGCTTGGTAATGAACATATTTTGATCTCAAATGAAACCAATCTACGATATGTTCATTGATGTCAATTGTGACTCTGGTTTTATTATCATTATAACTTTCTATCCTCTCAGTAGTATATTTGTTGTATATATCAATCAAAGGTTTAAATTCGTGATATGATACCAACTTCAAAGTTTCATTGTTGAATTTGTACTCATCTCTAATATCTTTCAAAGTTTGTGGTTTATGAGTCACCAGTTTTTGCAACACAGGAACATGAAATGACACATAATCAAAATTTGAATAATATTCACCTACTTCTGAATGTAATATAGAGAAGTCAATGTTCATGTCATGTAATTTCTCAATCACTTTATTCAACATGATTTTAGCATACCCCTTACGTCTATGTTCCGTGTAAGTGAAAACAGCTCCAACAGATGCCACTTTAGCTGCAGTGGTAGAAGTTTTTCCGTTTCCGTTCTCAATTCTATGACCCTCTCTGAATACAACTTCACAAGAGCATAACCTCTCATTGGCTACATTTATCAACATAAATGCTGCATAAGGTCTTCCCATCTCACTATTTGACAAAACATATTCTCTCAAAATGAAATCTTTAGATGATAATATACCTTTCCATGTTTGTGAACAATGTGATCTAGTGTAATCGATCTTATCTTGATCTTGCAACTCAAGTAACGTGAACTTATTGGATTCTGGCATTAAATATTTTTCTTCCTGTCAGGAATCAACAAGTAATTATATATATATATCTGTAATATTACTCTATTTGGTCATATACGCGCATCCATTATTACTCGTAAAGTTATTACCTTTGCCTATCTGACGTTATAAGTTGTCGATAAGGGATTTCATTTCGCAGCTGTATTCAGGAACTGTTTTGAAATTTAAGCATCAGTACAGGTTTGTCCTCTAAAGGTAATTGAAAACGATTTTGATTCAGGAAGGCAAAGGCCGTCTATTAGTGAAAGAGATTGTTGGAAGGTGAACTATTGGTTATTGAATTGATGTTTGAGGGTCTAAGAAGTGAGTTTAAAGTTTAGCTACAGTCTACTTGAGATTCGGACGTAAGTGTTCAGTTTCATCGCTTGAAAGGATTTACTCATTTGAAGTAATATGATGCCTCCATATTTCTGCATTTTAACGGGTAAACTCACCCACGCCTCTTACCAATAATCCACTAAATGTCTCGCTAAAACTATCACTAAACTCCTTCTAGAATTCTCGCTAAAACTCCCACCAAATATCCCTAAAACTTTCTCACCAAACCTCCTTGGACATTCTCACTAAATCTCACCCAAATCTATCGCTATCGCTACAAAATTGAGAATTTAAGATGGAATTACTCCCAGAAGGACAAAAGAATTCTATACAAGTTTTATGGGAAGATCAACAAAAGATCAATAGATTTAGTTCTTTGATCAATGCCAAAGATGAATTAAGTTCAAAATTAGAAAAATTGAAAACCGAAAAAGATTATATCGATGACTTATCTCTCGAGTTAGAGTTGGTCGATGAAGATGAAAAAATCCAATATAAGTTCGGTGATGGATTCATCTTCTTGAAAGCTGAACAAGTATTGGAAAAGATTGATAAAACCAATACAGACTTAACATCAAAGATCGAAGATGCAGAATCAAAAATTGATGATTTGAACGATCAATTAAATGAGTTGAAGACTGATTTGTATGCCAAGTTTGGGAAGAATATCAATCTCGAACGTTAGGCTCATAAGATTGTCATACAGAACAGTACGAAACATCTAGATCCATTAAATCGGTAAATAGGAAAATGGTTCAGTAGTGTAATATATTTTTAATGAAAATATCATGTCGTACAACGTAGATCTAAACTTACAAATGATCCACACTATAGCTCCCGGTCATAAACCAAGTCATGATTTCACATCCCCCCAAACTGCTCCCCAATTGATCTCTTGCTTTTTAAAAGAAGTTCTCATTTAGTCTACAAAACTCAGTATAGCGGTTCATAAAGATATCAGTCTCTTCACATGTGCATGGGGTAACAGACTGTATGAGTCTCTGCATCTGTTCCTTCCTCATCAGACCAACTTTTCACTAATAGTGATTTACGCAGGGCTGATGAGTTATCATTGCGATATACCCCGAGAGCCTTTTAACCGATTTGCTTCCCATCGAATTGCTCCATGTGATCTGTGATAAGCTTATCTTTTATAAGTCAACCCGATGTACCCAGAAGGTTCAATATACGCATACAAGTAGTATATTATTGATATTTCATAGTTTGTGCTATAAATATTACTCATAATTGCATTTCACTCAAGGCTGCAAATATTTCACTTCCCTGCTTATTAATTGTCAAACATATAACATAATTGAACTGCCCGAAAAACTTCAGATGAAATTATTCAAATCACCTACTGTGTCCTTATCCATTTCCTTACCTAGTAAAGACATATATTTTTGTGAATACAGGCCAAATATTGTATTTGGAGATTTAATAGTGAAGAGTAAAAAAGATGTTACTGTTAGTAACTTTTATATAGAGCTAGTTAGTGACTTAACTAATGCTTTCTATCAAACTAATGATGACAAGCAGAGTAAGAAGTATTCAAATGAAAGATTGATGAGATCAAGTAAACAAATTAAGTTGCAAACCATTTGTCCCGGTGAGACCGTGATACCATTCGATTTCCTTGAAATTATCAGTTACGAATCCGTAAGTACGAGAAATGTCCTTTGCCGATATCAATTGAAAGCTGTTCTTCAAACTGACAAAGGAAAAGTGGAAGCCCAACTACCTTTAAATTTTTTCAAAAAAATTTGCCCTGAAATGATAACTTATAAAGGTTCATCACTCAATTACAAATTGACGGTACCAAGATACGTATTTCTTGGAACTGAAACACATATGAAATTAGAATTGGATTCCGTGCCGACAATAAAAAATATTCAAGTGTCTTTACAACAGGAATTTAAATATAATTGGGTTGACGGAGATAGAGTCAAAGAAATATCCAATACTGAGACTGCAACTTTATTAGAGTCTTCTGATCTAGACATAAATGTGAATTTCCGAGATTTGTACACTTCACAAGCAGGCTTTATGTTTGTACATCCATGTTACACTTCAGATTCATTTGAATGCAACCATAAAATTAAGATTGATATTCTAACTGAAAACGGAAGTTACGAAATTCTTGAACCTTTGGCTCTCATGCCATGTAAGGCTAAAACAGGAATTGTACCTCCACCTGTTTATGATTGTGCTTTGGAAGACACTCCTATCGATATAAGTAGTATTAACTTACCACCACATTATGATTGTGTTGAGAAGTCTTAGGATTTATGTATACTTAAGTTAGGTTAGCCCATTCTCTTGATTCATCTTGCTCCTTCTTGTCTCTACAATATTTTTGTGTTGCAACATTCCTGCCTCTCCCACAGTTGGCATCCAATATGTGAAATCCCTATGACTAACACAAGTACGAGCTGCAAGATTTTTAAATCCGTTATGAGCCAAAACTTCTCATGTAGAAAAAGTATACCGAATGGGGAACAGTACACAATTTGATGAGTCACGATAAATGCCAGAAAACTATTTAAACCACCCAAATAACCCTCAGTTCGATCAATAAGTTCAATTCTTCCTTAGCAAATTTACATCCTGGTGAGTTTAAGGTAAACTCAGTACAATATATAGAAATATACACTTTAAGTGAAAATGAAATCTTTAATTGAAATCCCTAAAAAGCTTTATTATAGTCAAGGTTTAGAATTATTAGGCACCATATCCACCAACTTCCAATTGGCTCATATTTCCGTCGTACAGAATGTTGATGATTTTTACTATGTTCAATACCCAGTATTACTCAAACAAGCCCCCCACCAAGCACGAGCCGTATTAGGCTCTCATGTGTTACGTGATGGGAAGAGAAATACCAGTTTCAGCATTGTAGTTCATCCTGACTATGCCAGCTCGGCTTACGTCAAATATTCGGTAGAGGCAGAAGTATGGGTCGATGGGAAATGTGAAAAGTTCAGTAAAAATATTGAATTGATCAAAATTTCCATACCCAGACAAATTAACATCCAAGGACAAACCATCCCTACGGTCGTAGACTTAAAAACAAAGTACAAAGTCATAGAATATGAAAAGATCAGAGTTGAAGGTAATAAGGATAAAATTAGTATTACAAATAAAAAGTCTATCAGTTTCAACAGTGTCAACATATCGAAAACTCATAAATTGAAAGTTAAAATTGATGGCAAATATTATTTAACTCCAGTTACTATTGTACAAGATTCACAATCGATGATTCCGTGTCCTGAATATGTATCTCCCCCGTCATATACATCTAACAGATAAGCTTCCACGATTTTAGTGATCTGTTTCCATACCAGGCCTATTTCCATGCGAGACCTGTTCAAATGCCAGCTAGTAATCTATATACAAAACTACTCGTCGTCGCTGTCTTCATAAGTTGGTATTTCGTCAAAAGTTTCTTCAACTTTACGTCTTTTGGCATCACTGTCTTCTCTTTCAGGATGAGCATGACCATTGGCATGTTCCTGATTATGTTGTGGTGGGTGATGAGATGGAGGTTGTCCGTTTTGTTGTTCACGTTTCAAATGTCTAGACTTCCATGCCTTGGAAATTTCCCCACAACTATTCACAATTTCTTCTTCTGTTACACCATCTTGAATACTCATTAAGACTTTCTCTACTGTAGTGAAGTGGTTGGCGTTGGATTTATCATTACGGAATCTGAGCATTTCCCAGAATCCAGGTTTGTCCAATTTTTTCCTACATTCAATGATTCTTCCTTGTAAAGGCTCATTCAAAGCCTTCAATTGTTCCCAGTCAGTATTTTCCAAATCCAATCTGGTGAAATGTTCATATTCTTTTCCTCCCTTCCATACTTTCAAATTTAACACGTCAGGTTTGGAATCATAATCAATATATGTTGAGTCGGGATCTCTGGGATCCATATCAGGGTCTTGATATTTATTGAATTCAATTTCCAACTTATAATCGATGGTATTTTCATGAGCTGGTTTCCATTTCAATAATGTGGCATCGGTACCAAACACATAAGGAGTTTCAGCGCAAGTATAAATCAAACCATCAGATTCATGGAATAATTGATCTTTTTTACTCAAAACATCATCAGCATGATAACTTGACGTCATAATCTTGAAACTTACTTTGAAAGGGAAGTTTGGTGAGTTAACGATCTCGGGGTTTTTGATTTTGAAGTTATCAAAAGGTTTCATTACATTCTCAGTGATGTATCCCAATCTGGTGGATAAGTGACGTTTAGTTATATCTTTTCCATGAATGGCCAATGCATCGAAAATACAATACCTCAAGTAAGGTTCACTGACATTCTTAGTTTCCAACACCAATTCCCCATCAAGTAGCGTACCATGATGATAAGTTCTTCCTTTATCTTCATTCTTTGTCAATGGGAAATGAATATTGGGTATGTGATGATAATCATTTTCTCTAGTGATCAAAAAAACTCCTTCACCCTTCTCTGGATGATCGATTATGAACAAAAGACATCTCAATCCATCAGACTTTTCACATACGAAATAGTCTTTCTTCATCAAATTTTCACGCAAATGGAATCTTTCGAAGGAAACAGGTTGAGATCCTGGGAAGTTGACGTTCCTACGATTTAACAAGTCTGCTACAATCATTCTCAATTCCTGGGCTTCTTCTTCAGGTAGTTGGGTGCCAGGTATCACTGGCATATTGCGTTCATCTAATATCATAGTGATGTTTTTCTAGTGCGAAATGTTGATGATGTTTAAGGCTGGTGATAGAAGGAAGTGTGAGATATCTAAGGACTGGAAATAGTGAAAGAGATATCGACGGAGGAGAGAATAATTGAAGATATAGATAATAGGGCTAATGTGTTTAGAGGGTTGGAAATGGTGAATTGGCTGAATTAGAATAAAAAAACCCCATTCTGAGCCAATGGTGTTGATTTTCAAGTAGCCATATCCAGTAAAGGGGATGAAACTAGTACCTCAGCCCCTTTTCCTTTCGAAGCACGGCAGAAGGATACCACCTCCAAACACTCTTCATCTACCCATTAGTGATTTTGGTGCGATGCGAAATACTAATGAAATTGACATCTCAGGTAATAGAGGCATCTACCACATACACCAATCCGTCGAAGCAGGCAACCCTTCAGCTTCGAAATTCAAACCTTACCATAATTGATGAATGGCCCACCAGTTATAACTACGACGCCTTGGATTTAACTAACAACAATCTTATAGAGATCTCACTCAATGAACCTTTACCTATAAGGACACTTGTGATAAACGGCAATAATGAATTTCATCAACTATCATCGAAACATTTCCCCTTTCTTGAATCATTGAGTATAATGGGAACTAATGTTCGTTGGGAGGATTTTGAAAGTTGGAAATTTCCAAATTTAAAACATTTCATAGCTATCGATACCCCATTACTGAGTATTAAGAATTATAGAATATTAGTGATTAAACAGATTCCTTCTTTAGAGGTGTTAGATTTCGAAAAGGTCAAACAAAAAGAAAGATTGGCTGTTAAAGACGTCAAAGTAGTGGACGAAATTGATGAAGATTATAAAGCTCAACTAATTGAGAAACTTAAAAACACCGATGATTTACTTGAAATCGAAAGAATCGAACGTATCTTAACCAAGAAGTGATCGTATGCCACTAAAATTCCCACAAATTGCATTATTGACTGGTTTCTTACCGTAGTTCAATATCCTTGTACCATAATGTATAAATATCTTTAGATCTACTCTTATGTAATCCCTCTCCACCCCATGAACATTTTCCCGGAATTTTATAAAACCAATGGCATCATACCGTCCTAGGAACCTTCTTCCATCTATCTATAAGGTCATTCCGGTCAATTCACGGGTATACAAATAGCCAATTTTAGGATTTTTATGCTCATGAAAATTTTCACCCCATGAGACCCAAGAGAAAGGCAACCATTAACAAATCTTATAATGATAATATAGATTATTCGTCATTTGAAGAGCAGAAATCCAAGAAGGTCAAACGAGAGAATGGGGTTGATAAAACCAGTCCAAATCCCGTAGTTAATGAAAAACCTAAGGAAGAGCCTAAGGATTCTAAAACTACGGGAATATCATTAAATGGGGTTAATTTTCAACCTATTCCTACCAAAGAAGACTATTTCTCCCACAAAATCAACCTTTCCAATGCCACCATTGATATCCCCACCAAAACCTTACATATACCTTCGATGAAATTGAAATTGTCAAAAGGTGATTTCATTTATATGGTGAGTGAACCACCAGGAGAACCATATTATATCGGGAAAATCATGGCTTTCAAACACAAAGATGATCAACAACAAGACATTCGACTCCGAACCATCTCGGGCCCCGAATTGAAGAATTATCAATTCCAAATTCAATGGTTTTATAGACCTCGAGATATTCTGAAACTGTCCAATGATTCTCGTTTATTGTTTGCATCCATGCATACCGATACTTGTCCATTGATCTCGTTCAGAGGCAAGATCCAAGTCAAACATCGAGATGAAATTGATAATTTTGATGCTTATAAGTCCACAGCCAATAACTTTTATTTCGATAAATTGTATGATAGGTATATGATGAAATTTTATGATGTAGTATCCACTTCCCATTTATTGAAACTATCGGATGAGGATTGTAAGAGTAAGAACTTCCTTATAGCCATGAACAAGAGATTTGAATACATTATGGTGGAACCAACTATCACCAAATTCTTAATATCGGGATTCTTATCAAATTCATGTACTTGTGATCAATGTGGACAATGGTGTTCTAATCAGGATAGTGTCAATTGTGCTGAATGTAACAGTTTTTATCATATGCATTGTTTAGATCCTCCACTTCTACGTAAACCCAGTAGAGGGTTTAGTTGGCATTGTGAGAATTGTACTAAACGTCATATTCAAGAATTGAAAGCCAAAAAAATGGTTATGTTGGGTTCTGATAATAAATCAAGTAATATAGATGAAATAGAGAATGACCAGATAGAACAGTTTGAGAGTTCAGCTAGCGATGATGAAAAAGATATGGAGAAATCAAATGTTGTACCGAAATATGAGTTACAAGCTATAGAATTTCTAGCCAATGATAAGTTAACGTTTCAGGAAAGAAGATTGAATGAAGAATGGTGTATGAGATATTTGGGGATGAACTCCAAGCTAGAAGATGTTTTAGACTTGGATGATCGGTCCCCTTATCCAAGATCAGCTACAAGGTTAGGATCCAAATATCAATGTCATTTCATTCCTGAATTCATAGATCATCCTATAATGTATTATGATCCTCCAAATAACAAGAAGAAACCGAAAAAGAATGAAAAGGATAAATCAAAATCACCTGGAGTGGATAGTGAAAAATTGGTAGTACCTAAAGAATTTGAAAACGTTGAAATCAAAGATTATCCTCAATGGTTACAACCGAGACCTAAAGGATTCATAGAGAGAGGAACTGATGAAACATCTACCGCATTATGGGTGCCTCGAACTGAAGACATAGATGAAGGTTTCCAGAAATATGATAATTATGTTGATCAATGTACTCCAAAAGCTAATAAGTTGGGGATACTGGAGAAGTCACCTAACTTCATGGATGCAGTAGCTAAATTTTATCACCAAACCAAAGGTAATGTTGAGGAATCACTTGAGAAAGTGAATAAATTAACTCTCAAATCGTTACATCAACCTATTTTGAAACCAGAAGAGATCACCAAATTTGAAGAAGGGGTCAGGAAATATGGTAGTGAATTATATCCAGTATATCAGCATGTCGGTACGGTTCCTCGTTGGATGATTGTGAGGTTTTACTATCTTTGGAAGAAAACACCTAATGGGAAAGAGATTTGGGGTAATTTTGAAGGTAGACTTAAAAAGAAAGTTAAAGTGGTCCATGAAGATAAAGTTAATTTGTACAAAGAAGACGATGATTCCGGTTATGATGAAGACAAAATCCAAGATTTAGACAAGCAATGTAGATATTGTCATACAAATGATTCTATCCAATGGTTCAGATTGACTGGTCAAGATACTGAAGAACAAGTGAATGGATTATGTTTCAGATGTGCTAGATTATGGAGACGTTATGCCATAGTCTGGGAAGATCCAGGAGAATTGGAAAAGAAGATGAGTAAGTTAGGAAGAAAGAAACTCGAACATGAAGTGGTTAAAGATTTCGATAAGATTGTAGAATATGTTAGTAAGAAATCTCGTAGTCCAACGCCAAAGAAAGAAAAGAAGGTAGAGAAGAAAGTGGATAAGAAGAAAGATGAAAAGGAAAAGGAAAAACAAAAATTGAAAGAAGAGAAGGAGAAGAAGAGATTAGAAGAAGAAGAGATGTTAAGACGTCAAAAACTAGAAGTTATACTCAACCCATTATCATCCGATTATATTGCTCCAGAAGAATTGAATTTAACACTCTCTGGAGAACCTCCTACTAATAGGATTGGATATCTTTTGAACTTTTCAAAGTATAATACTGTGGTTAAAACTGAGAATCAAAATACCTCCCCAACAAAGACTTCAAGTTGTGAAATCTGTAAACAGTTTTCTGATAAGGTTGGAGATTTCCAGAGCTGCGAAAGTTGTGGAATCTCAATACATTTATCTTGCGTGGGAGCTGTAGGGAAACGGAATAAGAAATGGTTATGTGATTGTTGCATCAATGATATCAATCCTAATCCTTCACTTTCATTGAATTATCAATGTTATTTATGTGAAAATCATGGTGGATATATGAGACCGGTGTTGAGTAATGGTTTATGGTGTCATTGGAATTGTGCTTTAGTACAATCGATAACCACACGTCCTTTCAAACCGTTTGGAGATTTGATATATAACTTGTTTGACATTTATTCCATAGATTTCTTCAAGAGTCAAACTTGTGGTAAATGTAATAACGATGGATGTTCCATGAAATGTATCAATTGTGATAAACCTTGTCATGGGAATTGTGGGACATTAAGTTTCTCCTTGAGTAACGAGAGTGGAATCAGAATAGGTAACAAACTGGGGAAATTACTACCAGTAGTTCAATGTTGTGAAAAGCCCGAATCTGATGAAAATAAACAATTGTATGATTTCAGAACTTCTGGTAAGAGAACCTCATCATCCAGAGACACCGTCCCTATCATTAAGTTATACATAGAGGATTTGAAGACCAAATCTTTCACCAAAACATATGTGGATTTGGTAAGGGATTATTATTCTTTAAGTAATCCAATCCCAACCTATCCGTCAACTCACCACAAATGTTCAATGTGTTCAACCGAAGTTTCACCAACATGGTATAATACCCCTGAGATTTGTAAGAGTTGCTACGACAATGACGGCCCCGTAGAATATGAGAAACCAGAATTATTGGAGATTATCAAAGATCCTTTGCAAGGTCAACAATTTGGTATAATGAATTTTGATGATAAAGTGAATTTGAAATATTTAGAAATATAGCATGAATGTATGAAATATAGTTATCATTATATATTATCGTAATTAATAGATTGTAACACAACTAATGCAATCGCCTACAATTTCCCAGATTACATGATCGTTGCAATAGATTTTCGAGTTACCCCAATTGAACTCTGACAAGCTTTCAACTTTCAAATCGCCAATCTCTGACTCTAAACGATTCAAAAGAACCGGTGGGTTCTTCACATAAGGTTCTATATCATTGAAATGGGAATTATTGGTTATTCTCTCTCCATAAGGATCAAAAGGTTGATCTGATTCACTGTTAACGAAGATTTCGAAATTACATTTACTCCATTTACCAAATTGATCGCTTTCAATGAGATCCGTATGAACGATGATCTTTTTAAAGATTCCAGAATATAAATCATATAACAAATCGATACCTAAGTTGAAATAGTTATGGAATTTAAAAATATGATCATTGGAGTTTTCATGAATTAAAAGTCTTGAATCGAATTTATTGAAATAATCTGATGGTGGGCCCAAAAAATTAAGCAAATCTTGTTGATTGGTTTTACCTATCTCTGCCACATATTCATTGTTATTCAAACAAAATTTAATCATACCATAAGTGAGATCAATTTGAATCTTGAAGGTCTCTGTAGTTAAATCCTCTTCGCTCTTGAAATCTGGATATTGTTTGTTGAATATTATGATCGATTGACAGGTATAATCACGAGATTCATTCAACATGGTACTCAAATCTTCCTTACTGTCAATTTTAAACGTTATACCTGGATAACTTAAGATATATTTATCATTGATCAATTTCCCCGGATACGTGGGACCAAAAATCTTATTATAGATGGTTTTGACATTCAAATCACTCAATTCTATACCATTATAACTGTACTGGCCACCCATTGATTCGATATCTGTCAATTCAATTACACATAACTTATAGTTGATAAATACCAAATCTATCTTAAGACTCTTGATAACAACTTTGATAGGAGTTTTCATATAAGATTTGGCGGAATAAACAATAGAAATGTCCTGATCTTTGAAAGAATTGATTATTTCATGGAATGAAGAACCTAATTTTATAGTATTTAATCCTTCATTGGGAATTACTTGCATGGTATTGTGTAATTGATAACGCGATAAGGATAAACATGATTAAGTGAGAGTCATGTGCTGGTCATGTGACCACGCAAAGGTTAATCTACAAAAGATACGGATATATATCCTGAAAAACACAGATATGTGAAAGGAATGTAAGAAAGAAATTCAGAACATCAGACCACATACCAAGTTCTACAAACAAATTCCAGCATGTTTTTCTGGCACCTCCTTATGGACACCTGAACCACATACATTCGGCAGCTTTAACCTTCGGTGAGGAATCTTTACCCTTAAATAAGGAGTCTGTATTCCAGAAAACAGGAATTGTTCGGACCTTCCCTTTTCTTACCAATTAAAAAATTATTCAAATACACGAAGATTATCCCTTGCAATTTCACATATCCCATGGTGCATACGGTTAGAACTACTCACCAGATTGTACAAACGACAAAGCCGAGATGCTCGTAAGGACAACAATCCCTATTTCCTAATTGAGAATTATGTTGAATCGTCAATATGATATTCGTAGATTGCAACCATAATACGAAGAATTCAACCACCAAGAAACTGAATAATGAATTAATAACTTCATACCAATCTTTTAGTTAATTATCGGAAATTTAGATGGAGATGAAACCTTAAAAATATTATTCCAGGGGTGGGAAAGAAGGTGTGTCTTGCCCATTCACGTTTGACCCTGAAAATCCTCTTAATCGGGAATATCCTTTGTCGATAGAACTATTTCTCTATAGGGATAAAAGCCATAGAGATGACTAAACGTTAGTAAAACCAAGAAATCATATGAATTATTATCACCATTTGTAATGAGATGGTTTCAAGTTTGTTTCAACTTCGTCTCAATGGTGTTTCATATTTGTTTCATACTGAGGTTTCACATTTTCTTGTGGAGCACATCCCGATTTCACTATGAAACAAAGTTTAGATCTTGCTTGAAACTTCTTAGTAAGAAAAGATTATCGATGTATGTCCGATGATGTACCATCAGGGTTACATTCATGAATCTTCACTATCAAAAACTCGATTAAATCTTAGAAACTTTGTGTAGAACAGAACAGTAATTATATTAATACATACTATACAAAAAGGGTCATGATCATTATTCAGTATAATCAATATACTAGTTTTTAAATAAACCTTTCTTTGGAGTTTCTATTTTAGTTGAAAAGATTGAATCAACATCCGAATAAACTCTAGTTAATTTATTTTCTTCATCTTCATCTAAAATATCGTTTTCTTCATTATCACCTTGATCAGGAGTTAAATCTGGCGGTATAGAATAATTTGAAATGTGATCAAATTTATCCATTTTGGAATAATTTCCAATATTAAATTCAATATTATGATAGTTATGTTGATAATTATCATACTTAAGATGAGAATTATATGAATCTTTAGAATAAATCGATGAATTAGTTGATTTGATTGAAGGTCTATGCTTTGATTGATATTTAATGAATTCATTAATTTCACTATTATAGTTATAATTAAAAGTATGGTTCTTTTTCTTTTCTTTCTTATTATCTTTTTCTAATAAGCTTTCATTCAAATCTGATGAAAAACTTAAACTATCCAAATTAGATATTTCATCAATGGATTTATTAGGTTTATTAAACAATTTATTATGTGACACTACTTGGTTATTTGGTGATCTTGAACTTATAGATGGAGTTCTCATACTTATCATTGATGATGATGATGTAGGTACTTGAGTATTTGTTCTAATACTTGCATTGTCCTTTGATTGAGATGAATAAATTGAAGTTGAAGATGATGAAGATGCTGAATGTTTCCTCTTATCTTTCTTTTCCTTTCTCTTCTTATCTTTCTCCATCTTAGCTTTCATCTTTTGTTGAGTTTGATAACTCACTGGTGGTAACAAATAAAAACTCATTACTATTTTTCTTTACAAGTATCTATTAACTAGAACAAAAAAATTCCAACAAAGGGATTATCATCAATTTATAATTGTTATCTAATTAAAAAAACCTTCATTAACAGAATAATCTCATTTTGGAATAAATTCCAAAAATTGCGTTAATTTTAGATTTTTCTTTGAACAAAGGGAGTTGACCCAAATTAAACATTTTTCAAACAAAGAGTCCCCTAGCAAATTTTTTTAAGGAAACAATAAGAGGTTTGAGTAAAATAATGGAAAACTTGGTGAAACAATCAAATCTCAAATTCTTTGTTACCGAAGTATTCTAATTTCAAATACAGTTAAATTATTATAATCACGTATTAAGCGAATGATGATTTAACTCGTTGTACAATCGTTCATAGCTGTCAATATCACTGAATAGGTGGGTATCTTGAGTTTTCTGATCGACAATTTTGTCCGCATAATATGCAGTCAAGCAAGATTATGCGGTATCAGATTGGCACCTCCTTTCTTATGGTGAGAATGTTGGAAATGTTGAACTCAACATATGTCTGCCATTGATATTGGTAATCAACTTAACTTCCAGGTCATCTCAGGTTTTAACCTAATAAGTGTTTTTTCGTTATTAAGTTGAAATACTTATTCATTTAACCTTTTTAGGCATATTTTACTACCCTATTGTTTGACCCTGGAGTTATGAGTGTTTGAGCGGTGATAAAATTTCAATCCCGCTACTAGCATAGTGACCGAGTTTGATAGAAATATACTACTAAAGAGGTGTCCCGATAGGTTAATAAACGATAACTATTAACGAGATCAATCATTCTGTTTCTAAGTTATCAATTGCTACATGTTACCCGAAGTTTACGACCTTAAATTCGTTAATCCATTCTGTCGTCAAATTTTGCGTTACCCTTACATTTTCAATGAGATCAATTTTTACCAAATAGGAAATTATTGTTCTTTGCTTGTCCCTTAAAAAAATTACCTTTGGGTATTGTTCACCTTATTGACTTGGATTTCAATATCTCGGTTAACTTTAATATTTGATGTAGCCAGATATTCGTATTTCTTTTAACTCAATTAGTAACATTTGTTAAGAGTGCTCTACATAAACGAGATGGTAATGATTGTTTGGTATTACCAGGATTTCCCACTAATGATCATCTTTGGTTACAAACCGTGTCAATAGGATTATTTGTCAAAAGGATTGTTTGTCAATAAGATAATTTGGCGTCGATTACTCGAGTTTAGTGATGGATTGTATTGTTTTGATTTGATCGAACATTTACTCGGGAATACTTTTCCAAATCTGACTATTGACTCTGATTCTTCCCGAAATTTATCGTGTTAACTCTACCCGAGGATTCAATCGATTGTAAACACACCCGTCACATTGGTCTAATCATTGTACTGTCTACTCTCTCTCTTAATCTCCTGTTAAGGAACTTCACCCGATTGTCGAGATTCTTACAATAAGGGATCGTCCTTGCAGAACTCAAATCGTCTAAGACTGTATACGGACTTGACTAAGTGAGTCAGATGAGGACTTAAAAGGCTATTGCTGTCTCTAGGTGGTTGAGAATGATATCAGACAATTATGTAGACTCGTCAAACAACTGTAAATTAGAGATTCGTCAGACAACTGTGAATTAGAGATTTGTCAGACAAATAGAAAAGAGTAATTAGAAACAAACTAAAATTAAAATTCAATATTAATTATTATACAATTATTGGTCTTTTGATTTACTATCATTATCACTAACTTCTTTTGGTGAAGTACCTTCGAGTTCTTCAGTACCACTTTGTTGAGCTTTTAATTTAGCCAATCTAGCATCAGTGGATCTGATTGGTTCAATTAAGTATGGTTGGTGATCTTTAGATTCTTCATCTTCATCGTGGTAAGCGAATTCACCAATTTGAGCGGCATCAGTACCCATTAATTCTTCATCTTCATGTAATCTGATTCTTAATTTTGGAACTTTATCCATAGCGAATAAGATAATAGCAGTTACAACGAATGAATAAGCACCAATTGAAGTAGCTTCAGCAAATTGGTAACCTAATTGTTTCCAATGGTGGTTAACCCAACCACCAGCAATTTTAGCTTCTGGGTCAGCAGCAACTGAACCATCACCAGCTGCAACATAATCAGCGGCGAATAAACCAGTCATTAAACTACCTAAGAAACCACCAATACCGTGTAAAGCAAAGACATCCATACCATCATCAATGTGTAAGATATCTTTTAAGTCAACAGCAAAGTTACAAACGATACCTGGAACAATACCGAAAGCGACTGAGAAGTAAACTGGAACAAAACCAGCAGCTGGGGTAATACCGACTAAACCAGCAATAGCACCTAAACATAAACCAGTAGTAGACCATTTACCACCAGTTCTGAACCAATCAACAAACATCCAAGTTAAACCACCTGAAGCAGCAGCAATATTGGTGTTAACATTAGCATACCAAGCTCTAACGGTAGCATTACCAGTTGAACCACCATTGAAACCGAACCATCCAAACCAAAGGAAAACAGTGCCTAAAACAATTGAAGTAACTGAATGAGGTTTATATTTTGGAACTTTACCGGTAGCAACAGGATCATGTCTTTTACCTAAAACTAAAGAATAAGCTAAAGCAGCGAAACCAGAATTTTCATGGACTGGACCACCACCAGCATAATCGTAAGCACCTAAGTTAGCTAACCAACCATTAGTACCCCAAGTCCAATAAGCAATTGGACAGTAAACGACAGTAAGCCAAATGAATAAGAAAATCATCATTGGACCTAATCTAGCTCTTTCACAACCAGCACCAACCATTAAAATACCAGTAACAGCAGCGAACATACCTTGGTAAAAACAGAATAAAATATCTGGAAGAGTTGAAGCAACAGCTGGAGCTCCGTAAACACCTTTCAAACAGAAGTTATCTAAAGTACCTAAGAATACAGATTCATTACCACCATGACTGAAAACTAAAGAATAACCCCAAAAGAACCAATGGAAAGTACATAAACAACAAGCCATAATTGAAGCCCATAATAATGATAAAGCATGTTTCTTTCTTGAAATACCAGAGTATAATAAACCAACTCCAGGAATCATAATCCAAACAAGAATACCAGCAACTGATACCCAAGTCATATCTGCTTTGTCGAATTGTTCGTTAAAATCAACATCAAATACATTACCACCAGTACCAACACCGGTCAATCCTGTTTCAGAACTCATCTTAATTAATGTATACAGAGAAAAAAAATTCTTCCTAAAAGAATTTACACCGTTTAAATAATTGCCTGTTTAAATTACCTAACCTATTATTGATAAATAAAAAAATTCTAACCAATGAGATTAAGTTCTGGTAATCTGATAACGATTAAGATAACGTTTTTTTTCAGGAAAATTTAAAGCCCAGAATTAACGATAATAGAGGAGAAAGGGAAGCTTTATTATTACACAATCGGGGTTAATGTCACTGACGAAGCTTAGTTATCATAGATGATGAAATTATCCAATTAATGAACAATTTGCTTAAGACAATAACCTCAATTGAGGTAGTGTTCGTGGTTAATGCGATATCCTTAGATAACGTTTCTCACGGCTTTCATGTAACCGTTGAGTCATTTCATAAACAACATTTGATAGTCACAGGGTATTGTAGATCCTTTCTTTTTTTGACCCACAACTTTAAAAGCATAAGGGAAAAAGCTAAGATTAACGAAACGATGAGCAATGATGATTGGCTTAAGATATCCATGAATAGAATAATGTGAGACATAATGCATGGCTTTAAGATTATTCGCATTAGTCAATTGCCAAGTTTAAACCAATTGTTTATTGGCAAAAGCTGGTTGTTATGATTCTAGATGAGTTGTTATGATTACAGTTATCAACTAATGTTTTTTATTTTTTAAATTTACGAATTTTCACCGTTATCGGTTATATAAATCGCCTTTTGATGATAACTGATTATGTAATGGTTATCACCCAATAAAATCGGGTAACTTTGAAAAGTCCGCCATAGTCATGTGATATTGAATCTTGGGATTCCGGGTAAGTTTAGTAGATCGTTATCGATATCATCTGATACGAACTACGATACGCCGGATACGGTGGATTACTTGCAGTATAAGATAAGGGATACTGTTGAGACTAGGGGTGGGGGTGGAGTAAAGTTGTGTGATTTGTGATTTTTGCTCAGTGGACTCTTTGCTGGGGTCAAAGAACCCTTCAATGGATTTGTTTTGGGAATGAACTATGAATTTCTGTGTTGATACGTAGTCCCTTTCAACCTGTCGGTCTGTAACTCTATGTTCCTTGTCCTACCATTCATCGCTGAACTTAATTAACCTTTCTCCCGCTCTTACCTTTACCAGTCTCAGTTGTTAGTCATGTGATCGCACACGTGATTTAAAGACCATCCCTATATACATACTTTCCATGAATTTCATACTAAACCACTTACCTGTATACCACATCACCGAATATACCATTCCCCCATTGAGTCCACACGCGCCTCCTACCACCTCCTATCCATCACCAAAAGTCGCACTGAAAATTGGAGAATACGGTAAACATGTCAGAATTAGAATCTTTTAGTACCTCAATTTTAACCAATAAAACACCGGAAGAAAGTGCATCAATTGTAAACCAAGGTGTTAATAACACTAAGGAATTAATTGAATCAAATTTGATCCCTTTTTTCGAAAATTATACCAAATTAATTCAAAAACAAAATTTCGAATTGAGTAAATTGGTTAATGATCAAGGTATAAAAATAACTTCATTTTTGAATCAAGATTCTACCGATTTAAAACAATATGGAACTTTTGTTAGAGTGTGGGATACTTATTTGAATTCCCTCAATTTCCAAACTCAAACCAATGATCAATTAATCAAGTATGTAAAATTAGAAATCTTATCACCATTGATGAATTTAGTCAACAATGATATCAAATTCAGTGAAATTTTGATCAATAATCAAGAATTAAAAGAATTGGCTCAAGCTAATCCTATCGATGAATATCAATGGGGTTCGAAATCGTTTGGAATCATGAATAATTTCAGTAGTATTAAGAAATTTGAAAGACAATTGATAATCAAATCAATTGTTGGATTGTTCAACTTTAATGCTAATCAACATAATAAAGGTGTCAGAGGTAATGAAGAAGCAGTTAAATATTCTTTGAATGGGTTCGATATTGATAAAGAAATGACTGATTATTTGAATTTGTTAATGTCTTCAAATCCTCCACCTTTACCTAAATTACCTCCAAGTTCAAAACCTTCTTCAACTGCTCCTTCACATTCAGACAAAGATTTTAAAGATAAGAAAGCTAAAAGGCAATCCAAATTGTTCACCAATCAAAAAGATGCTAAGGATAAAGAAGACCGTAAAAAATTGAGATCCAGAGTTGGTTCAATTTTTGGTAGAAAGAAGAAATCTAAGAACGGGGATTTGGAATCCATTTATTCAAATCAAACTGCCTCCACTAATTTAACCAATTTAAGAGAAGAATCTCCTCAACCTTCACCTGTACAACCACCAGTGGTGAGAGAAAATGGTTATGAAAGAAGAGTTTCTAATCCAAATAGAGATTTACCAATACTACCAGGAACTCCAAATATTGAAAATTTGAAAATCAATGATGATCATAAAGAAACTCTTGCTGAACCTTTGGAATTACAAGAACCTCCATCGATTGCTTCTCATTCAGCTCCTTCTTCAGGTCCAAATTCCAGACATGCTAGTGGCGTAGCCAAAGAAACTTACAGTTTTGAAAGTGGTGATGATACCAACAGATTCGTTACTTCTCCAAAAATCAACAAATATCAAGAATTACCAGAGCCAAATATTGATACTCCTGTGGAATCTCATTTCCCTGAATCTTCTACTGCTCCTACTCCGGAAGTTCTTGAAGTTGAAGAAACTCCAGTTTCACCAACTGTTAATGGTGAACAATCTAAAAGTTTACAAAGTCCAGAAAAGAATGCCCCAGCTCCTCCTCCTGCAAGAAGAGCTCACCCTGATCGTTCTGAAGTCAAATCTCAAATGTTCCATTCCTTACCTTCAGCTCGTGATTCTGTTGTTCCTCAACAATTTGTTCCTCCAGCTTTAACAACTCAAACTACTGGTACTTCATTAATCAACAAAACTGATATGTTCAATCACTCAGAATTATTAAATAAATTAAAACCAGGTTTGAATGTTTCTAATTCTCAAATAATCAATGTCAATTTTAAACAAGATAATTTGGCTAAAGCCAGCATTATTGGTGAACTTGCATTCCATTATAATGATAATGATTCTAATGTTGAAGAAATGGTCGTTACTGTACCACCATCAACCAAAACCATCTTGAATCCAGTGTTCCTCACTAAACTTCAAGATAATAATGTGAAAGTTTTGATTAATCCTATCAACAATAAAACTTTGGGTGGTATCAAATATATGAACCAAAACTTAAAATTGAATCAAATCCCAATTTTAATCCATTCAATTTGGAAATTCGAATCTCATCAAGCAAGTTTGATGGTAAATTTGAAATTAAATCCAAACTTTGGAGGATCTTTAGTGTTAAATAATCTTGTGGTATCTGTAGCTTTGAATATGAGTACTGAATCCACATCAGCATCTTCAAGACCTACAGGTAGTTTCAACAAAGAAAAGAATAGAATTACTTGGAGATATAATAACCCAGTTCATTTAACTGAATCCAATAGTGATGAAAAATTGATCGCCAGATTCATGACTAATGGAGTCGCTAGTGAAGATGATCAAGGTATTCAAGTGAAATTTTCAATTGATGATGTGACTTCAAGTGGTATTGAATGTGATTATGGTGTTAATGTTGTAGGGAATTTGATAGCTGGTAACTATAGTTGTCAATCATAGATGTTCTGTATAGATACTTTAGTTTAAAATATATGTTTTTCGATAATGAGATTTTTGGCTGCAAAAAATGGTTGCAAAGAAATTGTCACTGAAATCCACAAACATGTTATTGGACATTATCTTTTCCTTAAGATCCAATCCTATATGGATATTGCCTTCAATGGTGATGATAGGAGTTTCTTTGTGTATTGTGTATGATTATATGTTTCCACCGAAGAAAATTCCAGGAGTTTTCAATATTCCTGGGTATCCGATTGTGGGTAATTACTTTCAATTACTCAATAATCCAGCAAGAAAATGTATGTTATGGCATAAGAAGTATGGGAAATCCATCTTTCTGGTGAGATTAGGTAATAAAAGGGTGGTTGTGGTGAATAAATTTCAAGACGTTAATGATATTTGGGGTAGAAGTGTAGTCAATTCTCGTCCAATACAGTTCACGTTCCATAATATAGTATCGTCAACCAAAGGATTCACCATTGGAACAACACCATTTGGTCCTAGCTATAAGGTAAGAAAACAATTCATGTCCCAATTTTTAAATGAAAAGAATATCAATGCTAGTATTGATATCATAGATAGTGAAACCAACTATACTATAAAGAACATTCTTAGAAACCACCAGTTAGATTTTCAGCCCAGTAGTAATCCTTATCTTCGAAATGTCTACAACTTCGATGATATTGATTTATATCGATACTTACAATATTTCACGTTAAGAGCTTCCATCCTTCTTACTTATGGAATAAAGTTGGATTGTTTCAACACTGATAACTTGTTATGTGACAATATCATTGAAACAGAAAACAAAATCATACAACTAAGATCTCCAATTCTGAATATCACGGATTATTTTCCAATTCTTAGAGTTTTTGAATCACATGAAGCATCAACTTTGGCTAGACAACATAGAGACTATTATATGGAAATTCTTCTCCAGAAGTATAAATCCTTCAAGGGTCCAGGGATTTATAAAAACAACCTAATAAATGAGTATATGACCACCAACTATAAGAATCTCGATTCAACTGAGTTTCAAAGTGTTTGTTTGACTATGATAAGTGCAGGTTTAGACAACACCCCATTAAATTTGAATCATTTGATTGGACACTTGACTTTACATCCAGAGTTTCAAGCTCGAGCTTTCAAGGAACTCTTGGAAGTCTATGAAACTTCTAATCTTATTGAAATCTGGGATAATATATCTCATAGTGTTAGTTCTCCATTTATAGTGGCATTGATCAAGGAAACTTTGAGATATTTCACCGTGTTACCCTTAAGTCTACCCCGAGTCACAACCAAACCTTTCAACTACCATGGTGTGGAAATTCCTGAAGGTACCACTTTATTCATGAATGCATTTGCAGCCAACCATGACGAAGACAAATTTTCGCAGCCATTTGAATTCAACCCTGATCGATGGTTACACCAAGGGAAATTGAAATCTAAAAACATCGTAAACCATTTTTCTTTTGGAAAAGGAGTCCGAATGTGTTCAGGTAGTATTTTAGCCTTTAAAGAGATGTATATAATAATGTGTAAGATGATCATCCTATTTAAATTCAAAAAACCTAGAGATTCAAGGTATTTAATGGGATTAGACCCATTTGAAATGAACACCAATCCGTCAGGAACTTCATTCGAACCTCGAGTCACTAAAGTTAAACTAGTTCCACGAGTTCATTATGGATCAGACGATTTATTCAATCACTTAAAACATTAAACATTAAATACTTTATATTTACACTACTTCTTTAAAACTAAGGGTATTAGGATCTATATAACTGGTCTTTGTAACCACTACACTCTTTGTATTTTTGGTCAAAGGCAAATTGTACTTCAAAATTCCTCTGATGATCAAATCAAAAGGATTTTTCAGAATGGTTTGCCATTTCTCGGAATTGTCAGGTTTGGTAGTATTATCAATACTGGTCAAATTCTTACCTGGAGATACCAATTTGATTTCAGCTATTTGGCTGATAAGATTTCGATTGAAGAATCCTCCTTGGAAGTAAATGGGTGATTCCAAACGATAAATTGAGCCTAGAAGAACTGTTTCTACAGAATTCTCTTCGTAGTTATAGTCTCCTCTATCTAAATCAGGTAAATAACCAGATTTGGCGAAAATATCCAATTCAACTTCTTCAATACCAATAGTAAACCAACCAGGATTCAAAGCTTGAATTATAGTATTAAAAATCAATTCATCTTCACTGACAATAGTATTTTGAATATCGATTATATTAAGATTTGATAAATCTTTCGTTGTCGCTATAACAAATCCCATGATGAAACCTATGGTTAAGATTCCAAATATACTAATCAAAGTATAAATAGTTCTTTTGATATAGTTATAGTTATATTGTTTGAAGTTCGAATCAATGACAAATGACCTTTTCCTTGGTAAGAAGAAATTGTTTTGATTACTGAGATTATTAGGTGTACCGTGGAATCTAGTAGACCCTTTTCTTGATATTTTATCGAATTGATGTTCATTAATCGACCCCGTTTCCTCATCATATTCATCAAATCCATAATAATATTGACTTTGATTGGATTGTTCAGGATATGGGAAAGGAAAAATATCAGAATTCATATTATTACTAGGGGAATTCATAGTTTGACCACCAGTAGATAAATACCTTTTGTTCTTATTCAACCTTTTTTGTGGGTTCAAGTTCAATGATCTATAATGATGAATTCTTGGTTGGTTCATTAATGGTGAGTTTTCATTGTAATTGTAACTATTTTGATGAGTTGGAGGTGGTTGAGTTGCTCCATTAATACTTGAATTATAAGGAAATCTTATGTTATTATCATAATATATCAACTCATCATCAAAATCTTCAATATCTACATCATCAGGAATAATACTATATCTTCTAGGCTGGGATCCTTTCTTGTCAAATAATTTTGAAGTAGTTGATCTTAATTTTGATGATGAGGTAACGGACTTCTTCTTGGTTGATTTTGAAGTGATCGAATTGGTGGAATCGATATTCTTGTCCGACAACAAAAGATTTTTAGGTTTCCTTTGGGGCATGGTAGAATTGGATGTATGTTTAGTCGAATTATAAGAATCGTGTGACAGTACATCATCTACATCAACAACCTCACCATCAGAACCTTCAATTTCATCATCACTCTTATCCAAATTATCATCAGAAGTAACGTCATCCTTCCTATAATCATCATCAGTGGAATTATATTCTGAATCACTGATATTAGAAGGTTTGAATGAACTGTTGTGAGATGAATAATGCGATGAATAAGGACTAGTTGAAGGCTTTTCTTTCAATAAATTGGAACTTGAAGAATGTGATTGTGACGCTATAACCAGGTTCTGTAAATGAGTAGGAGAATTAGGTGATTGCTGAACATTTCCTTCGAAAGAATGGGTTGATAAAGTTCGTTGATTATTTGGTCTCAAATTCTTATTAATTAAACCATCTAAGAATTGATTACTATTGTTAACGGTGGTGTTATTGATTGGTTTGGATGAATTTATTGGGAAAGGATTCTTCAAGTTGAGTTTATCAGGTTTCATATCAAGATTAATCTTGGGAGGTGTATTGATTTTCTCTAATTTTTCAGGTTTCTCTGGTTTATCGAATTTATCAATCCTATCAGGAAGCTTATCTTCAGCTATTATCTCACCGGTTATGGTAGTGTTGGCTTCGTCATTATCTTCAGGTTCTTCGGTATCATTATCATTAACATTGGTATCATTATGGTCCTTATCATTATCTTCAATAGTCGATACTTTACTTAAATTTTCTGTTGTTTCATTAGTAGTCTCTTGGTCATTAATGGCGGGTATAGGTCTATCTTCAGTACCTTCTTCATAATCATTGATATTGTTTTCATAAACAAAAGTTTCATCACTATCGGAACTATCAACATCATCCACTGCACTTGCTAATTTGGCAGCAAAGAAATCTGTTCTTGTACTGTTTTGTTTGGAGACTTTCTTCAGTTTCTTCTTCTCTTCTGATAATTGTAAGTTGGGGATATTATCGAGTTCATTATGAGAAGCATTAGTTGATGATGGAGGTGGTTGAATGGTGAAAGAAGTCGATGTTGGAGATCGATTGATGATTTCTGAAATTATAGTGGAGTTCTTAGGTAATGGTTCTTTTGATGTTATGATCTTCTGTTTGGCTTTCAAAGATTTGTTTAAATTCGATAGTATATTCTTATCTAATTTGGATCCACTGGAAACTTTAGGTAAGTTGCTAGAACTATTGATTGATGTAGTACTATTGATACTATTAACTGTGGTGGTAGAATTTATACCGTTAATGGGATTGGTCATACCATTAGATCCTTCAGGTGAAGGTATTTTATCTAGCCTAGGAGGCTTCGAAGGGGTCTTCACTTCCTCTTCGCTATCTATCCTTTTATCTTCCATGTTATCAGTGAGATAAGATGAATATCAAAAAAATTGTTTTCCAAAATGATTAGGGATGATCCTTAATACGTTGATAATATCATAAATCTCTCACACAAATCCAAAGGACAAATCTATACCCGAAAGATATTAATGTTTATGTGGATGAAAAAATGAGACTTGTGTAGGAGTTTTTGACGAGAGTGACGCGGTCAAATCCTAGGGCGATAGTGGGAGTAAATGACGATGTCTCACTGCGGGAATCTTTTGCGAGAAGCCTTAGTTTGCGAGGGGGGCCTCTTTACATTCCTTAGTTTGCTATTGCATGAAGTTTAATGTTTTTTGAAAGGAAAATAATCCCTTTTCTTAAAGAGTCATGAAATTTTTCATAATTGGTTATTGGTCAATGAGTGGCTTTATAAGTTAAGTCATCGAGAAGTATTGTCGCTAAAATGTGATGCCCTTTAGTCGCGGGGTTGGGGCTTCTCTCTCCCATATAATAGAGGAAAAAAAATAGTTATACATTTCAATCATTAAAAGGAAATTTTAGGGTTTCCTCAATTTGTTCAAGTCATTTAATTTCTTCAGACTTAAACTTTCATCTTCTTCTTCAGTTCGAGAAAATCCTTGACTTAAACTTCTCCTCAAGCTTTGTCTTACTGATAATCTGTTGGGAGGTGCGGAATTATGACTGGGAGGAGCAGTGGGAACAACGGAATATTTCCGTTCTTTAAAAACAACACCTACTTCTTTAACATTCTTTTGATGTTCAGGTTCAACTTTAACAAACCAATCTAATGCTTCATCATATTCATACATTCTATAATCAGTTCCATAAGGATGTGATTCTAAACAGTATAATGTATGTAAAGGAACATCTAATTCTCCAATAGCTGATCTATCAAGGTTAAGGAAATATGCCAATAAGATTCTTAATACTACCCTATGAGATACAATCAATAAATGATCAGTTGTTCTTTCGATTTCGGTGATAAGAGGTCTTAACCTGGTTAAAACATCTAAATAACTTTCACCTCCAACTCCTGGATATCTATAAGTTAATTTATTTTGAATTCTCGATTCATATTCTTTAGGATATTTGGTCAGAATTTGTTCATAAGTTAACCCTTCGAATTTCCCACCTCCCAATTCATTCAACATTCTCATTTGTTTCACGGAATAAATGGAATCATCAAAATATTTCCCGGTTTCAATAGCTCTCATCAACATTGAAGTCCAAACATAGAAATTAGGTTCAGTAGGAATTTGGTTTTCGGGATCATCTTCATCAATTACTTGATCAAGACTTTCATCAGGTGATTTTTGTTGGCGTTTTTTCAAATATTTCAATTCTAATCTATTTGAGAATTCATTCAATTGTTTCTTCCTGAATTCTTGACGTTGGAAATTCATGAATTTAGATAATGTTTTGGCAAATTTCTTACCTCTCTTAGTTAATGGAGCATCTCCACCAATTCTACCACTCAAATTATCGGTACTTTCACCATGTCTGGTAATCCAAATTTGTCTTTCACATAAATTGAAATTAAGTAAGAAATAAATCGTTTGACTTGCCAAGAATCCTTGGACGTTATAACTAACAACTTTCTTACCTACATCGATCATTTTAACGTATTGAAATCCAGGTAACTTTTCTTCTTGTTCATCGATAGTTTCATAGGCCTTCTCATAATTATGTAATCTTCCCACGAAATCTTTCAATGCTAAATCAGGATCCATCTCTCTATAATCAGGACCAGATAATTTCAATCTGATGTTACTTTCAATGATCATAGGATCAGTACAGACACTTTCTAAGAACAAAACTTTCAATTCACCATTAGAACGTTGTTGGATTCTTTTCAAAACTCGAGTTCTACGAGATTTAGTGGAATTAGTAGCATCAAATATCCCCACTGATCCACTACCATCTAACACGTAATCCAATAATTGATCCAAAGTATCCATGGCCCATTTTTCTCTCAATGCAGTATAAGTATAGTTATCAGGACTGAAGAAATCTGCATTATGATTGGGTGAGTGGGGAGATTTAGGAGAACTGGTCTCATTATTGGGAGTGTTACTATCAGGTAAAGGACGATCTTCAGGACCATTATTGTTCTCTTTATCTAATCTTCTGGTGTTCCCAACATTGAAAACTCTACAATCATGTTGTAACCAATTCAAATATCTAGTAAGTTTATTGGTGATATAAGATTTCCCTCTAGCAGGTAAACCTACCATGACAATGACTAATTTTGATCCCACATCAACATTGGCAATTCTACCATCAGGGGAGATTTTAGATGAGGTTTGACCTGGAATATTCAAAGTATATGCTTTTTTATGCGTTGGTTTGGTGGTTAAAAGGGTTTTAAGTTTTTCTAATGATGCAGATTTACGGAATTTTTCTTGTAAATGCAAAGGAATTTGGAATTCTTCATTGAATTCTGCTTGGTTAATCTCAGAAACAGTTTTCCTTAAAGGTTCAGTTTCAGTATCGTGTTTTTCATTTGGTTGTGGTGTTATAACGGTAGGAGGTTGGGGTTGTTGTGAAGGAACAGATTCTTCTTTTGAAACTTTAAGATCTTTCATTTTAGAATCTAATTCTTTGGGGTCGATTTGTTTAGGACCCACCTGTTTGGGATCAACTTCTTTAGGGTCAACTTCCTTCATCTTTGGATCAACTTCTTTGGGATCTAAGTCTTGAGGAGACATCGACCTCGTATGAGGCAATTCAGCCAAATTTAAATGACTGATGTTCTTCATTCTCGAAATCTTCTTCTCGTCTTCTTTCTCTATGTCTTCACTATTATAATCTGGACTAGCAAATGATGAGACCACGGGTGTATCAGTCAAAGGTCTCTTATTGAACTCAGGTAAATTGCTATTGGAGTCATTACTATTAGTGCTATCTATAGATTTCGATCGTGATATAGGATAACTAGGTAATTTCCTTAAACCATACTTCTTTAATGAATTAGCAGAATTCTTCCTTCTCACGGAGTTTTCCATTCCATTTTTGCCCACATTGCCAAACAAATTATTTTCACTATTGTTTGATATCGATCGATTCAATTCTGTGTTGGAATTGATAGTATGGGCTTGACTTTCATAATCATCTTCTATGTCACTTGATTCGTTAGATGTTGGTAAACTTACTAAATGATTGAAAGATACTTTCTTATTATCGAAACTTTTTATATTTGGAGAATCACTTGGAGAATCCAGTGATACTGATGACATAATGTATCTGTATGAATTCTATGAATTCTAAACTGTTGTTGTTTATCACGTCTATTGATAAGTATAGATGACTTAGTAAGGTAACAAGTTCGCAAAAATTGCTGAGGGATTGAGATGGTTTTCGGAGTTTTTAACCCCTCTTAAAAATAAGCGTTGAGCAGCCATTTCCCGACAGTACAAACGGTTGTTGAGTGGGGCAAGCGCTAAGAATGTTTTAAGAGTATGGGAGGCGTGGGCTATGGTGTTGAAGTATAGAGTAAGTAAGAAAATTAAGTCAGAGTGTAATAGAATTGATTATTGCAAAGATATGGATAAATGGATAATGGACCTACGGAACATCTTTTTTACTCCGAAGTTTTTGAAGTTGCCCCGGGTAACAACTTTTATGATTTTTGTGTAAAACCAACTCCAATCATCGATTTTAAGGTTATGATGTATATGGGACCATGAACGGATCGGACTCAATCTGGGAACCATCTCACCACTCAGGTAAGCCAAAAAGTTTAATCATCGCTGCGAAAACCTCATCTCAAATGTTCTCTTTTGGATTCAATGAAGATCTGTTAGATAACGATGAAGTGGTGATATCATCATCAACTTCCAACCTTACAAGTCAACAAACAGACATAAATCCTCCTAAATTAATATCGTTGGATGAAATTTTAAGTTCATTGAAAAATGTCAAGTTATCATATAATTGCCAGAATAATGTATATAGAAGAGAATTATTTGATATAAAGCATCAAGTGATGACTGAAGATAATGATGAATTGAGTAATATTCTTATAACTAATGAAAGTGATTTAAACAAGAATTCATATGAAGGAGGATTCAAAAGTTGGGAATGTTCATATGATTTGATAGATCATTTAGATGTCGATTATGAGTTCTTTAATAAGAATCAAAGTATTTTGGAAATCGGGTCAGGAACTTCATTACCAAGTTGTCATATATTCCGAGAAAAACTTTCACTCAATAATAAACAAAGCCTTAATTTGGTATTATCAGATTTCAATTATGATGTATTAAGATTAGTTACCGTTCCTAATTTGATTATAAATTGGTACACTACCAAATACGATGAAGAAATTATAACATTATCTGATGAGTTGGTGGGAGAATTTTTGTCCTGCTTGCAAGAACATAATATAAACTTATCATTCATTAGTGGATCTTGGGGTAAAGAATTCTTATCATTGTCATCAACAGACTTCAATTTGATTTTGACCTCAGAAACCATTTATTCTTTGGATTCTATGCCCATTTTAGCTGATATGTTAATAACTTTATCATCAAACGATCAAACTAAATGTATAGTTGCAGCTAAAGATTACTATTTTGGTGTGGGAGGATCAGTAATTGAATTCATAAATTACTTAAAGAACAATTCAAAATTGAACATTCAAAGTCATCCTGTTTCAAGTCAATTGAAAAGATCTATAATTGAAGTTTCTCTTTCATAGTTTAATATATCATTCTATTAATTTTATCCTCATTATGGGTGTACCGAAGTTTTCACCGGGCAGTCTCACCAATGAAAAATCGCACATTTTTTAAAAGGACGATTTTCGAAAATATTTGTTTAGTTAAAAGTATGTATAAGAGTTAATTAATGAAAATATAGGTAGTTTGAAGTATAAATGAGTGAATTGGGTGATTATTTGAAGATTTTAGATATGATAGAGAAGTTTTCGAGAGAAATTTGATGGATTTCTAACCATTCAAGATATGACTAAAACTATTAATACAAACATTGAGATGAGTGAGAATAAGCAAGTTAATTGACACATCAAAACCATTTGAAACACGATTAGACAACAATTAGGGAGGTGTCAATGTATCCTGAAGACTATATCACGCCGAACAAAGGTAACAAGAGAGAACATTGAAGAGAACCAACCATTAATCACTACAAAATTCAAAAGAAAGTCAATTAGAATCCATCAATTCTCATATTTGAACCAATAAAAATCAATTATTTACGTGGATCTAACGTGTGAATAACCTTCAACTTATCTACCCGAAATATGTGGAGTTTAAACTTGGGGCAAAATCATCCCACTCAGTCTCACCAATGAGAGCGAAATTTTTTCTCAGCTGATTCCAAAAATTGAGAGTGGAAAATAACATCCTAATCCTAGATACCTTTATTTATTCAAAAGTTATAGAATACTAACGTTATAGATGTTTAAATCAGTTATTAGATCATCAGTTCGTTATCAATCAACTGTAGCTAAAACAGTTCCAAGACCATTATCAAACGCTTATGTTGGACAATTAGAAAAAAGATGGGAAACTTTACCAAAAGAAGATCAAACTGCTTTAATAGATGAATTAAAAACCAGAATGGAATTACCATGGAAAGAATTGACTTCTGAAGAAAAGAAAGCTGCTTATTATATTTCATTCGGTGAATGGGGACCAAGAAAACCTTTAAAAACTGAAACTCAAAAGAAACAAGTATTTTGGGGAGTTATTGGTGGTTTAGCTGCTGGTGTTGGTTTATTCGCTGGTATTAGATCATTAGGTCAACCAGGTCCTGAAACTTTGAACAGATCATGGCAAGAAAAATCTGATGAATATTTGAAATCTAAAAATGCTAATCCTTTCTCTGGTTATTCACAAATTCAATAATTTATGCATGTTTAATATATTCATCCGGAAATCTTTTATATTTCTTAGAGGTTAATAAATAACTTATATTTATATTTCTATTCATAAATCATAATTAATCATCAACAGGTCCAAATTCTCCTTCATAAATTGTAGCTCCTTCTTTTCTAACATTTTCTACCATAATACATTCATCCATTTCTAATATTTTACTGGCAGTTAACCTATCAAATGGATTAGGTTGTAACATTTTATTAACCAATTTATCTAAATTATTAGTATTTGATAATAAAAATTTTGGTGCTGTTGATGGGATTAAATTTTTAATATTATCAATTGTTGGTAAATTATTATGAGGATCAAGATTGTTATCAATTGTTTGAATCTCAATGTTCGGTGGCATTAAGTGAGGAAATTGTGATGATGTTAAAGTTTGAGAATCACTCGATGTAATGGAATTATATGATGTTAATGAGCTAAAATTTCTATTATGTAAGAAATCGGAAATGTTATCTGATGATAATTTACCGGCGTCACTTAAATCTCCACTACGCAATTTTCTCCATGGTGTACCATTGTCAGGTAATACAATATTGGTAGCAATTTCAAGTATTATTAATCCTACTGAAAAGATATCAGCAAATGGTGTATAAATCTTATCATTGATTAATTCAGGAGCGATATAATTTCTATCACCTTCTAAATCAAAATCTTTCTCTAAGATAGGTAATTTAGTTGATAATCCAAAATCTCCAATCTTTAAACTTCCTTCAAAAGTTATGAAAATATTGGCAGGTTTTAAATCTAAATGTAAATAATTCTTTGAATGAATGAATTTTAATCCATTCAAGATTTCAATTAAAATCTTCCATATTCTGAATTCATCAATCTTATAGTTCTTATTATCCTGTAAGAATTTGAACAATGTTCCTCCTTCACATAATTCCGTCATTATATAATAATAATTATTGAATTCCCAAGCTTCAATAAAATATACGAGATATTCTTTACCTTCGTCTTGTTCTTGTAAATTCAAAGATTCATTATCTTTAACACTGGTCAAGACCCTTAATGCTTCAATTTCTCTTTTGATGTTTTTAGTCTCTAATTTCCCAATAACTGGTCTTTTAGATCTTTTAATAGCGAATTTCTGATTATCAAAATTACATTCAAACGCTATTGAAAATTCTCCCTTTGATAAATACTTGATATTGTTAGTACCGAACTTCTCATTCAAATGGTTATCAACGATTTCTCCTTTCAATTGACTTTCAACGATTTCTCCATTAACTATAACTTTTTGGATCTTTTTGATTATTGGAGTGGATGGTAATCTTTTATTTTTAGTAGGAGTAGAATCGATCATATAATTGAATTCATCGATTTCAACATCTTCATCGGATTTATCTTCAATTTTATTTTGTCGTATCAGTAATTGACTATCAGTTTTATCATCGATTTTGAATAATGATATAGTACTATCATTCTCATAACTTTGGTTTCTTCCTACTTCAATTGATATCTCACTATTGTTATTATTGTTGTAGAATGATTTCCCAAAATGATGAAGATCCTTTTCTGGGGTTTCTGGTTTAATTGGGGAATTAGATAACTTGGTGGTAGCTCTATTTTTGGGTTGTTTCAATTTATCAAATAACATTATAGGATGCTTTTTGATAGGAGTTTCAGGAGGTAATTTAGATTGAACTAAATTACTTGAATTCTTCTTCACAAGACCTGTTGACTTGAATGCGATTTGATATGGTTTGACGAAATTGAATGATTTTTCTTCATTCAAATCCTTAGGTTGTAAGACTTTCGAATCTTTTGGTAGTAATATTTTTGAATATGAACTGTAGGAGTTAGTCCTACTATTATTAGGTCTTACTTCATCGAAATTACTTGGATTACTATTCTTTCTATTTTTAGATGGGGAATCATTATCATCAATTATTAAGTCTTCAAAGTTATAGTAATCAAATTTTATAGGAGAACTGTCCATTTTCCTTAATTTGAATCTATCATCGTATTCAATCTTTGGTGAAGATACTTTAGTATTCAAATTGGAAGACCTTTTCTTCGATAAAACGTGGGGTGAAGGTGATTTCGATATTAACTGATGAGGTCTTTTGAAGTTCTTGATGGGTGTTGATGTATTGAGTTTCTTTGGCGTTGGTTTTGGTGATTTCTTTAAATCTTTATATGGAGAAATCTTGTATGGTGATTTATATGGGGATTTCTTATATGGTGACTTATAAGGAGATTCAATGCCTATTTCATTCAAATCCAAAGGATCTATATCTTTCTTCAAATCTATCGACAAGTTAAGGAACTTTGACGACCTTTTAATCAGACCTTCTTTGGGAGATTTCTTCTTCACCTTGACATTTTCATCTTCTAAAATTAATGAATTGAATGATTTGGAAAACTCATTATTATAATAGTTTTCTTTTATGGGGGTATATTTTGTGGTGGCACCCGCCATTTGCGGGCGCTGGTTATTCATGATGCTAATGGGTAGTATAAAAAAAAGTAGGTATTAAAGTAAATTTTATAGCGGTAGTATTAAATTAAGTTTGAGAATGTAAACAAATGATGTTGAGTCGCGTTTGTTTATTTTACTGTCAGAAAATCGTTGGGTGGTAACAGGTGTTAACAAGACAGTTGTGGGCTATAGATATGCCAGGGTGTTCCTGAAAGGTTGTATGTACGTTAAGGTAACTTGAAGTGGAATTTGATAAGCAATAATATAGAGATAACATGAAATTCTTGTGGTTACTGATGGGTGGGACACGACCAAATATATTCCCAACACAATAAAACAATAAGCCTATGAATGACACTTTTTTTTTAATGGTCTAAGTAACACATGACCTGGTAAGTGTTGAATTTGATTGCTCTTATTTCGAAGTTAGATCAAGTGTAAATGGATGGACAGAACATGATCGAATGTTTCTGTGATGGCTAACAATAAACCCTGATGTTGCAAAATTCGCGATCTTTACGATTCTTCTGTTATCTCATAGCCATGATCAAAGCAATAGCAACAAAAGAATATTTTATTGGAAAGAATGGATTAAAGAGGCTAGGGGTAATTCTAAATGTATTTCATAATAGGAGAAGCCTCTTTTGGAGGGATTTGATTCGTTTTATAGGAAAAGAGATATTTGATTTCAAAGTTCAACTCTTCTTATCTTGCATATTCTGAGTCAACCCCACCAACAGAAGAAAAAGTCAATTTCAACCATCTTGAAGCCTTGACCCTGGATATTCCGTTGAATTGAAACTAATAGTTCCATTTCAAATTTCATTCAAACATGTCCGGGGCAAATTCAAACCTGACACCACTTTCTTATCAGCTAATATAATATCACGTGATAGTAAGTTTCATCAAGGCTGCAAATACTAGAAATGGATTTTAGAAGTTATCATTCAGATCTCGCTAAAACAATACCCCTATATCCGAAGACCAACTTCGGCATTTATTCTCTTCGAATGAAATTTCAGGCAATAATTGAATCCGCTCTCATTGGCTATAGATGTAAAAATTTTATCTGATGAGATCAAAATTGCCTCACTTGACACATTTTCCATGAGCATTTCTTCTCTTTTTCAGACCATATTTACTACTGAAAGCATTGAAACTTACATCATGCAATGTATTGCTTTTTAGGCTACTAATCTATATACATTACGTAAATAAAAATTCTTGGATTTCTCTTGTTACGGCCATTTTTACCCGTATAAAGGATGACAAATTAATTGAATTTGATTGGCTATTGCCGAAAACTCGAGCCAATTCCGCACCAATTAGATGGAATAGATAAAAAATCTCGATCGTAATTGATGACTTTTTACTCATTTTGCGGTGTTCACACGAAAAATGTCATACTGAAGTGAGAATTTTTTGTGTGAAAAATTACACAGTTTATAAGATAATTATGAGTACTTTTAATGGAGAATCTGATATAAAAGATTCAAGCATAAGGGAAAGGATAGATCGGTCACCCGAGAGTTCGAGACTGTCACCCGATACTCCAGCTATTGGTGGCGAGGAAAATAAAATCCAACCTGTGATTAATAATAGAATAACACATCACAAAACTGAAGAAATTGAAACAAAACCTGATACAAAGGTAGTAGAAAATGAACCAAAATCAATAGACGACGCTAAGAAACATGAATTAAAAGACGAACCCATGGAATTTGAAGTCAAATCGGAAAGACCTAATCTAACTATAGATGAATTTAAAGATAAATCACAAATTGCTGAACCTGTGGATGAGGTTCCCGATGGACAATATTGTTCTAACTGTGGTACCAACAAAACACCACTTTGGCGTAGAGCACCCAATGGGACATTAATCTGTAATGCTTGTGGATTATATCTTCGTTCAAACAATGTTCATAGACCTGTAAATTTAAAGAAAGTACCGACTTTAATCACCAACCATGAAAAATTAGGAAGTTGTAGTGGAGACGGAAGATGTAATGGAACAGGAGGTTCTGCTGCTTGTAAAGGGTGTCCAGCATTTAACAATAGATTATCAACCAAAAAACGTGATAAGGAGGAAGAAGAAGAAGAAAAACCTGAAGTTAGTAAAGTGGACGGGGAATTAACTATAGCATGTTTTAATTGTAGTACAACTATAACACCTTTATGGAGAAGAGATGATTCAGGGAATACCATCTGTAATGCTTGTGGATTATATTATAAGTTACATGGAGAACACAGACCAATAAAATTAAAGAAGAGTACCATCAAAAGGAGGAAAAGAAATATCGAAGATAAGAAAGCTTCATTCCAAGTTTCTAATTCCAAAAGTCCCCAACCACCTCCAACCTTTCAAATTAATTCTCCAAATTCCAAACCACAAGAACAACCAAGATTACCTAACCAAACTAATTCAATACCGAATCCCGTTCAAGGTCAAATGCAGGGCCAATACCCTCAATATTATCAACCACCTCAAGGATATTACTACGGTTTGACCCCTCACCATTTCCCTCCATACAATTCTAATGGTAGATTACCTAATGGACCTGGGCCTTTACCTGGACCATTACCAATGCCAGGTACTTCCCCTCAGAGAATGTTATCACCATATCAACCTATGAGTAATGGGAATAGTCCTCAATTCAATCAACCTGAAAAGATCAAATTGCCTGGTATTCAAACTTTAACATCACCTTCACCTCAACCTTTATCACAACCAACCATAACCTCACCCCCATCAAACACAAATGTAAATAAAGATGAAAATCAGGTATCTAATGGAAGTAACGATAAAAAGGATAAAATAATGGCGGTTGACTTCACCAATAGTTTCAAGAATAAAATTTCTATTGGTGGTTTACTCAACCAATAAATGTAGCATAGTGTGTAAATATACTTTTCACTCCAGAAGGCTCTAATAACTTATCCCCTTGTACATGAAATTTTATAAGGCTCTAAGATTTCGATCTCGCGAAATGATTTTAACCATGAACATCACCGTTTTTTTCATATTTCTTCAATTAGTTTGGTGTTTCAATCCGTCAGAAAAGGACTTAAGGATATCCTTGTTACTTGATAACATTTCACCTACTTGCAATATTAATTTTGTAGAAAAATCATCGAATTTCCTTAGAAATGAAGCTAAATTCCAATATATCTTGAAACCCTTAGAATCTCAATTGACTCCTTCCATCGATAATCAATACATTGATTACTTACCAGAGTCTTTAGGAAGTTATTATACCAGGATGAAAACTGGGGTTCTTAGTAGAATCGAATTGCTTAAAAGAATGTTTTTAGGACATGATATTTACAGGATTTATTTGGTTAAAACCGAAGGCCTTGACTATATAATGTTGGTCCCTACCAATGAAATTGAACTTTTGGATATCATCAATTGGGTGAATAAGTATCAATCAAAGAACTTTGGTAAGGAATTTTGGTGTACTAAAATTTATGGATACCAAGTAAGGTTCGCCAAAGTAGGTGTCGACCCTTGGAAACCATGTTCTTAAGCCAATATCCATACAACATGTGACCGAAGTTTAAATTCAAGATCTACATTCTCTATCTTGAGGGGACGATATCGGGAACAAAACCCTTATTTGGATCACGTGAGAAGTTGCAAAAATTGTCAATGAGCGAAAATAATCTTATCAATCAAATCAATCTTTAATGACAGACAATTCAATTTCAAGAAAAGTTAAGGACATTACAGCAGGATTCGTCGGAGGTGCCACACAAGTATTAATCGGTCAACCTTTTGATTTGATCAAAATCCGTTTACAAACTTCAAATTCTACCATTACACAAGTTTTTCAAGATGTGGTAAAGAAAGAAGGAATCTTATCATTTTACAAAGGAACATTACCACCATTATTTGGAGTTGGGGCATGTGTATCATTGCAATTCTATGGATTCCACGAGACTAAAAGATATTTCGAAAGTAAATCAGGTAAGTCTTTAACTTGGAAGGAAATATACTTAAGTGGAGCTATGGCAGGGATTGTTAATACTCCTGTTGCCTCTCCAGTTGAACAATTAAGAATCTTATCTCAATCGTCATCCACAAAGATCCATATGAAAGAATTGATCGGAGATATTTATAAAAATCATGGATTTAAAGGAATTTTCAGAGGGTTCAATATCACCTTATTAAGAGAAATTCAAAGTTATGGAGTTTGGTTCTTAAGTTACGAAACCATCATTCGTAGTGTTGTCAATTATCATAATTATGAAAGCAGAGATAGTTTAAGCACCCCTGAGTTACTTTTAAGTGGAGCAGCAGCAGGAAACTTATTATGGTTAAGTGCATATCCTTTAGATGTCATCAAATCTAACATTCAAAGTGATAGTTTCAAGAACCCTAAATTTAATGGTGTTAATTCCGTGGTAAAATATATTTATAGCACATATGGATTAAGAGGATTTTGGAAAGGTATTGGACCATGTTTAGTTAGAGCAACTCCATGTTCTGCTGGAACTTTTGCCAGTGTAGAATTAGCTTTAAGAATGTTAAATTAGTAGAATATAGGAACGGTATGACTCTAGTATCCATCTGAATCTACTCTCTATTTATCTTACTATCTGCCTATCTAAAAACAAAAGAGGGTAAAACAACGGTAGTGCACCACTCATAAACGTAGTAGTTTCTCAAAGAAAAAATTAATTCGATTTAACCAATGATCGATAAGTTTTTTCTCGTTACTCAAATCTCAAAATTTTCAAACCCATCAACATGATGCAAAGATTAATAACTAAACAAGTTAGATTATTATCTAATTCCACCAAATTATACAAACCAGTAGCCACAGAATACTTTACTACTGGAGGATCAAGTCAATCCGTATGGCCACAAAATTTTAGATTACCTCAACCAAAGACTTGGGAAGAAAGTAATGAAAGTGCTTTAAGTAAAGCAACTAAATTTTTCTTCCTTAATGAAATTGCTAGAGGTATGTACATTTGTATGGAAATGTATTTCAGACCTCCATATACTATTTATTATCCATTTGAAAAAGGGCCAATTTCTCCAAGATTCAGAGGTGAACATGCTTTAAGAAGATACCCAAGTGGTGAAGAAAGATGTATTGCTTGTAAATTATGTGAAGCTATTTGTCCAGCACAAGCCATTACCATAGAAGCTGAAGAAAGATTGGATGGTTCAAGAAGAACTTTCAAATATGATATTGATATGACCAAATGTATTTATTGTGGATATTGTCAAGAAAGTTGTCCAGTTGATGCTATTGTTGAAAGTCCTAATGTTGAATATACTACTGAAACTAGAGAAGAATTATTATATAACAAAGAAAAATTATTAGAAAATGGTGATAAATGGGAACAAGAATTACAATATTGTATCGATGCTGATGCTCCTTATAGATAAACAAACCCTTTAATCATTTCTTAATAAAGATAAATCGAAAGATTCATTCATGATAGATAGTGCTAGTCACTGGGATTATCCTTTTGATACATATTTATTCCATATCAATGCATAATTACGTTACAACTATACTCTCTTTACATATATAATTGACGTACCCTTGACTATTCTGAAACTCAACCATTGACCATTCCTTTTTTCCTTTGACCATAAAATCTAACTCATAACTCAATATCCCTACCTCCCCCTCCTCACAGTTCATTACATCACTGTTCTATATTTAAAAAACCTCGTGATCAATGGCTTTAAAACAATGGGGATGATCATTAAGGTACAATTTGTTTTAATAAGGTACGCTCGAAAAAAAATTTTCAAACTGAAACAAATTAATAATCTTACATTTATCCATCTAAAAGTTTAACCAACGATAGTGGAAGGTAAAAGTTAAAACATTTGAAACATTTTGAGGTTAAAGGATTTAAAATCGGTGATAAAAAGAATCATTTTGATTGAATAAAAATCCAAATTAATCCAATATGAATCAAGATTCAGGGGTATCAACACAGTTAGATCCTTTGAGTCATCATGAATCAAATTCTCCTAAAATGAACTATTCACCCAAGCATTCAAGAAAATCATCATCCTTAAGTTCAAATAGAAATATCAATATGAAAAATCTATCATTAAATTTAGAGTCAACATCAACATCACCAAATTTTAGTCAAAGTCAAAATTTTACGAATTTAAGACAAAAATCTTTAACAATATCGATACCCAATGAAACCAGTCCTAAGGTTAATAATAATTCTAATGGATCATTAACACAAAATGGTTCACAACAAAGCATTTCACCCATTAAATTCCTGCCACCCAAAACTTCCAAAAACTATAAATTTCCTCCACTTAAAGATCAAGAATCACCTGTCAATAACTCATTTTTGAATAATTTTAAGAATTTAAATTTACCTGAAGAATTACAAGAATTAAGTCAATTAGATGCCTATTCAAAAGGTCCAGCCAATGTTTTGAATGATTGTATATTTCTTTATTCTGAACCAACTATTGAACAAATTAATGATTTCGATTTAGTAATCAATGTAGCCAAAGAATGCCCCAATTTATCTGATCAATTTGATAATTCAAATAATAAACAATATTTATATATACCGTGGAATCATACAAGTTCAATATCCAAAGAATTACCTCGTTTAACTGATTTAATAGCTCAATACGATGATTCAGATTTAAAAGATGGTAAGAAAAGAAAAATCCTTGTTCATTGTCATTGTGGAGTTTCAAGGAGTGCTTGTGTTGTTGTAGCATATTTTATGAAAAAATTTAACATCAATACTAATGAAGCTTATGATTTATTAAAAAATGGTAGTATTTCTTCCACCAATGACAAATTCAAACAATATTTCATTGAAAGTTGTAATAGGATTTGTCCAAATATGAGTCTAATATTCGAATTAATTGATTTTAACGAATATCTTCAAAATGGTACTATTGAACCATAGTTAAATGTTTATGTTAATCTTTAAACATTATCCATTTCCAGGGAAAGAAACTACTCATTTTTTCAATTCATCAAAGCAATTCAAGTCGTAGTTCATCTCATTCTACCTTTGATCATGCTCAATTAAAGATTTATAAATAGATGTATAGTATGTAAATTATAGTCAAATGGCTGGATGAGTGCGAAAACTTTTCAACCATGTCATATCCTTATAGGAATAATAAATATTATGATAACTATGATTCCAACTATAGACCGAAGAAGAAGAAGTATTTTGATCGATATAATCCAAGATATAATCAATCTAATGGAAATTCGGGATTAAATGGCAATCATTATAATCATGGGAATTCAAGTAATTCTACCTATAACAATTATAATTCTAATGATACATATTATGGAAGAGGAAATTATGACAGTTACCAGAGTGACAGAAGACACAGCCATGATGGATATGGGAACGAACGAAGGATAAAGCCGGCGTTTGATCTTAATATCAAAGCAAGACTGTCTAGTCCTCTGAAGTTAGGTAAGAGTGAGAAGAAGGAAGAAAAGGAAGATAGGGATGACAAGGAAGAGAAGAGTGAGGAAAAGGTAGAAGAGGAAGAGAAGGAGAAGGAAGAGAAACGAGAGATAAGACGAGTGCCGAAGATTGATGACGAAGAAGAAGACGAAGAAAGTGAAGTCAAGGAAGAACACAGAGAAGATAAACAGGAACATAACCAGGAACATAAACAGGAACATAAAGAAGAACACAAAGAGGAACCACATATTGAAAATGATGACCACAAGGATGAGAATGATCACAAGGATGAAAACGACCACAAGGTTGCAAATAAAGATGAAAATGATGGAGAAACTATCCACAAGGACGAAAAACCTCAGGTCAAAGACGAAATCAAACAAGAGCCACAAGAAGAAACCACAGAACGACCAGAAGAACCAGAGTCATCAGAAACTAAACAACCACTGGAGCAAGATTTAGAGCCAGAGTCAGAACCAGAAGACGACAATTCAGAACAAGACGAGCCAGAACCAGAACCAAAGAACGTTAAATTCACTATCCCAGAATCACCCGTTTATGACGAATTAAGTGAAGATTCAGAAGCCGAAACCGTCATCTCAGAGTCAGCTCCTTCAACTTCGAACTCAACCAAATTGATGAAAGACTTACACCCAGAAAAATCAAAACGTCCTTATGTATTGAAAAGAGATGCCAGTGGTTCATCCTTATTGCAAAGGGCTTGTAAGAAAGGGAATTTCGAAGAAGTCAAGGATTTAATTGAAAGAGGAGCAAACCCCAATGAATCAGATTTTTGTGGGTTCACTTGTTTACATGAAGCTGCTTTGAATGGAAATGTAAGGATCGTTAAATATTTGATTGAAAAGGGTGCTGATGTTAATAAACAAGCTTTACCTGATGGAGATTTAGAAACTCCTTTGATCGATGCTGCTGATAATAAACATTTGGAAATCGTTAAGATCTTATTGGATAATGGTGCTGACCCTAGAATCTTCAATAATGATGGTTTTACTGCTTTGACCAAAATTCACAATCTCCATGAAGACGAAGAAGGGTATGATGAAATCATCAAATTATTAGAAGAAGCCAATAATAAATTCTTAGAGAAGATCGATAGTCATTCTCACCAAGAGTCCACAAGCCAGTCCTTACATCATCAAAAATCACCCTCACCCAATACTATAATAGAGGACCCTAACGATAATTATTTTCTTGATATTTTGAAAAAGAAGTCACACAGTTCTTTGATTTTCAAATACGCTGCTGAAGGTATCAAGGATTTAACTGCTCAATATATCGTTGAAGGTGGTAGATTAGATTACAAACCTGATATCTTGATTTTGGCTGCTAGAAATGGACATGTTGAATTGGTGGATATCATCTTAGGTTTAGTGGAGAATTATGATATTAATTTAACCAATAATGTCGGATTATCAGCATTATTGGCATCTGTTGGAAGAGGACATTTTAAAGTGGTAGAATTCTTATTGGAAAGAGGGGCCAATCCATTTTTGAGAAGAAGACAAGATGGTTTGAATGCCTTGGAAATCAGTCAAAGATCTGCTAATTTTGATACCAAAGAAATTGAATTGATTGAAAAGTTCATGAAGAAAAATCCTAATCATTCATTATTATCAAAATCCAATGATAATCTTCTCCAAGATGAAGAGAAAGAATCCAAGAAAGAAGATTTCAAAAAGGAAGAACTCAAAAAGGAAGAAAAACGAAAAGAATTGAAAAGAAAGCCATCTTCAGAATTGGACGAAAAGAAATTGAAAAAAACCAAATCATCTGATGAAATGAAGTTGAAGAAGGTCAAATCAAGAGAAGAATCAGGTATAAAGCCCACTACATCAACATTATTCAAAAGGGAAAAAACCCCTGATGTTGAACCTATCAATTTCAAAGCAACTTCTCCTTCACCTCCACCAATATCTCATCTGAACAGTCAAGTCAACTTATCCAAACAAATTTCCAACACTTCAAATGATACTCCCGAACCTGATACTAAAGAACAAGAAGAATTAAGAGCTAAATCCGCTAGAGATTTGAAGATTTATCAAGAGAAACTCGAAGCCAAGAAGAAAGCTAAGAGAGATATGTTCTTGAAATCAGAGAAGGAAAAAGAACGTAAACGTAAAGAAGAAGAATTACAAAGAATTGAACAAGAAAAGCAAAAGAAAGAATTAGCCATCAAGGAAGAAAAGAATAAAATCAATAAAATCAAGAATGAAGTTAAAAAGATCGAACTTGCTAAAACCAATTTGGTCAGGAAACTCATCAATGATAATTATCCTTTAGGACTTAAGAAATTCAAATTTGGATTGAAAACTAACGCTAAAGATATCTTGAAATTCACTCCTATTTATAAATTAAAGATCAATGATGAAATCTATGTAGCGGATTTACAGATCCTGTTAGTTACTGGATTAACTATCAAAGAGATTTCATCAAAAATCACCGATAACTTACCAACTACCATAGAAGATAAGTCAAAACTTTGGAACTTATTTGCTCCAATGATTGGTACTAATGAGACCCTTATTTCCAAAGATTTATTGGACGATGGGTATGAAAAATTCAAATTCTTGGATATAAGAATGGTTAAATATTCTCATTTCGAAGAATATTTGAATCAAACCCATCCAAACATTTATGAGATCTTGAAAGAAGATAATTCCTTCATTAATGTTGATTTCAAGTATTTGAATGTTTTTGAACCTAAAATTAAGTTTAATGAAATTCAAGTCAATGAAACAAGTACTTTTACTCCACCAAGCTTACAGAATAAACCTCATCTTATCAAACTAATCAAAGAAGCTAAAACTCCGTTATGGAATTAGTATGTATTTTTATGTATAATAGTCTGTCTCATCTCATCTTCGCGAACATTATGTCTTATTCAAAGTATGTAACATAAGAGAGTGGTAATATTGGCCATTAAGATACTCATTTCATGACCTTGAATAGCTACAATAGCTATTTAGAGGGTATTCATGTCATAAGTACCTTTTTGTTCGGAGAACTAACGATTTTAGAGTAGAGAGATCAACCCTTTATGAGGAATCTCAACCTGATGACTACGTTCCTATGTCTTTAGATATAGAAGAAGTAGAACACCAATCCGAAGGAGAAAGTGAAAACAACCAAGACGATGAGTTTGATTTCCCTTTGTTTTCATTTGGCGGTGAAGTTGGGGGTGAAGAAAAGGAAGATGAAGATAGAGGTCGTACACAAGTAATGAAAGTTTCTTTACGTGAAGAATCAGTAGAAAGAATTATTCAAGAAAGACCTGAAACTTATTATTTCGCCAAATATACTGAAGAAGAAGTATTGCAATTCAACCAAGCAGCAATAACATCAGAAGAAATCATAATAATGTCTCAACAAAAGGATATAGATAGTCATCCTTGGAAAGTACTAGATTTAAATCATCATAATGATATAATAGAACAAGAAAAATCCAAAAAGAAGAAAAGACCAGGTAAGAATAAAAGATTAGGAATCATCAAAAGTCGAGAACGTAAGGCTGAGAGACAAAAGGTGTTCAAAGAAGTTGAAAAACAGCATAAGAAATATTTGAAAAAGAAGATGTTCCATAAAAGAGGAGGTAAAAAACATAAAAAGAAGGAAAATAAAGACGATAAACCCAAATATAGGACTGAATAATGACAAATTTATAATCTAATACACAAAAAGTATCTTGGGTAACTACTATCCATTAATCTAGCGATATCGCCAAATCATTAGAAACTCTCACCAACAAAAATGCGAGCCATGAATGAAGTTGAAGATTTTGAAAGCTTCCTTGATGAAGGATTTAATGAGTTCAAATTTGCCAATGATCTCTTACTAGGGACCAATGATCACGAATGTGAAGTTCTCGATGTAGAAACTTCTATCAAGAAGTTAACATTTGATTTGGATGAGGTAGAAAAGCGAATGAAGAAATTATCATCAAATCACTATGAAGATTTAATAACCAATTTCCAACACATTGAAAGTACTAATAGTTTAATGAAATCCAAGATCACTCCCAACTTAGAAAGAGTTAATAACTCATTCAGTAAAGTTGATCAAGAAATCATTCAACCTTATGAAGAATCAGTCAAAATGAATCAAGCATTAAAGAAGATCCATACTACGTTAGATTTACTTAGAGGTTCGAATTTCTTCTTTATGATAATGTCACAAATAGAAGATTTGGAGAAATCAGGTACTAATATTATCAAATTATGTAGAATGTATCGTCAAGTGAACAACTTGTTACAAGAAGCTAATGAAGAATTACTCTCAATCCAGGTGATTAGAGAGTTCCAACCTATTCACAATGTCAAATATAAGAACTTGGTGGATACATTGACTACAGTTATCAATAATGAAATCAACCATAGTGTTAAATTCGATGCTTCCAATACAAATTTGAAGAACCACTTGATAGGATATTATATTTTGGAGAATTCCATAACGTCCATTATTGAACGAACATCCATTTCTAAGAAAGTACAGATCAATTCCACACAACTCTCCAGATCATTACAAAGTCCTAGAAACTTCAATCAACTAATCAATGAACTAAATACTGATTGTAAGGAATATTTAAAGAAAATATCAACCATATTGAAACAATGTGAAATATTTGAACGATCAAGTAATCTTTTAGATATTTTTAATAAGGAAGGAGAGTTATCAACGGTATTTTGGAACAGTTTGGTGAAGAACTTCGAGAAAACTTTGGTATCAACAATGGCAAGAGGAGGACCAGTTGCAAAGAATCTCAAAATCTATCGACAAGGAATAATTAAATCAATTGAAGAAGTTTTTGAAGGACAAGAGAAAGAGATGTTCTTAGAAGCAATTAAAATCATTAAATAGAAGAGTAGGTAGAAAAATTATTATAATCATTTTTAGACACTTTTTGACAGTCATATCACTGACATTTTGTTTGGTTACTCACTGAGCTACTCTGGATTTCAAAGTAGTTAAGAAATCTCTGTAACTACTTTCAGTACCAGTCTTATCTTCAACCAAACATGAGAAAGCCCACATTCTTAAAGCCATTAAATCTCTTTGAGAAGAAATTTCAATTGGTTCATTTGATGAAGGACCAATGACTACGAATAAATTCTTCCAAGTAATTTGATCCTTTTGTTCTCTTAATTTACCAATAATTTGTCTTACTCTATAATTAAATTCACTTTCTTCAAAAGAAAATTCCGGTAATTGAGTTTTACCTGTTGGTATAGAATATAAGTTTTCAGTACCAAATAAATCTTGAACTAAACCTGGTACTACGTCACCACTGACATATAAGAATAATTCTGAGGAATTATCAATTAGATATAATCCATAACTATCAAAAGAAGCTTTTGAACTATTGACAGGTTCAGGCATTAAAATTTCCGGACTTAATACAGTACTTTCTTTACCTTCATCATCAACTTCGACGATTTCTTCAGGTAACCCACAACCATCAGCCATATTATGTAATGCATAAACTGTTGGGTAAATGTATTTGATTAAATGAGGAATTGGTAAAGTTGTTAAGTTATTTAATGCAATAGCACGATGATCAGCTGGTACTCTTTCACCTCTTAAACCAACATGTTTAGTTAAAGAGAATAATAATAATGGTAACATTCTCAAGTTAGTTGATAATTGTAATGGAGAAGAACCTGAAATGTTACCACCAACTAATTCTTTCTTATAAACATTAACTAAATCAATAATGTTTTTAATCAAGAATTCTCTAGCATCAGGTAATGAAGAATTAAGACCTTTTTCAATAGCTTTATGAGTTAAGTAATTAGTTATAGCTAATTGATCAGCTGAAGCATAAATATCATCTAATTTAGAAGATGTTGGTAAAGCTAAATTCATAACTCTAATTCTTCTTTCACCAAAAGATGTTGAATGTAAAACAGCAGCTTGGAAATAAACTACTGGTTTAGCAATAGTTTCTTCAATTGAAACTTCAATACAATAACTTTGATCACGAGGATATGTAGGGAATGAACATAAATCACTTGATCTATTGAAAAAATTACCATAAAATCCTGAAGCTCTTACACCAGAAGAAGCTCTAACTCTTAAAACAGCTTCTAAAGCAATTTCCATTGAAATATGTTCACTAATTTCTTTTGAAAGTTTAGTAACATCTTCACTGGTTGAAGCAGACCAAGCAGGATAGAAATGAGTTTGACCAGCAGTATAACGAGGTAAATTGGATAAAGTTGCAATATCTTGATATTTTGATGATGTACAGAATAAATCTACTGTAACTTGACCGGAATTACATTCAACAGCGAATGATTTATAAAATTTATCAGCAGCATTTAATAATACTTGACTTTCTTTTGGTTTACCAGAATTACCTTCTTCATCTCTAACCATTAATTTACCTTCACCAATATTTGGTAAAATTGATGCGAAAGTGATCAATTTACCACCAATTGAACTGATCATTTTATGACCAGCTTTCAACGCTGGCCCTAAAGCAAATGAATGATTAGCAGTATTTTCAAAATATAATGGGAAATCAATCAATAATTTTTCAATGGATTTTCTATTTTCATATAAATTGACTAATAATCCATCAGGTGATGGTAAGAAAGGTTCATCAATATCTGAAACAATTAACATTTCAATGTTTGCTTCATCATCTTCTTTAACTAATTCTTTGAATTTGAAATAATGTAAACTTGAATCGACCCCAATGAATGCAACTTTAGCTAAATTATTATTATTTGGAATTCTATCTAAACTTTCTAAAATAGTTCTTGTAACAGTACTGGTTAAACCAGTTGCAATAGCATCAGCTGAAACATCAATTATGAAACAATAAATGATTGGTGGTGGAACTCTGGCCAAATATTCTTTTGGTGCGACAAATTCAGTGATAGCATAATTTAATTCAGGTCTTTGGAATTTATCTTTAGCAACATTAGTAGTTTGATCAAATTCAAATGCCATTGGGATATCATTTAATAAGTTACATAAATTACATCTCCATCTTTTACCTTGATCAGTTAATGTAATGAAAGGATTAATATAAGCTCTACAACGTCTACATCTTGAAATTATAGTATCAACAGAAACAGCTACGTTTTCATCATTTTCATGTAAAGCAGTATAAGGTCTAACAATTAAACTTAAAGGTAATTTTGATTTCTTTAAAAGGGAATTATTGGTAGGTACAACATTTAAAGTACTTCTAAAATATTCTGATGGGGCATTAGATGTTGTACTATTTGGAATCACCGATACTTCAGGAGGAACAATAATTGGTGGTGGAGGTAATTGTAAATCACTAATTGATGGAGGTAATTCTCTCAATAAGTCGGTTGGATATAATTGATTCAAAGGTAATGAAGGAGTTTGATTATAATTTGCTTGATTATAAGCTGGAGCTCCATAACTTGTTTGACTTGCAGGATTACCATAAGTTGGTTGAGGTGGTTGATTTTGATTTGGTTGATTATATTGAAATTGATTAACATTCATGTTTTGAAATTGATTATTTAATTGATCCATTGGTTGTGGAGGTTGACCTATAGGTTGACCAGTTGGAGGTTGATTAAATTGTGTTGGTTGTCCATTTGGTTGACCAGGTTGACCAGGACTTAAAGGTTGAATTGGTTGCCCCATAGGTTGAATTGGTTGCATGGGTTGACCTGGTGTTACAGGGGCCGTAGCACCTCCATAATTGGGATAACTTGGTTGAGAAGCGTATTGTGGTTGTGGATAAGCTCTTCTCTTAGACATTATTAGATCAAAGTTGAAATTGAGATTTGAAAAATTGTCGACGCTTTGATTTTTACGTGTTGAGTTTCAAATTTACTACCAAATTACTGACATTTATTACTGATAATGGTAGTAAACGTCAACGACTTTTCGCGGGAACTATCAATCAACAACATGTCGCACAGTTGTTTTGTTTTAATGAGGTGTTTTCATTCACTATAAATCTTAGTGGGGCGCGGATATTGGTACCGCCCCCCTAAACGTAAGTGCGCCAAAACGGTGCCACAAGCCTTGGTCACAGCCAAGACCGCGAGTCGCGGTAATTTTCAGCATTCTTATTATAGTTAAATTATATACTTACACGAATCACTAAAAAAAAAAGGACCTAACTACTGACTAAAAAAATGCTTCGTCTAACTAATAATGCAAAAATGACACCTATTCATAATCGTGTTCAAATTCGTTTTTAATTTGCTCAATTCCTTTGACCTGATATATGTTTTTACGAAACATTATTTCTCTATTAAGTTAAAGAACACCTCACGTCACATGCACCAATAGATTTCACCGCAATTTGAAGGACAATAGATTTATTTTTATTGTTGAAAAATATGTTGTTTCTGGTTTTTAAATCCATGTTATTGTTATAATTTCACATCTGATTAACTTCTCCTATTGAAGTATTTCCATGCCACTTTCATTAAATGTTGTTGTCATTAGGTCAAACGCGAAATTGTTAAAATCTGTTTCTGGCTGCAAAACCATGCACCCGGCTTAAAAAAAGGTTATTTTTTCTATTGTTCTGTTGAAGTACAACAGATGATAATATGGTACAATATTGGTCGATAAAAAATAATTTCCCACTTAATTACTTTAGATACAACATTTTTATAACTTCATTGGAATTCAATAGTATCAACGTTTCACTACCTTGCTAAGCATGGTTGCCTCCCCCTTTGGTTTGTAACCTCAACAATGTAGATTTAAACAACCCTTAAGGGTGAAATTAGGTTCATCGGGTTCATAATAATTTTTTCGCATTTTCCCTTTTGGGTATAACCAAGTCTCAATCTAGAACTAGGATTCGCATTTAAATGCCTCTGATCCCCAGAATCCTTACTTGCCTTTATTTTTTTTTTGTATACCCTTCATTTTGTTATTCAGCTTAAGGTTGTAATTTTTTATATACATTTTGGATATTAGGATTTGAATAATGGGAAAAGATCTTCATAAGAGAAGTATTTCATCATTTGATGATATGGAAAAATCTATCGCCTTGAACGATGAAGACATTATTAAAGAAAAGAAAAATAAGAAAGTCGATATCTTTTTAATCATAATTGTTAGTTTATTGGTTGGAACAATCGTAAATTTTGTTCTTTTCAGTAACTTCAAGAGTATCAACTTGAAAGTATTCAATGAAAATGCTGTAGAAAAATTATTAGATGTAGAGAATATTAATTTAAAAGAAGTCCAAGATAATGAATGGAATAAATTCCATAGTAATTCACCAAAAGGAGAAGTTGTTTTAAAGTCTGCATCTATCGAAGATTCAACTTCTTCATATATAAACGAAGATGTTGAACATAATGATCCTCAAAAAGATTTAGCAGAAATCTTATCTATTAACTCCATTGTTATTTTAACTAATGAAGAGAACATTAAATTACAAACAAAAGTTGAAAACATTTTAAAAAATTATAAAATCACACCAGAAATTAAATTCATTAAATTAAACAAACACCCAAATTACGATAATATCTATCAATACTTGAAAAAATTCACTATCAGTGACTATGGTATTGAAATTAATAATGATGATGAAAACGATATCCCAAGATTATTCATCGGTGGTTTACCAATGGGCAATTATAAAGATATCATTAGAAAAGCTAATGCTGAAGAATTATATGGATACTTGAAAAAATACGGTAAAGGTTTAATCACTTTAGAACTTTAAAGCATTCTTATCCACTAAACAATAACGATTATGATTTAGGTTTGTTGGGGTAATATAAAAAAAACATTTATACTCTATTGTCTATGATTGTTACCACTGGCTTTTTGTGTGGAGTAAAGAAATCTCTGCTTACATAAGTTCTTATGTCAACTATTAGGTCACCATATTGCTGTACCCTTCCACGACCTGAAAAAAAAATAAAGCGGAATTTTAATCACAGGACTGATAGGGTAAATGCAAAAAAACGGCCGTCAGGCCATCCGGTATCGGAAAGTTCATAATCGGCATGCAATTTTCAACGGTACCGGTAAGCAATAAACTATCAATTAACCTATTCATTACTGTTATTATTACTATTGATCTAATCCAAGTCTGTCACAGCCTTGTTTATCATGAACTAGTTCGTATACCTTGTTTATGACTCACTAGTCGTGTGCGATAACTATCTATCAAAAAGGGTGTGCGCATGAATTACTGTATAAGATACCAGCCTCACGCCTTAATTTTTCCTACCATCTCGTCCCGCGCTGGCACCAAATATTATTTTTTACTCCAAGTGGTAAATTTGAGAACTCCGATTACAAATACGAACATTGATTCCATTAGCCGCGCACGACCGCGATAAAATTTTTCTCTCCTTTGCCAGATATTTAAACCTTCCGTTCCCCTTGAGAAATTTTTCAACTTAACAACTTTTTAACAAATTGATAAAGACTAAATAGAATTATTTATTCTTTAACCCCAAGCTTACTTTTTTATTTTTTATTTTCCCCATTAGTTTTTGATATCGATATTCAAGATGTCATTATAAATTTTTTGTGTGATCCCCCCAAATAAAAGAGTCCCCTTTATTTATTACTAAAGTAATTGATAAATTTTTAAGTTTTAAAAGTTGTTTTATAAAATGATATAGTTATTATGAGTTAAATATGATGCCGTTCAGGTCAATCCCCCCCTTAAAGTTATAAAATATTAAATTATTATAATATAAATTAAATAAATTGTTAAATTAAATTAAATTAAATAAAATTAAAATATCCAAAATGTCCACTCCAGTTATTATGAATGATTCTTTTGTTGGTGAATTTTTAGAACCAACAAAAGAAGTAGATGTTAGAATGAAGCCAGAATTAGAATCGTTGAATTTTCATTCAGATGTATTGAATTCAGTATTTCTGAATGATGAAAACAACCTTAATAATACTCCTATGTTTGACGAATTAGATTTTGTCTTAGATGGTCACGGTAAAGAAGATTGGGTCTCATTATTTGATGCTGATAATGAGATTGATTCCAATCAAGTTATCACTGATGCTGATCTTTTGAATGATATTGAAAAATCAATTCAACCTTCATTAACTAATTCTTCTGTCGATGACAAAGAAATTAGTGATTGTTCAAGTTTTGATAATTCAAATTCTAAAAAAAGATCATTTGATCAGTTATTAACTCCAAAATCTTCTTCTACTTTATCAACACCTAACTTAGACGAAGAAAAAATTGATCATTTAGGTTTGATTAAATACAATAAAAAACAAAGATCTGCTCCATTAGAACCAATTAAAGTTAAATCTAATGATCCAGTTTTGATGAAGAGAGCTAAGAATACCGAAGCTGCTCGTAGATCAAGAGCTAGAAAAATGGAAAGAATGAAACAATTGGAAGATAAAGTTGAAGATTTAATCAATGCTAATGATAGTTTATCTAGTGAATTATCAAGATTGAAAAATTTGTTAGATTCTCACAACATTGGTTATTAGACTTTTTATTTTGTTTCTTGTTTGTTTTACTATGTTTAAAATTGTTTACCATCTAATATATATTTAAAAGCATTAACTATTTCTCTTTCACACTCTGAAAAGCCGATTTGAAAAATCGCACCATGTCACTTATTGGACTTAAATCATCAATTCACTTATTAACCTTTTCCATTGGATTTGGTGGTTCTTTCTTCTATTCATATATTGCTTCACCATTAGCTTTCAAATATTTAGAACGTTCCCAATTTTCAATTTTACAAAATCATGTTTTTCCAATCTATTTCTTAGGTCAAACTTTGATCCCTTCAGTACTTGGGTTGAGTTCAACCATCCCATTAACAAACTTGTCAATTTCAATGTTGGTAGTATCAACAATTACTTCAGGTATGAATTATCTTTGGTTGATGCCAAAATGTAGAAAGATCAAAGAAGAAAGAAATTACTTGATCAATAACAATTTAGATAAAGTTGATGGTATTGAGACTGCAGATTTCAAACAAAAGACCAAAGAGTTTGGTATTTATCATGGTATTTCGTTATTATGTAATTTACTTTCCGTAGGTAGTTTGGCTGTTTACGGTTTGACTTTTGCTTAATGTTAGCTTCTGCTTGATGTTAGCTTCAGCTCAATGTATGTGTTTATTTCTATAAATCGTAATCATTATTTGGCATAAGAAAGTTTCCCCAATTGCTTCAATTTATCTATAGGGATGTTTTGGAAACACTTTTTACTCTGTTCAACATTTTCGAATTCTATGAAAGCTATGTTCCTGGCTTTAATTAATCTGAGATTGAGGAATCCTTCAAAATCAAATACTTGTTTCAAATGGTCTTCAATGTTCTCTGAATCGGTAGTGAAAGTTATTTCTTTGGTTTCTTTGGTTTCTTTGGTTTCTTTGCTCTCTTTGGTTTCTTTAGTTTCTTCTGCCTCCTCTACTTCCTGTTTGATACTCTTACTATCTATAAACTCCAATACCAAGGTATTGTTAGGCTTACCAGCTTTCTTATATCTCCTTATCTCTTTCAATTCTTCTACTTTCTTCTCGTCCATAATATCATAACTCTTACTCCTAGCCACACTAATCTTCATGGGTTTACCGAAAACCTTGAAATTCTGATATTTCTTCACTATTTTCGATACATCGTTATTGAACGATATGAATGCCTGGCCCTTCAACGCTAAAGTTTTCTTCACATGAACAGTCTTAGGATTGTATTCTTGAAATACTTGGAGGAGCTCATTCCTCAAAGTATTGTGTGATACCTTCTCATTCAAGTTATTTATATAGATAGTAGACATCTTGAAAATTGCGAGCTTGGAGAATTCAAAAATTGCGATATGAATAAAGAAGTCCCTAGTATAAAGATTAAGGATGAATTTGTTAATTCATCAGATATAAAACGACAATTATCCCAAAGTATGGGAACTTCAGGAGGTATTTCCAAACCTACGAGTAGAAGAGGTTCAATTGTACCGAATGATGATGACGATGATGATGAAGGAAATGAACGTAAACGTAGAGATAATATAAATGAAAAAATTCAAGAATTATTAACATTAGTACCATCGGAATTGTTTAATGATAACAACAAAACCGAAGATATTGACTTGCAAATTAAAAATAGTGGTACAAAGGATGGTAAACCTAATAAAGGTCAAATATTAACCAAGTCAGTAGAATATATTCAATATTTACAGAACAAGATCGATGAAAATAATAGAAAAGAAGTTGAAATGTTAGTGAAATTAAGATATTTAACTAATGGTGATAAAACTATCTCTCATACAAGTGCTGAAAAGGCATTGGGAGAAATCGGTGTTGGGCCGTTATCACAAGACTATTTCAAAGCCGTATTGGTTGGAAGTGCAAATGCTAATAAAGCAAGAAAGTCTTCAGTATAATAAGGGTTGTATAGGTTTTATTGATATTTTTATTTAACTTCTATTTATATTTCTCCCCAATCTTTCGTATTCATCAGCATTGTCTGTTAACATATAAGCCGGTAAATAATCCTCACCATGTTTCAATTGGGGATTTCTAACGGTATTATGGACTCCCCCTAAACTGGTATATCCTTTATCATATAAACAACAATAGTCTAATCCACAGCCGACTATGAATTCCCATATTTCAACATATGTCCAGTTCAAGATAGGGTGAATTCTCATGAATTTTGGCCAGTTATGATCTGTTTCTTGCTTATAAGTTAATTCGGATCCATAGGGATCTGAATATCTGATACCTACAATGATAGTTTTGATATTGGGGTTATCCGATAAGTATTTTTGAAAACCAGATTTGAGATCACTCTTGATTATGGTGGAATCGAGGTGATAGTATTTGGTGGAATCGGTAATGAATTTATTCACTTCCATAAATGGTTCGTCATTATTGATGTATACTGACGGTAACTTGAAATCTTCATTTACATCCAAGCCCAATTCATGGATGGTGGATAATATTAGAATCAACATTACTAAACAATCTTTCCCTCCATTATAACTAATGGAAATTTCATTGATATTATCTTTCAAAGTTTCTCGTAGAATCTGGAGTGATTGTTGGATCTTTTGCTTCACTGACGATTGCACCTGAGGTTGGGATATGTAACCAGGCTTTACCGTGGTATGACTTCGATCATTTAGGTAACTTTGAACTAAATCATATGCTTCTTTACACTTGTGCTTGATTGTCATTAGTGCGATTTTTATTACTATACAATATTATACAAGGTAGATGGTGATGAACTTCTCTGGTAGGGATCTTCATTGCTGACTGGAGGTTTAATCTTCATTTGAAACTATAATAATCTTGGATTTCTTATTTAAACAAAAACTGAAGGTAATATTCCTTTAAATCATTATCCCAATACCACCAGAATTTTTCAGATATTTCATCTACTTTCCCGTCAATATCCTTATTAGGGATTATTAGACATATGTTTTCATAAGGTTCACATGATATGATGAGGTAAAGATAATTACTTTCATCCGTCAGGGATTTATCTTGGGAGAACTTATCGATAGACGATTTGATGATATTTTGATTCTTAGCAGTTAACTCGAAATAATTCTGGAATCGAAAGAATGGTTCTTTCAACGCTTTGGGACATTTTACATTCAATAGAAGTCCCAATTGATTATTGTCATGTCTTATCTTATCGATCTTAAATTGTGGTTTACCTATCTTATTCCATGTTCTCTTATTGACATTATTGATAGATACACCTTTCTTAGTGATGACTTTATTCTTATCATCTAGCAATCTTCTTCTTTCAAGATTCAATTGATGTTTTCTTCCTCCAACATGAGAAATATATGAGGATTCATTAACATGAGTAGTTAAACATAACTTGCATTCTAACAATCCCAAATGATTTTTGAATACATAAGGATCATTATCAAGATTAAGAATAGTTGAAGTTAAAAGTTCCTTAACTCTTTGTCGTTTATGTACATTGGCTTCATGATGATCAGCAAGAGCACCTGCACCCTTCTTACTGTTAACTCTATCACTATAATCCATTTACAACTCTTCTCACAATTTCAAAAAAGAAGTGTCGCGGCGACCGACCCCATGCTCACGCGACATTGTGCTGTAAAGAGTTAAAAGAAAACTCGCACTTGGACAACACGTCTAATGGATTCACCAATTAATATAGGCGATAGTACAACCAATAGTATCCAGGATAAGTTATCCAATACTCATTTGGATACTACCTTTTCATCCCAAGTATACAATTCCAATTATTCAGGAGAAAAATACATCGAATTAATCTTAAAAATCAATTCTTTCCAAGTTTCCATACTCAGACGTGTGCAAGATAGTTATATCAATCTTAATCAATTATTAAGGATATTGGTGGAGTTAAAGATCTTTAGTGAAGAACAAATCGATAAATACATTAATAACGAAGTTTTGGAAAATTTACAATTCAAAAATATCGAAGGTTATACACCAGAATATTTGGACTATAGAAAATATAAGAATGAAGTTATTAGAGGTATTTGGATCACTTTTGATAAAGCCATATACATAAGTAATAAATTCGGGATCTATGAAATCGTTAAGAATTTATTCTTGGTGAATGTTCATGATTTCGATGAGTTGAAGAAGTTAGAAGTTGAAAAGAAACGTAAAATCAGTGATATTCAAGAAGAAGATGATGATGAAGTAATGGAAGAACCTGAACAATCTGAAAGTATCAATAATCCTAATTATCCATATAGTTTACCACCATTAACAGAAGATAAAAATGATATTAAAACCAAATTTAATCAGTTGTTCAAGAAATCAGATGGTGATATTAAAGAGGAAATCTTGAAAACTTTCGGTGATGATAAAATTACTGATATTCCTTTAGATCAAGATGGGAAAACTGCATTACATTTTGCATCTACATTAGGAAATTTGGAATTATTGAAGAATTTAATCAAATTAAAAATCAATTCTCCTATTAGAGGTTCAAATAATGGAGAGAATCCTTTAATTGCTTGCATATCAGTTACAAATTCTATGGAAAAGGGAAATTTCCTTGAAATTTTAACCCTTTTGAAAGATAATATCTTCCTTTTGAACAGTAATAATGATACCATATTACATTATTTAAGTAAATCAAAACAAGAAACTTGTAATTATTATTCAAATAAATTGATCCAATTCATCATCAAAGATGAAAGTCAAAATTTATTGGAGAAATTCTTGAAAATGGTTAATTTGAAAAATTTAGATAACGGTAATACTGCTTTACATAATGCTATCGAACAAAACAACAAATGGATGATTAATATCTTATTGGAATTCAATGCTGACTATAATATCACCAACAAAGCTGGAGTCAAAGCTATAGATTTCGATATAACAAAGGAAATCATCAATACAAAGAAATTGAATCAATTCGAATATAACGATGATGAGTTATATTTGATGGAATTAATTAAAACCAGTTTGGAATTCATGAATAAAAAAGTTCAAATCATCGGAGATTTAACCATTGAAGAAGATTATCCTATCAAGAAACCAAAGATCAATGTTGAAGAAGAATCTCAAGATTCAGTTTCAGCCTTATTTAATAGTATTAAAGGGATTTTGAATGATACAAATTCCGAATACGAAAGTATAATTAATAGTAAAAGACAACAGATCAAATTATTAAACCAACAATTATTCAATACCACATTGTTAACCACCAACAATAAATTCTTGAATAAGAAAATCAATGAGAAATTATCATTATTAGATAATTTGAAGTTACAGATGTCAAACATAACGGAGAAGTTGGAAATCTTAAATAATGAATTACCTGAAGACTCTTCAGATAGATTTGATGCAGATGAACCTTTCAGAATTGATTTGTTATATAATAAATTGATCAAAAATGAAGACCCTTCAGATGTTAAGTCAGAAATACTACCCGAATTACCAGAATCTATAATTTTAAAAGCTAGGATAGATAGTTACAAACAATTGAATGAAAACTTAAGTAATGAATTGGAAAACTTACAACATTATGATAATTTAACGAATAAGTTTAAGAAAGTGGTGAGTTTCTGTACAGGAGTAGATATTAATGAAGTTGATGAATTGTTGGATGGATTATTAGAAGCTGTTGAAGGACAACAATAATGTATGTATTATTATGAATGAACTCTGTGCCTGTAACTCTGTGCCTGTAATGTGTATTTTCACTTACACTCTATTTGGTCAGTTACCACGTCGTACTTATCGCAACACATTGTTAGAGAGTCTGACTGTCAATGTATCAGACCTAGGACACCACAAATTAAGAAATAACCAGAGAAAATAAACATCTTCATGCAATTTTATATTACCCCATGCTACACCAACCCGTCAAAGGAATTCAATGAATTCATTATACTTGGGTCCAATTTGACCAATTGTTTGAATTCATTCATATCAATAGTATCTTTATTCGTCTTGCCTAGTAACTTGAAAAATTTCTCAGTTCTTAACTCAGGCGTCCTCTCATCCGATGGTAATGCCACCATTGAGCCAATCAATTTATAAACCGACGTAATTATCAATAATATATCATCATAATTAATCTTGCCTGTTTTCTTTTGATCGTATAATTTGAAACTCCAATTAATTTTTTGGTCTAATGAACCTCGTGATGTGATAGATAATGCTATAATGAACTCTTTGAAATCAATATAATTGGTTTGATCGATATCAAATACCTTGAATAAGTAATGACAATAATCAACAGGATCTCCAAATGGAAAGAATTGTTTGAAAACTTTAATGAATTCTTCTTCAGATAATTGACCTGATGGACAGTCTCGCATGAACCCTTTATACCATTGTTGTAATTCACGTTTATCGAAATAAGTTGCTTGTCTTAAAGATCTTAAATCATCCTTGGACAATTTACTAACTGTCTTTCCCATATTTGCTGTTACAAAAAATTCGCATTCATCAACAAAAAAAACTTTAACTATGAATGTCACAAGGTCAATAGTTAGATCTCATAGATCTTTTAGTACTACCACCAAAGTATTGGCTAATTATGGTAAACCACAAAACCCTGAATATAATAAAGAATTAAGAATGAAGATTTTACCTATCAAAAGAACTGGTGAAGATATTAAAACTATGAGAGCTAGATTGGTTTATCAAAGTAGGAAAAGAGGGATCTTAGAAAGTGATTTATTATTGAGTAGATTTGCCAATAAGTATTTGAAAGAATTCACTATGGAAGAATTAAAAGAATATGATGAATTATTAGATGAAGCTGATTGGGATATTTATTATTGGGCTACTAAGAATTTCGATGTAACGCCATTACCTGAAAGATGGCAAGATAGTAAGATATTGAAATTATTACAAGCCGAAGCTAGAAATGAAGCTGGGGAGATTTTAAGAATGCCAGAATTAGATTTATCCATTCATAGTTGAGTTGTATAAGTTATATGTAAATAGATAGGGTTTTCTTGTATGTTTGTCATAGACTCTGATCGTGATAGACTTTAAATAGTTTTGATTTTTTACTCTTGGAGTTCACAGGCGGATGAATGCTCTTTGACTGTGGTCACAGTTGTAAGTTTGATGGTGGAAGTCTGACGGTGCAAGTGTAACAGTAGTAAGGGAACTCGGTGGAGGCTCATTCATTTTCTGTCATTTGGTCTCACTCTTATCTCATATCTCACAACTAGCAATGTTCCCTGAATCATTAAAGTCAAATAGAGAAATCGCCCCTTATTATCAAAGGTATAGAGAACTTGAAGATGTCAATCCAATTGTCAGCTACTATTGTAAGTTGAAGATTTTAGAATATATCTTGAGCAATAAGTTACATAAAGAGAAGGAAGTGGAGACCTATGTTTTACAATTATTAGATGAAACTGAATCATTCAAGAATAGTTCCGATGAAGACATTACCAAGGTGTTGAATGATAAGAATTTATCCATTTCCTTGGTGTTAAACTTTGCTTTAAAGATTTATAATCAATGTTTGAATGATTTATCCAACTATGACGGTAATAAAATACCTTTAATGTCAAAGATAAAAGCATGTTTGAACTTCTTAGGGTTGATAGAGTTATTTAAGAAAGATGATATTGATTGGGATCGAATCAGTGGAGGTAAAGCCAGTGATTATGAAAGTTTTGATAAATTGAATAAGGAGAGAACCAAGTTATTGAAGTACAATTTGAGTAAATTGATCAAGGATGAGATTGAAATCAAAGGTGAAGAGGAAGAATTAGAGAAATTGGCTCAAGAGTTAGACGGAGGTGCCGCTACTAGTGGAATTGAAGATGAAAATGAATTAAAGAATGTTGTAGACGAAATCGCTACAGAGGAAGTTCCTGATCATGAAGTTCCTTATCACTCATCAGTACAACCATCAGAACCAGTCCTTCCTTCAGCCCCAACATTCCTTGACGAGGACACTGCTAAAGAAGATGAAAATGATGAACCATCCATTGGTTCATTCCTCCCCTCGGCTCCAAAAACTATTGGCGAACCTAATCTTCCTTCAACTCCAAAAGATATCAGCAATGGTACTTCTCCTAAGCTTCCAGGTGCTCCACATTTCAACCCGGAAGATTCAGATGATTTGAAATTACCTGGTGCTCCTAAATTCTTACCTGATGGAGATTTATCAGGTATCAATAAAGACTCCTCTATCTTAATAATCCCACCAGAAGACGATAAGGCTAAAGTTGAAAAACCTAAACCCATCAAGCCCACACCAAAACCAGCCAAACCTGTTCACCAACCACATGAAGAGCTTACCAAAGAAAAGCTAGATTTGATTCTCAACAAACAAGAAACCATTACTAAAATACAAAAACTTTGTAAATTCGCTATAAGTGCATTGAATTATGAAGATTTAAAGACTGCAGAGAAGGAACTTACTGAAAGTTTGGAATTAATAAAATTATTAAACGAAGATTGATCGACCCCCTATTTCAGACAATCTCGTATTATACGAGCGGAAATGCATGGTGAGAATCATCAAACCTAAAACCCTTGATCCTCAATCTACCAACGTTATAATCAACTCAATAAGGTTATCATTGTTAGTTAAATATATAGATCAATAGACAACCACAGTCATAAGAAACGTATTCTAAGGAAAACCAAAAATAAATATCCACATAGCCTTTTGTCGTGTCAAGACATTGTACCTTTGGATTGAAGGAAGCAATTCAGCCATAAGCGCAAACCACTTGGTGTTTCAAAGCCCAGCCTTACCAAGAAGTTGATTGTTACAGTTTCTTAGCTCATAAAAAAGTATTAAGGTTGGTGAGTTCATTGCATGAACAAGAAAATACGGCTTCCAAGATTTACGGATCCTTCGCTTTTCCGAGATCATTCCGTTGATACCATAAAAACACTTTTTAATGTTCACAGGTATTTTTATGAGTTGCCCGACGATTTAAATGACTTGCAGCTAATATGACTCTATTTTTTAATTCTCCTATTGTCTCCTATAAAAATCTTTTCCATAGCCTGTGCAAATCAAGAGCGTTAGACATATCAAAAACATCAAATAATTCCCAATTGAGAAAAAACTTAAACAAACTCTCGATTGGAAAAATTTTCATATTTTTTAGATTAAATCTTATCTGTTTTGATTTTACACAAAACATTCATCACTTGACATTTGGAAAATTCCATCTTTAACATCTTGATTTTATAAAATCATTTCCATTCCTTTTAAAAAATATAAAGTCTCAACCATTTTTATACCATTGGACATTTGAGAAACCGTCATTGAGATCAAAAGGAGACACACTGACCAAAGCAAAAAAAAATTAAAAGTAGTATCAAAAGAATAAGATGAACACGGTGAAAAAACGGTTCACTTCAGGATCTTCAAATATTGGATCACCTACTAAAGAAGATTTAAGATCAGTGTCTGCTGGTTCCCTTTCAGATTTATCTCCTGAATTAGTACCGATTGTAACATTATTATCATCCCAAAGTCATAGAAGATATCATGAAGGTATATTTATGTTATATTATGATTTAAATGGTGATGGGAAACCTGCTGATAGAGAGTGGAGAGAAGTTTATGGGATTTTAACTGGAAATCAATTAGCTTATTGGGATGCTGCAAACTTGGCCAATTTTAAGAATAACATGAATCCTGCAACTTTATTAGAAAGTACTTCTAAACCAAATTATATCAACTTTAGTGATTCTGTTTATAATGCTATGAAGGTGTTACCTGCGGCCAAACAGAATTTAGATAATGTTATTATTGTATCAACAACCTTGAAGAATAGATATATCATTCAATTCAAATCGTTGAATGATTTGAATAATTGGTACAGTGCTTTAAGATTATCAAGTTTTGAATACCAATCTTTACAACATGCTTATACTGGAGCCTTATTGAGTGCAAGAGGTTCTAGATTAAGTGATATTAAGACTATCTTAGCAGAAAAGAGATTTGATCATGAAGATTGGGTTAGTATTAGATATGGTAGTGGTATGGCATGGAAAAGATGTTATGCTGTTATTGAACCTTCAGTCACCAAAAGAAAAACCTTCACTCCAGGTAGAATCTTATTCTATGAAAACGATCAAAAGAAGAAGAAGACTTTAACTGCTGTAGTTTCAAACTGTTCATCAGTTTCAGCTGTTTATCCCCAAAGTCATTTATTGATTGATCAAAGTACAATGTTGAAATTGGAAGGTTATATAAATTTCAAATCTCCTTCGTTATCAACTAAAGTTAGTAAGAAATCTATTGATGATTTCAAAAACACTTCAATCTTCTTGATGCCTGAAGCTCATAGTTCAGTTCCAGGTTTCGATACTTTGATTAGATTCATGATCCCATTATTGGATTCTTTTGGTTTATATGGTAGACCTAAGAGATTAAAAGCTGAAAGAAATGATGTAGATTCCTTATTATTTGGTTTACCTACTTTACCTCATGTTCATTATCTTGAACTTGATGATATCAAATCTTTCGCAGCCAAATCAGATTTCTTATCATGGGATGTGAATACTTGGAATTCCAACTTCAAGAATTTATTAAAATCAAAGATTGACAGAGGTTATGAAGGTTGTGGATCATCAAGAGGTTTTGCTGGGGCTTTAAATACTTTGAACTCTCCTCAAACCCCAAGTACCCCAGCTTTCAATTCATCTCCTCAGAAATTCAAACCTCAACCTGCTGAACCTAAACTTAGTACTTTAAGTTCTTCAAACACTTCATTACCTTATCAACAACCAATCAAATCGGAAACTATTTTACCTTATCAAACAGGTGAAAGAAATTTCTCAAACGGATCAGTTGTTCATAATCCAAGTAAGAATGTCAATAACTTGAGTATCAATGCTAAGGAAACCAGTCCAGATTATTCTTCTCATCATAAATCTATCGAGTTGTCTGATATCTATCAAAAATATCAAGATATCAAATCACCTTCTGATCAATTTAATGTTGATAGAAACAAATTGTTAAACGGATCTTATGAAGATATCGATGAAGATGAATTACCTGAAAACATAAGAAAAATCAATTTAAGTGAAAATGTTTATCCTACCAATGATAATGACTTATTCAGTGATGAAGATGAAGAAAGTTTAAGTAGTAGTGATAAATTCGATTCCAGAAATATTGGTGCTAGTAAAGGTAATTTAATTGTTCCTCCTTACAACAATAGAAATTCTTCATATTCTTCAGTTCAAAGTCCAATGACTCAATATAACGAATTTAACGAAAAATTCAGTGCTGCCATTTCTCCTAGTGCTGAGAAGGTCATTCAATTACCAAAGGAATCAAATTTCCAAAACTTTTCCGATAGTGAACCTGAATCACCTCCTCCACCTCCTCCACATTTGAATTCTTCCCCTTATAAGGCTTCAAGAATTAATAAACCCCATTATATTAGTTCTCCAAACAGTTCTCAAAATCAATTACCAACTTTTAAGACTGATGAAGTATCTTATAATTCCATTCCAAGTCATTCTCAACCTCAACAACAACAACCTGTTCACCAACAACCTGTTCAAAAGCAACCACCTCCACAATCTCAACAACCTCAACAATATCAACAAGCCCCATCAAAACAGCCTCATCCTTATGGTGCCCCTACTCAATATCAAGGACAGAATCAATACCAATCACGTCCTTCGAATCCTCCTCAACATCAACCTTTGAACAAACAAAGTTATAACAATCCAAATACTTATCAAATGGGTGGTCAACCACCACAAGGTTCTAACCCTCCACCTCAAGGAAGAATTCCTCCTGCTTCTCAACAATTCCGTCCTATGAATAGTCCAATGGCTCCAATGCAACAACAAATGCCTCAACTGCAATCCATGAGACCTATGAATCAACCTTCAGGTCAACCAATGGGTCAACCAATGCATCAAGGTATGAATCAAATGCCTTCTATGCATCAAGGTATGAGTCAAATGTCCTCAATGCAATCTGTTAACCAATCTCAACCTCATAGTGGTCCTCATAGAAGACCTCCACAAAATTATGGGGTACCTCCTTCAACTTCTTCATACAAGAAACAAGGACCAATCGGTCAACAAATGCCAGGTCAACAAATGGGTCAACAAATGGGCCAACCAATGGGCCAACCAAATCAACAAAACCAACAAAATATGAGAAACTATAACAACTCACAATACCAATACCAATATTCAAATCAACCACCTCAACCACCCCAATCTCAATCAGGACCAAATCCTTATACCAGGCAGTATTAAGAGAATTTTGTAAAATATGTAAACTTTTAAATATACCAATTTGCTTTATATTTCTATCTAACTATTTCTAGACAATTTTTGGGTGCCATACCAATACCACCAAATTCATTTTTTATCAAACACCAATCATCTCTATGAATTTTCAAGATTTCTACAGTTTCTCCAATCTTTAAATCGATTTCGTCAGACAAATTCTTCTTGAAAGTTCTAATGACTTTGAATTTAGAGTCTTCCACGGGGTTTTCCATTTTGATTAAACTGGGTAACTTAGGTAAGAGCTTATCCTTATTGGGTTTGGGTTCTTGTGAAAAATTTGAATATTTAGAAGAGACAGCATTTGAGTTGTTCGAATAAACTCCAGCTACTCTTCCATCACCTTGGATGTTAACTTTCTGATTTTTAGGTGTTTTGGGGGTGAAAGGCTTATTCAAATTAAATCTTTTCAAAAACATAGGCAGGATAGAGTTACTTTCTTCTTCAATCTTACCAATCTTACTGAATCTATGGTATAATGCTACAGATTCCCTCTTGATCTTTTGTGGCACAGACATGAATCTTACTGGTGTGGTGATCTTTTCATTGAAGGAGGCATCGTATTTATCAAAATCTTTACTGTAGTCTTTTTGATAATCCTTTCCATAACCTCTTTCAGCATATTCCTTTTCATACCTTCTTTCCAGGCTCTCTTGTTTGGTACCAGCCTCTTCACTGAAGGGCCCGATGTAAGGATTCTTGAAGCTAGTGTTGAACTCCTTATGAGAAGGTAAAATGGGTTTATTGGTTTTCTTCTTTTGTTTGAAATAATACCACGATCCTAAAGTGATCAAAGTAATGAAGAATAAACCAATTGGTATGCCTAAGCCTAATCCCAAGGCCAAATTGTTGGAGGATTTCTTATAGTCTAAGAAGTTCGATGTTGAACTGGGCTCAGAACTTGTATATGATGAGGTGAACAATTCACTTGATTCGAAGGTGGTTGACAGTTTGGTGGTTTTTGAAACACTAGAAGGTAAAAGTAGTTCAGTTGGAAGGGTTGTTGTCCTAAAAGATGTTGAAGTTTTGGTAGATTTAGCTGAAGTGGTTGTGGGTGTGGGTGTGACAAGTTGAACTATACTGGGTGATAAAACTGTTAATGGTCTATAATTGGAATACATATTGGATAAAGTGATAGTTTTGGTAAATGTTACTGAATATGTTGTTTCGAAACTATCCATGAATCAAAGGAGAAACTTGAAGTTTAAATAGTTTATCCATGTTTCAAGTTTGTTTCAGATTTTGTTTCAGGTTTTTTGCAGCCGACTTTTCTGTCGATCCTTCTCAGTGTTGGTTTAATTTTTGAGTCGACGGAGACGATGTATTCACACTGGATATGTCACAACAGAGATGATGTATCAACATATTGATAGTTTCTTATCTTTAACATTTTATTCTTTTTTTTTTTCAAACAAAATTTGTGATTTCCACACAATGTAATTAAAAAAACACCCACTCATCATCGTACACCGACATGATTCTTGATCACCGATAGAAACAAAAGAATAGATACGGACAAGTATAAATTCATATAAACAGAGTTTTACCTATAAACCTTGTAAACCTTTGATTAATTCTTGTTGTTTTTCATTTAACTCATTTGAATCATTACCATAATTTCTTAAATCTTTCAAGATGATATCCTTCAATTTATCAAAGTACACTTCTTGTAATAAGTTTCTGATATTGTATTCTGAATTTTCAATCAATTGTCCTAAATTGATTAAATGGAAGGTTTCTAAATTAGTATCATTGGTGAACTTTTTAGTGGATTCGAATTGTCTGGTTAAATTTCCAGAGCATGACAATTTTTTGTTGCTTAAATTTAATATCACTGAAGTAGTTAATTTGTAGTTGTAGTTGGAGCCGGATTTGATCACTTCAAAAACATGAATTGAGTCCCATTTACCTTCACCTCCGTCGATTTCTTTTTTGAATAAAACCACACCTGCAAATCCATCTAAAGTTTCATCATCTTCAGTATCCCACAAATAAACTGAAGAAACTCCGGAATTTTCGTAATATAAATCCCTATAAATATCGAAACTCTCGTTAGCCTTGATCTCCAATTTCCTCAAAGTTGATGAAGGGAACGGAGTTTCGTCATCGACTTCATTTTCAGGGAAATATTTATTCGTCCAAGGGGATCTGTAGTTATCACCATCTCTATTATAATCACAACATAAGAATTCTTTATTGTTACTGGAGTCCTTGATTAATTTTAAAGGAGTGTCAATTGATGATAATAAATCTTGAGTTAATTCAATTTCATCATCATTTTGTAAAATGGTACAAAGATCGTTCAAATTTTCACTGATTTTGTCAGGATTCAACCTTCTTAATAAGTCTAATGATGAATCGAACTTGTCCATGGTCGTTGATAAAATGCGAAATGTCAGGAGTTAGAGGTAAGGAAAGGTTGGCAATTGGGGTGGAAGAGGAAATAGGGCATTGAGGGTGGTGGGAGTGTAAAGATTGAATGGATGTCTTTTGAATGACAGAAGCTGTATACGAGGTAGTTAATGTCAGGTGTAGGTAGTAATTAGGTAGGAGGTGTAGTTTGAGGTGAGTTTGAGGTGAGTTTGAGGACTCAAAGTCTCCCCAGAGAGAAAAGCAGACTCAAAGTCCCCTAAACAAAGTGGACTAAGATTCCAGAAAACCAAAAACGTGTAATTCTCAGTGACAACTCTAAATCTCTGTTAATCTTCCACGATACTGATTCTAATCAGTAAATTCCTTGCAACCCAACCCAAATACCTATACCAATTGTGTACCATTCGCACCAATATTTGGTCCAGTGCGACCTAAGTTCCAACGGAGATGAGGGTAAATTTGAAACTGGAAAATAAATCTAATGAGAAAAAATTTTCATCGAGAAAACTAAAGGGAAAACTAAGTAATTGAAACCATGTCCCGATTCTTTGTTAAATATGATTCTGATTCATCATCAGAAGAAGAAGATTTACTCAGTTCTGAAGAAGAAGCCTTAGTTTCATCACAAGAAGAAGATTCAGATTCAGATTTCTTCCAAAATGATTCAGATGAATCATCAGATGAAGATTCAGATGATTCTTCAGCACCAAAAGGAGTTTCATATTTCTTGAAAAGCAAATTCACTAAAGGTGCAGCTGATTCCGATTCCGATTCAGATGATGATAGAAGAGTCGTTAAATCTGGTAAAGAAAAGTTATTCGATGATATGAAAGAATCAGTTGAAAAATTAAATATCGCCAAAAGAATTGAAAATTGGATCAATTGTTTAGCAGAATTTGACAAATTAGGTAAGTTATTAACTAAATCATATCAACAAAATTATGGTACCCCTAATTTCTATATCAAAAGTTTAGGAGATTTAGAAGAATTTGTTGATATTTCAAATAATAGTGAAGATAAGAAGAAGATAGCTGCTGATCAATCAAGAGCTTTTAATACTTTAAGACAAAGATTAAAGAGACAAGTTAAAGAATATCAAGAATTAGTAGATTTATATAAACAAGAACCTGAAAGATTCGATAGTGAAGAACCAATTGAAATAACCACTAATAATAATAAAGATGAAGGATTTACATCAGTTGGAGTTTCTAAATCTTTAAGTCCAGTATTCCAAACTTTGAAATTAATCAGTGAAAGTAGAGGTAAAAAGAATATCGATAAATTTGAACAAATTCAAACTTTAGAATCATTATTAGATGATTTAAAACAAGAAGTTAAAGGAGATTCTACTAAGAAAGTATTTGAATTAATATCAGTTTGTCAAATGTTAATTTCTATTAGATTTGATGCCTCATCCAATCAAAGTTTCATGCCATTAGATCAATGGAAACAAAATTTAGTTGATATTAACTATTACTTAAACTTATTAGAATTAAATAAATCTAAATATCAAGTTAGTGAATTTGGTAAATCAACTGATGATATTGATATTGAACCTGAAACTAATGAAAAAGGTATTAAAGTTATTTATGGATCAATATCTTCATTAATTGAAAGATTAGATGATGAATTAACTAAATCTTTACAAAATTCAGATCCTCATTCAATTGAATATATTGAAAGATTAAAAGATGAAAGTTCTATTTACAAATTAATAGTCAAAGGTCAATTATATATTGAAACCACTACAGCTGAAGTTGAATCTACTGAAGGTCATGATCAATTAAGTAGAATTATCTTAAAAAGATTAGATCATTTATATTATAAACCAAATCAATTAATCAAATCTAATGAATTAGAAGGTTGGAAAGACATAGAATCAAATATTGATTCATCTATTATTTCAAGAAATTCTCAACCTTTAGAAATTATTGATACTTTAGTTGATTACTTAATCAAGAACTCCAATAAATTATTTAGTGAAAGAGCTATTTTAAGTAAAATTTATTATTATGCTAATAATAATAATTATAAATCAGCTAAAGAATTATTCTTATCATCACAAATTTATTTAACAATTCATAATGATGAATCATTATTACAAATTTTATATAACAGAGCATTAGTTCAATTAGGTTTAAGTGCTTTCAGAGAAGGATTAATTGAAGAAAGTCATCAATGTCTTAATGAAATTGCTAATTCTCAAAGATTAAAAGAATTATTAGGTCAAGGATTTAGTAATAAATTCCCTAATCAAGCATCAATTACTGAAAGACAAAGATTATTACCATTCCATATGCATATTAATTTAGAATTATTAGAATGTGTTTTCATGACTTCATCATTATTGATTGAAATTCCAAGTTTAGCTGCATCATCAAACTTATCAAAAGATTCCAAACGTAAAACTCCAATTAAATCTTTCAAGAGTAAATTGGAATTTCATGATAAACAATATTTTACTGGTCCACCTGAAAGTATTAAAGATCATATTATTCATGCTTCAAAAGCCTTACAAAGAGGTGATTGGTTAAAAGCTTATAATTTATTAGCTTCAATCAAAATTTGGAATTTATTCCCTGATAATAAACAATTATTAACTATGATGGAAAATCAATTACAAATTGAAGGTTTAAGAACTTATATCTTTACTTATAAATCAATTTATTCAAAATTATCCATTAATTTATTATCAACTAAATTCAAATTATCTAATGAAAAAGTCATTGATATCATTGAAAAGATGGTTGAAAATAATGATATTATTGGTGATTTAAATGATGATAAAACTTTCATAAATTTCATAAGTAATGAAACTCAAAGAACTAAATTACAAGAATTAGCTATAATAATGAAAGATAAAATTAATATTTTAACTGAAAAGAATGAAATGACTGCTTCAAATGGTCGTGGTAAAAAGAATATTCATCAACAAAAAGATGATAAGAAGGACGATTCTCAACCAAAAGATAAAGAAGAAGAATTAAATAAATTCAGATACGCAAGCGTTAATTCCAATAATGATGAATTTCAACCTTTACCTTAATGTAGTTTAGTTTCATAGATGATAGAGGTATAAACATATCTTGTTTCTTTCTCTCTTTCTTTTTATCTTTGTCTTGATGTTTGAAGTTCCTTGATATGTCTCAAAGTTCTTTGATCTCGCATTTTTATTCATCTCATCGCAATGCCTGTGGAATCAAAACCAGAGAAGAAATTGAAGGTCACCGCTTTATGTGAACTATGTCATGGTCGTAAAGCGGTAATGAAAAGACCAAAGAATCTTCAGAAGTTATGTAAAGAATGTTTTTATAAAGTTTTCGAAACTGAGATTCATAATACTATCACTGATGCAAATTTATTTCAATACGGAGAAACAGTAGCTATTGGAGCTTCTGGAGGTAAAGATTCAACAGTTTTAGCAAGTATAATGAAAACTTTGAATGAAAGATACAATTATGGGTTAAAATTGGTATTATTATCAATAGATGAAGGGATTGTTGGTTATAGAGATGATTCCTTAGATACAGTTAAAAGAAATAAAATCCAATATGATATGCCTTTAGAAATCGTTTCTTATAAAGAGTTATACAATTGGTCTATGGATGAAATCGTCGCTTGTTCAGGAATGAGGAATTCTTGTACTTATTGTGGTGTTTTAAGAAGACAAGCTTTAGATAGAGGTGCAGCCAAATTAAATATCAATCATATTGTCACTGGTCATAATGCTGATGATATGGCAGAAACTGTTTTAATGAATATTTTAAGAGGTGACACCAAAAGATTAGAAAAGTCATGTTCAATATTAACAGAATCAGCCGATTCACCTATCAAAAGATCAAAACCTTTCAAGTATACTTACCAAAAGGAGATTGTTTTATATGCACATTATAAGAAATTGGATTATTTTTCAACTGAATGTAGTTACGCTCCTGAAGCTTTCAGAGGTACCACAAGAGAATTATTAAAAGCTTTAGAAGCCAATAGACCTTCAATTATTATGGATATCATCTATAGTGGTGAACATTTTGAATTGAAAAGGAAGAAACAAACTGTTAGTTATAAAAACAAAAAGAAAGATGAAACTCAAATCAATGCTGATGGTTCCATTTCTTTGAATAAAGATTTCACCAAAGCCAACAAATGTGAAAAATGTGGTTATCTTTCATCAAACAAACTTTGTAAAGCATGTGTATTGTTAGGAGGATTGGAAGCTAATAGAGCCAAGATAACTTTGGATACTGACACTTCTGTTGAAGGAGCTGCTAAGTTAACTAGAACTTTAGAACATTTAAGTTTTTAATTTATTGGGTATGGAATATAAAGGATTAATGATAACTCTCTACGATGATACTCTGCGCACCATCAAAATCGCGAAACTCAAACTGACGCGTTAAACATATATCATGGATTATAGTGGAGGTTTTGATAACTACGAAGGAGGATATAACAATGAAGATACTTCATTTCAGAATGATAGTTCTCAAAGACAACAAACACGTAGTTCTTTAACTCCTGTAACTATTAAACAAATTAATGAATCAACTCAACCTTATCCTGATGGTGACTTTCAAATTAATAAGGTTAACTTAAATATGGTTTCTTTCATAGGAATCTTCAGAAAGATTGAAGATAGAAAATCTGCCTTAAATATTACCCTTGAAGATGGTACAGGTGCCATTACTGTACGTAAATGGGTTGATGATAGTCAAACTTCAGCTGCTGAAGAAATGGCTAAATATGAATCTATCAAAGGTAAATATGTTTATTGTACTGGAGCTTTGAAATCATTTTCTGATAATAAATCTATTCAAAATGCTACTATAAAAGTCATTGAAGATCATAATGAAATTACTTATCATTATTTACAAGCTATTTCAATTCATATCAAAGCTCAAGGTATTACTATTCCAAAAGATTCAAAGAATGATTTATTTGTTAATGAAGGTGCTTCACAATCAGGTAAATCAATGGATGATATGGTTCTTGAAATAATCAGAAATAACTCCGCTACTATGTCCGAAGGAGTACCTGTTCAATTGATTTCTCAAAATTTAAATATTACTGATAATCAAGCTCAAGAACGTTGTATTGCTTTGGTAGAAACAGGTAAAATTTATGCTGCTTATGATGATCAAGCTTATTTAGCCGTTTAGAGGTTTGTTCGGTTTGCCTACAGTTGTAATAAAAATATAATAGGGTCTTTCATTTCTTACATACTCTAATCTATCTTTGATAATGCATCAATATTCATAGTTTCTCTTTGTTCTTTGGATGAATTGGCACAGAAAAATGCATCCCATAAATCTCCATTAGAAACTGTTTCTCCTTCTCCAGCACCTTTTTGTACTAAGGTGTCAATACCTCCACTTTTCATTAAAGTCATAGACTCAGCTGCTGTTAAACCTTTTTCAGAATTCTTGTTGGATTTGGTTTCAGGTGCTGGTGTCCCATATTCAAGGTATTGTAATCTTTTGTTTGTAGATAGTAACGTTATACTTTCTTCTACGGTATTTTCAATAGCAAACATCCATACGGTTGTTACTTTAGTTTGACCAATACGATGGATTCTAGAGATAGCTTGTAATTCCAAAGATGTGTTCACTAATGGTTCACACAAGAAGATGTGTTGAGCATTAATCAACGTCAACCCTGAAGCTTGTGCTTTGGCATTCAATAAGAAACATGTTATACCATTTTCTGGTTTCTTGAATTCTTCAACACTATCATATTTGGATTTCCGTCTTCCACCACCTATTTCAGGAGTTAAAGTTCCATAACTAGCTAAATAACTTATACTGGCATTCTTGAAAGCTGCAGCTAAAATATAAAGAAGATCTTGCCATTGACTGAAAATAACTATTTGGACTTTCGGATCTTTGGACTTCAAATACAATACTTGTTTGACAATCATATCAACTTTCGAAGAATATGACTCTTTGAGTTGAATATTTTGAACTGCTTCCACAATTTCATTATCAATATGATTATAAATTGAATAAAGATTCTTATCCTTCTTTGTTTCAGGTCCATCTATTGCCTTGTTGGCTTTCAAATTTGGCTTATAGTGAGTGAAATTGTAAATGGAGTATTCACTGATTCTAGATTTACACATTGGACAATAATGGCTTCCACCATTTAACCATTGGTCTAAACAGTCTTTACAGTATTTATGTCCACAGGTTGTAAGTGAACCTATGGTGATTTGGGATCTACAAATAATACACATTAAACTATCATCATCAGTAGGATCTTCTTCAACATTCTCATCTTCTTCAATCTGCTCAGATCTGGCTCTTTGTTTGTCATTGATCTTACTTAAAGTACTTAAATATCTGAACCTGGAGATGGATTTGTCTAAGCTAATATTGGAAACATCAGCATAATTTTTGAATCTATTGAAAAGACTGGTGATTTTATCCGATACTAAATCTTCTCTATCAAGACCATAGTCAAGAGTTTTAACACTGTCACTTATTTGTTGTAATTGCTTGAAGTATTCAATTCTAGCATTGAATACAGAATTACAACTGGAGGCCAATTCCTTTTGAATTAATACACTGGCAAGTTTTTGGTTATCAAACATTATAGACAACTTATTGGATAAATGTTCGAATAAGTTGGATTCAACGTCAGAAGAAATGGAACGATGATTGAGTCTTTCATCTTTCAAATCATTTTCAAGGGATTTGATTTCATAAATGAGATCATTGAAACTATATTTTGAACGTGGTTTGATGGAATGACGAGTAGCTTCTAATGCTTTCAAGAAATCCTTATCATTGATACCACTCATTTCAACATCAACAGCATCTTGGTCACCTCTTTTATTACCTAAATTAACAGTTGTATCTTTGCCATTAATCACCTCCATTCTATCGGTCATGAGTTTATTGAGTAAATGAAGATAACATGAAGCTCTATCTTGAGATTCAATGGATTTTTCATACTCTTCTCCATTAGGATCTTTATCATGAGTCAATAACGGCGATGATAAGATTTCTATAAGTTGAGACATCCAATCGTTAATGACTTCAGCTTGATTATTCAATTGTTGAATAAGAGATTTGACCCGATTGACAAAAACTTTCGATTTCATTCCGGAGATATTGTCTTCAAAGTCAGTAGTTTCGATAATAGGTAAACTTTTGAATACTTTCCTGGTGGATTTAGGGAGTAATTGGGATCCATCATCGACTAAAGCCGAAGATTTGAAAGCTTCACGGTTTTTGAATCGTGTGGTGATAGTTTTATCAACAGCTACAATAGATCCTTGTAATAATTCTGATCTGATATCTTCAGCCAAATCGTAGTATGATTGTTCAAGGAATTTCAATTGTTCTGAAGTCTCGTTGGCTCCGTTGGCCGTCTCTTGAACAGTCTCATTAGCTTCATTATCATCCCCAGTGGAAAGCCCCGTGACCGGTTTAAATCCCTGTAATATCGATTCACTGTTAATCAACCTCACAGACACTTTCTCATCAACAAGAATTTCATTGATATTCTTAGGATCAAAATCAAGTGGGATATTTGGCGGTGAATAAGGACGAGAGAACTTCTTGATTCTTTCCTTGTACTCCTCATCATATAATTGGAAGTTGGAAGAAGCAAGAAGGAAATAACATTTATGAAGTAAGATATTCCATTGTCTCAACCTTTGACGTGATGTTTTGATCTGTTCATTCAATTCCTGTGCATCTTTCAATGCTTTATCGGAAAGTTTGCTCAATTTCCGTTTCTCTCTTTCTTCATCATCTAAATCTTCTTCCTCATCTTCTTCCTTGAGTTCATCACTTTCAAATAAACCATCAAACTTTCTTATTGATCGATCTAATAAGAACCTTATCCTAGCAATGATCACCTGGATGATTTCTGAAATATATTCGAATGTGTCCCTGGCTTCTTTGGGCGAGAACACCAATTCGTAGATTTGAGCGATATCAAGGTAACCATTAATGATCTTTCTTTCGGAATTGATCACTTCATTGATAGCTCCATTCAACATATCATCTAAAACATCGTCTAAAGTCTTTAAAGCTTGAACATTGGAAACTCCCAAGGTTCCATTGAGATAATGTCTTCTGTACTCTGAATAATCTTCCATAGAATAGAAATAATGTCTAGCTTTATATCTCTTAGCACTAACACTCAATTTCCCTATTTGAGGATTACCACATACTTGCCTTAACCTTACTAACCATTGCTTCATCACCGATATAATTGTAGGTGTCGGTTCCCAATCATCGACAACCGGTGTACCGTTGGAATCAAGACAAATGGCTGCTAAACAATCAGTTAACAATTGATTATAATTCTCTTGTTCGACAGCATTGAAAGGTATGGTCATCAACATTCTATGTTGTGGAGGTAATTTGATATCATCATGAACCATAGCTTTAGTATGTCTCAAACCAATGTTAGACCAAAGATTGATAAAATCCATAACATTATTCCCTTTGACCAACAAGTCCCAACTATGTTTCCCAATCTCTCCAATAAATGGTTGGATCTTTAAAAATGACAATACTGAATGTAAATCATCGATATTCTTCTTGATAGGTGTACCACTGACCCCCCAACTATGATGACGAGGTATCAAAGCAGCTGATTGGAAGGAACGAGAAATCTTTGATGAAACCATTTGAACTTCATCCAAAACAACCCTCCAGAACTGTAACAACATCATAGGGGATTGATAATCTTTGGTTATAACAGTGGAATTAGCCAATTCGTTATGTTTTAACACAAGTTCAATCTCATCTTGCAAAGCTTGCTCATAGTCAGTGACTTTCTGATTGTCATTAGTCTTCTCGTTAGCATTTTTAGGTTTCTTGATACGCAAAGATAACTGGAAATATGATTGGTAGTCAGCAAGATGTTGGTTTTTAACTTCGTTTTGAGAATCCTCATCTTCAAGGTCATCGTCATCTTCAGCTTCGTTGGAAGTTTCTGGCTCAGGAGTTCCTTGATCATAATCTTTGTATGAAAATTCACGAAGGTTTTCTGGTCTAGCTCTTCTCTTAGAACCTCTAGTCAAATTGTTCTTAGAAGAAAATAATGCATAGTCCAATTCCTTACCAAGAACGGCATAGGTAGTGAAGACAATATCAAACATTTTCAAATAATTGGCAATGATCTTAGCATTATTCTTGAATTTAGGGTACTTGTCTAACCCTTGATACACTGTAACAGCTAAAGATGGAGCTAAACGTTGAACTTCTGAAACCCATTGTTTAAGAATTGAATCTGGAGCTATGATCAATGTGGTTTTCGCCTTGATAACGGGCTTGAGGTCGCCATGTTGTCTCAATTGTAGTTGTATGATCTCATCAATATCTGAGATGGGTCTTTGATTCAAAAGAGCTAAGGATACTACTTCCACAGTCTTTCCCAAACCCATTTCTTCTGCCAACAACCCTTGTCCCGGTAAAATCTCTGGTAATTTGGAATTATGGTAGTTCAAAATGTATTGATACATCGTTGTCCAATCTATAAGATTAGCATTATACTTATTATACCAAAATGGCTTATCATTGAAAAGCACTCTTTCCCATCCAAATACCAATTTGTTGATCACATGGTAAACTTTCTTATCTACATCATCAGAATTGTGTCCTTGTTTCAATTGTTCTGTGATGGCATCTACGAGATCAACGGAGATCAAGGGATCATTTTGAGATCTATTGGTTTCCCAATTATATCGTACACTTTCTTTATTCAACAACCAATTGACGGTTTTAGTTTGAAATCTCAAAAGTTTTGTTTCAAGTTCAGGTAGTTCAAAGTTCTCTGGTTGTGGAGTGTTGACGGCAGTTTTGGACATTGAATTATAAAATAGTTGAGCTCCAATATCATCCACCAACTCCAAATCTTCAAATATCGGGTATGGTTTGATTTGTGGAGCAATGACCTTATTAATCTTGACTGTTATCGTGGGCAGAATTGTCTGGTTAACATAACATCCATACTGAACATGATATTTCAAAGTTGTAGTGAGTCTTCGTTTGATGGGATCGATTTCAAATTCTACTAAAGGACGGTCTATATCTAAAGAATTGGCTGAACGAGAATTTGCAACGTTTAAAAGACCGATTTCTTCAAATAATGATTGAATATTGGCATTCATCTTGGTCTGATCTGCTTCATCTTCTTCAACTACAATATTATTCTCATCGGATTCTAAGTTATAGGAACATACCAATGATGCCTTAAGCTTCTGTGCCTTGTTGTGTCTGATATTCAATATCCCCTTATAGAACACTATCTTACAATGGTAGAGTGTTACCCTGTAAATACCATCGCTTGAAGGGGATAATGAGGTTTTAGGTATTCTATCCAACTTATTGATGAATTGAACTTCCCTATGAACCAAATCATTGAATTTTCTATATCTTATCAGATTGATATTTGTTTCATCCACTTCGTTCTTTGTATGGTAAATTTGATTTATCTTAGAATAATAGGAATTATCAATTACGAGGTTTCCATTACCATCGTTTCTTTTCAACTTCTTCACAGTATTCTTAGTCACGGGTTCGGAGTCCGATAAGGATTTCAACTGACTTAACAATTCATAGTTGAGTTCCACAAGAGTCTTGTTTTCTATTATCATGGGGGATGCCATTGTGGTAATCTTTATCTATAAAAGACAGATAAAGTGCGAGAAGTCCGCCCTCCGCGAGTGTTACTCCGATGTGGACGTAGACTCTCGACCTAGCGCTGGGGGCATTTTTGACTCATAAAAATTTCTATGAGAAGAGATATACATGCTGTGAAGATATTCAAACTCCGGTTACCCATACTCCTGAGATCAGAGCTTTAAGGACTAAAAAAATTTCCCGTGATATCTATTAAAACAATCGTCATAACGACATAAATTCTATACAAATTCTAAGAACGAACAGCTACTGCTTTGTTTTTTCTTCTTTCTATTATGGAGGCTCCACCTAAATTCAAATCAAAACCATTACCATTCAATGGCTTGTCTTTCTTTGGAATTTTTGGTAGATTTTTTTGGTGGTGGACGTCAATAACATGTCCAACATTATCAACTTCTTCTTCCTCTTCTTCAATTAATTGATCAAACTGTATGTTTGACAATTTTGATTCTTCAGCATTTCTATGAACAGCAGTTGAAATATCAAATGCATCACGTAAAGCTACGGCTGCTGGAGAATATAACTCATTACCGTATTTTTTCTTATACTTACTTTGATTTTGAGGTATTTGATTATTCATTTGAATTGGATGATTAGCTTGGATTTGTCTTGAGCTTTTCATTCTTGGAGGTCCCATGGCTGAAGAATTATTAATCCAAGGATCTTTTAAAAATTCTTCAATAGTATAACGTTTTGATGGATCAACAGTTAATAATCTTGACACACAATATTTAGCTTCTTTACTTATTTCATCCCACCATGGCGATAAGAAAGTATATTCACCTTTAGCAACTTTTTCAGTTAAAATATCAATTCTTTCGTCATAAAATGGAGGAAATCCACATAATAAAGTATACAAGACACATCCAATAGCCCACATATCAACTTCTTTGGAATATCTTTCATCTCTAACAATTTCTGGTGCAGTATAACCAACAGTTCCACAAGGAGTTTTGGTATTATGCTCCCAAATTTGTTTTGATAATCCAAAATCTGCAACTTTAACAACTCCGATAGTTCCTCCACCTAATCCTGGAGTGAATTCACCTTCATCTAATTTTGAAGGATCATCACTTCTTCTTAATTTACCTGAAGGATTTGCTGAAGGTTTGAAGTCTATTGGGAAGTATAATAAATTCTCAGGTTTGATATCTCTATGAACAATACCAACTTCTTCATGTAAATACCTTATAGAATTAGCCACTTGGACTATTATATGCCTACTTAAATCTTCAGATAAATAAGTATATTTAACAATAGCCAGGAAGATTTCACCTCCACTAACTAATTCTTGAACAATATAATAATAAGGTTCGGAATCAATGAACTCAATGAATTCTACCACATTAGGATGCTTTAATTGTCTCATTATAGTGACTTCTTTTAATACAGCTTGCTTTTGAGCATTGTCCATTTGGAACTTTCTTAAAATCTTGATAGCAACAAACTTACCTGTTTTCAAATGTTGAGCCTTATAGACGATGGAAAAAGCTCCTTCACCTAATTGCTCTAATACATGATAATTATCCAAATTTGGATATTTGATTTTTTGCTTTTTGATCAAGTTTTCTTGCTCAACAATTTGTGAAGCATAGTTATCATAATTTCTAGTTTCATTCTTTGATTCACTTCTATAATCATTTCTATATTCGGCCTTTGATTCATTATTTGAGTCATGGGTCCTGAAACTATCAGAAGGTTCTATGATCTGAGTTTCATGAACATTAGGTACAGAATGTGGTTGATTTTGAATTAATTCCGGTAATTCATTAGTTACCTTAGGAACAGTTTTATCAATATTCATATTGATATCACTGAAAGATAAATTTTCAGCATTTTTACCATGTCTGATAAATGCCTTTAAATTTTCAAACATCTTGTTAAGGCTAATCTCTTTATTTGTTTAAGGATTAAACGGATTGGACAGCCCTGTGCGAATTTGCTCACTTAAAAACTGATGAGTTATCAAAAATGACTGTGTTGAGTAAAATAGGGGAGAACACTATTTGATGATGAAAATGATGATGATGAAAAATAGGAGTTTTTTCTTCAAAAGTGTTTTGATGAATTTTTTTTTTTCTAGCGGTTTTGAAGTATTTATTATTTTTTAAGGGAAAAAATTTCAGATTAGATTGTTTGCTAAACTTTAATAGATCTGGGGTATTTTTCCTTTATGTATGAAGTATGATGGATTCAAATAATTTTTTAACAAATTCAAATGCCAGAGGGGTTTTATAAATCTTTTTGTTTTGGCAGATATCTCTATATATATGAATGGATTAGGAAAGTAAAAGCAAATATTGTCTCAGACATAATATTAGCAATATAACATAATCGGAGTTCCTAGAAGACGTTTTTTTCGGAGACCCATTTAAACTTTTTAATAAATCATGGGGTGGGTGTTGTTGTGGCTCTGTAATAGCTTATAGTTAGTTAATTTGCCTCATAGTGTGTTAGGTACGTTAAGGCATTAGAGGCTAGTAGGTGGTAAAAAATAAGATTATCTCACATTTGCAACATTGATTACGTCAGGTGAAAAAGAAAATTTTTGACAATAATTGCTGAAATGATGTAACTGTGAATATTTAACATGTCGTTGAAGTATAGTGACACAGTATTTCAGAGCAAATATGGTTGACAGCACGTTCTGACAGAGATGAGTATGTGGATAGTGGTGAGTGGCTGATGTAGGTGATAATGTCATTAGTAAAGTTTGCGGTATTGGATGTGCGGTGTTTGACGGTGTAGGCTTAGAATAGCTCGATTATTTTCATGCCATCATCGCCAGCCTTACATCTGCACCTTTACATCTGCATCTTTGCATCTTTGCATCTATTTCTTACTGTTTGCAGCCAATCCAATTATTTGACAGTTACTCTTACTATTGATCTATTCTGATGACCCCCGGAATTACATTATACCTCCTATAACACCCCTGATCTATTCCGGCACTTCCCCAATGCTATTTTACCCTCGATTATCATTCTTTCCCTTCTCAGTCACATCCGCTCCACGGTACACCTGATCCCATGATTCTCACCGATCTCAATTTTGCTCAACATTCACATTCACATTAAATATGTCAGTACCACCAGCAATTGTCTTCACCGATTGGGATGGAACCGTTACTTTACAGGATTCCAATGATTATTTAACTGAAAACTTGGGTTTCGGTTATCCTAAACGTAAGGCCATCAATGATGAAATCTTAGATGGTTCAAAATCATTCCGTGATGGTTTTCAAGAAATGTTAGATTCAATCAAACAACCGTTCCCTGAATGTATTGATTACTTATTAAAACACGTTCAATTAGATCCTGGTTTCAGAAAATGTTATGATTATTGTGTTTCCAAAAAAATCCCAATCATCATTATCTCTAGTGGTATGAAACCAATTATCTATAACTTATTAAAACATTTAGTTGGTGAAGATGCTGCTGAAAATATCGAAATTTACTCCAATGAAGTGGAATATTTTGAAAAAGCAAATGATTTAGGTAAAACCTGGGATATCGTTTATAAAGATGATTCTGATTTTGGTCATAATAAATCCTTATCTATTAAAGAATACCTCGTTTCTAAGAATTTAGATAAAACCAATTTCGAAGCTCATTACAAAGATTCTAAATATCCAACCTTATTCTATTGTGGTGATGGGGTTTCAGATTTATCTGCTGCTAAAGAAACTGATTTGTTGTTTGCTAAACATGGTAAAGATTTAATTATCTATTGTAATAGGGAAAATATCCCATACACTGAATTTAATAATTTTGATGATATTTTATCAAAATTGACTAAAATCATGGATGGTGAAGGAATTGAAAAATTCATTGAAAATAAGTAGAGAGTTTTTAGAATAGATTTCATAGAATATATTTAAATTATCTTAGAAAAAGGTTCAACCAAATCGTAAAAACCACAAAATCTAATAAATTTTTGGAAATTATTTCTTTTAGGTGGCTTCTTAAGTAATTCTGGTTGAAGAGAGAATGGTCGATGAATTTTCCTATTATCTCCTTTGTAGAAATGTTGTTTAGTATTGATGACTTTGAGAATCCCCATGTTTCATATTTTGGCGTTGTACATATCAAGGATTGATGATATGCTGTGTGCTGTTGAAATTCCTCCTTGATACCTTGAAATATATATAGGGGTGTAGGAACATCTCGGGAAGCTATATAAATGGGCCCATTTTAAACTATTAATAGTTAACTACAGGGGTTTCGAGGTACCTATATTTAGACCATCTCACATTTCAGCCGTTTGCGGTTTAGTCAATTGCAACGTTATTGGCGAATTTACCCCGTTTCGACCGTTTAAATACTCATACCAATGTGACACGCATACGGGGATTATCTACCACGACCGTTAGTGACAATAGACAGGATTTCAGTGAAAACTCTAACACCAAGAAATCGCATAAATAGGCTTGAAAATTACTATGTAAAGCCTCTAAAATCGCAATTCTTTCACTATGGATGCTCAATACTCCCTGACCTGGGGAAAGGTTAAGCATGTACTCAACAAGTATTCTAAGTTCATTGGACTGTCAATAATGATATCTGTGGCATACATAGATCCGGGAAATTATGCTACCGGTACAACTGCTGGGGCTACCAATAAGTATTCTCTTTTATTCATAGTATTGGTAGCTAATATAATTGCCATTTTTTTGCAGAGTATCTGTATTAAGTTAGGTTCAGTGACAGGATTTGATTTAGCAAGGTGCTGTAGAGAATATTTACCTAAGAAAGTCAATTGGGTTTTATGGTTTTTCGCTGAATGTGCTATCATTGCAACCGATATAGCTGAGGTAATTGGTACTGCTATTGCTTTAAACATTTTATTAAAGATCCCTTTACCCGCTGGTGTGGTTATAACTATTGTGGACGTATTATTTGTGTTGATGGCCTACAAATCAGATACAGCCAGTGTGAAATTCTTAAGATATTTTGAACTTTTCGTGGGATTATTAGTTATCGGTGTTACGGTGTGTTTTGCTATAGAATTATCCAAATTACCTATTCAGCCAGGTGAAGTAAAAGAAATCTTAAGAGGGTATGCACCAAGTCGTCAAATGATTGAAGGTCCAGGTATTACTGTAGCAGCATCTATTATGGGGGCCACGGTTATGATTCACTCGTTATTCTTGGGAAGTGGAATTGTTCAACCAAGATTAAGAGAATACGATGCTAAACACGGATATATCAATTTGAATCAATTAGAAGAAAAAAATCAAGCTGATGAGTTCTTCTACAATCAATACAAACCTTCATTGGAAAGTATCAGGTACAGTTTAAAATTTTTCATCATTGAATTGATTGTGACATTATGTACATTTGCCTTATTTATCAATCTGTCAATCTTAGTTATAGCTGGTAATACCCTTTTTGGGACCGATGAGGCAGTTGATGCTGATTTATATACAATCCATAAATTGTTATCTGAGAACTTAGCTCCAGTGGTTGGTACAATTTTCATGTTGGCATTATTATTTTCAGGTCAAAGTGCAGGTATTGTCTGTACTATAGCCGGTCAAATAGTTAGTGAAGGTCATATTAACTGGACTGTCAAACCTTGGTTGAGAAGATTAATAACAAGAGGTATTTCCATTATTCCAGTATTAGGAATATCTATTGGAATAGGTAGAGGAGGATTGAATTTGGCTTTGAACGTCAGTCAATTGATCATTTCCTTATTATTACCTATTCTTACTTTACCACTCATCTACTTTACCAGTTCCAAGAAAATCATGCAAATAGCCATCCCTAAGAATCGTGTCCTTGAAGATGTTACAACTGTTTGTTCTACTGAAGGGACTTCAGAGGAAAACGAGGAAGAATACGCATATTTCCATAATAGTTGGTTAACTATGATAGTATTAATCGCCATCTGGTTGTTTGTCTCTGTGATTAATGTTTATGCTATCTACGATCTATCCAAGAATGGATTTATGAACTAGACGTGTCCATACCAACATTTCCCAAAATGTAAATAAAATAGTTATTCACTTTAAAAAGTCATTGAACTAAGGCTCTACCACTCTTCCACAATCTTAAACAACGTACCTAACATACCCCCATAATCTTTCATCATCAACCGAAGTTTAAATGGCGGTCATGGCCCATTGTTTAAGCAATGTTGACCCTTCGCGGAGGAAGAATCATCCTGAGATTTATCCAATTAATTTATCAAAAGGTGGTGAAATTTTTATCAATTGACGAACGAAATTGAAATTTAATCCTCGACTAATTGATTAACAATTGATTACAACGTGATTTGAACAGTTAGTGATTGATAATTGAAAAGTTAATAAAAATTTATGGATATTTGGAATGGTCCATTCTAATTTATTACAAAAACTTCATTTAACAAAACCACAGGTTACAATTAACGAATTAAACAATATTACATCAATGAATTATACCGGCAATTCATCAGAGAGTACACAAAAATCTCAACCAACTGTTTCAGAAAATTCTAGTAATGTTTCAGGTATGAATATTAGTTCTCAACATCTTAGTCAAGGTCAACATCAGGTTCATATACCTCAAACTTCAGGTTATCAAAGAGGTACCAGTGATGCCATTCAGAGATCTTTATTGCCTCAAAGATCAACAGTTTCAAGTGGGAAATATTCTTTAGGAGATTTCCATATTATGAGAACTTTGGGTACAGGGTCTTTTGGTAGAGTTCATTTGGTAAGATCTGTTCATAATGGTAGATATTATGCTGTTAAAGTATTGAAGAAGGCTCAAGTAATTAAGATGAAACAAGTCGAACATACAAATGATGAAAGAAGAATGTTAAAATTAGTTGAACATCCTTTCTTAATTAGAATGTGGGGGACTTTCCAAGATTCCAAAAATTTATTTATGGTGATGGATTATATTGAAGGGGGAGAATTATTCTCTCTTTTAAGAAAATCTCAAAGATTTCCTAATCCTGTAGCTAAATTCTATGCAGCCGAAGTTTGTTTAGCTTTAGAATATTTACATAGTCATGATATTATTTATCGTGATTTAAAACCTGAAAATATCTTGTTGGATAGAAATGGTCATATAAAAATCACTGATTTTGGTTTTGCCAAAGAAGTTAGTACTGTTACTTGGACTTTATGTGGTACACCAGATTATATTGCTCCTGAAGTTATTACTTCAAAACCTTATAATAAATCAGTTGATTGGTGGTCTTTAGGAGTTTTAATTTTCGAAATGTTGGCTGGTTACACACCTTTTTATGATTCAACTCCTATGAAAACCTATGAAAAGATTTTAAGTGGTAAAATTCACTATCCGAATTTTTTCACTCCTGATGTAATAGATTTATTATCGAATTTGATTACTGCTGATTTAACTAGAAGATTAGGTAATTTAATCAACGGTCCAGCTGATATTAGAAATCATCCATGGTTTCAAGAAGTTATTTGGGAAAAAATCTTAGCTAAAGATATTGAAACTCCTTATGAACCTCCAATTACTGCAGGAGTTGGTGATTCTTCATTATTTGATCATTACCCTGAAGAACAGTTAGATTATGGTAGCGCAGGCGAAGATCCTTATGCCCATTTTTTTACTGAATTTTAATTCAAGTCTGGAACTAATAAATACATTAGATAATGTTTAGACTCTGGCTGTTAAGGGCTCAGCTCGGACACTGAAATACTCTGGTTTTGAAAGGCTTTGGAGACTCTTACTCTCAATGGCTCTGGTTCTCAGATGTACCTGTTTCCTTACAACTTTCATGCCGTTTACAACTCTCGGGCCATTTGGCCCCCTATCTACATCAGAGATTCATCCATTAATCGTACATTCTATTTCTATTTACATCATGATTGGAATACATGTTTACAATTCAAACAAACATAAAATAAAATCATACTTGTATCTTTCCTCTTCTGTTGACTCTGGAAAAACACACTTTCATGATTCCCACAATTAGTACATTCTTTGTCACTTCTTGGTAAAGTTGGATCATTACCAATATCTTGAACAACCCCAGCAGTTGCACCAATATTAGTAATTAATTCATGTCTATAAACCAATTTGTTTTCAGCATATTCAGTATAGGAACAATTACGACAAGCATACAACAATATAGCTTCATCTTTATCTTCTCTAGGATACAACATATTATTACATTGTGTACAGAATCTGAAGGATGCCATGGTTTAGTATCTTATTCTTGTTTATAGTTTAGTACCAGTACTAATTGTTGATGAGGAATCTCAAGTCGTGTGGAACGAGAGTGCGAAAAAAGTGAAAAATTTAAAAATTTTTATTCAACGATGTTAAGATTTGTTAGACCAATTCAAAGATTAAGACCTGCTAGATTTATTCGTTTAAATTCAACCACTGTTGATCCAAAAATCAGTGCTATTGTTGATCAAATTTCTACTTTAACTTTATTAGAAACTTCTACTTTAGTTACCGAATTAAAATCAAGATTAAATATCGCTGATATTTCATTCCCAGCCGCTGGTGCTGCCCCAGCTGCTCCAGCTGCCCCAGTTGAAGAAGAAGTTAAAGAAGAAGTTGAAGAAAAAACTATCTTCTCCATCAAATTAGAATCTTTCGATGCTAAAACTAAACCAAAAGTTATTAAAGAAGTTAAATCATTATTAGGTTTATCCTTAGTTGAATCAAAGAAATTCGTTGAAAGTGCACCAAAAGTCTTGAAGGAAAATGTTGCTAAAGAAGATGCTGATAAGATTAAAGCTACCTTAGAAGGTGTTGGAGCTAAAATTTCATTAGAATAAATGAAGAGATAATGAATTTTCATATAAAGACCCTTGTATATATTAATCTAAGAATACACTATCAAATGATTTATCTCTATTGGAAGGAGGGAAGTTGGTTTTAAGATGATGAAAGCCATCTTCGTTATCAAGAAACTTTTGTTGATTTAATCCTGGAGTATATTGATATCTTCTTCGTTGTTGCAGTATCAGTGTTTGCAGTGTCAGTGAATGTATCAGAGAATGCAGTGATATTTGCAGGATTTGTGATGCCTGCAGTAACGATCGATTCATATTTCCTCTTATAAGTTCATTAGCTGGTTTGAATGTTATCTTATCATATTTCCCCTTATCTATAGATCTAACTCTTTCGATTGATGGTGTTACTTTTGGTGTCATTGTCGGTGTCATACGGAAACTTCTTACTTCATCATTTATTAAATCTCCGAATGTATCTATCAAAATATCTAACTTATCATAAACCTCTGGAGTCATGGTTTGTTCCATGTTCAAGTTCTTTATGATAGAGTTTAAATTCAATAAACTATTATTTAAATAATCTTTTTGGAACTGATTGAATGAATTTTTGTATAATTTGATCTCCAATCTATGAATCTTCAAAATCAAATCGCTACCGTCGATATAATTTGAGTAATTGTTATGACGGTTCATGATGTATTCATTATCACCAAAATTTGAGAAATCTCAGTAATGAAGGAATCCATGCAATATTTGAAACTGAAAACTTTCCAAAGTAAAGAAGATATAAAACCATGGTTATCTGAATATATGATAAAGAATAATAACACTAAAATAGTTATTGAACGATCCGATAAACAAAAGATCATTTTTAAATGTAAAAAAGGTAGACAAAAACAGATTCCCTATGGTAAAACCAGAAGACAAATTACTTGTCCGTTCAAGATAAGGGCTAATTTTAGTAATAGGGCACAATTATGGAATCTCCTGGTGATAAATGAAAATCATAATCATGATAGTATTGATAATATTGATAGTACGGAAACAGGAACGGAGACGGATAATCCTACCGATATTACGGATCTTACTGATAACCCAACCGACGATGAATTACAAACAGATCATACTAATGTAAGTCATCCAGATTTGTCCATAAATGAAATGAAAAAACGTGCTGGTCATGTTAAAAATAAAGAATCTGTGGAAGATAAAGATGAATTACTAATAGATTATCATGATGTTATAGATGTAGATAAAGTTAAAAAGGCTCTACAAGTATTTGATTTGACAACTAATGATAATGATGAATTATCCAATGCTATTATTTATAAGTTTCAGAAGTTTCTTAGAGTAGAATTGAATGATAAAATCAATGATTCTTTGAAAATGGATATTGTGAAAAGAATTATCCATGAATCAATATCTACTTATAAACAGATTGAAAAGCTGGAAGCCCAGAATCAAATGGATGAAAAACTATGGTTTCCTTCAAATTATAATAATAATTATTCCAATGGGTTCAATAATGGCTATAACAATAATATGGTGAATTATAATAATAGTTATAATAACAGTTATAATAATAATTATTCATCAATACCATTATCACCATTATTGAATGATGATATAGAGTCAAACACTAATCAATTAGATATCACATTACCTGGGATCAATACCAATCTATTAACTCCCAATAAGAAATTCAAAGATATCAATCTTTTGAATGGATTTGTATTTCCTAATCAACTCATGAATACTAATTCAGTGAGTCAAGTGAGTCAAAACCAACAATCTCATCATCAATTACCTCCATTTAACTCCATCCAAAATAATCTCCCTTTGTCTCCAAATTCATCGTCAATCTTACCCAATCCTGCCAATAATTCAACGACATTAAATCCTTCATCTTTAGATAAGAAGAATATGTATGCTATAAATTTACTATTGGATAAGCAATTCGATAAGCATTTCGCTGATAAAGATAAGTTAAATAAATCCCCAATCCCTGATTATAATAGGTTATAAATATTTCAGTTCGTAGTTTGTAGTTTAATATTAACGGTTTTTTGCAACGGGTACTTTAACCATACTTTTAGTGAGCCAACCTCCGCACCGATGATGGACCGAGAAAATAGTGCCATCAATGGACCTAAATCCATCTGAGAATTGATGCGATTTAATTCCAGTGGCCAAATGAATCAAATAAAGAATTCAACTTTGATCATACCTTGTGTTTCCATTGGTAATGTACCTCAATTAACAGTAGATTTACTAGTACATAATCTTGAATTTAAGAAACTTTGTTCTTTAAATGATGAATTCTTGTATCCATTTTTATCACCTATTGATCAATTACCAAATGATTCACCTTCATCAGATTTGAGTACAAGTTTAGAATTATATTATAGTGAAAAGCATAACTTACTGTTGATACAACAACGTTCTCCCATAATACCGGGATTTGTACAATTATTCTATAAGAAAATCCAACAATTGATAGTTGAAAATGATATTTCAAGAGTATTTATCTTAGATAGTGGAGATTTGGGATTAATTGATAATGTTGGTGATAATATTAAGGTCTTCAGTAATGATTTAACCAAATCAATAGAATCTTTGAGTATCTCCAGTCAAGATGCCATCAAACCTTTAGATAAAAAGACCTATGATAATTCCAAAATCGTTAAATACTTTGATTTAAATGTGGAAGTAGTAGTATTGTCAATCTATGTATACGAAGGAGAAAATTTCAATGAAGCTATAACTTTAGGTAACAAATTGTTAACATATTTATCCATTGAAGAGACCAAATGGAACACACCTGTTAGTTGGCAAGGTGTTTATGGAGACAAACCGGTACCGATTTCAATGGAAGAAGGGATTTTTGGATAATCCAGAGATTTAATCATTATATATATATTTCATTAATAATTTAATGCATATTCGATGGATGCAGTATAACCATAAACTCCCAAACCAGCTACTACAGCAATGGCTTTATCACTTAAATAACTGTGATGTCTGAAAGGTTCTCTTTGATGAATATTGGTAATATGTACTTCAATAAATGGTATAGCTGTAGCCAACAAAGCATCTCTAATACCAACAGATGTATGAGTATAAGCACCTGCATTAATAACAATAAATCCAATTCCTTCTAATCTAGCTTGTTGAATACGATCTATGATGAATCCTTCGGTGTTATTCTGGAAAACTGAAACTTCTGATCCATTATTCTTACTTGTAGCTTGCTTTATAGCAGCATTTTCAATATCTGAAAGTGATGTAGTACCATATTTTTCAGGTTCTCTGGTACCTAATAAATTCAAATTAGGTCCATTTATTAATAAAACTTTCTTTACCATAGTTAGTTGATTATTATGTAATTTGTCTATAAGATAGTTGAGTTATCAGTGAACTTTAACTTTTTCAATTATGACTCAAGTGAGGGTTTGCTGCAATTTTCGGGTAGGTGTGAAAACACGAACATCTGATGGGATTTTTGTCACACGAGTTTTTCAGGCAAGAATAACACTGTTTGGCGGAAGTGGTGATATTGAAGAGGAGGGGTTATACGAATAAACAGATGGAATTAAGAGGATGTTGTTGATAGTGAGTCATCGGTCCCCAGATTTTCACTTTTGTCTGAGATAAGGAGACATTGAGATTTAGGTTATTGTGGTATGGGAGTTTGACCGACTGTTTTATCGATTGTGAAACAGGAACAGGCTTGTACTATGAGGAAAAGCAATACCACGATGGCGAGTTAGGACCATGATGGCAAGCTAGTCCATGGTGGTGAACAGTAGGAAGATGATCCAGTTGAGACCAGTATGTATCACTGGCACCAAAATTGTCAACCCAACATGAGGCTAACTCCTGCCATACATCTCCCAGTACCTTTCAAACGATTGACTACTCACAGTTATTAACGATAAACTCAGTGTTAAAAAGCTCTGAAAATTTTTTTCCACATGGTTGTTCAGGTGAAGAAATTCGTAGTTGTTTTTGATTCATCATAGTTTACGATCAGTTCATACGATGAGCTGATCCACTGAATCCATTCCATATATAGTTGACCCTAGGGCAAAAATACTTGTCATAGTTTCAGTGACATTAATAGCTGTGGTTTAGTCTGAGAAAATTTTTTACTGCTTCATCGATTTATATAGGCAGGGTCGTGGAGAGACGAAAATTGTAGGTTTTAGATGAAACCGATATGAAACTCTTGACATGGATGGTGGAGGGATTGAAAGTAAATGTCTGTGCTTTGATCATATTTAGGTGAAAAGGAGGTGATAATGAGATGTTAGTGACATGTTAGTAATGGTGAAAGGGTGGTAATTATCAATTGATGATTTTCTTATACTTCCTGGTCTGTGTTTCCAAACAACCTCAGGCCATATCCAATCCTAATGCCACAAAAAGAACTACCTATATACATCCAGTGCCTTCTGCTGTTATATACTCAAATACGGATTTATACCTATTCTTATATCCACCCCTATTTGCAGCCGCACTAAATTTATCCCATCACACCACCTACATTCCCCTTATATATTCTTACCATCGAACATTCAGGAGTCATTTCTCATAATTAATCGTTCTACATGAGCTTCCCCAACAAATTATTATCGAAATATCAACATACGAACTTTGAACTACGACACTGGAAATAAGACCATATTCTCAGGAATGGTTAGAATGCCACACTTGACCTCCTAACTTCGTTTCGGTCATCTCAATTAGCCCAATAGTACTCTACGTTTCTAGAATTGTCCTCTCATCCCTTGCTTATGACTACATGGTTGCTTCAGTTAAACGTTAGGTCCCCTAAAAAAGAAAATGCGTGTGCATATAACCAAAATAGTCTCAAAAAATTCGCAGACCTCAGACCTCAAAACATCTCGTCCCCCAACTATTGTCAACGTCAAATATTCATAAATATCAGCTTTAAACATGAGAATGACTCCAAGTACTATGTATAGATTCTTCTATCATTCATTACCTTATTATATGTTGACTTCAACCGAATCATTTTTCTTACACATGACTATATTGATCATGGCTGCATTCATCACTTATGGTTTATACAATTTATTACCTTCTGCTAACACAGTTGAACTGGTTTATTATAAGTTGATCAACGATTTTTAGGTTATATATTAATATAGGGTAGGTTTATATTCACTTTGGATTGTAGGTTTATGGTGATTTTGTTACTTTTCTGGGAATTTTTGGTTTCTTTCGGGATTAATCTAGGAAAAGAGCCCCAGCAATTTAATAAGAACATCGTGACAGTTCAATCGACTCTTTTCTATCCTCAGGTGTCGGCCATTTACAAATTTTCGATGCACTATTTGACCTACAAATGTTCTCCCGCATATAATTCTGTCGCGTATGAGATCTATATCTGCTCCATTCAAACCACCCAGGTTTGTTAGACAGAGTCAAAGTGACCAAGGGTCGGGAGAAGAAGAGAAGGAAGACGTGGAAATACTGCTGCTGCCGCCAAAATCTACTTCTAGATCTAAAAAAACGGCCCCAACGCGTATCTATGCTCCAATAAGTAAACAGGTAGACAGCCAACCTAGTCAGCCTAGTCAAGATGTCCCAGAACTTAGACAAGTATCGGGGAAAAAGTATGTGGTTCAGTACCGGAAAGTCACCAATAAGAAGAACAAGACATGGGATGGTGATGGGACTTTGGAAATAAGTGATCAAATGGTCTTAAAGATAGATAAGAGAAGAATAGTAAGGCCGTTGAGTAAAATTGATGGGATTATCAAATTCGGAGGCTTTGAAGTTGAAATTGATTATGAAGTTGAAAGTTCTGATCAACCTACTCAAGAATCTCAGCCTAAACCACTATTGAGAGGTCCTAGTAGAGCCAAACGTCCTTTCACCAAACTTACAACCAATGTACCAGTTTCAGAAGAGAAGAAATCTAAACAAGGACCTTTGTACCCAATTGAAGAGGATTCTTTCATTATGAAAAGTCTTTCACCTGATCATAAACCGGTGATAATAGATCCATCTTTAAGTAAACATTTACGTCCTCATCAGAGAGAAGGGGTGTCTTTTCTTTATGAAGGAGTTATGGGGTTCAACGATACCACTGGGGTATTATTAGCAGATGAGATGGGTTTAGGAAAGACTCTTATGACCATTACTTTGATATGGACGTTACTCAAACAATCACCTTTACCTAATGTGAAATCTGTTGGTTCCAAAGTTCTTATAGTTTGTCCCGTCACTTTGATCAACAACTGGAAGAAAGAGTTCAAAAAATGGATCAATCTTAATCAATTAGGAATTCTAGTGCTTGATTCCAACACCAAACTGGATTTGAAAAACTTCAAACTGACCAGAGTTTATCAAATTCTAATAATGAGTTATGAAAAGTTACACAATTGTGAAAATGAATTACAGGAAGTGCTGTTTGATCTTCTTATCTGTGACGAAGGACACAAATTGAAAAACACCAACAATAAGAGTTTAAAGATCTTGAAATCTTTGGATATAGAGAAAAAAGTTCTTCTATCAGGTACACCCATACAAAATAATTTGAACGAGTTCTTTACATTGGTCGATTTCATCAATCCGGGAGTTCTAGGATCGTTCAATCAATTCCAAAAGAATTACATACGGCCAATTGAACAATCTAGAGATGTCAATTGCTATAATCAAGAAATCCTCCTCAAAGGTGAAGAAGTCAGTAACCAGTTATCGGAATTAACATCCAAGTTCATCTTGAGAAGGACCAATGAAGTACTTTCCAAATATTTGGGAGAAAAGACTGACTTACTTGTATTTGTCAAGCCAACATCGTTCCAATTACAGTTATTCAAACAAATTTCTTCTTCGGTGACTTACACCACTGAAAATGCCTTGAATATGATTAATCTTTACAAAAAGATTTGTAACTCTCCTAAGTTGGTCAACGGGGATAACTTATTCACATCTTTAGATTTATCAATGAAGGAACTCCCAGTTGCTAGTGGGAAGATCAATTTGTTGATAGCTTTGATGATTGAAATCCATGAAAAGAAAGAAAAACTAGTACTTATTTCCAATTATACTAAAACTTTAGACTTATTTGCATCCATATGTTCCAAGTTGAATTATGGATTCTTAAGACTTGATGGGTCCACAACATCAGCTATGAGGTCTTCGGTGATATCTCAATTCAACAATACCAAATTTCCCCAATTCCCAGTTTTCCTTCTATCTTCAAAATCTGGAGGTTTTGGTATCAATCTTATCGGAGCTTCTAGGTTGATTTTGTTCGACAATGATTGGAATCCTGCCACTGACCTCCAATCTATGTCGAGAATTTATAGAGATGGTCAAACCAGGCCAGTATTTATTTATAGATTATTTACAACAGGTTGTATAGACGAGAAGATATTCCAACGTCAATTGATGAAAACTAACCTAAGTGATGCTTTCTTAGATAATGGTAGTAGCTCCAATGTTTTTGGAATGGATGACTTGAAAGATTTGTTCACGGTAGTTGACACGGATTGTAATACTCATGATCTTCTAGAGTGTCCCTGTACTGGGGACGGTGAAAATATGGATGTCATAGCTAGTGCATCGTCTGAGCCTAGAAGTGAGATCTCCTTGGGAAGTGATTGGATCTCAGCCAAAGATTTCCAAGAAACACCTTCTAAAAAGTCTATCCAGTTAGCTTTGAATGACTATAGACACCTTAAAGATAATTATCATGATGACATCCTCGATAAAGTGAAGAAGAACGGTATATCTTATGTGTTCACCAAGGTTACCAATAACGACAACAAAGAGAATTTGAGTCAAGAATAGATTCTATATGTATATATTAACCCTGCATCTTTTTAGCCCTGCATCTTTTTAGCCCTGCATCTTTTTAAACCTGGCTTCAGCAGCTCTGGCTCTTTGTTCTCTCATAAGCATCATCTTTTGCTGTTCTGTCAATCCAGCGGTTTCAGCAATATGACCACCAATTTTACCACGACTTTGGAATCGGGGCTGTTTCAATTCCATTTCAGTCTTTTTATCTAATTCTTCTTGAATGAGTTGTTGTTTTTCCTTTCTGATTTTTTCTTCTTCAACTTTATCTTCACTTTCAAACTCTTCCTTGGTTTTGGGTACTCCTACTTTGAGTTCGTCCCAATTACAATAATCTTCACCCAATTTTGATCTGATTATTTGAAATGCTCTTCTAGTGTTTAAATCTGAACATATCTCCGAAGCGTACCTTCCGGCTTCATTTTTAAATGTAGGGTCTACTTTCAAATTGAATAAAGTTTGAATCATGTGAGTTAAACCATTGGCTGATGCATAATGTAACATTGTAGGAGTCTGCTTATATGTAGACTCAGGGGTGAATATGAAATCTGTTGATAAATCATTCTTCTTGAGGTAATTGATTAACATTGGAGCTTTAGATTTCTTCAAAAATTGAATTAATTCAACAGTATGTTTGTCTGAATCACTCAACTCAGCTTGTGGTTTAGCCTTTTGTTGTTGGGACTTTTTGAGTAATTCGGCTTGTTGTTGTTGTTTCTTCAATTCGGCAGAGTTGTCATTTGAAACAATATTCTCAACATTCAAGTAACTCAATTTAGCCCAAGATTTCTTTAATTCTGAAGTAGTAGGTCTTTTGGTGGTAAAAGGGAAAGACTTGATTCTTTCATCACTATTGTTTAATACTGACCCTTCATAACCTATTAAAGTTCCACGATTGTTAGATCCATTGGCACGAATGAATATTGAACTACACTCATTCAAATCTTGTTTCCATGAGTTAAGAAGTTCTCTAACGTCTTGGATCAACAACTTTTCGTTCTCTCTACGCATATTGGAACCCACAGATTTGGCTTTTCCTTTAGCATTATCACTAGCTGATTGAGAACCACCTTGTTTCCTTCTGGTGGTATATCTATGGAAAGTCTTAGACTTTAAAATGTCGACTTTTTGCTCTTGTAAGGATTCTTTGTGGTTGACAGCATTTCCTTTAATGTTCTTTCTTTGATGAGATATGATAGCACCGGCAAAATGACCACCTCCAATCATAAATAATGCTGATTTCCCATTCTTCTCATTTTGCCAATTTTTCAACGATTGAATGGGTTGTCCGATTTCTTTCTTTGAGTAGAAAGATTTATAAATACCAAAGTTCTTTGATGATGGTAGTATGGGAGATTTCATATAGATCATGGCAGTTTTTGAGTTCAAATACCCTTGAGTGGAATTCAATTCAATATCATCAATTTTCGTTTCTTTCATTCTCGTATATAAATCATCGTCACTTTCATCTTCCAGCTCACTCCCCGATAAACTTTCTATCGATCCAGTTTCGAGTAAATTGTCAAATTCCTCCTCTTTAATCGGAGCCAAACCTCTTGCTGTACGTTTCTTATTATACTTTGTAAAATCATCAATTTCCTCGGGAATTTTTGGATTCTTTGAAATTTCAACAGGTTTGGATGATTCTATCACTCCTGTGTCTTCAAATTGTACCAATTCCAATCCATTTATCAAATCATTAGACAAATCATAGATATAAAAGTCTTCACTCATTTCGCAAATTTCTGAATGAGTAATTTCTGCAAAAACAGGTAGACTAAATCCCACCATACCCGTTGAGCTATTGAAAGAGAACAAGCGAGTCACTATAAGTCAATTATCCACTAGAGATTTCATTGGTTGACAGAAATATCGTTGAAATGTAAGTTTTATTACTATATACATTAAGCAGAACCTAATCTATGACATTCTTTTAAGAAATGATCAATGTTTTCTGGATCCATAAAAGGATGAGTACCGTGACCAAAGTTGATAATGTAATTTTGTTTACCTCCACCAAAACCTTTAATCATTTGTTCAGTCTTTTGGGTGATGGTCTCTTTTGATCCATACATAATACCAGGATCTAAATTACCTTGTAAAGTGATTCTTCTACCATTGACAACTTTAACAGCATCTTCAGGTTTGTATAACCAATCTAAACCAACAGTATCATAGCCAATTTCACATAATTCATCTAAAGCATACCAAGCACCTTTAGCGAAAACTGTCATTGGAACTCTTTCTACACCTAATTCTTTTAATCTTAAAGGTAATTTAGCACTGATTTGTTTCAAGTAAGGTAAAGAGAATTCATTAAATTCATGAGGTCCTAATTCACTGGCCCAACTTTCAAAAACTTGAACCATATCACATCCAGCAACAACTTGTTGAGCTAAAAATTCAATACAACAATCAGTGATAGCTTGTAATAATTTATGAGATTCAGTTGGATATCTATAAATCCATTCTTTAACAAATCTAAACATTTTAGATCCTTGTCCTTCAACAATATAAACCAATAAAGTCCAAGGAGCTCCACAGAAACCAATTAATGGAACTCTTCCATCCAATTTTTTAACAGTTAATTTGATAGCTTCAAAAGCCCAAGCTAAACCTTTTTTAACATCAGGATTGAAATCAACTCTGGTTAAATCTTTTGGATCTCTTAAAGGATCAACAAAGACTGGACCTTTTCCTTCTTGCATTTCAATTTCAAATCCCATTACTTGAGGAATCACTAAAATATCGGAAAAGATAATTGCTGCATCGATTAACCCATTGAAATGATCAATTGGTTGGATAGTGATTTCACTAGCAGTTTCTGCATCCCTACAGGTTTCGAAGAAATCTTTCTTACCTTTAGCTTCATGATATTCAGGTAAATAACGTCCTGCTTGTCTCTTGAATAGTTAGTACATAATTTTTCACCATGTCAGCAATGGAAAGAATTTTCCCCTTCAAAAGCACCTGAAGTTCGATAAATACACCATTGTCATCTTCTCAACATACCATTATCCACATGGGAGGTCTTTCGACCTTTTCACCACGGGCTGCCCTTAAAATCAAATCATTTTTCAACACTGGTTTGCTCATTGTCTCGATATTTCCAAACCGGGAAAATGCTGCGATAGTGAGACAATTCTGTGATAATTTTATGCGACAAAAAATGTTAAGAGCGATAATTTTGCTGCGATAGTGCTGGTAGTCTGAAGTAATTTACATTCCAAAACAGTACATTTATAGTACATTCAGAGTATAAGTACAAAGTACAATTGAATAGTACGACTAAATAATACACTACACGTTCTTTATTCAATCAACAGCTTCAAAATGACTGAACCTGAAGAAGGTCCAAGTGCCTCAATTATATCTAAGAAACCTACAATCAAGAAATCTACCGGACCAAATGTTTTTGTAAGGTTTATAAGATCAATTTTCGGTTATAGGAAAACATCCCTTTCATTCTTTGTATTCCTTACGGTGACGGCAGTATATTTGTTATCAACTTATGACAATAGTTTAGAATTATCCGTATCCTTACCTGAAATTGGATCTTTTGAGGATGATATTTTACAAGAAAGTTGGTATAACTTACAAAAAATCGGAGAATTCAAACATCCTTATGGTTCAAAAGGTAATAAAGTTGTTTATAATCACTTAAAAGCTGAGATTCAATCATCAGTTAAGCATTCAAAATACATTGAATGGGATAATGACTTGAATAACACGAATTTCCTATTCGGAAAAGATACTTATGGATCAGTTAGTTATTATGAAAGTAATAATCTTTATGTCAGAATCAATGGGTCTAGATCAGACTTACCAGCTATCTTAATCAGTGCTCATTATGATTCTGTTCCTTCAAGTTTTGGTATTACTGATGATGGGGCTGGTATTGCTTCGATGTTAGGGCTCTTGAAATATTACACCGATGGTGGTAAACAACCTTTGAGAACCATTGTTTTCAATTTCAACAATAATGAGGAGTTTGGATTATATGGAGCTCAAACATTCTTCTCTCATCCTTGGTCTGAAGGTGTGAAGTATTTCATCAATTTAGAAGGTACTGGTCAAGGTGGAAAGGCCATTTTATTCAGAGGAACTGACTATGGAATCTTAAACCATTATAAATCGGTAAGATATCCTTATGCTAGTTCTCTTTTCCAACAAGCTTTCAATGGTAGATTGATTCATAGTGAGACTGATTATAAGGTTTATTTTGCCAATGGATTGAGAGGTATTGATGTGGCTTTCTATAAACCAAGAGATATCTATCATACTGGTGAAGATAGTATCCGTAGAACTTCTAAAAAAGCTCTCTGGCACATGTTATCGACAGCTTTAGATTTCGTTGAACCTATCAGTAATAATGAGATTGACATTGATTCCTCATATATCGAGAAAGATGAAGTTAAACAAGAATATGCTACTTATGTTTCATTCTTAAACTTCTTCTTCATCACTTCAGTACCAAAATTGGTCATTATTAACATTGCCTTGTTAGTTATTGTACCAGTCACTATCATGTTTTTGTTAACTATCATTTTCTGCTATAAACAAAATTGGAAACTTGGATTTGTTAATTCTATCAAATTCCCTATTTCCTTAGTGGTGTCTATCTTAGCTTTGAATTTCGTTACTGAAATAATTGTTGGTATTGATGAATTCTTACCAAATTCCAAACCAATGAATGTGGTCGTCTTGTTGGCATCGACATTCTTCTTCATCAATTATTTACTTCTTAATGGTATCAACTTGATTTTTAGAAACTATAAGATCGTTCAACATGATGAAAAGTTGATTGTAGCTTTACAAATATCCTTTGTTTACTGGGTGTTATTAATCATCACCACCGTAGGTTTGGCTAACAACAAGCCAGGTAATGATCATACAGGTAAAGGATTATTAACAGTATTATATGCTATTCAATCCATTGGTTGTATTTGGGGATTATTAGGTTGGTGCTTCAGACCTTCCAAAAAAGACTTGGAATACGAATTATTAGATTCTTCAAGAACTCCTTTGTTAGTTCAACAAGTTGAAGAATATGGTGCTGAAGATACCGAAGAAACTCAATTCCAACCTCCATCAGATTCAACTTCTTTGATCTCAATGGATTCTTATACTGCTCGTAAGAAATTGAACTTGATTGCTAAAACTTTCAGTTATGATTGGTCAATTCAATATTTGATGTTAGTACCTATCCCATTACTTATCTTCTACAACAATGGATATTTGATCTTACAAGGATTGAACAAATCCATTCAAGAATCAGTTGTTTCACAAAATTTAATCTTCAAACTTTCCCAAATTGTTGCTATTACTTTGATTTTACCAGTTTATCCATTCATCTTTAAAGTCAATAGATTCTTAGTGTGGGTTTCTTTGATCTTAATCATCCAGGGATTCTTCACAGTATTCTTTACTTTCCCATTCGATACTGAAAATCCTATGAAATTGAGATTTATTCAATCAGCTAATCTTTCAGAGTCTGTTACTGATAGTTATGTTCATGTTTTAGCTAGAACTGGTCTTGAAGTCGAAAATATTTTGGGTGATATGCCGTCAGTCAAAGAATCAGGTGAATCTGTTGAATGTAAACCACTCGATAATGATATGGTTGATTGTTATTATAAATCAACCAAACCTCCTGTTATCTTCAAAGCTAAAGATTTCTCCGATTACTTGTCTGTTGAAGTTTTGAAGAATTCCAGTGATAATGATTATCCTTTTGGATTATTGAATGGAGAAATCAAAATCAATGTTAAAGATAACAATATGTGTAAGATCAACTTCAATACTGGTTCTAAGAAGAAAGAATTACCTGTAAAGACAATTATCAAATACAACGATAAGCCAATTAATACCACCATTGCTTCATCTTCAATACCAGAAGGATTTTCCGTTGATAAAGATGGTAATTATCTTTACAAAGACTTGAATGGTATGCCAGGAATTGAATTGAATAAGTTGAAAGCCAATGTTCCTTACCATATTGGATTCCAATGGTTACCTAATTTGATCGATGATTATAATCCCGAAGCTCTGAATATTTTGAAATTAGATATTACTTGTTATTGGACTGAATTAGGGGATGATAACTCTTTAGTCCCAGCTTATCAAGAAGTTAACCATTATTCCCCTAAATATGTCACTTGGGCTAACCAAGCTAGTGGTATGGTTTCAGTTTCAACTTCTGTTGAACTTTAATTTTTTTTATTTATATCCCGACACTTACCAGGTACTTTACACAGTTCCTTTTGAGCGTCATTTCATTGTTTGCTACTTATGTATTACTAAAATTGTTTCTCAACTTTTTCGCAGCCACTCTTATCTTTTTGCACCCAAAACTTTCAACTATCCACAAAATGTTTACTTTAGTTTTGATTTTATTCATAAGTCTTGTGAAGGGATATGTTCATCCTATTACGGTACATGGGAGATATTTTGTAGATACGGTCACCAATGAGCCGGTAAGTTGATTCAAAGTTTTCTTTCTGTAGAATATGTACTAACAAATAGTTTTACATCAAAGGTGTAGATTATCAGCCAGGTGGAGAGTCTGGAGTTATTTCTACAGAAGATCCTTTATCAGATGAAAAGAGTTGTTCCAGAGATATTGTGCTTTTCCAACAATTAGGTATTAATGTATGATATACCACCTTCAAGTGTTTCTTTATATATACTAACTTATAGACTATTAGAATATACTCCATCAACACTGATTTGAATCACGATAAATGTATGTCAATGTTGGCAGCAGCCGGGATTTATGTTGTTCTCGATGTTAACTCACCCCTTCCCAATCATCATCTCAATAGGTATGAACCTTGGAATACCTATAATGTTGATTATTTGGAGAATGTGTTCAAGGTGGTGGAACAATTCTCCTATTATAACAACACATTAGGATTTTTTGCCGGAAATGAAGTCATCAATGATATCACCTCAGCTAAAAACTCCCCGGTTTACGTCAAAGCTGTGGTTAGAGATACTAAAAATTATATTGACAAGAATTCTCCTCGTCCAATTCCCGTAGGATATTCAGCAGCCGATGATTTAAGATATAGAATATCCTTCTCTCAATACCTTGAATGTGTTGATGAGTCCCCTGCAGAATCTGTTGACTTTTATGGTGTCAACTCTTATCAATGGTGTGGTGAACAAACGTTCTATACCAGTGGGTACAATTCATTGGTGAGTGATTATGAAAGTTATACTCGTCCTTTATTCTTCTCAGAGTATGTATTCTTATGAAATTATATCGAAATCCAATACTAACTTTGTAGATATGGGTGTAATGAAGTGTTACCCCGACAATTTGGCGAGATTGGGACAATGTATTCTAATGCCATGGTTGATGTATTCAGTGGGGGTTTGGTGTACCAATTCACTCAAGAACCTAATAATTATGGTTTAGTAGAGATCCTAGATAATGGTGATGCTAAGGTATTAACAGATTTCATCACCTTGAAGACCAAATTCGATGACCTTCCTCAAATGGATCTTCAACATGTTGCTTATTCTATGAAGGAAAACGCTAAGGAAATCCAAAATAGGAAGAAAGTTCAAAGGTTCTCTTTACCACCTTGTGACACATCATATGAGAATATCGATGTATCCAGAGGTTTACCACCCACTGTGGCCGATGAATTAATAACTTATGGAGTTAAAGTGACTCAAGGAAGATTTGTTCCGTTGACCACTGAAGAGTTGACTTGTCCATACCAAATCTTGGACTCAGACAATAATCAACTCTCTATCTCTAAAAAGATATATCCGGTAGTTGATTACATGTCCGGTACTCCCTTGAACAAGTTCAACAAAATCAAGTACCACAGTGGTATGTATAACAATGAGGGAGAAGTTGATTCTGAAGATGACTATGACTTTAGTAGTGACGAAGAAGAAAACTTGATCGCAAAGGCTTCAATTTATTTGAAGAGAATCGTGGATAAAGTGTCAAGGCTATTTTCATCTTAAGTACGTTGACTTAATAGAGTTTACTTTAATTTTGTTACTAACAAATCTAGGAGTTGGTAAAAAGATTAGTTCATGGTTATGGTTAATGGTTTCTATGGGATTAGGAAACCTTTGTGTATAATTCTAAATACATCTATTGTTTAATGTGATAGATAACTCTATGGCTATCAGATATCGTGAAGTCTCTGAAATGTATGGATTTCAAGAAACTCGACCAATCTTTATTCAAATGTTCAGTTTTCAGGAATCCACATTTTGTGCAAGTTTGTGATTTTTGCTTAATCTTTACCATGGTTGGTAAAGGCGATACAATCTCTAACAATTCAAGAAGATTATTTCTAGCAAGGAGCGATTGATGATTACATTCATGGATCAAATCGAAATTTTCGAGTGTCAAATGTTTCAAATTATAACTCTTAGACAGACATATTAATTTGAAAAATGGATTGAACGATTTATAATTGAAAGATGGATCATTATTACCATCCTCATTGACGGTATAGAAGATCCTAGAACTCATATCTATCGATAAGGATGAAAGATTTTCGTTGAATTTAATGAAATCAATCAATGATAAGTCATTACTGTTCTTCAACTGTATTAACGATAATGAACTGGTGGATTGGAATATCTTACATAAAGTTCTCTTGCTTGGTCTGTTAATGTAAGAACATGAATTGAAAATGATCTTATCAATAGAGGTTGAAGGGATATCACCAATTTTCTGAAGCTTGGTTTCATCAATGATGAAATTACATAATTCTACTTCATGAATATCATTAAATACTTCTAGAATTGCCGATAAGTGATTGACTTTAAACAATATTGACCATCCAGTTTGTGCCTTAAGTACCAATTTCCCTAAACTTCTTCTGTTGCTCTTACGTTTGAAGAAACTTAGACTATCGAATTCAAATTGTGGTGAGATTTCTGATATCACCAAGATCTTAAGATTATAATCATTCTGAATGACTGTTTTAAAGTTCTTGATGAAATCGTTAAATACCACCTGTTGTGTGTTATCATCACTTAACTTATAACTGCCAGCAATTTTAGTTTCATGATTCTTAGAACTCTTTGAAGGAGGGTTCTTGATCTCCATGCATTGAATATAATTGACTTGTGTTGAGGTATCTATTGAACCAAATCTTCGAGGTATATGGACTTCACTAAACTTCATGAACTTATCAATGGTAGTGAATTTAATCAGTTTATAAAGAAAGTTCTTATTGATAATATTATTGAATTTCACACAAATCATGGAGGTTCTGACCAACTGGGGTAAATCGTTCGATAAATTTGAAAATATTTGACATAGGATCTCATAGGGTAAGGAATGAAGATGGTATTTACCATAATCTGGAGTAGCTCTTTTACTCAAAGCTTTCTTCCTCCCTATGAGTTGGTATCGTTTCATAGTTTCCATGGGGTTAAATGACTCGCGATGAGAACTTTCCCAATTTGGATCTGATGGCAGAATATCGAAGGCAGGAAATAGCTCAGTTAGGTGGTGATTCAGGTTTCCGATCTTATCGAAGAGTAACCGAATTGACTAGTCCTAAAGTCTGTAAGTCATTCATTATTGGTAGTTGTCCTCATGATTTATTTGTTGGTACCAAACAAGATTTAGGTAAATGTCCACAATTGCATTTAGAGAAACATAAGTTGGAATATAATTTAAGAACCAAGAAAGGTGAAAAGTTCCCTGATTTCGAATATGAATATTACCAAGTTCTTAAATCATATATTGAAGAAATAGATAGAATCATTGAAAGTTCAAACAAACGATTAGATCATACACCTGAAGACAAGGAGAAGATTGAACAAGTAACACAAGATTTGGAGAAATTGGACACCAAGATAAGTATTATACAACAAGAAATTAATTGCCTATTAGAGGCCGGTAAACCTATTGCTTCTTTAAACCATTCCAAAGAATTGAATACACTCATAAAGCTTAGAGAAGTTGAAGGTGAGAAGGTAAGAAGTATCATCGAAAACATCGGACAAAGTTCCCAACAGAAATTACAAGCATGTGACCAATGTGGAGCTTTCTTATCAAGACTTGATAGTGATAGAAGATTGGCTGATCATTTTGTGGGGAAAATCCATTTGGGGTACGTTAAGATGAGATCTGATTATATGGGATTGAAAGAGAAGTATGAGGGAGGTGTGTAAAGAGACGTATCTTAGAAGAGACGTACCATGGAAGGGACGTATCTTAGAAGAGATGTCTCATAGAAGAAACAAATCATGGAAGTACTATAGAAGAAAATATTAGTATTGATCTGGAATCACAAATATGAGTAGATATGTATTGAATACAAGGAGACCATATCACAGGACTAATCTTGTTTTTCAGGTTTTTCAAGTCCAACTTTCTCTTTAGAAACGTATCCAATAGCTTCTAATCTTTCAGTCAAAAGTGGATGGGATCTATGATAGGCTGAATATAACCAATCGGCTTCGAAATAAGATAAGTTTTCAACATTCAATTTGATTAAGGATTTACCTAAATCTTCAGTGTATCCACATGTCTTAGCATATTCATCAGCTTCATATTCATTTTTTCTAATGAATAAATTTTGGATAAATTGTAAACCAGATTCAACAGGTTTAAAGATATCTGAAAATAAGATCAAACCAACCATAGTAGGATTAGTAGCAAAACCGAAAGATCTGTATAATGAGTTGTTGTTAACAAAAGCAGCAAAAATGGAAAACATGAAACTGACATTTAATTGGGAGAATAAAAGCATTTGAGGTAAATGGTTTAAATTCCAATGACCAATTTCATGAGCTAAAACAGCTACGGTTTCATCAACAGTTGATTGTTCAATCAAAGTATCAAATAAAACAATTTGTTTACTCCAAGGTAATCCAGTGAAATAAGCATTAGAATGACCTGATCTTTTAGATCCATCAATAACATATAATTTAGTTAATGGGAATTGTTGTTTTCTGGCTAAATCTTCAATGGCATCTTTCAACTCACCATCTTCTAAAGGTGTGAATTTATTGAATAAAGGTTGAATAAGACTTGGATAGATGGTCATCAAAACTAATTGAGTAACAAGAACAAATCCTGAAAGGTAAAGAATGAATGATTGACCAAAAGTATCAATAATTTTCAAAATCCCTGCTAAAACTGGTGGTAATAACACGAACGAAAGTGCAAGTGATTTAAGTTGATCAGTAATCCATAAACCAATAGTTGATTTATTGAAACCATATTTCTCTTCTAACACAAAAGTTTGATAATAATCTACAGGTAATGAAGTCAAGTTACTGAAAATTGAAAGAACGAATACAAAGAAAATGGATTGAGTGATAATACCTCCCATAAATTTAGGTAAATAAGGAGCAACTGTTTTTAAAATTGAACCTCCAAACGACCAGAATTTTGGTAATACATCATATTTGATAAATAATAAATTCTTAACTAAGGAATATCCGTCAGAAATAAAAGCAAATCTTTGTTTAGCTCTACTGTAATCTTGAGATTTATCAAAAGTTTCCTTTGGAACCTCTTGTTTGATGGTTGAAGGTAATGAAGTCTTTTGTAAGACTTGATACTGTCTGTAGCCTAAATAAGTTTCAAATAAAAATTGACCAACGGTAAAACCTACAATGATAGATTTCCATGGTAAATTAGGATTATCTAAGAATCCCAAGGTCTAAAAAGTTAGCATTGAGTTGAAAAATACGAAGGATTACGTGTACATACTTCACTGATGGAGAAAGTCATGTTGAGATTTTTCATCGCGACAATGGCAAGTCTTTTAAATACGGGGGATGGAAACAGATGAGGGTGGATGCCATAAGTTTGAATGGCTAGATTAGAGTTGGAATTAAATAAAACCTTAAGTTAAATATCTAGAGATAAGGATCTAACGTACTTTTATTTATATGACTATGAATTTGACTAGTTAGCTTCAGCAGCCATTTTTTCAGCTTTAGCAATGACATCTTCAATACCACCAACCATATAGAAGGCATTTTCTGGTAAATGATCGTATTTACCTTCTAAGACTTCTTTGAATGATTTAATAGTATCTTGTAATCTAACTAATCTACCTGGAATACCAGTGAAAACTTCAGCAACAGCGAAAGGTTGAGATAAGAATCTTTGGATTTTTCTAGCTCTTTCGACAGTTAATTTATCAGCTTCTGATAATTCATCCATACCTAAAATAGCAATAATATCTTGTAAAGATTTATAAGCTTGTAAAGTTTGTTGAACACCTGAGGCAACATCATAATGTTCTTGACCAACAACTGAAGCATCTAATAATCTTGATTTAGAATCTAATGGATCAACAGCTGGGTAAATACCTAATTCGGAAATACCTCTAGATAAGACAGTAGTAGCATCTAAATGGGCGAAAGTAGTAGCTGGAGCAGGATCAGTTAAATCATCAGCTGGGACATAAACAGCTTGAACTGAGGTAACGGAACCTTTTTTGGTGGTAGTAATTCTTTCTTGTAAAAGACCCATATCAGTGGCTAAAGTTGGTTGATAACCGACAGCTGATGGAATACGACCTAATAAAGCTGAAACTTCGGAACCAGCTTGGGTAAATCTGAAAATGTTATCAACGAATAATAACACATCTTGACCTTCTTCATCTCTGAAGTATTCAGCAATGGTTAAACCGGTTAAAGCAACTCTAGCTCTAGCACCAGGTGGTTCGTTCATTTGACCGAAAACTAAAGCGACTTTAGAATCACCATCTAAGTTAATAACACCAGTTTCAATCATTTCTCTGTATAAATCATTACCTTCTCTGGTTCTTTCACCGACACCGGTAAAGACTGAGAAACCACCATGGGCTTTAGCAATGTTAGAAATTAATTCTTGGATGAAAACGGTTTTACCGACACCGGCACCACCGAATAAACCAATTTTACCACCTCTAGCGTAAGGAGCTAATAAATCAACAACTTTGATACCGGTTTCTAAAACTTCGGCAGCAGTAGATTGTTCAACGAATGATGGTGGTTCAGCGTGAATTGGGTTTCTTTGTTTACATTCAATTGGACCTCTTTCATCAATTGGATCACCGGTAACGTTAATAATTCTACCTAAAGTACCTCTACCAACTGGGACAGAGATTGGAGCACCAGTGTCAGCAACTGAAGCACCTCTAACTAAACCTTCGGTACCATCCATAGCAATAGCTCTAACGGTGTTTTCTCCTAAATGTTGAGAAACTTCTAAGACTAAATCTTGGTCACCATTTTTTAAAGTTAAAGCATTGTAAATAGCTGGTAAGTTACCATCTTCGAAATGGACATCAACAACAGCACCAATAACAGCTCTAAATTTTGTTAGTATTTCAACATTCTAAAAAAAAATTCATTTTTAGTGGAGGACTTCTGAAACTTTTGCGTCGGTGCGAGAAATTTCGATTTTCATTGGCCGAGATTTCTCCTTCCAACACTTCGGTCATTACCATTAATTAAATGGTAGGATTGATGAATAGAAGTCACCAATGATGAATTGATCAATGAATTGATAGGTTGGATATCGAAAACCTGAATTTTTCATCAATTTTGAATGGTTTATTCATCGTTTCCATTGATGAGTGAATTTTTCACCAACCAGATCTCATACATCCAAATTCATTTCAATTCATTAACTTTTCATTGCCCTTGCATCATTGATCAAACCTCTTATCCATCTGATATCCGAAAATCCTGATCCTTCAATTCCTACTGTTGAATCAATTGATTCCAACTAAAAACATGGTGTGAAATATTTACATACCTAACTTTACCAGCAGCAGGAGCAGCAGAAGCAAAGTTTCTAGCTAAGTTTAATTTAAAGCTTCTTGAAGCAGTATTAATGAAGTTCTTACTAGTTTGATTAAATAATCTTGGAAGAACCATTTTAATTAATTTATTAAGAACGAGTTAACTGGAAATTTTCGAGTCTTTTAAATTTTTTCTCTTCAACACTGAAAAATTCGGATTGAGAAAGTTGTCCAATGAACGGTGATTATTTGGAGTGAGCATTACCCGGATTTGGCTGCAAACTACTTTTCCTTGGATTGTAGTAATAGAGGGAGTATTACAATGAAGGATAGATAGATGAACGGGAGATTTACATGAAAGTTACGATCCATTATTCATTATATCAGAGCTATAAACAGTTTCATGGCACCAGGACTAACATTAATAATCAATTTTCCTTGACTTACTTGTTGTTCATATCCGCAATCCATACATATGTTAATAAGATTCTTTTCATTAATGGCTTTCATTGCCATGTCGTGATTAACTATAGACATTTTCGTCTTTGGTTTTTCAATCTTATGAGATTTGGATCGGGTTGACCTTTTTTCCATATCATCAAAATCAAGTTTCTTACCATTGATCTCTTTTTTAGGTGAAGACTCAGATCTTGAATTTCTAACATGAGGTGAAGCTTGGGGTGTGATTAATTGATTACTTTGTTCAGCTTTACCAAAGTTATGTTGGGAATTTGGAATCTCTACAAATGCATGATGAATATGAGTTCTACAAATGTCACATAAATCTCCATCGTCATCGATATTATTCTTCAAATTTTGTCTTTCAGCTAAGAATCCTTCTTCTGTTATTTCATGGTGATTGTATTTGATAGGAAACTTCTGTTTCTTGAAGTAATTAACCAAAGAATCTATTTCTTCGATGAATTCTTTATATTGATTTTTAGACTTTTGAAACAATTGCTCATTGGTCTCGATTCCCATTTTATAACTTATCATGATATTTTCAAGTAATTTATAATGATTGAAGACATTTTCTTTCTTGATAAGTCTATAATCTTTAATTGCTTCGTGACCAAAATCTATCCAATCTTTACTGGTGAAATTTACAGCTTCATTGAAATTGAATCCCGAATTGAATCCAGCATGATAAACTTTAGGGAATGTTATAACAAATTCGTTAGGATTCTGATTAGCATAATACACTGGAATTCCATTATCAATAAGTTTATCTGGTGATACCAAAGTTACTAATTGGTGTAATAAATCCGGTTGTTTTTTGAATAAATCCGGAGCTGTTAATTTCATGAATTTTTCAAATGTGGTAGAATATTTTGATGGGATTCCATACCATTTCTTTGTAGCTCCAAAATGACAATAATTTGCCGATGAAGTATAATGATCTTCTACATGCCAACAAAATGTAGATAACAAAGAACCGATATAAATCCAAGGAATGGTCATCCCTGATATTGAATGATTTATATAATTCAATAATGACCCTTTACTAAAAGGTAAATTATTCAAATTGAAAGGTTGGTTGGCATAATAATCAAATACTTCAGGATTTATATAATCCTTGATTATTTGAGGAGAATCATTAGTTGGGAAACCGGATATTTGTCCTGGAAGTAAATTATGAATGTCCGCACCATACCTCACAACTATTTTTGATGTTTGCAGTTCAATAAACTTCCAGAAATCTCCTTCTACTTGTTGAAGACTTTCTAAGCCATAATCGTGTTTATATTTGACTTCGAAATCTTGACAATATTTATAAAATTCATCAACTGAATATTTGAGATTAGTTTCTTCAACGAAACCATATTCTCCTGTACCAACCAAACATCTATTACAATACCAATCTCCTTTTGGGACACTGGCAAGATTAACACATTCAAGATGATAAGCATCACCACAATTATCACATAATAAGGTAGATTCTGGTTCATCGTCAAGTCCACAAACCATACACTCACCATCATCTTCATCATATTCACTGTCACTGGAATTAGAATCTGGTTTAAGTTTCCTAATTTGTTCTTTCACTTCATCGTCAACCTCGGAAAGATCACCTTCAATCTCACTATCTTCAGGCTGACTATCGATCTCGATTTCAACTCTACCATTTTTCTTTGGAGCATAAGCAGGATCTTCAATTATTTGGACATTTAAAAAGTCAGCGTAATTCTTTATGGAATTCCCATATTCTTTTTGTAAACTTTTACTATCAACAACACCAAATACCTTATTGATTTTTGCCCATTTACACTCCTTAAATCCACCTGCTTTCTCAACTTCAATATATAAATCATAATAATACACTTTTTTATCTTCAACCATAAAGAAACTCTTCAACTGTTTCTTCTTCTTCATTTTCTGAAACCTATTTATGCTTTCAATGAAGAAATTTCGTGATCTGGTAAGAATACCCAAATCACTCAACTTTTGAAGTCTAGTATGAAACTTGAATTTCAGAGATAATGAAAATGGAGGTTGCCAATTCTGTGGAGGTACAATCTTCACAATCCCATAAGTTTGACCTAATTCTAATACTTCAGCACTGGATAAATACCCTATTGGATCATTGAATTGCTCTAATGATGGATTTAACACCGGACATGGTGAACATTTGGTGGCCATATTTATATCTTCTTAATCGGATAAATGTAGCGAAACTTTCACAATAACTTCTTTACCTGGACCACTAGATTCGAATTCGACCTACTTAACCAATGTTAACAGCGAAATCACGGAATATCAATTTTTTGGTATAATTCTTCAATTTACTTCGGAAAAATTATCACTTACACTTTATTTATCAATATCCGATGATAAATATCACTATTAATCCCAGATATTAACTGCTTTTTTAAGTTTTCCCCCGTTTTGGTTAGCGGACACAGGAGTTCAATTAGTTAACTAAATTGAGAAATCCTTGAAATTTCCCAATCTCACGACTTTTTTTCTTGAGTCAGAAATCTTTACACCACGAAATGGAAAACTATACAATTACTGTGTTAGGATGTGGAGTTATGGGGACTGCTGTTACATCAGCTATCTTGAATAGTCAATTCCAACCATACCCTTCCAAAATCATCTGTTGCAATAGTAATGAAAAATCATCCCAAGCTTTAAGATCAAAGTTATCTCATGAAATCATTGAATATTCTTATGGTGAACAGAATAAAGAAGCGGTGAAGAAAGCTGATATCATTATTCTTGGTTGTAAACCTTTCATGTATAAAGATGTTTACAATGAAGTCAAAGATTCTTTGAATAAAGATCAATTGTTAATCTCTTTATTAGCAGGTATCACCATCGAAGAGTTATCTATCTTTACTCCAAATGTAGCTAAAGTTATGACCAATACCCCTGCTCAATTTGGTTGCGGAATGGCTACCGTTGCATTCTCTCCAGAAGCTGAAGGTAAATATGAAGATTTGGTTATGAAGTTAATCAATCCTGTTGGTAAAGCTATTAAGATTCCTGAAAAGAATATGGATGCTGCCACTGCTTTAGTTGGTTCAGCCCCAGCTTTTTGTTTATTAATGATGGAAGCTATGATTGATGGTGGTGTGAGAATGGGAATCCCCTTCGAAGTAGCTAAACAATGTGCTGCTAAAGTAATGGAAGGTACTGGTAAAATGGCGGTTGAAACCAATGAACATCCTGCAGTATTGAAAAGTAAAGTCTGTACACCAGGTGGTACTACAATTGGAGGTTTATTAAAATTGGAAGATTCAGGAGTTAGAGGTTCTATTGCTAGAGCTATTGAAGAAGCTGCCAATATTTCTAAATCTTTCTCTAAAAAGTAGCTTTTATTTTATTTAGTTCTTTTATATACATAATCATTTCTTATACTGTTTCATAAGTTCGGAAAAATCTGATGGATTGATTTGAATGTTAGCTTCTTGAATCTTTTGTTGAAGAACACTAAGTGAACTTCTAACTTCAGGATCCATTAACATCTTGGATAATTGAATAAATGATGGAGGTTTATCACCAATAAATCCTTTCTCTCTGAAAATTGCTTCCATTTTAGTGAATGATGCTTTTAATTCCGGATCATTTTTAACTAATTCCGCAACTTGTCTCATTCTATCATGAACTGAAGAATTAAATCTTCTTGGTACTATTGATGGTACTATTAATCTTTTTGGTACAAATTTAAACATCCTTTCCTTAAAGTTAACTTCACCAGTGTCGCATGCGACTTTAAACCTTTTTCCATCACCAGTCGTGTACGCACTGAAAAATGAGAAACCCTCACAAAAATTCGACAACCTCGAATTTTATACATACACCAAAATCTAAAACATGTCAAACAATCAAGAAGAATTATTAGATTATTCCGATTCTGAAGAAATTGCTGTTACCCAACAACAACCAGAAACCAGTGACGCCACTAAAGATGCCGACAAAAAAGGATCTTACGTTGGTATTCACGCTACTGGTTTCAGAGATTTCTTATTAAAACCAGAATTATTAAGAGCCATCGGTGATTGTGGGTTTGAACATCCTTCAGAAGGTTCGTATTCCTTTCTGGTAGTTATTTAATTGTAAGAATTTGGAACTGCTTGAGGTTTTTCCATATTCAACGTGTTGAATGTAAACATAAACATATTCAACAAATTCATTATAAAGAACCAACTTCCCGAACATGTTGTTACCCAACGAACAGTAAGACTGTTATATGGGGCAACCATTGAAGTTATCATGATGACTTACGCGTCATAAACTCCTATCAAGTTTATCCTTAGAACTCATACTAAGAGTGGTCTTAAAAGCTCACCTGTCCATTACCAGAGCATAATTAGGTGTACAGCAGGCAACCGTTGCCCTCAAGTTAATCCAATTCTAACAATTAAAAACTTCCTATCGATCATTAAGGTCATCAACTAACAAAAATAGTCCAACAAGTGTGTATTCCTCAATCTATCTTAGGTACTGATGTTTTATGTCAAGCCAAATCAGGTTTAGGTAAAACCGCTGTTTTCGTTTTATCAACTTTACAACAATTAGAACCAGTTGCTGGAGAAGTTTCAACTTTAGTTATTTGTCATACTAGAGAATTAGCTTATCAAATTCGTAACGAATATGCTAGATTCTCTAAATATATGCCAGATGTTAAAACTGAAGTTTTCTACGGTGGGGTTCCAATTAAAGATGATATTGCTAAAATCAAAAACAAAGATACTTGTCCTCATATTGTTGTAGCTACTCCAGGTAGATTACATGCTTTAGTTACTGAAAAAGCTTTAAGATTAAACAATATCAAATCATTTGTTATTGATGAATGTGATAAAGTTTTAGAAGCTATTGATATGAGAAGAGATGTTCAAGATATTTTCAGATCAACTCCTTTACAAAAACAAGTTATGATGTTTTCAGCTACTTTATCACAAGAAATTAGACCTATTTGTAAAAAATTCATGCAAAATCCTTTAGAAATCTACGTTGATGACGAAGCTAAATTAACTTTACATGGTTTACAACAATATTATCTTAAATTAGATGAAAAGGAAAAGAACCGTAAATTAAGTGATTTATTAGATTCTTTGGAATTTAACCAAGTTATTATTTTCGTTAAATCCACTCAAAGAGCTGAACAATTGAATAAATTATTATGTGCTTGTAATTTCCCTTCAATTGCTGTTCATTCTGGTTTGAAACAAGAAGAAAGAATTGCTAGATATAAATTATTCAAAGAATTCAACAAAAGAATCTGTATATCAACTGATGTTTTCGGTAGAGGTATTGATATTGAAAGAATCAATTTAGCTATCAATTACGATTTACCAAATGAAGCTGATCAATATTTACATAGAGTTGGTAGAGCTGGTAGATTCGGTACCAAAGGGTTAGGTATTTCATTCGTCTCTACTAAAGAAGATGAAGAAGTCTTAGAAAAAATCCAATCAAGATTCGATGTCAAAATCACTGAATTTCCAGAAGGTGGAGTTGATCCTTCAACTTACATGAATACTTAAAACGTTTTGTATATGTAATATGTTTTTTATAGTTATTAAAAGTTAACTTGTTTAGTGTACTTCCAACAAATCTCATCAATTAGTTTATAAATCGTTTGTAGATGTTTCTTGGGGATTAAGAACCATTCAACATGGATGTTGTATTTATCTTCTCCGCAATTCTTGCAATAAATGATCCCTTTACCGTACAATTTATGAAGTTTCTGGTGAATCTCTTTCTCTGCCAATGCTAAATTATGGGAATAGAACCCTCCATCTTTGAATGTTTCATAATGGGAGATTCTGAGTCTTTTGAAAAGGTCAGTCAACTTGGTCTTCCGTAGTATCTTATCAGTCTCTGGATTAACTAGATAGATCTGATGTTTACATTTATTCTCCCACTGTTTGATTCTGGTGGAAATTGTTTGAGTTGTCATCCCAACTTTGAGGAAGATATATGAAGATTTGGAAAATTTGTATTCATCTTTATGGTCAGGAAGATTATGGGCTTTGAACCAATTTGTTTCTTTGCCAAAAAATTTATGTAAGGTGTATATGTATATGAAGCCAGATGACGGTTTTTTGTCCACAATGTTTGAACCTTCGGTGGAAGCAACATGTTTATTGATCATTCCCATATCTTGCTGTACATGATAATGACAGAACTTATCGTTGCTTCGTATTTTACATCGCTGTCCCTTAGTTGTTATTCCTAAACATTGATTCATGCGACTTATTAGACAATTCTCAAATAGGAAATAATCCTCCGCTGCCAAAAAGTGTCGTATATTCCTATTTATCCATCGTTAAGTCCCGTTCTTTGAACAATTTACTCAATTCATTTTCGATCTCATTGATTAAATCAACATAATTACAACTTTTGGATTTAACTCGAGATTCTCTTAATAATCTTTCCGCTTTATCGAAATTTTTCAAATGTAAGTTAATCACTCCTAGAGAATATGTAGATAATGCGATGATTTCATTGATATCATTAATTTCTTCTTCATTCAATGGTGAAGCATTGTTGGCTGTTGCTTGAGGTTTGACTAATTCATTGGCCCTTGATAAAACAAATTCATAAACTTCAGTGGCATAATTTATATAGACATTGAAAAATTTCAAATTTTCATCAAATGTCTCTTTGTCGTTTTCTAATAAGGATGTATCGACATTTTTGATATCAGGGTTTAAGTTATGATTCTTCAAAAGATTGATCAACTTCAATTCAAAGATCTCTGATTGTAAATATGATAATCCTCCCAAATTACAAATATTAAGTAAGAACTTCTTGGGCTCAATATGAGAAATCTTCATCAATTTATACAACTTTAAGGTTTTATCCATAGCAAAGGAAAAATCTCCTAATTGAATGTTAATTGCAATCAATAAATTTATGGCATTGATATATTCATCCAAGAAGACTAAATCTACCTTAGACATTGGTGATGCACTATTGATGAAATTATTGATTTCCACAGTAGCTGCTGATGAATGAGCAATCAAAATGGCTTTAGATAGGTTCAAATCATCTTTAGAAAGTTCAGATAACTTAACTCCGATCCTTAAAGACTTTTGGATCAAATGATTTCTATAATCATTATTCAACTTCAAGCTTTTATCGTGTAGAGTTTTCAAGTATAAGGATCCGATTTCGTTATAGATCAATAAAGCTTTATCTATCATGTTCAAACGTTCGAACATTTCACCGATTTTCAATTGAATTCCAGTATATTCATCAACCAATGGATTCATGTTAAGTTCATTACATTTCTCTAATGCTTCAATATAATACTTCAATGCTAATTGATAATCGTTTTCTCCTTTATCACTTTCAGCCCATAACCCCTTACGTAACAATGTCGCCACAGGAGATGGAAATGTGTGTTTGGGCCAGTAAATATAATATACTCCATATCCCACAAGTGAGACAATACCTGTTCCCACCAACCATTTTTTCCAATTTGATCTCGTATATGGTTGACTATAGTTATAGTTGTAATTGTAGTTGGAGTATGTCCTCAAAGGGAATCTTTTCAACCCATTGAATCTAGGCTTGAAAGTCCGTAAATTCAGTCTAAGCATCACCAGTTGGTTTCGCATTTATTTCTCACTCATCTTTAAACTATGGTGGAGAGTAATTTACTTTCGGTATTTAAGCCCGCTCAAGCTAAGGATTATGAGTATCAAGAGTGTATTCCCTGCACTTCGATCCAAGCAATGTTATCATTTGTATTAGGAGGTTACTTACAAAGTGATACATTATTCAAAGAAAATGGGAAAATTGATTTGAAGAAACATCCTATAATGTGGCAGAAATCCGTTAAATTGACAGGTTTGGGGTTATTTGGGTTTGGTTTCTGGAGATTATATGAGGTTTATAATATGTATACCGAGAAAAGGTAGATGGAGAGGTTGATGGCCAAGAAAAGAGTCATCGTGTAAATAGATATCTAAACATTATTCATTATATCCACTCTGAAACTATTAAATTCTTATCTATTCCCATTCTGAAACTATTAAATTCTTATTCTTAACATTCAATTCATTATCTATCATCGTCACATTATCTCCAACAAATTCCAACCATGGACCATCCAAATCAACTGTAAGATTGGGGTAAGTATAGTTGAGGAACTGTTCTCTCTCTTCATCGATAGTACTGATTCTTCTTCTACGAAGGTTGGAATTAGGAATGGTCACATAATCTACCGAATAATCTCCATTAACAAGCATTGAACTTTCATTAATGGTAGGAGTGTGATGGCCAGACCCAACATTTGAACTCTGATCACTAATATCCACTTGATGTTGATGTAAATTCAAGTTATCCACGGTGAAGTCATTTATAAGACTCATTCCGTGAGCCAATCCCATAATATCATGAGAACTACCATCATCTTCGAACTCTTTATCGAATTCATAAGGACTTTGTATAGCTCTCAAAGCAATGAAATTATTCAATGGTAAGTAATACTTTTCATAGTTATACGACATAATCAATGTCACTGCCAATAACGGCAAGATTAGAATCGATAACAATAAAGCTCCTTCTAAAGCTAAAGTTCCAAACATGAACAATTGAAATAATGTTAAACCTAACATTAATCTACGGAATATAATGGGCCATACTTTCCCTGTAGAATGAGGTGGATGAACATAATTATACACCAATTGGTATTTGTATACCAAATACCCCAAAATGAAGTATACCAATCCTGAGGTAACAATCTTTGTTGATACCACAGAATAAATTACAATGATGATAAAGATAAGGATATGTTGAGGTAATTGGATACCAAAGTCAAACACTGGAGGAGTGAAATAATAGAATCGATAATCTCTAGGAGTTTTCAAGATCAAATCTTTCAAGAATAAGATCCTTCCGAAGATGTTTAAAAACACCACATCCCCGAATTGTAACAATCTTATGGGGAACATCCCCAATCCTTGTAAAAGAATCAAATCAATATAAAACAATGATTTCTTCTTTAAAGATGATGCTAATTGGTAAGGGATTTTGGCAGTATCTCTGATAAAGGAGAAGTAATCCCAGATAGTTCCTGTTATAATGAACACCAAGAAGAAATTGAAGAATATGTAAAAAAAGTTCTTCAGTAATGTTGATAACTCAACGTCACTATTAGACGAATACCCCTGGTGTTGTGACAAGAACCTATAAAAGTATGGTAATGTCAAGTTCAATAAGGAATATAAAAGTGGGGGTAAAATACCAGTGACGATAGTTGTTAGCCAATTAGATTTCTTAATGATTTCTCCCAATTCTGGCCAAATCTTAGAAATGGATTTCAAGTCCAATAATGTAGATAATGAAGTTACTATGAACAAGATCGGGAAATAACTCAAGATGATCACGAAGGTGATGAAGTAAGATTTGAATAACTTCTCATAATAAGTTAACTTCAAATTAGCCCATTTGATATCTGTAGGAGCTGGGGCTAAATTTACCATCAATTTATAAACTCTTGGATCTAACACCGTTTGTGCCGCCATTTGTGCTGAAGCTACACTATCCATAGTTACAAAAGCACATGGAAGTTGTTTAAAGATGGGGTCATCATGTAAAATCAAATTATTATTGAAATGTTCACGATAATTCTCCTGAATAGATTGAATCTCTTCATCTAAAGCTTTCAATCTCCCCATATATGTCAAGAACTTAGTGTCTTGTAAGTTCACTTGCTTTAAAATCTTCACAGTAGGCAAATCCCCCCGATAAATATTAATCTGGAGCTTGAATTTCCTAGCTAAGTATCTTTCGACCTTCCGAATCATTTTCTTCCGTTGAGATATCTTTTGATCTAAGGGCTGACAATCGTAAATCATCTTAATCTCTTCTACTTTACCAATACCTAAATCTTCAACAAAATCTTTCAAAACATCAGTGGTTTTCTGCTTTAATAACAGTTTAGGTAATCCATCAATCTTAATGGTCCTGTCAGTTATGGAATCTTGGGAAGCAAGATACTTTTGTCTAGCCTTAATGACTCTTTTAGTGTAATCATGGATATGAAAATAACATAAAATGGAGAAAATATAAGCAAACACCGGATAAACCCATAAGAATTGAGGGAAATCATCACCAAAATCAGGTATGGGTAAATCATCATCATCATCGGATATAATGACATTGGCCAACGGGAACTTATACCCGGTGATTTCCATAGCACTAGCAATCCATGGGATTTCATCTTTATCGTAATGACCAGTGTAATAATATCTTACAGGGCTTAAAACAAGTACAGCTAATACTGAAAATTGAAAGAATATTTTGATACCGAGCTTGAAAAACATAAGAAACACGTAAGCATCTAAACCACTGTATTGTAAAACTTCTTCATCTGTCATATCTACCACAACCAGGATCCAACCAAAGTAATTATTGGGTAAGATTCTCATAAGACTATTAGACTTCCTTAGTGTTCTAATAGCATAGATATGTGGCCATTTGTAACGAAGTAAACAGAATAATGAGAAGGATGATATACCTATCCAAAGACATAATATCAATTGTGTAGTGAAGACCCTTTGTTGACCTCTTAGAGGATCATATTCTGGTTCATCTATCATACTCGTCTAGATATTTCGCATAACATTTGAGTTTGACCTACCCTGCGCACCATTGCTGCATGTTTCCCTATTAGGAAGTCGAGATTTGGAATTGATAGGAAAAGAGCTGGTGGCATAGAAAGGAACCGTGGACTGATGATACAAGGGCTGTCGGGGTATCCAATATCACTGAAACATGAATGTGACTCAACCTTCAATATCCCTCCAATTTCCACTACTTATCATATCTGTAACACATCTCTATACTTTTATTATCTATCGCTGCGAAAAATCTAGCGGCTATGATTGCAACCACGGATTCAGTAACTTCGTTTTTAAGTATGTGTTCCATTCTAAAAGGGGAAAAGGTCATCAGTGATAAGACCTTGACCGATTTGAATGACTTGCTTCAAATTTTGGTCCTTGAAGATACCTTGAAGAGTAAAATTTTAAAATTTTTTGATGATCTTGATAGAAGACGTTGCAAGTCATGGTTATTGTTGATATTCATTCGATTCCCCTTGACGGAGATATATAACCTTTGGCAATTTCTCTTCACTAATGAAGTCTTGACGCCCGTTTGTTTGGAAGTTTTATTGAAAGATAGTTTACTTGAAACCAAAACTTCGTGGTTTTCCAGTATTATCCTTGTTAACAGAACCATCAAAAAAAGAGATTGTTCAAGATTGAAACAGTTTTACGAAACCATCAATGGTCAAAATCGTCTTTTGGAGAAATTAAAGAGAAACAGTGATTTAACTACCTGTCTCAACTTACTTAAGTTTGTTAAGATCAATGATTTCATGTTTCAATCGTTTAATTTGGACGAAAGGATCCTTTTTTTGAATGGCCATAACCCAGTGTTTAAGAATTTATACCAAATGAACAAAATTGAATGTAAAGTCGTTTCCGGCTTGAACTGTCAATTTCCTAATTTAATATTTGTTCATGTGGTCGATGGTGCAATGATTATTTGGATAAATTATAAAGACTACGTTATTGATCTAGCAAACTTATGTAATGTAACAAAAACAGGAGAAGGAAGACTCAAATTGGCTTTTAAACGTATAAGCGGATCAGACAGAGTTACTTTGATTGGGACAGCGGTAAAACTCCTTGAGATCGATTTGAAATTGAAAAATCCCAATCAATACTTTTCTCTTCACAAAAAGTTGAGTTTCAAGCAAATGAAGCCTAGGAGAGTTTCAGTATCATTGATACCTTTCGATTTGAGTAAGGTTGATACCGATTGGCTTTCAGGCTCAAAACCTTTGGCTGCGAAAAATACCCAAAGCTCAAAGTTATCAGCTAAAAGGAAAATCTCTGACGTGTTGGAAATGGATCTGAGTGTGAACAAAGCTTCATCTCCTCTAAAAAGTCAAAACCCAAACCCTCAAGTTCATGCGAAGGTCCTTAAAAAAGTAGAATTCGAATCTGAAAAGCCTGATGTCGATAGTGATGAATTAACAGTATTTTCGTTTGATGATATACCCAAGTTAGATTCGTTGATGAGAGATGTAAAGGAAAAACATGAACCAGAGGAATTTTTTGGTGTTCAGGAACCTATGAATTCCCCTAAGTCTAGTCAAATAAAGGTTGTTAAGAAAAGAAATTCCATCATTGGTAACTCAAGCGACGAATCTTCTGATGAACTTTCATCAGATTCTGAATCGAACTCAGACCAGATACATAATAAACCTATTCAAGTGGCTGAATCACAACAATTTCCAAGGGAAATATCAGCTCAAATGGAAATTCCTGAAACCCAAGATGATCATATTTCACCCAGTGTTAGCCCTATTGGACATGGAACCACAATATCTTCTATAAGACTGAATAAAGTGTTGAATTCATCCAAATATGATATAATTCAAGAGAATCTAAGCAACCTCAACACCAGTTTATTAGAAAAGATGAAATCTTTTGAGAATGAAATTCTAAACAAACAGAATGAACTCAATAATGAACTTGAAGAAAAATTCAAGGAAATATTGGCAAATCATAATGAAAACTTAGATAAATTGAATGATTTTATAGATCTTAAAAAGAGCCAGATATTCAATGTTAATGACTGATCACAAGGAATTAATGTTTATTTACAGTTATTTATTCTTTATACTCCAAGAATTTAAATACACTATCTTTAAATTCTTCAGGATTATCCATATAAAGATGGTGTCCAGCGTTATTTAAGATTTTGAATCCAGCCATGCGACTTATTCCTTGTTTTTTAGATAATTCATTTATTTCCAAAGCCATCTCTCTACCAGCTTCTACATTCATCCAATCTTTATCACCGTACATCCATAAACTTGGAAGATTATTCTTTGCAAGGAATTGAGGCATTCTATCCATTAAGGGCAATCTGGCCAATGCCCCTACTCCCAATATCCTCGTAATTGCAAATTCTCCCGATCCTTTAGCGTTGAAAATTCGGTAACAATAATCATGAATCTTGGTATAAGCATCTGGTTCATCTACATAATGTTTCAGGAATCTTCTTGATGTCCACGCACTTATGAGTCTTGATCTGAAAGGTCCCAAATTCCTTACTAAACCTAAGGGACTGATATTATGATTCCATAAGTATCTGACTAAATTTATACGGAAACTCTTTGGAGCATCTTCGTCTTCTTCAAGAAGTAAATTTTCATAATTTGGATTGATTTGGGGTTGGTCTTTTATCGATGTAGTTTCATCGTTTTCATTTTGTTTAGCAACTCTTGAATCATCAAAGTACGGATTGGGTAAGTTTTTGAGAAGACTATGTCTATTCCTTTCCACTCCAACAGGACTTACTAACACTAATTTATTCAAAATAGGATTTTGAATTTTATGATATTTCATGGCATAACAACTACTCAAATAACCACCAAAGGAGTGGCCAATTAAAACGAAATTATTGATCTTCCTTTTGATCCTCCATTCTTCAAGAGAATCGATAAACCAATTTTCCACAGCTTCTACTTGTTCTACAGTGTCGTTTTTAAATTTAGGAAATGAAGGTCTTGCACTTAATCCGAAACCTAATAAATCGATAGCATGGATCCTAATCCCTGGAATACTTGATAAGTGGCCAAAGTTGAATAAGAAAAGTCCTAAACTAGCTCCATATCCATGCACAATGACTATATCTTTGACTTGATCTTTCAATCCTAATGCTTGACCATGAGTTGTTTCAGTTTCAGTGTTTTCAATATAAAATTCATGGATGAAATTTTTATCACCCACAGGAGTGTCTATTATTTTGGCAGTTCTTTTACCATCAGATTTGGGATAAAATGATAACATTGATAAGAATTGGTGTTCAATTTCCTGATCAGAAACTTTCCAACTATGTCTTAACCAATCTTTGAAAGAATCACCATAAGTCTTGGGGAACATCTTTTCATTCTTGTCTCTATTCTTTCTGGCATCCTCACCATATTCAGGAGTGATTCTTCGTAATTCATCAACTTCTACTTCAGTACTTGACATTTTCACAATTGTTTTTGCCTGGGAGTCGGTGTTATTTATATAGAGTGACGCACGGAACCTGGATGCGATTTAAGTTTCCGTATTCCAGCACTGAGACAGTGGCAATCGCAGAATTTTGGCAATAAATGAGTGAAAGATGGTGAAAAATTCGATGATATGGTGATCATTTGGTCCTGATGATGTATATATTACATTGACTTTGGCGTTCCGGTAATGAAGGTAGATATTCAATAGTATTGCTCGTGGCTGCAAATTCGTGAAGCGGTGGAAATAAGTCTCAACGACACCCGTTTGGGAAATGCCCGATCGCAGCCTTTCCTTTTGATCCGCCGATTCCATAAAGCACACATCCATTTTATATTTCGTTAAAGGCTGTGGATCATACATTTGTTAATATCTTTTGATGACCTTTTTGTTATGATATGTTATCTAGGTCGTGTGCGGCTCGGCTCCATCTCTGATAAGATAACATAATTTATGTCACTATGAATCATCGTAAAGGGAATACGGATGCAATGGAGACATGCTGGTATTGCCTGTTGTTTGTTCGTATGGTTATTGGAATAATGATTTTGTAATACATAGAAAATGCATTTTTCAGATAAATTAGGCAAAATAGTAAAAAATTATAAAACTTGCAAAATTTAAAAAAAAGAAATTTCTAGGAAGATTGACCAGACAGTCCTCTTGCATTGAATTGAACAGCACCTATTGCTTATAAGTGTATGCGTTAAGAGATTGAATGTCAATTGATAAGAGTAATGTTGGAAGAAGGGGAACTCCCATAATAGACCATTCATCTTGAATCTTTAACGAACACCACACCCCTGGTTTGTATCTAAGAGTTCCCTACACATAAGTATCTATAAATACTCTCACCAACGCGTACCAACCTTACTTTCTCTAATTCACATCCTTCGTATCCACATCCTGACATTTAGCAGCCAAATCCGCACCGCACACGACCATCACTGTTGAAGATTTTTTCTATCAAAAAAGTCGTGTGGTGACAACAACTAGATTTTTGAGAAAATGAAAAAAATTTTAAACCATCTGAAAAATTTTCATTTTAAGTATATTAAATAATTAAACAAAATGGTATGTTCAATCAATGAAAAAATTTGATGACAAGTCATGATAGTATATGTTAGGAAGATAATTCAAGGTGCTTACCAGTGAAAGAACATTGGAATTTCTACAAGTTTTCGTTCATTTAAAATTGATTCCAAATCAACCCATTGTTAAACCCTTGATATTCATCAAGTGATTGAAAAACTTTCGAATTCAACGTCAGGACCGTGTCTAAGATGGAAGACAGCCAATGGTTATTTGAGAGCATATGCCAATCATCTAAATTTCATAAAATGCCCGTTTGAATTTCAAATACTAACTATTTTAGGATACTAAAACTCCAGTTACTTTAGCTAAAGTCATTAAAGTCTTAGGTAGAACCGGTTCAAGAGGTGGTGTTACTCAAGTCAGAGTTGAATTCTTAGAAGATACTACCAGAACTATTGTCAGAAACGTCAAAGGTCCAGTTAGAGAAAACGATATCTTATGTTTAATGGAATCAGAAAGAGAAGCCAGAAGATTACGTTAAGCAATAATGATTTATCAACAACAAAAGTATTATATAACATCATCATTTATATTGTAATAAATTATAATATTTGATTCTATTCTATTTTTTCGCAGTCACGCGTCACGTGAACTCTGAGGGCACAAACCCGCATTTTTTTCTAAATGTATATAGAATGGTAGGAACGAAGGATGAAGAGAAGCAGATAGCTACAAAGGGATGGATGATGTAGGAGGTGAAAAGGAATTTTTGTAAACGGGTCGAATTGAATGTTGAAGGGAGAAAGAAATTAGTGTCAGCTTGAGAATACTCAACAGTTCACTATATGATTGGTGAATACAAAGAGACATAGAGATTCAAGTGTTGATTTACAGGGTCTCAGATGTTTGTACTAGCTAACAGTACTAGTTAATACAATGGAAGATGTTGGACTTGTCAGAGGGAAGCTTCAGCAGCTCTCATGGATGTTAAAAATCACCGTATGAGTGAATTTTCAAGTTGACAGTTCAATTCACTTCTTTCCAAACCACACATTTAGCCCAAAACCACCTTCAAACCGCGCAAACACCCTCTTCCACCACCTCTTCTACCACATCCCTCACATCCCATCAACCTCACCAAAATTGAGATTCGCAAAAGTTCAACACTCACCATGTCTGACTTAGATGACGATTTATTAGCTTTAGCTGGGGTTACAGATTCCGAAGATGAATCACCAAAACGTAAATTCGAAGATGTAGAACCTGAAGTTAATGAATTGGTCAACCCTTACCCTTTGGAAGGTAAATATAAGAATGAACAAGATCGTGAACATTTATTAGATATGGATGAAGTTGAAAGGGAACAAATCCTTTTCGATAGATCCCAAGAAATGGAAAGATATAATGAAAAGAAGTTCTTACAAGATAGATTGAAACAACAACAAGCAGACCAAGCGGAAACCAAAGCCACCAGAAGTAGTAAAAGAGCCAAAACTGTGGGAGGAAACAATAAAAAGACCTCTCAATTGAGTGAATTAAGAAAACAAAGAGAAAAGAAAAACCGTCAAAGTTATCTGGACGATGAAGATGATGAAGAAGAGTTTGATGAAGAAGAAGACCAATTGGATGAAGATGATTTAGATGTATTAAGTGATGAATATGAAAGTAAAAGTCATTGGAAAGAAGCTACCACTACAAGAAAACCAAGAAGTTACGTAAGAGCTGAATTCAAAGATATTGGAAAAGTATTCATTGGAAGAAGTTTCATGTTAAAATATTGTTTCTATCCTAAATTTGAAGAAAGTATTGTTGGATGTTATGGTAGAGTTAACTTAGGACCAAATCCAAGAACCAGAACTCCAAGTTATAGAATGGTCAAAATAATCGGTGTTGAACACAGACCTGATAAGAAATATAAAGTTCCTAATTCCCAAAGTGATTTGTATATATTGGTTAGTCAAAATAAGAAACAAACTAAACATTTCCCGATGAGTGTTTTCTCAGATAGTTCAATTCAAATGGAAGAATTCAATAAATATTTGAATGAATTGAATAAGAATCATGAAGATATTGAATATACTGAAGAAATTAATGAAGTATATGAAGAAATTTCAACTAACTTGACAGAAAAATCATTGAATGATAAGGAAATTAATCAAATGATTGAGAATAAACAAAAATTAAGTAAGAATTCTAATGGATTTGATGCAGTTTTCCAAAAGGCTCAAATTTTGGATAAGTTAAAGATTGCTAAACAACAAAACAGATTTGAAGAAGTCAAGAAATTATCAGAAGAATTGAATAAATTGGAAACTTCATTAATTGAAACTAACAATAAACAAAATGTTGCTAACAATTTGAGTTCTATGACCAAGGTTAACGAAAGAAATCGTAAATTGAATTTAGAAAACATTAAAAAAGCTGAATTAAAATCTCATAATTTGAAGAGGTTAAATACCGGTAATGATGACGGTAATCCATTCTTAAGATTGAAAACAGTTACAAGAGTATTCTATCAAGATATAATCAATTTGGAGAATGAAAAAGCAAGTAAAGATGCCAAAATCAATTACGAAAAATTAATTAAAGAAAAGGAACTTAATGAAAAGAAGATTGCTGAATCAAGTTATAGAGTTTTAGGAGTTATGGATGAATTAATTAATGAAATAGATGTGGATTTCGAAGATATAGTTGTTTAATGTACATTAAAGGTTAGTCTCTTAGTTGATTTAAGATATTATAAGACCAATTTTCAAAGTATTGATTGTGAGTTTTGGATAGATAATCATTATGAGGATTCTTCATGCACCCTAAACTGTCATATAATTCATAGTCATTACCTAGTTTGGCTACCAATTCCATATCATGTTGATTGATAGCTTTTATTCCGTAGATATATTTCTTATCCAATTCAATGATCCAGGGTTCATCTTTGATATCGTTATTCAATACATTAACCCAGTATACCAAGTTTGGTTTCTTTAAATGAGCTAATTGATGACGCATGAGTTGATTTATAACAGTTTCATTAAATTTTATCTTCTCTTTCACTAATTTATCGTTGATTCTTATGTAAGCCGCATAAACTAAAGCACAAGCTAAATACCAATCACTCTTCTTGGAGAATTTATGACGTTTATTGATGAAACATTGAATTATGTGTTTTGTGGTTGATGCTGGGATGTAGAAATTTTCACAAAGTTGAATTAATTGGGGGATATTTATATTTTCCACATTATATCGTACAGGTTTTCTAGGACTTTTAGTAGGTGATTTTTTAGGTGATGATTTTTTCGTTAAGAAAGGATTATCTTCGTCAATCTCTTCATTAGCGTCCGATTCGGACTCTGCTGCCAATGCTTGTAATTTTTTCAAAGGAGATGATCTTGAAGGAGTGGTGATGGTGGTTTTATTGGTCCTTCTTTGACTTAAAGGTGTTGAAACTAAAGACAATGGAGATCGGGGTGAACTGCTACCTGAGATTTCATTCAAATAGCCACGGAACTCATTAATCAACTTGATTGTAGTTTTCGATGGTAAAGGGATCTTATTGATTTGTGGATCAGGTAAATTTAGACTATGAAGATACTTCTCAATAGTTAAGTATGCACAGATATGATATCTTACGATTTCGTTTTTATTTAAGGACTTCCCTTTGGAGATATTATATAATCTTTCACAAAAAGATGTTAGTTGAGGTAATGTCGAAGGTTCAATTCCGGGTGCTATATCATTTATGGCCGACTTTATAGGTATTTGGCTCATTTGCTTGATAAGTGCGTACAGGTATTTTTTTTATCTGTGAGACTTGGAGTTGAGTAGTGGACTTACCAATAAATTAGGGCCAACCAGAAAGTGAGAAATTTGAATTTGTCAATTTGTTGATGATGATTTCGAATAAATTACTTAAGAATATCCCTATCAGAACTTTCCATTCATCAAGTAAATTGTTGAAAACCACTCCAGACATTTATAGAGAATCTGGAGTGCCAAAAGAAATAGTATCAGGAGCCCCTAGTTATTTAACTGAAAGAACTGTTAGAATCTTTAAAGAATCTAAACCTGCTACTCAATCAAGTAATAATAATGGTAAAGCATGGAAAGTTGATTGGGACATTATCGGAAAGAAGAATAGATGGGAAAATGATTTAATGGGTTATCAAGGAACTGCCGATGTTATGAATGCTACTAATATGAGATTTGATAACAAAGAAGCAGCTATAAAATTCGTTGAAGGTCAAGGTTGGGATTACTATATTTATGAACCAAAAGAAAGAAAATTCAGAAAGAAGGATTATTCTGCTAATTTCTATCATTCATACGGTCCTTTAAAACATATTAGAACTAAATAATTGCATGTATACTATCATTGAGTATCTTTAATTGGGGTAAAATGAAGTAATGGAGTAGTGAGCTAGACTGCCAGACCATTGGGGACTGTTGCATCATGGAACTAATAGATTTGTTTTACCATTGGGACCGATTTACCGTAGGAAACCGTTATTTGACAATCTGGTCTGGGGGATTACACCATCTATCATCCAACCCTTCAACCCTAATATCCTCTAATCTCTTTGGATCTCCATTCCACCACCTCATCTTCACCCCTCCACCATCTTCAACCTCAATCTTATCGCGAAAAAACATACGCATCAGTTATTCATGTCCTATAACAACTATCGGCATAATACCTATTATAATGGTTATCGACTGAGTTATAATGGGTACCTGGGATATGATAAGCCAGGAAATGGCCCCGGTACACCTAATGGATCAAATAGTTATAGACCTTATAAATCATACCCCTCCACCTCAGGTCCAAAAACTGATAAAGTTGATAAAACTCCTTCAACTGATGATACTACTGGCATAAAGAAGAATGAGTTGACAGGTACTAACATGATAACCGGGGAAAACAGCCACGATAGTCAGTTTGACAAACTTTTGATCCATGCAGATTATTTAACCTCTAAGCTTGAAAAAATCAGAGATCGTGATATTTCAAGGAACTTTAAAGTGGTTTATGATCCTGAATTGGATAAAGCTTTAAGTAAAAGTGAAAAGAAGGCCAAATCTAAGAAGTTTCACAGAGTTCAAGACTTAGTAGAAGTTAAAGATCCAAGATTAACATTCAATGGAAAATTAGAATCTTACTTGAATAAACCTAACAAAAGATCAAAGAAATTCCCCTTTAAACAATTACCACAAACAAAATTCGTTTATGATGAACATTCTTTAGGTGCTGAACCTTTGAGTGAATTAGTTATTTGGGATTTACCTTCGAACATCAATGAAGTTTATCTCACTAACTTTATTCAAAGATTTGGTAATCCTATAAAAGATTTGAAATTTGTCAATGATGAAGAGAATGGTGTACCGTTGGGGATAGTTACGTTTAAATTTCAAGGGAATCTTGAAAAATCTTCAAGATTAGCCAATAAATTGATAACTGATGCTGCTAGATCAGGTATCAAGTTAGATGGAATTAAATTGAACATCGGATTAAATGATCACGACAATAAGTTACTCACTTCAAAAAGGAAGTTGGCAGAAGGTAAGTTAAGGGCAGAAAGACAGAAAATTCAAGAAGAAGAAAGAGCTAAATTCGAAGAATTAAAGAAGAAAAAGGAAGAAGAATTGAAAAGGAAGGAACAGGAACTCAAAGAGAAAGCTAAAGAAGAAGAATTCACCAAAGAGTTAACCCCAAGAGATAAAGTTGAAACCAACATCACCATAACATCCATTAAGAATAATAGACGTAAAATCTCAGGTTATCATTTACCATCTGACCTTAACAAATATATCAAAGATAGACCTTATATCATCATTTATGACAAATATTTATCTACCAAAAGAGTGTCATCACAAGATTTGAAGAAGGTGTTGAGTAAATATAATTGGACAAGAATCTTATCAGATAGATCAGGGTTCTTCATAGTGTTCAATTCTTTGAAAGAATGTGAACGTTGTTTTTATAAAGAAGATGGTAAGAGAGTGTTTGAGTATAACATTTTCATGGAATTGTGTGTTCCTTTAAATTTCAAAGGAGATTCTAAGAGCAATAAAGAGAATTCTGATTCAGTTAATGAAGCTACTAATATGTTGATTAAAGATTTCGAGAGTTATTTAACTAAAGATATTAGAGAAAGAATCATAGCACCAGCAATTTTGGACTATTTAAGTGATGATTTATACCCAGAAATCATTAAGGATTTGAAAGCTAAAGAAATTCAAAAAGTAACACCAGTTGTTTCTAACGATACTTTAAAAGAGAAAGCTTTGTCGATATTGTCATTACAAAAGAAGACCGTTCTTCCGTCATTTAGAAAGAAAATTACTGCACCAAAAAGATTAGGTATTTCCAAATTGAATGATAAAAAGAAAACCATCATTCCAATGCTGCATGCCCTTAACTTTGATAACGAAGAAAGTGATAGTGATGAAGAATCCTCGAGATCATTGACTCCTGTAGCTCCATTGAAAAGACAAGTTAGTGAGACCAGTATTGAAGAAGAACCTAAAAAGAAGGTCAGACGATCGTTCCTTTATGATTCTTCTGATGAAGATCAGCCAGAAAAAATGGAAATTGATGAGGAGATTGGTGAGCAGGATGAAGAAGCTATTGAAGATGATAAAAATGAAGTTGATTATTCACAACTTGAAGAAATTTATCAACCAACCTTTGACTTCCCTCGTCCAACATATGAAGGCTTCATTCCTAAAAGGTCAAAATTCGATTTATCCCAATTCCAAGATTTTATCAAAGATGAAGAAGATTTCCAATTGGTCAAAGAACTTTATAAGGATGTGATCCCTGCTTCAATCAAGAACATTGAATATTGGGCATGGAAATTGAAAACCGGTGGTAATGAAGGTTTGGTTACCGAAATAGATAATGATGTAGACACTTTACCTTCTCAGTTCAATTCAGTTACTGGATCGTTCAAAAGTGATGGATACAGAAAGATTAATGATAGTGATAAGATTGCATACTTACCCCATAGAAAGAAGATCCATAAACCAATCAAGACCATTCAACATGAAGGTGATGATGATTTTGAAATGGAATCAACTCCTTCTTTGACCACCACCAATAATAATACCAACAATACCAAAGATACCAATCAAAACCAGAACCATTCTTCGAGAGTTAATAGAGCAAATAATAGAAGATTGGCTGCTGACATCAGTGCCCAAAAACAAATGATTGGTTCAGAAAGTGATATTTTGAACTTGAATGCTTTAGCTAAACGTAAGAAACCAGTAACTTTTGCTAGATCAGCTATTCATAATTGGGGTTTATATGCATTAGATCCAATTGGAGCCAAAGAAATGATTATTGAGTATGTCGGTGAAAGTATTAGACAACAAGTAGCTGAACATCGTGAAAAATCTTACTTGAAAACTGGGATTGGTTCATCATATTTATTCAGAATCGATGAGAATACTGTTATTGATGCCACTAAGAAAGGTGGTATTGCAAGGTTTATCAATCATAGTTGTAGTCCAAGTTGTACCGCTAAAATCATTAAGGTTGAAGGTAAGAAGAGAATTGTTATTTATGCCTTGAGAGATATTGAAGCTAATGAAGAGTTGACCTATGATTACAAGTTTGAAAGAGAAACTAACGATGCTGAACGTATTAGATGTCTTTGTGGGGCCCCTGGGTGTAAGGGTTATTTAAATTAGTCATATCATGAATGTATATTAGATATTCACTCTCCTATTTAGTACAGTACTTTCCTTCTACTTGAGCTAGTTGGCTTGACAGCTTCTTTGAGCTTAGTCGTGAATGGTTTGGTTGTCAGCTCCACCATTAACAACTTGAGCATTGACAAGTAGAACATTGGCATGATTCACAGCTACATTTGGTACATTGACAAGTTTTGCAACTTTCACAATGACAGTTAGTACCACAGGCACATGAGTTACAACAGTTATTTGGGGCCATTTTTATTGATTTGATATTTGATATTGTTTGATAGATAATAGAGATCAAAGGGTTCTAGGAGGGTTTATATAGTTCTTATTGCAGCAATAATGACTCAATATAGCATAAACTACGCATGGAATTAGTGTAGCGTAAAGGACTCATAGCGTAAAAAACGCATAGCGATAACAACGCAGTCTTGGCTAGGTCACGTGACCAAAGAGTTCTGAAGGATTCTTTGGTGGTGAAACGTTCATTATGTGATCGTTATTATGTTTTTATTGACCAATGGCTATTTTCGTTCGTTGCATTCCACCTAGTGCCTCCTCCATGGGGACCAGCAAATGCATACAAACTGATTCGATCTATTTGATCTAAGAGCTGCGAAAAATCTCCATTTGGTTCGTTATGAGACTAACGAATATAGTCAAAATCCCAAGACTATTGCCGTCAGTGGTGACTAAAATCCACTTGAGACCCACAAATATCCATAAAATCAGATCATATACCTCGGCCTCGAGTTTCCTGTTAGAATCAGACTTCAAAGGTGATGATTTAATAGCTCCAAGTTGGGACATGGGTGGTCAAACTGCAAATAACAGTATGACTCCTTTATACTCATCCATGAAGACTTTGATAGATAAGAATCCCGACGCCGTGTGTCTCATTCAAGTGGGAAGTTTCTATGAACTTTACTTCGATCATGCACGTATTTATGGTCCTCAATTAGGTTTGAAGGTTGCCGAACGTAAAACCAGTAATTATAATATCCCAATGGCCGGGTTCCCTGTTCATCAATTACAGAAGTTCGTGAAGTTATTGGTCCAAGATATTAGTGTAAATGTTGCCATCATCGATCAATACCCAGGGTTCCAATCTGATAACGAAAAGATCATTCATCGTAAGATCTCTAGAATCATCACCCCAGGAACTTTAGTAGACGAGACTTTTATGAACTATAACGAGAATAACTATCTTTTGGCGATATCATTTCCTCCACAGATACAAAAACAACCTGTAGATATAGATACGGTGGTGGGACTTTCTTGGATTGATGTTTCGGTGGGGGATTTCTACGTTCAACAAACAACTTTGGGTAATTTGATATCTGATGTATCTCGTATTGGTCCTAGTGAAATCATCATGTCCAAAGATGTGGAGTTGGATGAATTAGTATCGTGGTATCAACCATTAATGGATTTGAAGAGATATTTCTTGAGATACCATAAAACCGTGTACCTGGATTTGAAATTATCATTTGGGGTTAACGAAACCCAGGTCAGACAAGTAGTTGAGACATTTGAAGTCAGAGAAGAAGCCGCTATGAACATGGTATTAAGTTATGTCAATGTGAATCTCCCTGAGCGTAATCCTTCATTGGACTTACCTATTAAATATTGGAATGAAAGATACTTGAGAATGGACTCCAGAACAAGAGATTCTTTAGAGTTAGTGGAGAGAAATGGATATAGTGGTAAGAATCTCTCTGTGGGGTCATTAATGAATACGATCAAAAGGACGGTAACACCTTCAGGAACCCGGATGTTAACTGAATGGATCAAGTCTCCTATCTTGAATGTGAAAGAGATCAAAAATCGTCAAGATTTTGTCAAATTCTTTAACAATGAACCTCACCAAGGGTTGGTGATTGAAGAGATGTTGAAGAAACTTGGAGATTTCGTGAGGTCAGGTCAAAGATTGGCTCTTGGAACCGGTGATATCGTCACCAATTTGAAAACTTTGGCTGATGGAATAAGAATAACCCATGAATTGCGTAATTATTTATCCAGCAACAATGTAGGGAACACTCTCATCGAGGAACTTATTCAGGAACTCGATGTGCCCATTGAATTGAGTGATGTTATCGATGATACCTTCTTGGATCCTTTTCATCAATTGTCCGATGAATTGGAAGAGTTCAGAGAATTCAAAAGCCATTTTCTGGTAAAGCCTGATCATTCTCCTGAACTAGTGGAGCTACACACTCAGTTATCAGCTTTAAGGGAAGAAGAAGGTAAGTTATTCAAGAAGATAAGGAAAAAGTTGGAGAAAGTCGATGAGAAGTTGAATATCCAGATCAAACCTCAACATGGTAAGTTCAATGACGTTATCTATGTGTCAGGTAAAGCTAAGCTGATAGTAGAAGTCAACACAGCTTTTGAAAAAGACCTTAAGGAAAAACGTAAAGGTCTGGTACTCATCAAGCCCAAGAAATGGCATGTCATCCAACTGGACCTAAATGGTATAATAGAAGGTATTCAAATCGCAGAAAAGATGATTATAAATGATTTGAAAACCCAGGTGATATCCCAATTGACAAGGATAAGAAAAGTTAGTAGGAGATGTGATTTCTTGGACATCACCCTACTGTTCCTGAAATTGTCCAAAGAATTCAATTTAGTGTGTCCTGAGTTCTTAGATGAACCTAATTTGGTCATTAAGGACGGAAGACACATTGTGGTGGAGTCCAGTTTACGTAATATTGGTACGAATTTCATAGACAACGATACCAACTTGACAACTGAAAGATGTTGGATAATCACTGGTCCAAATATGGGAGGTAAATCGACATTTTTACGTCAAAATGCTATCATCACCATTTTGGCCCAAATAGGGAGTTTTGTTCCAGCCTCGAAGTGTGAAATAGGTGTCGTGGACAAGATCTTTACCAGAATTGGAGCCCTGGATGACTTGTTCAATGATTTATCAACATTCATGGTGGAAATGATTGAAGTATCTAATGTTTTGGCCAATGCTACGCCCAATAGTCTCGCCATAGTTGATGAAATAGGTAGAGGTACCAGTGGTAAAGAAGGGTTAGCTGTAGCCTATGCTTCCTTGATAGGGTTATCTGCTCGATGTAGAACTTTATTTGCAACTCATTTCGGTAGAGAATTACAATCCTTGCTTCAAAAAACCACTAACGAGGTTCATGAAAAAACCACCAACGAGCTCCAAAGAGAAACCACCAACGAGCTTCAACTGGAAATTGATTTAGCCAAATCTAAGATAGGTTACTACAAAACTGGGGTTGTAGGAGATAGCATCGATAGTCACTCGGATATAATTTTGGATCATAAGCTCTCCAAGGGGATCAGTGAAAAAAGTTATGCCATAGAAATAGCCAAAGTATCTGGATTCCCTGAAAAGAATATAAGACTAGCCAAACACGCTTTGGCTTTGATAGATAAAGGAAGTACATAGATCATGCATATATTTTAGATTCTAGACTCTATTGTTGGTTTTGGTTTTGTTGATTTTGGTTCTGTTGGTTTTTAAGTAATTGTTGGACCATTTGAATTTGCTCTGGTGAAGCATTAGACAACGCAGCATTCAATTGTTGGTTAGTGTCGTTAGCATTCATAGGTTGGCCATATTGAGGAGGAAATTGGGAATATTGTTGAGGAGGATATTGTCCATACTGATTATATTGAGGTTGAGGATATTGCTGGAATTGGGGTTGTTGATAGTTAGGAAATTGGTTGAAGTGTTGATATTGTCCATAAGGTTGACCATATGCTGGTTGAGGAATGTGTTGAGGGAATGTGTTGTAAGCTTGTGGTTGGTTGTAGGATTGAGGTTGTGGATTGTATGGTTGAGGCTGTCCGTAAGCTTGGGGTTGGCCATATGATTGGGGTTGAGCGTAAGCTTGAGGTTGGGAGTAAGGTTGTGGTTGTGACTGTGGAGGTTGTGAAGCCTGTTGTGAAATTTGTGGTTGGGTGTATTGAGGAGGTTGATAAGGTATTGGTTCTTTAGCCACTTTAGGTTTTTTGTCTTTCTTATCGTTTTTCTTTCCTTTTCTCTTCCTCTTTGCCATCATCTCTTGTTCATCATCAGAAAACTCTTGTTCATCTTCAGGAATCTCTTCGTCATTAAAATTTGAAGCATCCGATCCTTTACCTTTGATACTGTCAGTATAGACAAATTGAGAATCATTGACAACATAGAATACTTTATCACCTTTAGTTACTTGTTGCTTAATCGATTCATAGGTTTCCAAATCGTCATCGTTGAACTTAATTCTATAGATAGGCTTTTTCAAACTACCGAAAATTTCGAAAATGGGCCCAAGAACAGTGGTTTCAGTACACAAAATGGAAGAGTCTTTCAAAATTCTGAATTCCCCCGATATAGACCCTTGAATAATGATTGAGGAATCAATGAATGATGTCACCTCACCTAAATATTCAATGGCTTTGTTTTCTTTGGTATAGTTTTCAGGCAATCTCGGAGCTTGCTCATTGAGAACTTCATTTTTGGATGTGATGGGTTTGTTAGATTCTGGTTCTTCATCTTCATCATGATAATCCGAGTCTGAGTCGTTATCTGAGACATCAGAATCACTTGACTCGGACTCGGACTCGGAATCTGAATCTACTTCAATGTCATCATCTGATAATTGAGGTATATCTTCTGGTTGGTTCTCTTTTGGATCGGATTGGTTTGTCTGTTCAGTTTTTTGGTCAGTTGGTTCGAATTGTTGACCAGTTTGTCCTGATTGTTCATCAGTTGCTTCGGAAATCTCTTCTATTTGTTCTGGCCCTTTTTCAGTAGGTTTACCTTCTAAATCATTAGATTCTGTTGCATTTCCAATTGTTTCTGATTTTTCAGTAGGTTCTTGTATTGGCTCCGAAACTTCTTGCTCAGTAGCAACATCCTCGGAACCCGCCACCTCTACTTCATCAGCATTGACTGATTCAATCACTTCCTTGTGTTCATCAACCACTACTTCACTCTTATCCTCTACTTTCACTTCTGAGCTCATCTTATCTATAACAATCATCTCATCGCATTATGTCTCTTAACTTACTCGAAAGATGTCGCAGATCACTAGAATGTCGCAAGAGGATTTTAACTATAAACGGAATTGATATTCCTTCCATTAATTCTCTGAAACAATCAGATCACGATTTAGAAGTTTCTTCAGTATACCCCTTTAAAGAAATAACCATGATTTAAAATACCTCAAAGCATGACGACAATAGAGTTTGGAATGAGAAGTCACTTCACAACAAGGTTTGAGGGTTTGTTATGACTATTTCAGGGGGAACATCAATTGGCAACACTTGTTATCTCCACTGAAATGTTTCACCTGAAGGTGTTTCACATTACTCGTTCCTCATATTAAATCATATAATTCATAATGTAATTAGTCAATTAATTTGTCAGATTGACTCAATTATTGAACTACTTACCAATCCTCTTACCTCCTAGCCTACATACTCTACCATGTGGTATCAGCAGTAATGTGCCATGTTCCATACCACCATAACTCCGCCAATGTTTCATGTTTGGGGCCGCGCACGACATGCTTCAGCCAAGTAAGTCTCAAAGTCTTGGGATGTTTATATAAATAATAAGAAAGTCCTAAAAAAAATTAGGTAAAGTTTAACATTGAATTATTCGTTCATTCCTTTTGGTTTAACCTGTCATTCCTTTATTATTAATTCTTGTTAACGGTATGTATAAATGAGTTTAGAGTGAATAGTATGTGAAAATTCGATATAATTACTAGAGTTTTGAACTTTGGATTTTGTCCCAAATTCGAGAAAGAAAACCAGGTTTTTTGACGATTTTAAAACGTTTAAACCGGGTTAAAAACAACTATAGGTAAATGTGGACATGTAGAACTTACTGGTCAATTCAATGACAGTGAAATTGGATCATTTGGTGGTCATTCAGCACATATTTCATGTATTCGTTGGTCATGAAAATAGGAGGTAATGGTTTGTTTACCTTTCCCGTTTATGCGACATTTACACGATTCTCGAGAATCAACAATGTAATGCGTGGTATATGTCGTGGATTGTGCACCTTCCCGCATGAGAAAAATTCGTCGTTTAGAAAATGCGACACGTTACGACATATCGTGACATTTGATAATTTTTTTCGTCTGGTAGTTGCGACACCCTCCGACATTATGTGACATTTTAACCAGCTTTTTTTTGCAGCCCCAGCATTACTTGCATTACCGATTGATATCATGATCCAGCAAAAGATCTAAGTTTGATTAGACCCAGCCTTTGATCCAGCATTCCATTTCCTTGCGTATAAATAGTTTGCTTTGACACCCAAATTCTTCAAATTTGTAAAATATTTATCCAACTTCATTCATTCTTTAGTCATTCTTTTAGTTTCACTACATTCATTCCTTTAAATAAAAAATAATTCATAATACTAATAAATTATAGATGAAAGTATCCAACTTATTATTTTTGATCAATTTATCATCGATTTTGTCTGCTCCTTTAGACTGTGATACAACTCAAGTTCACGCTCACCATAAACATAAAAGAGATGTTGTTTATGATTATGCTTATGTTACTGTTACTGTTGATGGACAAGGTAAGTTAATTGAAGAAACCACTTCTTCAACTCCAACTACTTCATCCACTCCAACCACTTCATCAACTTCAACTGTTGCTACTACTAGTTCAAGTTCAAGTTCAGTTGCTTCAACTACCAAAACTTCTTCAACTCCTCAACAAACTAGTTCAGGAAATTCACCACCTCAAGGTGATTTATCTGCTTATTCTGATCCTACCGAAGAATTCGAAGATGGTGTTCATGATTGTACTAGTTTCCCAGAAGGTCAAGGTGTTATTCCATTATATCACTTAGGATTCGGTGGATTCTCAGGTATTTATAATTCTGATACTTCAACTGGTGGTAAATGTAAAGAAGGTTCATACTGTTCTTACGCTTGTCAACCAGGTATGGCTAAAACTCAATGGCCTGAAAGTCAACCAGCTAATGGTGTTTCCGTTGGTGGTTTATTATGTAAAAATGGTAAATTATATAAAACCAACTCCAATTCAAATTACTTATGTGAATGGGGGGTTGAAAAAGCTTCAGTTAAATCTAAATTAGATCAAACCGTTGCCATTTGTCAAACTGATTATCCAGGTACTGAAAATATGGTTATTCCAACTGTTGTTGAAGGTGGTAGTTCATCCCCATTGACCACTGTTGATCAATCATCTTATTACACCTGGAGAGGTGGTTCCACTTCATGTCAATTCTACGTCAATGATGCTGGTGTTGATTGGCAAACTGGTTGTTCTTGGGGTAATGAAGGTGATGGTTATGGTAACTGGGCTCCATTAAACTTTGGTGCTGGTTATGCTAATGGTATTGCTTACTTGTCATTAATTCCAAATCCAAATAACCGTACTCCAATGAACTATAATGTTGAAATTGTTGCTGATGGTAGTTCATCAGTTTCAGGTCAATGTGTTTACGAAAATGGTAAATATAACGGTGATGGTACCGATGGTTGTACTGTCGGTGTTACTTCAGGTAAAGCCGTTTTTGTTTTGTATAATTAAATGTATTCTACTGTCTACAGGAAAAGAACAAATCTCTTTTCGTAAAGTTAATTCGTTATCTGAGGGTTATGTGAGGGTTTTCTAAAGATAAGGGTCATCGGTCTCAATTCCCTTTTGGGATTGAGGACCATGCCCACAGATGATAATTTTTAATTCAACAGTTAAAGGAAACTCTTAAGAAACTTTCCCTACCCAGTTACTTATCTATGTTATCTATGTTATCTGGGTTATCATAAGGTTTACGATGGTCATCTGATTCCAATTAATCTCCCTATTCTAAGTTTTCTTGGGAGCGATCGAAAATTCTTAGATTTGAAGAACCAATGAAAATCATAAGAGGTCACAAGACTTTGAGCTGAGGTGGGAAGATCGACCAATGAACGGCTTTTAGCTGGTCACCTTACTGACTCTAAGCAGTGACTCCATGAACCTTGACTCTATAAACCAAGACTCAAATGTTGACTCTTCAATTCGGCAATTTCAATCCATTTGGTTATGGAAAAATAACACCGGTCGGAAGTTGACCATGAGACTGTTCCAGTGGTAAATTTAAGGGATATTGTTATGTTTTAGCGAGAACCATTACCAAATTGGTAATAATATATTACATCCTAAAAGAGTTAAATTATCTCGTATGCCTCAGAGTTAAATATATGCTAGTATTCAATTATTATATCAATTGATCAACACCTGTACTAGGTATGCCAACCACTACCATTGACTCTTTGTAGCCTCATGAAAAATTTTTTCACGTCAAAAAAACCTTTACAGGTTAAAAATGCCTAAATCTCGTCAAAGGCATTATGAATTTACGGCGTTCCTCATCGTTAACCCTTTCTTCACGGAGCCAGATCAAGGAAATTTCCTGGTTTAACTGGTCAAAAGCTGTTGTTCAAATACTCTAATACCCTATCATATCACTACTATCTGATAAGAAATCCATTGTGCATAGTTTAGTCATTAAAACCTTTTTTTTTCATCCTCAAGCATACCAAAATTTTCAGGGACAAAAATTTCCTCATTGGATTAAAAAGAAATATCGCAGACTATAAAACCAAAGGTGAATCGCATCAAAATGATTTTTTTAATCAAGGGAAATGTCAGATTTAGAGAAAAGTCAAGGAAGTCCAAAGATGGAGGATTTCAAAACTTCATCAGTTCATTCCAATGATAAATTATTGAAAAATACTGAAGGTGAAGTTACCAGAGGTTTAAAAGCTCGTCATGTTACTATGATTTCCATTGGGGGTACTATTGGTACTGGGTTATTTATTGGTACTGGTTCTATTTTAGCTGATGCTGGTCCAGTTTCATCATTAATTTCTTTCCTTTTCATCGGTTCTCTAGCTTTCGGTGTTATTCAAGCTTTAGGTGAAATGGCTACTTATATTCCAATTTCTGGTTCTTTTACTCAATTCACTGCCAGATGGTGTTCTCCTGCTTTAGGGGCTGCTAATGGTTATTCTTACTGGTTTTCTTGGGCCATTACTTTTGCTTTAGAATTAACTGTTATTGGAGAAATTGTAGGTTTTTGGACTGATGCCGTTCCAACTGCTGCTTGGATTGGTATCTTTTGGGTTATTTTAACTACTGCCAATATGTTCCCTGTTAAATGGTATGGGGAAATCGAATTTTGGATTAGTTTCTTAAAAGTCGTAGCCGTCTTCGGTTGGTTAATCTATGCTTTCATTATTGTTTGTGGGGCTGGAAAAACTGGTCCAATTGGTTTCAGATATTGGAGAAATCCTGGTCCTTGGGGTCCTGGAATTTTAGTTGAAAACGTCAATACTGCTAGATTTTTAGGTTGGTTATCATCATTGATCTCAGCTGCTTTCACTTTCCAAGGTTGTGAATTAATTGGTATTGCTTCAGGTGAAATGAAATCTCCAAAATCTTTACCAAAAGCTATCAGATCCATTTATATTAGAATTATTTTATTCTATATCTTATCCATGTTATTCATTGGATTATTAGTTCCTTACAATGATCCAAAATTGAGTAGTGATGGTGCTTATTCTTTAGGTTCTCCATTCATTATTGCTATGCAAAATGCTGGTACCAAAGCTTTACCTGATATTTTCAATGCTGTTTTAGTTGTTACTATCGTTTCTGCTGGTAACTCTAATGTTTATTGTGGTTCAAGAATCTTATTCGGTTTAGGTCAAGCTGGTGTTGGTCCAAAATTCTTAACTTGGACTACTAAACATGGTGTTCCTTATGTTGCCGTTGCCATTACTTCAGCTTTTGGTCTTTTAGGTTTCTTAGTCGTTTCAAACAACGGTTCAACCGTTTTCGATTGGTTATTGAACATTACTGCTGTTGCTGGGTTGATCTCTTGGGGTTGGATTTCTGCTACTCATTTAAGATTCATGTCAATCTTAAAATCAAGAGGTATTTCAAGAGATTCTTTACCTTACAAAGCGGTTTTAATGCCTTACCTTTCACAATATTCTTCTATCACCATTTTAATCCTTGTTTTCATCCAAGGTTTCACTTGTTTCTGGGACTTTAATGCTTCAAAATTCTTTACTGCTTATATTTCAGTTATTTTCTTTGTTGCTTTATGGATTTTCTTCCATTTCTGGTTTAACGGATTTGGTCCAGAAGCTTGGAAATTATCTTCATTATTAATTCCAAAAGAAGATTGTGATATCGACTCTGGGGTCAGAGAAATAGATGAATATTATGTTGAACCTGAACCAAGAAACATCTGGGAAAAGTTCTGGTTATGGGTTGCTTAGGGTAATTAATGTATAATACTGTGAGTCTTTGCTCTTCATCAGCTCTCTATCGGCTCTTTAGGCGACTGTTCTTCCTGTTCTTCAGCCAACTGTTCTTCCTACTCCTTAGCCAACTATTAAAGAGACTAGAGAATTCCTAATTCATCTTTATATACACTATTTACATACCCTTTCTCACATAATACATATAAGCTCTCTTATGTACATGGGTTGGGAAAGGTGTGATGACTTCTGAATGTCCTGGTCTAGCAACTGGATCTCTTAAATAAATCCCATGACATGTAGCAAAGGAGATTTCAATATGTGAAGGTAAAATTGAAAAAGCTCCCAAGAAAGGTCTTGGAGTCCATGGAGTGAAATATGGTTTAGAAGGATCTTGTCTTCCAAATAAAGATTTTTGCCATGGTAAGTTGATTTTAGCTTTACTTTCATCTTCCATGATTTCATCTTTATTGATCTTTTCATGATATGTTAATTTTGAAGCAAATCCAGGATCATAAAATTTCGATGAATCTTCAGTTGATAATTTGGATTGTTCTGCTGATAATCTGACGGTTTCACTGTAAGATTTATTGATTTCATTTAAAATTTGTTTAATTTTAGACATGAATTTGAAATCTTGTGAGTTTTCATATTCATTGGATTTCTTGATAATTTGTTGTCTACATTGTTCAACTGAATTTTTAGTTAATAATGTATGTTTAGTATCGAAGATTCTTCTGTAAATTTCGAAACATTTTGATGCATTTTCTTTACCGTACAAAGAATTGAACACAGTTAAATCTTTTAATTCTTCACCTTTTCCGACTTTTAAGATTTTGGATAAAATGGATTCTCTGTTAACTTTCTTTTGGTCGTTCTTCATCTTATTATCGATATCTTTATTGATCTTTTCAATCATATTAGAATTATCAAATTCACTTAAAGTATCTAAAGATTTTGGTTTTAATTGTTTCAATTGCCAAACTTCACGAGGATTCTTTTTGGAATTCTTAACGTATTCATTCCAAACAATGATTTGTTTATTATCAACTTTGATACTTTCAGCTAAACTTGGTTTAGATCTTCCTAAAGCCATTAAAACTCTATCAGGTTTGACATGGAAGATATCTCCTGATTTCAAAGGGAAAGATGGATGTTTGATAGTTATACCATTGACTTCCACATATCCCCCTAAGATGAATTGTCTGGCTTGTCTTATACTTGAAGCAAACATTGATCTGAATAAAGCGAATTCCAATCTTTTCTCTAAAACAGCATAAGTTTGTAAAGAAACTGGAGTTTCTTCGACATTATTGTTCCCCTTTAAGGAAGCATCTAATTGGGCCACACTGTTCAAGTTTGGATCGAAAATTTGCTTCCATCTTCCTTCAGTTAAATGCTCACCATGATAAGCTCTAGTTTCTTGTTTGGCAGTCCATTTTTGTTGATATAATGATCTTCCTTGATGTCTGATTTGTGGTTTCTTATATAAATTGAACAAGTTATACTTATTCATCGACGCACGAACACGTCCTCTAGCTAAAGAGTTGGTATTAGTAGCTGGTCTAGGCATTTTCTATTAACCTTGAGCAGTAAAAATTTTTCACTTCGCGATTTCTGACCTATCTCAATCAACAGCATTGTGTGAGAGTGTTATGAAATGGACTGTTGATAATGAAATCCAATTGTATGGATTGATCTGTGATTACATACCTGTGGGTGAAAATAAGGATAAAAATCTAAAGATTTTGAGTGAAAAGATGAATGTCAAGTTGTCAGATCTAATAAGTAAACTTGACACCTTATATGATTTGAAATGGTTTGAAGAAGAGGAAGAAGAAGAGGAAGAAGATGAAGAAGAAGAAGAAGAGGAAGAGGAGAAAGAGGAAGTGAAGGTTGAAAGAAAAAGACCAGGTAGAAAGAGAAGACTTGAAGTTAAAGAAGAGAAACCTAAGAAACGAGGTAAGAAAGCTGAAGAACCTAAACCTACGAGAAGATCTTCCAGGAGAAGATAGAGAAAGTTTAAAGGTTATGTATTATAAATGTATCATAGTGTGGTAGTTCTTGGGGAGTGGCGTTGGCTCTAGTTGATCCTTCTGAATCTTTAGCTCATAGGGCTTGTCTTGACTCTTTAGACTATCTTGGGTCTTTGTATCCTCTTTGCTCTCTGGTCTCTTGACTCTTTGGCCCCAGTACTGTACACCTAGTGATCTACAGTCCACAGTCACGGTGACCTTAGTCAACTTCCTCGTCCTCCCATATTTCACACCAATAACAGCATCTGCGAAAACAGCCTTTCATGAGAATATCACCTAAACTAATAAGACAAGCCCGTCAAATCAATAACCTCCTACCGCCGTTGTTATATCCCAATAGATCTTTAGAACAAGCCCAACTAGAACTAAAATGGATCACTGAAGAACTTCCCCCAAATCAATGGGTTCAAGCAGTCAAGCGTAGAAGTTTATACGAACCATTGCAATATATCCTAGGAAGCCAACCATTCGGTGATTTGGATATTCTTTGTAGACCTGGTGTACTTATACCGAGATGGGAGACAGAAGAGTGGGTAAAGAGACTTTGCAACAGTTTACTGGGTCAACAATATAAAATCCTTGACGTTTGTACTGGATCAGGATGTATCCCAATACTTATGGATCATTTACTAAAACAGCGAGGGATTGATAGCAACATTGAAGCATTTGATATTTCCCCTATCGCAGTAGAATTGGCTCAGGAGAACGCTAAACTCAACCAATCATCGATAAGTTTCACCCAGAATAACCTTTTCCGAGTGAGAGATTTAGGGAAATATGATATCATAGTCTCCAATCCTCCATATATAACCAAAGATGAGTATGCGACCATTGGAAAATCAGTCAAATTGTATGAACCCCAATTAGCATTGATAGGAGAAACTGAGTTCTACGAAGCCCTTGTACATAACGTAGTCATTCCAAGTGAGTGTCATAGTTTTGTTTTCGAATTGGGGAATCAATCTCAAGCTGATATTGTCCAGTCCCTTTTACCTCACTGGAACATTGGAACCATGAAGGATTCCCAAGAGAATTTAAGATGTGTTATAGGGAGTAAGGATAAATCATTTATGACGTTATGCAATTAATAAATCTAATTTTCATCTATTTCAATGTCTTCTTCAGATTTGGTATCTTCAGATTTGATATCTTCAGATTTGGTATCTGAACTATCTTCAGTCTTTTCAACTTGAGGGGATTCTTCTCTTCTACGCTTACTTAAACCTCTTCCAACAGCTTGGATACCATTTTCTTGAGGTATCACTTTTGTACCTGTCAAAACAAAACCTCCAAAACCTCTCATTGTCATAACTGGATGTAACCTTCCCGGTATGGTTTGGAAAGGTGTGACTCTGGTTTCATAAATTGATGGGGCTAAGATTCGTTTATCATTCATTAAACCGTGTTGGATTTCCATCAAAGTCTCTTTGAATTGTGAATATATACAAATAGGTCTACTGCCTCCAACTAATGGAATGACATAAGGTAAGAATGTGGTGGCATCTAAGGTAGTTACCGATATAAACCCATCGAAATTACCAGTTTCTATGGAATCGATGACATGATTGATATCATTAGCTCTTTTCAATCTTCTGAAATATTGAGCTCTTTTACCTCCTCTTAAGCCAGATATCTGTTCATCAGACAAGACCTCGAAATCTATTCTTTCATTTGATGGTTCTAAAATTTGTAACCAATTGATGAATTTGACACTTTTATCCAAAACATCCTCAGGAATGTCACAATGTTTCAACATACTATAATTAGGATGTTCATTTTCATGTACCAATAACACCTCACCTTCAAATCCCATTTTTTCCAACATGGCATATAAAATTAAACCCCCAGTTTCATCCACTAATAAATATTTTCCACCAGGTCTTACATTGGAATAATTCAACATCAAACCTAAAGTTTCTTGACTCATATCCAATAATCTGTTCAAATCCTTCTCCATGTAATAGTTCATTAACTGAGCAGAGTTTAAATATTCCACGGTGAACCTTCTTAAAAATTTGGCTTGTTTTCTCTTTAAATACTTTTGTTGGGAATGAATGGTTTTCTTATCAAATCCTTCATGACCTTCAATCATTTTACTAATGATTAATTGCCCAATGTTGGAAGAAGCTCCACTCTCTTTCAACTCGTTTATATCTTCATGAGTCAATTTTTGAATCTTTGAACCGATATTTATGATGTTTTGATTATTTTCAGCACTATTGGAGAATATCTTGGTTAAGATATCTCTATCTAATTCTTCATCTTCAGGCTGTTCGATATTAACTTGCTCGCTCATACTTTTGATTGGAACTACAGTGCCATCATTCAAGATTTCAAAGGATTGTCCGAAACAATAGCCAACGATATCTTTAACCTCGAAGTTCCCAAACTTACCAAGACTAATCTTGCCATCGGTTTTTAAGTCAATAATCTTCATACCATCTGAAGGTAAACGAATCAAAGCATGTTGATTTTCCGTTATAATTTTCTTATTTTTGAACTCCATCTTCAAGATTAAGTATTAAAAGTGCTGTAAACTTTGAACTTTGCCTATGTTACAAGTGCTAATGTATCAAATACTTGAAAACTTCCCGGTGTGTAAAATGTACTGCACTGATGAGATGAGATAAAGTTCGCACCTCTGAGATGAGATAAAATAAAATATTTCAACATGGGAAGAAGAGCAAAGAATAAACAAGGATTACCACCAAGTTTGGATGAATTTCAAGCCAAGAAGGATAGAAAGGATAAGAAGTTGGAAAAGAGAAAGAGAGAAGAAAAAGAAGTAGTTGAAAAGGCCAAGAAACCTAAAAAAGTAGTTAAACCACAATCTGATGAAGAAGAAGAAGTATTTGAAGATGCTGAGGTTGATACAGCTAAGAAATCCTTATTCGATGATTCTGATGAAGAACAAGTTGGTGAAACCTTAGAAGACTTTGAAGGAGAATTAGATGACGAATTCGATCAAGAAGAATTCGATCAAGAATTTGATTCTGACGAAGAAGGTAGAGAAAGACCAATGTTTTCTGATGATGATGAAGATGAAGAAAACTTAAATGCTGTTAACATGGAAGCTTTATCCAGAAGATTAGATGAAGAAGAAGAACTTGAAGCTGAAGAAGCTGAAGCTGAATTAGTAGATCAATCAAATCAACCAAGAGCTAAAATCTTACCTAGTGAAGAAGAAGAAGCTTTAATGTCTAAAGGACCTCAAGACGTTACTATGGTTAGGACGAGGATGATCGAAGTTGTTAAAGTCTTAGAAAACTTCAAAGAATTGGCCGAAGAAGGGAAATCTCGTACTGAATACATTTCAAGATTAATTAAAGATATTTGTGAATATTTCGGATACAATGAATTCTTAGCTGAAAAATTATTCAATCAATTTTCACCATCTGAAGCTATGGAATTCTTTGAAGCTAATGAAATTGCTAGACCTATCACTATTAGAACCAATACTTTAAAAACCAGAAGAAGAGATTTAGCTCAAACTTTAGTTAATAGAGGGGTTAATTTACAACCTATTGGATCATGGACTAAAGTAGGTTTACAAGTGTTCGATTCTCAAGTTCCTATTGGTGCTACCCCTGAATATTTAGCAGGTAATTATATCTTACAAGCAGCATCATCATTTTTACCTGTTATGGCATTAGATCCTCAAGAAGGTGAAAGAATTTTAGATATGGCTGCCGCTCCTGGTGGTAAAACCACTTATATTTCAGCTTTAATGAAAAATACCGGTTGTGTTTTTGCTAATGATGCCAATAAAGCTAGAACCAAATCTTTAATTGCTAACATTCATAGATTAGGTTGTAAGAATACTATTGTATGTAATTATGATGCTAGAGAGTTCCCTAAAGTTATTGGAGGTTTTGATAGAATCTTATTAGATGCTCCATGTTCAGGTACCGGTGTGATTGCCAAAGATGAAGCTGTTAAAGTTAACAAGACCGAAAAGGATTTCATTCAAATTCCTCATTTACAAAAACAATTGTTATTATCAGCCATTGATTCCGTTGATGCCAACTCTAAAGGTGGTATCATTGTTTATTCTACATGTTCTATTGCAGTTGATGAAAATGAAGCTGTGGTAGATTATGCTTTAAGAAAAAGACCTAATGTTAAATTAGTTGATACTACTTTACAAATTGGTAAAGAAGGGTTCACATCATTTAGAGGTAAACATTTTGATCCTTCTATCTCATTAACTAGACGTTATTATCCTCATACTTATAATGTTGATGGGTTCTATGTTGCCAAGTTCAAAAAGATTGCACCATCACCTCATGATATTTCTAAAGCTGGAGCTAAAGAAAAGGAAAACTTTGCCAGACAAGAAGCTGAAGAAGAAGGAATTATCAATGGTGATTTTGCTGATTTTAATGAAGATGATGATAAAGATTTAATTGAAAAATCCATAAAGAGAAACTTAAAGAGAAAGGGTATAAATCCTAATACTAAAAGATAAACCGTGTGTATAGTACATAAACATTTAGGAACATTTTCTTCACTCCATCAAACAAACATTACCAAGTCCATGTTCTTTGATATATTCTGGACCGTACTCTTCAAATTCTGCTTTAGTTACATAACTTCCTTTACATTCATTAGTATCTGACCATAATTTCATACCTTTCCAAGGATCAATAGTAGCATCTTGAGCTTTACGTACTCTTAATGGTGCTCCTATAGGTAAAAATCCTGTGAACTCATTGACGATTCTGGTATCGAAATTAGGTAAGTTACTTAATCCTCCTGTTATGAATACATCTTTAATGACATTATATGATGGACTATCAGTTTCGAATTTCCCTAATCTTCTATTAACCAAATCATCACATACTTCCGTAATCCCGGCTTGATCCAAACCAGCTATATGAGGTTGGAATAAGATTTCAGGAACTCTGATTCTTTCGACATTCACATGAAGTTGATGATTCTTCATTATAATCTCTGGGTGGGCAGCTATTTCATCTTGTTCCAAACCTTCAAGTTCCATAGCTAAAGATATGTTTGGTCTTGGTCCATGAATGAATTTATGGAGGGAAGAGTTCTTCCAATCGAAAGTGGTTTGTGCAGCTAAAGTATCTTCATGATGGAAATTAGCATCATAAGTTAATAATTCTTCTTCTAATTTAAGGATCACTTTAGAATCTTCGGCTTGTTCTTCTTCTAAATTAACATTGGTGATATCTCTATAAGCATTCCAATCATCATCATTGGCTCCAAAAGTATCATTAGGATCATTATCAATAGTGGCATTGGCATTTCTTCTTCTCTTACGTGAAGCAGCATTGGTTGATCCATTTTCATCATTGGCTAAATCAGCAATACTTCTCATTCTTTGTTGAGCTGCCATAGATTTCCTATCTTTGAAAGATTCAAGTAACTTATTTCTTTCTTTAACTCGGTGAATTATTTGTGCTAATTCGATTCTTTTACTTGAACACCATCCTTCCATATCTCTTTCTCTCCACTCCTTTTGTTCTTGCTCATATTGAGCCCTTTCTTCTTCTTCTCTTCTCTTATCTTCTAAACTCTTTTGACGAGCTTCATAATTCCCTTTGTGTAATTTTTGCTTCCTCTTTTCTTTGATTTCTTCAGCATTTAGTTGTTCGTCTGGAATACCAACTAAGGGCCATGCTGTCAATGGATCAATGTTACCATCGTTGAACCCTTCATCATCGGAATCCTCTTCGTTATGTTCTTGTTTCTTTATTGATTTCTCCAAATTGGTAAAATATTTATTGAAATCACTTAAATCATCAAAATTTTCCGTTTGAAGACGTTTTTGTACTTCTCCAGGAGTTAAGAATTCAAATTCCAGTTTGAAATTTACAAAATATTCATATTCTTGTTGTTTTTGAAGTAATTTCTCTTGTCTTCTTACTTTAGCTTGTTCTTGTAAACGTTTCCCTTGTTCTCTTCGTTTCAAAGTTTGGGCTGCTATCTCTTCTTCTGATTTCTTCTTCTCGGGAACAATTTCTACCGGAGCTTGGAGAACTATATCTTTGGACTCCAATATATCCATGTCTAAAATATGCTTTAAATCATGTTGATAGTCTTCCAGTACATAGCAGTGATCTTGGAATATGTTAGTGGTATTGGCCGGGGTAAGTCTAGAAGGGAAATAAGGGTATTTCAATGCTAATAACTTTCCTAAGAATTGTTGACTTTGATCTCCACCCCAATCTATTCTTTTAGTTTGCAGTAAAACACCTTTTCCTTGACAAACAGGAATCACGTGTGTCAGTTGATGGCCACTACCAATGACAATAGCATCTTGTGGTTTCCCGTTGGTATTAGCATAGTAAGAAAATAACGAATCGATCCCAAAGGTTACTTGTGGAGCATTATAGGTTTCGAATAACATCTCGTATAAGCCTTTTCTATAGTTTAAGGTAGTTGCTGGGGGCTCTGTCATGATAATTGGGTTATTGACACTTTCATTTGTACTTTGGACATTCAAATGGGCAAATGTGTAATCAAAAATTGTCTCTACATAATCCCAATTGGTGATAATGGACCCATCAAATGGTGATTTGATCGAAGATCTGATCAAAGGATCACGGTAAACATCATTCCCCACTAACGTTAACAATTGGTTGGATTTTCTTTCTCTATAACGGGCCATTAGGGTTGGGAAAATGTTATTGGGAGTATTAGAATTGGTTAACCCAGCTCTTAATTGGTATGAACCCATATCTATGGCTATCGGTACGCCAGTGTCATAATGTTGATAGAACGGTTGATCTACTTGTGTAACAGTATTTTCTTTCAACGCATACTTTGTCTGAGGAGGAAATTCCTCTGGACCTTTCTTACTTGGTGCCATATGTTTCGTCCAGGTTAAAGTTGGTGATAATTTTCACTCGCGGTTCAAAGAGTTTGTTCGCGGTCAGTGGTGAAGACGATTAGTGGGATGGTAGAGATTATAGTAGGAGACTGTACGCTGAGAGTTGAACTGCTCAATCGAAACTTTTTTCTCTAAGGTGGAAAGTATGGTGTGGGGTTTTTAATCTCAATGAAGTACTTTGCATGTTACTTAGGTATCTCTTTAAATATCAATGAAGTATATAGTTTCCTACACTTGTCCTATGTAATTGCACTTAATTTACTGGAACAACTCACTGAATGACCCCTTCCAGATATACATGGAATTCAATACGTGACGGTACCATCTTCTAACCAACGTTAGTTCCCATAGATATTCCCCTAATAAAAGAACCTCCAGGTTTCAGGGTGTCGCGTCATGGAATTTCGCACTTGCGACATCGCCAACTTGGATCAACTCAAACATGTCCAGTGAAGAAAACAAATTGAATGTTCAAGGTTACAATATTGTGACCATCCTTAAGAGATTGGAAGCTGCCACTTCTCGTTTGGAAGATATCACCATGATTCAAGAAGACACCAGAAAACCTCAAGAAAAATCAATTGCCAACAACATGTCCAATACTTCGTCAGTATCAAGTAGCTCTACTTCAAGTGGTGGTTCTGCTCCTTTGACTATGAATTCTGTCCCAAAATCAATCCCTGAAGAGGATGATGAGGAAGAAAAGACCAAATCAACTATCAGATTTGAAGAATTCATTGATGACGTCGTTAAACCATGGGCTGAACAATCTAAAGCTATTGATACAGCTGTTGGTGAATCTGCTGATCAATTGTATGAAGCATTTAAAGCTCAGGCTGAATTCTTACATATAGTTAGTCAAGCTAAGAAACCTCAAATGACCGACCCTAAGTTCATGGAAGCCGTTAAACCTATCAATGAAAAGATCGAGAAGATTGGTGGTATTAAAGATTCCAACCGTCAATCCAAATATTTCAATCACTTAAATACCATTACTGAAGGTGCTCCTGTGTTAGGGTGGATTGTTAGCGATACTCCGGTTTCCTTGATTCCAGAATATAAGGATTCTGCTCAATTCTGGTCTAACAGAATCATGAAAGAATACAAAGATTCTGATCAAACCCAAGTCGAATGGGTAAAATCCTTCTTGGGAATTTTCGAACCTTTAAAAGATTATGTCAAAGAATTCCATACTAAAGGGCCAAAATGGAATGTTAACGGTAAACCATTAGAAGAAGTATTATCAAAGAAATCCAAATCTTCAGCTCCTGCTCCACCACCATCAGCTGCTGGTGGTCCTCCACCACCTCCACCACCTCCACCAGCTAATCTTTTCGATGACGCACCATCTTCTACTTCTGCTGCTCCAGCTGGTGGTATGAATGCTGTGTTCGCTGATTTAAATAAAGGTGAAAATATTACTTCAGGTTTGAAGAAAGTTGAAAAATCTCAAATGAATCATAAGAACCCAGAGTTAAAGAAAGCTCCAGCTGTACCTAAGAAACCAACTCCACCTAAAAAACCTTCATCATTATCTTCATCTTCTTCAGTTCCTACCAAAAAACCTGCTAGAAAGGAATTAATCGATGGAAGTAAATGGATTATAGAACATTACACTAAAGCTGATCTCCAAGGTGAAGATTTGATTACCATTGATGCTGAAATGCATCAATCTATCTTTGTAGGTAACTGTAAAGATATCACCCTCCAAATCAAAGGTAAAGCTAATGCCATCTCTGTATCAAACACTTCAGGTTGTGGGATCGTTATCGATTCTTTGATTTCTGGTATTGAATTAATCAAAGCTCACAAATTCGGTTTACAAGTTCTTGGAACTGTTGCTGACATTGATATCGATCAATGTGATGAAGGTTCAATCTACTTATCTAAAGAATGTGTTGAAGCTGAAACTCAAATCTATTCCAGTAAAACTACTGCTTTGAACATCAACGTTCCTAAAGATGATGATTATGTTGAATTACCAGCTCCTGAACAATTCAAACATAGCATCAAGAATGGCAAATTGGTTTCCGAAGTTGTTGAACATGTTGCTTAGTTAGAGCTCAAGCTACAGATAAGATAGAGGTTCTTCGGAAATCCAGTATGTAGTTTCTATATGGTGTTATTTTTCTAGTAAATTCAGTTCTTCCTCATCACTGCTAACTTCTTCATATTGTTGTTGGGGAATACCACTTGAATCTGAATCGTCTTCATCTTCGTCATTTTCTTCTTCTTCTACTTCGTCGTCTTCATATTCTTCTTCTTCTTCTTCTTCTTCTTCTTCATCGTCTTCTTCATCGTCTTCCTCTTCTTCCAGGTCCAGGTCCACATCTTCCAGGTCCAGATCTTCCTCCAGTTCATCACCAAAGAAATCATCTAAACTCTCCAACTTGTAATCATTTTTCTTCACTGGATTATAATGTAATGATGATACGGAATGCTTAGTGTTGGGTAACTCGCCTATCTTTTTGGTTATGGTAGACGCAGTGACTTTACTACCAATTGAAGCAGTAAGTTTATTCTCTTGAACAGCCAACTCCTTTCTTATACTGGCAGGGGGCAAAGTGGTAGTGTCCTGCCAATCAGGAACTTTGAAGAATTTTCCTAAAACTTTCCCTTGCACGTTGTTGGCTGTCAAAGATGACATTATAGGTGCCAGTTTAGGAACTTGAAGAAATAACGATGCTAACTCTGTCAGATTGTTGGACCCATTCAACAAAACGTCTATCATTCTAGCTCTATCTCTAGTATCAAATGAAGGATCAGCTTTGGCAAGGGTTATGGCATATGAGAACATCTGTGAAATAATATTGGAAGATTTGAATTCGTCTATCTGTTCAGGAGAGTCTCCTTGTGAGTTTTTGTACTCATCTAAACTGATGGAGTATAATTTGGATGCTAAAATCAAAGTTTGGTATCTAACATTTTCAGATTCTTCGGCAAAAGTTTTGAGTAAAACTCTCAACACATCAGGAGCTATTTCGTTGTCACATTCTTTGGTGAATTCCCCTATAATCCAAATTATACTTGCTATGGCATCAGATGGTAACTTCAAGGTTGAATCTTTCAATATCAATGATAAGTTATATACGATCTTGGAAATTTCCTTGTTTTTAGTTGCTTCATTTGTTTTCATTTGTTGTTGAACTTGAATTAAGTACCTTATAACTGTCAAAAACTCGTTCAAAGCTTCACCTTTGGCGTTTTTGATGTTATTTAGACACCATTTCAATATTTTCCTATTCCATTCTGTTGAAACTTGAGAGCAGCGACCAATAGCTTTTATGGATTCACTTGCAACAGATAAATCCCACGATTCAATGGCATTATACTTCAATTCTTCAATGATATACTTAACATTAGATTCGTCGACCAATGAAGATAAGATATCTAGTTTAGTTTTAGCTACATCGACAGAATCTGATGGGAAAATAAATAAACTTCGATATTGAGATTGGAAAAGTGTCTTGTCGAATTCACAAATGGTGGAAATAGCTTGAAGGGCAAAAAGATTGATTGGTGTGTTCTCACTATCGGTAGCCATAGCACATAATATAGTAGGAATGTTGAATTGTTTCAATGTCTTAGAAGGTGCTAATGATACTAATGATCTGACAATACTGAATAATACAAATGGGGCATTACTTTTGACTAAAGAACTCATGGAATTAATCAATAATTCCAAATCTGAATCCATTGTTACATCGTATTCTTCAGGGAATCCATTCATTGTTTCAGGAATATCTATGGATTCTTCGCCTACATATAATTTTGGACGTGGTAAGAACAATCTAGCATAATCTGTTAAAAGATCAATCGCTATGGATCGAGACCATTCATCGAACTCTGGTAATAACTTACAAAATCTTCTATAATGACCATGAATCATCAGCCATTTCCATTGACTCAATTCAGTTTGTCCCATGATTTTTACAAATGATTTGATGGCCGTACCTACAACCATTGGCTCTGTATCAGCGAGTAGTTTAGCTAAATATTCAAATAATTGTTTGGAGCCTTGTTTATCGATTTCATAGACTTTTCCGATAGCTATGGCTGTTGAACTTCTGACTAAAGGAGAATTATCAGTGACTGTCCTTTTAACACACAATTGTAAGATCGGAGCAATGGATGAAATTCTTATTGCTGACAATGACTTGATAGACATGGACCTGGTATTAGGATTCTTATCACTAAGGGCCTTCTGAATGGAATTAATGGCCAACAATGCAGTATCAGGTTCGATTTCGGCATATCTGGTGGTATAAATCATCACCATATTCCTCACTTTTGCATTATTGGACGTTATATTCTTCACCACATCGGCAAAATATGGTAAAGCATTATCATCTCTTGACATCATGGATATAACACATTTCATACCATTGGAAACGTCTTTCTCGATTCTTGAATTTAATAATTTGGAAATCTCAGCTGGTCGAGCTGAGCTTGGAGTATCAGCTAGTCTCGCCGATGCTGATACGGCAGCCTCAATGGTCAAGTCCTTGGCGGTCTCAAACATTGACGTTAACCGTGAAAGACTTTCTGTCATAGTTAAAGAGGTTTTTCCAGATGTTCGCGCAATCACTGTTTATTCATTTTATTCGCAGCTGCCTTGAGCCTCTTCCCAATCTTTAAATCCTTACGGAGTTGGGTATGGCCCACAGGGAAGAACTCATTGATGGTAGATTGAGTACCTTCACGTGCCTTTTTGTTCATATCTCTGATCAAAGGAACCATAACTTCATCCACTCGGGCTTGAGACCACCCCACATTATACATGAGGAATGATCTGATTTGGTCTAGATCGGGTATACCCCATTTTATAGGATCTTTACTGGAATCCACTTCTGGAGTAGTATAAGCATCAAATATTATAGGATCTGGGAACAGCGGTGGGAGGAAAAGCTTTCCAGTTTTGACCCTGGTGGCTAAGTTCTTCTTTAAAGTGGTGGAGGAATCAATCTGACCTACAGCTGCATTATCAAACCATTTCTTGAAGTTTACTAGATTACCAAATTCGGCTAAAATCTCCATAGCAAGAACTGGCCCTATTCCTTTGATCCCTTCGGTATAATCACTGCCTAGTAATAAACCTAGTTCGATCAATTTGTGTTGGTCCAAACCAAGATTTCTTTGTAATTCACTGTTCATGTAACATTCAACATACTGCTTTTGATTGAACATGTTCTTGTAGATTCTGTCACCTCCGAATAAGAAACAATCACTATCGTCGGTGATGATTCCATCTACCAACCCAAGTTTCAATAATTCAGCACATTGAGCTTCAGCTTCCATGGGAGCGGTGATGAAAGGGATTCCAAATCTTCTTAAAAGCTCCTGGACATCATTGATCATGGTTTCGGTAACTTCTTCGGCATCTCTCTTTTGCTTTTGTAACCTTTCTTGGAGAAGCTGTTCATCCGTAACAGATGTATTGGAGTTGAGGGGAATCTCCAGAGAGATTTTGATTTGATTCTTCAAATCTTCATGATCTTGATACTCTGAAGCTAATTGTTGGTTAATAGCTTTATCATCATCTTCGATGAACTCATAGTCTAAGAAATCCTGCTTGGGCTTATGAGTTTTATTTTTGTTCAGTAAAGAAGCTTCCTCAGGGATGAGGTTTTCTGTTATGGATTCTTCTTCTGTGCTTCTATGAATAGACAGCTTTGGTTCCGTTGCCTCTATGGCCCCTGAATTATCCGGTTCACGCTCTAGCTCCAGTTTCTTATCTGCTTCCGCCTTAGTAGTGTCAGTATCCTCCACTAAATCCACAACTTCATTCTCATTCTTAGGAAATGTAACTTTGGTGATTTCAACTTCCTCAGAATCATCTTCAACCTCCTCTTGTTGATCCAACATATGTTTAGCATCGTTCCACGATATCAAACCAGCTTCTTCATCTTCTTGAGCTATTTCTTCCCTGGATGGAAGGTCTGCAACTTTGTAGCTATAAGCTTGTTGGTCAAGCTTATCATTAAACCAGTCAGGCATCTTATTCTTGCGTTTCTTTTCCGCCTTTTCATCCTCACTATCAATGATTGCTTCAATTTCTTTGATATCTGTTTCTTTAGATTTATCGTCAGGTAACTCATCTATTGTGACAGTGGTTACCTGTGGGATGACTGGATGAAATTCTTTTGGTATCTTCACTGGCGAGTTGTATTCTTTTTTCCCTAGAATACTTGTTGACTCAGTAACCTTGCTAGGTAAATCACGGACCTCAACCGTGTTCGAGGAAGCAGGAGCTGATGCTTCGGAAACCGGAGGACCAAATAACACAGACAGTGTGAAATCAAGATCAGTTGTCAGTTCTTGCATATCACTTTCCTTTATTTGATCTTCCATCTTGAAAAGATCCTTCTTCGACTCTTCAATGGCTTTCTGAAGGTCACCCTGTGAAAACCCTTCATCTTGTGGTTGCTCGTCTTTGTATTGGTCATAAATAGAAGCTACAAGAGCCTTTTCTACCTCCTGTTGTTCAGGATCTTCTTCCATTTCTACCTTTACTTCAGAATGAGGAGCCTCATCAACTAAAGGAATATCTTCAAAATCATCGTCTGAATCTGACAATTCTTCTAGTTTCATTGGTTGCTGTGGAGCGACTGGTTGACTTGCATACTTCTTCAAATCCTGTTTCTGAGTTTGTTTCTTCACCGGCTTTGCAAAGACCTTTAGAGTTGACTTTTTCGGTGGTGTTCGTGTATCCTTTATTTGTGTACTTAATTCAACATTATCATAGAGTCCATCCTTTTGATCCTCGATTTCAATAGGTCGGTTTTCACTGCCTTCACCCAAAGATAATGCCCATCCATCATTAGTTCTCATCAATGTATACTTCCTATCCTTCTCACCGGCTATTCTACGTGTGGCATTACCATCATCTCCCATTCCACTGACATCCATTAATCTTTGAGTGAAGAAGTTCCTTCTTTGGACTTGCTGGATTTGAAACTTCGAGAAATCCATGGAATCATCAAATATTTGTTGAAGCTGTTCTTTAGTATAACCCAATCTTAACCTCGACTTAAGTCTAAGATGGGATAAAATCATATACTGAGTAGGCATTGGAAGTTTGGAGAATTCTTCGGACTTTGGGTCCACTTCGTTGATATTTATTCCGTCTACCACATCAAATGATTCACCTGCTAGTTCATTGAACTCTTCTTCAGGCATTAATCTTTCATCTGTGTCTCTTACTTTGATCTTCTTCAAGTCGGGTAAATGATACTCATCTTTGGCTATAAATCTCTTTGCCCGAGGAGCTGCGGCCACATGTTGAGGATGTGTCATTGATAAGTCGTCCAAATACGTTACCTCGTCATCGTTAGTGATAGTTCGTTTCTTCGACTGTCTTTGCACATGGATTGCTAATAATCTATGGGCAGTCTCAATAGCACTCTCTCGTTTGCCTTCTCTCCTTTCTCTTCTCTTTTGAATAGTTTCTCTCTTCAAAGCTGGGGCTCCACCATCAAATACGAAAATCGGTAGAATACCAAAATATAGCAATTTACATATTCTTCTAAAGAATCCTACTATATGAGATTGATGTAAGGTATTCCCTTCACTATCTCTTACAGCTTTTAAGAATTGGTAAATCCAAATGGAGGCATCTACGGCCAATTTACGTCTGGTTAATGCCTCTAATCGAACCGTCCTAGCCGTAGGTCCGAGAATATCCCATAATGAATTCACACCCATAGTTCGTGATGGTTCCGCGTTATAATGGCCTGCGCGATGATTTTGCGGTTGCAAAAAATGATGATAAGGGGGATTTAGCAGCCACAAAAAAGATTCCCCATTGTCATTTTTCGAAGGTTTAGAACGATAAGGAAAAACTTTTAGATTGGTGATTATGACGAAAGAAACTTTAGGTTTGGGTTTTGACTATGAGGAGCTGACAAATGGGCTCTTTGAACCTCGAGATTTTGAACTTCTTGACGGAACTTTGGAAAGCAAATTGAGTGACGGTGTTCATCTGTTTTTTTCTCATCAAACAACAATGGCTATAAGAGAAAAAGTAGATCGTTGGTTTAGAAGTTTATATATCCATGTTAGAGCTAATGTTTGGGTGACTGAGTTGTATTCCGGTACTGCCTTTGCTGACGATACCCTTGAGGAAACTGCTTGTGAAAATGATAGTGATAAGATTCAGTTCCAGGCCGAACTTATCACCAGATCGACTCTTCAGCAGTATTCTAAAGATATAGAACCTCCATTGTTGGCAACGTACCATCCCACTAATTATGATCACTTGTTCACTGAGGAATTATTTTTGAAAGGACCCTCAGATGAGTATTTAGAAAGTGCTCTGGAGTTTTTCCAGTGAATTCTGCCATGTTCATTATTATTATAAGAATAAATCGAATTCCTCTATTTCATGCTTCTCCCCTTCAATACTCAAACTCTCCAATTCAGGGAAATAAGGAACAATGGCATCAGCGTTTTGGATGTATGCCATGTTATACAACTTCCAGTAAGAAGCTCTTACTTTCTTTGCTGGATGGAAAAGTCCGGCCCAAATATAATTCGTGTACCTACCGTATCCTATAACATTTTTAATGGCATCAATGGCTTCAAGGATTCTGGCAATGACGTGGGGGGAGGTCTCGAAAACGTTGGGAATGAGAAGATTCAAGTAATGGATAAAAACGTCAACATACTCATCAGTAATACATCCTTGACAATTAAGAGCCATATGTTTGATTACAGTAGCAGCTGTTTGACGATGAACTTGATCTCTATCGGTTAAAGCATCTTGAAGTAATGGGGTTATGGCATATAAATAATCCTTGGTCATGTTCCCATCGATATATTCGAATAAGAACGTCATGGCTTTCAACACCCCATTTTGAACATTAGTATCAGGAGTTCTGTATTCATTCATAATCGCTGGTATGACTGTGAATGGGGAACACACTTCAGCAACGATACCAATAGCTACGGAAGTACAAACTCTTAATTGTCTTTCTTGAACCCTCAAATTGTTGAGAAGCATAGATAAGATATCTTGGGGACCTATGGTTTTGGCAATATCACCAAAAGTACTATTGGCAGCTATTCTGATACGTTTCTTGGGTGATTTCAATGTATCCAAAAGATCGAAACAAATTCTCATCCATTCTCTGACATTGATGGTTTCAGCACATTTCCTGGCTATCAAACCAATAACAAGGATACATGATTCCTGAACCTTTTCTTGCCTGTTCTTCAAAATAGGTGATAATGAAGGTACTAACTGATTGATTGAAGGATTTTGAAGACCCAACAAATCTTCACTGGAGAAAGATTCCAAGCATGAGTTCAATGCTGTTAACAAGGATGCCAAAACATCGGGATAAACTTCTCCCAAAGATTCATAAAGAATAAGTATTAATCTCTGTATGATATCGCTTTCTCCGTGGGTACACTTCTGAACAGTAGGAGCGATAGCAGCAATTAAAAGTGCTGCTTGTTGTCTGACTTCTGGAGACTTATTCTTGATCCTATACAAAACTGTACTAAGGATGGAATTTATATGAGGTTTCAACCTGATACCTAAGGTTTTTGCTACGATAGACATACCACTCAAGTAAACCTTGTTCTGTTGAGTCTGTTCTTGGAATGCAAACAATACACCATCGACTAATTTTTCTTCCAATTTTGGTTCCATACCAATAAGTTCCTCTGGTTTGGTGGAAATAATCTTCCATATGGTTTCTACAGCCATTTTACGGAGCAATTCATTAGAGTCTTTGGTGAAGACTATCAATTTTTCGATCATTTTCAAATAATTGAGCTTCAATGCCAATTCGGTGGTAGTATTCACCACTAATTTGTACAAGAATTTGACATCAGTTGCTGTTCTTCTATTCCAGAAAGATTTCATGAACGGACTATAAATGGTAGATTCATAGTTCTTGATCAATTGCCTATTAATTGGTAATTTGGTCAAAACTCGAAGAATGGTAGACCTAATTTCATCATCTGGAGAATTGAATTCTCTAGAGATAACGCCAACTAATTCTTTAGTATAGTAATTAGCGTACTCTTCGTAATTGGAATCATTCTTCATTAAAGGAATTATAGATCCAAGGGCCCTTAAGAAAGTGGCTAATCCTTTACCACGATGTTTCTTCATACCGTTCCATAAAGGTTCTATGATAGGCTCGAAAGATTCAATTCCATAAGGAGCGACGGTGTCAGCAAGTTGAGATAAAGTGTTGGCAGTAATCATTCTGATTTGAGCTTGATCATCTGATATTGCAGGAGTTAAAAGTACTACGAATTGTCTCAAATGGGGTAAAATGGAATTCCCGTTCCCAGAACCCAATTGAATACATAATTGTTGAATAATTTTGATCCCAGTATGCTTTGCTTGCCAACTTTTCTTCGATTTTATCACAGCTTTGAGGAAAGGAAGGAAGTTGGTAAGTCCCAAAGTATTTCCCACTACAGCTAATACCCTGGACGTGATGTTCCTGATATACTCATCATTATTGCTTAAGTCAGGTCTTAAGGTAGATAAAATATTAGCTAACCCAGCAGCTTGAGATAAACTTGAGATGATTTCTCGAGCTTCAAGCCTTAAATTGAAATCTTCATCGATCAACAATGGAGATACAGCGGCAAGAATCTTTTGGGTATATGGACGTACTTTATCATCTAATTTGAAGATTACCCTTCCTATTAATTTCACCAACACATGACGTTCTTGATCTTCAAGACTGGGTTCTATTAATAAAGGTAACACCTGGTTGAACATGGGTTCGGGCCCGATATTCTTCACACTATCAGTGAGTTGTCTTAAAGATTTTTTCCTGACAATATTGTTACCGTTCTTAATCTTCAATAATAATTCCATCACCTTGAGTTCATTCTTCTCTTCGGTAGAAAGATTCTGTTTGTTCTTTATAAGATCCAATTTTCCGAAATATTTCTGGTCTTCCTTTCTGAAAAACTCAATACCATTGATTTCAGGTAATTTGGTGACCATCAATTCCTCCATAGCTTTCTGATTTTGAACATCTGAACTTAATGGCATATATGTATCGTTTGTCGCTTGTTTCGCTATTATATCTTTGGGTATTGTGGCCTTGACGTACCCTTCTGGTAATATTTTGTCTAAAATTTCATCTGTTAAGGGTAACCCTCTATAAACAGGTACTTGATGAGATAGTATTTGAGATAACGTCTTGTCTTGTTCTAGTTCTAATAACTTTTCACGCTCTTCAGGGGTTACATCCCACCTTCTTCTTCGACGTCTTTTCATTGGTGATTGAATCTCTATCTGTAACTGTTCAGATTCTGTGTTCTGGCCATTATTATGCTGTATCCTCTGTTTATAAGTTAACTGACCATTATTAACCACATCTGTTAATTTCAGTGATTGTTTGTTGTATTCATTTTTCGTGTTATCCTTCAACTCCTCTGTACTTATACTATCGTACCTATCGTTCTCCAGTTGGATATCAACGGCCAACTGCTTAGGAATGGTATAAGTTCCTACTAAGTTCTTCCTCCTACTACTCATGAATCTCTAATTTTCGCGATCTTTTTCTGTTAATGTCATCTCAAAGCTCATTAGTGCTATTGAATAGAGTTCTTAACTTGAAGGATGGTATACCTTTCGTGTTAGTGATTGATACTTTGGTACAATCATCAAATTATCTTATAGAAGAGTTTGTTTCCAAATACTCAGGGGATGTTGTATACTTGTCATTTGAAACTGTTAACAAACCTCATTATGCATCAGAATTTATTGATTGTATGGACCTCACTCCCAAAGAGATCATTTCCAAAGTTAAAGAAGTAGTCAAGACTCCAGAAACTATCACAGCATTGACTAAGAAAACTTTAATCGTGGTGGATTCATTAAATTATATTGTTCCTGAAGAATTAACTACCTTTGTATCTTCCATCATACTGCCATCTATTATCTTATTGGCAGTGTATCATAATGATGTTGCTAAGAAATCCACAACTAATGGAAATTTCCCTTCAGCGTTAAGACTTTTGCATTATGTGGCCAGTTCAATCTTTGAAATCGAACCATATTTCACACAAATCGACCAAGAAGAATTCGATAATAATATTAACAAGTTGAAGTTCCCAATTCACAAAGAGATCAATTCCCCCATCTTCAAATTGGAATTCACTAATAGAAGAAAGTCTGGTAGAGCATTGAGTTATAAGTTTATCATTAATTCGTCTACACATGTTTATGAGATTGTCAAGGAAAGTGAGGAAGCAGCATTTGTTGAAGATGAAAGTTTATTGAAAGATTTAACCACTTTCAATTTAACTACAAATTCGAAACAAAAGGTTGCCAAAGAACAAGTGGAATTACCATTTATGGCAGCTCAAGATGAACTCGGATCATATTCTGGTGCTATTGTTTATGAATTCGAGAAAGATGATGATTATGATGAAGAAGATCCCTATGAAGATCCTTTCTAAATGTATAACGAACAACTTCAAACCAATGAAGAGGTCTTAGCTTTTCTTATCTCCTCCAAAAGTTGAAAATTCTCTGTTTCTCTTGCAGTATCTATCACTTGATGGATTGAATGATCCCATAATAACCATTGGTTGTAAGTTTTAAAGAATTTGGGTCCGAATTCGTCTTTAGAAGATAAATTAATATTTGAACAAGTACAAAACCAAACTCCATTTCTATCCCATGCTGCATTGCCCTTTGCTATTTTACATTCTTCCTTCTCCAGAGTGGTGGGTACGGGACTGGCTGTGATAATGGTGTGGATTTTACTCTTCTCCCTTTTAAGTTCATCTACAAGATCCAGGAAATATAATGCCGGGAATATAAGTTTGGCCATATCTCTGGGAATCCATCGTACCACAAACTCATTAGGTACACTTGCGTAATGTTCTTCTGTATCTAAAGATGTAGCTTTCTTAGGAAATTCAGCATGGAAATAACTAGGTCTTTGTGAGATAATCCCACTTTTCTTAAGTTCTATGCTACCAGAATCTTTGGAAAGAAATCCTTCAAGTACTCCTTTTGATCGTTTATAATACTCTCTTCTAGCATCTTCCATCATCTTCTGGTAGAGAGGATGCCGTATTGTTTGGAGGACAATATTATCCTCCCTATAGATCATATCTTCAAACATAAAACTTTTTCGGACCCGCGATCGAGTATAAGAGGCTGCAAAAAAAAAGTGTGGGGCTGATATATAATAATACAAAATGCAGTAGATCCCGGGGTTAGGGGTGATCTAATGAGGAATTGTGGAGTCTGGGGTGATGTTATTGGATCTTTGAGCATCTAGACCTTTCAAACGATCAGAAATAATCGCTTCGATATCTTCATTATCGTCTTCATTTCTGAATCTATCCCAAAGACTACCACTACGACCTCTTTTAATTTTAACTCTTTTACCACTAGGTAACACTTCAAAGTCAGGACTTAATTGGGAATCTCCTTTATAAATTACTTCTCCATCTCCACTTGGTGGTAATTCTCCTTCATTGGTAACGGTACCTGCTCTTTTCCTATACTCTAAGGTATCTTTATCTTCCATCTCAACATTGAGACCAAGTTTTTTGCTGATGACGTTGATGATTGCAATGCATTTACGTCTCCATATGGATGATTGGTGAGGAAATGTCCAACCTTGTGATAAGTAATCGAAAGATTTGGTCTCAAAAGTCTTTCTCATTTCCAAATCTTTCTCAATAGCTTTGAATAATTCATCATCACTGGGTTTGATCATGAACTTGAATACCTTGATAAGGATATCAAGTAATAAAGGTATAGTGAATAAGATCAATAAACTGGCCCAGAAAGTTACATCTTGACCGAACTCTAATAACCCATACTCAACATAAAATATGGCAGCTACTTTGGATCTGTACAAGAACATGATTAAAACGTTCCATACAGCATATCCACCTACTGAGATAATGAATGCTGCGAAAGCTAACCAATTACGGTTTTGTAACTCTATGAATTCACATTTGATATTGATGATTATCACCAATGTCGCAAATAACAAAGTACCTAGAGGTAAAGTAGTGTTATCTCTTAAAGCAGTCAAGGCCCATAAATGCCATGACAAGAATGATATTCCAACACTCTGTAAGGCAGCAAGAACCATCCAACTAACAAACACTTTCAAATTGAATGCTTGGTACAATCTTCCTTTGGCATATAATTCCGGTACCGCCAATAAAGTGGCAGGTTTCAAGTCTTTATCGAATATCCCTACCACCAACACGGGCAAGGATGTGAATAATGTATTAAACATTGATAATGACCAACTTTCATATACTGAAGACCCGGAGAATAAGGTATATCTTTGATATAATGCTTGAGTTAAGTAGAATATAAGTTCTTTGTAGAACGTACATAACACAAACTTTGATGTACGGATATAATTGTATCTTCCATTAACAAGAAGTAATTTAAGTAAGAATCTGAATTGGGCAATAGCATAATCTGAAGCACGAGCTGCTTGTAATCCTTCCTTACCTGTGATTCCAACTCCAATGTCAGCACTTTGAATCATGGCGATATCATTAGCACCATCACCAATCGCCAACGTGACAGATTTTCTATTGACTTCTCTAATACTAGTGACCATCTTAGCTTTCTGTGAAGGTGAAGCTCTACAACAAATAGCACTATCAGCTATAATACATAAATCAATCAAATGATGGAACAAGTCATCATCTTGTTCGATAACTCCTAAAGTCTCACCATCAATGACTACCACACAATGTGCCACACCTCCTCCTTGAACTTTCTTAATGGCATCAACAATGATCTTCTTCACTTCTTCTTTACCGTGGTCGATATTGAGGATAGCTACTGTACTATAATCTTTGATTAATCTACAAGAATAACCGATGTTGATGGCAGTTTCCCTCTTATCTCCAGTTAACATCCACATCTTGATTCCTGCTCTTCTCAACTTTTCAATGGCATCACTAACACCATCTTGTAACTTATCTTCAATGGCCGTGGCACCCAATAATTCGAAATTATTTTCAATTGATTCCCCGACTGTTTCAATCTGAGAAGATCTATCAACAAGTGCAGTTTTGGCTGCCAGATATTGTTCATTGAAATCAGCATATTCTTTCTTATCTAACCATTTAAAAGAATATAATAAAGTTCTCAAACCTTCTGTAGAAAACTCTTCGATATGTTCCAAAGTCTTTTCAAGGATGAATTCTTGATTCAAGAGTAATCGATCATCATAAACGTCATCCAAGTTTTCTCCAACTTTAGCTGATGAACTCTTAGCAGGTGAGCCTTCTATATCAATGCTGTATCTTTGAGCTTGCTGTAAATGTAAAGATTTTCGGAAATTTTCGGCGATATCTGTATGATCTTCTTCTTCACCCATGATTTTATCAATAGAGCTTAAAGTTCCAGCTGTATGAGCACGATCACCGTATTGAAGACTCTTCCTCAATGAGGACAAGGAACTCATACTATTTCTAGTTTCTCTGGCCTCAGCCTCCTGAGAGAATCTTTGTTGTAAGACCATATCAGCTTCCATCATTTTCCTTTCACTGGCATTCAATGAGATCTCTTTAGCTTTGCGTACAGCCATTTGACTATTTTTCAATCTTTCAAGAATTACATTGTCAGCACCTTTACAGATTAAACAAATCCTGGAATCAGGAAACTTGACTATGATTGACATTCTCTTCCTTTGAGATGAGAATTCAACCACATCCAAAACTTCATATTCTTCAAATTTACATGAACTGTTGAAACCTTGTGGGTATGTCTTCATCTTCAAAATATTGGATTTCTTATCATAAACGATAAATCCAAGATCTCTTGCTGCTTCTACCAAAGCTTTCTCATCAGGAGACGAAGCCTGGTAAGAGATATTCTGATCTTCGGTATCATCATCACTTTCCTCATTTCTACGTGGTAAACATGTACTACATAACGCAATACTTAAAAGGAAAAATTTAGCTTTCTTACTGAATAAAGTGTTGGGGTTGGTTTGAATGTATTTCAATAATTCAATTGAACTCTTTAAATTCTGAGGTTTCTTGGGGTTGGCGGTGGATTTCCAAGTAGACACAGATTTGATGGACTTAAGGTCCATACTGGCTCTTACAAACGACGTAGTACTAGTTCTCGGTACATAATCTTGCTCTATTTCATCTTCGCTGGAATCTATCGATGATTCCTTTCCTTTGGCTATTAAATCCAAATCATGTAACCAACTCATACCGTTGATACTAAATTTTCTGAATAACATCAAATTGTCCGTCAAAGTACCTGTCTTATCACTGAATATATAATTGACTTGACCCAATTCCTCTAAAATTGTGGCAGTTTTAGCATCAGCTGGGGTATTGCTTTCTTTGTGATACATATCTATATCGCATTGAAGTAATAATAGTTGACCTACCTTGATGATTTCCATAGTAACATAAAGTGACAAGGGAATCAAGGTGTTGTACATGATGATGAATCCCATCAATGTGGCAGCTACACCAGCATCCTGCTCATATAAATACCAAGCTTTTTGTTCATTTTCAGCATATAGTAATCTTTGAGCCATAGTGGAGAATGCTGATAAACTAGCTACTACAAATACCATGAATATCACAATGAAATTGATGTTTCTTTGCAATTTGGGGGCTTTAGTACGTGGATTTTTTATGTTATTCATCCTTATTTTAGTTTCTTCACCGGTGAATATCACTAATCCGAGAACTGATTTGGTATTTCTTAAAATACTTCCTCTATAAATGACATTATCAGGGCCCAAGGCATGTGTTTCTCCATCAACGTTTATCAATCCTTCAAAATTATAAAGATCTGTGTTTGGATCTTCCACGGTCACGAGATCGTTGAAGTTTTTGAGTCCCGAAGCCTTTGATAAGATATTTGATAATTCCGCTGGAGGATTCTTTGACTTCAAATTGGTTTCTCCATCCAATGCCATAGTTTCTACAAATGCAGTATCAGCGTCACTTTCATTGAGTGCTGATAAGATAAGAATATCAGCAGGAACCCATTCATCTTCACGGATCTTGATGATATTTCCTACTTTTATATCTCTCCATTTAGACTTACATTCTTTCAAATTATAGTTCTTCAAATCTGACGTTGAATGGGATGAGTCTTCGACTTGGGATTTTTGATTTTGGTCTACGGTGGAATTAACAGTTATCACCGGTATAGTCTCAGTAATAATAGTGGCTATTGATCTGGTATCAAAATTACGAAGATCTAAATCCTCCTTGATAATCCAACATTTCTTATTGTTCTCTTCCTTATCATGTTTATGTCTTTTCCAATCATCAAACCCTTCTCTAGCTATCGATATTGACATGAATATAAGTAAAGGAATAATAGTGGTATATTGACCGGTAGTTGACCATGAAGGGATCATTTGCATTATAGCTACCACCATGAAATAACAATTGGCTATCTTAGAAAACTGAGCTCTCAATTGTTTAGGAAGAAATGAATATATGGAATATTTCGATGAGGTTATGGCATTGGACACATAAACCCCATCAGTTCTTTCATCGATGAGTTGATGAGAACTATTGTAGACATTATCATTACCGTACTCTTCGATGAATGTTTTAGGGTCTAAGGTCAATGGAATGATTCTACCATTTTCTGTAGGAGGTAATACTTTGTTTCCGGTGATTTTATCTTTGATATCAATCAAAATGGTAAGAAGCTTCCCTTTTCTGTGTCTTTTTGATCTTGAAAGGAACTCTACTGAGCTGGTGTCAGAATTGGTCGATAAGTTGGTGGTGGATCGAGTGAAATTGTGGGAATTCCTCTGATAAGGCTCATATGATTGTATGACATTTGATTCATCTATAGTTATTTGGGGAGTATCAGATCGAGTAATTTCAGTAGCTTGTTCATTTGCATCATCTGATTTGTCGTATTCTTGCAATTCAATGTTATCTTGAGATCTTTGTTCTATAGGATTCAATCTGTTAGTTAAGGTCTTATTGAATAGTTGAGATCTTAAAGAAAGACCTCTTTTCCTTCTCACTTGAGCTGTTGGAACTTGAAGTTCATTAGAACTTTTATTAGGAGGTGGAGGATTGCTATCCTCGTTCATGGTTCTGTTCTACACCCTTTTACAGTTGAAAACTTTAAAGATTGTGGTTAAATCTGATTTGGTTTTGAGACAACTGATTTTTTTCGAGGCTGAGAGGTTGCGAAAATTTGTATAGCCTACAACTTATAGAACTACCTAATCGATGGTACCAGGGGCGCCTTGTCAGTAGACGGGAAGAATGTTGACATTGTTGGAATTGTAAGAGATTTTGAAATCGGAAGGTTCAATCTAATAGTTGGGAAGTTGGACCTCACAGAATCTACCAGTAGGTAGTTATTTGTCTGTAAGTCATCTGTCAAGAGGAAGTGTACAAGAATTGATCCATAACTAGTTGAAGCAAACTTGACCTTCGCATATCTTGGCCGAATCTAGTGAGTAAACCAGATGAATGATCTATTGAGATTCTTTGGAAACCATCTGATAATACACCACACCTTTTTGCGGACAACAGATTGTTTCAAAATACCTGTAACACATTTCATGGAACTGCCACCAGCCATTGAAACAACACTACCCGGCACTACTCAGTACTACTCTACACTACTCCACGACCTATGATATCAGTGGTCACACACTAGAGAAGATAAGACATCAGGGTTTCTAAAAGCTACCATTATTCGTATATTTTAAATACCTATAGTGGCCATAATTCTACCAAAGCAATAATCTCGATATTCAGCAACGTAATCAGGTACATTTTTACTGACAACTCCGGATAGTTCACAAATTAATTCACCATTTCCTGCCACTAAGACCATTCCCTTAGGTGTTTGATCTATATCAGCTAATGGTTCCACAAGTTTATCCTCTAAGATTAAACTGGAAAGATTATTGGCCACAACTCTTCCAAAATAAAGAGCCCATCCGGCAGATTTGATGATATTCAAATCGACCAAATCTCCCAAAACGAAAAATGTAGGTATGGTTTCTCCGGTTTCTTTATTATGTAATTGTAAGTATTCGTTGACTCTGATACAGTTCTTATCAGTTCTGAATTTCTTTTGTAAACTCGATGAAAGGAATGACGTATTATTTTGGTGCATGGTACACCATATGTTAAGATCAGATTTTATAGTATTACCATCAGTGGTAGTTAAATCTCCTTTGGTGATACCCCTATCTATTTTATTATCATGGCTATCATTACTACCTAGGTTTACCCTGGTATTCATGTATAGATTTATGCCACTGGCTTTAATAGATTCAAGAGTCAAATCTTTGAATTCTTTTGATAAAGCCGATTCTGGAGGTAAATCTCCATGAGGATGAATTAAATTTATCGTCTTATTAGGTAAATAATGTTTGAAATCACCAGCTAATTCGATACCTACAGCTCCCGCTCCTATGATTGAAATGGTCTCGTGATCAACTATAGATCTTTTAGATAATCTCATCTCATTCAAGAAATAGTCATAACTGAAAGCTTTGGGAGTGGTGGGGAAATTTCTATCTCTACCACTAGCCAATATGACATAGTCGAAATCAATAATAGCTTCTTCTGTATCTTCGGAATCTTCACTGGATAATTGGTAAGATGCTTTATTTTCATCTAAATAGGTGACTTTCCCATGAACAAAATTTAAATCCAATCCTATCTCGTGATTCTTAGATACTTTGGTTTCTTCAACCATATCATTCAAAAACTTCATATCTTTGGAGATGACTCTGTCAAATTTCAAATTCTTGATCTTGTTCATAGGTATAAACTGAGTTTTGGAGAATTCTTCGTCAACTATACACCTAGGCATACCCAAGACATTTAATAATCCAGCTCTAGGTTCAATTAATGTTACAGTTACATGATTTTCTTTGAAAGTATTGGGGAACTTATCGATTTTATCTCTGAATTGATTGACAAAGGTATTTATTGCCGATAATCCAGCATATGCTCCACCAACAATTAAAATATTGGTGGTGAAACTTACAGCTTTATGGTTGGATACACTTAATCTTGTAGACCCGGAAACCATGGTTGTATATGAATATGTAAGGTTGGTTTGGTTAGGTAGTTGAAAATATATGAAGAAATTTCAACAAAGAATTCTTGCTGCGTTAAAAGTTATCGAAAAAATCTATTGGGCTTAGGCACACTCTCAAAGATGATGAAATTTCTTTTTGTTCGAAGTTCCGATAAATTTTTATCGACTTAATCACTTCAATAGTTGATGAGAGTCAATTAAATAGGTCAAATATCTATATTTATAGTTAATTTCTGAAGTTCAAGAGCCGAAATGGTCAAATGATCAAATACAGACTCGGACTCGTAAATTGGTCCTTCTTGAGAATGATTGGGTCTCACTAAACCTCATCGCGAACCGTCCTAATTGGGACATTTTTTGAGACACTTCCCGAAGCTTTCGGTCCGTTACACCTGAATCGGTCGATAGATCGTATATTATGCTAATTATGTTTCGATTTAAACTTTTTGTTCATCTCAAAAGCTATTTCGCTGGTTATACGGGGTAATTCCTTACATCCTTGTAATAACCCTTGAAATTTTTGTCTTTGATATTTTAATTCATCAATCAATGGGAATTTTTCATTGACATTGTAATAAGGATTTATAAGGATATCGAATAATCCTATCCATTCACTCTTCCAGTATCTTTTGAAGTTCTCTTTCAATTTGTTTTTCCCACTCTTCAAAGTTTCGATTTCGATATATTTACCGAATAGTAAGGTATGAATGATAGCAGCAATCCCGTAATAATCTGCTTCAAATGACCATGATTGGTTATTATTCATTTGCGGACAATCTTGTTGATCGGCTTCCCAGGTATTGGTGAATTGTGTACCTTCTGGGAATAAGAATAAATCTATTGATCGTCCGAAATCGATTAAGATCATTTTATTGTCCCTATGATCATCAGTTTTGAAATCTATCATGCAATTATCGGCCTTTAAATCTCCATGGATTATTCCGATGGTATGTAACTTTTCTATAATTTCTAATAACTCAACCGTGAAGAAGATACATAATTCTTCGTCTACTCCTTTACCCTGGTTACGATAGTAATTAACAATATCCAATAAAGTTCCTTGACTAAGATATTTCAATATGAGGAAACTTTCATCTTGGTACATATATAAAGATTCAGGTTTGATGATTTTAGTGGTTATTTCATCAGTGGATAACCTTTGATGGATTTGATTCAAAATATAGAATTCCCAATTGGAGGATTTGGTCTCAGCTTTCAAAGCCTTGAAGTTTCCTAATTCGTTCTCAATAAGGTAAACATATCCAAAACCACCTTGACCTAATTCACATTTTAAGGAATAAATTTCATCTCCACAGAAATTAACTATGGCTGAACTACTTTTCTGAATCACCTTGGTTCTGGAGTCTGTGATGGATCTGAACCTCCTTATAGCTTCTATAAACTGTGTTTTGGTATTATTGTATCCCGGATAACTTTCTAAGGATGGGGTTAAACTATTGAGAAGACTTTCACGAAGGTTTTCATCAAGTGGATCTACAACATTGATTATATCATCGGGTCTTTCTATAAATGGAGAGCTAGAATTCGAAGGCTCTTGAGTTGGAGGAGTCACCTTAACATCTATAGGTTTATTGAATGTTTCTGTGACAAACCCATCATAATTTGTTGAGTTGGCCTCTGAAATTGCATCTTCATCTTTGACATCATAAGCACCATTGAACATACCCAACACTTCGTTGTTAGCAATTTTTGAGTAAAATGTCATTGTAGGAGATCTCAAAACTCTCAGCTCTTCGTCCTTCAAAGGTATGACAAATGTATTGGATTCTTCATATTCTCGTTTAATTGGAGTTAAAGGTCGAGATTTGAATTCTTGTGTGGACTCAACAATAGGTGGTTCCTTTATGTCTAGATTCTTTGGTCTCAACCTCCTGTTCTTAGCAAGTAATTCCATCATTGATATTTCCTCGTTTCCATACAAAAGTTGAGTATTTACCATCACTTTGTCAGTAGCTTTTCCTGGTTTACTCACAACAGTGATAATCTTACCATTAACTTCTTCATGAGTTGTCGTAGGTTGGACAGAAACAACTTCTACATCCCTATAAACTTGAACCTTTTGACTTCCACTTTCTCTCAGAGATGATCTTTGAGCTAGAACTTCTCCCTGCCATGGTTTGGCATTAAACACATTCTCTTTCTTACGCAAATTGATGGATCCAATCTCTTTGGAATCTGCATCTTTGAAGATATTTTTTCCGAAGCTCATTTCACTGTCGTCCACCAAAACATTGAATTTGGATTTCTTCACTGTAGTTGGAGCAGAATCAGGAACATTACCTCTTTTCAAGGTCAAAACTCTCTTCAACCCTTCAGACTTGTCATTGTTATACGTCACTCTCGATTGAAAGTCCTTGAATGATCTTAACAATCTGTTTATTGGTCTTGCATTGTGTTCAATACCATATTCATATATTTCTTTGGCATCGGTAAACTTGTGATTGACTTCCAACAATTTCCCAAATTCTTCATAAAATAACGCCAATTCTCTCCCTATCTCTTTCTTAGCAAGGTAAACAAATACTTCAATGGGAGAATCTGAGTAATTGGCATACTCTAACCAGGTCTTTAAATATCTTGAATCGTTCTTATAATGCTCATGATCTTTGAAATAGCTTGTACATCTCTCTAGTAGATTCACCAATCCACTCTCTACGTTGTTGCCCATAGGAAAAGCATTATGAGTCCAGTTTATATAGTCTAAGAATACTTGTAAAGGATCATCTAGTTCATCTAACTGGGATATTTGGGTCTCGAATTTATTTCTTTCCTTGTCATTCATCGGCGAACTTCGAGGTCTGTTCAACAGCTCTAAAAGTCCAGAAGCTGAACGACCACCTACCATTGGCTGGATGTTCTCTTTATGACGTTCAATCATTGATGCATCTGACAGCATTTGATGTAAACAAACTGTTAGTGCGCGTTTTTCAAGATCTGTAGTTGAACACCTGAGCCAATAGATCTAGATGAACTTTTGGGTCTTTTTATCATTACTTTGGGTATCGTTGGCCCATCAATACTACAATGAGTCATTGGAAATAACGCCATTACCTCGAAATAACTTGTTGGCTCAATTTGAATTCGAGGTCAAATCATTACCACAAGAAATCAAATATCATGAGAATGGAACTGAATCTTCAACTACTCATTATACATATTTCCCTAGAAGTGTAGGTCCATTACTTGAAAATTCAAATACAAGAGAATTGCATCTTCGATTCACTCAAGGTTGGTGGGATGCTGAATTATGGGGGAAAGTTCCTTCTGATGGTAAAAAAAGTGGAGGTACAGGTGTTGAATTATGGGCTATTATTGAAGCTCCAAGTTCTAGTCAAGCTTTAAAGCATTGGTATAAATTATCAAAATCATTATCAGGGTTTTTCTGTGCTTCTTTAAATTTCATTGATGATAGTATTACCACGTTCCCATTGTCCTCATTTGCTGAAGAAAGTTTCAAAGCTGATGAAGCCAATAAATTATTCTTAATAAGAGCTGCTTTACCAAGTGAACCAATTTGTACAGAAAATTTGACTCCTTTTTTGAAATTGTTACCAACTAGAGGTAAAGCTGGAGTTTCTTCTTTATTGGATGGTCATAAGATCTTTGATTCTCTTTGGCATTCCATGTCCATTGATATTAAAACTCAATGTGTTGATGATGTTTGTAATTATCAAATGGATCAAAGTATTTATGCCATTATTGATGTCCCAAGATGTTTACGTAAACACGAAGAAGGGGCTATTGCCAAACCCATTCAAGGAGAAAATTTAAGATGTGATACAACAAAAGATCATGATATTTGGAAATGTTTCCCGCTTGGTTTACCAACAGAATTAAACTATGATTTAGAAACTATCTTTGGTAGACCAATCCGTGGTTCTTGTTTCACTGATGAAGTGTCTCCTGTTAAAGTGAATTTCAAAGATGGCTGGAAAATTGATATTAAAGAAGGTTTAAACATCAACACTTTGAGCTCTGATCATCCAATTTATGAAATCAAGGGTACAAAGCCTGTGAATATTGACTTCAACATTTCAAACACTACCAATATTCCCAAAATTGAAGCTGCACCTTTGATTGTTTCAAGATCTTTGACAGGTTACTCCCAAGATAAAGGAGGATTCAGAGTATCTTTTACCAATACACAAGACAATGAAGTGAAGTTCATTTATTTTGAATCGCTACCATGGTTTACCAGATTATACTTGAATACATTGAGGGCCACTGTCGATGGTAAGGAAGTTGATTTTAGTGATTATGTTCACTTGAAACATTATTTACCAGCTATTGATAGAAAAAGACCAAGTCACATGGAATTAGAGGTCATCATTCCAGCCCACAAAACCTTGATTTTGAATTATAAATTCGATAAATCCTTATTGCTTTATGCTGAGTACCCACCTGATGCTAATCATGGATTCTCCGTTGAACCAGCCGTCATCACGGTATTCAATGATTCAGGGAAATTGTTTGAATTGAGAACCACCTCTTCATTAATCACTTTACCAACTCCAGATTTCTCAATGCCTTATAATGTTATAATCTTGACTGGTACAGTAATGTCTTTGGCTTTTGGTTCAGTGGTGAACTTATTGATTAAAGACATCATCACAGAAGAAGAGTATGAAAAACTTGCAGCTCAAGGAAAGCTCCAAAAATTGATTGCTAAAATAAGATTTAGAATCAAATTTGTTGTCACCACCATAAAAAACATCATTTTCAATGTAAAATCATTGATTGCATCTTTAGTAAGGAAGTAGTCGTAAATATATCTTCTGTTGTAAGTTATTTCTAGATCCGCAAGAGTCTCACCGATGAGAAGAACAAGACCATATTTTGTAAAATTCACAAATTTCGACCAGAAATATGAATATGTGGAAATACGAAACTACCAATTATATTCACGAACTTGAACAAAGTACAAAAAGAATGCAGAGAAAGTACAGAGAAATCATTTCACACTAATAATATTATTATACAGTCTATTAAGAATTAAATTATTTACCAACAGCTGATTTGATTGAAGTAACAGCTTGTAAGTTTCTGTCATCTTCAATACCACCATGAGCGATCAATTCAGCTTGTAATCTTCTATCAGCAGCTTCTCTTTCAATTCTTTCTTGTTCCATTTCAACGTGTAAGTTTCTGAAGTGGAAGAAGAAAGCAACAGCAAAGATCATACCAATAACAGCCATAGCAACGAAAGCCCAAGTAATGTTTGGATCGACTAAAGCTGGAGTAACAGCTTGTGAAAGGGCAGCTGAAAGGGCACTCATGAATAAACAGATAGCCATAACTAAGGATTTCAAGTGAGGTGGAGCTCTGGTATAAGCTAATTCGTATGAAGTGGTGTTAGCAAAACATTCGGAAATAGCTTGCATGATATATAAGATAACTTCGACCCAAGCAGAGATAGGAGCAACATCGTCACAAGTTGAAGCTTGGTCACCACATGGAGATTTTTGATAAATGAAATGTTGAATAATGGCACCAACAGCTTGAGAAACAGCAGCAATAACGAAACCTAAAGTAATTCTCCAAACAGGTCTGAATTCAATCTTGTTTTTTCTTAAGAATGGATAAATAATGTAATCCAAGATTGGGATGAAGATGATAATAGCTAAAGGATTGAAATTGTTGAATAAATCATTTGGAACACCATTTAATGACATTGAACCAGCTTGAGAAGTTTGAACAGTTCCAATACCTCCATCATTCATTAAATAAATTGGGAAATAGAAGAAAATCTTACAAGCATTAACAGTTTGAGCGACATCTAAAACCCATTGATCATTCCAAGAAATTGGTTTTGATTTAGTAAAGAAATCTCTACCTCTAGCAGCCATATTGGTTGGTTTAGCCCATTCCCAAAATTCACCAGCTCTGTATCTTGAAATCCAACCACCTTCGAATGAAACTCTTAAGATTTTGATGAAATTTTTCATAACTGAACCTTGAATTTCAGAAACGTATAATTTAGGACCAACGATAAATAAAACAATTGGTAAGAATAAGTACATGACAATTGGAATAAAGAAACCTAACCAATAACCAACATCTCTGGCACAGTAAGAAGTAGCTAATTGGAAGAAAGCACCAATGTTAATAGCCCAGTAAAAGACTAAAGTCATTCTTTCTAAGGTTTTTTCTTTGTCAACGATAACTTTTTCACCTGATGGTAAAACTTTAACAACATCAGTTTCGTATCTGTATTGATCCATTAATAAAGGTAATAAATTTGGTTTGATGAAACCGGTACCAACACATAAACTAAGAATAGCTAAAATAGTTGGAGCAATAGCATGACCACCAGCAATAACTGAAGGAATACCTGCAATGATAAATAAAACATGGGAAATGAAACCAGCAGCAACCCCAATCCAGATAGCTTTCAATCTACCAATTGAAGTATCAGCAACATAACCACCATATAATGGAATAAGATAAGCTAAGAAAGTCAATAATAAAGTTAAAGCAGTAGCAGCTTGTAAACCCATATCTAAAGCACCAGCACTTTCATTTTCATGAGCTTTACCTCTTTGTGGAGCACCAGTAGTTGAACCTTCAGGTAATGGTCTTTGAATGAAATTTGATAATAAACCAGTAGTTGAATAATATGAAGCTCTTTCGGCTAATTCAACCAAACAAATTAAATATGCTTGATAAGGAGCTCTACCTAAAATTCTTCTTAAACTTTGGGATTCTTGTTTAGTTGGGAATCTTAAACCTCTTGGATTATACTCATCAGTATAAAGGGTGTTATAGTTTCTTTCGTCGTCAAAATCATATTCTTCAGAGATAGCATCTGACCAACTTTCTTCGTTGACAGCTTTAGTGTCTTTTTCAACAGGAAGACTTACTTTTTCATCAATCTTTTCTGACATAATTGCTTATTGAATATGAAGAGATTAAAATTTTAACAAAGGAGATTTCATCAACTATTTATATTTTACAAAAACTTTATCGTCCAATTGATAAGGCAGATTATGTGGAACAAAGATAAACGCAAAGCACATTGTGATAAAAAACCAAAATGTCCTGAAAAAGAAAGTTTCACACCACACATTCGCCGTATAAAATTTTGCCAGAGTTACCTAATAAGATGATATTTTCGATATAGAATGCCTTAATATCTGTCTAAATAGGATTTTTACCAGTAAGTGTGGATTAAAACGTTTGGAGTGGAGATCTCCTGGCATTAAAGTTAATCCTGATTACATGGAGAAAATACTTTAGCCCTGAGAATTATGCGTTTAGATTAGTTAATTGGTCTTGTGATGGTGTAGCATATTGTTTGTTTGACTTTCGAGAAAGGTTTTATGATGTGCTGTCAAAAGCATCTCTTGGCTAATGTACAATAGGATCTTGACATAATTGACATCCTTGACACCAATAATTCTTGGGTCGATGGCCTTATGTCGTTCTCTTATCAAACTTCTGGCTTTTTGGTTCTATATGCCCGCCTGCGACATTTTATGACATATTTGAAATTCTTGTGGCATTTCCTATAGTAAAAATCCCATGTTCCCTATTGTAAGGTGCGGATGTCACCCAGCCTTCCGCGACATTTAGACAGTTGATGCCATTCCATCAAATGGGAAACTTCAAGGCATCAATTATTATTTTTCAGGATACATCACATTCAGTAACCAACTTATTGAGTTGCCGTGCACAATAAGAAACTGTGAATAAGCGAACTGTTTACGGGTAAGATCTGAAACTGAAACAAAACTGAAAGTTAAACTCAAGATGTTATTTCTTGACTATAGGACAACTTTCAGCGAATTTCCGTTTGATTTTCAGTTGAGAGACATCAACATCTCCTGTTATCACCCTCTTCTAACTTGACAGATTGTATACGCGCGATATTAAGGTTACATTATCCTTCTATCACATGACCCCCTCCCTTCGTTCCGTGATTTGCACTAGGCGTTTGGTGTTTTTATCTTAATACCGTTCACTTCCGCGAGTTTCCTGTTGTTGAAAAACATTGGAAATCCATGGAGAGATATCATAGGTAGATAATGTGGTTATTAGCCAATGACGTTGGTGTTATCTGACGTGATAGCCAGATCCTATTGTGTTATCAACCTCCATTTGGTGCCTCAGATCCTTGGCCTTGGCTCCATTCTGAGAGATGGGAAAAAAAATTTTGTATTGCATAGCCTAACTCTACTTGTCTCTTAATTCATTCATTTTTTTGGTGAGGACCCTTCTAATATCCGGGGAATTTAATTGTAATGTTTGATCTTCATTGTAATTGGAGGAGTCGCTGGATTTAGATAGGTTGGCATCTTTCAATCTGTTTAATCCAATATATGAATTTGTGAGGGAGGAATTCTGGGACCTTTTGGGTAAATATGCCTTTTCTTCTTGATACTTTGCATCTGAATCTTTTAATCTTTCAGGACTTGACTTTTCACGGGATGGGCTTTCTACAATTGGCTTTTCGTTATCCTTTTCAGCTTCAGCTTCAATATCACCCTCCTCGATCTCTGTCTCCTCTTCATCAGGCTCAGTTGGTTCATTGTCGCCGAAATACTCTAAATAATCTACTTCTGAATCAAATTCATTTTCAATATATGGATTCTGGTCTTGATTGGGAACTCTATCAGTTTGATATTTTAGGTGTTGATTGATTGGACTATCGTCATTTGAACTATGAAAGTTACCCGAACTTTTCGCTTTCCTGATTTTCAAATTTCCTTCACTATTGTGTCTCTTTTCATGATAATCAGTGTTGGCACGATTATTGATGAATTCTTTTTTGCTGGGTGTGTTATAACTCATAGAGGATAATGAAACATTGGATTGTCTTTCCCTATTTGGGCTAGTATGGCCACTCGAATTCCCATTACTACTCTTGGTGTTCAAAAAAGTTTGAAAATTACTGATGGAATTTCTCTGTCTTCGGTGTTTGACATTACCTGAAGAGTTTTGTCTTCTGAACTTTGGGGCATTTTTCATTAAAGAGTTGATTCTTCTTAGCTCATGATTTTTGGAATCCGGGGTTAAAGGGACATTGACTGGATTGGTAACCAAAGAATTTTCAAAAGTTGATTTGAAATTTGATGTAATAGATCTCCCTCTCAACAAAGAAATTGCTTTATCAAGTTCGAACTCTACACCGCAATGATTATTGATTATTGTCACCTTTGGCCATGTGGCTCTTGCACCTCTGATTATAAAATCAGCTATGAACTCTGGAGTGGGGTTATCGAAAATCTTTTGAAAGTCGTTGACTTTGAAATTTGGTAAAATGGTAATATCTCCACTATAACTTTGTGATAAAAGGGAAATACATTTGATGGAAAGATTCTTATAAATATCCATTTCACTAAGAATCTGTAAAAAATGTACCAATTCACTTGAAAATAAATCATAGATATTATTCAAAACACTTTTGAATCGACCAGTTAACTCATTTTCTGCTTTAACCCCAGGATTACTAGTAGCTATTCTTAAGATAGGAACAACATGGGGATTAACTTGAACAGCAATTATATGATCAACATTGAACATTTCCAGTAATCTTGTGATGGGTAAATCATTATCAACCGAACCATCCACGAATTTGATGGAAGAATCGTTATTCCATTTTTGAATCTTATTGGTTCTAGGATTCTTTTCATAGATGGAAGTACTAGGAAAAAATCCTGGTAATGAACAGGATGCACAAACTGCTGACCAAATCAAACAATTAGGAGCAGTTAAATAATTCAATAATCTGGTCTGTTCGTGCATAGCAGCGGGAGAAACCGTGATATTCAATATCTTCCCTGTTCTATTATATGCTTCTCTGAATGTCAAGTCTCCTACAAATCCTTTAATTGTCCTTTTCAAACCTTCCATTTCAAAAACTGTTCCATATTTCAAGAAATGGCCTACTCCTTTTAATAATCTTCTGAACTGATTCTTTCTTTTCTCATCTCCTTTTTCACCTGTTTCATCAGTTTCATCATGTTCATGATCATCATTAGATTCAAAAATCCTGAATTCCTTTTCACTTAAGGTCTCGATTAATAGTTTGTTCTCTTCATTATTATGACAACATAAGATTGACGCCACTATGGAACCAGCCAGTGACCCACTAATAATTCTCGGTAACAAATTAACTTCTAATAAAGATACCAAAACACCTATATGAAACATACCAAATGTTGAACCTCCACTCAAAACCAAAGCCGTTCTACCAATATTCTTCCTAGTTTGAATCAACATTCCTAATAAGTATCTATCGTCTAAGTTCACACTAGAATCATTTATAAGATATTGTAATGACAATTTACACTCTCCTATGTATTCTTCAATCAATCTTTTTGTCCCAACCAAAGAATGCTTATAAAGATTGATATCTCCCATATTACCAATATTCCTGACCCATTTAGTACGTATTAAGTACAACAACAATTTATAATCCTTGTTCAATCTTGCTTGTTTCATCTCGTTTAAGTTATTGAAAATCAATTCGTAGTCATATAAATCACTATCAGTAGTTAGTTTCCAAAGATTATTATCCATAATTTCATCTAATCGGAGGGATATCTCATACCACTTGGAATATGATGTTGCTACTGACTGTTGATATATGAGTTCATCAATCTTTTTCTGTTTTTCGTCTACTTTGGGTAATATTCTATTCAAGATAGGAACTTTTTGTGCATATGATAACAAAGAAACTCTATTACTAGGTTTTTTCAAGAAAGTCTCACTGTATTGAGTCATTAAAGACTCTATAATATCTGAGATATCACCTTCATTCATATTGTATTCAGGAGAAAGAGATTCAGTCATCTTTTTAACCTCCTTAACTATATTTGTATTGGTGATAGTGATATCTGATAAGTCACAAAATCTGGGGAGTGCGAAATCATCTCTTCTCACTAAGAAAAAGGTTGTACGAAATTGGAATCTTTTTCGATATATTAACAGTGACTCATAACTTTTCAAAGGTAACACCCTTTGGTTCGAGGAACCAGATACGACATTTTGTGAGAAGAAAGCTCAATCAAAGTAAAACAAAAGGTGGTGCCCATAAAGTAGATTTAAACCAATTTACTAATACTAAAGAGTTTTTCAAGTTTTTTAATAGTTACGGTGATTTCAAAACTTCGGTGACTAAAATGTTTTCTATAACCACCATTAATCATAGAACCTCCGATGTTAGTCATCCTTTGATAATGATAACCAATCGTCAAAGTCAAAGGTATTTTTTCGGGAAAGTTCCTGAAGGTACTCAGAGGTTACTTAATGAAAATAAGTTCAGATTGACTAAGTTGAAGGGGATCTTCTTGACGGGAACGTTGAATACTTGGTCAGAAATTGGTGGATTGCCGGGTTTGTTTTTGACTATAGGAGATACTACCATCAAGAATGTAGAGGTTTACAGTACTTGCACTAAGATTTTGAATTATATTGTAGCCACTTGGAGATACTTTGTCTTCAGGAAAGGTGTAACGATTAATATCAATGATGTTTCAGATACTCCTGAACCTTTCATTGGTGATAGTTCCCTCATGATCAAACCTGTTAAGATAGCTAGCACCAGACCCTCCATTGTTATTCAAGATGAAAACAAGATATCCAGACAATTAAGAAAATTAGTGAGTTTGATGTTCCCTTTGGATACAAGTTCAGCTAACAATCCTGATCCTGAATCTTATAAGAGTGATCCCAATGACAGCGATATACAAAATTACGTCTCCATAGATGATGTAGATATCAAGCAATTCTCATCAAATCAAAAATCCTTAAACTATTTGATTCGTTTTGTGCCTATTAGAGGTAAGTTCGATGTGGCAAAAGCAAAACAACTTAACATTAAACCGGGTGAATTGTACAGGGAATTAACTCAGGGTAATCCTGTAATGAATGAAGATAATGAAATGGTCTATCCTCATCAAGTTTTAGGAGAAGATCAACATTTCAAGAAGGTTTTGATCTTGGATATCCCCAACAATGATTATTTGGATAATACTATCCAACAAAATTGGATTCCGGAAGATTTTGGTGATGAAGAGATTGGTTTAGTTTACCACTTGTTAGGTGATGATATAGATTTCACCCTGGAAAAGTACACAAATTTCATTGAAACTTTCCCTTCCGATTGTAAGCATGTGATCAACCATAAGTCTTTAGCTGATGACTGCATTTCCTTCAAAACTTTCTCAGTACATCTATTGAAATTGAGATCTTTGCAACTGAGTCATTTCAATTTACCTTATAGCGAATCTTATAAACCATTACCCCCAAATGACCATAATATCGTTAAATTGCATCAACTCCAAAATATTGAGATCACTCCCAAAGATATGAAAATAGATGAGTCACAGATCTTTAACAAGTCTTGGTCTCAAATTTATGATGAAAATATTGAACCTTTGAATTTAAAAGGTGTTCAAAAGGATAAAGTGATAGATCCTAAACCTTTAAGCATCGGATTAGTTCACAGTGAGTTGAAGGATAATGTCCAAATAACCACCTTGGGAACAGGTTCTTCATTACCAGCTATTGATAGAAATGTTATATCAAATTTGGTTCGTATACCCATTGAAATAGATGGAGAAATTACTTTCAAATCTGCAATCTTCGATGGAGGTGAGAATACTTTTGGGGGATTGTTGAGAACTTTCGGTTATGATGGACAATGGGAAAAGATTTTGAAAGAATTGGGATTGATTTTTTTGAGTCATTTACATGCTGATCATCATTTGGGTATAATATCGATTGTTAATGAATGGTTTAAAGTCAACACAAATGGAGAAATTTTGCATTTGGTTTTACCTTGGCAATATAGTCATTTCTTGAATGAATGGTACAAATTAGAAGCCATTGATGTTGATCTCTCAAGAATCAATTTTGTCAGCTGTGAAGATTTCTTGAGGAATAGAACATCTCAATATAAGAAGTTTTCCATGGACAGTTTCGAAGAGAAATTTGATAATGGTTTAAGAAATACTTCATTGGAAAAAAGACCTTTGGAGCCTATTAATATGGATAATATTAATAGATTGTATGAAGACTTGAATATTGTGAGATTTGACACCTGTAGAGCTATTCATTGTTTTTGGTCATATTCAGTTTCAGTGACTTTCCAGTTGAACGATAGTGAAACTTTCAAAGTTTCTTATTCCGGGGACACTAGACCTAACCCCAAGTTTATTGATATAGGGTATAATAGTGATGTTTTGATTCATGAATCATCGTTGAACAATGAATTGATAGAGGAAGCTTTAGCCAAAAAACATTCCACAATGATTGAAGCCATCAATGTTTCAAGATACATGAACTGCCCTAGATTGATTTTGACTCATTTCAGTACAAGATTCAGTAGTCAGGCAAATTTCATTGAAGGTGAAGAGCATTTCACCCGATTATCCAATGAACTCAAGGATTATTTGAAGGAATATAATTCGAGAACCAATATTTATACCTTAGAAGAAAAATTACAAAGACCAATAAAGCAATTTAATGAATTAGACATTGCATTCGCCTTCGATTCTTACATTACCAGACTTAACGAAGTAGGAGATCAGAAAAATGTTCTCGATCTCTTGAACGAGTTGTTCGAACCTGATGATGAGAAAGAAAATTTGAAGGAAATGAAAAGAATCGAAATCAAAAGGCAAGATAAGAGGAATAAACGGTTAGAATTACAGAAGAAACGCAAACATGAAAATAATGATTCTTAAGATCTGTAAATAGAATAGATAGATTTTTCGCAGCAAAAAAAATCTCCTCTTTAGCTATGTACCATGGATAAGTATCCTTTGGTTCTTCAGAACTCATGGGTCTATGGCTCAGTAATTTCCTCAATTGATATTGGAAAAACATACTTTGATCCTGTATTGGTTAAAAACTTTGTTAAAGATAACAAAACAGTCGATGAAAAAACGCCGATTCTCAGAATCTTTCAATTTCTTAAAATCACCAAAGATGATGGAATGTCAGCTATTTTGAATGACAGTAGCCATAAGATACTATGTAAGTTTACATATAAATGCTGCAAAGAATTTGAAAGGATATATAGACAAAGAATCACTTTTCAAACTTTACATTGTTTACTTCTAATCAACACAGCACATTTGAGATTTATAGATAAATCCGACTTGAACAGGGACTTTGATACTTTCAATGTCAATTTTGATGTTATAGTACTTGAAGTCAATGATTGCACGATATTTAATCACGACAGGACAGATTTACCATTAAGTGTTGAGAAATCTTTGAAATTCATTTATGACGAATCCCCTTATAAAACTGCATGTGGGCCCAGGCATATCAATGACGAAGATAATTACTCTGATGATGATGAAATTAAATCCTTATAGGCTTCACTGATTAATTATCTGAAATTTAAGTTCCGTTATAAACTCCATACTTGCAGGAGAACCCTCTAATGGAAATGCACAAAAAAAAATGAAAACAAATTACAGATAAAGAGGCAGTTCACTTTTGGAATCCGTCAAGCTCCAAGAAAGCTAAACTGTAAAAATAGGAAGTTACAATAAAAATAATAATAAAAGTCCTGTCTGATAATTTCGTAATCACCAAATTCCCATATGGGAAACATTCACAAAATGATATGATTGGTTGAAATTACCCCTGAGATTGATTTTCAAAACCTAATATTGTCCATACGTCAGAAAATAGCCTAATTAGTAATATCAGGAGAATGAGGAGGAAATAAAACGACCTGATTGGCTGAAATCGCGAGAAAAAAATTAAATTTTCTGAAATTCACTCACCTCAAGGATTGTTTTTGTTAGTGGCAAGTCTCTCGAAAATACTCAAATGGGATAAACTGCAAAAATTCAGTATCTGGGAAAACTCAAAAATGATGCCAATCTGTTCAAGGACATTTTCGAAAAACTATAAATAGTGGGTGATTATCCTTATTCTTCAGCACATATTCTTCAGAATAAACATCATCGTCATGAAAGTCATTACTTATAAACTTAAGAACTTAATTAAATCCCTTAGATCTGACAGTGAAAAGAAAGAAACTTGTTACAAACGTAAGCCTATGCCATATGAAAATCAAAGATTTAGTGGACATGTTCAAAAACAATTATCCATATTGTAGGGTTTATTTCATGAAGATGGTAAGGGTTTCTTGAAATCCTGGTTGGTATTAATGGATAGTTTGAATATATGCATATATTGTTGTGGACCAACACTCTAATGTAGATCTTTGAGGTGCAGGCCGACTGCTCACCTTACTAATAAAGAGCTCTGAGAAAGAAACATTCAAGGTTCGTAAATTTTATATACTTCATTAAGCTGCTTGATCCATCACATCAACTTGAGGTTGGGATCTAATATTTCTTCCGTTATTCATTAGTTTGTAAACATCGATAATTTTATCTTCCCAAATACTCAAGTCTGGGCATTTGAGTAAATTATCGAGTAAAGAAAGTTTCAAAGTGAAAACTTCATTGTAAACAGGAGTTTCGCTAACAACATAGTCGTTCATGATGGAAGGAGAATTAATTAAGAAATCTATTCCAAAAGATGACAATGAAAGATTGACTAGCAATTGGTAAATGTGATCATTCGACGATAATGTCTTTATTGTATCGGGTAATTGGAACTTCAATAAGTCAAAGCATTTTTTTGACTTGACGAGATTCAAAAGTATGGTGAAGTACTTATTACTCGATAATGGGAACTCCAAAAGCCATTTAATAAATTCTGGAGGGAATGTGGAAGCGTTAAATTTCGATAACAAGTATACATCACTTGGTCTGTCGAGATAAAAATCGGATGATTTCAAAAAAATGAATTCATTCATTTTAAAAGATAATTTTATCAAGAAATTGTTGACTTCGGTAATAAGAAAAGAATCAACAATATCGTTTTCCATTCTCAAATAAAATAATTCAATCATCTGATCAATTGGTAAGGTATTAATATCAACCTTACCTATTAAATCAGTGAAAAATTGAATTTTCAAGATATTCAAAAGAACATCATCATCATTAGGATCGACTTTGAAATGATATGGATATATTGAAGGTTTTATCAAGATCAAAGTTAGTAATCTTGCGACCAATGTTGAATTATTGTTGGATTCCACTTCAGCAAAAAGAGATTGAAACTCTTTGAGTACATTAGAATTGACTATATTGATGGTTCTTTCAAATAATCTCTCAATTTGATTACAAATTTCAATTTTTAATTCGTCGTCAGCTAAATACATCTTCAAAATCTCGAACAACAATCCATTATCCACCATATCTATTTTATCATAATTCAAAGTTAACAATTTTAAGATCAATAAACAGAATTGATTCTTATAAGCCAAATTGGTAGTTATAACTTGTAAGGGATATAAAGCCGAGATGATATTTATAGGTAATTTAGACAATATTGTCTCATACAATGAAATAACCTTGAGATTCTCATCTAACTCATAATATTTCTCATCATTGAGAAACAGATTAATTGAAGGCAAAATTGAAACCAAAGTATCGTCATCACCATTAGACGATGCAATTAATCTATTAAGTCTATCAATTTCCAACTCATTGATTTTCCTGGTATTTAATTGACTCTCTATTTGTTCCTTCAACTCTATAATACTCATTTTTTTATTTTGCCACCACTGTAATCCACTACTTTTAGTTATAAAACGGCTGAAATACGTAAAATTCAATCGCTACAAACAATTAAGGCACGTTATTCGCTTACTATAAACTTTACCAAGATCGGGATGAATTTCCCCTTAAAATTCCGATGGATCAAAAAATTCGGTTAACAACTCAACAGTTTAACCTTTTTGAGATTTTTCAAAAAATTGACGAGAACCGTTGAATTCGTCTAAAAAAAAATAAATTGTTCATTTAAGTAGAGTTTTAGATTTCACATCCTCAAACATTAATATTTAAAGTTATATTTTCAAATTCCCTTTAATAGTGAGATCTAAACATAAAGGGCTGAAAGGAAATTTTTCGTGTGATTGCTAAGGGTTTGAGAATTAAGGTACATTTTCACAACCATCGACTTTAATCGCAATTCGTTAAAGTTAAATAAGATATTTAAAGTTATCAACAGATTTAAAGTTGAAAAATCTCCATAACTAAACATGCTGAGTCCAGATTTTGAAGTCAATGAATTCAAAGACATTGCTCTTAAGTTATACAAAGAAGAATTCGTATCGGTTCAGCCTGAGGAATATATTCAATTTTTAGCTTCCACTGATGAAGAATCAGTTCAAATAAGATCTTATTATATGGATTTATTCAAATGGGATGCCAATTTATTGAAAGCTACAAGAACTTTATGTTCCAAATTATACTTGAAGGGAGAAAGTCAGGAAATTGATAGAATCTTAACTAGTTTTACCAAGAGTTACATTAAACAAAATCCTGTTAATGTGTTTTGTACTAAGAATTTTGAAAAGATCTATATTGTTTTATATAGTTTGGTATTATTGAACACTTCTTTACATAATTCTGAAGTCAATAAGAAATCTAAAATCAGTCAAAATGATTATATCAGAAATACTTTCACTACTTTCATCCAACAAGATGTGAAAAGTCTGAAGAAATTATCAATTAAACAAAGAATTATCATTGAAAAGGAATTAGGTAATTATTATGATGATTTATTAAGGAATGAATTACATTTGAAAACCAGTGGTGATGATGAAAAAATGAATCATATCTTAGATTCAACCAAGGACACTAATGGTGTTCATAAGAATGGTCATGAAGAACACCCTGAATCTAAACATAGTCATAGCAATAGTGTTACCACGGAAGATTTAAGTTTATCAAGACAAGTTTCAAGTTCATCTATTTGGTCAACTGATACTGCAAATAGAGCTTCACTCAATATGAAGAGATTATCAAGTGCTACTTCTTCAGTCAGTCAATTCACTGTAACCAACAATGGACGTAATAATAATAGAGTTGGATTCACCAGAGCTTTGGCTAATGATCAAGCAAGTTCTAGATTTTATCAACAAGGTAATGGTTCCATGGTTTCCAATGGCACTTATGGTACTATCAGAAATCGTCAAAGTATTGATAAATTGAGAAACTTGAGTGGCAATCAACAAAATTTGAATAAGAGATCCTCAAGAGCTTCTATTATAAGTAGAGATTCTTTAATTACTAATGGTGATGACTCAATGTCAGTGGTTTCATTTGATTCCATAAATTTATCAAACTTCCAATTGGATGATGCTCCTCAACAAAATTTGGAAAATTTCAATGTAAGTGAATTTCAAGATAATTTCGATCTTACTTTAGAATTACAAGGATCACCTTATTTGAAAGAAGGGTTATTGAAATTGAAAATCTTGAATAACGATCAACAAGATAATAATGCTCCAGAACCAATAATTTCAAGTGCTGCTTCTACTGCTTCAACTTCAACTTCAACTACTTCAAGATTTTTCTCCTTTTTCAGTAGAAGACAACCTATCACAGGTCATGAACCTTCCAACACTATCAACACCAACAATCCTTTAACTAATAATAAATTTGTGGAATACTTCGTAGTGGTTTCGAAGGGAGAATTGAACTTATATTCTTTTGACCCTAAAACTATCAAGAAGCATCAACAAAGAATTAAGAAATTTCAAAAGAAACAATCTAAGAATTTGTTAAGTTTAGATTATTTGGATGAAGAGGATGAAGAGGATGGTGACATTGGTGACGGTAATTGGTTAAAAAATGCTGCTAATGTTGGTAATTATAATCTTTGTTCTACCTTTTCTCAAATTGAAAGATCTTCCTTATATGTTAAATCCGGTAGTAATAACACTTTTGTGTTTACCATAACTTTCCCTAAAACAACCAAAAGACCTAACAAAAAGTTTGTTTTTGAAGCTGGAACAAAAGAAATCGCTTTAGAATTTATCAATACCTGTAATTTCTGGGCTTCTAAAATTACTGCAATTCCTGCATTCGAAGAGAGTATTTCTTCTATTGAATACGGGTGGAATGATTTAGATAATTTGATCAGAAATAAACCAAATTTCAAAAAATTAAAAACCATTCAAAAATGGGAAGTTTTACCAACTGGTGCTTATTTAAGTAATTATGATAATAATAATGAAAATCATTATAATATGATGAAACAATTCATTAAGACTTTGAACTATTATAATAACTTGAAGAAAGTGTTCAAAGAATTTGATGATTTGAGAGTCAAATTCTTGAAAAACTTTAATACTTACTCAAACACTTCGAACTATTCTAAAATCACCAATAACTTCGAAGCTAAGATTGGTCAATATAAATTAGAACTTAAAAAGTATAAGAATTATTTGATCATTTTAGGTTTTGCCTTACAATTAAGATTTGATTTAGAAGAAGAAGAAAAATTATTAAGTCAAGATGTTGATGATTTGGGAGATGGTGGTGCTCATGAAGAAGCAGACGCTCAAAAGAGCGAAAAGGATGAAAATGATACTGTGGTTGAAAGCAGTGAGGGTGAAGACACTAAAGAACCTGAAGAAAAAGAAACCGAAGTTGAAGAAGATGATGGAGAAACTGAATTATCAAGATTGGTAAAATATGAGATCCGTAAATTATTCATTGGGTTAAAAGATGTTGGAAAAATCATTCCAACTTTCCAAACATCTAAATCCATTTCAAATTTGAATGAATTACAATCCCAAATCCCAAATTTAACTATCAATGATTTCAACAACAGCTTCAATTTAGTCAAATCACCAAAAACCTTCACTTTATCCAACTACAACGATGATGAAAGTCCTATTAATCAGTTGTTACAAACTACTAAGAAGCAAGATATGTTACACAGCTTCAGTCATAATACTATTGAAGAAGAAGAAGAAGAAGAACCTGAGAATTAAACTCATTCAATTCTATTAATTTCTACACCATTTGGGTGACTAATTATTTTTTTATATATTTCTGGAATTCCATGGCGTTTGGAGTATCTTATAATTGATTATAGTGTATTAATGTAGTTCTATGTATATTTGTAGTATCGCGATGTTTTATGTCTGAAACCTCGCATTTTGAAGATAATTCGCATTTTCGTTAAACCGCCACCATGTCAGATCCAAGTTCAATCAATGGTATGTGATAGTTTGAGAGCTCTAAGGGTACTAGGATTTGCTTCCACCCATGAGGGATTAGAATTCATTTGTATTTCAATTACTAACAGACATTTAGGGGGTTCAGCTCTTGCAATGGTTGGTAAAGATTGTGTTGCCATTGCTTGTGATTTAAGATTAGGAAGTCAATCCTTGGGATTAGCTAACAATTTTGAAAAAATATTTAAGATAAATGATAAAGTTATGATGGGTTTAACGGGTTTAGCATCAGACGTAACTACATTACATGAATTATTCAGATTCAAAAATAATTTATATGAATTAAGAGAAGAAAGAAAGATTGAACCATCGACTTTTGCAAATTTAGTAAGTTCTACATTATATGAAAAGAGATTTGGTCCTTGGTTTACTGGTCCTTTAGTTGCTGGGTTAGACAAACATAACAAACCTTTTATTTGTGGATTCGATTCAATTGGTTGTATTGATTATGCAAAAGATTTCGTAGTTAGTGGTACAGCTTCTGATCAATTATATGGTATGTGTGAAGGTTTATATCAACCAAATTTAGAACCCGAAGATTTATTTGAAACTATAAGTCAAAGTTTATTGAATGCTGTTGATAGAGATACTTTGTCAGGTTGGGGTGCTATTGTTTATATTATTACAAAGGATAAAGTCATCAAAAAAGTATTAAGAACTCGTCAAGATTAGTATATTTTCTATTTACATATTAGTTATTTTTTCTGTCTCTTGTTATTATCCTTTAAATTTTCATTGTCCATTTATTTTAATTTCTTATCAACCTCTTTTTCAATAACCTTCTTTAAGATATTATTCTTACCATATAACTCTTCTTCTTCTTTCTTTTTTCTTTCTTCATATTTCTTCTGTTTCAATCTACTTTGTCTGATTCTATCATTAGCGTCACTAACTCTTGTGTGATGAAGACATTTGGATAACTCATCTTTTTCGAAATTACACATTCCTAAAGCTTTTCTTAAGAACTCTTGACGATGACATTCTTCTAAAGCATCCATTAATGATGCACAAGGATCAAATCTAACTCTATCTAATTGTGGGTGCATATTATAAATTTTCACAATTTGACTGGTGCGATTTCTTCTAACATTATGACCATTGGCTCCAGCATCCTTGACTTGCCTAAATGTGTGCTGACTTCGTTCCAATTCTACCATGAACTAGCAAGCTACCTACTCCATCTAATTTTCATCCTAGTATGACAAAGTTCTTACCTCTTTATTAAGTCGTGTGTTGCCCATAAATATGATCTAGTTTTGAGAAGTTTCGTGTTTGTTAACTGTTTGTGCATACCATGTCAAAGGATGATGTTTTAGATTTTATTAATTCCTTACCTGATTCCAAATCAGGAACTCCCAACCCTGAAGGCAAAGAGGATCTTATGGATTTTTTGGATGAATTGGAAGCTCACGATAAAAAACCTGTTAAATTCGAACCAAAGAAAGGTAAGAAGGATAAGAAAGAAAAGGAAAAGAAACCATTGGACAAGAAGGAGAAGACAGAAGATTCAACTGTGTCTAATGAAGGAGGCAAGAAAGAAGCATTGACGGAAATCGATGTTGATGTTAAACCAAAGGAAGTCCAGAATAATGAAGAAAAAAGTGCTAACGAAGAATTGGAGATTGATCCCATCAATTCAATCACCAATTGGTGGAACAAAGAAGGATCTAATGCAGTTTCTTCATTGTGGGGTTCTATCACTAGCAATGCATCAAATTTAAGTGAAACCACATATCAAATTGCTTCAACTACAACTAATCAATTGAATTTACGTCGACAAGAATTCCTTAAAAATCAAGAAACAAATGGTGAAAAAACTTTCGAACAAATAACATCTATCACAAACAGATTGAATGGAATATTATCCAACATTAGTGAAACCATAATTGGAAATGAGGACGAATTATTGAACATCATAATTGTTAATGATTTCTACTTACCTTATTTACATGATTTAATCAACAAAGATTTTGGGAAGGTGATGGGACAAGTGGAAGGAGGTATCAAATTACAAGTCAATGATTTCAATCATAAGAAGGTTTTAGATAATGAATTGAATTTATTTGTTGGCAAGAAAAACGACGGAGAAAAATTATGTTTAGCTAATTTAACAAACTCAATCGAAAACTTTCAAAAAGCCATTGAATTCGAAAAGAATGAAAATACTGAAATGAATGAAAAATTGAAGTTAATCAATAAATCAAATGTTTTTATTTCAATTCTTCCCATCTCAATTGAAACTTCTGATATCATTGATGAAAATGAAATTTCAATTGATCAAAACAACAAATCGTTCCAATTCGTCATTATCTTGAAGGATATTACCAATAATATCACCATCAAAACAAAAACTCAAGCATTCCCATTAATTTGGAATAGTTGGTTAACGGGAAAAGAGACGGAAAAGTTCAATGAGTTCGATATAAATCCAAAAGAATGGGTCAAAGATTGGATTAAAGACGGGTTAAATGTTTCTATCGGTATAGTAGCGCAAGAGTATGTTATCAAGAGAATGGGCTTTTGAAGTTCTATTTAAATTTATTCTGACTATTTTGCTCAATATAGAAAATCTGTAATTGTATAAACTCTGACCACGTTCGATCATATAAGAAGACGTCATAAGGAGGTAATTGAAGGGGGGTTATAACAATAATTGCTTCAATAGCTGAATCTAGAACTCATCCTTATTTAGTTTAGATAAGTCTGAGACCTGTACAGGACGACTCCTTTCCATCATCAATATACGAAAAGGGTAATGAAGATAAGAGATTAAGTTTTCTGAGAACGTAGAGGGGCTATCAGAGAGCCTTCAGAGGGGTACAAGTCAAACCTGTTGATGTATATAAATCTATTTCCGTTTTTTTTCCATAACCGAAGTTACTATTAATCATTAAAATCATTCAGAATAAATCTGCAAATTCTGCAGCATGAGGATGGACTGGCAAAGCATTTAAAATTTTTGAATTGCCAATTTCGTAATTCAAATTATATTCGTAATTGTGTAAAACTCTTTCAATTGAGTTGATATCATTTGCTAATAAATGATTATTGTTATCAATTATTAAAGGTCCGTTAAACTTTAATTTCTCAAAGTTTTCGTTATTAATTAAATTCAAATCTTGAACACAAATCTTGGATAATCTCTTATCTTTTGGAACATTGAATAAAATCTCTGGATAACAATCAATCAAGATTCTAAAATTATCTGGATGAATATTCAAAAAGCTGTCAAAAATATTTGAGAAATCTTTATATGCTGGTTTATCTCTCAAGTTAACTTTGAAATTGTAGTTGTTTAAATTCTTTAAAACATTTGAGTTTAATTTTCCATGTTGAAAGATGGTAATTGATTGTTTAAACATGGTGAATTAAATTAATAAGATTAGGGATTTCTTTGGTATTTATAGTTAAAAATGTTGAACTTGTGGATTGAGGGGAGCGAGTCTGGGTGGTCTTTTTTTTGCAGCAAGGTTTGAGAACCCCTAACTCAATTTTTATATGCTAAAAATGAGAAAAAAAGAGGCTTGAAAGTCAAATTGTTATCTTTTCTGATATTTTAAAGAGTATAGAGTACTTTCCAGCGCTCGAAAGTTATTCGATGTATGGTTAATTTTAGTAAACTGAACTTTAAACTTCTGGATCAATATATCGATAAGAGTTTTTCCGGTCGCGATCGTTTATCGTTTTTATCTTCTCCTCACTTTTTTTTTGTATTCCCAATAATTTTGAATTCCCCTCACCTTTCTCCAATTCTTAAGGCTATGAATCCAACCGCCACCGTAGCCTCTTACCGCCCCTATTTACGTCCAACGGTACTAAAGACGACGCGGGACTCTGACCACCTTCTATTTTTATTCTCTATGACTAACAAAGGGGAGGGGTTTATCAGAAAGGATATTATCATGGAAATTCTCTGGTCACGTGAGTCAATTTTATGTTAAACTGTTGGGTTCTAAATAGGAGATTTTAACTGAATAGGAATGTGTAAATAGAGGAGAGTCGTTTAAAGAGATTTGGAGAACATGATAGAATCATTGGCAACCCCTAAATCCAGAAATGTGGTCACCAGCTCCATTTCATCGGAGAGAATTAGCTGTCGGGGACCTTTGTTGAGTTCTTCCAGTTAACTAGGGGAAAAGATAAGTCTAAAATCTATATTGGGAAGTTCAATTTTCAATCAAAGAATAAACGTCTCTTCTGTGGCTTAATAAGGGCATATTTTCACGTACACTTGATAATCTATCATAATCCAAATCAGCAACACATAATTCGTAATAGTCACCGTCTTCATCTTTGGGTAAATCATCATTATACTTCAACCCTTCAACGAGAACGTCTCCCCAGGGGTCAATAATCAATGAGTTCCCATAACTGATTCTTTTGGTCTCTTCACCGTTGGGCTCGTCCTCATCAACCAATTGATGTTCACCACATTGAGCTGCCATGATCACATAACTTTGATTATCGATAGCTCTGGTTCTACCCAAATTTTTCCAATGGCTTTCACCGGTTTTGACAGTAAAAGCACTTGGGAATGTTAAAATATTAGCACCTTTCTTGAATAACAATGTACTTAATTCGGGGAATCTAATATCATAACAGATTTGAAATCCAATATTGAAGTTTGGATCTGGACTTGGAAATGGTGGTAGGATCTTGTTTCCTGGTGTGACAGAATTGGATTCCTTTAGAATAGGACCATTCTTAATGTTGACATCGAATAAATGGATTTTACAATATTCATGAACAATTTTCCCTTCGTTGTCGATCCATAACAATTTATTGATGGTCTTATTGTTTTTGAAATCAGGTTCGTGAATCCCAATGGAAATCGATAATTTGCTGTTTTTGGAATTCAAATTCTTCAATTCTTCTTGGATTGGTTTGACTAACAAATCGTTTGTCTTTTGTGATAATCTAAAGCTATGACCAGCATTTTTAGCAAGGTAATCTGAAGCTTCGGGTAAGAAAAGGACTTCCACATTAGATTGAACTGATTTAGTAATAAGCTTTTTGATGATCTGGAAATTATGGGCAATGTTCGATGAAACAGTAAATTGACCGCAAGCAACTTTCATTTTTCTATGATTCTATTGGATTGAACTATCAATTGACCTGTTAGTGATTTGTTTGTTCTAAAAGTTATAACTCTCCTGACAAAAATTGGCCAAAATTGATAAGAGCCTTATCGCGGAAATCTTTACTACTTATGCATCCTTTTCACAAAAGACTATTGAAGGAATTTAAATCCTTGAACAAAAATCCTTTACCAAGCATAAAAATCTTATCCAACAATGAAAACTTGACGAATTTTGACTTTGAGATTGAAATAACTAACGGATTGTATGATGATAAGTTGTATAAATTGGTGGTGGTTATAACAAAGGAATATCCTGTGCTGCCACCTAAAGCTAAATTTGTAGTAGGCACAAGAGAAGCGGGAGAACTGGGATCAACAGGAACATCTGAAAATCCAATTGATGTTTCTTCGGACACCATGCAATCGTCTTATAAAATTCCTATTCATCCACATATTTATTCGAACGGTCACATATGTTTGAATTTACTTGGAGATGATTGGACTCCAGCATGTACTATTGAAAGTATATTAATAAGTCTTCAGTCAATGATCAATAACAATACTGACATGACCAGACCTCCAGATGATAATAGATACATAAAGTATGCTGGAGAATTTGCATCAAAGGATGGGTTCGTTTACCATGATGATTCAGTATGAATAAATTTGGAGAATTTCCTTCGGGAGAAACATTTATTACAAAAGTATATAAACAGAACTAACTAGTAGCCAAATGAATAATCACCTGCAATCCACCTATTAACCATATCTAAAGAATTTTCTGGTTGATCATAAGGAACCATATGACCAGCATCGTAAACTCTTAAGAAAGTGAATTTTTTGTAGTTTTTAACTTCACCGGCTAATTTTCCTTCTTCGGTGTACCAAGGTTTCAAGGAATCAGCTTCGAAAGAAACATGGTCTTCGTATTCTAAAGCATCTGACCAGGCATGATTACCTAACCAATTACAGATGAAATCTTTATCACCAGCGTATAATAAAACAGGAACATCATTTTCCAATAATTCAGCAACGTATTGTTGGAAAGGTTTCATTTCATCACCATCGAGGATGAAGTTTTGGAAAACTTTATCATCACAGCCAGTGAAAATATCAACTTCAGCACCAACGGATTGCATAACAAATTCATTGTTCAAGAAATCTTCAACATAAGTCATACCATTATAACATTCACCACCTTCATTATCACAAGGGACTCTAATGTCATAAGGATTTAAACCAGTTTCTTGGTAAGGACCAAAAATTTCACGTTCACAATAAACAGTGGCTGGAACACAACTTAAAGCATTTTGGAAAGTATAACATAATTTGGTTAAAGCGGCACATTTTGGATAATCAGCATCGATTTTTTCACAAGCTTCTTCTGATAAAACTGGTTTATAACCACCTTCACCACAAGCCATTGGTTTATAGTAATCGTATTGAATCAAAGGATCAGTGATACCATTACCAATCAAGACAGAGGATAATTCGAATGATCTATCAGCATTATTGATGATTTCTGAAGCAAAACTTGGAATATAATGACCGGCATAACTTTCACCAGCAATATGGAATTTATTGTTTTTGAATTGTGGGAATTTTTGGAAGAACAATTCGACAAATACGTAAAAATCTTTAGCAGCTGAAGCAGTGTTTTTAACTTCTTCACCTCCAGTGTAACTATAACCAACACCAACTGGTTGATCTAAGAAGATAACAGAAGCATTGGAATTCCATGAATATGGATTATAGACTGGTTGAATGGTTGAATTGATACTTGAAGGACCTAATTCAAAGAATAATCCAGTTGATGATGAACATCCTGGACCTCCGTTTAACCATAAAATGACTGGGTCATTAGCTGGGTCGTTTCTACTTTCGAAAAACCAAAAAAAGAAATGTTTATCCAATTGTTCAACATTTAAGTAACCAGTATATTGGTCAACAGTATCTAATCCCAAAGCTTCTGGGTGATTTTTCTTGATATCTAAAGAATAACCTTGGAATTTGTCATTAGCTAAGGTTTCAAAATCTTTATGTTTCTTCTTTTCACTGAAAACGTTGTTGAATTTATTGACAGATTTCTTACCATAAGCCTTAACTCTTTCAAGCAATTCTTTTTGACTGAATTGTTTTTGTAATTCAGTCCATGCATTGACAATTTCTTTCAGCTCACCTTCTTTTGGGTAGTCTAATTGCTTCAATAAGTCTTGGAAAACATTGGTGTTTTCTTCTTTAATCATTTGTTCTTCAACATTGAATAAAATTTGGTTGAGGTTGAAGGACCAGGCATTGGTATAATTGCAAGCAATGGCAATTGACAATAAACTGGTTAATTTCATAACGATTGAATGATGATAAAATTCTCAGAAGAGAGCTGATAAGGATGCCTCTCGGATTAGGCTCGCACGACTTTTTCTATGGGGATTAATGGGGATAAACGAAACAGCCAACCATTGAGAGGTTCAGGTCATTGAGAGATTTCAATTGGTGGAGGGCTTTTATATCGCAACAGGGGTGATAGGGGTTGTTTTGGCTGATAAGGTAAACTCAGAAGACGCAGAATTTACGAGCTAAAATGCAGCAAATAAGGACCATAGTGGTTATTAGATTGTGAACATCTTGATGATATCAAAGGTTTTCATGTGGCTATTCCATGAGGTAAATAGCACATTATGAACTAGTCAGTCCTGTATTGGGATGATGGGAATGTTGTAAGAACAAATGCAAGATCTATACCATTTTTAGCATACTCAGTGATATTTCAGCATATATGATCTTTCATCACACTTATGGTAAGAAGCCTCACAAACAAGTACTTTTAGAAAACCAATATAATGTTTCCGAGAGATTCTCTTGACATCTACCCCAGATATGAAGAAACATTCTCATCTCAGCTCAAAAATTTCAAAACTCTCCTTGTTCTGATCGTATAAATCCAACATACCTCTATAAATATCTTTAAATACACAATATCAATATCAATATCAATATCTCTTTGGTCCCCTGCAAATCTCTACCACTCTCCCAAGCTTCCCTGAATCTTCTTCCCAATCACTAACCCTTACAAACTACGCTCGCTGAGAAAAATTTCCAAACAGACGTGTGTTGAAATGAGTTATACATCCATAACAATTCCTAATAGATTCAATACAACTGCACAAACTAATAGTTCAAATGCCTTTGGTAGCGGAAATCAAGGTATCCAGTTGACTACCAGAATAGTGATGTCATTGAAATCCCAAATTCCAAGTGAAGTAGATTGGGCATTAATGGCTATCTCAACACAATCATGTCACAAACCAGAAACCATCAAATTCGAAACCGAAGAATACTTGGCTAATGAACTAGTAAGGTATTCATTCATACCTTACCATTTGATTCATGGAGGTAAATATGGTGAGTTAAATTCAGAGTTGTTCATTTCAAGTTGTAATTCTTTGTTGAGTATCAAGAACTTGATTCAAGATTTAGACAATCAACAATTTATCTCCCAAATTGAAGTTTTGAAGAAAGATTTAACTATGTCGTTGAAATTTTTATCCGAATATCTTTATTCTACCAAATACGAAAATGTTTACAAATTGAATGAATTCAAAAATGAATTGAACGAATCTTTCATTTATTTGATAGATATTTTGAGTATCTTAACCTGTTATTATGTTGACAATCATAAACATGATCAGTTGTTTGAAATCTTATTAAAATTATCATTGACTATCAACGATAAATACTTGATCATCAACATCATAAGTTGTTTGACTCATTTATTATATATCAAAGACGATTCTGAAGAAGACAGTAAGAGAAAAGACAAAGAAAGTACACCAATAATTAAGACCAGTAACAATTGTATTAATGCTATCACAGATGAGATTTTAATAAAATTTTCTAATTATTTATTGATCAATGATTATCAATTGAACGAAGTAGTTTTGTTATTTTTCAAAGAATTCTTATTATCCAAATCTTTACATGCTAATACTAAATCAGTCAAAGACTCACAATTTTTGAGATTCAAGGAACTCATTAATTTGAAGGATATTAAACATAATTTATTCAAGAAGTTACCAATTTTGATTTTGGAGAGTTTACCTTTGAATAACTCAACGAAACCAATAATCCAAAGTAGTTTGATACCAAGATCAAGTAATTTGAATGTTCCTGTAGAGGCCAATTTATTACCTTTAAACTTATATAATGTTATTGCCAAATTCCCTGAACCTTTAAGAGCCACCACTTGGTTAAGATGTTGTTACAAACCTTTCATAAATCATGAATTAAGCGATAACGGTATTGACCCAATCAATGAAGGAAAAATTCAACCAGGTGAAGTTACTCAGTTATCCTTATGGAAAGCTTATGAAAAACAGTTTTCTAGAACCTACAACAAAGATATTGTTAATCAACCTTTAATGCCAGCTGTTGATTTCATTAAAAATGTTACCAGTGGAGCTTTTCCTCAAGCTACTGCCATGGTTGTTGTTTTAGATGAAACAACCCAAAAGAAAAAGTTTATTATAAGAGGTATCCAACCAAGACAATTTACTGTTGATATCGATACTGCTAATTATGATGCTTTAATCAAGAAACCTGAAGAAAGTTTGAAAACAGACGAAACTTTACCTCTCGGTGCTATGGATGTTGAAGATTTCGATAAACAATTGACCGATTATTCTCAAGGTTTGGTTTCGACCAATGTTTTCATCAATAACTTATCTGATTTAAACTTATTATCCAAAGATTTATTGGATTATATCATAAACGAACTGATGAAATTGGATAACTTCCAAGATTTAATCAATATTTTCAGATTATATAACAAGTCTTGGTTGCCAGAGATAGTCTATAAAAATCCAAATCTTTTGGAGTCAGAAATAATCGATAATAACTGGTTAAAATATTTAATCTAATCCCCCTAAAAGTCAATAGTCTTCAATGTATATTAATTCCAACCGCGAAAAAAAATCATCTCATTATGTCTCAAAAACTTCCATTAGGTGTTAGAATTACTGATATTATTCACAGATCAACCGTCTTGGGATTGGTTGGTATCTGTGTTGTTGGTTTAGGTTCCGTGTCATTCAACTTATATGCCAACTCCGATTTCGCTAGAATGAATTCTCAGAAATTGAAATTCGATCCAAAGAACGACGAACAAAATAAGGAATAAACATGACGTTCGAATTATTCAAAAGAGTTTGTGTTTGGTTTTGTACATAGGTAATAAAATGAAATTTATTAGGTTCTATTTACTTTTCATAAGACATTAATATCACTTTGTGATTTTCTTTACTGGATGATCCTCTTCCACTTTCCTTTTTCTTTCTGAATCTTTAATGGTTGTACTTTCTTGATTCGATGTGGAGTCTTTGGATTTCTTCGATTTCTTCGGTTTCTTTGAATGGTTCAACCCTTTCGATTTCAACTCTTCATAGTTTAAATCGTTATTCTTATCGTTGTTTATCACAACTATGTCAACCTTTTCCAAATCCTTATCACAGTTGGGGCAACTTAACACTTCCTCTTTGATGAGCCCATCTATGAGCTTCTTATCCACAACACATCCACAGTTTCGAGAGTAAATAAAGGTATTCGATGCTTTTGTTACTGGACAAATGAGTTTTCCCTCTTCGAACTTGGCTTTTATATCGATTATATCCCCAAGATTCTTGATATGTGAAAATGATTCATCTGTTTTGTAGCCTTTCCTTATTAGAAACCTGATTATTTCTTCTTTTAAAAACATATTTCCTTTGTAATCACTCACAATAGGTTTGTCAATAAGCAGTTTCTTCGACAATTTACAAATCGTATACACAGTAAAGTCGTCCTCATAATTGTTGTTACTTTCGGCTTCTTTTTTATATAAGTTTATTATATCATTTCTCTTTGCAATGGACCCTCCATCATTTCCCATAGTTAAAAATTTTGAGAATCAAAGTGAAAAATTGAGTAAATGTCACAGAGGATAGACTTATCACAACTTCAACCTCAACAATTAGTTGAAATAAGAAAAAGTACTGAAGATGAAATCAACCATTTCACTCAGTCTTTGCAAGCTTTACAAACAGCTCAGAACAAATTGAAAGACTGTATAAATAGTATCAATGGAATGCAATCAACCAAGAACGATGATATTTTAGTACCAATGACTTCTTCCTTATACTTGCCAGGACAAATAAAGGATAGATCTAAATACTTGGTAGATATAGGAACAGGTTATTATGCCGAAAAGAATGCAGATGAGGCTAAAATTTCTTTTGAAAAGAAAATCAATAAATTGTCCCAAGATTCAACCAAATTGAAGGATATCTTAGTGCAAAAGAATGAAGTTTTGAATAACATCACATTAATATTGAGAAGTAAGGTCATTCAAATGGAAAAAGAGCAAGCACAAGCAAAGGCTTAAGTCATATAGTCGTTAATTGTATATTTTACATATCGTCCGTACGTTCCTCTTTATTGAAAATGAAAGGTTCCAGGAATGAACTTTTCAAATTCTTAATCTTCCTATCTCCCAAACCATGAATCTGATGGCTGTCAGATTTTACGATGGTTTTGAAATTCTTATAATTTGCAATCAAATTTATACTATCAGTCTTATTGATAGTTTTGACCGTTGTTAAGGTGTTGATCATGTTGGATGTGAAATCATTATTCTTGATTCCTTTAATGATAAGATTAACTTTATTTGCGGATAATTCATTTTCCTTCAACATTGCAACATAATTACCTGCTTGTTCAAAAGACCAAGCTATGATCAACGTAAGATCTTGTTTGACACATATGCTATTGAGCTTCCGTAAGGTATCTTGTGGAGATTCTATATCTATGACTGTTAACAAGACCTTCAAAGAATTATCCATTCTTGTGCTTATCACCGATCCTTGATTCAATTTCTTGATACGTCTCCAAACATATTCAGGGTGTAACTGGTGGTACTTGAGTGATAAGAATAAAATCTGCAAATTGGGGTTTATATAATAATCTGACAAGATCTCTTTGTTGAATGTAATGGGCTTCTGTTTTAGTAAAGCACTCTGAAGTAAAGGATTTTGTTTTTGAGATGGCGATACTTGAATTTGACTATACATTTGGACCCCATTCCTTATTCTATTCATTCTAGCGGAGTCTATATCCTTTCTTTCTTTTCTCTCCCTCGGTTGACTCGTTGGTTGTTGTATGGGCGTCTGTACATGAGTATCAGAAGTACTTTGCGGTTGCTGTATTTCCTCCTGTTGTGGTGCTTGTTTAGTTTGAGGATCCTCTGTTTGCAACTCTTGTTGAGCAGCCCCTTGGCCTCCTTCATTCTTATTCTTGTCGTCGTCGCCATACTCCTCTCTCATACGCTTCACTCCAGCCAATATACTGGCAAAAGAAGTAGGATCCATGATATACGCGATTGCGAAAAATTGAGTAGAGAAGTATCTTATTTATTGGAAGGTCTAGGTAATTCTTTGTCGGCCATTCCTTCTTTCAAGATAACATCAATATCGTCGTTGAAGGAGGCATAGAAATCGTCTAATGAAACATGCTTAGGTTTCCATCCAATTTTGAAACCATTGTTAGCTCTACTTCTCGAATTTTGACCCCAGAAATAAGGAGCAAATTCGTCACCTTGTTTAATTTTGATGATGTATTCAGGAGTGGCTTGATTCACTTCTGGTGTGTCGATTAATCCTCTAGCATATAACAATTCACTCACCTTATTAGCAACATCTCTCCAAGTATGTTCGATCGATGATGGCTTGTCATCTTTAACCACCTCATTTTCTTCAACATAAGCCCCGAAATAGTATCCTTTGCTACCTTGGGGAATATCTTCACCATCCAAGAACTTCTTCAAGATGAAGAGGTACAATTCTCCCAAGTCTGAGATATGAACATGACTCCAAATATAATTCCCATGGTAAACAGTGGATGTTTGTTTATTTTGTATAGCTAAAGTCATCATGTAAGGGATTTGAATAGATATGGTTCTACCATAGCCTTTACTAACTCCAAAAATGGTAGATGGACAAACAATCGCAGTCTTAATCAATGGATTCTTTTCATTGATATCTAAAACAATTTTATCAACAGGTCTATGAGCTTGATCCATTGGCAAACTATTGATATCGTCAATTGACTTGTCATCGTAATAAACCTTAGGAGTTGGTTTGTTTTCAGCTATTTCATCTCCTATAACGGAAGTTCCTGAAGTGTGGATTAAGATTTTAGGAGTTTTCAGTGCAACTAATACATCTGAAATCGCTTGAGCTGATGGAACATGATCCACATTAGCTGTGTTTATGATAACATCACATTCGCCCACATATTTGGATAAGAACTCAAGGTTGTCCAAGTCTCCGATAACTGGAGTAACCTTGTTGCCTGTTTTCTTGACCAAATCATCAGCTTTTGCTTGGGATCTGACTACAGCATATATTTCGAGGTCGGTGTGTTGATCCAACAATTGATATAAAACTTCGCCTCCAATGTAACCTGTAGCTCCTGTAATAAAAACTTTAGACATATTCGTTGGATGAGTTGGATGCAAACCCGCATCTTTTATAGTACTTTGCTTAATAATTCAAAAAGCGCAAGCAATGATATCACCGTGTGATTCATGCTATTAGTTAACTTTGACCTGCTTACATATATCCAGGCGTGAACATCACATGTGTAATGCCGAACTGGTTGCGACCCTTAAGTGATTGAGTGAAAGAACTTTTATTGGACGTAAAACATGTAAATCAGCTCATATTGCGTTTTTGAAATCCGACTTAGATCTGACCGATTCAGATCATAAAGAAGTAACCATGGGGTACATATTTCCCTACCCGATAGCTGTGTCAGAAGATGAATCAAAGGTTTCCTACTAACAGAAGAAGCTCGAGATTTCCTCTCATAATTAATAGAGTCAAGAGCTTTTGCATTTATTGATGAATCACAAACCAGAAAAATTTGAGTTGAAATAAACTAACTAACTTCATTCCTGTTTATGTTAAAATTCACACACGACGCCTTCTCTTAGAAAGAAATTTTTGATGGAGTTTTTCGTGCCTTTTTAAAGTGTCTTTCCTGTAGAATACTCCTTCACAGCCATCACAAAAATAGAGTAGCTCTTTTATGAGATTCAACTCATCCTCATGACAAGCTAGCATCTGTTTTTCCTTATTGAAGTGTTGAGATATTATGTGTTTTCTTAAATTCATTTTTCTTTCGAAACCAATTGCATGAAATGGACAATTTCTTATGACACATTTGAATTTCAATTTATCAAAGAGTCTCTCTTCCTCGTAGTGAAGTATCAATTGATACAAGTTTTTCAACCCCTTGCCACAATCAAAACAGTGGTATTGATTGAAATTGTAAATGACATCAACAAACTTTTCCATAATCACTTCAGAAATTTTCAAAGGTTTTTCGCCTGGTGATGGCATCTTGGATTCAATCTTTCCAAACTGAATAACTTTACCGACCAATGGGATCATCTCGACCTTTGTATTGATTTCCACGGTGTTTGTGGGCTTTTGGTTTTCTTTTTCTTCACGTTCTTGTTCACTAAGGCAAAATACATCATTAGGAAGATGCATAAATCCTGAAAAGTTATCTCCGAGATATGGGATGTCAATGAAAGATTCTGGAAATAATTCGTAGTTGAAAAACTCATCATCAGAAGCAGTTGTATTTGAATCACTTTCAAATTCGAAGATATCAAAGTCAAAAATCTCCCTAGAAAAATGTATTCGTCCATCAACAGGTATTTCCTCTAGATCAACTCTGACCAGCTTTTGGATTCGGCAGATTGTAGAACCTGAAGGCCGGGAAAGTTCATAACTCGGGATACATATTTGTCCTGAATCTTCAATTGCGTCAATATCCGTATATATCACTTGCTCATCCATTAATGTATACTTTTCCATCTCCTCGATTGAATCCATCAAGAAGTTGTTACAATTTAAGTGACCATTCAACTTTAGATTTAAATCAATATGGTCCTCGTAGAACTCGTAATTGTCGACATCCATGAAGAAGTCCTTCTCGTATGTAGGCCATTGATTATGTTGTTCAAATGGCATATCACCACATTTTGACAGATATTCAAAACTCATTTCAGTGAATTTCAATAGTTTTTTTAAGATGATTCAATTAATTAACCGGTTCTTTTCTGACCTGGTAACAAAAAAAGGATTTATTTGCAGAAAAAATCTGGGATTAAAGTGGCCCTTATGTATTGTTTTAGATATAAAATACTAATGCAAGATATGTTTCATCTCTTTGTTAAATATATGCAGGATGGATCATCTTACTCAATTGGGAGAGGTAATTAATATTTTTTGAGATTTTCTTACCCCTAAACATTCGCTTTAATCTTTGAAAACACTTTTAGTTTCGACTGTGATAGCTAGCTCTCCCAATATGTAAGTATCCCTCGATGATAAACCTGATAATCCAGGTATTTTCTGTGTGAAACAAGTAAAGATTCTCTCATATCTGAGACCCTCCTTTTTGATGATGCAGACAAAGAAGAGTGCGAATGGTTCGAGACCCCTGAAGGAAGTTTATCGTAAATCGTGATAAGCATGCTTCACTTGTTTCATGAATTTGTTTCATATTACTGTTTCAAGTTAGGAATCGGGAGATTTGAAACATTAGAGCCGTAAACTTATTCCGGAAACAAGCTATTTGCTGTTTAAAATTCATACGGAATTGAGACTTGGATAATAAGAGGTAAAACTATATGATGATCATGACAACATTGATTATTCTATACGTGATCTCTTGGGAGCTCTTTCTTCAAAAATCTCGTCAAGGAATTTTCTTGCTTTTTGATACTGCTTTTCCTGTGCCTCACTTTGAGTAGCCTGAATATCGTGGAACATGATATTAACTTTCTCATTCATGCTTTCTATATTTATTGCGTTCAGCTTCACGATATCTGTCAAAATATCAAAGTCATTCACAAATGAAGAATGATTGTCCCTAATCTGCAGTTCGAGCAATGTTATTTTATTCAAAACCATTTCCTGAAATCTAATAAGTCTGTTATAAATCTTATTCCAATCTTTGCTATCTGGTTTGTCCTCGGTCCAATCACTGGGAATATCACCACAGTTTCTCGACAAGTATTCCTCTTCTCTCTTCAATTGCTTTTTGGTTTTTTGTTTTTCTCCCTTGACAGTTTTAGAAAACATTTTCTCCAGGCGAATCAGTGAAAATGACTTAGTGGTAGAATCAGCATTTAACATTACAAACTTCCCGAAATCCGTCTTCGGTTGGGGCGTCTCATTAATTTGGTATAACTTCTTAACCGCTGAAGGGGACAAGACGCTATTTGGTCTCTTATACTGAAACAAAGTTGATGGTAAAGAAGGTGGTACATTCTCCTTTGTTTCCTTACTTTCTTCTGTCTTTTCAAGTTTTAAACCCTGTCCAGAAGGAAGAACAACTGGATTTCTGGAAAGATTAAAGGAGAATAGTTGTTCCTGAGCATTACCGTCCCCCTCTGTTGAATGGTTGATTCCTGATGCAACTTTCAGTGAATCCATATCTTCCAACTGATCGGCATCGTTGATTGGGGCATATTGAACTAATTCTTTGTTCATAACAAAATTTTCGAAAAGTTTATTTGTGGATAATTTTCATATACGCAAAGAGAAATATGATCCTAATGAATTCTGGATTATATAATCGTCTTCACAAATATTTTTGAACGTGAAAACTAGTGACTGATTTGATAATGTTTCATTTACAAAGAAGCTTTTAGTAGCTTACATGAATTGTTATAAAATCACATTTCAGCATTACTTGCAAAAATACGTCCCGAAACAAAAATGTTACCAAATGAATCAAATTGGATATTAATTCTATAACAAAATAACGAAATAGAGAACGGACTTTCATTAACTTCACATACAATTGCTCCAGGGAATTCAATAAAATAAAATATTAGCAAATTTTGCAAGAACTACTTAAAAAATAAAAACTGTATGTCAAATGTCAAATCATGCCCCAACAATTGTTGACAACATTCCCTTGAGCAGATGCCTGATAAGATAGATGGATTAGAGACTCATAAACTACAAGCGTATATTTCTACTAAATACCAGAAGAACTCTGTTCCAAACGACACGCGCGAGTTCCATTTGAGGGTCGCGACATGCCTCTGTTCCAAACGACTTTTTTTTCGCAC